TTAACGGATATGACAACCTAGGGCCATTTACTTCAATGGGTCTACTCTGAGCAGGACTTAATTGGCCAGCCGAATGCCTAGTGCTTTCAGATGAAATAAGCAGCAGTCTTAGTACCAAAACAGACATGGAAGAATTGTGTTCTGATTTTATGTGAATGGATGAAAAGGGGCGATGAATTTGATTGGGAAATTGGTGCTGGAGATGGGGGTGTTTAATTATTTCCCCACTACCATAATTTTCCTGTTCTAACTGCCCCCATGCCCAGCCACTAGCCCTGCTTTATTTCCCCAAGTGGGGCTAATAGCAGGCGTGTGTGGAGGGGTGGTGGATTAGATTGAGAACAAGCATATCCACACATGGAAATCACATGACAGATCTCTTGGGCCATACCTATTTTGGTCCTAAGTAGCAGTGGCAGGCATAAGGAACCAAGGGATGGACAAAAAGTGCAGGTGGAAGAGAAGTGTGGGGGTTGGGGTGCAGGGACTGGAGATGGTAAGAGCACATTTCAAGACCATTTGCAAAGCTGCCTTTAAAAGTGAAAGTCCCTCATCTTGACATGGCAGCTGCACCAGACAAACCACATGTGTTGCTATGAACAAATGAAGGCAGGCTACCGCAGGCCTCTCAGAATATCTGTAACAGCTGCGTTGTATACCTCAAGAATATGCACCAAGAATGCTCCACTCCTTAGGACATGTGCAAACCCTAAGAAAAGGTTCTTATTGTCTTTGCTGCAAACGGCTGTGTTTAACAGGGGAGATGCTCAGGTGGGCAACCCCTTGAACCCAGATCCCTACAGCTGAAAGCCCGCTGCTTTTGAAGCCCATGTGCTGGCTTGAAGTCTCCCCGAACAAACTGTTTGAATACTTTCAGAATGCCAGTTTCCATGGCAACAACCAATTGTGTCCTTTGCAGAGTTTGGGTCTATAAATAATTTTTTTTTTTTGATCCAGAGTTGCGATATTAGCTGCGTGGGAACAAAGGAGGAAATGGGGGCGCTGAAGAGAATATATGCAGGAACATATATTTCCAACCTGTGCTACACTCCTTGCCCTCATTGCAACAAAGAGTTCAAGGGATCTCCCTTTGTCTTGCTGAGGCTTAGAAATAACTTGGTACATGACAGGAAACTGCCTCCTGAAGATCTTTCATATGGAATGTGGTTACCAATGGAAAACACAGCTTGCTGCAAAGCGAAGCCATCACTCTCAGGTTATGCAACCTGAAATGGATGTCCGCCTTCACCAACTGGGTGTCCTCCAGATGTTTTGGACTACAACTCCCATCAGCTGGTGCTCTTAATGCCTCTTGTTTGCCTTGTTGGGGAGGTGTGTGCATGTGTAGAACTGCGTCTTGCATTGCAATCCTTGACGTATTCACTTCAAAGGGGACTTAAGCCTTAAAGTCATTCCAAGAATATCAGAAGAGCCCTGCTGGGTCATATCAAAGGCCTCTCTCATCCAGCGTTCTGTTTGCATGGTGGACTAGCAGATGTTAGAAGGCCACACAATTGTTTCCGTAATGAAGTGACCAAACCTGTCGTGTCATGTTTTAAACAGAGAAACTAGCCCATAGACAAGTTTGCAGTTCAGGTAACCAGAAGTGTCTCAGGAGTTTTACTCCGAACATACACAGTTGCTGCACTAGAGTAGCAGATGCCCACATAAAAGGCTGTATGACAAGCTTTGACAACTTTTTGCAGATGTATGAGCTTGCTCATGTACCTACATTGCGCTCTGCAATGATATCACACACACACACACAAATATTGTGCATCTTTATATGTATTACAGTTACTGTAATCACCAAACAGAAATTTGGGGAAAAAATTGGATTTCACTCTGTAACTATGTGCATCTTCACCTTTTATTTAAGCACTTGATTAAATATATAGCATTTTCTTCCAAGTTTAGTTTTCTGCTCTCCCAGTATGCAGTGCTTTTTTCTAAAAAAAATGTTTAGGAGTATTCTCATTTTCCTACTCATATTGAAATACTGCCCCTCAATGAGGCCAAACTTATATTCACAAAATGCTTAGGAGTATGTGTACCCCTGTGTTCCCCCAGAAAAAAAGCACTGCCAGTATGGATGGAAAGCACCGAAGTGGGGGATTGTGGAGCGCTACTATAAAACTTCCACTAGATGGCATTATCATGTTCTGAAGGAACTAACATAGACTTGCATTCCTCCTGAGCTGTTTAGCCTTAACCTGTTGTTGTTGTTGTTGTTGTTGTTGTTTATACATTAATGGCACATATGGACATAAGCAGAGCTCTGCTGGATAAAACCCAATTGGGCACTTTTAGCCTAGGATCCTGTTTCTACCAGTACCTCCAGGAAGCCCACAAGCAGGGCATGAAGGAAAGACCCTTCACTTGCTGCTGCTGCTGCTACTGTTGTCCCTGCTCTAACCTGAGAGAATGCACTGCATGAAGCTGAATCCTAACAGACAAAATAGGAAATGGGAGATTAGCACTAAAGGCCCCATCTTAAATCAAGTTTTCTGTGTTTGATTTCACTGTCAGCTATTAACTAAAACATTTATACTAATTAGGGTTGGCATACGTCCAGATTTTCCAAGACATACCCAGAATACTGCAGTCGGCAGCAGTGTCTGGGCAGAAATCAGGCAAATGTCCAGGAAAATCCGGAGATATGGAAGCTGTTTTTGCCAGTTTCCCATAAAAAGAGCTCAGAATTAATTTATTTTTGCATCCCCCCCAAAAAAAGCTCAACAACTTTTCTGTCCAGATTTTCACTCTTTGAAATATAGCAGCCCTAACTATCATTGGATATGGCTGCAGTGGAAGGCTTAGATGGACCCAGACTCCTAGGGTATGAGCCTTGCAGTTGCTATTTCATTGTACACTGCCTCCATTTAGCCATCCTGCTTAACATAGAGGCTCACAGCTAATTTGCCTGCTCCATTAATTTGTCCAATTCCAAGAAATGAAAACCAGTGGCCATCACTGTGCATGTCAACAACTGAAATATCACATATCATATTGATTCCTACAGGACACCACTGATTATTGACCTTTTAATACACTACTGGGGGGTGGGAGCAGTTTGTTTTGAGAGGAAACACAAATGAGGGGGGAGGGGTACGGATCAGGATGTACCAGAGAATAAAGAATGTGCCAAAGAAGTAGCTTAGCATGATTTTAGTCATTGACAGTAGTCTCCCTTTTTTAATATAAATATTTAAAACTGTGTTACTCTTTTTTCCCTTTTAAAATTTCTAACACAGACCTGTCATACTTTGGTTCCCTGTGTTTCTGTTTCCTACAAGAGTTAGTCTCCTCAGCTGGCCTCTTTCAGTCATGTGAGATCAGTCTGGAGAACATATGTGGGCAAAAGCATCTTGCCCATATGTACATAAACTTCCAACATTCAGCTTCATTAGATGGCCCCACTGAGTTTTGTCAGTGAATCTCTATCCACTTTCTTACACAATGCATAATTTTATACATCTCTTTGTGATTGCACCTTAGATTAGTATAACGGTACTGTGTAATATTAGTGGTTTTATTTTCAGTCACTGTCTGAATTATCACTAATGTGCATATATGCTTGGCAATTGTATATTTACTAATGATTTCCACAAGTTTTTCCAGAACAGAGATACGCTAACCAACCTATAATTTTCCAGATTTCCTCTGGATTCCTCTCAAAAAGATGGTAATACACTGGCCACTTTCCAGGCCTCAGGTATGGAGGCTGATCTTAAAAACAAGTTACGTATTTTTGTTAGGAGAGCAGCAATTTCACACCTGTGTTCCTTCAGGACTTTTGGGTGGATGCCATCCAAACCAAGTGATTTGTCAGTTTTTAATTTGTCAACAAGACCTAGAACAGGGTAGTCCAATGCCTTTTTAGTGGCCCTAAGCAAAATTAGACACACACACCAGCCCTTGCCTGCCTTCCCAAAGTGGTAAGCAAGGCACCATACTTTGGGAAGGTATGAGGGCTCTGACAGTGTCCTAGAGTCCTCCTGTCTCTTCACAAAGCCTAGTTAGTGCTTTCCAGCTTTGGGAAGGAGATAGGAGGGCTCTAGGACCATGCCAGAGCCTTGCATTTCCTTCCCAAAGCCTGGCACCTTTGGGAAGACAGGAGGGCTGGGGGCAGCGGGTTGTCAGATTTTGCCCTCACTCCCCCCTCACAATAAGGCAGTGTGTGGTCTGTGGGTTCCATGTCAAAGTACTCTTGCGGCCCACTTGGTATGAAACAATGAATCGCCCTAGCCTGGAATATCTTGTCACTACTCAGTTCCTCAGATTCCCTTCCTGCAAAAGTAGGCACAGAGATCTGCCCTATATCTTATCATGATTTTTGTGTTCTCTATTTTGTATTCATTTTATTTTTTTTTGGTAAACTGCGTTGTGATCTTCAGATGAGGGGTGGCATACAAATTTAATAGATAATAATAATAATAATAATAATAATAATAATAATTACAATAATCTGCTGTGAAGAGAAATGCAAAAACAACATTCAACTTCTCTGCAAACTCCTTTAGGATACCTTTGACTCCCTTATCATCCAAGGTTGAACCACCTCCCCAGCTGGTCACCTGCTACCAATGCATTTAAGGAGTTTTATTGCTGGTGTCCCTCCTCCAGAATTTGTATCCTGAAATAACTATGCCTCACTGGTTCCATTCCACCACATACAGCAGGCGTAAGGCAAACTCAGCCCTCCAGATGTTTTGAGACGATTCCCATCATCCCTGACCACTGGTCCTGTTAGCTAGGGATGATGGGAGTTGTAGTACCAAAACATCTGGAGGGACGAGTTTGCCTGTGCCTGACATACAGTATAAGAATTAGGACATCTTGTTGTTTAGTCGTTTAGTCGTTTAGTCGTTTAGTCGTTTAGTCGTTTAGTCGTGTCTGACTCTTCATGAGCCCATAGACCAGAGCACGCCAGGCACTCCTGTCTTCCACTGCCTCCCGCAGTTTGGTCGAACTCATGCTGGTAGCTTCGAGAACACTGTCCAACCATCTCGTCTTCTGTTGTCCCCTTCTCCTTGTGCCCTCCATCTTCCCCAACATCAGGGTCTTTTCCAAGGAGTCTTCTCTTCTCATGATGTGGCCAAAGTACTGGAGTCTCAGTTTCAGGATCTGTCCTTCCAGTGAGCACTCAGGGCTGATCTCCTTCGGAATGGAGAGGTTTGATCTTCTTGCAGTCCATGGGACTCTCAAGAGTCTCCTCCAGCACCATAATTCAAAAGCATCAATTCTTTGGCAATCAGCCTTCTTTATGGTCCAGCTCTCATTTCCATACATTACTACTAGGAAAACCATAGCCTTAACTACACGACATCTTAGCCTGTTGTTAATCAAGCATCTCTTTTGGCACAAGGAAAGTTTTTGTAGACTAGGTTGTGGAAGGCTAACATAGGCCTTTCTTTCCACCATGTTAAGGTGTAGGGTGGTCCATTGTGGACCCCAACTTCTTCATTTGCTCCCTCTTGTCCTCACTTCCTCAAGACAGCCTCAAGACCCCTTCCCAACTGACCCAGTCACCGCAGCTGCCTTGGTTGCTAGGCAACCAGAGCATCTCTCGTCCCATCAACGAGCAACTTCCCCCTCCTCTCGTCCTATCGATTCAGGCTTTCCCTAGCCCCATCTCCCTGTTGCTAAGCAACCAGGGCCCTAGCCCCCTATTGGCCGAGGCGCTTCTTTCTTCCCCGCCATATCAAGGCAAAGGCAAGCACGTGCCCCAAACACGCGCAGAAACAGACCCTCTACGGCCACGCCCCTCCATCAGAGCCTGGCCCAATCGCCACACACTGAAGGGCGGGGCTTTGGGGGACGTGATTGACAGCCGCTGATGTTCGGCGGCACCGCGAGTGGTTCCCGTTAGGTGGGCGGTGAGGAGAGCTGAGAGAAAGCGGCGGAGGGCAGCGGAGCTGAGGAGGGGGATGAAGGAAAGGGTGCAGGAGCTCAGACCAATCGCGACGCGTCAGTGGGAGGAGTGGGCGGGGCAGCGAGCGCGAATGAGTCCCGGCCTCCTCCTCCTTTCCCAGCCGGCCTGGTCGATTCACTTCCAGCCGAAGAGGGATCCTTCCGCCTTTGGAATCACACACACTCACCACACATAACGGCGGCGAAGGAGGCGGCGGCGGCAGCAGCAGCACTAGCGGCAGCAGCAGCAGCAGCACCGTGTGTGCCTCCGCCTATTGCCTACCGCGGGGGTTTCTTTTGTCGTGCTAGTGGCCGTTGGAACCGGAGAGGCGGGAGAGGAAACGGCACGGCGGCCGGGCGAAGCGGGTGGATTGGCCGCCGGGGGGGAGGAGGAGGAGGCGGCGGCGGCTGACGGGAAAACAAGGGAAGAAGGGAGGAGGGCGGGTGAGCAGCGACGGCGGCGGGCTTTTCTCCTCCGCCCTGCCGGAGAGGGGGATGGAGAGAGCCGGGCTGAGGCGGAGGGAGGGAGCCGCCCCGTGAGGGGGAAAGGAGGAGGGTGGGAAATCAAGAGGAGGCCTCCACTCCTCATCCGCCAAATAGCGGGCCTAGGCCCTCCCTCAGCTCCCTCCCTCCCCCTTGCCCCCCCCATTTAGCCTCGGTTTCTGAGGAGGGGGGAGATTAACACGTGAGGCCCACCCGGTTCCCTACCCCTTCTTTTCATGCCGGGGGGGTACCTCAGCCCCTCGCCCGCCGCCCTCCTCCGCCCTTCCCCCAGCCTCGACCATCATCAGCCCGTTGAGGAGGACCCTCGCCCCTCCCCCACCTGATCAGGGCCCCATTTGGCCCTCCGATCGAGGCCTTCTCCTGGGGTCCTCACTGTTCTCTCCTCTCCCTCTCCCTCTCCCCCATTGGGGTGCTCTGATTTCGTGCTTGGCCCCATCTCTGAGGGTCCTCTACTTTTATCCGCTTTTGCAGCCTTGCAGAAGCTGCTCTGCCTCTGCCTCCCTCTCTCCCTCCCTTTTCAGGTCCTACACCCTTCATTAATTTGGTCTCTGCACTTTTACCCTTATTAGCAACCAGATCCTCAGTCCTAGTTTCTTTTTCTTTTTGGGGGTGGTGGGTGGGGGTGTTCTGTCTACCTTTCCCTTCAGTGTTGATATCCGTGCTGCCTCCTTTTACAAACCAACAACCAAACCCTCTTTCAGGCTAGGCCCTATTAGCCAAGTCTCTATCTGGGTCTGGTCTTTAAAAAAATCTCCCCTCCTGTGCAACACGTCTCTGGCCACCCTCTGCCCTGGGGGGTTCTGCTGCCTCTGGTGGCAGTAGCTAGCAGCATGGTAGAGAAGCGGTGTCCACGACTGCAGAGAGAGAGCGTGTACCGCTGGTTTTCTGAGCTGCCTTCTCCTCAACGGGTGGAGTTCCTTTGTGGCCTGCTGGACTTGTGCATCCCACTTGAGTTACGTTTCCTGGGAGCCTGCCTAGAGGACCTGGCCCGCAAAGACTATCACTCACTGCGGGATTCCGAAATCAAGGCCAATAACCCGGCTGATCTGGGCAGCCTCACCAACCTGACGGATGAGGTGGTGCGCAGCAAGCTCTTGGTCTCACTTGCACTCCTGGGCTCATCCCACCGGGAAGCAGCTGGCGTCCTCTTCCGCACCCTCACCCATATTGACTCTGTCATCAACAACTATGGACTGCAGCTCAATGAGGGTCGGACTGGGGATGAGTTTTTGCTGCTCTTCACCATGGCCTCCAACCACCCTGCCTTCAGTTTCCACCAAAAGCAGGTGCTGAGGCAAGAGCTCACCAAGATCCAAAACATCATTGCCAGTACTAGCAAGAGTCCCAGCACTCCCACAGCTAGCAACATGGGAACTTGTCCTGGTTGCCACAAGGTGTGTATTACATCCAGGGACTTCTCTTCCAGGGACTGTAGAGGTGGCAGGGGCAGTATTCTTTCCTTTTGGGGAGGAGGGTGTCTGCCTATTAGGATATAGCTGAGAAAGAGTGTCTTGCAGCTATGGTTTATGGTGGCTGTTGGCTAGTTTCAACAATGGGCCAGAAAGGTCACTTTTCTCCCTATCCACTTCTTCTCATCAGTAGAGTGTCAAACTCCATTCTCTTATGTGCATTCACACTCTCATCTCTTAGGATGCTCTTTCATCAATAGTTGGTGTTCTTTTTTAAACTCTAGTAAGATAGTCCCATGCCTAATGGTCAGAAGCTGCTCAGATGTGGGTCCTAAGTAAAACAATAGCCATTCTGTGAAGTGTATAGCTGTTTTGCACTGGCCATTCTTTAGATAGACCAAGAGAATAGCTTCCTGCTGTTTTACTCTGGAAAGGTAGAGACCTAAGTATTTGCTTTTTCAGATGGAGTTATTAAATGGTCCTGCTAAAGGAACTTGAGACCAAAAGGCATTTGAGGAGCAAATGGGGTCTGGAATTTGTTTTAATTGCAAGTATCTGTCCAGTAATACTCAAAATTTCATATTGTCTCCATTTAGCTGTAAAAGCGATTAAAGCCCTTAGCAAAATTGGATGATAATTGTGCTTGAAATTGTTTATTTAATGATTTAAGATAGCTGAGTGAATTCTATGTGATTTGGAGCTACAGGTTAAAGTTACTTCCTGCAGGCATCCTTTATTAGTGTGCTGGTTTTGTCACTGTTATTTTGACACTTTCACATGTGTCTTTTGTGTAGCATCAGTAAGGAGAGATGAGGCATGAATGGTTTTACATTCCAAGTAAGGTGCTGATAGAGTGGTATAATATAAAAGAGTTTTGAGACTTTTCAGAAGTGGTCGAAGGCAAGCTTTGCTTTTGTTACTGTGGCTTTGTAATGTAAACTTGACAGGTCAACATATGTTAAAAGTGAAGCTTTTTTAGAACTTTCACTGTGAAAAAACTGTTCTGGTTCAGGGGTTCTGACACAAACTGGTCCATTGTGAGACTGATAGGTCTGTGAATGGAAGCATCTATCTGATAGCTAATATTTACTTTGCTAGAACATTGCTTTCCGTGTGTGTTTAAGAGAGAGAGACCTGCTTGTTGGTTGGTATATAAAAACAGTGAAATGTGTTGTTTTGTGAATTTTGATAGTTCCAAGTCTCCGAATATTTAAGAAACATAAACTCTATTCTTTGTTTCAAAGAATAAAACTTCATTTATTGGAATAAACTGACATTTTTAGACCAGCTACAGGTAGCGCTCTCTCTCTCTACACACAGACACACACACACACACACACACACACAGAGAGAGAGAGAGAGCGCGCGCGCTATTGGATTCAATCTGTAGCTAGACAAGCAACAGACAACATTCTCTGGCAGTCCCTGTTAAATGACCTATACAAATTCCAAGTACTATTAGATGTGAGGCTTCTTTACACACTTGTAAAGTCCAATACTCTTAAATGTCAGAAAACCACCACAATACATTTGTATGAAAATCTTTACCACAGAGAAGAAAAAGTACAAGCCTAGCTTGAAACACTACGCAGTAGGATGTAAGATGTATTTTCTATCATAGTTGGGACTCATGGAAGTGGCCAGAAGGTGTGCTGTGGGCTTTGAAAGGGGAATCCCTGAACTTGGAATCCCTTGGGTGGAGAATCCAAAAAAAGAGCTTCCTTTTGGCATCCTGTGGGCTTTGTGGTATAAATCAGAAAATATAGCATCTTTGCTCAATGTTTATTTAACTCATGACTGTATCAAAAACACGATAGCATACTATAGTAACAAATGCAACAGTACCATAAAAATTAATTAATGTTAAGCAAGTATAGTGCCTTAGATTCTTGGTACTCATGTCCAGCTCAATGAATGCCTTCTCAGACACATCTTAAAATCACAAAAAGGTATTAAAAAGGAATGTTTTCCTGTTCTGAATATAGTTCATCATTAAATATCCATATAATGGTGCTTTAGTCCAACAACATCTCTATGGCCCTAGATTTCCCATCCAAGCCTTAGTCTGACCAACTTTTTTTAAGACATGTTATGCAACAAATTTCCCTATTAACTACTGAAGTAAAGAGTACTTTTTCTTCATATTTTCTGTGAACTTTGACAGTGGTCACTAACAGGAAAACTAGTGGTGAAAAGTGTATGCTACTCTAAAGTAGGCTTGTATGAATGTCATATTTTCAATGCTTATTCAGATGCTTTGATTCTACAAATAATTTACTTATTAAAATATTATATCAACAGCAATAATTAACCCTACAGCGATCAATAATCCTGAGATTGTTAAAAGGGGAAAAGAGAACTATCTGTATAATGATATAAAACAGTTCTTTCTAGAATGTTGCCTTGGAGCCACCTAATCATTCTTGGTGCCAGGAACATGCTGCATGCTAAGGATAGACATGTTCCTCCTTCTCTTGCACATACTTACTTTCCCTTCCATGGCTTCCTTTAAATGTGATCCCTGACCCCCTTTAACCAGGATTTGCAGACCATTTTTAATTCCTAGTTAGTATTAATCTTAGTTAATATTGAGGCTGGCATAATGCTACATCATGTTTAAAACAAACCATGAAATGTGGGATTTGCACAGGAGAAGGAGGGAAGGAAAGAGCTTGATGCTGATCTAATCATAGGTAAGAGTTGGGACTGATCCATTTTAAAAAGAAAATGTGGCAAGAAAACAGGTAACAAAAACTTAACATAAGAAGAGCTAGAAAGGTATTCTGGAGAAGAATGTTCTACAGGCTGGCTGCTGCTATAGAAAATATACCCTCATGTGTACCTTCTCTCCAGCAAGTGGAGGTTTAACAGAAGCAACATCTGTAAAAGAGATATTTGGGGTACCATTCTCTTTGCTTGTTAGCTTCTTTTACTTGATGATACTTGTTGTACATTCTCCTTGAAACCTAACACAACAATAAGATATTCTTAGGCTGCAGTTGTAACCCCACCTACCTGGTAGTAAGCCCCATTGAATTCAGTTAGTGCTTATTTCTTAGTAAACAAAGTTTGGATTGTGCTATTAGTCTTGACTTTATTTGTTGCCTCCATTCATCCAGTTGTTTGCTTCCTTGAGAGCAAAGTTTATCTTTACCCACTTTTCTTGTAAAAAAACAACCAAAGTTCCTGTTGTTTATCAGGATGCTAATGGATAGCCAGTTCTGCGATGAATGCTATTTCTTGCCTTCAGTTTGCAGTTGTAGTGTCTTAACAGTTTTTATACAGAGTTGATGCCTGGATTACTTAAAACAATTGCATTTAGGCTAACTCTATTAGAGTGTGGGGGTGTACTTTAGAAATAACAAATACTGGTCTTCAACACCTTTTTATGACAGTAATACTGGGTGGGCAAGTGCTGCTTTGGTGCACATGGTTCTGTGTCTCAGGGATGATGAAAGACATAGAGATGGACAGAGTATGATGCTGTTTAAAAAGCAGGTGGAGGATATTAGGAGACCATTAACACTGGAAGAAAGTGTAACTGGATGAGGAGCAGTAACTTATTGGGATCCTGCTGGGGCCACATTTCAGAAATAGGCGAGTAGGCAAGCTAGGGGTCTTAGCATGGACTAGCTGGCTCCAGTGTGAGTTGTGTGCAAATGTCCTGTTGTGTCTAGAAGGTGGGAGGACAGTGATTGGTAAGGCAGTGTATATAATGGTTTATGTTCCAACAGTTGCATTCTGTAACTTTAAGAAAGGGAAGGGCCTCAGAAAACACAGCTGATTTTGTAAACAATTGTTCTACTGCATTTCTTCCTTCTGAGGAGTATCAACAATATGTTGCATTAGAGGAAAAAGTTACAGTTGTATTAAGCCCCAGCTACAATAACATTGGTAGCCATAAGTGCTGCATTTGGAAATGATTGGGGCCTTTTGTTCGTATGTGTATTTTATGAAAGTGAGTCATCATATTAGGTGAACTTGTGTTGGTTGTGAAATGAGAGTCAGGCTTATATCCAGAAAATGAAATCTTGGGGAAGTTAGGTACCCTTTTGCAACTAGGATAAACAGTAGTAACAAACTGATGCAAGCTAGGCTTCAACAAACAAGAGTCTTCAGGTTGTTCACATGGTGTTGGTTCATGTGCAAAGCCAAACCTTGAACTGAATCCTAATTTGGAAACCTCATAGTGTAATACCCTTTGGATCCTCATCATGGGTATGATAACATACCATAAATACAAAGGAACTTGTAAATAGGAAAGTTGCTTTCAGTTAAATAACCATGGGGCTATTAGAAGATTCTGACTTGGAGAAATAAAACTGACTAGTTTGTTTCTTGTGGTTTTCTTCCTTCCCAGGTCACTCCAAGATCTGAGACCCCCATAAACAACATCGGTAACAGTTTAGAAAATGCACTACATACATCAGCACATTCCATTGAGGAGTCATTACCCAAGAGGCCTTCAGGGAAACACTCCAAAGGTGCATCTACGGGTTTTGCATGATATTTCTGTATAATACTCCTATTTTTGAAGAAAAAGATATATTTCTGCTTTAAAATATTTTAAGAATTGACTCTAGATGATAAAGTGTGTTTGGTGTTTCTCGTTCAGCGCTGAATTAATATCAGTTTATAGATAAATTGATGCACATAAATTATGCCTGTTTATAAATTAGTATTTAATGCTCATGTGCGTTGTAGGGGGTTGGACTAGATGACTACTGTGATCCCTTCCAACTCTACAATTCTACTATTTCTATTATTTCCATTCTTTGCATTTCTGGACTTGGTCTCCAACACCAAATAGACATCAGCAGATTGTCCTTTGGAAGGAATTCTGATCTATATTTTGTGTGGTATGACCAGTAATGCTTTTTCTGTATTGCGTTCCGTATCTCCTGTATAATGATTAAAAACAATTCTTTTGAAACCACTGGTGATTTCAGAAAATGCACTGGGGTGTTGAAAAGTTGGATTTGCAACAAAATGTTGCAGTGTGGAGTTCCAGTTAGTAATATCCCCTCCAATATACTCCAATTCCCTTCCCACTTGGTTTTCTGTTCTTCCTTTCCTCTTTCCTCTTCCCCCTTCCTGCCCCAGTAGTTCACCAGCATTCCATGGTGACTGAGCATGCTCAAACCTCATTTAGGATTTTTCTTAAGATGGGATTTGTACTTCTGCAAACTTCCGGCTTTCTCCAAGTTTGCTGAAACTTCCCTCTTGTGCCAGGGTTAGAGAGAATGATGATTCTACAGCAAAGACTTGGAAAGCAGAAGCCAAGTTATTTGTCCTTTGTTTCTTGACTTTCTGTGTTTTGGAACCTTGCCAGTGAAGTGACATTAGTTATAAGTAGACATAACATTTCTATTAATACTTACTTGAAAGTAAAATGTGCAGTGAATCCAAATTCTTTGTTTAGTTTTGTTTGATGAAAACAGGAAATGCTTAATTTTCTAGGCGTGCTGTTCCTGGTTTGGGTATATATTTGTGAACAATCCAGCGGTAATCCAGAAGGAAAGGAAAGTGCCTTGTTCATTCCCTATTTATTTTTCAGTGCAACAATTTTATCTCTCGTCTCTCTGTGGCAGTTCTGCAACTGCAACAATTATAGTAGCGCTTGCCCCCAGAGCTTCTGGTTAGCCACAGGAGTTGCTATTCTTTATTGTATTGGTGTGCAGGTATGTTTTCCATGGCTCTGTCTTGCATTCCTCCTTGTGTCTTTAAAAGATTATAATAGTATTAAATGATTTAGAGAATCAAAACAAGGGAGTATGCTATTATTCATGCTGCTTTATGTCTCAACCAAGTACAAATCTGCTTTCAGTTCTTCTAGTTCATGCAAGTGAAATTAATAGCCAGGTTGTATTAGCCCACTTCAGTAGAGACCTACATGGCAGATTCTGAATTGACAGCCTGTCTTACGCATGTAGGGCAAAGCACTGTTGTACTGAATATCCAATGCTTCAATTAAGTTCCACTTCATAAACAATTGTAAGCTGCTTTCCATTGTTACCTCTAGTCCAGTTATTGTTCTTCTGTGGCTTTTCATAGTTTGTATGTTTCATACCTCAAGGGCATACACTTCCTTTTTCTAAAAAGTTTTTATTGTTAAAATAATTCAGCATTAATACATACATATTGCGAATATACAAACATACATTTCATTCAATCCTTAAAAATGTTCAAACATACCTACACTCAATCCCACAGATAATTCACTTCCAATATCAGTGGATCTATATAGGTCTGATCCTCTCTGTTTGCACTGGGATTTTAGCATGTGAGATCTTAATGAGCAAAACTTACCTTTCCTAGCATCAGAATGAGATACAGGTTGCGTTTAAAATCTCACATTCTAAAATCTCAGTGGAAGTCTTGATACCTTTCCTAGAGCCAGAGTGAGTTATCCAAACTTCCATTGAGATTTTAGAATGTGAGATTTAATTAAACAAACTTTAACTCACTCTGGTGGTAGGAAAGGTATCAATGCTCCCAGTGTTCTGTTTCAATTGGCAATCCCCAAATATCATCTAGGAATATTTGTGATACTATCCTCTTCACCATATGATTTGTTATGATGGAAAATCTTGTACTGTCATTAATATAGGCACAACTTCTCATGGGCCAAAGTATTGTACATAGACACTCACCTTCCTAAAATATGCTTTGAAGCAAAAAGAGTTAAACTTGATAAATACTAAGCAAGTCCAAGAAGTTTAATTCCTTATGAAGTTCAGCTTCTGTCTTTTTGTCTACATATTAAATTGAGCTAATTTCCAAAAGAATTGAAAACAGTCTTTCCATTCTGTGAGATCACATGCACAGAGAAAACTAGAGCCTCCCTGACAATAATCCAGTGAATGATCTGTGTCTAATCAGTCTAGTCCAGAGTTTCCCAACCTGGTGCCTCCCAGATGTGTGGGACTACAGCTCCCATCATCCTCTACCATTAGTCATGCTGGCCTGGGTTGATGGAACTTGGAGTCCAGTAACATCTGGAGAGTACTGGTTTGTGAGAACATTGCTCTAGTCCAATATTAAAAACAATGAATACAGGCATTCAGTAGACCAGTACCTGATAAACATTGGACATTCCTTTTATCTTATTGTTGCTAGAGAACCTGCAATTAAGGTCCCTGAATGTAAACATAAAACAAAACAAGATTATTCTCTCTACTTTTTGGGCAGATGATAAGAGCAACAAGTAGTATTTATGTATGCTGCATGTCTGTTTAGAACTGTAACAGATGTTGTCCTGACCACAGCATATTTTCCAAAAGCATAGTGTGGGATAAAGTACATTAAACCAGATGTTGAAGAGAATTCTACATTCGATAAGCTTTTACAGTAGTAGTTTATAATGGAGAAAACATTAAAACCTTACTGCATAGGGCTCCTCATATGACTTCTTTGGAGCACTTACATAGGAACATATATAATAGGTATGCAGTCATGTCAAGAATGTAGCATCTTCCAAGCTCCAGCAATCACTGCAATATAGAAACATGTGATTTTTATGTGAGGTGGTGTATAGGGCTCTTTTTCTTTTAACATCTTTAGTAGGGTGTAAAACAAATAGTGTGAGACAGTTCTGCATTTATAATGCAGGGGTAGAGAACCTCAGACCAGGGTCCAAATGATACCCTTCGGCTTTTACTACCTGATCCTTGAGTCGGATCCCCAGCTAAACCCTCTGTTCCCAGGCCACACCCTAATTGGTCTGACATTTGGCCCACCTTCTTGCCCTCCTTGAGTGTTTTAGCCTGAGTGGAATGTGTCTGTGAACTCTGATAATGCTTCTTCCTTGTCTGGATGGAGGAGAGGTGTGAGTGTATGGAACTAGTCTTTCTGTACAAAGGTAAATTTTAAATTAGCTGCTTCTCCTCCTTTTGCCTCTGACCCCACCCACCACTTGCATGTGGCCCCTGAAGATTTCCAACAAGGGAATATAGCTGTCAGACTGAAGAAGATTTCTACCCTGTTATAGATGTTGTACCTCAGCATAGAATCAATCTGCATCTTAAAGTTTTTTCTCCCGCAGGTTATTCTCCTGCACAGAGTGGTTAAATTTTAAAGAGATGAAAGAATACTGCTGATTGCTAGTTTCATTATTTCTTGCTATTGCTATTACTGTAACTCATTACTCAGTCTGTCTCTTGCTCACATATTTCCTAATATATGTTGCTTGTATACACACATGTTTCTCTGGAAGACTTGTTTAAAAAACATTTGAAGCTGAACATCCAATGGTTTAAAGAAGATGAGGTTCAAGTGTCAGCAGTAATAATAAGAGGTTATAAGAGGTTACCCAGAATATATCCACTTGCATGTGGAGGGAAGGGAAAAGCTTAATCTTTATATTGCCAGTATTGAATTGATTTGGAGATGATGGCTCCCAACTGAGTGCAAATATGTGCACTTACATCTAACTGAAGTCAAGTGAGAATAATATTCGTGCAAGAATTGAGAAAGTACTTATACATTTTCCTGCAGCCTGCTTGGAATCTATAGTCACTGTAGTAGTTTTTGTATAGGGTCCAAATATGAAAAAATATCAGGGCTAACACTGCTGAGAAAACTTCTATCAAATAGCACCTGTAGTATACAGGCCTTAGTCTGAGAGGAATATAACCTGATAAAATAGAAAGCTCCATAGAACAGGAGATCATAACATGTGGCTGGGTCAGGACCAGTGCCATTTGATTGTGAGGGCCTACTATGAATGGAAAACTTTGGAAAGTGATGTGAAGAAGTATGTCCGGCCCTAGCCAAGGAGAATGAAAACCAGATGAAACTCCAAATACTTCACTATTTAAGATTTCAAATGATGCAAAATTAGTAAAACATGGATTTTCTGTCCATTATGCAGCTCTACCATGTAGCAGCATTCTAAACTTAAGATGAAAGGGAATGTTGAACCTGAACTCTTCTAAATTCATGGCCACATTTTAGTACAGTACTGTAATTTTCATGGGATATTTTAGTAGTATACTTTTAAAGCATGGAAATTGTTTATGGCATATTTAAGTTCTTCTGTTTCTAATGTTGTTAACCTACATTGAATCTATATGGTCTAGGCAATTTTAAGTCTTAAAAGGGGTAAATGATGCAGCCTTTTGATCAACTTTAGAAGTAATGGGAATCAAGATGTAGCAATACAGGTCAGCTGTCACGCAGCAAAATGACTTGTCTTTGGTGATGACTATCCCCCCAAATTGATTTTTAAATTTATTTTATAGTTTGAATAGCCATAATTTTGTTTTCTCTGATCAAGCAAAAAAGAAAGCAGAAGAAGGAAGAAAAGACCAAGTAGAAAATGCAGAGCTGCTATCCTCTCTAACGTCTTGTGTTGTGCTTCTTAGGAAGGACCATTGATTTATTGCATTACCTCACTGCATTGAGTGTATCCATTTCATCAGTGTATCATGCCTGTGCTATTTTTAACAATAACTTGAAGGGGCAGCACTGATGAAATTACATCATTTACATACACGGCTGAGAGAAAGTGGTATAAATCACCAAGATCATTTAAGAGAGTATCCCTGTGTGACTCATGTGAACAGGTTGGGTGACTTCAAAGAGTGATCGGATGGGGCTGTTATTCCTTGAGTAGCAAGAAGCTATGCAGTGATAATAGTTGCATTTTCTGTATTTTGACTTGGGGCAGGTGTTTTGTGAAATACCTAGCCTTTGCCAGAGTTTGAAGATGAATTACAGTTGTTTGTTTTTTCTACTATCATCCGAAATACAGCATGTCATAGACTCCTGTTTAAAGTACTTTGGAAGGAGTTGGGTGAGGAGGGAAGGAAGAATAGGCAGGTCTGGACTGGGTTGGTATTTGTTAGATTTCTGGAAAGCAACTGTCCTCTGATAGTTAATGCTTGTAAATAACTACTTAGTGGTAGGGGAAAAGAGTTAGCTTGAGGCTACTTTTTAAACTGAACGAGGCAATTGATTCTTTCAGGCTGTAGTGTAGATTGTCAACAAGTGGGCATGTGTGGGCACACTGGCCAGTAACATGTGTGGGCTTTGTTGCAATTGTGTGTGACATCAGTATCTATAAGCTTCTAAGACAGGGTGGTCCAATGCTCATCCTGAGGGCCGCATACGGCCTTCAATACATTTTTTGGTGGCCCTCAGCAACATTTGACGCCTGCCCTTAGCCCTCTCACCGCCTTCCCAAAGCTGGGTAAGCAAGGAGCTAGGCCTTGGGAAGGAAGTGGGAGGGCTCTGCTGAGAACAGGACAAGACAGCCAAGGCAGGATTAAATCCTATCCTCCATATCAGCTGATGCAACTACTGATGTCAGCAGGTAGGCGTGGTATGGGGAAAATGGTCTCACAGGGTAATTTGGCGGGCCAAGATTAGCCTGTGAGCTGATGTTTCCCCACCCTGGCATACAGTAGTATGATGTAGTATTATAATATTTTACATCTTAAAATAGTATTCACTATTTTTATGTCGTATGTATACATGTATATTCTGGTTACGAATTCCATGTTGGACACTGAAATCCCTAAGTAAATCAATAGACACAATTATCAAAATGCAGAGAATCACTTCCTCTTATTCACAATCTTAATTTCATAGTCTCTTTACCATTTTATGTCTGAATTATATTAAGGCTGCAGTTTTTTAGTCACAAATGTTACTCTGCATAGAGCTTTTTCAGACTGCCATCTGATCTGGCTGGGGTGTCTTATCACAAGACAGTTCTCAGGCGCATGCTGTCAGAGCAGCTGCTGATACTATATTGTAGTCCCACTGACAGGTTCCAGGTATAATCCTACATGGATTAATTAATGCCTGAAAAACATGAATGTTCTGCAGCTGCTTCAGATCCTGATTTGATTAATTCTGTCAAGCGGCTGTTTATTTCACAGGATACTACAGAAATTCAATTTTAACATTAATAGACTTAACTACCCTGAATTTGTCCAATCCTTTTTTAAAAGGTTATGGCTGCATTGTTTAGTCATGAATACTACAAATCAGGCCTTGTCCGTTCAAGCAGTAGATCACATGGTAAAATTGGTGTTGGGCTGTATCACAAAATTACCTGTAGAGAGACTGCATACCAGAATGATTTCCTGTTCATAGAATAGGTAGACCCTGTACGTAGAAAAATAGTGCATCAAAATGAATGTTGGATTCAATTCCCCAATTTGATCCACCTGATTTGTCATTGTATAAACCCTCTGTCATATCCTCCATCCTAGCATTCCCTATCTCTTTAAAAAATAAAAAGGCGGCTCACACTGCTCCTACCCCTTGATAATTTTTAGTTGCCCTTTTCTAGCTCTTAAGAAATCATTCTGAGACTGGGCAACTAACTGTGCATGTCGCTGCAACATAGGTTTATATTAATCTACTGTGACATGCATCCAGCCTGTTTAATAGCTTGTTTTAATTTTGTGTACTGAACGTTCCATTGGGCTATGCCTCTAGAGATCCTGTGTTTGGAGCAGTCCAGGTTTCCCATACAGAGAGTTTCCTCTTATTACAGTTGGAAAGTGAACCTTGCATGTTGTACTTTAAAGGCTTTATTCAAAGTGAAGCCAAATGTTGTTTTTATGGCACCCCCCCCCCCCAAAAAAATCATTTGCAAAATTAGCTTAAATCTTTTCTGTCTACAGCTTGCTGGCTCCAAGGATAGGTTTCCAAGATTCAAAATGGTAAAAATGTGGGTGTTCATTTTGGCATTGCCAACCTCAATTGTTCTAGATGTTGATTCACATCCCCTTTCTCCCTGAAATGAAGCTACCTTCGACCAAGTATAGATTTTCTATATTTGGAAAGTTTATATTTAAGCTGCAGGTTGTTAACTGACCTCTGAACTTTGGATGATCGCGCTTTTCAGAAGAGGTGCATGTACTTACTGTATTACCTTGAAGTCCGGAATCTTTGTTTTCTACCTAGAACTGAGATTGCCAAAAAAATTCAGGACATTTGTTTAGACTGATATGAAGTGTGGCGCTGGAGATACTTTGACATTTTTTAATTCCACCTTTGTCTTTCTGCACACATTTCATAGATTAGATGTGCAGTGAATAGGAGATAAGAATTTGAAAGAGTAGTGTGATGATCAACAATATATTCTCGGCTCCAGGAACAGACATACAACACTGTTTTTCACAAGTTTGTTCATTTTCTTTTTTTTAAGCCTCCTAGAAAGTGGGCAGACTCAGTAGTTTTATTCTTAATACAAGATATAGCACTGTTATCCAGGGAGTTTTAAGAAACTTAATACCTTTTTGCTTCTAGCATCAGATCATACTGTGTTGTATTCAGCTGTTTTGTGCAGAAATAATATTCATCTGGTTTTTTGTTTCCTGTTCCTGAGATGAGTCATTCCCCTTTTAAATAGCAGTTATTTTTTTCTCATAACCCTTAATATACTAATAAACTTCTGGAATACTTATTAAGATGGACTTTGTGGTTAACTAAAATGCTGACTTCACTACTCCTCTGGCCATTGAATTCATACTTTGTTTTGATTGTTATTTTTTTAAGAATGAAAGGATATGAGCACAAGTTTTTCTTTTAATTTAGATCCTGTTTTTGGAGACACATGAGAGTTATTCACCGTCTGAAACTGAAAATACCCATTTGCAGAACCAGCCAGGAACATAAAAAAGATTAGCACTGCAATTTAAAAGTAAGGGGCACAACCAATAAATAAGCATTCCATGTGTTTGTCCCTATGAATACTGCTATTCCATAAAACAGGAGCAGGAAATCTCAGGTCTAGAGGTAAAATATGGCCCTCCAGGTCTTTCCAACCCTTAAGACACTTCCCCAAACAGGGGGCTTCACTGCCCTTTTCAGTGCTCTTCTCAAGTTCTTTTGCCTGGCTGGAATTTATTTATGTGGGAATGTTGAGGGTGGCAGGAGAGGATATATTGATTATTAATATCCTTCCTAACTCGCACTAGCAAGTTTCTTTATATAGCAGAGTTACATTCCCCTTCTTAGGCAGCAGAAAACTGGTTGCAAACATTTGTGAGTCTCTTAAGACAATAAACAATTCAATCTGGCTTGCCCAGATTGAGATATGTTCTATTATTCCTGGTAAGACCCCTTTGATCCCTCCTAAAAGAATAAAGACACAACAGTCTTATTTATAAGTAACAAAAAGTGGTTTTTCTCATGAACATGTGATCCCTGTGATCCCTGAAGGCAGGCTTTAGGCTTAAAGTTACAAACATGTACAAACAGGTTTACCCCATATGGGAGATAACCTGGGGGACTGCTTGGCTGGCAGCCAGCAGTACAGTCCAGGTGAATCAGGAGGTTCACAGGACAAAAAAAGATCGAAGAGAGGGAGGTGGCTGCGTGACTTGGCCTTTTACCAGGTCTGGAAAGGTCACACCCACCTACCAGTCACATGCAAGGAAGGATGCTCCAGGCCAGGAGGAACAGGAAGTTTCGACTGGCTGGACCAAACATTCCCTTGCATGTCCACTCTAGCAAAACAAGGAATGTTGTATTTGACTTCTCCCAGTGGATTACATCCCCCAATTTATTTATTAAATTGTATAACACCTTATACCTGTAGACCTCAGGGTGGTTCACAACATAAAATCACGATACAAAAAACAGAAAATACATAATAAAAACAAAACCAAAAACCACCCAACAATCCCCCTTCCACATCACATTTTAAAAGGGCATCAGATGTCACTCAGCCAAAGGCCTGGTTAAAGAGAAACTTTCGCCTAGCACCTAAATGTGTATAATGAAGGCACCAGCTGAGCTCCCTGAGGAAAGTATTCCATAAATGGGGAACTACTGCAGAGAAAGCCTGTTCTTGTGTTGCCGCCCTCTGGATCTCTTGTGGAGGAGGCACACAAAGAAGGGCCTCAGAAGGTGATCTCAGGGTCTGGGTAGGTACATATGGAGACAGGTAGTCCTTGAGTTATTGCAGTCCTTGAACTGTGATAATGCCTCTGGCCAGGATGAAGGATTGAGGTGTGTATAGAAACCTCTGCTTCTTGCATGGCTGAAATACATTTAACTGTACAAAGATATGAAGTACATCCTCTGCTCTGTCTACTTCACCTCTGGTCCTGCTTGCTATTTGCATGTGGCACCTTGAGGCCTGCCAATGAAGCTCTTGCACTGAAAAAGTTCCCAGCCCGTCCTGAAAAATTGGAAAGCACTTTGAAGAGTCTACAAATACTGTAATCACTAAATGGCAGCTCTCCTGTGATTAACTGTCACTAGCTACTGTAGACATTCTGTTGCTGATTTATTACCAGATCTCTTCCCCTCTCTTGACCTTGAAATCTAGTGTAAAGCAACCATTTAAGATTGTAAAGCCTTCTGAGTAAAGGACTACATGCTTCTATAGAATTTAGTAGTCTTTAAGTTGGATATCAGTTTGCTTATAGGAAAAAGATGTCAGTGTGGTATGTGAGCTGTGTTAAAAGATTTAAACAACCTTCCTTGTAGAGGTAAGGAGGTCTGTGGTGTCCTTTTTTAGATCTGCTTTCTTAGAACAGACTGAATGAAGGTGAAAATGGAATGTTAACCTGGTTGCACATCATGTTAAATCATAGTTAATGTCTGAACCTGAGTTTGTGGCTGATTCCTCTCCAAATAAAGCACAAGCTGCACCATCAGTTTGTTCTTGCCTTACTGCTCATGGTTTGCTTGAGGCAAACATACCACAAACTTTTGCTCTGATGACATGGCAAGCCAAAGTTTATGGTTTGTTCCTCCCAAGGGGAGCAAAGGGGGAAGTTTTGAACAAGATATACCATGCTGCTGCTTCATGTTTAATCGTATTTTAATCTTAACTATGGTTTTAACTATGGGACGCGGGTGGCGCTGTGGGTAAAACCTCAGTGCCTATATGACTTGCTGATTGTAAGGTCGGCGGTTCGAATCCCCACGGCGGGGTGAGCTCCCGTCGTTCGGTCCCAGCTCCTGCCCACCTAGCAGTTCGAAAGCACCCCTAAGTGCAAGTAGATAAATAGGTACCGCTTTATAGCGGGAAGGTAAACGGCGTTTCCGTGTGCGGCGCTGGTGCTGGCTCGCCAGCTGCAGCTTCATCATGCTGGCCACATGACCCGGAAGTGTCTTCGGACGGCGCCGGCTCCCGGCCTCTTGAGCGAGATGAACGCGCAACCCTAGAGTCGGACAGTACTGGCCCGTACAGGCAGGGGTACCTTTACCTTACCTTTTTATGGTTTTAAGATAATGGGTGAATGCAGCCACAGAGAGCTCATCTTGCATGAGTGGAAAAAAATCTTCATTATAGTATTTGATTGAAGCAACTGTTAATTATAAAGGTACTAGGCCTTCCTCAGTGACGAGTATGGGTGATGGCAACCTGTCTCTTACATAGTAGTAGTAAATAGCCCCATCTCTTTTGCATTGCCAATTGTGTATACCAAGTTCTGGTACTGTTTTCAACCTACGGGCTTATCTTTGTATGCAGACACTTTAGGAATCAGACGCATCAGTGCTTCCCTTTCCCTAATATACTGTGCACAAATAGTGGGTTCCCTCAGGGAAAGGTCAGTCAGATTTTGAAGGGCTCCTTTCACTATGCATGGTGTGTGTGCTTGTGCATAGACATCTAGAGTATCTCTCAAATATAAAAATGTATGTCCACGTTGCCTCTATATGGAGTAGCTAGGATTCCATGTTCTGGGCTCATTGTGTTAACTCTGACTTCTGAAGTTTGTTACATGTCAGTCTTGGCTCAGATCCAAAGAGCTTGTTCTAGCATGTCTAAAAGACTTGCACATGCCCTGTAGTACCTTTTTTACTTGATCAGTTTTTATTAAAGCAGACTCCTGTTGTATCAAAAACTGTTTTGAATGTGGTTTGGGTGATCATACAGTGGGAAAATATGCTCAATGGGGTCATTGATTGGATTTAGATAATTCATTTCAGCAGGATCATTGAACAAGCACTGGCTACTAATGACTCCAAGCTGGAATTCAGTTAGATACAAAGCACTTTTTTTACTCTTCTAACCTATAGGATAGGCATATAATAATGTTATGAAAAAGGTGGTAGTAAGCTTGTGGTAATTTGATGTCCATGCATGTTTAATTGCTTCTTAATAAGTTATGAAAAGCCCGTAATTTTTTACCTGCTCACTGGCTGTTTCATTTTTGGTACTTTACAGGTGCAGAAAAGAGTGATACACTCTGTGTATTTGTGTAAATCAGGGATGGGGAGCCTCTGGCCTTCAGGCTGTTGTTGGACTCTTAACTCCTATTAATCCTTGATGGGAGTTGGGGTTTAACAGCAGTTTGAGGGCCACTTTCCCCATGTAAAGCAGACTTGAAAGCAGAAGAAAATTAAGTCTTTGTCATGAGCACAGCTCTCCCACATACCCAAGGAGACAGAATTGTTTCTGCTTCTACTGTGCTCATGATGTCTCTGGAACAAGTTAATGTGTATCAGGAGAATCCTGTGTCTCGTGTGCTGAGCATTAAATGGAGTAAAGTTTAAGTCTAAAGGTTTCTATGTCATCTTAATATTTAATGATTTAGAACAGAGTAGGTCATGAGATAGGAAGCTCAGCTGAGCTGTTATAAATGGGTGGGGTGGAGGTGAAAAAAGGAGTTCAAGTGGAGTGTTCTAGTAAGGAACCCTTGGTTGAAGCCCCAAGAATATAGTATCAGCTATATTCCTGAGTTTGCGATGGCACATACTCTATTGAGCATTGGTGTGATTTCTTTCTGAATGTAGTTTACACACATTTTAAAAATCATATACTGTGTTTCAGATTTAGTTAATAAACAGAATGAATTCAGGGATCATTTGTACTGAAAGGCACCAGACACCAGCTTATGAGTTGCTGAATCCATCTTCTATTGCTTCATTTTGAGGCCAAGTCCTATGACCCTTGGACATATGGATGGCAGCTTTAATTTTTGCCCTCAGGCCTGACTAGTGCACCTGTGATGAAGCAGGTGCCTAAGCAACATAGCACATGCAATCAAAACAAGGCACTTGCTCCCTGTAGGGCTGATGGTGATAGCATGCTATGTTCCTCTTTCCATCCATGGCAAAGTGTTCAGATACCTGCTTCACAGTGGAATGAGTATTCTGTAAATAAATGACCGGCTGCACTTAGGACTGTTCATGAATCCCTATTAGTTAAGTCTGATTAGGTTTTAGAGGAAGGTGAACATGTGATTGGAGTACAAAGTACTGAAAAGTAATACTACAAGTATTAAATAGTTCTAGAAGCTTAGTTGAGTTTTTATTTTATTTTATTTTATTTATGTTTCTTTCAGTGGTTCCTATATGTTGGCGCTCTCTGAATATGGACCAGACTGAGCAAAAGTGAAACATGAACTTTTTCATTTAAAACTGGAATTCACCATGTAGAGAGAAATAATGTTATTCAAGAGGTGGGCAAGAGGGGAAGGGAGCTATGTGAGGTTTGGAAAAATGCTTAAATATTTGTGTTGACTCTTTCCAAATTACCTTTATTCACTGGCTGCATTTGCAGGTCATGGTAAGCCATAAAGTTTGGCTTATTAAATCATGCCCCTTTATGTAAGTTGGTGAGCAAACCATGACAGGGAAACTTCAGTATATCTGAATCTGAGATTGTGGTTTGTTAGGATGAAACAAATCATGATCTTAGGTTTGGACAACATGCTAAGCTTTTCCCATTGTGGTTTGTTTGCTCCTCCCTTTGTGCAAGTGGGAGGGGCTCTGGCTGCATGTACACCTGCAGAGTACAGTTTGCTAAACGAAATGTTATGGTTTAGTGTTACATATGAATGCTGCTATTATACAGACATTGCTATTTTTAAACATGTTCTTGTTGACTTTGCCTGCTGCATATTCACCAGCAAGCTAAGAACAGTTGTGTTTTTAGAAAGGTACAATCAACCGACTCTTCCTTTTGTTTCAAAATTGAGTATTTTGCATATGTTAAAAACATTCTGAGCAAGCAATAATTTTGGGTTGTGACAGCCTATCATCTAGCTCACTTTTTTAAAAAAAAAAGATGGTCCAAATGTACCTCAGTTGTAAAGCCTTAGTCTTGAATAAGAGCTGCTTACCTCAGGGCTTGAAGTGGTTGTGTAGTTCTTTGAATGTTGCAATGTAAAAAAGAAACAATTAATTGAGAGTGATGTTTCCTTTTTGGAAAGTCTGTTTGGAACTCTTCTTCATTCTGTTTTCGGTGCCAGTACAGTACTGTATTGGGTAACTTGCAAAGCAAACTTAAAATTCTGTCAGTTGTTCTTCAAGATGCTCACAACTTCAGCTCTTTATAAACTGGCAAATAGTATTTCAGCATGACTTTGTTCTTTAGTAACTATATTAAGAGTGGCCTCCTGATCTCAACTTCTGAAGATTTCCTCAAAGACATTTCTGATATCTTTTGTAAGTTGAGTTCTGGACAATTAAAATGTGAGTTTTAGTACAATGGTGCCTCGCAAGACGAAATCAATCCGTTCCGCGAGTCTCTTTGTCTTGCGGTTTTTTCGTCTTGCGAAGCACGGCTATTAGCGGCTTAGCGGCTATTAACGGCTTAGCGGCTTAGCGCCTATTAACGGCTTAGCGGCTTTAAGAAAAAGGAAACAAACTCGCAAGAACTCGCAAGACGTTTTGTCTTGCGAAGCAAGCCCATAGGGAAATTCGTCTTGCGGAACGACTAAAAAAACGGAAAACTCTTTCGTCTTGCGCGTTTTTCATCTTGCGAGGCATTCGTCTTGCGAGGCACCACTGTAGCTCCCATTTGTGGCTTTATTCCATAAGTGTTTGGCAGATTGAGCAAGTAAGTGCCTATGTTGTTTCTTGCTGTAAAGCCATGCTTTCATTAACCATGTCTTAATAAAAAGTCTCTTTTAATTTCAGAAATAACAGGATATGAGTTCTGAAAATGGCCTTGGCCTGTTTTAAGTCATTCATGAGCTTGATTGATGAGCACCTTTTGAGTTGACAATAGGAGCAAATGTATGTGTTTTCTCATGCACAGCAGCAATGGAAGAGGTTGTCAGTTCTTAGAACAACACAGAAATGCTCCATTTAAAGCTCTGTCTAAGGTGGTCTGCAGTCTTGGCTTTGGAAAATCCTCAAGACTATTGTGAGCAACCATTCAGCATATGCATGGCTCCTCAACTGATCAGTACATCTCTACTTGGTGACAACAAGAACCAAATTTCCTAGAGGAAAGGGCAAAGAATCCCAGTGGCAAAGGGACTTTGATGCTAACTTTCCTCCAGTAAAATTAATAAAGTGTTTTGTTGCACCTTAAAGACTAACACATTTATTACAGCATCAACTTTCAGTGACTTGAGACAACTTCATTTGATGAAGTGGAAGATTAATCTTCAAAAGCTTATGCCATAATAAATTTGTTAGTATTTAAAGTGTCACAGGGTATTTTTCCTTCAATAGAAAAGTATGGCTACACCTCTAGAAATTTCCCTCACTGTTATTTTTATTTTTACATAAAAACTTGGAGTTTGAATACTCGAGGTTCAAATGTATGCAGAGCCTAGTCTCCTGGAGCCGATGAAAGGTTTAGTTGGGTGACAAAGTGTTAATGATTGGGGAGGGAGGGTGCTCTTTTTCTACCCCTCTAGCAAAACCTTTCTCCTTCACAACCATAACAAAAACATTACTGTGTCCTGTAAACGTCTTCCACATGGAATCACAATTACAGTTACCGCAACTGCTTCTGTAATCACCACAAGTATAGCTTACTACAAATCTAGGCTGCTAAGGATGGGAAAGTTGTCTGAAGTTCATGAGAGAGGCCTTCATTCTACAAGTTTTTGGTAGAAATGAGCTGCTAGAGGGAATCAAGGAATTAGAATTTGGGTGCATTAGAAAAGGTAAAAGTTGAAAGCAAGAGTGAAACAAATGCTGGATGGTTGCCTTGGGAAAACAGGATTGGAAGTTGGAAGTTGCCATTCAGCCACTGGCGGAGGAAGAGGGGGGCGGGGAGAGTGCACCACCCCCAGCAACGCGATCCTGGTGGGGCTCCATCACGGCTGCCCCCCCCCCGGGACGTGCGCCAACCCCACCCCCGCCTGCTCTCCGCCACTGCATTCAGCCATGATTTTCACTGGATGACTTTGAGCTAGTCACCATGCTTAGCCTAGCCTGTTTGGAAGTGTGGGAGTTAGGGGTCATTATCAATCTGAAACTTTCATACCAATTTGCTAAGTCTTTTTGTCATGTTTGGTTTGATGCCAACCAAGAACACCAGAGTAGACGTGCAGGGTTTTTGCTGTTTTCTACTACCAGGAGCATCTGTGAACTTGCACCTCTGGAACTGAGAGAAAGGAAATAATGTTGTGCATTCATCCTTTGCCTGTTTGGGACACAACAATATTCCTTTGAGGGGAAGGGCCATAACTCAGTGGCAGAACATCTGCTTTGCATGCAGAAGGTCCCAGGTTCAATCCCTGTCATCTTCAGGTAGGCCTGGGAGAGACCTGTGGCTGAAAACTTGAGAACTGCTGCCCATCCATGTAGACAGTAGTGAACTGGATGGACCAATGTTCTGACAGTATAAGCTAGTTTTCTATGTTGCTAACAGATCTTGTTCATTTTGTTTTCTAACAGTGAGTGTTGAAAAAGTGGAACTAAAGGGATTATCGCATAGGAAGAATGATAGGAACTTTGAATATTCCTTTGAGGTAAGTTCCAAGGAATGAGAACTTTTAAATTTAAAAGAGGTATGAAAGGGACCAGCCTTTGGGGCACTCAAAGCCTTGTGGATTCTATTGCTTTAGCAGGTGTCTTTTGACCGAAACTATGTGTTCAAACACTATTAGCTTTGACACCAAAACTATATCTGAAACATTTGATAAAATTTTTCTCATATTACATCACAATATACTAAAACAAACAGTATATTGAAACCATGTTCTAACTGGAGGTGAGCCATACAGTGATAGGGAAAATTGGACATGGGTGTAAAGATGTTGAATAGCTAAAATTTAATTTTAGCATTTTTTTTAAAATGCACTGAATATATTTTACTCTCAGTATAAGCCACAACAGCAAAAATCCCTGTGTCTTTTAGCTGCACTCTAATTCCCTGGTTGTAGATGATCCACTGCAGAAGCAGCCTCTTTGCCTCTTCTGTCCAAATGCTTCTGCCGTTTTTCATAACTTCTTTCCCCAGCTTTCTACTTATTCTTGGCTGCTGTTTTATTATTGGCGATTTACAGAAGGAGAGAGAGTTGCATGTATAAACTGCTCTACCCAGAATATCACATGCATAACACGGGTGTTGTGCTAGAATTTCAGTGGGAATTACAGGTAGCTGTCAGCAAAATTGTTCTGGGGCCAACTTGTATAAAATAGTACTGAAAATTCAAATATATTTCTTTAATTTAGATTTGTATCCCATCCTCTCTGGGCAGATCTCATTGGTACTCTCTCACATTCAGATGTCTGGAAAGGCAAGTGAGATGTAATCTAATAGAACCATCCTGCCATAGTTCTGAAGGCTGTGTAACCTCAAGAGCTTAGTTCCTCACGTTGTATCATTTATCTGTGTGTAAAAGAGATTTTTTTAAAGCCTTTGGTGGTGCTAGAAGCTCTGCTTTTCGTTTCTTGGTTTTGGTGGAACAAGTGCTGGGAAGAGGAAATTCCTCAATTACGTAATGTATTTTGAAACTCTCTCCTCTCACCAGTACTTCTGGCAGCAGCATCAGTTCTGGAAAATTGTGTGTGTTTGGTTGTCATTGATACTAGCGTCATGTAGAAATATCACTCTAATTTTCTCCCCCTCCCCTCTTTTTTAAGCATAAGGCAATATTTCCCCATAATTTACAAATGCCTCTATCTCAGACTGAAAAAGTACGAAATTTAAAGTGCTGGATAAATTCTTGGGCATTGTGTTAAGCTGTAAATATAGCTGAATTAAATCCGTCAGCCAACAGCCTGATGATCCTCTGGCTAGTGTTAATAAATTTTCAATAAATTTATTGAAAATACATGAAAGGGAACGCTGACCATGTTGGCTTGGTAAATCTTCAGGTACAAATCCATAGGCATAGGTTAGAAGCCCATCTCGTGTCCTGATAGGCAACTGATTTGCAGATTCTACAACGTGTCATATTCTCACACACATTAGCCCCCATCATTAACAACTTGCACTGCAAGTGGGTGTGATTATTGCAGTATGTTGACTGTTCCATCAATATGGAGTTCTCCCTTAGTAATACTTTGCTGATGTAAAGAGGCACATTTTGTGCTGCTTTTCTGCTTCAGACCTAAGGAAGCAGAGTATAGCCACAGCTTTTGTACAAGTTACAGTAGGTGTTGACTGTAGAATTTGTTCATGTGATGGTTTCCGTGTCCTTTTTTAATATGGAACAGTTCCTCCCACATAGAGTAATGCTACCTGTCCGAAGGATGGCATGTGAAATGCGCTCGGACTTACAGTATTAACTTGAAATATATTTGGTACACAAATTCAGATACAAAGTAATACACCATAATCAGCAAAGGATTTTGTGTAACAATGGGAGAAAAAAATGTTGCAATCTATGCCAGTACAGTTTAGTGAGAGTGGCGTAGCAGATTACTCCAGAGGTCCCAGGGAGAAGGAAGGAAGCTAGTCATCTTTGGAATGTAAAAGTAGGCAGAGGTACATCCCAGAATCCCTTTTTCAAGTCACCAATCTGAGGACACTGGTCATGCATCCTAGCAAGGCCAATTCCAGATGTGTTTGATGCAGGTAACTCAAATTCTTCTTTCTTCCCAAAGGTCTTATGGTCTGATTCTTCAGTGACATTGGTAACAAAGTCTTCTGCTGAAGTGACTGAATTCATTTCAAAGGTAAAACGAATAAGATGTCTTGGGTTGTATAAATAAATGTTTCAGAATCATCCTGAGGTATATTTTAGTATCAGTGCAATTGAAACAGTGGCTATCTGCAAGGCACTGTTTTTAAATAATTGTGTAAATAAGCTTGGGTTGGTTTGTTTCTTTCATTTTCAATTGTTGCATTCAAACATATTGTCTTCTCTCTTAGTTAGGTCAAATGTACCCAGAAGAAAAATTGGAGAAATTCATTCCATGCCTAGCTGGTCCAGATTCATTTTACTTAGAAAGAAACCACATGGACCTGGAATCGGACCTTAGGTATGCTTTGCAAGTATTTTATGTCAGTGCAAAAAGGAAACTACACCAAATGGAAACCTGTTTGGGTCAAATACTTGCTGTTAATAATTCTCTCGCTCTTTTGATTGTCTGCATATTGGTCTGTGAATGTTTTGTCAGATTTACTGGGATTTAAGTTTACTGTTAGTTTTATGCACATTTATGTTGACAGCATTTCCTTAGTGTTGAGTAATTATGCTCCAAATGTGGCGTGGCATATCTAGTACCTTCTGGACCCAGTACCAGCACTGGCAGTGGCTGTACCTGAATTGCTATTACACATGTTTAAGTCTTTCAAGCAGTTCTACTTGGTAGGGGTTTTTATTGGCCCCTTGTTTGCAGTTTTAGGAGCCAAAAGGGCCCATCAGATACAAAAATAATCAGCCATTTGTGAAAGTTTATTTTGATAGCACCATCTTTTTGGCAGAAAATAATAGTGCCAAGTTCCCTAACAAGCAAGTTTTAAAGTACAGAGAAGGAATCATACTAGCAGCAGAAGCCCAAGTTATAGCTTGTGGTAATGCAGCTCAGATGAGTCTTAAGGACTCTGCTGCAGCTTTTTAGATCCTAACTAGGTCAGAACATTATTTGGCCCCTGAAATGATAAGCCAGGTTCAGTAGATAAAAATAGTTACTCTAGCAGGAAATAGGCTGTATTCTGAGGGCTCCAATCAAGTTTAGAAAATCATAATTTATAGTACTCAGTGGTGTGTTGGAAACAAAATTTCTGTGTATCATTTAGGCTCAAGGAATGTCTTTCTTCACTTTTGCTAGGATTGACAGAGCAGCACAAGTAATTTCCCGGGCTGAGACAGGAAGGATGTGCCTCTGGTAACAAACCAAATAGTGCATCAACATTTAGTTAGTTTCTTCCCAGTATTGAAATTCATGTTTCGCTGACATGAGCAATATAATAGTAGAAATAACTTGGATCACTGCAGCTATTGGCTTTGCAAGTTGTAAAGGACATGAGGTTTCTGGGCTTTTGGAATCAGTTTTAATTAGTCCACCTTTGCTGTACTAACTGGCATATCCATACAGTGATTGGTGTTTCATAGAAGAGTTGGAGTCCAGATTCTTTTTCTTTTTAAAATAACTGGATTCATTACAAGTTTGAGGCTCCAAAACTGTAGTGCCTGCATTTTTCATATTAATGATTTTCACATGTCCCTGATCACTGTAAAATAAAGCCACAGTCATGGGACCATAGAGATTGTAATTGGGCCAAGGGTTCCAGAAGAGCACATACCAGTTGACTTGCCAGATGTCGTGATTTGGTCTGGATTGTTGAGGTTTGCTTATTTTTCTCCCCACTCGTCTGCAAATCAGTTTGATCCCTAGTAAATGATCAGAACTGTGATTAAAAATGTAAATGCAAGAGAAACATATTCCCAATTTGATCTCTTCTCCATTCCTGCTTCTAAGCAGCTTGTGGGACCTTCCAATACTTAGTTGCTTTCAAACAAGCCTGTGGAGAAATTATGTCAGTATGTTTATATACAGCATGTAGATAGCATATGTTTCGAGGGAGCTCAGTCTTTTTAATTTCAAGAGAAAGCAAAGCACTGGCAGAGGAGAACATTTAAAAGCTTGTCTGCTATCTTTCACTTCTGTTGATCTCTTGAAAATTTATTATGTAAGAGCAATACTATAAAATATTTCCTCTGCTGAAATTTTCATTGTTCACAATTCCATCCTTGTCTACATGTACACTTCAAAATTTGCCCTCCATTTTAAATATTTACCTTGGGAAGTTTTAAGTGGTTTATTTTAGCCAGTGAGGCCCTAACAGCTTGGGACCAGGTTCTCTCCAAGACCACCTTTTTCCATATAGTCTGCCCAGGTCATTGTAGTCTTTGGATGCGGTTCTTATGATGGTACCATGTCCTGCTGAAGTTTGGCTTCCTGGAGTTCAGAGCAGGGTCTTTTTATGTTATGACATCCACCTTGTGAAATGAGCTCCCTTGTGAAATGAGCTCCTTTTGAATTATGGTGCTGGAGGAGATTCTTGAGAGTCCCATGGACTGCAAGAAGATCAAACCTATCCATTCTTAAGGAAATCAGCCCTGAGTGCTCACTGGAAGGACAGATCGTGAAGCTGAGGCTCCAATACTTCGGCCACCTCATGAGAAGAGAAGACTCATGGAAAAGACCCTGATGTTGGGAAAGATGGAGGGCACAAGGAGAAGGGGACGACAGAGGACGAGATGGTTGGACAGTGTTCTCGCAGCTACCAGCATGAGTTTGACCAAGGCAGTGGAAGACAGGAGTGCCTGGCGTGCTCTGGTCCATGGGGTCACAAAGAGTCGGACACGACTAAACGACTAAACAACAACACCCACCTTGTGAAATGAGCTCCCTAATGTACCTTTTTGTTTACCCAGATATTTCCTGACTGCTGATACTGAATTTTTCTTTGTTGCTGAAATTATGTTTTTTTGATTAGTTGACTTTTAACTGTTACTAGTTTTATGGTTCTTCTGTGTATTGTAAACAACATTTGAGAGAAGTGGCATGCATTTGTACACACCTACACATATACATATATATAAATTGTGATTTATAGTGCTCGGTTAGCAGCAATCCATACAAATTCAGATTAGATTCATTTTTTTTAGCACATTGCAGTATTAATATGACCCACTTCGCATTTCAGAAATTAGTAGGTGTTTGCGTTTGTTGTGTATACTCCGTATCAAGAGAGAACCATATTCTTCTCATTGACTACTTGTGAGGTTCAGGGCTCCTTGTGACAATTTACACATTGTAACAAATAGCATTTGTCTGTAGGGACCTCCTCAGTATGTGTGCCTGATATTTCCATAGTGTGTCAAGTAGCTGTTTGTGTCCTGTATGCTAAAATGCTTATTTTGGCACTCTTCTGTTAAAAGCTGCAGTTTTGATCTTTGTGGTGCAAATGCAAAGACACCATTACTCAGTTGAAATCATTTTTCAGGTATTTGGCATCATTACCTTCCCACATCTGGAAAAATGACCACGTCAAGAAATTTTTCAACACTTCATCTCACTCCCAGCAATTTCAAAGTTCAAGTGAGTTTTATGATTCATTTCTCCCTATTAACAAACATGTGAATAGACATTTTACCACTCAGGCCTTGTCCAAACACCTGATCTCCTTGTTTTTAGGTCCAGGCAACACTTCCCTTTATAAAGTAGGTACGACGCTGGGTGCTTCCGGAAGGTGAGATGAATTTAGTGTATGTGTGATGTAGGGAAGCTATAGCATGCTATTCAGATTTCTGTATAATGTGAAACATTTTTCACTATCACTTTGAAAGTGACTTCACAGATTGCCCCTTCATTCTTTGTGTGGAATAAATTTGGTATTGCTGGCATTATGTCATCCTTCTGTTCTGAGCATGTTTAGATGACCCAATGATAAACTCAAAAGACATTCAGAGGTGGCATTTTACTTTGTACAGGTGCTTTATTTCAGTGGAGAGAATTAACATAGAAAATGTTTAGTTGCCTTTGAAAATCAACACATCATTTACAGTTCTGATGTAAGATTTCCCATGTATATTCTTCCATGGAAACAAATTCCTCAAAACACTTATGAGGATATAAATGCTAACTTACAACTGGCCTATGAAAAGCAGCTAAAACTCATCCCTACGTTTCTATACAAGAGGCTCATGTTGAAGTAAATATGCAGGATGGTTAGTCACTTACTGCATCTACATAATCCTCACTTCTGCTCCCTTTTCTTGGTTATGCCTGTTGGCACTGTCAGATCAGTAATTCCTTAACCTAAGCAGCTGGAGTAACTGTGGCCTTACATTCGCCAGCCCTCTGACTTTTCATTGTTATGCTGGCTCTTCAGAAAGATGGCAAACTGCATCATGGATCAAGGGGACATGCTCTAGAATGAAACGAGAATGTACAGTATTCCTGTTCTTGGTTTGATGCATAGAATAGTTTCTCCTTCTATGTTTGCAGACCTATCTGTGGCGTAGCTGGTATCCAGTCTTCACAGAATAGTCTCCAGCATCATGTGCAGCATCCGACCGCTACACCTGTTGCACTCCCCCACTGCACTCATACAGGTGGGGCTGCATCCTCACTCACTTGCCGCTCCCAGTTGGAGAACTCTTCATCAGTATTGACTCCCAGTCCTCAAACCCCCCAGGAACAAAATGGGATTTTAGACTGGCTGCGGAAACTACGCTTGCACAAGTACTACCCTGTTTTCAAACAGCTCTCAATGGAGAAGGTAGAGTCCTGGCTTGGCTAGGGGAAAACAGTTTGCGGTGTTTGTTTTGCTGTATTAATCTGTGGTATAGAGAGAGAATGCAAATTTTGGGATAGGCTTAAGACTGATTAGAAATGCTGATATGACTTCTTCAGCGATTTGGCTTTCTGGTAAAAGTCTTCATCTAATATTTAGAAGTTTCTTTGTGAAATGTTGACACACTACAAGTATTTACCCTCTAAGAAAAGCTGTTGCACATAGATCAAACATCCCTCTATGATGTCTTTTTTTTTCTGGATGCATGAGTATTTGTTCCTAGAAAGCAAAATTCCTCATGTGATCTGAGAAAGAGCGGAGTTGCTGTGCCTTGCTCAAATGAATGTCACTCTTTTTAACAGTTTTATTCACAACTCTGTTCAGATATGTTGTAAGCTAATCACGTTACTCTTGGGGTGTTTTTTTTTATAAAAAAATATATATCAGAGTGCCCTCTAGTGGATTCTTTGCTGTATTTTTTTGCTCTTAAATCTAAAGCTCCAATTTGTTTTCAAATACATCATATCGTTAATCTGTGTACAGTGCTTAGCACATGTTAGACACTTTATAAAAGATACATAATGAAATATAAATTGAATTTAATAACAGAATGGGGTATTGTTGTGGTATCTCTCTCTGCTTTTATTAGAATAATTATCAATATTAATAAGCCTGAAAATAAAGTCTGGGTTGGATGTTCTGAATCTGACATGTACCTTTAGTCTGCAAGTTGACAAATAACTACTGAATAATTTTACATAAAATTGGATGCTGAGACAACCTCAGTTCTTGAGTAGCTTGACAAAATAACAGAAATGATCAAGGGCATGCATCAGTAGCAACAGCTTAACAAAACAAATTTAAAAGCTGATTTTGCATGGAAGCCACAGTGTCCCCAAATCTGTTGCTCATCTCTATACTAGGATGCTGTTAAACACTTGTTTGTCCCTAGAGCCTTAGCTACTGTAATAACACCTCATGAAACTAATGAATATAGCTATTCTACATATTTTGCTTTAAAACTAAGCAAAATATGTAAATTAACTATATTCATTAGTTTCATAATGAAGCTTCTGTCAAGTATGCCATATTAGACAGCATTTTTAAATGCATACTATAAAATTGACTTTCCCTTTTTTCCTATCTAAGTTCCTGAGCCTTACTGAAGAAGATCTGAATAAATTTGAATCCCTTACAATGGGTGCAAAGAAGAAGCTCAAGACCCAGCTGGAGTTGGAAAAGTAGGTATTAAAGAAAACTGGCTTCTTCCATGTTATTTCAGGATCTTTTCCTCCTAATTTTTCCAGTAAAAATGCTTGCTGTGGACTTTGCCTAAGGAAAACCCAGAGGTAGAACTGGGTTAATTCAGCACTAGTTGAATTAAAACTTTCTTGCATTTATACCCCATGCATGTGTCTAGAACGATAAATCTAAAAATACCAGTAGCATATATGCAGCTAATTTTTACTCAAGGGAGACCCATTGAAATTAATAGAATAGAACCTCTTTAGTGGGCTTACTCTAAGTTAGTTGGATACCACATATACTTTAAATTAGAGAACCAATTCAGATTTAAATCCAAGTTTATTTTAATAAATTGCTTCCCACACTTCCCTTTTCATTCCAGGGAAAAGTCTGAGAAACGGACCCTCAATCCAGCTACATCTCCTTCCTTGAGCACTGGGGTGGCCAGAGTTCCTCCTACCACTCATATTGGTCCTATCCAAAGCATTCGTGGTAACCATACAGCAGGTAAACAGGCTATGAGGTTTGAATATGTATATTTCCTACACAGGGAAGATTGGCGCTTGTCTAATTCTTGTAACATACTGGATAGCAATGTAGTTCAGGATAGTCATACTTAGAAGGGTAGACCCATTGAATTAATAGACTCAAGTTAATTACTTTCCATGGATCTATTTTTGAGCCTGGCTAACAATGGCTATCAGCCAAATGTACTTGGGAGTCGCAACAGATTTTGTCTGTCTAAAGATGACTTAACAGTACCATTCACATTACTTGATTTTTCTTCTTCTCTTCCCTGCCCCCACAAGAGTTACGTGTCGATGTTGATCAGCCAACCCTCTCAACCCCCCGCGAAGGAAGCTCTTCAGAATACTCCAGCTCCTCTTCTAGCCCCATGGGAATCCATACCCGGGAGGAGAGCTCAGACAGTGCTGAGGAGAATGAGAGACGTAAGGAAAGCTGTCTCGTTGTGTTGCAGCATCTAACGCATTTAGGTGACTGGTCGTACCTGACATCTGTCTATCTTGTAGGTTTAGAGGTCCACTTGGAAGCCTCAGAAAAGGAGAAGCCAGTAATGTTATTGAATCACTTCAACTCCAGCTCAGCCAGGCCCACTGCTCAGGTTTTACCAGTGCAGAATGATGCCGTGTCCAGTCCATCCGGTCACCACACCTTGCCAGTACAGATGATAGCTGCAGGCTCCCCTCACATCACTCCAATTAGAATACTGAACTCTATGCACAAATCAGAGCGAGGGAATACAGACATGAAGCTCCTTTCGTCATCTATGCACTCGCTTTTGTCTTTAGAAGACAGGACAAAATTCTCACCTGGCACACCTCGAAGTGGCATCAAGATGGAGAAGAGCTTTGGAAGTACTGTTGTGGATGGGATGCCAGCCTCTCCCCATCAGCCCATGCAAGTGCTCTCTGGAGTTTCTGAAAATGGCTCCTCTACACCTTCAATTAACTTTGGTCCAAGGACCAAAATGGTACATGCTTCCACTCTAGACAGAGTGGTGAAAACAACCCAGCAGCCGGGAATAATAGTGGAAACAAGCACCACAGCCACTGTAACTTCCAGCACCGTCTTCCATGTGGCACGACCCCCCATAAAACTCCTGGTATCCTCTTCGGTTCCTACTGATTCAACCATTGTGGGGCAGTCTTCCTGCTCCAGTAATATGCAATTCAGTGTGTCCCCAGCAATAATAAACCCCCGGACTGCTCTCTATACAGCCAATACCAAAGTGGCCTTTTCTGCCCTGAGCAGTATGCCAGTAGCCCCAATGCCCAGCAGCAGCTTCTGTGCAAATAGCAACACTGCCTCTTCTAGCAGTCACCCCTCCACATCCTTTGCAAATATGGCAAACCTACCCAGTTGTCCTGCTCCCAGCTCCAGCCCCACACTTTCATCAGCTGCCGAGAACAATTTCTACAACAGCAGTAGTAGTGGCTCAGGAGGAAGTATCCCAGTACCAAATCAGAATCACCACCATCACCACCACCATCAGCAGCAGCCTCCTGGATGCATGGTGTGCAGTTCCTGTGGCTGTAGTGGGAACTGTGGTTCAAGCGGCATGACTGTCAGTTATGCTAATTACTTCCAGCACCCCTTTTCCGGACCGTCAGTGTTTACTTTCCCATTTCTGCCCTTCAATCCACTGTGCAGCAGTGGCTACATCAACACACAGCAGTACAACAGCAGCTCGGCGTTCCCTATGGTTCACTCTCCTTACAACAGTGGCATAACACCAGACTCTGTCATGAGTGGGCAGTCTACGTTTGCAGTGCCACCAATGCAAAGCTTTATGGCAAGTACAGCAGGGGTGTACCAAGCACAGGGGATGATGAGCAACAACAGTGGTACAGGCCATAAAAAGAATGGGAATCTGTCCTGTTACAATTGTGGAGCCAGTGGTCACCGAGCTCAAGACTGCAAGCAGCCACCAATGGATTTCAATCGACAAGGTTAGGAACATTATTGGCTTGCCAGAAGTGCAGTTGGTAGATTGCTCAGAATACAGGTTTGGCTGCTTGGGGAAAGGGGGTGGTAGATAAAGGAAAATCTGAAAATGGTCAGTAATTTAAAGTGATGGCAAGTCTGAGCATGTACAAGTGGAATCCACTGTAGGTCTCACACTTTGCCAATAGTTTGTACTCTTGTGGATGAGCAGTAGCCCTCTGAAGCAAACCTGAGAGAACCAAAGTACAGGAGTGGTAAAATGTTGCTCTGCCATGAGCATGCAGAGCCAAGATAGTTTTGTGGGGTAATAAGGGGTTGGTTTCTTGTGGTAATAAGCTTTGAGATTGCTCACGCTCAAAACTGGTATCCATGGTGCTCTTGCCTTATTTCACATCTACTGCTAATATGTTCATTCCTTATCTATGAACAGCATGGTGCTCAACTGTGTGATGTGTCATTGCTTGTGAAATGTAGACTTCACAAAAGTCTTACACTTGCTGACTTGTATTTCTCTTCTCCATGCAGGTACATTTCGGTTAAAATATGCTCCACCAGCTGAAAGTTTAGATTCCACAGATTGACAGTAACTCCATGGACTTCATTTTTTTGTGTTGGCAAAAGCCCATGGAGTAATTACAGAATTTCAAATTGGAATCTGAGAAGTCCACTTGTTGAGCTTATTAACATTATTTTTTTAATCCAAAGGTGCTCTACTTCACTACACTAGGAAGAAACTGAAGCTTAGGGGTTCATCAAACCCATTTTTACTGATTTGCCAAAATTATAACATGGATCTTAAATGTTGGACCTTCCAGATGGGAGGTGAAACTGGCCAACTACCCTTTTTTGTTGTAAACAAACTCCTGCACTTTTGCTGAAGAATGTTGCCATACTTTGATCTTCTGTGCTGGAAACTCGAACTCCCGGGCAGCTATGTTGTAATCTGGAGTGAGAGCTAGAGGTTGACGGTACAGTAGCCATTTGCCTGCTGGACTCTGACATTTGAGGCTAGGTAAACATGTCTACTTTTTCTCAAAAACTAATCAGGCACTACACTCTGGGATTTTAAAGGATTGCACTACAGAAGAATGTATAATTCTATCTGCACTTTTAGCAGACTGAGATCAGTGCGAGAGACGTTCCAATGGTTGGAAATAGGCACCAGCAGGCTATGTGAACTTCTAATAAAGAAATCTTAACCCTCCCTCTCTTCCAAAAGAACAAAGGTAGACGTTTCAGTTCATTCTAGAAATGGTTATGCTATGCTTGTCGGCATTTATTTGTCAGTCATGGATTAAACTTACGTTTCCAAGGGTCTAGTGCCAGAGACTGAGCTCAAACAGGTCTTTAAAAAAATACTTTTCCTCTACAACTTTCAAATCTTACCATATATTAGTTTCTGCCACAGGAAACAGTACTCTACCTTTGAAACAGAGTTTTAAAACACAGACTCCTGCAGCAGAGTTTGCAAATTGTTGCTTTACTTTGCGTAGCAAAAGTCTTTCTACAAGGGCTCTTGCTTACAGGATATAGAAGTCACAAAGTAAGAAACAGCTGTAATATCTTAACCACAACTCGGGTTTGTAGTCTGCCTCCTTTATTTGAAATATGTAGAGTATTGGCTTTGATGTTAACTAGTTAGAATTCTTTTCCACTAAAGCCAGCAAAGCTCAGAACTGAAACATTGTAGACCTACCTGGTCAAAAGGAGGCATACCTTTTTGTATTCATGCTGAATTGGTTGTAGCTATCTTCTTTCATTGATAGGGCTGAAGTTTAAACTGCCCCACATAGGACATTTTAGTGGCTGTGCACAATATGTTACTATGGAGGTGGCAAATGAGTATTTCTGCTTGAAAGTATTGTATGGTTGAAGGTGCAGGGAGGTGGGGTTGGCTGTATCACTGCACTGCATATCCATGAGGTAGTAAAACAGTGGATCTTGTGGAAATAATGGTAGGATTGACAGAAAACCAGGTACTCCACTATTGTTTTCTATATCATCAGAGATAAGCTCTATTATCCTTACCTGTTGCCTTTAAAAACAAACTGGTGTATTCTCTTGGGTGTAGGCATTCAGTGGGTTTTGCATATTCAACTCTGGGAGAAGCTTAGCATGAGCTTCCTGTCATTTCTCAGCTTCATAGAGACCAAGTCCAAAGTTGTAAAAACACATGGTTTGTAGCAGCCCTACATCCAACTTCAGTTATTTCTATGCAATGAAGTGCTAGACTTTCATATCCTCAGTTTGGCTTTACCAAAACAGTATTACATATAGGGTTAGATCCAGCCCACAATATTTAATTATGCGTGTAATGACTGAACTTCTGAGACGGCTAATAGAGGTGGATACCATTAGGAAACTTGTAAAACTACCAGAGGTAATGAGAACTGACAGAGCAATTTACTTTGCCTTAATGACCCTGATTGACATCAGCAGAAACATGCCACTCTGTACTAAATCTGTCAGTTATTGTTTACTCTTAAAAGTTGGGAGCCTTTCCATTGGCCCAAAATGTGCCAAAAGCCAAATGTATCAGTTCTTAAACAGAAATAACCCAACACCATACAAACTTTCCAGGATCAACAGAAAGCCTTTATCAGGCATTTAAATTGGAAAGTTTCTAGAAACATGGCCCCATGAGCGGTATGATGTTCAGAAATATAGTTTCCATTCATATAAAAAGAAAGCTGTCTCAGCTAGCTGTTGGGCTGTCAAACAAAACTTTTTAACTTAACTAGTGGACAAGTGGAATTACCAGGGGAAAGCTTTGGAGAGCCAATTGCCTTGTTCGTTTCTAAAGGTAAACTGAGACATACAAAGGCAAGCCTACATAGTGACTTAATTTTATTAAAGCTGTTCTCTACTATTTCATCCACAAAGTGGCTGCCAATGTTTCATACAGGCAGAGGACTTTGAAGCAAGACTCAAGTGCAAGAGGAATGGACACTAGCTGCATAGATCATAGTTTGGCTGAAACTTTACACCAGAGAATGTAACTTGCGTCATGAAGAGAGCATAAAACAGAACCATCAAAAGCCCTTGTCTGTATGAAACAAACTATGTACTAAAAACTGGCATGGCAAACTGCTGGAGAATTGCTATTTGCAAATAACTAAGGTTTCAACTCGGCATGACTTAATGGGAAATTTCTCGAGCAGTATGCGGGTCCATGCCTGAACAAAGAAGGGTCTTTCTTAATTATGTCAAACCCTTTTTTTCATGCCAGCCTAGAATTCTGTTAGAGACACCCAGATAAAAGGCAAGTTATTCAATGGGTACAATACCATTTTATGGGAAAAGCCCTAAACTGAGGCCAACTTAATTATTTTAAGGTGGGAGGGAAGGGTGGGTATTTTGTTTTGCTTCTGAATAGACACTTAAGCTGCTTTACTTAGATATGGCCAAAGGCAGAATTAAAATAGTAATTCAGAAAGCAACAAATATTCAAACAATTTTTACTCTTCCAACTACCTTTGGAACTATTTCTGCATACTAACATATTATAAACATAGGAAGAGCCTATGTCTTGCAGCACAGGTTAACATCTTTCTTTTCAGAAATAACTTTCCATTAGGAATGAAGGAAACACCTCTGCCCATTTCGAGCCATTTCTTTTACATTATATTACAAATGTGCATGTAACTTTATATAAATATTAAAAGTTTTGTAAATATTTAATATCCACCTAATTTGATTTTGAATTGTAAATGTCAAGTATTCTGGTATTTGAATTTTTATGTTTTATTATACTTTGTTAAAGGTAAAATTGTACATTTTTAGAATGTTTTTATCTGAGTAAATTTAATGTACTGAACAAAAATTAAAGACTATAGTAGTGTCTTTTCAGACATCCTCACTTTTAATATTTTTTTTTCCATTTTCAGTGGGAGGCTAAAGAAAACTTACTGCAAGCGCAGCAGGTTCAACCAAAGGCTAACATAAACATGCATTGTCTCAAATGTGGCAGCTGTAGACAGGTACTGCAGAGCTATCCAACAGCATTATCTGCAAGTTGTCCATTTTAGGTAGGTGCTCTGAAGGGTACAGAAAAGCCACACTGCAGCCTGGGATATCAGTTTCTTCCGTCAGGAGCTTTTCCATGTTCTCATACAGGTACTTAATTCTCAGTTTCATTTGGAATCCAGTATCTTGCCCACACTCAGAACGCAGGCAGTGTTGTTTTTCATAGCTCAAGCATCCTCACAAGTGTCATTAGTATGGCCACAGAATCTCCTACTTTTGTGACAATGTTCTATTCTGCAACAGTAAAGGAATCTGAGCCAAAGTTGTAGGAGGCTGAAGGCTTTTGTTCAATTCTGTCTACTGCTCTTCATATACAGCATTAAGATCGTTTTAAAATGGACTTGTATATAAGCTTAACTTCTAATCAAGTTGAGATGGAATCATCCATTTCAGCACTTTAAAAAACAAAAGAAAAATCAACATTTATACAAGAGCAGCCATTAGCCCATTGTAAGGATGGCTGTCTTATGAAGAAATAGTAACTGAACAGAAGACTTTAAAATTTTACAGTGAAGTAAAAGCTCACAGTGAACTTGTTAGAAGCAAGCATTGAACAGATGCATGCAAAGGTAGAAACTGCATGTCATATTGATATTTTACAGCATGTCAAGATTTAGCCTCTTTTCTCCACATAATAAAAATTTGTTTGCTATAACATATAATTAAATTCACATGCATTAATATACAAGGATAAGTCTTAGCTTACTACATTTCACTGTATAACAAATGGGGAAGCAGGACACTATCTGAATTACTTTCCTTTTGCACAGGACATACCCTGTTTACTGCAAAATTTAATTCCCTATGCAACTGACTGGAAGCAGTGATCAAACTTCTTTGCAACTTTAGATACTGCCCAGTCTAAAACAAAGGGAAATTCTTTTTGAGTTTTGATAGTTTGAAATGCAGCTAAAGGAAACAAGGGCTTTCTGCCAACGAGGAAATACAAAAATGTTCTTCATGTATTCCAATGAAAATCAAGAACTTGGGTAGCGAGGTTAATATGCTAAATATAAAGAAACATCAACAGCTGTGAGGCTTGCCAATGTTTACTGTATTACTTTGGCAATTGGCTAACCTCAAAACCCTGCTACCTCCCAATGCTTTCTGACTGACAAAATGAAGTCCTCTTTGCCAAGGGTTTGGGTTGATTTAATTAGAATAAATTTAACAAGGTGTAGAACAGAATACCAAACTCTGGGTAGACTGAAGCTTTTCTTTGACAACAGTTATGTATATATTTCCTAAAACTAGCATAAAGCTGTGATGTTTGGTATATAACAATAATTAGCAATCTGATGTTTTGCCTTCTAAAGTAACAGTACCAATGAATTAATGCCCACCCCTTTCATCACATGCACTGATCTATCAAAAAAGGTTAAAAGAAACAGACCATTACTCCTATTTGTTCCCTTTCTTAAAAAGCAGTTTTCAGGAGCTGAAACATGACTTAACATTATGAGATGTCACACGCAAGTATTTCAGTTTGCTGCTAAATGCTAGCCCATTTTCTATGATTAATGCAAACATCCCTTTTATTGGCAACTTAACACACACACACATACAGTATAGTTTAAAATTCCAGAGGCTTAAAGCAAATGTGCCTGTGCAAATTTTATAGCAGGTCTACAAAGCTGCGCTGCTTGTCTATACTGGCACTCATCTGTTCAATATTCACAAATAAAACAGTACGGTGAGAACACCCGCTAAGCACAACTACTGTGAGCAGGTTGGTGACATCCCTTTGTTTTTTCCTGTGGGAGGGAGGGGTAAAAACTATCCTAGGCTACAAGCCACTGGGGATGGTTTACACAGATTTCATTCCAAATGTTTCCTGAGAGGCATACACCATGTACAGGAATCCGTCCTCGTCCTTTTCACTTTCATACACCTCCGAAATTGGCGTTGAAACGCTCACCATGCTGTGTCCATTCACCAGTAAGAAGAAAGCTTGATTGGAATTCAGCTGCAGCCGACGCCTAGAAGACAGGAAACTGAATGGACACTTCCCTTGGAACATGGCTAACAATTTTAAATGCAGAAGCAAAATACAAAAAAAGAACTGCCTTTAGAAATTCCAGGTTTAGCAACAGTCTCCTCCTTTGCCACATCCAAGAATCACATGAATACCAGAAAGCATGTGTGATTAGAGCACTTCTGAAGGCAGCCTCCTCACCCAAGCAACATCAGAGGGGAGGGACTTGCAACTACACTGATCTTATAAAGCCTCAAGTGAGACACTAAGGCCTGCTGTGTTGCCTAAGAGGAAGGACAACACTGCTAGAGATAATGTGCATGTTAGGTTGTTGCTTTTAGATGCTAACCACCCATTTTAACCATTTCAATGGACCACAGAGCACATCAGTGCCAGCTACAGCAAGGAGTTTACTCAGTACCCGGCATCACACTCCAGAATTATAAAGAGGCCATATAATCAAGTTCCCTTTCTGTGAAGAGTTACCAATAGAGACGGAAAGCTGTGTCAGCATAATTCCTGTTACGATCAAGCATCGGCAAATATGCTTGCCATGCAGAGTGTGGCACCGCTCCGTATCAAGCAACCATCCTAACTTTGAAGTTGCAGAGGTGGGCAGGAATTGTCTGCTGAAGATCTCTGCCACCTTCCAAGTTGGGTGGAAAACTGGCATCTGCATGGCAAAGGCAGACCTGAAGAGCCTTGGCTCTAACAGAACCAACACAGCATCCCTCCCCCCACCAAAAAAACCACCTAGCCTCTTTCCTGCTCCTACCACTTCCTAGAGGCATACAGAACAACTACAGGCAGTGGCACTGAACAAAACATTCTCCACTCAACCTCAGCGAAGTTGTGGCACCTTCAGGCAATGGACCCCAACCATGCACACTCCCTGCCAGGCTTTTCTGTAGGAAGGAGGGAGGCTTAGCAAGACCAGTTTTTTTTTTCTTTGCTAACAAGTAGGTCAAACACTCTGGACCTTTGTTGTGATTGTTACTTGACTTTTTAAAAAAAAACTCACTTGGGAAACCCTTTATAGCACAAGCTACTGTCCTGAATGAGAGACCTTTCAGTAAAGCAGGTAGGTTAGATACCTGATAATCTTGATCAGCTCACTCATGTTGACATGATCTGGGACCAGAAACTTTGTTTTATCCAGAATGGGAAGTTGCTTTTCTCCTTTATACCTTTCAATGATTACCTGGAGGAAAATGGTAAAGTTAGGACTTATAATTTAGGACTTTTCAGTATGGTGAGCCACAGGCATATTCTTGCTAGATACCTATGGGTTTGTTTAATGCAATTCTACTTTGTACTACAGTGGTTTATAATTTTATTATTTCTATCATTTTATTGTATGCTACCTTGCATTTTTAATGAGGCTCAGCATTGAAATTCTTAAACCCAGTCACCTGAATTGAGCTGTGAAAAGGAGCTGCAATACAGAAGACCCCAGCCTTGTGGGGAGAACTAATTCCGTTCCTGGCACAGGTTTGCAGTGAAAGGCTAGCGTGCCCTCCTCCCCACCTGTCACCCCAATTTCAGCCCCTTCTCTTCTCCATTCAGTTATGCATAAACAGGGCAAGAGGACAACAATCAGGAAAACCTAGGAGCAGCAAACAATTGAAATCTGTTATGTAAAATGAAATGGAGGGAGAAAATAAAAATCTTAACTAGGGCAAATATCTTTGCAGCCTCTAGTATGGATGATTTCACTGCTAGTCCCCAAAGTGCACGTGTTGCCACTACCTACCAGGGTATGTCCCTGATTTAAGTCTCACCAAATGACAGACAATTGAGTTGAAAGTCTACTCACTGGTATCTTTGTAGGATGCTGCTCTCGAATAAGTCTGACATCTTCTACTCTTTGTTCTACAGGGGAGAAAAAGAAAGTTGTACTTAAATGCTTGAAGAGGCAGTGTTGTCAGATATATAATATCTACACAGAACAACCTGTTATATTGGTGTTCCATTGCCCTGGAAGAGAAGCACACACAGAGGCAGCAGTTTGTAGGAAGGGTAGGATATAAATCAAATAAATCATAAGCAGAATAAGAGGCGCTTAAACCACACCCACATTAGTATACCCAAGCTGCTAGCATTAGAAGCAAGGTTAACTGGCAGTCTTTCTAGATCAGGGTGGGAATGCAACTCTCGCGCTGCTGAAAATTCATGCAGGGAATGAAGAAGCTACAGTGGAAAGGGGGAGGCACAAGAGAAAAAGGGGTACTTGCCCACTTTTGACTGTAGCCCCACAAATGAAGCTGCTAACTGATGCCACCCCCCACCATACCTGTGTGCTAGTAGAAATTCTGCAGCACACTTTATTAACAGGAAGGGTGGGGACAACTTAAGACAAACTGGGGGGGGGGGGAGGAGAGAAAATGCCATCTGAAAAATAAAGAAGCATAACCCTTCATAGTGAAAAGTTAAAGCAGGCAAGTTAAGTTGAAGAAAAAGAAAAAAGTTGAGTTTAGTTGGTTTAAAGGCACAGAGTAGTACAACAAATCTGCTAAGGCTGAAGTAGTTCTAAATCTGAGAGCATTTGGGAAGCCCAAGGACCCAGTCTGAGGGCCATGGGAAAGGAGCAAACACAACAAAGAGTCTTATCGCATAAGACTAGACTAGAGCCCACTTCACAGCTTATGTCATAATTAAATGTTAGTTTTAAGGCGCTACAAGACTCTTTGTTTTTACTGCTAAAAGGACTAGAAGTTAGTGAGAAAACATGGCTATCCCCTTGAGGAAAAGTGCTCTATGTAAATTAAAAGTATAAAATATTAATTTCATCAAAGCATTTTAAATATATCTTATAGTTATTGCATTCTTAAAGCTAAAGAGCTTCCACTAGGTTTCCCCACCCCCAGCCTAGAGGACGGTTGGTGTCCAAAACTCCTTTGCAAAGAAAAACAAACAGCTAGAACGACCTTTACTTTCGTTTTCAGCGGCACAGCAGCAAAACAAAGCCTCAATTCTTTTTCCACTCCAACATGCAAGCAGGAAAACCAGTTTAAGCAGAACAAAAACAGTAACAACAAAAGCAACAGCCTGAGTCTTCCTGTATTTCTTTTTTAAGTGATAGTAATAACTAAGGGACATTTACAGTAGAACCTAACTAGGGCTTGTTACATCAGGATTTTTGGATCATATTACGAAGCTGAAACTTGGTGGACTTGGCTGGAAGGCTAGCTAATTCACAAGCCTTTGCTACAGCCAATATTTGTTATTTAATCTGTCACTAACTCCTGAGAGGTGGAGGTAATTGCCCAACGTTGTTCCCAAAACTTCCTGCTTCAGTCTGGAGGTCACCCTCTGTTTTGGTCATCAACAGTATTAGGAAAATTGCAGCCCAATGATTCAACATTACCCTCTGCTTCCTCACATAACAACAAACTGACACAGCAGATCGGAGACAAACAAATCCATGGAATCCAAACAGTTGAACTGCTTAAAGTTGTGCAGGCAATACCCAGGAAAGAATAGGGAAGGGGATCCGTCATAAGTACTGAATACTTTCACATTGCTAAGGGATAAAGCCTGGGAATGAAACTACAAACACATGCAGCATCCAGACAAGAAGTTCTACACTACAGCATCCAGCATATACGGTAATCTGGCCTTCTCACATTCAAAATACAATATACTCAAGATAAACAGCACCATCTCCAGTGTTTTGACAACTGATCAACAAAGGGTAGGCCCCACCACCCTCTAAGTGCTGGGGGTGAGGGGAAAGGGGTGCTACAGCAGAGTGCAGAGCAGGCACGATGCCAGGCAGGGAAAGAGGCTGGCACCGGGGGGGGGGGGCTGTTTACTCCTCTGGCTCTTGAGCTCCACGGAAGCCGGCAGAGCCGTCAACAGGCCCTGCATTCGCCTCAAACACAACACCTCAGGCCCCTCCAACCCCGGCCTCCAACCACCAACAGTCATCCTCAGGGCTAGCCTTCAATCCTTAAGGGGTTTCAAAGGGGGGGGGGAGTAATGCAAGGGGGTCCTCCTTACACTCCCAATTGGGGGGGGGGGGAATAACAGTCATGGTGCGTGGTGAATCACTCTGCCCAAGATCCAGATCTAGGAGATGGGGAGAAAGGGGCTTACTATATTAAAGGGGGAGGATACGACTGTGCCACCAACCCATAAACCCGCCCCCCATGGCCGACGGAGAGTGCGATTATAGGCCAAGCACCTTCTCAAGGACCTCCGTGAAGGAATAAGGGGAGAAGCCTCATTTCCCACCCCACCCCCAAAAAAGGGAGGGGGTGTTTTGCCTTTTCCTCAGCTCTTCTTCCCTTGCCCCAGCGAGACTCACTCACCCTCTCCCCACCGCCACACATATAGCACACATAGCGCCCGCCGCCACGTTCATGGACCATGTCCCCAGCTCTTCACCGTTCCCTACTTCTGAGTATCCCCCCTCCAGTCACCAAGCTCCCCCCCCCACTCAAGTCCACCTCGCAGGTGTTCCCTTGGCCACCCCACTTGATGTGGTGCGTTTCTCCCCAACGCCCCCCCCGACTCAGTAACAGCCCCCTCTTGCCCCCCCCCCCGAGGGGCTAACGCACAGGCCCTTCCCCCACCGAAAGTGCGTCGCTGCTTGAAGCTCTTTTCCGAGGGCATCGCGGCGGCGGCGGCGACTGGCTCCTCCTCCACCTCCTTCGACTCTCTCCCCTCTCAGCGGCGCGGACCATCCACACCAAAACCCTCGTCCGCGATCAGCTGACCGACGAAGCCCCGCCTCTCCCGAGCTGATTGCGTCACAGGGAGGGAGGGACAGACGGACGAAGGAAGGAAAAGCGAGAGGCCGGGCATTCGTAGGCTTCGCCGCGCGGTAGTGCGCGTGCGTAGCGACGGAAGCCCGACGCCTCAAGCAAGGAAGAGGAGAGGAGAAGGAGGGGAGTCGACGTTGGTGATGCGAGCGCCTGCGCAGGCGAAACGAGCCGCGGGCGGGGGAGTCAGAAGCTGAGCCTGCCGCAGGGCGGCGCCAAAACAGTGACTTCATCGCGCACAAACGCAGCCCCGCCCATCGCCATGGTTACCATGTCACCCTCCCCGGAGAAGGCCTCTGGTTTGGTTTTGCCGCAATTTCCATATTAAAGAAAGAAGTTCCCCTCATCTCACGATCAAGCACCTGGGGCGGAATCTGATCTCACAAATAAAGATCTGGCGCGCATCAAGTAATACTAGAGAGCGGCGGGGGGGGGGTATTCTGAACATATGCAAAACACTTTCCTCCCCGTCTCCAATGTGCAATTGGAAAGCTCACAAACAGGACCTGATAGCATTGCCCTCTCCTATGTTATTTCTCTGTAACTGGTATTCAGATGCATGGCACCTCTAATCCTGGGGGTATCATGGATATCCTTCCCTTAATTTGCCTAATCTCTTTTCAAAACCATCTATCTGAGGCCATTATCACATTTTATGGGCACAAATGCCATTGTTTATGTGTTGTGTTGTGTGAAGAAATAGTTCCTTTTGTTTGCTCTAAATCTCCCACCATTCAGCTTTATTGGATGATTCCAGGTTCTAGTATTATGGGGGGGGGGACATACCTTCCATAATAATTCTTTTCATATTTAAGGTGACACAACCTTAAATATTTTTCTAGTGCTTTGCTTCTAGAAAAAAGGTGCAGGTACTGTGTACCCTCTGAGTACCACCAGAAAAAAACACTGTTTCTCTCTCTAACTTGTCTCTGTTATTGCATTTGTGGCCAAGAAAGGAATGCCAAATCCATTGCAAGATGCTCTGACTGTGTTCTACAATAGCAGATCAGCAGACATTTAATTACTGATTACTCAAAGCCAAGTATTTCCTGTAACTGCATAAGCCTAACATTATAAGGACACTTACAAGTGTGATATCCTTGAACTCTAATAAGACATGTCATACATTTTTTTCAGAAGAAGAACTTGTTTTGTTTTTTCCCTTTCCCAGCCACGTGGATCTTATTGGCTATGACTAGTTTGAAGGACTGGTCTGCTCAAAACAACACTGGAAAAGGAACTGGCATAGTTGTTTGACAGAGTCTTTATACTCTGAAGTCGGATGTCAATTTCAGAGGAACTTCCAGTATGCAGCTGAAACAGAACAAAGAGGCAGTTTGACAGACAGCTGTGGGACTTCTGCTTGCCAAACTCTGATCCCAGAGACAAAAACAAATTAATAATATATCTCCAACAACAGATAAGTGACATAAAGCTTTATTGAATTCCAGAGCCATCTGGTTGGCCACTGGAAAACGAGATGCTGGGCTTTGATCTGATGTGTGTTTGGGTAACTGTTGGACCCATACACCTGGCAAGGTTCACTGGGGCTTAATAATAATAATAATAAATTTTTATTTATATCCCGCCCTCCCCAGCCGAAGCTGGGCTCAGGGCGGCTAACAACAGGCTTGATGCCTGCCCTGCCTTCCCTGCTGCAGTAAGTGCCACTGAGCCTACCACCACCACCAATCACTCCCCCACAGTCCCCAGATGCCAGCTGGCTCTATTAATGTTTGAAGTTTCACTCTCACCACATCAATCATCTGTTAGGTGGTATGAAAGAAGAGGTGACGGGGCGCATAGCAGGTGACTGACCCTGAATGCAGGTTGCCAGTGCTACATAACTCCACTCCCAGTGAGGCTTCCTTGGACCCAGAACCAGCCTGTCCTCCCCATGCCTAAGTTTGTTCGGGTTACATATACAGTAAAAGGAGGCGCTAAACTAGTACTGTATGGGGCCATGTAGGCAAGGAACTGAGCACCCATTCTATTAATAGGCTTTTATTTTTATCATAATAAAAGTAAATAATAATAATAATAATAATAATAATAATCTATTATTTATACCCCACCCATTTGGCTCGGTTTCCCAGCTGCTCTGGGTGGCTCCCGACAGAATAATGATGATGGTGATGGTGATGCAATAAAACATCAAACATGAAAAACTTCCCTTTGGAACACTGCTCCTAGGTAATTCAGACAAGCACCTACAATTGTGATATTTCATTGCCTGCTGAAAACATTATGTTTTGCCAAGCATTTTTAGATAATTAAGGGACACGGGTGGCGCTGTGGGTTGAACCAATTTGATTCATTGTTGGTCTTTCAATCTGTATTTTATAATTTTGTTACATTTTATTGTATTCCACTGTGATTTTTTAAAAATTAGTTGGCTCTTTATAAACTTTTTAATAAATAAAAATAACAGAAAAACCTCCAGCACATTGATAGTTATACATTGATGCAAACTACTGTACAGTGTTCAATCTCTCTTGGTTAAATGTATTCCTTTGTATGATTTGAGAAACTGAGCACCCATTTCAGACAGGCCTGAGAAGCAGGAGGCTGTGAGTTTATAGAAACCTCTCTAGTTTGCACTGAGCTTAGTTTTGTCTCAGAATGAAGTCCCATATTACAGATGGGTAAGCAAGTAATGATGAGTAAAGCTACCATCCAAGAGAATGAGTGTGATTATGACTGTCTCCCATGTGGTAAATTTTTAAAGGATATTGATTTTTTAAATGCTTTGACTCAGAGCCATTGGCTTGTGGATTGCTGGCTGCTTGTGCAACTAGATAATATCAGCAACCTTGCAGTGCAATTTTACTCAGAAGTAAGTCCTACTGAATTCAGTGCAACATACTTTCAGGTAAATGTGCATAGGATTGCAGTGTTAGATATTTCCAATGTTGTACTCCTTTGCACTGATACCTAGGAGCAAGCACCCTGGATTACATTAGGACCTACTTCTGAGTATACAGTCATATAGAACCACACTGTATAATATTGTTGCCTGCCACTCAAATGTGCAGCCCTGGATTCAAACAGACAATAGCCATGGCTCTGCGTGTTGCTTAGCATCTTGCTCACATAACTGCTAACTCTCTCTTAGCTGTGTGGCTTTATCTGTAGGGGGAGGGAGAGGCCTCATTCATTTGCCTTTTTAGACAGAGTTCTGTGGTCCTTTGTTGTTCTTAAGGGCACATCCCCAGGCTATCCCCTCATGAGGAAGTTGTTGTTGTTGTTTAGTCGTGTCCTACTCTTCACTCTTCGTGACCCCATGGACCAGAGCACGCCAGGCACTCCTGTCTTCCACTGTCAAACTCATGTTTGTAGCTTCGAGAACACTGTCCAACCATCTCGTCCTCTGTCATCCCCTTCTCCTTGTGCCCTCAATCTTTCCCAACATCAGGGTCTTTTCCAGGGAGTCTTCTCTTCTCATGAGGTGGCCAAAGTATTGGAGCCTCAGCTTCACAATCTGTCCTTCCACTGAGCATTCAGGGCTGATTTCCTTAAGAATGGAGAGGTTTGATCTTCTTGCAGTCCATGGGACTCTCAAGAGTCTTCTCCAGCACCATAATTCAAAAGCATCAGTTCTTTGGCGATCAGCCTTCTTTATGGTCCAGCTCTCACTTCCATACATCACTACTGGGAAAACCATAGATGTAACTATACAGACCTTTGTTGGCAGTGATCCCCTTCATGGATCACTGCCTTGCCGTGGTGATGGGGCTTGAATAACTCAGAGAAGCTATGAGCTATGCCGTGCAGGGCCACCCAAGATGGACAGGTCATAGTGGAGAGTTTTGACCAAACGTGATCCACCTAGAGCAGGAACCAGCAAGCCACTCCAGTATCCCTGCCAAGAAAACTCCATGGACGAAGACAACAGGCATGAGGAAGTTAGCCTTGCTTAATTAGTTTTTAACACTTGCTGATTCAAAGTATTGTCTACCACACAGCTTAATACACATGGATCTGGCGTAATATGCATGAGTCCTGGTTTTAACACTCCAAGCATTGATTAATTTCTAACACTAGTTTATTCAAGAGATTATAATGGTCTAGCACCCACAAACTCATAACAATATCTCTGATAGGACACCTGCGCCTTGAACCTTAATAAATGACTGCTGCTTGTTTAATTTTGTGTCAGATATAGACAGACAGACAGATGATAGAGATACAGTTATATATCAGAGATTAGATATATATCTATATAGTTTATTTTGTTTGTGTGTGTTTACATACATACACACACACACACACACACACACACACACACACACACTCCTTGCATTATTTATCGTGGTGTGCTGGTTCTTCCCAGAGGAAACCTGTTAGAATTGTACCGCACCAAGCTAGTCAATTTTTGAAAAGTCTTATAACTAATCTTTCTAAAGTGGAGGGTTTTTTTAAAAAAAGAAAAAATATATTATTTATATGCAGATATATATTATAAATATAAACTTTTATAATTTATCATTGAGCCATGTCGCCATGTAAGAAGAAAATGGTGATTATTTGCCTGGTCAGGGATTTCGTAACGGTTTTCAAACCACAAAGTTATTTGCAATGACAACTGTTTTGTAGTGTAGAGCTGTGAATCCGGATGCCGCTTTTACATGCCTTGGAGTTTCGGGGGAGAGGTTTGACGAAATCCATACGAGCTACGCAAGGATTAAAACTCACCCATATTTTATTTTTTTGCTGGTGGCTATCAAGAAGGTTCTGCCGAGCCACTTTTCGCAGGAGCCTCGTTGGCGCAGTAGGCAGCGCGTCAGTCTCATAATCTGAAGGTCGTGAGTTCGAGCCTCACACGGGGCAAGCCTATTTTTTTATTCTCCTTTTATTTCTGCCCCGTAACAGCTACTCGTTCAGTTTACCGTTAGCCACCAATGCTGGGGGATTCGCGGGTGGCAAACGCTGCCGTCCATTCATGGTAAGAAGTAACTATGGAGGAGAGTCGTAAAAAGAAGAAGAATGCGACATTTTAACTGTTGCCTCTATATTGCCCCACCCCTTGTAGCGCGCAACTGCAAAGGAGAATTTACTGTTCCACGAAGACAACAAGCACACATATCCTTAGCACGGATGCTTAACTGTGATTCCTGCTCCTCCCGATCAAATAAATGAATAAAAATACTTAACAGAGGTTCTGCCCCGCTACGCCCATCCTTCCAACTCGACAATTCGATGCGCCTATGATTCTATGTATACGATGTGGCGCAAAGGTGTAGAGTAGCCTGCACTGGGGGTGTGCCATTTTGCGTAGAAAGAGTTCACAAGGCGATGCTACTCGGACATCAACTTACTTAACCATGCTCTGGATTTAGGTAATTGCAGAAATATTAACTCCGAGTTTATTTTTAATTCCACCTCCCCCCGCCCTTCAACCATTTGGCCATCTTTTCCGCTTCAAAAACAGGCTAGCACTGGATCACTAAATGAAAGGTTTTAATGATCCAAAGTCGATTATTTACAGGGCCTTCTCTCCCTCTCGGCTTTTTCACTTTCTGCCTCTCGGGCAAAAAAAACCAAAAAAACTCCATTGATAATAAGAACAGGACTAGCCGTATGAGTAAACAAAGAAGGCGGAGCTACAAGGCCAAAGAGGCGGGGCTTTTCGATCCCTTCTTGCGGGCGTATTCTGCAGTGCATCTATCACGGCCGGGTGGGCGTAGCCAGGCGGGCCTGCGTTTCATCCAATAGCAGCTCGGGAGGGCGTGGCCACGTTGACAGCCAACAACCGAGTAGGGAGGCTGAGGGAAAGGGAAAAGGGCCGGGACGGCCTTGTCCGGGCTGGAGCCTGAAGGATAGGGAAGAACGCGGCCCTGATTGGCGAAAGGCCCCAGCCAATGAGGGCGCGGGGAGGGCGCGCTTGATTGGCGGAGGACTGCAGGCCACGGGGCGGATCCCGCCTGCGATTGGCTGGGAGGCGGGGCCCGACGCGTGCCGGCGACCCCGACTGTCAGCGCGAGCGAGGAGAAAGCGCAGCTGAGGCGCTCGCCCCGTTGGTCCGTCATGGCGGTCTGCGCTCGGCTTTGCGGCGTGGGCCCGGCGCGGGGCTGCCGGCGGCGGGGGGCTCAGCAAAAGGGGGCGGCGGGCGACAGCAGCGAGCCAGACACGGACCCTGAGGAGGGAGGCGGCGGCGGCTGCGGGGAGGCGGCGGCGGCGGAGGACGACGACGCTGCCGAGGAGCGCATCGAGGGGGCGGCCTTGGCCGAGAGCAGCCCTCGCAGCCGGGCTCCGCTCTCGCTCCTCGACCTCCCACCGGAGCTGCTGGTGCAGATATTCGGCTCGTTGCCCGGCACCGACCTGCCCAACCTGGCCCTCGTCTGCAGCGCCTTCAGGCGCATCCTCCGCACCGACACCATCTGGCGCCGGAGGTGCAAGGAAGGTGAGCTTCCCTCCGTGTGTAGGTAGCAACCCGCTCCCATTTCTGAGGCGACCCGAATCCTCGCTTCCCATCTCTCCCCCCCCCCAATATAGCACAGGAGTAGAAGGGGAGCTTTGTCCATGCCCACAGACAGATGCGCAGACCTCTGCAAGGCTTGGTATGAAGAAGTTTAAGGTGGGAGGAGGAAGCAGTAATGAAGAGAGCTGATTTGGGTGGAGGAGCTGCAGAAGGGGTGCAGGTTAAAGGAAGGAGGCAAAGCCTCAAAATAGAGGAAAATAAGGCTCAAGTCGCAGAGAGTTGGAAGCCTTAAATCTGGTGAGTTCATTTATCTCACCAAACAATGGTGGGGGTCATAGGCTGCATACACGCTACGCCTTTAAAGCAAATTCCGCCACTCCAGAGAATCCTGAGAAGTGTAGTTAACCCCTCACAGATCTTCATCAATACCTGGCCTTAACAGTCCCCAGGATTCTTAGAGGGAGGAACTTTGAATGTGATTTAAATATATGGTATGTTCACAGCCTGGGTAGGTCAGATGATGCCAACAGAAGAGGATACCATGTGGCACTGGTGTTTTTGCTTGGGAAATGAATGCTGGTAGTTCAGATGGAAAAAAACAGCAAAGGGTTGGCTGGTGGCACCTTAAAGACAAACAGATTTTTACTGTGGCAAAAGCTTTCATGGGCTACAGGTGAATTCATCAGATCAAAAACCTGATATTCACAAATGCTTCTGCCACAGTAAATCTGTTAGTTTTTAAAGTACTGCCTCTTGCAGTGCAAACAACAGGCAGAGCTACTTTCTGAAGTTCTTACTATCCAGACGAAAAGGCATTCTAAAAGAAAGGGACTATCTGTATCTTGGGAAACCCATAAAATCAAAGCTTTAAAAACATCAGGGTAATTGAATTAGAAGCAGGGCAGCTGAAATTTGCTTAAAAGACTTGAGGCATAGGAGTGCCTTGCACTGTGACCTTTTATATTTTAAAGTACCAGAGCTTTTTTTGTTTGTTTGTAGCCTAACTTGAAACTTGTGAAGGGATATTTAGAAATTATTTACTCCACCCCTTCAACAGAAGGTTGCAAGGCAGTTTACAGCTGTGCAACACACAAACTTAAAAGGATAACTGAGCTGAGGCATGGAGGATTCTGCCTTGACATAGTAGATTGATTTATGACCTCCTGGTCCTTCCCTATCCTGTGATTCTGTAATTCTTGTAATACCATTCACATCTATGTTTCGAGATTCAGCATATCAGCAGCATGGTGCATACCTAAAAATGGGCAGCCTAAATTAGACGAGAGCGAAGAGAGCAGGAATGGAAACATAGGTGGATTTGGGAAGATTTAGTGGAAGTACAGTTAAGACAGAATTCGGGAAGTTCAGGAGAAGCTCTTCTCAAAAACATGGATCTCAAATCCTATGAGCCACTGGGAAAGAAAGTAGTCTAGAAACTTAGGCTTCAGTACAAAGTGAAGTAGACCAGAGGAAGGCTCTGCTGTATCTAGCTTGTAAACTGAGGTACAAGAAAAATTGCTGATAAAAAAATACTTATAGAATATTGAATTATCCAGAAAATAGGTAGAGACTAGTTTTGACATCAACTTATAGACTGCTCTAGTAATGTAAAATGCTGGCATTTATAGAACTCCACTTCAGTCTTATGAGGTACGAATACATGTAAATCACAAACCAATGACATAAACTAGGTCTGTACAACTGTGTCGCAGCAAGCTAAGAACAGCCCAGCAACTATGTACTGTGAACTGTTGGGTACTTGGACATCTCCCCAATTATATATATATATTTATTATAGGTGGCAAACAACACAAGGAAGCTACCCTTCAGTAGCTTCAGGGCCAACCTGCCCATGAGGCAGTTTCCTCAGGGTGGCAAACTCCAGCTGCTGCCTCCTTCCCTGTGTGCCTGCTGCTGCACACCCACCCAGTGGCACAGGGTGGCAGTGGGTACTCAGGTGGGTCACACAGGCATGCAGTGGCAGCATTTTCTGTTTTGCCTCTAGTGGCAAAATGTCCTGGGCTGTCCCTGGATGGGAGTCATTTGGCTTGGTGAGTTGCAAGTTGGCAAAACATGAGGCAACTATACATGTTATTTACATGTTAAAGGGTCCATCCCATCAGCTTTTATTTATAAGATGATTAGCCAGCAATCTTAGCTTGCTATTGGATTGAGAGTGATGAACCCAGGCATGGAGGTATCTCCTCAGTTTTCTCAAATCAACGCTTGGGATGAAGAGTGCTGCTGTGCTCACCTGGGAAATACGAGGCCCAAGATGATATTGAGTGTTCAAAGACTAGGGTGAAGTTTGTGGTATGAAGGATACATTGATGGCAGCTGTCATTCATTCATCTTATACCCGCACTGCTAAATTTGGGAACCCCAACCACAATACATTTAAGGGGATTGCTTGCCTGCTTCAATTGGTGCTCTATTGAACATTTCCCAGCAAGATCACATCCTGCCATGCACTTTTTGTTCCTCTTCTTCATATTGCAAATGGATTCATGCCCTCTGGCCCATTAGTGAGGACCCACACCAGCTGTATCTGTTGCCAGCTATGAAGTCATGCTTTTTGGCCTTGCCAAGAAGAACTTTGGGGTTGGACATCTGAGTGCAGCCAGCAACTGCATTTGGGTGAGCTGGAGACTTTGGGTACATTAAGAATGCTGTCTGCAGCTGCAAGAACTTATTTCTAATTTGTTTGATAGCCTCATTTGAGGATATTTGCCAACATTGACTCATCCTTGTGGATAGGCTTGGAACACACTTTAAATGGATTTTGCATCATGTTGCCTCAGCTTGCTGCATTCTTTCTTGCCTGGCATGATTTTGGGCAAGTGCCATCTTAGTTCCATCACAGTTATTGGGGAAAATAAAGGGGTGGCATCTTTCTTTGTGTCACTTAATGTCATGGCAGTTGTACATAGAGGCCTCATCAGTTTTCTAAATTGGGTACAAAGCTCTGTTTTCCTTAAGCCTTTTCTATAGCTGGAAGGGATATTCCTGGTTGTCTAAATCTAATATAGCCCCCATCCATAAAACAGAATATCTGAATCTTCAAGGATCTTAATGTCTGCCCTGCCAAGACAGATTATTATCTAATGACCTGCTTGCATGGAGCTAGGAAAAAAATAGATAACAAAAACCATAACCTAATTTATGGTTAAATATGGATTGTTTGTTCTTGGATATAATTTTATACCCTTTTTTTGGAATTAATCAGCCATTTTCTTTTATGAGAAAGACTTGGATCTTTCCTAATGTAGAAAGTAATGAAGAAAGCAGCAAATAAACATAAACAGACCATGCTTGGCAGACCCAAACCACAGGTACAGCTAGAGAGTTTTGATATTGCACAGTTGTTGGTAGTGGTGGAGTTGGTGTTCTTAACTTCTGGTTTGGGTTGACGTCAGAGCTAAGATGCCAGACAGTGGGATAATAGGTTTTGGGTTACTGGCATGCAAGCTGCTGGAGTCAGATAAGACATGGTTGCCATCCAGTGTGGTGCATGTTTATTTATTTGTTTATATTCCATTTAGAAACACATATTTGAGTGTGAGATGATCAAACTCAATATTTTAGCCACAAAGAATGTGATTTTACCATCTTCACAGCCATTCAATACAGCATTTTGTATTGCTGTATTATGGCACTAATATAAGTGCTTATATAGAAGCCACATGTTGCAGATGCTGCCTAATTCTGCTTCTTATGACAGAATCCCATTCATGCAGGTAGCATTGTCTCTGAAGCCCCCTAATTGCCTTGTAGTCAGGTTTGCAATCATCACCAAGACAGAAATGTTTATTTCTTTTTCACGACTGCCCACTATTAAATGTGCCAGCATCTTATTATGGCCTTATTTTGTTCTCTCCTTAAAAACCCAAGCTCTGCCGTGTGTCAGAAATTACAAGTTTTTTTAATGGCCTTTCTCTCTTTTAGATACAGTATCTGAAGAAGTGTGCATGCACACGAAAGCTCATACCAGTGACAAACTTAGTTGGTCTCTAAGGTGCTACTGGAAGGAATTTTTTAATTTTGTTTCTCTCTTGTAGTTCATCAAGAAGAGAGAGATTTCCCCAAGCATGTCCAACTTAGCCTGCATAGCTCAGTTGGTTAGAGTATGGTGCTGATAACACCGAAGTTGCAGGTTTGATTCCCATATGGAACAGCTATCTATTCCTGCATTGCAGGGAATTGGACTAGATGATTCATAGCACATGTGGGCAACTAGACCATGGCAGTTGGCACTCAATGCAGCAATTCCAGAGCGGCTTGGAGTACACTTGTGGGTCATGCTGGTAACTGCCTACTTTGTGTTGTCTGTATGTTTGTTCCCTTTTACTTTTTTGGAGTTTGTGAGCAAGTAGATTCTGCGATTTTTGTGGAGCTGTGGATTTCAATTCACTTTTTGGGCAAAGCTATAAATAGGTGGTACTGACTGTTCCCCGGGCGTGGAAGCAAATTGGCGCCTCTCTCTCCTCCCTGTAGCTCAGCTTACCTTGATTAATCAACAGTTTCCATGCTCCATTTGTTTGTTTTTAAATGCTAAGTGATTTGACCTTTGTCTTTAAAAGAAAGTGTCCAGGGTGTGGCAGTGAGCCCTCCTGGCAAAGTGAATAGTGGCTTGAGTTCAACAGAGGGCATGAATGGCTAACAAACAACTTGCTTTGCAGATTCCTGTAGCTTTAGAATGCAAGACAGGGTGACTGAAGCTATTAGGATTAGACTGCAGTTGAACCAGCTGTTCCACCCTGACCGCAAGCACTTTGCTGTTCATTGAAATGGAGGGAACAAGCCTGGCCCACACCTGATAGCTAATAGGAAAGTCCTAGTGCAGGAGTCAGCAAACTTTTTCAGCAGGGGGCCGGTCCACTGTCCCTCAGATCTTGTGGGGGACCGGACTATATTTTGAAAAAAATAATGAACGAATTCCTATGCCCCACAAATAACCCAGAGATGCATTTTAAATAAAAGCATTTTACTCATGTAAAAACACTCTGAATCCCGGATGATCTGTGGGCCAGATTTAGAAGGGATTGGGCCAGATCCGGCCTCCGGGCCTTAGTTTGCCTACGCATGCCCTAGTGAGTTAGACCTTTGCTCATGTAGAGTAGATAAGCAAAGGTGTTTCCTCACACCAAGAAGGAATTTACTTCAGATCAGACTAGCAGTGACTTTGGATGTGTTCTGCCCATCCCATCCGAGTATGCAGTGTTCACTTTGACTTATCTGGAGCTACTTGTTGAGCAAGTATCTTTGTGGGGCACCTGCTTGTGGCAGAGGAGGGTCCGGACTATGGCAGGAGTAGTGGGTAACGTTGCCTTTGAACAGGGAGTTAAACTACATGGTGTTTTCAGCCTTTCCTGCTAGTACAGACTTAAAGCATGGCTATTTTCTCTAATTTTGTTAATTTAATCAGATTTTTGTCATCCAAGTTGCTCAGGAAGAGGGTATTTGTCTCCTCTCCAAGGTCACCCAGTGATCTTCTTTGCAAAATGGGGATTTGAACCCTAATCTCCCCGGAAGATGTCCAGATTATAGTATGTGGTTTCTGTTTGTTGCTAGGAGTATACATTTCTATCTGCATAGAACAGCTTTAATATTTAATTTTCTCTGGTGATTTGCAGCAGCGAGAGTGGTTGTTTGTGTGTTTTAATAGCCTTAAGGGTAACAGTGCAGTATTTCTCACAGAAAAAAGCAACAGCCTATTGTAGGAAGCAAAAAGGATATTGATTTTCTAGAGGTCTGTAGCTATATCAAATACACTGAGTTTTTTTACCCCAGTATCCAGTCCTCACCCCACCCCACCCCCGTATCCAGAATAAATGACTATTATACTTGGCTTTACAGTATTCAGAGCACTTAACATACATTATCTCACTAAAACCTTACAACAATCCTGCATAGTAGAAAAACAGTAATGGTCACCAGATTGGAAAAGGCTGCTTTAACATGTTTAAAACTGCTATGTGCCGTACATTGATTAAGGCTGCAATCCTGTACACACAGCTGGAAGTCGCATTGCTCAGTTAAACTTCTGACTACTCTAAAAATAAAATAGGGCTGGGTTAACAATACTGGTGGCCCTTGTAGCTATTGAATTATCAGAGCAAATCTGAATCATGAGAAAGCAAGACTGGCAAAGCCTGAGGACTGTTGTCTTGGTACTGGATAGCTCTTGTGTAAATACAGGCTTTGTTTTTTGTTTTTTTAATTTGGTGTGAGTTAAAGGAGTAACTTTTCAGATATAAGGGTGATCTGTGTGCATTTGAGCCTATTGAGAGATCTTTGATTGGATCAGCTTCTTGGTACAATTTTTTTAAAAATTGACCTTTTCCACTTCATATTGTTCCTCTCGCCAGCCATTGCTAAGGGACCTACTCACTAACGCCCAGAGTGCTTGCCTTAACCTGCACCCAGATCTAACAGTATTTTGCCCCTTATACTAGAAACCTATTTGTTGTGTTATAGTTCTGTTCAGTATTTGAAACTCCCATTGTTCTAGGCGCATTTTGCGACAGGGAATTTCATTAGTGTGAGCAGTTTCTGAGCTCTGGGCACAGTACTGCACCTACGATTTTAGATTAAAACTGCAGAGTAGAAGGAAAGGAGGACCTTTTTCTGCCTCCTCACTTCCAGCTTCTCTCTGAAGACTGGAGAAGAGACCCCCCTTAAGAATATTAGGGGGTGAGCAGGGGAAGGACTAGATCATGTGAAAAAGGGACATAATATTTTAGCTGCAATTCATTCATTTTGAGCTTTGTATTACAGGTATTGTTATAAAAAAAGTGCGCCTAGACATTCCGTTGTTGCTCCCATAATGGAGGTTTAAGGTGCCATTTAGCTCTTAGCTTTCATATCACAATTTCTAACCCAGGTTCTTTTTAAAATAGTGTGTGACAGTCTCTCTTAGACATATGTGCAAATAAACACATCATATGGTGTACCCTGAAATGGCTTCTGCAAGTCAGAGGCTGTGATCACTAATTTAGAAATGGGTAAACCCTCAGCCACTATAGTTATGGATGAGCTTTGTGTCAGAAGATCTTTGGTGTCTGATGTCTAGCAGGTGCTAGAAGTGTAAAGCTGCAGTTTAAATCCTCTACTTTAGAAAGCTGGTCTGATTTTAACTAGTACATCTAAGGCCTGGAACAAATAGACTCTTGGTACTGGTAGACGGGCATGTGGTCTGTAGTGGCTGTGGGTGCCTTCCGTTTTGTCATTTATTTCCTCCCCCATGGTGGTTGTAGCAGTTTTGTAAATTGACCTAACTCCTGTGAATTGTTTTTCTTTTTCAAAATGTAGCAAAAACCATTTGTGTGTGTTTATAGTTAGAAACATCCAGCAATATGCAGTGCAATGAACTGAGAGGGTGCCATTGCCATGACATTGATTGGCCAGGGAGCAGGCTGCACTGTGCCCATGTTCCAACACACTCAGGGATCCTTCATTACATGGGATTGTGGGGGACCAATCCTGCTGAATGCTTAGAATTTTGATGCTGGGGGTTAGAAATGTGATCACGCACGCTCCCCCCAACAAGTTCTGTTTAAATTTACAGTAAAGCCATGTGTTGTGGCCTAACATTCTCATCCCCTGCTACGCCATGATTTTGTTTTGTTTTTTGCACATCTTGGCAGCCATAGTAAAACAAGACATATTAAGTCATATACACGTGGAGTCAGTAGCATGGCAGGGTAGGCAGGCGGGCGGGCAGAGTCTCTTCCAAATGCACTGGTATGCCATTACTGTCATTTTATAGAAGTGGAAATGGAAGCTGAATAACCCAGTTTTAAAAGCTTTTTCCCCAATGAGTTTTATTAAGTTTCAATATTTTTAATCTATAAAATCAAGATGCAATTTCATCTTTTCTCTTTATTTTTATCAACATCCCACCCTGTTTTCCTTTTCTTTTTCATTTCCTTTTCTTATTAGTTTCCCCAATTTTTAATAAATCAGTGCCAAATTACATCAAATTTAATACAATTTCCCCAGAAACTTGACTTCCCACTTTCGTCCTAGGTGTGTCCTCTTTCCCTCCCATTGCTGCTTGAAATTACATTATATTCAATTTACAATTATTAATTATTATTTGATCAATTCCTGCTCATATATTTACATAACAATAACATATTCCCTTAAAGTACAAAAGAGGTTATCCACTTTAAAGCATTACTTATTACTTCTATATTAACTTTTCTTTCTTTTCTTTTTTCTTTTTTAAATTAATCTTTATTGGTTTAAAATCAAAACATACACACAACAAAAGCTTGCAAAAAGGAATAAAGAAAAAGGAAAGAAGACGAAACAAAAGTAGCACGATACATCTCTTACAAACAAAAAACAGTAGAACAATACATCACAAATTCACAGAAATGTTCTGACCATCAACTTCCAACTTCCTTGATATGGGTTCTTTGTTTTCCTAATTACTTGCCTCTGTTTTTCAATAAACTCTGTCTTTATTAAATATTGTTTGTCTTCTTTATACCTTAATCAATTCTGAGTGTTATTCGAAGCATTCTAAAGTTTTTTTATGGGGACACTGTTCTTTTGAATATTGTCTATAGATCTCCCATTCTCTTTTGAACTTTTCGGTTGATCAATCTCTGATCTTTTTTGTCATATACAGTATGCTAGTTTCATGTACTCAAGCATTTTTACTTGCCACTCCTCTTTTGATGGAGTTTTATCTCCTTTCCATCCCTTGGCAATCAGCATCCTTGCTGCCGTTGTTGCATTAAAAAAAATCCTTCTTTTCTCCCTTGGGATGTCTGATGCCATTATGCCTAATAGGAAGGTTTTGGGTTTCTTATTGAACGTTATTTTGAACAGTTTTTTAAAAATTTATTGTATATAAGTTCCCCAAAGCTCTTTATTTTTTTGCAACCCCACCACATGGAGTACACCGTGCCCTCTAACTCTCTACACCTCCAGCATAAATTTGAGTTGGTTCTGTACATTTGGGACAGTTTGTTGGGGGTGATGTACCACCTGTATAGCATCTTCATAAAAATTTATTTTATAGTGAAGCAGGCTGTGAATTTCAATTCCCTTCTCCATAAATTTTCCCATTCCTCCATTTGAATATTGTAACCAAATCTTTTGTCCACTTAACCATGACTTATTTTACCTCTTCTTCCTTTACTTCGCAATCTAATAATAATGTGTACATTTTGGAAAGTTGTTTTTCTTTATTTTTTAATAAACCTTTTTCTAATTCCAAAATTTCCATCACAAAACCTATTTTTTAATCAGCCTTAAAGATTTTCAATTGGTGGTATTGTAACTAACCTGTAAGATTTTTTCAGTTTTAGCTGGGTTTTATCCTCTTCTAATAAATCTTTGTATGTTGCCCAATTCTTATTCATGTTTTGTTTTCTTTCCTGTGAAGGCTTCAAGTGGAGATAACCACCAGGCTTATCCCATATTTATCCCATATACCATATAGTGATTTCCTTAACACGTGATTCAAAAAACCCCTGAGAACCCTTACTTTCCCTAACAGCAAAGACAAGCCACTTTCCTTTCTTTTCATCTTGCATGTGCTGCCATCTGTGCCATCTTCTCCACCATCCGTCACCTTTCAGTAAGCCAGTGTCCATTTCCTGTCCAGTTCCATATTGTTTTGCAATTCATGTTGTCTCCACAGCATTTGCACCACCCCGTTTTCCATGGAGTTGTTGTTTCTCCCCTTCTGCTGCACCCTATCTTCTATATATTAAATCACAATATTATAATCTAATTACTTCTGTTGCTCATAGCTCAAATCCTACTTGCAAGTTCATCATATTATAATATTTATATAAATAGTCCAAAAAAGGCATCCATTCTTCCATAGAACACTCATCATTAGATTCTCTTAATTTTGCTGTTAATTTTGCCGGTTCTGCATAGTCCATTATCTTACTTATCCATTCTTCTTTGGTTGGAACGTCTTCTGTTTCTGCGCATATAGAATCCTAGCTGCTGATAAACAGCTTTAACATTTTTTGGGATTTCTGCCCCTATGATTCCTAACAGAAATGTTTCAGGCTTTTTTTATATCTACTCATTTTAAACATCTTTTTTATTTTGTCATGTATCACTTCCCAAAATACCCTCGCTTTCTTGCAAGTGCACCACATATGAAAAAAAACCCATCTACCTGTTTACACTTTCAGCAATTATTAGGAAACATTTTAAAAAGTTGAATTTATATTCTGGACTTAAAACAACAAATATGACTGCTAGGACAGAGATTGAAAAACACATGGAGATGCTGGGCTTTTTGTTGCTTTTTGACTGTATTCTAGAGCTGATAGTGCCAGGGTGATTAAAAATAAAGGTGGAAGCTTGCAAGGGCTTTCTTAAGTGGAAGCTCCAAGGATTCTAATGGAAAAGGCTGCTGGACATCCTTACCTCTGGACAGCAGATGGTATGACCTGACCTATTTAATTGCAGAATATGGTGTCTGCGAGAACCTGCGAAAGCTGGAGATCACAGGAGTGTCCTGTCGAGATGTATATGCCAAACGTAAGTTTCAAGCGCTTGGGATCCTTTTTGAGTTTCATTGTTGAAAGTGAATTTGAAAGTGAATTTTTAACTTGAGCAACTCAATAGTCTAGACAACAGCAGAGCTGTGTGTCAACAGCAATGTTTCTCTTATCTGTAAATCCATATTGAGATTAGTTCATTTAGCACTTACATGCACTCCAGAAATGTCAAGATTTAGAGCAGCATTACCTCTATTTCCCATCTCTCTAAACTTAAATACATTTCTAAAAGGCATCAGCACTCTGTGTGACTCTTTTATACATGAGTGTTTATGATTAGCAGGCGTAGCAGCTCCCCATTCCCCAGTGATGTATAAGTCTGGTGCTTCTATTGTAGGGACACACACTGAATTTACTGTCTGGGGGATAGATCCTTGAATATCCCCAACCCTTCAACTGGCAACATGAGCTGAAGGAGTCAATCCTGTGAGCCATATTTTGCTGATTTAAATAGAAGCCCTTAAAAGTATTTCCTGTTATTTCATTTAAAAAAACAAACAAACTCTGCAAGAGATCATCCCTGATGCCCCTTATTTCAGACCAGCCTCTCCCACCCTCCATTTCTACAATAGTATGCCAAGTTTGAAAACATCTGGTGGTGTGGTGGTAAGAAGAGGTGGTAAAAAGAGGACCAGAGTTCTCATACTCACCCTGCTGTGTCTGCTCAGGTATAAACCCACGAGTGAAATCAGGGCGTTTTATGAAAATCCTTCCCGACTACGAGCACATGGAATACAGAGATGTTTACACCTGCCGTATGTACCTTCCGTTGGCAAATGTTTTTTGCGTTGTGTTAGCATGGAGTGTGCCTGCTTCACCACTTAATTGACAAGCTAAGCTTCCCAGGGCCATTTGGGGGACGGATATGTTTTGAGAGCAGCGGGTGCCAAATCCAGCAGACTAAGAAAGAATGCTAACTACCACTGCTATGTCAAGGTATAAGAGTAAGCAGTGCTAGAAACAAAGAAGGTAGCAGTAGCTGTGGGTCTCTGGGGTTATAAAAGTGCACTGAGGAGCAGATGGGACCGTCTTGAGGGTGGATAGAGTTTGGGTAGAGGCTTGTAGTCCCACTCACAGTTTTGTATCAACACTAGGGGAAGGGGATGAGACCCAGGAAGATGAAATGTTGGCATCTCAAAAGAAACTGCTGAAAAGTGAAGTTTTCAGGAAGCATCAAGTCAGGAACGGCTTGATAGAATTACATTCCAGGTTATTGCAGGGAAAGGCCTTCACAAATCTACTCACAAGGGGCAAGGTTGCCCACGCCTATGGCAAGATGGACACCTAACATCCTGTAGATCCCTACCTCAGAGAGCTCACTCCATTGCATTTTTCAAGCAGGTAAGATATAGTAGGAGCCTTTTCTGAGCAGTGAAAAAGGAGTCTTGCTGCTGATTTTGACCTTCTCCCTACCTTGCACAATTGAGAGAAGACCTGGCCTATCTCCCAAACCCCCTTTCCTTGCCAGGGGATTGGACCAGAAGTAAGAGCCTACCTAAGTAAGCTAAGCCAGTATCTGAGGACCCCTGACTGGGAAGTCCCTCCCAGTTGCTTCCTGGCTGTAGCAAGAATACTGCTGTCTTTAAGCCAAGTGAGAAAACTTCTTGCTTCTCAGACGCTTCAGGTTACAGACTCCGCTAATCCAGAAATAGTACCTTGGGTTAAGAACTTTGCTTCAGGATGAGAACAGAAATTGCGCAGCAGCGGAAGGCCCCATTAGCTAAAGTGGTACCTCAGGTTAAGAACAGTTTCAGGTTAAGAACGGACCTCCAGAACAAATTAAGTTCTTAACCCAAGGTACCACTGTAGTTCAGAGGAAAGAGCCATTGCCTCTAGCATGAGACCCTTTTGAATTGGGTCCCAAAGCAGTTCCTTTCTAACAAAGCATCTCTGCCGTCCCAAAAAGAGATTCAAGGGGATGTAGATCAGTAACTCAGGGTCCTCTAGAGCAGCAGAGAAAGCACTGGGAAATTGTGACATCTATCCTGGGAAGCCAGAAACTTATGGTCTTCCCATGTAAGTGTGTGCTGTTTTTCCATTTCAGCAAGGGTAGCAGTCCCTAAAACATAAACTGGAATTCTGAAATTGAATCCCAATCTGCCAATTGGCCACCCCTGTTCTAGTGGAAATCATGAAGCTTTTTTTTTTTTACCAAAGAACAGAAGGAAAAAAATATTGAGCAGCAACTCTGTGTTCCTAGCCCTTGGTAAGCTGCTTTCATTCAGTGAGTTCTTCATTGAGTCATCAGGTTCTTGTGTGAGTTTGATTGGAAAATAAATCAGTGGGTTTTTGAGAGTCACTGCTGGTACATTCATTTTGGTCCAAATGGATCTTGAGGCTGCCTATTACATATTCAGCTCTGTAAAATAATAGTGAAAGGAGAGAAGCACAGTCTAAACAGTCTGGAGGTTTTAGACACTGTGAAATAGAAACTTTATTTTATGAAAACAACTCCTTCTGTCTTGGGCAGCTGCTCAGAAATCCACATTACCATATATTCACACTGCTCCATCCACGTGATGCTCACATGCTTCTAGGTCATGGGTTCCCCAAAATGCCAATTAACCCTCAGGATGAATAGTCTGTGGTTTTGCTTTGGGTAACAAAGAGCTGCAAGCCGGGCAACCATTTAACATACACAGCCTCCCCCAGATTGGAAATGCAATGTTGGAAAAGGCTGCGTCTCTGGAATTGTTGCTTCTTAAAGAAATAAACACTGCCAGTAAGATTGAAATGCATCAGAGCTGTGCAGGGGGACAGATGTGCTCTTGTAAAAGGTCCCATTTAGAAGTGCACAAGCTCCTAACCCTTTATTCTGCCATTTATCCCCCTGACCACATTATTTTATTTTATTTTGCCTTGCCTTATTTATTAAATTTGTATGCTGCCCTATACTCGTAGGTCTCAGGGCAGTTACAACATGAAATCACAATATAAAAACACAAAATATATAATATATAATCAAAACAAAAACAACTCAATAACACCCCCACTCCACAACACATCTTAAAAGGGCATTGGATGTCAGTCAGCTCTAAAGGCCTAGTTAAAGAGGAACATTTTTGGCTGGTGCCTAAAGTGTATAATGAAGACGCCAGACAAACCTTCCTGGGGAGAGCATTCTATAAATGAGAAGCAACTGCAGAAAAGGCCCATTCTCATGCTGCCACCCTCTGGACCTCTTGTGGAGGAGGCACACAAAGAAGGGCCTCAGAAGATGATCTCAGGTAGGTTCATATGGAAATAGGTGATCCTTGAGGTACTGCGGTCCTGAGCTGTTGAAGGCTCTATAGGTATAATTGCAAAAGTATATCTGAAACTTGGATTGCTCAGTGCATTAGTTTTGTGTGAAGCAGATTCCTGACATTGGCTGAGCTAAAGCTTTGTGTCAGGGTACCACCATTGCATGCCAAAGGGCCCAGGTTCAAACCCTGCCATATCCAGTTAAAAAAAAAAAAAAAGATTAGGAAAGCAGATGAGGGCAAGACCTCTGCCAGAGGCAGCTGCCAGTCAGAGTGGACAACAGTGAGCTAGATGGAAAAACAGTTTGACCTGGTATAAGGCAACTTCCTGTGTTTCTATGAATGGGAGCTATTCCAATGGCACAGTGGGCTTTTTACTTTATGACATAAGCTAAACTGTTGTGACAGGAACATATTTGGAATGCTGTTTTCTGAAGTGAGCCTGCTTTTGGCTTGATGATAGCCTCTGAACTGGGCTGTAAAGCAGGTAGGCTGGGAACTTGTGGCAACCTTGTCCTGTGGCAACCTTGCCCTTGAGAAGCAATGGGATGGATGAGCTTGGGTGCGCTACAGGAGACTCTTTTGGTGTTCCTCTGGCTTAGTGACTGATTTACATGGGTAGTTTTTGATTTCTTTAAAAGTGCTAAGGCTCAGTCTTGCTTAGTTCCCCCAGTCGTATGGGGATATGAACTATGCTGACTCAGTGGGTGGCATCCAGTAGTAACTCTGCCGAGAATAGGCCAGTTGAAGTTAATAGACATGACTAACTTAGGTTCATTAGTTTCAGTGGGTCTTCTCTGAGTAGACTTACATTCCAGTGACTCTTCAGTCACACTTCCTGCAAGGAATTGGAAAGTGAGGCTAGTCACCATTCAGAAATATAGGAAGCTGCCTTATACCAAATCAGATCATTATTCTCACTTATTACTGTCTACACCAATTGGCAGTGGTTCTTCAGGGTTTCCCAGCTGTACCTGGAGATGAACCTAGGATATTTTGCATGCAAAGTGGATGCTTTAAAGCAGTTGGGGCCTGCCTCTGTTTGACCAATGAGCATTACAGATGCTAGAAGCAAAGCTTTTAGTATTTGACAGCTGCTTCTTCCAGCTTGGGAATCCCAAATAAAAACAGAAAGAAGTGCCTTGCCCAGATGATTGCTGACCTATTGAAACAGAGTGCTCATCAAAATAATGCATTGTCTCATTCACGTTAATATTTTTATTTTGAAATTGTGCTTCTGATTTCCACAGCTACAACTGTGTTCTGTCCTGTGTTCAGTTGCCTCTCATTCCTCCCTAACTTTAGGCAGAATAGCCCCAGATAACCCCTTCCTTCTTAACTCCATTCTGCTGTGAGAGGGAGAGTTTCAGTGAAGTGTCTCAAAAGTTCAGGGGGACCTTGATACTCACAGTGGTATGTTTGCGTGACTTAACGTATTGTCTTGAGCAAACCCTCTCTGTGAGGATTGTCAGTTTTCTTAGAAAGCAGCTCATAAACATCCCTTTGGTGAAAGCCTTTTCCTTTGCAGAGGCCTCCCTTGCAAAGGGCATGGTGACATTGTCCCTTATTTTGACCAAGGCACTGCTTTAACTGGCGTCTCCCTTGAGTAGTGTAATGTTAACACCCTGACCTCTTTAATGCAGAATATGTTTCTGATGACTGCAGTGGTGCTGAAAGAGCCTTCTCTACCTTTTTTACTTTTACTTTAGTTAGAGATTTCTCCCTTGGGGGTGGAAGCATAGTTTGAAGGCCCTTTAAACTCCTAGGGGAGGAGCCCATTTCCTCTTCTCAGTGTTGGCTCTCAGTGGAGCCTCCCCCAGCTTGCAGGACAGGCAGGCGAGAGATGATTTGGACAAGGATCAAGTGCCAGCACCCTTCTCCCTGCCTGAGACATGGCTGAGGGCGAAAGAGCAGCAGTCAGCACCACTGAAGAGGGCAGTGCTACAAGCTGTGAATTTTGGGCAAAGAGAGGGAAAAGCAGGAAGGTTCCCTGGTGCAACATTTCTCTCCCATTGCCAGAGCTGAAGAAGCCAAAGGAGGGGCTAAAAAAGAAAAGCGTGAAGTTGGGAAATCCAGGACCATATCTTTGGATGGCTTTTCTCAAAGCTTAAAAGCAGTGGTAGGGGAAGGGGCTCAGTTAGGTAAAGGCAGGAGCACAGTGGGAGGGGATGTTCCCTGATCAAACACACACACCCAACTGCTATTTACCATACTGAAGAGAAATCTGTGTATTTGTCTCTTACACACTCAGCAAAATTATTAGCAGAGGGAAGGGTTAACTAGGGAAATGACATAGAGGGATGGGCTTTAAGAAATCTTCTTCCCCACCACTACACTACACTCTGCTGCTCTGATCCAGTTTGTTCCCCAAGCTGCTTCTCAGTTCTCATTTTAAACTGAGAGATACGCCTTTGTTATCTCTGAGATTCCCATTAATGTTGAAGGGAGATCTTGACTGTCCTGCAGTCCTTCCTCTTCCCTGTGTTTTGCACAGGGAATAAATTGTACAAAATGAGTAGAATAGGTGCAAGGGGTTCTTTGATTTGCATGATACACCCAGGGCATAGAATCTTGGTATCTGGATTTATTGCCAAGTACACACAGCCCTGCTGTACAGGGAGCTCTTTGACACCACTGAAACTCTCCCTTTGCTTCAGTATTTCCCCTCCCTTTAGCTTTTTGTGTACCATTTGATTATCTCTTGCTTTTTCTTCAATTCTCCAGTGCTCCACAGATACCGGCACATCTTGGGACTCTGGCAGCCAGACATCGGACCATATGGGGGGCTGTTGAACGTAGTGGTGAGTATAGAGGCTCTGCCATGTTGCATAGAGCAGGGGTTTGTTCAAGGTGCTACAGTGACTGAAAAGAAAGACTCTCCTTACTTTGTCTGTGACAGGTAGATGGCTTGTTCATTATTGGCTGGATGTACTTGCCCCCACATGACCCTCATGTGGATGATCCAATGAGAGTCAAGCCGCTCTTCAGGATCCACTTAATGGAAAGAAAGAGTGCCACAGTGGAGTGCATGTATGGCCACAAGGGACCCCACAGTGGGCATATTCAGGTGAGCTACCTATCCACTCTGCCGCAGCTGCAAAATGAAGACTTGTTTTTTAAGGCCTTCTGTGCCAGTGTAATTTTTAGCCTGTTTGTGGGTCTGTTTTCATTGAGGATTTATGCCCTGTAATGCTTAATACTGCTGTTTAATATCTACAGATTGTGAAAAAGGATGAGTTTTCAACAAAGTGCAACCAGACGGATCACCACCGAATGTCAGGAGGAAGGCAAGAGGTAGGCCCTGTGTAATGAAGATACCCTGAGCTGCTTTTCAGCCTGTTGGATGTTTACTACTTTAAAGCAGGGGTTGTCAACTTGTTGTGCCCCCCCCATATAGTGTACTTTAACGCCCATTAGCCCCAGCAGGGATAGGATTCAGGGTTTCTTGTGTAAACTTCCCATGGCTTAGATTTCTTCCCCCAGCACCTGGAAGCTAAAGGTCACTTGTTGATTCAACCGTCAGCTGCTGTCCAGGTGCTTCAGTGTCATTCAATGTGGTCTGTGCTTTGCATTGCTAGCCAGGGAGTGACTTATAGCTCCCTTGAGTTGGGCTCTTAAAGAACTGAAACTTTTATTGCTCTGGCCACAATCCAAAGGATCGCGCAGCTAACAGAAAGCTATGTTCTATATGCATTTCTCCCCATACTGCCTGGCAAACAACTTTCAAATCTTATGGGAGAAATGCACATGGAACATAACTATCTGTTTGCAAGGAGTGGTGGTGGTATGCCTTGACCCCATCTCATTTAATATTATAAGGCTGCTTCTGAAAATGGAGCAGAGGAATGAGGGAGAGATTGCACACAACCTCTGGTGTGACCTTTGGGCACTCCTGTTTAAAATAGAGAAGGCAGGAAAATGCTGTTCCACCTTTCCCAGGAAAACCTTGAGACGAAGGTTCCAAGAGAAGGGAGACCTGCTCTAAGACGAGCTTCCAATGTCTTCTTTATATAAACATTGTTGATGTAAGCACTGAAAACTTGGCCATTAGCAAAGTTACCACCAGCAACTGTTAATCTGAGATAGGGCTTTTTCAACATATGTGGTAATTTAGTGCCATTGGGAAGGAAGTTAACTCACAGAATGTTTTATTTCAGTCTTAATTGCACATGTGCAGGCCTAGGCATGTGCACAGGCACACAGAGAGGCTTGATGAATTAGGCTCTGTTGCCCTGTATTGACTAGGGAGGAAGAGACAGTTATCTGCGATTGGGGATTAAAGCCACAGTTGGCAATGCAGAGTTAAGGCTGAAATGCTACTGCTGTGCTCTGGCACGAATATGCCTCATGATCGAGCAGCTCATTGTCAAGAAGCAAGCAGGGCTGGGAATTTGTGGGGGTGGGGTGAAAAATCCTCTTCCACGGCTGACAAGTAATCATGCTGTCTGCAGCAAGATCATTAGGATGAATTAGGCTATCCGTATCCTCTGAGGGTTCAATGCGTATCGTAACACTAAAACGATGCCGTGCTTGCAGAAGCAGATTCTTTTTTATTCTTCCATCTTAAAGCAAATGCTTGAAACAAAGCTTTGGAAATGTGTGTAAGAGATGGCTTCTCCACAGTTCAGTGTTTTCCACTGCGACTCCACATGATGGTGTCATTCTTCTGAAAGTACTGTGTGCCTTTTCCTCCACCTGTCTGTTCCACCACCTGAAACAGAAAATCTAACAAAACAAAACAACTGTTGGGGGCAAGGGATTCATTTACAATAGTCTGGAAGATCTGCTGTGGTTTCACAGTCAACAATGGCCTTAAGAAGGCTTGTGTCTGGAAGCACCCAGTTATTGTGTTTAAATGAGTGAAATCATTCTGCCTTTGGCTCTGCAAACAGATCAGTTTATGGATCATCTGTTTGGAATTCTAGAATTTGTAGTCCAGTAACAGGAAGGGGCATTTAATGGGTGAGCAGCTTGATGAAAGCAGAGGAAAGCAATTGCCTCTTGTCCATATCTACCTGTGCTTTCTTACTGGAGGAAGGGGCCCCAGGCAATTGCAACTCACTGACTTTGCTTCTCTCTTTGGGGTGCTGTTGTAGGAGTTCCGGACATGGCTGCGAGAGGAATGGGGGCGGACTCTGGAAGACATCTTCCATGAGCACATGCAAGAGCTCATCTTGATGAAGTTCATCTATACCAGTCAATATGAGTAAGAGGACCCTTCTTTCCTCCTCCTGCTTCTGCAGTCAAAAAGAGAGAGAAAAATCTGTATTTTTAGAATAAATTGTTCAAGTAAAGTAGTACAGTTGCAAACTCCCCAAACAGTGATAACATTTGAAAGGGAAGGGGTGCACTATCTAGGTGTGGTTGCTTTTTGCTTCAGAGAACAGTGGAGACTTACGATGCCTTTGTAATCATCGTAATTCCTTCTAGTTCCAATGTTCTGGTTTACACGCCATTGTTTATGTACACTAAACAGTACCATCCAGTCACAAGATCAGGAGGTATCAGCAGACTTGGGTGAGCCCAAAGGTTTGCAGAAGTATTATTATTATCATCATCATTATTATTATTACCTCACCTTTTTACCTAGTGGGACTCAAGGAAGCTTACAGATAAAAATAATGAATTGGTTTGTTTTGGCAAATTCTGTTCCCCATCTTCAAAAGGTGGGTACAGAGGGAAGGCCAAACGTGCACAGCACCATGGTTTTCAACCATCTCCCTACCAGAAACTCACTCTGCTAATTTGAGTCCCTTTCAGATTCTGCTCACGCATGGCAAAGCTGCATTCAACATGCAAGAGAGCTAGAGTTTTGATTTTTGAAGGCATCATTGCTTTTAAAACAGAGAAGGTGATCTAGTCAGATGCCAAACTGTATGCCTTGTCAGTGATTCAGAGATTGCACCAAACAGGTGGTGGCCTACCTGCATTATATCAAGCTGTGGTTCTTTTTAATATTCCAGCAACTGCTTGACATACAGACGCATCTACCTCCCTCCACGGAGTGCCGTTGATCTCATCAAGCCAGGCCTTTTCAAGGGGACATATGGGAGCCATGGTCTTGAAATAGTCATGCTCAGCTTCCATGGAAAAAAGGCCAAAGGAACTAAAATCACAGTGAGCATCTGGCTTTCCCTGTTCAAGTATGTATTGTCACTGTTGCCATGCCAAACAAAATGATCAAAGGAATGGAGCAACTCCCATTTGAGGAAAAGGGTTGCATCGTTTGGGACTTTTTAGTTGAGAAAAAAGCAAGAAAGAGGTGGCAAGATAGAAGTTTATAACATTATGTACAGCATAATGTACAGCATGGCTTCCCAAGTTCTAGATCACGACTAAACACTACATTACACCAGCTCTCAATGAGTAAACAAATAGTACAGCTTCTTAGACTAGCAGGGCAAAGGAAGTGGGCAAGACCTACTGAAAGTGATGAACAGAGTGGAGAAGAGAGATTTGCTAGTACCACAATATACAGGCAAGGCAAGGCACAGTAGTTCAGGATGTGTTCTGTTTCAAATAAGGGTTTGGGGAAGGGAACGAGGAGAAACTGATTTGGCAAGGATGAGGAGGCTGTTCAAGGCACTGGAATGGGATGGAGTCAGTGGCAATTAGCATTCATAGCAAAGTCATTCTGCTCTCTTTCCTTCCTGCCTATCCTCCAGGGTGACCCTAACATCCCAGCTGGCCAGCAGACAGTGGAGATTGACCTGGCGCATCCCATCCAGCTGCCTGATATTGAAAACCTGAGCAATTTCAGCGAACTCTCCCGCATTGTCCTGGAAGTGCAGGAGCAGGTGCGGCGAGAGCAGCAGCAGGAGGAGGAGGCTGGCCTTGAAAAGGAGCACCAGCCGCAGGCCCAGGAAGAGGAAGAGGAGCAGCCACAGCCAGGCCCCTCTCAGCAGGAAGCAGGCAGAGGAGCAGAAGGCCCTGCAACTGAAGAGGGAGCCGTGGCCCAGGGATCTCCCCCAGCCTCATGCCCTTTTGTGCTGCCTGGTGGCATTGCATCCAGGAATGAGGATTACCCTCGGACCTGCAGAGCATGGTAAATACGAAAAGCCAAGAGTTGTGTTTCAAGGGGCATCCCTGGAGGATGTGGAGCAAATTGCCCATGAATATCCTTTGGGCTTCTGTCCAGTTCAACCAGACCCAATATTTTATAAAGTATTTGCTCCCAGAAAAGAAAATATTCTCTCCTCTCCCCTCATTTATTTAATTCAGTGTATGACAGAAGCTCCAATTATTATGATTTCTGCCCTTCCCTTTAAAAAGAAATTTTACCCAAGGTGACTTAATAATGCATTTATAAGGCAATTCCTAAACTCTGCCAGTTCATAAAATACGATGAAAGCATTACCAGATCATAACATTATAACACCAGAAAATAACAAAGCAATAATAAAGCACAATTTAAAATATATTTTTTTTAAAAAATATGGTGGAAATAAAAATTGTTTAATGCAGCAAATACAATATTATTGAAGAGAGAGAAAGAGAAGCACAAAATAACCCCACCTCCAGCCCTTTCCAGGAGATCCAGTCTTTCCAAGAAAAGAGCTGCTACTTCTGGTTGGAGCTATTAGCATATATTGGATTAATGCTTTTTAGAGGAGACAGGGAGCTTGAAACTCTGGAAGTCACATAGCATAGGCCTTGCAAGGACATGTTAATTCTTGGAAATCTCTGTGTCAACATGGAAGCCAGGTAACCTGGCAGTTCTGTTTGATGGGGCAAGGTGTGTGATGCCTGGATTTTCCTGTGGGAGGTATATCACTGCATCCTTTATTTTCTTTTGTTCTTAGTTTCTACGGCACAGGGCTCATAGCTGGCCATGGCTTCACCAGCCCTGAGCGAACACCTGGCGTCTTTGTCTTGTTTGATGACGACCGTTTTGGCTTCATCTGGCTGGAGCTGCAGTCTTTTAGTCTCTACAGCCGCATCAAGGACTCCTTCCAGAACGCAGATGCTCCCTCGCAGGAGGCTTTCGATGAAATGTTGAAGAACATCCAGTTACTTACATCATGATGGCGGCTTCTTCTGGCAGCTGGAAGGGGGAGGGATTCACGTTTTCCATTTTGAGGGCAAAGCACTCATCCTTGGAGCCACGAGAGCTCGAGACGGCATGCACTTCTTAAGGAGGCCTTTTTACCAAAATGAACGCGCGCACACACACACACACACACACACACACACACACTGCTTAACACACAAATGAAACTTCCACAGTATGTTATGCATAGTTTGCAACATAGGTCTGTATATTTGGAGGACAGCTGGCCAAGGTAGTAGCAGCTTAGCATGCTTGCTTTTCCTTCCCTGCCCCCCTGAAGTTTAGTGCTTGAGTGGGGACAAACCAAAACCAGCACTTTGCAGACAGTGTAAGTAATTGTGTGTGTGTGTGTGTGTGTGTTACACGAGCAGCAGCCACTCGGTATCCTCCCTGAGCCAGGAAGCTGTTCTCCAACACGGCTCTGTAGCCCCGGGCTTATTTTCTGAACATGCCTCTCTCACTTAAGAATCATGTTAAAAATTTTGATCTGTGGCTAACTGCCATGAGATTCAGATGTTAGTATGCCCCTTTGCTTCTCATCAGGAAGCGTTCCTTTAAATGTGAGAGTTCTGACTGGGCAACTCTGTCTGTGTGAGTGGGGTATGCGGGGAAAGGGAGAGAGACCATGCAACAAACACAGCCTGGTTGCCTCTTTCCTAACCTTTTCACAGGCTCCTTTGCATTCCTTTCTTTTCCACCTGCTGTACTGTGGCAGGAAATTAGGGTAGGCAAAGAGATCTCTGGAGCAGTTGAGTAGGAGGTACCCTTGCTGTATATTCTCTTATTTCCCCCCATGTCTCTGAGCCCATCATGTGACTTGGATAAGAACTTTACAGCATTATGTGGCTGCAGGTTCAGGCCTGTTGATATGATGATGATGATTATTTATTTTGTTTCTTGAAAAATTATAAGTTCCACAACACACTAGATGCTCTCTCCTGTTCTCTCCCTTTCCATGCCATTCAGCCACTGTGCCTCTTGTGTGAGGGTTTGACACTGGTGCCCTGGCCTCCTTCTCCTGTTGCTCAGCATTTGCTTAAGGAGTAGATCCTTGGAAAAGCTGCTGGGGTTTTGTTGATGGAAATCAAGATGGCTGCCCACCTTTGGGCACTTTAAGTGGGTCTTGCCAAGTTCTGGCCTTAGTTGGGCCCAAGCCACCTATTCTTGGGAGCTGTAACGTTTCCTCCTTCATGCCATGTATGCACTACAAAATGCAACTAATACCCGGTGCCCTCATTCCGGTTTGCACCCTCTACAAGCCTTATGGGAAGCTGTGTGATTCTCATGCAATTCTAGGATTTGTTCTGTAATTTCCCTTTACTCTACCTAGGGATCCTTCATGGGAACAACCTTCTTTTAAGCAGCTGGAGCTTGCAAATATATGTCTAATTTGCAGAATCTTTGTATTTCTTGCTTTCTTTCTCCTTTGCCCTCTGCCCCACCATTACAGTTTTGGAAAGCTTTCCAGCTCTTCTTAACACCCGTCCTCTGCAAAATATTCAAGTCCTTCAGCCACCTGGAAGGGAAGCTGAGAAAGAAGAATGACCAGCCACCATATTCCCATGAAATCGCCACAGAGGGTGTCCAAAACGGACAACTCAGACCTTGAAGGAGCAACACATCAACCACTGCACTCTCTTACCATACCACATTTCATGCAACTTCTTCTGGAATCCTCTTGGGTATCTTTGGAAGATGCTCCAGCAGAAATCCCTTGGGTATCCCTAATCATAGGATTACAGGAATTATAACATGAACAACAAAAACTATCCTTCCATGCCCATTGTTGAGGTTTATCCACTGGGAGGGAAGAATCTGCTCTGAGCTTTTTTGCAGCATTGTAATCACTGTATATAATGCATGTCTGGTTGCTGTAGCGTTACAAAGGGAGAATTGTAATCTTTCTGTATGAGCAAGGAGGGTGGTTGGGCAGGTCTAACATAACCCTTTCTCGGGGGAGATGCTTCTTCATTTCCTACAGCACCAACAGCAATAAATCCATTATTTGTAGTATCAGGGTCTCAAAGCTACACTGGAGCCATATTTAAACTCATGAATTCAATCCACTGATGAGAAGAGGATGAAAGGGAGGTTGAGGTCTGGACCGTGGGGGGTGGGGTGGGGATGTCGCAAGTGGTAAGGAGAAAAGAGAAAGCCAGATCTTGCTGGAAACAGTTAAAAGCCTTCATCGACAATGCTTGAGGCAGGTCTGGGGAAACACAAGAGGAAGGTGAAAAAGCATGGAAGGGGAGCCTCAAGGGACAAGGCTAGAATTCTTGAGATATTCGTATCAGTGCAGAAGGGAATCTGCATGCAGATTAGAGACTGCTGAACATGCAGGTTGGCTGCAAGAGGTTTTTATATACTCTGTGCAGGCTTGGTAGGGAACAGGCATTGGCTGTAGAGACAGAAACGTGTGCTCTGCCAGGACGTGGGAAAGAAACCTCTGTCTTCTTCCATAGGCTGGAATGCCCATGAGTCCTGGTTTCTTATAAACTTTCTTCACTCCTTTTCAGCATTCTGTCCTCTGCACTTCTTTAGAGGTTTGCTTGTGCAAAAGGAACAGGACTGGGTAATGTGAAGCGCAAGATGAGATTACTGGGAGGTGTGAAAATGATTTGCTTGAAACCAGAAAGTGTCTTCCAAACTTTGTAGCAGAAATACAAATTGGTTGAATTTCAGCAAGTTGTACAAGTGGTGAGGAAGCTGTGGGTGTGGGTGTGTTTGCTTGCCTCCCGTGGCTGCCCTGTTAATTCACATTATAAATGAGCACCAATCCTGATTAAGGATTGTAAATGATGTGTTGCAGTTGTGTTGTTATTGATCAACCCAGGCATGACTACTAAGCTGCTCTTACAGTATGTGTGCAGTTGGCGTCTTGACTCCTCAGTCCTTGCCTGAACCTTTTGCAAATGGAGCATTTTACGTAGCTTGGTCTTTCTGTGAGAGCTGATGTGTGGATAAAGGAGGCTGATTCTGCAGTTTCACATGCCAGGAAATGGGAGGGAGTATACAGCTCCATATACTGTAGCTAGGCCCACAGGTGGGTCAGATAGGACCATGCACTAGCAACAATAAAGTGAAATTCAGATGTAATGTTTATCTTTGTCAAATGGGTACAATAAGAGCAGGGGGTGCTAAACCCGGGTAAGTGTGTATGTTTACAGCTGTGTGTAGACACACGTGTGTGCATGCTTGCAACTCTCTGTGGTGCACCTTCGACAGGAGTCAGGTCTGGATTTGCCCACACCATCACAGGTCCTCCAGGTACAACACTCTCACTCTTTTGCACTGACATGGGCTGGAGATTGAATCTGCTCCCTGCCCCCAGCTGAACGCAGCCATGCAGAATCTTGCCCGCTTCTCCCTGCCCAGGCCTGGCCTGTGTTCTGTTTCCTGGTCACAACAGAACGTTGGCAGCTGCCTCTTCTGCACAATGTCCACCTGTGTCCTTGGCACATTGCAGAGTACCGTAATAGGAGAGACAAGACACAGGTCCCTGCCCTGAGGACCTCACAGTTATGCTTCGGTAGGCAAGGGAAGTGACACACAAATGAGGTACAAGCACAGCAGGAGAGGAATACAGTAGATGCCATGATGAAGTTAGGTAACTTCAGACTCTGGGCTTTGTGGGGGCACTTTAGATAGCAGGGTATATTATTCCACTCAGCCCTACTGCATTTGGGGGCCCTCCTGCCCCAGAGCTCTGCCCCGAGAGCATTACTGAACACATGCAAATTACAGTCCTGGATGTTTAGGCTTTGTTTCAGTTACTAATGAGTCCTGGATCTTGTTTCAGGTACTATTCTGTGGGTAGTCCTTCAGCTGCCTGTACTAATAGATGCTGTTGTTTTATCCCCTTTGAAAAATGGCCATTGCTCTAAAGCAGCTGGTCCTTCAACCTCCTGAGGCCACAGCTGTTTCTGTGCTGAATGTGTGTGAGGGGATTCATTTTGCCATAGGCTGTGGCATGGCGTAGTATGCCTGCTGGAGTTAGTGGGGCCTTGTGTGTGTGACCCATGCCCTTGGTACTGCAGCCGTCTGTGCAGAGGTTGATGTGCCAAGGAGCCTCCCTGCTCTGGGTGGGTGAATGGAAGAATATTGAAAACTTCTTTTTCATCCCTTCCAGCCATGTACAAAAAATTGGGCCTGGCACCTTATCCTCCAGGAGTGGCATCCCACTTTTATTTCCCATCCCTTCCATGGTGTGGGGATGAAGCTTCAGCGGCCCAGCCTGCACTGCTTTCTGGGTGGCAGATATGCAAGCTCCATGTCTACATATTCCTTTTCAACCTGCTTATTGTTTCCCAAGGAGCCTTTTCCAATTTCAGATGACAATAAAAAGAGATTTTTGCGAATTTGAGACTCGTGTTCTCTGATACTGCGAATTCAGAACCTCAGGCCAGGTCAAACAATTTCTCAATTCAGACCAATATTGTGTACTTTTGACAGGCACCACCAGCTCTGCCAGGGCTTTAGCTGAGACTTTTCCCATCACTCATCCCTGAAGCCAGCAGGGCCTGCCAGGATTTTAGGTGTGATCTTCTGCCTGCAAAGCATGACTATATGGAAACCCACTGTGTTCGATTAGGCAGGGTAACTTCCTAACAACTCTGCATTTAAACCCTATCTAGTTACTGAGATCCAACAGCAGGTCACCTTTTAATAGGAGCAAAACCTCCACACTTGTTTCCCACTGGCTTCAGTCTAATTTAAGCAACCTACAGCAGGAGCCCCACCCCACCCAGTGACATTTTTTTTTTACAATTCAGGCTGTAGAGAGGAGGGTGTGGCCAGTGATTTGATGGTTTTGGAGATTTGGTTTTAATTTCCTGGATCCAACTTTTCCCCTCTTCCTGGCACCTCCAGCCGGCAGCCAGATTGCACTGAAGTTGCCTCTGCCTCCCTCTTCTTCCCCCCACAATGACTTCTCACCTTGCCTACAGTCTTGTCCTGCAGTTCTGGCCCCCACAGTGGTGTTGCTTCAAACTAAGAACACAAGGTGGCACTCTTGAGCCACAGGCCCAGGGAGGGAAGCAGGGATGCTGCCACCAGATTATTACATTGCCCAACCAGGAACTTCCCATCCCAGGAAATGGGAACGCAGGAAATTGCTTTATAGTGAGTCAGGCTGCTGGTCAATCTAGCTCAGTATTGTCAAAAATAATTGGCAGCACCTCTCCAGGGTTTCAGCCGTGGGTCTCTCCCAGGTCTACCTGAAGAGGATTGAACCTGAGACCTTCTGCATGCAAAGCAAGTGCTCTGCCACAGATGCCTTTCCCAACTCACTTTCCTGTCGCTCCACTGCAGTTCAACTCAAACCACAAAAATATTTGGCCAGGCCAGGACTGGTGCTCTTCATTTTGCATTCATTTTGCGAATCTTCATGAGCAAAGTGCTTTCTTCCAATGTACTCCAACCTTACCCCATACCTCTTCTGGTCAGCCCCTCAGAGAGAGGCTGTTCTGTGCATTCACTTACAAGCTTATCTTCATTTGTTGCAATACACGTGGCCTGGTGATTCGCTTTGGGCCAATAATTCAGCGCCTGCAATGCTTAGCTTGGTTCCACTCTGCCAGAGGGCCAGCAGGAATGAGGGGTATCTAGTGCAAGGAATAGCCTCTGAATGCACTGCAGAACCATGGAGTTTCCCAAATCATGAGCGAGCTGGAGTTAGAGGGAGTGAACAAAACTTCTTCCTCCCTGCAATAAATATTTGGATGGTTACTGAACACAATCTGTGGCTCTCTTCACTGCGTAGATTGACTGTGCAAGAGGGCAGTGATGTACTTGTCTGTTTTGTAGCATGTCCCTCCTCCACTGATATCAGCATTTGCCTGCCCACATGGTCCCCATTCTCTTCCATTCTTTGAACTCAAGTCAAAGATGACATATGTAGCCAGCTGAGCCCTCCATCAGAGACTCGGGAAAGTTCATTGCACCTTAGCTTGCCATAATCTTGAGGACGGAGACGATGGCACATGGCACCCCACAAGCCATGTGCTGAGCCCATCACCTATGAAACCAGCCAAGACTGCAGCCAAAGCGACTTCAGTTTATGTGGGACACTGGGAGGCCGGCAATCTCTTTCATCAAGACCATCTCGGGGAATGATCTATTGCCTGCCAGGTTGTGGGACCCGAGGCTCAAGATGTGCAGCATGAACAGGACCAGGAGGTGGAGATACAGGATGGTGGGCTGGGCTCTGCTTCCTTGGAGGTGGGACTCCTAGGTGCTGCTTTCCCTACTTATTCTCCTGCGTGGAAACCGCAGCCCCACTTTTCGTTTGGCGACTCTCCTCTGAACAGCCTCTCATTACCAGGATGTCTGCATCGGATCGGGTAGTGGTGGTGCTTGGCGGAGCTGGCACAGTGGGCTCTGGCATTGTCAAGGCGCTGCTGGAGAAAGGTAAGGCTTACATTGACGTGCCTTCCATCCTGCAAGAGCCTGGGTCGAGATTCATTGACTGTGTCTGTGTGTGTCTGCCTGAATGCATATACTTGGGGCTGTCTGAGTCCAGCAGCTGCACTTTCAACTATCTTTCCATGGTGTTCTGATCTGTTTGACTCCTGCTACCAATTGTTTGTTTCTACCAAGCGGTGATGAGCTCCAAATATACCATGGAAGTTCTGATATTCTAACATCAGGCATGTGTGTGTGTTGAGGGGGACAGTATCTGTGACTAGTGTGCTTTTTGGAAGCACTTTTCACAAACCCAGAAGCCACTTGTGTGTCTCTCATTAACTCATGTGCCCGAAGCCTGAGCCCTAGCATTGAAAATGCTGAGCTCTGTTTCATCAGCTGTTCTGCCATCAATCAGACATAGGAACTGATACAATGGCATCCATGCCCCCTCCTTGTGCCCAGGGCGTTGCCTCCTCTGATCCTTTGTCATCTGTGCAGGCTTCCAGGTTGCTGTCATTTCTCGAGACAGAAGCAGATTGGAGAAGCTGAAACAGTTTCTGCCTCCATCAGCCTGCCAGCGCCTGCACACCCTGGTTGGGGACGTAGGTAAGACTTTGTGTGTAAGACCTCGGCTGCGGTGCTTCTGAGGGCCATTAGTGTGGGACTTCTGTGGGAAAATACTGGGCAGAGGGAGTTGGGGCTGAAATGTATGGATGATGGAGAAATTCGTTTAGTTTGCATCTAAAGGTGATTCTGTCAAATCTGCACTTTCCAAACTAATATGAGAACCAAAACACAACTGTTCTTCAAAGCTGATATTTATCCAAATGCAGTTCTCCAACCACCCGTGCTTACAAGAATGCATATATGAGGGGAAAGTGTGCATTAGAATGCAGAAAACAAGATGCAAAAAATAAATTATATTGAGGGAAACTGCTTCCAAAAAAAAGTGTACATTATTCAAAACTGCATATAAAAATGTGTTTATTAGGAGAACCTAACACTCAAATGCTGGGGAATTTTCATAAGGATTTTTTTTTAAACCCTCAAATTTCTGCAAAAATGTGGAGAATTGAATTTAAGTTTAGACAAATGAGAAACCGAGAGAAGCGAAACAGACAGGTCCTTCTATCCCTGCTAGAACGGTATCTCCATAATGTCCTGGGAGGCGGCTGAGCTGGATGGTGGAGGGAGCACAAATTGATTGAGGTGTCCAGAGCTAGGAAAAGGGAAGGCAGAAGGCACCCAGCAGACAGGCAGCCTTCAAGCCGCAGACGGTTGTATGGCCCCCTCCAGCAAAGAGCTGATCAAGGGTGCCTTCAGAAAAGCAGAGCCAAAGGCAGCCTTTGCATGAATCTGAGGAAGCATTCCAGGATTTGCATTTTGATGGCCAGCATTGAAAGATATTGTGATAAAATTAAGGCAGCAATATGCACCACTGCAGTAAACACCCACATACAATCCTATAGCCTTTAGAATTCAAGGTACTTTATAAATAAAAAGTGAGGAAGGTGATGGTCCATAACTGGGAACATTGAAGAAGAAGAAAAGAAATAGGAGAAAGTACCTGAATTCTCTTGGGAAAATACAAATTCAAATTGTTGCAAGGAAACTCAAGCCTACTTTTTCTTTTCTTTTTAAGGAAGCCCTGACAGTTGAGGGCAATTCTCTCTCTTTTTTGAGGTTTGAAGATGAATCCCCAGCATGCTCAGTGGAGCTTTAGTTGAGCCAAGTATGTTGTCATCTCTCCACCAAATAACTGGGGTCCCTTGGCCAACTGCACCTGCACAGGATGTCACAGTGGCAGTGGGATGCACCAGCCTGTAATCTGGGTCACTGATGCTGCAATCCTTATGGACCAGCTACACCTGCAAGGCAGCCATAGCATCCTATCTGCAGGATACAGGCATCATGCTGTTATTGGCAGGCTACCTGTAGGTGAAGACCCTTGAGTGGCCTTGCTTTTTTTCTTCCTCCATGAGTTTGGCAGGAGGGGAAAGGCTCTGGGCTGCTTGGGAGTTCAGATTGATAATGCTGGGGAATGCAGCCACCTGGTCTCACTATCTCTGCTCCTAAATTTATCCCATCCATCCAGGTTCTGAGGAAGGTGCAGAGGCAGCCAAGGAGGCTCTGCTGAAGAGCACTGGGAAGGTGACGGATGTGGTGTCCTCCTTGGGCTTCAGCTGGTGGCAAGGGGGTCCCCCTCTCACTCAGACCCTGAAGGAGCTGCACCGGGTGAGCAGGGAAATAGGTCAGAAACAGGGGTGCGCCTAGATTGTCTCTGTTTTGCAGGAAGGATTCTAGTGCATACCAGGAATGTAGGTTTGTGCAATTGGCTCTGTCACCCTAAGACAACAAATCCACTTTTTTAAATTTAGAAAACTGGCCTTTTTTTGCAGTAAATTAAGTGATGGGGAAATGCATTGAAAAGTGTGGGATGAACAAACCATTAATGGGAACAGGGGTACCAACTTGAATAAAATATTGTAGGGGCCCAAGTAAGCCCCTGTCCTGCATAATTAATCACGTGATGCAGTGTACACACCATTTGAATGGGAATGCCCATCAACTTTGTGGGGGCCTGGCCCCCTCAAATATTTTATTGTGGGCGCCAAAGCCCCCATGGCCCCTAGGAGTTGGCTCCTATGAATGGGAAGATGCATAAAGACCCCACAAGGTTCAATACTCATATATGACCTGCCTGCAAGAAAATCAGATAGGACACTGTCTAACTTCTGTGTAAGCTTTGTGCAAGCAAAACAGATTGTCTGGAGGAACCCAAAGTTATCCAGATCAACCCTCTCCCATTCTCTTTCCTTCTCCCTCTCTCTGGTGGATAGATTCTGTTTGCTGGCTTTTGGAGCCATTTCTATGATAATGGTACTCTTCCCCTGAGTTGGTCTTGTTGGCACTCTGCAATTATATACTGGAAAGTGCTATAGCATTTTTCATAACAACGCATCTCTGCCCATTGGAGCAGCACTTCCTCCTTGATGCTGGCCAAGCCAGGGTTGAGGGCTTTGGGGTAAGGCCAGCCATCAGGTAGAATGTTGATAGAAACTCCGGAAGTGTCAGCGGTGCTTTTAAGCAATGCAAAAAGCTGGGACAGGAATAACTGGCCACAGATCATGGTTTGTAGTTGCAGAGAGGCGGATTCCTAATTTTAAGAAAACTATAACTTGATCACATTTGCAGAAGAGGTGTGATTGTGTGGATCTCCTCTTTTGGAGACTCTTGGGATACTTCAGCTGGGACAATGAACACGGGGGTCCCTCTGTTTCCTCTCCCACAGGTCCTGGACACCCTCCTTCTCAGCACCTTCACTGCCTGGAAGGCCTTCTTCCCCCTCGTGAAGGACAACGCAGAGGGAACCTACACTTTCATCACTGGTGAGATGAGCTGGGTTGGTCTGCAGTAGGTAACTTTGGGGAGAGAACTTTTGCTGGGGCTTCGGCCAGCCTCTCTTGCCCAGTAGCAATAGAAATGCACCTTTTGTTTCAGTTCGCAGGCCCTCATTGCTTTTCTACCTTTCCAAACCCTCCCTCCAATTAAGTCCTGCATGCCTGAGCATGTGGGCAGATGACCAGCATTTGTGGGGCAGCAGCTTGTGCCTTGTGGGGCTAGGTTGGCAGGGACTGAGCCATCATTGGCACAAAATCTGCCCTGTCGAGAGCTACCCAGGCACATGGGAAGAAGCTGCCTTTTACCAGATCGTACTTGTTAGCCCAGTGTTGCCTTCTCAGACTAGCAGTGGCTGGAGTCTCAAGGCGCTTCCAGACTGTTTCCAGGTGGGATTCAATCACATACCAACAAATTCAGGTTGCGCAATTATAGTTGGGCAGGACGTTTTGCACAACGCACCTGCTCCCCCCCACAAAGACTGGACTTTTTGCAATAAGGGAATTGATGGGAAAATGCACTGGAAAATGTCTCATCCAAGCAGATATTCTCATAGTTGTCAACGTTTCCCTTTTTTAAAGGGAAATTCCCTTATTCCGAATAGGATTCCTCGCAAGAAAAGGGAAAAGTTGACAGCTATGGATATTCTACATCATCAAAGTTGTCTGGGAGGTCTCCAATTGGCTGCAAACATATCCTTTTAGATGGAAAGAGTGAGGACTGAACCCTGGACCTTCTGACTCAGCCACTGGTGGTGATGGCAGCTCCTTCCTTCCTTCCCTCCCAGCTAAATCAGCTTCTCTGTTTCAGGAGGGGCTGGGGAGCGCCTTCTCATGCCAGGCACAGGCTTCCTGACACTGGGGGCAGCAGGGGCCTTGGCCTTTTCCCTCATGGTCCGTGAGGAGTACCCAGACGTTCCCTGCAAGCTGAATGAGGTCAGTGCTGGGTTTGTTGGTGGGTCAGCCAGCTCCCTACCCACGTGGGGAGTAATTTTGCCCTCCCAGGGCTGTAATTAGTGGGGTGTTCAGCATCTAAGAACATAAGAAGAGACTGCTGGATCAGGCCCACAGGCCCACCTTGTCCAGCATCCTGTTCTCACAGCTGCCCCAATTGGAAACCCACAAGCAGCAGCTGAGCACAAGAGCACACTCCTGTCCTCTGCTTGCCAGCAACTGGGATTCAGAAGGATACTGCCTCCAGCCATAGAGGCAGAGCGTAGCCAGATCAACAGCAGGAGTAGCCAATGTGGCACCCAGGAGATGCTGTTGGGTCCTGACTCCCATCCTGACTCCCATCAGCATGGCTCAAAAATAAGCGAAGATGGGGATGTAGTCCATGTTGGCTACTGATCTGTGGGGTTGGTTTCCCTTGCAGGAGAGAGAGCTGGAGACTTTGAGGTTCCTCTGTGAAATGTGTGTGTGTGTGAGGAGAATAGTCCGCAGGCAGACTCAACCCTGATGCTCAGCGCTCCCCCTACAGCTCCTTCCAAGCCTCTTTCTAGCACCAAACCCAGCAGATCTTCCGCGGAACCTTTAACTCACTTAGAACTTTGGGGAAAACCTTCTGAATGACTGAGATCAAAGCAATCCATTAGGCAGGGTGTTGCTGGCATCCACCTGCCTCAGTAGACAATGGTGGACTGCAGGTGGGGCAGTTGAAGGTGCCCAGTTGTGCTGCTAGAGGTTCACCATGGGTCTGGGATAAATGAAATGGCCACTTTAATTGATCCCAGTGAGCCGCAAGTCTCTGACTGGCAAGGTCCATCCAGCAGGGATGGGGAAATCAGTGGCCCTCCAAATGTGGCTGCGCTACAACTCCCATCATCCCTGACCACTGGCTGTGTTGGGTGCTGGGAGTCTGAATCCAACAATGTCTGGGGGGCTTCCCAATTGTGTGCGGATCAGTGGGTGCCTGGCGCAGCCTCCCCCCCCCCATGTCTCTTCTGGCACTGTTTTGGCTTTCCCGGCAGGTGAAAATCAACATGGGTGTGACAACGCCAGAGCACCTGGGCCCCGGGTACGTGAGCCACCTGGAGGTGGGAGAGGCCGTGGCTTCGCTAGTGGACAAGAGGATCGTCTCACATACGGTGCTGAGCGCCAGCTCGCCTGCTGACCTCAAGACCCTGGCGTTGGAAGGGAAGCTTTGAGGCGCCGGCTAGGAGACTTGCCAGCCATACCCACCCATAGTCCCTCCCCTTATGCCACCCCCCTGTGTCTCTCCTTGGTGCCTGACTGGTAGGGAAAGGGTGCTTTTCAGCCCTGAGGCTCCTTCTCCCCTGCTCGAGCCCTTCTTCAGAGCCAGATGGGCACAGAAAGGGAGCATCAACATCACACATAGAAACCGGCATGAGCCACTTCAGGGAGGTAGTGGATCATCTGGTGGTGGATCTGGTTGAGAGAGGGAGAAGCTCCTCTGAGCAACCAAACCTGACCCTCCCCAGGGAAGCGTTAGTCCTCTAGCTGGTTGCACATCAACAGCCTGCCCGGAGAGTCTTGTGGTGGGTGGGCTTGCAAGATTGGGCAGGGATAAGGAGAAACATCAAGTACCAGTGGCCGCAAAAGAGGGTTTAAGGAGGCCAGGGGGATGCTGGGCATTTGTGGCTTGGTTCAGAGGGGCCCCTCTTATCCCAGAAACAAGATGGGTTGTGTTAGATTTGCCTTTAAATAAAACAACCATTGCAAAATTATGAGCAGCTTTGGGAGTTGCCTACCGAGCAACCCCTGCTTTGGGGACTCGCTGTGTGTCCTACAAGCCCACCCAACCCTTTTGGACTACCTTGACGATGTCCTGTCTTCCAGGCAGATGGTTCCAGCCTCCAAGGCACCGGTTTCCTTGCTCTAAAGAGCTAAAGACACCCTGCCCTTGAGTCTCTCTATCTCCCCCGCCACCCTATCCTAAGTGCAGCCCAGCATTTGGAAATGGCCTGTGGCCCACCTAGCCTGGAGAGGAGGGTGCAGGAGAGAGAGAGAGATGCCAACAGCCAAGCACTCGCTGCACATTCCTGTCCCCGTCTTGCCATGTTCATTTGCGCCTTTCACTAAACATTTTATTTAATAAACCCATAATACTGTCTATTGTGCTTTCCTTTCCTTTCTCTTGCTCTCCCTCTTTCTTTTAAGTGCCTTTTGGGAAAGGTCTTTGGGGGGGGGTCTCGTTGGGCATCTGCTTTCTGGGGTGGGTGACTACAGAGTAGCAATGAATAGCAGCGTCAGTTGATCTTTGCAAGGGTTAACACTGAGAAGGGGGTGTTGCAAGGACCCTTTTGAATCCGGGCAGATATCAGGCACCATGTCAGACCCCTCTCCTAGATGAAGCAAAGCACGTTTTCAATCCACACGAACCAACCCATTCCGAAGCAAGGATTTTGCAGCAATGCAATCATATTTGGGAGAGCTCAGCACCAAAGGTCCCTGTCTGGCTCCCACTAGCTGTTTTCCAAGGCCCCCTCCTTTCCAGAGAAAGTACGTGCCTTTCTGCAAGGAGAGAAAAAAGAATGAGAAGCATCTCATCTCCCTTTCTGGTGGGCAGGAGTTTTTGTGTTAAACGATTTCTGTCGAAGAACAAAGGGGCCATACATGCAGAAGCTGGAGGGGAGTCGGGAAAACCCCACCCAGAGGGCAGATTGTTGTCTTTGAAAACACATCCCTCTTGTTAAGATACCACAAGATGTTTGTTAAGATCCTTCTTACAGGCCTGTGAAGAGAGAAATTTTAAATGAATATAAACTTCTCTTTGAGACACTGTAAATTGCCTCTATCCCCTGCCCTGGTCCAGCTCAATGGTGGCAGAACCATTCAAATCACATTTACATTCAAGAGGGCCATGTGGCTTTGTTTCAGTTGCAGCAGGAAAGAACTCTTATAGGGTTTTTTTTGGGGGGGGGGGTTCAGTCTGAATGACACCCATGGGTCCATTCCAAACCTGTGATTCTGTGCCTGTGGGGTAAGAGAAAGGTGACAGCTCCTTCATTAAGGCAATGGCCTTAACTGGCTAGTTAAGTACTGCCATTTACATGCCCAAAGAGATTGTCTTGATGCCATAGAGACAAATGGGTGGGCTTTTTCTCACCTCACCTGGCTGGATGCCAAGTCATCCTAGGAGGGAGAAAGGTGTGGGGTGGGGCTGGGTGTGTGTTTGGGCTGATATTGGAAGGCTTGTCTTGCTCTGTGTTGGACCCAAAGCTGTGGTTTGGGGCTTCCCTGGAAACCAAATGGGGAAGCAAGACCTGCTGGAGTGTTAAATAAAAGCATATTTCTTGAAAAACACTGCAGCCTCCGCTGACCTTCATTCAAAGGAAACAGAACCCTAGGTAAGCACAGGAACCCCCTGGAGTCTTTTGCTGCTTGGAGATATGGGTACATGCAACAGAACTTTTGTTACCATTTTAACTCAGGGGGTTTTAAGTCTCTTCTCATCTCTGAACCCCCAAACACACCTTGCCTACACCTACTCTTCCTCTAGACCAGCGCTCTTCAAACTTGAGTCCTCAGCTTTTGTTGCACTACAACACCCATCACCCCCTGCCGGCTTAGTCAGGGATGATGGGAATTGTAGTCCAACACCTGAGGACCCAAGGCGGATGAACACTACCCTTTCTCCTAGCACATTCTCTCTCTCTCAGCCCTGCATCTCCCCAACATCTCAGGGCTGAAGCCAGGACCATCCTTTCTACCATCAGAATCTCTCCACGTGCCCCAATTCAGTTTTCTCCCCACTCTTTGCTGGGTTCCACAGAAATGGCATGTCCTCACGACAACTCTCACATGGAAGAGGAAGTGGCTAGCATAGCATGGTTGCATGGGCAGCTGCAACAGGCTTGGGAGATTGGCACTAACCCCTGCCCCAACCCAGTGCTGTTGAATCCAGGGAGAGGAAGAGCAGTACAGAAGATAAAAGTTGCACACGGTTGATGAACCTGTGATTGGTCTTCACATCTTCCTGCAAAGAGGTGGGAGGGGGTGAAAATAGGCCCTGCTTAGAATACCTCCAGTGAGCCACAAACAGCCCATCACCCCTCCACTCCTCTGCAGGTCTGGTCTATTGCCGTCTCCCCAAAGTGTGTGGCCAACTAAATTCATCTGATGATCAGGCAAGCTGGCTTTATGATCCCCCAAACTGTTGAGTGGAGGGGAAGAGCTCATCAACGCATGTCTCCACCCAACCGTCAATGCCCCCTCTCTGCTTTCAAAAAACACACGACTTGCTGAGCAGCCAGAAGACAGTGTGTTTATTACAGCCCACCAAGAGCAAAGCTGGACAAGTGGAAAGGGAAGGAACCAGCAATTTGGGCTTGAGGAGTCATGGCTGGCCAGGCAGGGGCACTGCAAGAGGAGGCAGCTCTGAGCATGAACAGCAGCAGCTGGGCCCCCGTTGCTTTACAATGTTCGCTGCTCCTTGCCTTTAACAGCAGCCAATGTGTCTTTGCAGCAGAGGGGCTAGCCAACCTCGCAGGGCTGTTGTGAGGCTCGCATGGAAGAAGCACGTAAGCCAGCTTGAGCTCCTTGGAGGAAAGAGTGAGGAGTGTGATCATAAATAAATATTCACAATAATAATAACAGTAGGAGGGAGGAGGAAGATCACCCCCATCAGACCCGTTGCTCCCCATTCTGCTCTTCGAAACCTCCCCCCAGCTTGGAAGGGCTTACAGCGCAGGTGTGGCTCAGGCAGGTATCACAGGGCCTCCCTTCCCAAAGTCCCGTTTGACTCATCCAGAAAACGTAGCGGAGGGAAGTCCTGCCAGTGCGTGGCTCAACTGCAACTCAGGCAACACACCTGCAGGGGCTTTGTGCAAATTCATCCAGAGGCCTCAAAATGCTCATGGTCCAGGGCTTTGCTTCCACTCTGGCCCAAAGCTTATCTTCAGTAGATCGTGCAAATTCTGACACATGCACACACAAACTCTCTCACACACGCAGTCACTCCTTTCTGAAATCCATGCACTTGGGAGGCAGTGCAAACAGCCTCTAAAAACTGCACCGATCCCATGAGTTCAGTGAGTGGGAGTGGATAAGAACCAGTCTTACCCTGCTTCACCAAGCATACATGCACGTAACATCCATACGCCTCTCTCTCACACACACACACACACATCAGACTCCCCTCTCTTACCTCACAGTATGAATCCCAGCAGGATCTCTGCCCCCTGCCCCCTTTTTCCTGATTCCCACCCGCAGACCACCCATGTAGCAAAAGCAAGGACGCAAGAGGGAGCATGCAGGCCAGGTGGTGGTGGCAGTGGTGGCAGGAGATGCCCATCACATCTCTTGCAGACGCTAAAAGGAGTTCCCGCATTATGATGGGCAGAGGGGCTTGACTTCCTTGGACCCAGCAGCAAATACAATGGATCAGGGGAGGGACAGGGACAGAGGATTCTCCTTAGCCAAGGGAAATAGGAGAAGGAAACAGCCTGATTCTCGTTGTCCCCCCCAGTGCATCCAAGCAGAGAGTCAGCAGCAAATCGAGGCTCAGGAGAGGCACCTCCCCCAAAGCCAGGGTAGTGTCAGATACCACCCCCTTCTCACACCCAGTCCACGCTGCAAGGCAGGGACCCCCTTCCAACATTTCAGGCTAATACAATGGCTGTGAAGATGTCCCCTGCCAATATTGCACAGAGTCCAGGGAGGGGCAGGAGGCCTCCTCCTCCTCAGCAGGTTTGTCTTCTGCAGGCAGGGGGGGAAGGGGGGCCCCTCTGGAGAACACCGCAAGCTGTCACCTCGCAGACTGGAGGAGGGGGGCAGGAGTGTCCCCACCCAAGGGAGAAGGAAAGAGGGGGAGGCCGTCGCCTTGGCACCCCATGGCAGAGCTCAGCTACTTCTGCAGGATGGGACGGCGAAGGGATTCCACGTAGGAGAGGGCGCTCTGCAGGGAGGTCAGGCAGTACCCCTCCTCGCCAATCAGATACCTGGCAAGGAAACGAGAGTGTCAGAGAAACATCTGCTCAGTATCTGCAGGGAGAGACATCAGGCAGATGGCAATGTCCAAGTGAGTGGCTGGAGAAGCTGAAACTCTCAGGGCCTTAAAGCCAACAGGCAACACCTGTAGGAGAGGGTATGCAAGCAAGAAAAGGAGATATAATTTTTTTCTCCCCCATCATATTGGAACTCAAGACGGGCAAGAACCCTGCATTAATGTATGGAATTGGGCGACTTTAAATGAACATATGAAGAGAACCAAACTATGCATGTTTTGGTTTTATATTCTTGTTGCAGTCTGTTGCGTTTCTTGACTAAATAAGGTAATATGAGGAAAGACAATGAAAGTGTCGACAACAACAAAAAAGAGCCTTGTTGCTGGATCAGGCCAATGGCACATCGGGTTCAGCATCCTGTTCTCACAGTGACCCCCAGGCGACCCAATGGGAAGCCTGCAACCTGAACCTGAGCACAGCAGTCCTCTCCTCTCCTGAGGTTTTGGCAACTGGCATTCAGAGGCAGAAGGCTCTGACAGTGGAGGAAGAGGATAGCCATTGTGTGGAGTAGCCGCATCCTTTATGAATTGGTCTATTCCTCTTTTGGAGCCCCACAACTTGGTGGCCATCACTGCCTCATGTGGGAGCAAATATAACCATGCACTGCATGGAGAGGTACTTTCTTTTGTCTGTCCTGAATGTACTGCCCAATTTCATGGAGGATGCTGTGTCAACCCCAGTGGCCAGGTGGAGCCTCCAGGTTCAGAGGCAGTCTGGCTCTGAATGCTGGAAATGCTCAGGGAAGAAGGCCAACTGTCCTCCTTTCTCTCCTCTGTGTGGGCTTCCTATGGGGACATCTGACTGGCCACTGCAGGACAGGGTACGATGAACAGTCTCAGCCACCTTCAAGACGCGTCTACTGAAGGCAGCAGGAAAGAGCAAAGCTTTTTTAAGAAGAAAAAAAGGTGGATTCATAATTAAGATGCTTGGAGCAAGCTTTGGAGTCACCCAGATCTCTTCTGCACTCAGGGCAAATGTTCAAAGCCTAAACAAAGCAGAAATGAGAGGATGGCTGTAAAGTTATGCTGGCTGGGTGCTGTTCTCAGCACTCATCCCTGCAGTCTTTTGAGACAAAGCAGCATAAACCAAAAAGACAGTCAATCAGATAATGAACAAGCTCAGCTAGGAAGGCTTTGAGTCCCTCCAGGGACAAAAAACAAGTCACAGAAGTATCTACTGAAAACAGAGAAGTTAGAAAAACAACGAGAGCTTTTTGGAGTTTGCAATTGGCTGCATGCCTGGCTGTGACCGGGCCACTAGGCAGCTTCTGGGTTATCTGTGGAGGCCTCTGGGCTCGAAATGGGGACATTTCCCAGTCAAAACAGCCGAGCCGCGATCCCCATGCGCCTGTCCAGTCTGATTATGCCTTGGCTGCTTCACCCACATGCTGGCTGCGTCTTGCTCAGACTCCAGAGCTGGCAGGCCGTGTAAGCAGAGCCGACAGCCTGAGGTGGTGGTGGAGGGACTCCTTCCCATGCGGAGGCGGGCGGCACGGAGATTGTGGGTGGGCAGAGCTAGACTCGGCCAGATTTAGGCAATGGTGTCTGTGTCTGTCGCCAGCCAGATTGTATTGCCTTGGGTGGGCCTGTGGGTGAAGACTCATGGCTCCAGAGATTTGGAGAAGGGGATGGAGTGAGGCACTAGATCTCCTCTGCAGCAAAGGAATCCATCCCAAACCACCCAGGGAATGGGGGACAGAACTATGCCCGGTGACTAGGAGCTTCTGTGGCAGGAAATGCCCTCAACTATTCTCAGTGGCTGAGCACTCGCTCTGCGTGCAGCTTTAGTCCTCAACATCTGCAGGATGGGCTGAGAAAATATTATACACACACGCATGATCTGAAACCTGTAGAGAACTGCCCTGCCAGTCTGTGCAGACAACACTGAGCTAGCTGGACCAGTAGTCTGACTTGCGATAAGGCTTGCAGAGTATGCATTTAGTACCTAAAAACATACAGGAACAGACATGACTTCTGAATCAGTCAACCATTAAATTACACCCCAAACCAGATGTTTTCTGGTTACAAAGCCTGCTGCAGAAAGTTCCAACAGGGATTTTCTCCAGGAGAGCTCCAAACTTGGCCTCTTGTTCTTAAGATTTAAGTGCAGGTTTCAACTGGGATATGCTTTTGATATGCTTGCCTGCCTGCTTTCTCTTCAAGAGAGAGGTTGGCCCTGCTTGTCACAGCGGCCGACAGAGGCGCTTCTTCCCTGCTGCCTACCCTTCGTGGATGAACTCCTCCAGCGCAGCACACTCCGAGACCAGCTGAGGCAGGTTGCTCTTGAGGACCACGTAGGAAAGGATGGGAAGGAGATCGTCAGCACCACTGCAAGACAAAATTCCACATCAGCTTTGTGGCCCACACTGCAGGGAGGGGAGGGCTGGCTCAGGGGCCCCACAGGTGGCAGTTTTAGCACAAGAAGTGCCCAGAGGTGCTTGGTCTGGCTCAGCAAGAGGCAGCTAGCTAGGGAGGACCCAGCACACTAGTGACGGCCAAAGTATTGCCGGGGGGGGGGGGGAGTGCAGCATTTCCAAAATGCATGAGAGTCCCCCGAAATGCACCGCAAGCCCATAGTTGTCTGGCCTTGGCTGTGTCGAAAGACACCTGTCAGGGAATGGATAAGGCAGCCCTTCTTGCTGGGGGTCTCTGCAGAGAAGGCTCTGCTCATGGGCACAGCTTCTCCTTGCTAAAGGTGGACAGAATGCATGTTGGCACGACTTAAGGGATGCAATCTGACCTCACATCTTTGGAAGCCGTGGAAAGTTGGACTTTGGTTCTACTACTGCTTCTCGCTTTGCCATTTTAGCTGGGATTTCTACATGGCAGGCGCCTGGACTAGGGTCCCTTCCAACTCTACAATTCTATAACAATTCTATAAGAAAACAATAAAGCAAACTTTAAAAAATTAGAATGCATTTTAGCAAACAACACTGTGGGGTGGAAATGGGGAGGGGAGGGAGGACTTCCGGGTTGGCGCCATCGATAATGGCGGATTCCCTCTGAGTCTCTGAGGGACCAGCTCCGCGGGATCGGGTCTTACCGCTACGGCGAAGCGGGGGCCCTTTAAAAATCACAGGCGGGCGAAGCCTGTGAACGTGGGGACTCGGCGGGCACCATTTGCGCCCCCCCAAGTTGCGAAGGGACCCTTTTTAAGGGCTCCGGAGCGGGACGGGGTGAGCGGCGCGGTGCTGAGAGTCGACTGCTTCTCCCGCGGAGTGAAGCCGCATAGCCGTTATCAGAGAGCGCTGACTTTTTCCTGGGACAATTTGACTTTGAAAGCAACTACCCGTGAGTAGGATTAAACTGGATTTAAAGGGAAAAAACAAGTTAATTCGGCACCGAAGCGGGAAGGTATAAACAGGAAGTCTGCCTTCCTTTCTTGTAAATAGATCAAAGCAAAGAGACTGTAAGCGGAAACTCGGAAAGACGTTTGAGAAAAGACTTAAATCTTAACATCTGGAAAGCGATCTCCCCTCTGGATTGCAGGAGAGGAGGGGGGAAAGGTTTGAACTGTATTTATCTGCAAAAAAAGGGGAAAAGGAAGCTAAAATCCACCGCCTAAAACCTGGGAACGGACTGCCCCGAGATAAGGAATGCCGCTCTGTGGAAAGCCTATCGGTAAGCAGAGGACTTTGGACAGCTAACTCTGCAAAAGAGATACAGTGTTTCTGAACTTCTCCTGGTTTTAAAGTAACTGATTAAGTGCAACTGAAACTGTTGTTTTTATGTGAATTGGGGGACTTATAAGGACTATTTTCTTTTTTAAAAGTTGCAAGCTTTGGCTGTTACTGTGTCCCCCTAGAGGAAGCTTGACATTGCTACAATAACAACTGGGCTAGAGGAATTTTCCATTCCAAAATAAATTTTCAGCCGTGGGATCGACCTTGAATTCTCATGAGAGTGTTATGGCAGATGGAAGAGGAAAGTTAGAGTTGGCGCAGGAAAAAACTACTAGGTCTGGCAGACCCTATCGGACAGATACTGCGTTGCAGCGAAGGGCTTCAACATCTGGACCATCTGGAATACCAGGGGCTGCACCTCCACAGGTTAAACCAAAAGTTATGTCGTCCGAAGACGTTTTGGCACAGGCACTTGGAAAAATTAATGAATCTTTGGAAAATTTAGCTAGACAAGTAGCTGAAACAAATAAACAAGTAGCTGAAGCATCAGTTAAAATTGACCAGAATACTACAAGCATCAATAATTTGGGACAGAAGGTGAATACCAATACAGAGTCTATTGAAAAATTACTACAGGAATCTGCTTCGACTCGAAAGATAGCTGAAGAAGCAAAAGATATAGCAACTGCCACTCAAGAGAAGATACCACCGGTATATAAGCAACTGGAGGACCACGGTTTGACATTGTCTATGATTGAATTGAAAGAGAAACAAAGAAATTTAAGAATCAGGGCTGCACCAGAACGTGAGAAAGACAATTTGGCTGATTTTCTTACACAGGGATTCACAGATTTCTGGCAACAGGATTTGGGGAAGGAAGAAATCAAGATAGAGAGTGCATTTAGACTTGGAAGAGGAGGAAGGAGGAATAAGGTGAGAGACTGCTTGATTACCCTTCAAACAAAAGAGGAGAGAGACAAAATTTTGAATCTGCATTACCAAAAGACTTTGGAAATTTACGACTCAAGTGTGGAGATATTCAAGGACATTCCAAAACATCTTTTGGACTTAAGGCTCAACTACAGAGATCTGGTTGCCCTGCTGAGAAGAAACAGAATCATCTTTAGGTGGGAATTCCCTCAAGGCCTGTCCTTTAAATATAAAGGAAGAAAGATAAAAATAAGATCAGTCAATGACAAAGATAGGTTTCTGAAGGATCACGGAGAAGATCTACAGAAAGAAGTGGAATCCGGAGAAGAGCCAAAAGCACTGGAAAAAGGAATACTAGACATAGCAAACTTACCTTTTGGATTGCATGGTCCAGAGAAAGAGACACCACTGACAGAACAAGAACAGACACTTGGCGCAGTTGGAGGTAAAGCGAAGTAACCCCATCATGGCTCTGCAACTGTTAAGTTGGAATTGTAATGGTTTGAACTCTCCTCGAAAGAGAAAAAGTGTTTTTCATTTACTAAAAAGGAACAATTGGACTTGATTTGTCTACAAGAAACACATGTAACAAGGTTACACAGGAAACTACTGATTAATAAGAGATTGGGACAGGAGTTTATCTCATCTGACAAAGTCAAAAAAAGAGGAGTTGTGATATATGCAAAGGAGAGACTATCACCGAAATTAATTTTTAAAGATGACCAAGGAAGATTTTTGGCAATTGAAATCCAAGTTCAAGGAGAGAAATTTTTGATAGTAGGAATTTATGCACCGAATGAGGGGAAATCTGAATTCTTTAAAAAGTTGCATGAGACCTTATTGGATTATTTGGATTACAATCTGATTTTGATGGGGGACATGAATGGAGTAGTATCTACAAACATGGATAAGGCACAAAGACAGGTAGTTACCAAGGATGGTAGACTACCGAAAACATTTTTGAGATGATAGACAATTTTGATTTAGTGGACACTTGGAGAACAAAGAACCCCTTGGGAAGAGAGGGAACCTTCTTTTCTGAAGCTAAGATGACATGGACTAGAATTGACCAAATATGGGTAACTAGAGGAATGGCACCAAAGATAAAGAAAGTGGAAATCTGCCCAAAAACCTGCTCCGACCATAATGCAGTAAGGATGGAGTTGAAACTAACATCAACTGGCTCCTTCAGATGGAGGATGAATGACACCCTATTTAGAGATGAAGAAGTGTATAAAAAGGCCCAAAAACCTTGAGAGACTATTTTGAAATAAATATGAATACTAATGTAGAAAAAGAGTAATCTGGGACGCAAGTAAAGCTGTCATGAGAGGGTTTCTGATACAACAGAATGCAATAAAGAAGAGAAGTCAAAATGAGAAGAAAGATAAAATTTTGGGGAAAATAAAAGAAAGTGAAAAGAAATTGAGAGCAAAACCAAAGTCGCAGGAGATTTTGAGAGAAATAAAGTTATATCAAATACAATATATGGAAATGATGAATCAGGAAATAGAATGGAAAATTAAACAAATGAGACAAAAAAACACTTGAATCAGCTAACAAATGTGGGAAATTGCTGGCCTGGCAAATGAAAAAAAGACAAAAATTAAATACTATTACAAACTTAGAAGTGGAAGGAAAGAATATACATAACCCAACTGAGATTAGAAATTGTTTCCAGAGGTATTTGAAACAACTATATACACAAGGGCCACAGAAGGAAATGGATATAGACCGATTTCTGAAGACAAATGGCTTACAAAAAATATCCCAAGAAAGTAAATTAATGCTGAACTACAAAATATCTGAACAGGAAGTAGAAGGTGCCATTCAAAACATGCAATTAGGCAAATCTCCAGGACCGGATGGGCTGACTTCTAGATATTATAGATCTTTGAAAGAGTGGCTATTACAACCTTTAAAGGAAGTCTGCAATGAAATATTGGAAGGGAAAAGGGCACCAGAGTCTTGGAAAGAGGCGTACATTACACTTATACCGAAGACAGAGACTGAAAAGACTCAGCTTAAGAACTACCACCCCATATCGTTACTTAATGTGGATTACAAAATTTTTGCAGACATTTTGGCCAAGAGATTGAAAAAAGTATTGATGGAAGAGATTCATAAAGACCAAGCGGGCTTTCTCCCGGGAAGACACTTGTCCGATAATTTGAGGAATATAATTGATATTTTGGAAAAATTAGAAGTGAACATAAATACCAAAGCTGTTTTGATATTTGTGGACGCGGAGAAAGCTTTTGATAATATCTCTTGGAGTTTTATGAAGAAGAACCTACAGGGGATGGGGGTAGGCCAAGGTTTTGAAAACGGTATAAGTGCAATTTATTCAGAACAAAAGGCTAAACTAATTGTAAATAATGTGGTGACGGAAGAATTTAGGATAGAAAAAGGGACAAGACAAGGTTGCCCAATTTCCCCACTGCTTTTTATATCGGTCCTGGAGGTTCTGCTGAACATGATTAGAAGGGACCGGTTGGTTAAAGGTATACAGGTCGGAGCCAAACAGTACAAACTGAGAGCATTTGCAGATGACTTAGTATTGACGTTACAGGAGCCAGAATCTAGTACCAAAAGAGTTTTAGAACTGATTCAAGAATTTGGTCAAGTTGCAGGATTTAAGTTGAATAAGTTAAAGACCAAGGTTTTAGAGAAAAATTTAACACCAATGGAGAGAGGTTTCAGAATGAGACAGGTTTAACAGTGGTTAAGAAAGTTAAATATTTGGGGATTAACATGACAGCAAAAAATGGGAATTTATTTAGAGACAACTATGAAAAATGCTGGGCTGAAGTGAAAAAAGATTTGGAAATTTGGTCAAATTTGAAGCTTTCACTGCTGGGCCGTATTGCTGCGGTAAAAATGAATGTATTGCCTAGAATGTTGTTTTTGTTTCAAACATTGCAAATTGTGGACAAAATGGACTGTTTCAAGAGGTGGCAGAGAGATGTTTCTAAATTTGTCTGGCAGGGCAAGAAGCCTAGAATAAAATTTAAAATATTAACAGATGCAAAGGAAAGAGGTGGATTTGCCCTGCCAGACTTTAAACTTTACTATGAATCAGCAGCTTTCTGCTGGTTGAAAGAGAGGTTGCTTCTTGAAAACACTGACATTTTGGATTTAGAAGGTTTTAACAATGTATTTGGATGGCATGCATATCTGTGGTATGATAAGGTCAAAGCGCATAAAGCATTTAAAAACCATATTGTCAGGAAAGCATTGTTTAATGTTCGGATAAGATATAAGGACTTATTGGAAAACAAACCCCAAGGTGGCTGTCACCGATGGAAGCAAAAGCTCTGAAAAAGCTCAATATGGAGGCCAAATGGCCGAAATATTGGGAAATTTTGGAACAAGATGGAGATAGATTGAAATTGCAGAGTTTTGAGAAATTAAAAAACAAAGTGCGAGACTGGCTTCATTATTATCAGATAATGGAGGCATATAATCTGGATAAGAAAATTGGTTTCCAGGTGGAAAAATCAAAATTAGAAACAGAACTATTAGAACCCAAAACTAAGATTTTGTCAAAGATGTATAACTTGCTGTTGAAATGGAATACTCAGGATGAGACGGTGAAATCTGTTATGATTAAATGGGCACAAGATGTTGGTCATAACATAATGATTGGCTGACTGGGAACAGTTATGGACCACAGGTATGAAGTTTACGGCATGTAATGCCCTAAGAGAGAATATTATGAAAATGATTTACAGGTGGTACATGACCCCAGTCAAGCTTGCAAAAATTTATCATTTGCCCGATAACAAATGTTGGAAATGTAAAGAAACTGAAGGTACATTCTTTCACCTTTGGTGGACGTGCCCAAGGATTAAGGCTTTCTGGGAAATGATATATAATGAACTGAAAAAGGTATTTAAATATACCTTCTTGAAGAAACCAGAGGCCTTTCTCCTGGGCATAGTCGGTCAATTGGTGCTAAAGAAGGATAGAACCTTTTTTATGTATGCCACAATAGCAGCAAGAATACTCCTTGCAAAGTATTGAAAGACACAAGATCTACCCACTCTGGAAGAATGGCAGATGAAGCTGATGGACTATATGGAACTGGCAGAAATGACTGGCAGAATCCGAGACCAGGGAGAAGAGTCGGTGGAAGAAGATTGGAAGAAGTTCAAAGATTATCTACAGAAATATTGTAAAATTAATGAATGTTAGAACGATGTTGGATAGAAATTAAGTGGTTTCTAGCTGTAATGCTTTAAGGGAATATGAAAAAGGGGTTGTTAAGAGGTAAAAATCTAACGTTACTATTTTAAGACCAAAGATTAGGATAAACAAAGAGGGTAAGGATTTGCTGAACCAACAAACTGAACTGGAATACAAAAAAGGGAGGTATGAGGAGGTCCGGGAAACAAGCTAAAGAAAAATAAGCAATGGAAAATCTGAGTGTTTTTAATCATTTTTATTTTGTATTTTTTTTCTTTTTCATTTTTTATTGTAATATTTTAAAAAAATCCTAATAAATATCTTATATATATAAAAAAAAGGAAATGAGGAGGGGAGGGACCAAGAGGGCAAGGAAGCAAGCCAACCCAAGGCAGGCAAAACAAGCTACTCATACAACCTAAGAAGACTTTTTTTTTTGCACAATTGTAACTCTTGTAGGGGAGAGAGAGAGAGAGAGGCTGGTCAGTTTGCCAGCTGTTGCCCAGATGCCAGGGCCTTCCCCAGCAGCCGGTGGTCGGAGGTGCTCTGACGCAAATCGGCCAGGGGAGAGGAAGCAGCTCCCCACTTGCCTAGCCCTGGAATGTGGGGAACAGGCGAGACAAAGCATCCCTGGAGGCAGGCCCCAGACACCCTTGCATTCCTTCCCCTTGCTCAGCGGGGAGCCTGGCAGATTTGTCCCAAGAGTCAGGGCCCCTCCTGCCTGGCCTGGAGCTCTGCCCCTGAAGCCCTTGGGCTGTCTTGCCCTCGCCCACTTTAATTCTTTTGACAGTTCTCCCTCCCCCTTTGCCTGGCTAAGCGCTGCTTGGCTGGGAAGCCGCTCCCCCCTCCCTCCCTCCCCACTGCCCTTCTGCAGCTCGCGGGCTAAGTCCCTCTGACAGATCCAAGCTCCTTAATTGGCAGACTCGGGCTCGGTCCACAGGCGCGGGGACCGGCACTCAGGCTGGGCACAGCGGGGAGCCCCGCTGTCGGAAGGCATCCATCACGGCCGAGCCCCCTTGCTGGGTGCGTGTCTGGGCAGCGGAAAGCCTGGAGCCAGCGAGAGTGAGTCAATGGCAGTGCCGGGAGCTCCAGACAGCAGAGGAGGGGAGGGGAGGGCCTGTGCAAAGGAAGGAAGAAGCAGTAGCCCACGCCTCGAGGAAGGGGCAGGCTCCAAGACAGAGGAAGCCTCTTGCCACCCAGGGCCAACCCAGGGCTTCTCCACACAGGAAGGACTTGGGCTGCAGTACTTACATGGCAGACGATGCTGGCTGGGGCCGGCCCTCCCGGCCCCCGCAGTACTCCTCAGCACATTCACAGATGACACGCAACGTCCGCACTGCAGGGAACGGCAGCCAAAAGACAGTGGGCGTGTTAAAGAGAGGTGCCATAGGAACACAATACAAAGTCAGTTATCAGGTCCATGCCCCTCACCAACTTAGATGGCTTTAAAAAGAGGAATGGACTGATTCGTAGAGGAGAGGGCTCTCAGTGGCTACTAGCCACAAAAGCTGTGCTCTGTCTCCATGGCTGGAGGCAGTGATGCTTCCGCATGCCAGTCGCTGGAAGCCACAGGAGGGGAGAGCACTGTGATGCTCAGATTCAGCCCCCAATGGGGGAGTATCCCCTTCCTGAAACCCTGGAGAACTGTTGCCAGTCAGTGTAAGACAGCATGAAGCTGGATGGGCCAAAGGCCCGGCTCTGTTCCTAAGTTTCTTCCCCACTAGCACTCTAGATAGACAGACATGCAGTCTGCCAAGTGTTTAATGCACCAATGGTTCTGGATTCTGCACAGGTCTCCAGTGCTTGGGTGCTCAGCACCTCACTTGCATCAGGTAGCCTCACCTATGCATTCCAGCTTCTTCTGAGGGCAGCTGCCCAGAGGAATCAGCATCAGCTCCTGCACAGCGGCGCAGTACGGGTAGGATCCGATTCCCCAGGTAGTGTTCCCCTGGGGGAGCAGCTTAGAAGAGATCCCCATTTCAGAGGGGGGCGTATTTCTCTGCAGCTCCATGATCTTGGAAAGGGCTGATTCCCGGGCTTTGTAGACATTCCTGTGTGTGGGGTGGGGAGCAAAGGGGGAGAGAAAGGAACAGCCTGAATGGATGTTGTGGGGTTTCCCAAACTCACAGGCCCCAACCCAGATCCAAAGAAAATGCATTTTACCCTTAATTCAACAGCAAACAGCTTTCTGGCTGCTAAGTCACAGACAACAATGCCACAGCACGAGTGGTGAGAGAGTGAGGACCCTTTCAGTGTACAACACCTGTGCTCAGAAACCTACGCTGGTTGCTCATTTGCTACCGGACCAAGTTCAATGTGTTAGTATACAAAGCCCTTAACCGGGACCAGTTTACTTGTGGGAATACCTTGCCCCATACAAGCCCACTTAGCCGCTTTAATCTGAACCACCACTTATTGCAGGTACAACATAACACCTGCTCCACACTCATAAGAAACTTTGGAACTCCCTGCCTATTGAATCAGGCAGGCACCTTCACTGTATGACCCTTTTTTTGGGCACCTACTAAAAGCATTTTTGCTTAGACAAGCCTAACCAGATAGGTAGAATGTTTACATATGCTTTAATCTGTCTGTAGCGTAGCACTGATTTTAATAGCCATCTGAAAGTTTTTCAATAGCTGTTTTTCGCTTATGGTTTTATTGCTTTTCTGGTAAACCGCTTTGAGGGTTACAATCAAGCGCCATATAAATGTTATGAAATAAACAATATATCAATACAAGTCACTGCAGGCAAAACCAGCCCCTCCACCAGGGAGGTGGCCCAATATCCTCCCTCCCAAGTGGAAGCAACTGTCCACAAGGCAGGGCTTTTCAACCGGTGGCTCTCGCCCCGCCTGCTGTGCTGCAAAAAGTCCTGCTACAAGGATCTCCACCAGAAAAGGCATGGCCCCCTTACCTGTACACAGCCAGGAGAGGCCCCCAGAGGGGGGCAAAGAAGGCCTCCTCCAAACGTGCCACACACTGGTCCTTGGAGGCCGCTGTGTTCAGGCCCTCAAAGGCCAGCAAAGTCAGGGAGAGCAGCCTGTCTGGGGAGAGAAACGATTCAGGCAGAGCAAGCCAGGAAGGCTCCAGAGAGCGACTGGCGCAGGACACTTCCACAAGGCAGCCCAGGAGGAGGACTGACAGGGTGGTCAGCAAATGAAACCAACACAGGGAAGGCCGGTCCTTTAAGGAAACGCTTGATTAGCCAATAAAGCAGACTGAGCATGCCCTTGGGAGACCAGCAAAGCAGGGGCACTAAAAATAATGATTTTTCTTTTAAAAATTGACACTTGATGACAACAACAGCAACAGCAGCAGCAGCAGCAGCAACAACAACAACAACAACAGCACTCATGGGGAAAGTCAGAACTTTCTTACACTGCACTCCACACTCTCCCATTTCATTGTTCTCTTTCTGCTCACTTAGATTACTGGAACGCAAGAAGCTGCCTTATACCAAGTCAGACCATTGGTCCATGTAGCTCAGTATCCTACAGACTGATTGGCTCTCCATGATTTCAGGCAGGGGTCTCTCCCAGCCCTAGCTGGAGATGATACTGGGGATTGAACCTGGGACCTTCTGCTTGCAAGGCAAATATCAAATATCAGAATAATGCAAGGAAATGAGATCCTGTTATGTGTAGCAGCAGATCCATTTTATTTTAAATATATATATATATATTGCTGAGCTCTAAAAAAACCCCAAAACATTGGGGGGCACCATATGGGGCACTGCCCAAAAAACCTCCGTCTGCCCTCAGCCAGCTCCTGCCTGTGTGAACTGGCTGGCAGGTTTCTCCTGCTCCATCTCAAGTCTTGCCTGTGTAGAAGGAGGAAGCTTCCTGGCTCTGGCATTCTATCGGTCTCCCTGCCTCCCGTCCCAATGGGCAACAGCCACCAGTGAACCAACATTTTCAGCCCATGTGTGTGGATTTTTCTCTATTCCCCCACCTAAGACTGTAGGTTCTGTGGACGAGTCAGCTAATGAAAGCGAGATGGTGGTGGTCAAGACTGCAAGAAACCCCTTTTAAGGGGAAAGGTACAGATTCAGCACTTTACAGCCTTCTGGGACAAGGATTCCAAGGAGGCAGTGCTGCCCTCTTCTGGTGGTGCCCAGGGAGCCACAGAAGATGAATCTTTCAAAGCAGCCTTTCACAACTTGGTGCCCTTCATGTTTTGGACTACGACTCCCATCAGCAACTGTCAGTATGGTCATATGATGCTGGGGCTGATGGGAGTTTTAGTACAAAACAACTGGAGGGCAATAGACTAGGCAGAGCAGGGAGGCTGATTGATGGAATTTGCCACCACAGGAAGTGGGGATGGTGCCCGCTGTCTTGGATGGTTTCAGAAGAGGACTTGCGGGGCTCTGTTGATGTTCTCGGCAGAGACGGGATAGCGTCCCAAGGTTCGCTTGCTGGTTTCGATTTTTAAAAAATCAAAAGAGCATGATGAAGCGGGTGGGTGAAGCTAAGGGCAAATCCTCGATTTTGAATTCTCACATACTTGTCCATTGAAACTTTGTAGGATTTGGCACATCCTTACTACTTTCACAGCACTCCCCCCCACCAGGTCAGGGGTCACCCCTCCCCGCCATGGCCGCCTGCCCTGTGTCCGATGCAAAAGACTTGGTGGTGGTTATTATTGTGAAAATCTTTTGTAAGCTGCTTTTAATGTAGAATAAACCTGAACCAAGAGACAGGATTTTTTTTTTTAAAGTTACGAGTGTTAACTGGCATACTGATGCCAGGATGTCTGCGTCATCCAAAACAGATTGTGAACCACCACTGCTGATTTGCTCGTTGTTTCATTTCCCTCTTACTTTGCTTTTTACAGCCTCGATCTATATAATATGTGTTCGCAACACGAGATGAAACTGCATGCATTGGACGAAACAGACATCTAACGCACAAAAGCCTTACTCCATAATAAATGCAAAAGGCTCTTTCGTTCTTGCAAACAAATTAAGCTGCTCTCACCAATGGAGTTGTGAATGTCCTTCACGACTGCTTTGAGCTGCTCTTGCTGGCTTGACAGCTTCCTCCCGGCCGGCGGGCCCTGGGGCTCTCTCAGGGGCCCTGAAGGCCAGGCTTCGGAGGCAGACAAGAACTGCTCCAGGTCTTCGAAGGAACTCTCCTTCTCTGCCAGGGCAGGTGCTGGCTCCTCACGAGGCAGGCTCCGCTCCGGGGTGCTCAGGCTGGGGTCCTCGATGAGGGGGCTGCTGGAAACGCTGTGCCGCAGGTTGAGCTTGTTGTTTTCCTGGACGGAGAACATGGAGTGCATGCTTTGGGAGGACCGCAGCCTCCGGCCCTCGGGGGCTGGCGAGAGGAAGGCCTCAGCGTCCAGAGAGGAGGAGAGGGAAAGGCCTCGGGAGACCTTCCCAACGGCTCGAGAGTCTGCTCTGCCCCAGCTCACGAGTGGATAGACGCGGCTGTAGGCCGAGCACTGCAACTTCCGCAGCAGCTGGCAGATGGGGTGATCCGCAAAGCTGGAGGCAAGGAAATGAGGGACTTGTTAGAGAATCATGGTAGGAAGGACCTGCACCCACGGACCCATTCCCTTTGGGGGCTGCACCACTTTCTCTCTCACTCTCTTGGGGCAGAACAAAACAAGGAGGCCACCTTTGGCCAACAGGTGCAGAGATGTCAGCTGCCCAAGAGATGACATGGACTATAACCGAGAAGGGTTTAAGGTTCCTAGATCTCATGACAGCATAAAATGAACACAAGACCCTCAGGCGAGAGGAGGGATGACCTCAGGGGAGTCTGTGCAGGGTCACATCCTTACCTTCGTTTATCTAAGCTTTGCAGCAGCTGCCTCCTGAAAGGTTTGGGGTCTGTGGGTGTAAGAGATTTGCAGCAGCACCCTTGACACAACAGGGGCAGGGAAGATCTGGGGGGCCTCCAGATGTTGCTGGACTCCAGTTCCAATCAGTCCTGACCATTGGCCATGCCAGATGCTGGGGCAGAGGGGAGTGGGAGCCCACCAACCTCTGGAGGGCCCCACAGATGCTCTTCCACCACTGCTTGGCAAGATCATTTGGAAGCAAGTAAGCATGCACAGCCAACCAAAATGATTTGTGTTGTATCTACTGTAAGTGAAGCTCAGTGAGGACCCATTGAAATTAATGGGCATTACTGTGTTAGGTCTATTAATTTCAGTGGGTCTACTCTCAGTAGAAGTTAGGTGGTGACAACTCTGCCTTTACTGGACTTCTCTGCAACCCATCCCCTCTGCAGGGAGGTGGGACCAATTCGGATGGTCCGCCCCCACCACTTAATGGATCCAAATGGTTTCCAGAGAGTGGTAGGGGATGCTTTATCCCATGTTGATGGCCTTTCAGCTGATTCCCTGGTGGCCCGCTGGAATGTGGAGTTAACCAGGGCTATTGACTGTTTGGCTCTGAGCGCCCTCTCCGATTGCATGGAGCCCGGACAGCCCCGTGGTTTTCCACGGATCTGAGGGCAATGAAACAATCGTTGAGACGGCTAGAGCGCCGGTGGCGGATAACTCATTCCGAATCTGACCGGACACAGGTTAGAGCTCAACGTCGAGCCTACCAAGTGGCGATAGCGATGGCGAAGAAGAATTTCTTCACCGCCTCTATTGCATCTGCAGAAAACAGCAGCAGGAGACTTTTTCAGGTGGTTCACAATTTAGCGGAACCACCTGCAACATCGGGGCCCAGTACGGGCCACATGTTCTCCTGCAATGATTTTGCAAAGTTTTTTGCAGATCAAATCGCTCAGATTCGGGAAGAAGTAGACTCCACCGTGGGAGCAGGGCCGGGGCGGGAGAGTGCTAGAGTTTTGTCTAGTCAAGTTGAGTGGGATCAATTCCAATCTGTTACCTCCGAGGATGTGGACAGGCTGCTTGGACGAGTGAAACCAACCACCTGTCTCCTGGATCCTTGCCCATCCTGGCTTATAAAAGCTAGCCGGGAAGGACTGGGCGATGGGCTTCGTGGGGTGGTGAATGCTTCCCTCCGTGAGGGAGCCTTCCCAGACCCGCTGAAAGAGGCGGTTATTAAACCGCTTCTTAAAAAACCATCTTTAGATGCGGCCACGATGGCCAACTATCGCCCAGTCTCAAATCTTCCATTCTTGGGCAAGGTGATTGAGCGAGCGGTTGCTGAACAACTCCAGGCACGCCTGGAAGAAGCGGACCATTTGGATCCCTTCCAGTCGGGATTCAGGCCTCATCATGGGACTGAAACTGCCTTGGTCGCACTGGTTGATGATCTCCGGCGGGCTAGGGACAAAGGTGAGAGCTGTTTCCTAGTTCTGCTGGATCTCTCAGCGGCGTTTGATACCATCGACCATAACATCCTTCTGGACCGTCTTGAGGGGCTGGGAGCTGGGGGCACTGTCATACAGTGGTTCCGCTCCTTCCTCCTGGGCCGTGTTCAGAAAGTGGTGGTGGGGATGAGTGTTCAGACCCCTGGGCTCTCACTTGTGGGGTGCCTCAGGGTTCTGTCCTCTCCCCATGCTTTTCAACATTTAACATGCAGCCGCTGGGAGAGATCATCAGGAGGTTTGGGCTGGGTGTTCATCAGTATGCGGATGATACCCAGCTCTACCTCTCTTTTAAATCAGAACCAGTGAAGGCGGTGAAGGTCCTGTGTGAGTGTCTGGAGGCGGTTGGAGGATGGATGGCGGCTAACAGATTGAGGGTGAATCCTGACAAGACAGAAGTACTGTTTTTGGGGGACAGGAGGCGGGCAGGTGTGGAGGATTCCCTGGTCCTGAATGGGGTAACTGTGCCCCTGAAGGACCAGGTGCGCAGCCTGGGAGTCATTTTGGACTCACAGCTGTCCATGGAGGCACAGGTCAAATCTGTGTCCAGGGCAGCTGTTTACCAGCTCCATCTGGTACGTAGGCTGAGACCCTATCTGCCTGCGGACTGTCTCGCCAGAGTGGTGCATGCTCTGGTTATCTCCCGCTTGGACTACTGCAATGCACTCTACGTGGGGCTACCTTTGAAGGTGACCTGGAAACTACAACTAATCCAGAATGCGGCAGCTAGACTGGTGACTGGGGGCGGCCGCCGAGACCATATAACACCGGTCTTGAAAGACCTACATTGGCTCCCAGTACGTTTCCGAGCACAATTCAAAGTGTTGGTGCTGACCTTTAAAGCCCTAAACGGCCTCGGTCCAGTATACCTGAAGGAGCGTCTCCACCCCCATCGTTCTGCCCGGACACTGAGGTCCAGCGCCGAGGGCCTTCTGGCGGTTCCCTCATTGCGAGAAGCAAAGCTACAGGGAACCAGGCAGAGGGCCTTCTCGGTAGTGGCGCCCACCCTATGGAACGCCCTTCCAGCAGATGTCAAAGCGATAAACAACTACCTGACATTCAGAAAACATCTTAAGGCAGCCCTGTTCGGGGAAGTTTTTAACGTGTGATATTTTACTGTATTTTTGGTTTCTATGGAAGCTGCCCAGAGTGGCTGGGGAGGCCCAGCCAGATGGGTGGGGTATAAATAATAAATTATTATTATTATTATTATTATTTCTCCAGCTTTCCTCCAAGGAGCTCAGGGTGCCCCCAGTTTACTTCCACAACGATTCTGCAAGGCATATTGGGAGGAAAGCAGATGTTTTTTCCTTGCTTTTTTCTTTTTTTTCTCTTTGACTTTTCTGTAATCTTAAAATTCTTAATAAATATCATTTAAAAAAAAAAAAAGGAAAGCAGATGTCTGATTATGTGCTAGAAGCCAAAATATTAGCTGACTGAAAATCCAGGCTACACAACAACTTAAGTATGCACCTCATAAGTCATTCCTGAAAAGTCCTTCCAAAGCTTCTGACAGATGCTCAGGCAATGACTTGTCTGAAGACAGTCACGGGGCAGGGAGTTCCCCAGCAGCTGATGAATGCTTTTCCCTTGCCGCATCTTACGGCGGGAGCATGCGCAATGCTGAGAAGGGCACTCACAGGCAACCTCAAGGCCACCACCCCTGCTTGGGCCACAATAATCTACCACCATTTTAAAAATATCATTTATTAAATTTCTATACCACCTTTCATCAGAGGCTCACAGAGCAGTTTACAATGTAAATATTGCAGTTGTTGTATAAGGGATTATTATTATTATGACCAGAATGTAATTGAAATTAATAAGATTTTGGAACACAGAAAAAAAATATCATCAAATCATCAATTCTAGCATGAAGGGGGCCACCCTATCTAAATTATATAATTCGGTATTTGAACAATTGGCATTAGTAATTATATTATAAATTGATATTGTTACAATGAGGCTATTATTGGATTGTAATTGAAAACTAATAAAACTATCATCCAAAAATACAATATAAAAACACAAGAATACAGACATAGTAACAAACAAAAACAATAAAACAATACCCCTCCCACCTGCCAAAGACAGTTTAAAAGGCCACAGATTGTTTAATTAGCTGAAGACCTGAGAGAAAAGGAATGTTTTTGCCTGGCACCTAAAGATATGTAATGGAGTTGTCAGGTTAGTCTCCCTGAGGAGAGTATTCCACAAGCATGGAGCCACTGCAGAGAAGGCCCATTCTCGTGTTGCCACCCTCTGGACCTCTCAGAGAGGATGTACACGAAGGGCCTAAGAAGGTGATCTCAGGGTCTGGGTAGGTTCATATGGAGAGAGGTAGTCCTTGAGGTATTGTGGTCCTGAGCCATTTAAGGCTTTATAGGTCAAAACCAGCACTTTGAATTGGGCCTGGAAACTGACGGGCAGCCAGTGTAGTTGGGTCAGGATTGGCATTCTATGCTCAAACCATGTTGTCCCAGTGAGCAACCTGCCCACCAAATTCTGCACCAACTGAAGTTTCTGTACCGTCTTCAGAGGCAGTCTCACATATTACATGCTGCAGTAATTTCTCCTGCCCAAGGCCTCCTAGCAAAGCCCACACAGGTTACAACCATTTGCTCCTTACCTGAGGAGGTGGGAGATGAGCTTGGGCACCAGGGACAGATCGTTGGGGCTTTTCCTCAGCTGGGCTTTCCACAACCTTGGCCACTCCTGTGGGAGCAGAGAACACCATTGCCTTGTGCCAGCCACCCTTTCCACTTGCAGAACAGTCCCCAATTCCCATCTGGCAAACACCGAAAGCTGCAAACATGGTGCTGGTTGACGGCTCCATTCCCCCCCCCCCTGCTGTGTGTGTGTTTGGGGGGATGTCCCTCGGGGCCTGACCCACCTAGGCAAGGGGATAAGTAGTCTAGCCTTCAGCCAGGGCGAGGGGGGAGACTTCCCATTAAGGGACCTTAGATTCCCTTCCTGTTATGATTCTGGATTTGCAAAGAGAAGGCTTAGCGCAGAGCACAGGAAGATGCTTTGGCCAAGTCAACCCAACACTAACCGGAAACAGCTCTCCAGGTTTTCCCAGGCAGCGGGTCCTTTCCCAGCCCCAAATACAACCCCAGGAGCTGAACCTGGACCCTTCTGCATGCCAAGCACATGCTCTCCAGCCAAGCTGCAGCTCTCCCCTTTAAATCCCCCAAGCACAACCAAGAATGCTGGGTGGATTTAGCCTCTCCGCCCCATTTCCAGACTCAGGCCCCCCACGGTGGCTCTCTGTCACCCCTGCCCTTTCCAGTAAAGGACCACATCCTTTCAGAGCTGGACCTTGAGAGGCACCAGGTAGAGGACACTCGGTTTTGCGCTGTCACAACCAACTACACCACCCATCGCTGGCCTCGCACGTACATGGTCCTGCTCGTACTCCAGGATCGCGGCGTAAATGGCCCTCTGCTCCTGCTCTTCTGGGGTCAGCACCGCATTGCTTGAAAACCTCCTAAGGAGATGCAAGCACAAGGCTCGGGGTCAGTGGGGGAGCAGAGCACCCAGGCCTCCCTTTCCAAGCCACGATCTAGGGGCACAAGGAGGCTTTGCTTGGCCCCCACAGGACAGACTCACCTGTTGGCCGCTTCCTGCAGCCTCAGCCGGCGCTCCTCCATCTTCCTCTGGAGCTGGAGGGAAGCAGAGTTAAGGTTTCACAATGCAACACTCCCTCTTCCTCCGCCTCTGCCAGAGTGACCACATCTCCCCAGAGGCCAACAAGGGGTCTCTTCCTCCATTTGCAAGCATCACAAGCTCATGGGCAGGTAAACATAGGAGGCATCCAGTAACTCCAGTCCTCCTGGTCAGTTGGGGGGGAAGGGAGCCACTGGAGAGGAAGAGAGGAGCCCAGCCACCAGCATATAACCTCACAGACATCCCTACAAGGTGCGGGGGAAGGGGGAATTCCAAAGTCTACCAAGAGAAGGAAACAGTGTTGGGGGTAAATCCAAGGAGGGGAGTCTGGGTGTAGTGTGCGTGCCTAGCCTGGAACAGGGGGCAGGGAAAGACATGAGGACAATGGCAGGATTGTCCAACTGCTTTCAGTTTTAAAAAAAGAAGATCAGGGGCAGAGGATTGCAACCCGCTAGCAAGACAAATCCATGGAGGAGAATGTGATGGTCTGTCCCTGGTTATTAACAGAAGGGTGGGATTTGACCTACAGGGTCAGAACCACTAAATCTCAGTTGCTGGGTACGAAGAAGAAGAAGAGTTTGGATTTGATATCCCACTTTATCACTACCCGAAGGAGTCTCAAAGTGGCTAACAATCCCCTTTCCCTTCCTCCCCCACAACAAACACTCTGTGAGGTGAGTGAGGCTGAGAGACTTCAGAGAAGTGTGACTGGCCCAAGGTCACCCAGAAGCTGCATGTGGAGGAGCGGGGAATCGAACCCGGTTCACCAGATTACTAGTCCACCGCTCTACACAAAGAAACAGGCGAGGCTGCTGCCTCTGGGTCCCGACTGTGATCTTCCCAGAGGCATCTGCCTGGCTCACTGCGGGAGATGTGACACTAGATTTGGCCAGCCTTTGGTGCCCTCCAGCTGTTTTGGACTACAACTCCCATCAGGCCTGTAATTGTACGGCCATGCTAGCTGGGCAACCTGGCTCCCCCACAACATATGCAGGCAGAGGTTTTTCCCTGAACGTAAGAAAGAGAGCTTTGTTCAGGCAGGTGGCGGGAAAGGTTCATCAGGAGAATGAGGGCTCATAAGTAATGATTCAGGAGTTCAGGAGCAAGGCAAGAAGTTCAGCAGCAAGTGTAAGCAACAAAGATGTCCCAACAAGTTTGCCCGCCCCTCTTGCCACACTTTTAAAGCCAAGATGTGGCATGCGCACTCAGGAGATGCTCTCGCCTCAAGGGAAGGTCAAGACTGCAAGTGCATGCTCCGAGGGGCAGCTGGGTCTGCTCTCATCTGCGAAGGAGGGGCCTGGTTCTGACTCCTGTTCAGTCATTCTGCCCCCTCCCTTGGCTGATTAAAGCCCTTCCCAGCTTCCACTGAGGCTCTCTGCTTCGCAGGAAGGTCAAGAGGGAAGAGATGGCATCCCTGCTCTCTGTTCCAATGTGACTGAAATCGGGGTGGAAAGGGAAGGTTCCTGCTTTCTCCAACCCAGTTTCCCACAATTCAGCTCTCTACCCTTTCCTTCCCCTTCCTCCCTTCCCCGATCCCAACAGTGCTGTGGCGTCCATGACCTCAGGCTTCATGTGAGTTGTAGTCCAAAGCAGCTGAAGGGCACCAAGTTGGCGAGAGCAGGTCAGCCCTGCTTCCTGGCTTAGTCTCTGGCCATTCTGCTCAAGAAGTGGCTCACCTTCCTAATTCCCTTTTCAAGGCCCGGACTATTCTGCGCACCCTTAGGCCCAGTAACAGCCACCTCCTCCTTCTCTGCACCCAGACTTCTCCAGCTAGTTGTCATTTTACAATTTGCCCTGCAGCTGACTCCTGGAGGCATTCCAGTTTGCCAGCATTCTTCTCCCACCTTGACAATCTCAGTAAAGCAGAGACACAAAAGCTGATCTCCCAGTAATAACCATCAACTCCCGCACAAAGACCCAGACCTTCACTCAGAGTAGAGCCCCTGAATAACTAGGGCAGGGGAAATCTAGACAGTGCCCTCCATGTATTGTGGGCTCAGCTCCAGCCAACACGGACAGCAGTTAGGAGTGATGAGGGAGGCAATGCATCTTTGCATGCAGAAGGTGTCCCAGGTTTAATTCCCACTGGCTTCTCCAGGTAGGGCTGGGAGAGTCTTCCTGCCTGAAATCCTGGAGAACCACTGCTGTCAGTCATCTGTTTCTACAAGAGTTGTAGTCAACACCTGGAGGGAATCAGGGTTGGCTACCCCTGAAAAATTAGACAGGTATGATTTAATCCCATTCACAGATCTGAGAACCTGCAAGGAACTGTCCCTGCCAAACTTCTTACTGTTATGGCCCCCTGAGTTGGCCACCTCCAAGGATGGTTGAAGAGCAATTAAGCATCTTCCCCAGAAAAGGATACTGTCTCTTCTCGCGCTTTTGCAATCACCAAGTTCTCCATCATCTGGCGCTGAAGGGAAAGCGTCTGTAGGGTAAAGAAATGGCACTGAGGCTACACTTCACAGAACTGTTTGGACCAGGAGTGGGGAAAGAAGAAGGACAAGGACACCAAAAACATTTCCTCCACAAAGCAACCATAGAAGCTGTGGGGGCCCCAAATCCCCCACCTCTGTAGCCTGGAGCTTCACATGCATGTTGTCACTGCTGGTACAATTTGTCAATGGATGGTGTTGTGTACTCATTATGCACAACTGCACCACCATCACTACTGTTAGGAAATTGCTATGGTGGCAGGTGGTTCGTTCCCTTGAAATTAGCTTCTTAAAAAACAGGAGATGGCAGAGGCACAGCCTGCTGGGTACCAGAAGGCAACTAAGCACCTCCAGGGGAGCAGCCCACAGCCATGGTCAGAGCGGGGGAGCCAGACGAACAATGTAGGGGTCTGCTCTGCATTCTGCTGCACTTAGGGATCAGCCAGGAAGAGGAGCTGCAACTTCCGCTTCCACCACCAACCCAGTGCCACATTTTCAAGGCTGTGCAAGGAGGTCCCCACTCCCAAAATTCCCAGGGCTCTTGAAAAGCAAGCAGTTGGGCAGTGGGGAGCAGGGAGGAGAGGCAGGACACCCCTTCAAGATTTGCTTTGCCAACGCATTCCCCGCAGCCCCCAGCAGGACCGAAGGAAGCGCCTTTTTCCTCCTTCCAACCACATGTTTAATTAAGCATATGGGCTGACGCCCAAATCAATTCAGGGCCCAGATGTGGGTCAACTTGGCCCCAGATCAGGATGGTGGGGTGGGGTGTTGTACTCAGCCCTATTGGGACCCATCCTCCAGGCCACCCACTGCACTCCACTTGCCAGCGATGTCTTCTGCATGGTTTGACTGGGGTTGAGGCGGGCCAGCCGAGCCTCGTAGGTGGCCTTTAGCTTCTGGTTCTGCAGCGATGCCTCCTCCAGAGGGGTGAGCTCCCTGCACAGGAAGCAGAAATGCTTCAAAGGGTCAGCAGAAACAGAGGAAACTCTCAGCCCAGAACTGGTTATCCCAGGAACCTCCAGCAGAAGGCTGGGAGCTTCAGCCGCCACCCTTCCCTTACCCCCGAAGTCAAGCCACCAGCACACCAAGAAGGCTCCCCTTACTTTTTCGCACACTGCACTTCTGTAATTTGCAGCTTCTGGAACATCTCGGGAGGCAGGAAAGGCGACAGCTTCCCACCTTCATCCGAGAAGACCCTGCGGTGGCGGGAGACAGGAGCAGGGCCCAAAATCCTCTCCGCTGCTGCCAGCTTCAGCTTAGTTTTCCCTGGTGTCGGGGAGAAAAGACAACAGCACAGCGTTGGGCAAAGCAAAGAACCACAAAGCCTCCCTGGCCCATCCCTGGAAGGATTTGCGATGAGCTGTTATAACTTGTTATGCGATTTATAAACAATTCACTAATGTGAATATTAAACATGCAGCTCCCTCCTTAGCTTTCATCCTGGAATTTCAGCCCAAAATCACATTTTAACAACAACAAAATTAATAACAGAAATGAAGCAAGAGAGAGAGAGAGGAACACCTCTCACCGATTTTGGCAATGCTGCTTTTGGCTCTTTCCAGGCACTGCTCTGCCACTTTCAGCATCTTGGGAGTGTCGGGTGTCATGTCGTTTCCATCCGCTGTAAGGGAAGGACAGAAAAAGTGCAATGCCTCAGCCCCGTCACATTTGGAAGTCAAATATCCTCAGGCTCGCTATCATCAACCACAAGGTCACCTTCCCTGCCCCCATCTGGCCAGAAGGGCTACGCTCTCCATACTTGTTCCACAACGATTGGCCCATCTTGCAGGAACCGCATCAGGAAAGAGCAGCCCCAAAGCCTTCCACAAACACACTCAAGAACTGCAGCAATTGGCAATGTGCCTCCAGCCAACAGCAGCTTAACAAAGGGCCTTCTCAAGAGTCCCTCCACCTCGACATTCTGAAGGATCCATGCCAGATGGAGCCATGAAATCTGCCCAGTTTTGTCCAGCCAGCCTCACTATCCAGGAGAGGAGGGATGTTATTGACTAGCAGGAAAACTTGGTGGGGTGGGGCACAGCAGAGTTCACAACTCGCTAAGCAAATACACTGGTTGCTATCTCTGAGCTCTACAAATATTTGTTATGGTCCTGAGTATCCAGACGTGTTTGCTTATTCCTAACAGCCCTCCTAGTCCCCTGTAGAACACATTCTTAAGAGCCACGGAGGCAGCCTAAGGGCTCAGCAATCCACACGAGCCCATCGCCACCTTGGGAAGTGGCACCTTCCAGCCACGAGAAACATAAACCAGCCAGGAGAGCAACCGCTTAAGCTGCAAAGCAAAACCCTAGACACACCATTGCCTGCTGCCGCCTCTTCCAACAGGACCTGGGAAATGTAGCTGATGCTCTTCAGGTATTCCACGTAGGCTTCCTGCCAAACAGAGGGAGACAGGAGAGAAATTCAGTTCAGCAGGGCAAGTCCCCACTATCGGTACACAGCTCCTCCTCTTCCCATCCTCACGACCAGTCCAAGATGCTTGGCTGGAGTGCAACAATTTGGGAGGCATGAGTCAGAATCCTGTCCCAGAGGATGCTGCACCAGCTCTCTCAGGCAGTGTGCTAATTGCATTGTCAGCCCTGAAAATATTGCCACTTGGGGTGCTATAGAGCAGGGGATAATAATATAAGAAGAGCCTGCTGGATCAGGCCAAAGATCCATCTAGACTAGCATCCGATCCTCACAGTGGCCAACCAGATGCCTATGGAAACCTGCAAGCAGGATTCAAACACAATAGTTTTTATTTTGTCTCTTAGGCCTACAAGTTCATCTCTTGTCACCGGTATCTGCCTCAGTTTCTCATACTCCCCTCTTGCAGAAGTTAGTTCAGGCCAAGGGGTCTGCCCTGTATCTTCCATAGTGAAGACAAGACCCACATAACTCATTTGCTTTCTCTGCAATTTCTTCTCCTTTAGCACACCTTTGACTCCCTCGAGTGCCAAAGGGACCAACCAGCTGCCAAGAAAGACTCCTGCTACTAATACATTTAAAGAGCTACTTTGTAGTTGTCTTAATGTTTTTAGCAATGTGCTCAATATATATTTTTAGCATTCCTTGCTGTCTGCAGGCACTTTTTGTGCAAATGTTTGTGCTTTTTTTTTGTTCCCTTCATTTGGACAAGACTTCCACTTTTTTAAGGAAGCCTCCTTGCCTCTAACAGCACTGGGATCTTCTTGGACCTCGTGGTACCTTCCTGATCTGCAGTATACACTCCAGTGGAATTTCTAATATTATGTTTTTAAACATCTCCCAAGCATTTTGGAATGATTTGAATCTCTTGACTTTGCCTTTCAAATTTCTTTTTACCAATCCCATTTGGAGGAAGTTTCCACCTAAACATTAGGAAGAACTTCCTGACAGTAAGAGCTGTTCGACAGTGGAATTTGCTGCCAAGGAGTGTGGTGGAGTCTCCTTCTTTGGAGGTCTTTAAGCAGAGGCTTGACAACCATATGTCAGGAGTGCTCTGATGGTGTTTCCTGCTTGGCAGGGGGTTGGACTCGATGGCCCTTGTGGTCTCTTCCAACTCTATGATTCTATGATTCTATGATTCCTTTTTTGAAATAAAATGTGGCCATGTCGGCTTTTCTTGGCAATTGGCTATTTACAGGAACATTTAATGTAATGACACCACATCTCTTGCTCTGCTCAGTTTTGCCTCTGGCCATGCCCACCCCTGACATGCAACCCCTGAAAAGTTGGCCACAAAGAAATGCTACTCTCTGAAAGGAGTGTGGCAGGCTCTAATCCTAACTTGAAGCCAAATAAATGAGTGTTCGTGAAAGGGCAAGGCCTAGCTTGATCCAACATGGTACCCTCCAGATGTTTTGAATTCCACGGTTGGAGGCAGCTATGCTCTTGAATACTAGTTGCTAGAAAACACTTTGCTGAGAGTGTTCTTGCACTCAGGCCCTGCTTTCCCACAGGCATCTGGTTGGCCACAGGATGCTGGACTAGATGGGTCATTGGTCTGATCCAGCAGGATCGTCTTATGAACTACAGCTCCCATCAGCCCCTAACAAGGGCTGATGGGAGTTGTAGTCCAAAACATCTGGAGGGCACCAGCCTGGTGCATTTAAATCCTCCTAAGGAAACCAGTAAAGGAAACCCACTGAAGGCACCACATGAATAATCGTTTTTGTGTTTGTTTTTTAAAGACAGCAATCTAGTCGTGGAACAAAGCAACGGACGCAGACGGCATTTGCAATACGGAGCTTGAAGCGATGCGAGGCGTGTGCAAGGGCGCTTCCAAAGCAAGGGTAGGGGGCCGGACGCCAAGGCCGAGGAAAGTGGGGAGCTGGGCAGCGCTGACCACTGGATGGGCCGCTGGCGCAGAAGGAGCGGGATGCCCCGCAGGGTCTTTGTCCGCCGCAGAGGAAAGAGCCCCACCCCGCCCGGGCCCGTGGACGTCGGGCAGAGAGGGGCCTGGGGAATCCAAAGGCACCTCAACCCCTCCCCTCTCTTCAAAGCCATGCCAAACCCCCGGCAGCAGCTAACACGGAATGCGCATTCACACGTACTCCGACCCGAGCAAAACATCCCCTCTCCTTTAAAGCCGGAGGGGAGCTTTTCGCCGCCCCTCCCCCATCCCCTCTCACCCGCGGCCGGTCTCCGGCGTCCAGCTCGAGGGCGCCCCTGGCCAGCTTCATGGCGCCCTGTAGCGGCTTCGCCGCTGGCTCCGAGGTTGCCGGGGAGGGTGCCGAGGCGGCCATGGCTGGGCCGGAACCTTTCCTCTAGGGAGCACCGCCCGGTCGGGAAGAATAGAGAGCGGGCACGGCAGAACCGGATGAGTTAGAGCACCGGAGCCGGGGCAGATGATGTCAGAAGTGGGCGGAGCTGTTGCCAGCAGCGCTCACCGTCTGCTTTGCCATTGGCCGGCAGCGCGCAGGGAGGCTCGTCGCTTTTCCCGAGCGCGACCTTTGGGCTCGCAAGACGCTCCGAAAGACCCTTTGGGGCCTTGGTTGTTAAGGATTTTGCTAGGGTTGCCATATTTCAAAAAGTAAAATTGTTGAGCTTTTGAAACTGTTTCCGCTGGTTTTTCCATCGCGTTGCCATACATCTAGGTTTCCCCTGAGATTTTGCCGAATCGGCAAAATTCCCACCATTTTTACACCCTAAAACCAGGACATGTCAGGATTTTTCCTGACGTATGGCAAGCCTAATTTTGCACTGGCTCACCACATCAGCATTATGCTCCTCTGAGCAAGGATATCGCAGGCTGGTCCCCTTGCAGTGGGGGTGCTACATGAGAATATTTGGGAGGAGAGCACAAAAGTATCAAAGGGTATTTTGCGGGTGGTAGCGTACTTTTTCGCTGCATAAACAATATACATTTAAAAAATATAGTTTCCCCCAAGGAATCCTGGAAACTGGTTTGTTAAGGGTGCTGGGAACTGAAGCTTTGCAAGGAGTAAACTACAGTTCCCAGGATTCTTTGTGAGAAGTCATGCGTAATGTTTGGTGTGTGCAGGCTTAGTCTTACATGTAACACACATATGCAAGCCCATAGCAAATATGCTTATGCACCTACAAAACCCACAATTTTCGCAATACGTACGAGAATTATCCTTTGCACTTCTCAGGTTCCTTATTACCCCCTAAGCATGCACAGAACACCCAGAACACACTCCGAGGCACCTTTATTATGCCACCAATGCTTTAACCCCCCCCCCGGATTTTGGGGCAAAATTGCCCAGTTTAGAAGATACACTACTTATGTAGTAAATTAAATATTTATTATACAGTGGTGATAATAAACAACATTACCTATGCAAAGAGGCTTTTCTTCAAGTAACAGTAGGGGTCTAGTGGTAAAGAATGGGTTGCTTGTCTTGAGGAGTGTCTGTCTGTCTGTTTGTCTGCTTGTTTGCTTGCTTGCTTTCCAGCACCACAATGGCATCTACTTTCTGTAGATCCAGGATCTACTCTCTACAGGACCCTGCCCGTCTTCAGAGCCTCCTCACCTCATGTGCTCACTGTCCTAAGTGAACTAGGTGGTGAACACCATCTTTCTCTCTGGAATGCTCTCCTCAGGAAAGCTCAGAAAGTGGATAGAGAAAACTTTTTGTCCCTTTTTCATAACACCAGAACTTTGCGCCCATCGCAGGAGCCAACTGGGGTCCCCCAAAGTTGATGGGCACTGCTATTCAAATAGTGTGCGCGTGCCATGTCTTGTGATCAGTTGTGCGGGATAGGACCTACCTGCCCCAACCCCAATATTTTAATCAAGTTGGTGCTCGTTATTTGCCCCGATGCCAAACAGCCTTTTGACTTAAAAGGCAAAACTCTTCCGGTGCATGCCCCTGCCAGCAGTCTTTCTCCAGGCGCACCGCTGCCCTCCCTACCCTGCGGGCGCATCCGTCGAAGCGCATCGGCTAAGCGACTTTCAGCCCGTTTCTAGGCCCGCGGCAGACCTGTTCCGGGCGAGAAGAGGCGGCTCTCGCAGCAGGTCCGCCACCCGCTGGCAGGCGAGCGGGAGCCCCTCGCCGGGCGGAGCTCCTGCCCGGGCAGGCTCCTCCGTCCGCCAGGGGCGCTGCGGGCCGGAGCCGAGCCAAGGCGCTGCCGGAGCCGCAGCCAGAGCCTGCCGAGCGGGGGCCGGGCCGGGCTCTGCACGGCCATGAAGCGGGATCGGCGCGGCCGGTTCTTACCCGCGGACGCGGCGGCCAGGGGCGCTCCAGAACCGCCGCCGCCACCAGCCGAGGCCAAGAGTGTCCGGGCCCGCCGGGGGCGCCCCACCGCCACCTCCCGGGAGCAGGAACAGCAGCCCGAGCCGGAGCCCGAGCAGTGGGCCTCGCCAGCCTCGGAGGCGGCGGCAGCGGGTAAGCGCAGGCGGACAGGGGCACCCCGGCAGCGCGCTCTTCCGGGGACCCGGCGGGCGGCCCGATCCTCCGCGTGCGCGCTCGGAAGGAAGCCGCGCTTTCCCGCGGGAAGTGCGCCGGGCAGGGATCGGACGGGGCGCGCGCGCTCGGGAGGCGCCTTGGCACCGGGGCTGGACTGGCCAGCGGGTGGCGGCGGAGCTGGGCTGGGCTAGGCTGCCCTGCTTCCAGTGCCGGGGCTGGGCCTTAAGATGTGAAAAGCAGGGAACAGAGCGCGTGCAGAATGCCTTTTTCCTGTTCGTTGGGTTAGCACATCCGTCGCTGATGTGCGCCAAGCAGGCAGGCAGGCGCGAGCGCGCAAACAGCCAACGTTCTCCTCTCCCAATCGGTCACGTTTGAAATGCCAACTGCAGGAGCCCGTGCCTTTTGCCACCCGGAGCTCTCCAGTGGGCAGCTTTGGAGTCCAGTGACGTGGGTTTCTTGTAGCGCTTCCATGCACAACCTAGGTTAACTGCTCCGCCACCCTCAAGGCGCACCTAAAACTTTTCACCATCCCGGGTAGCTGTAGTCGCAACCATCGTGCAACTGCCGAGATGTAGAGGGCGCTGGGGCAGCTGGTTGAGCTGGGCCTCCTTAAATCTCACTGTTTAGGCTGTCGGTGCAGTGGGGTAGGCCCTGACAAGTACCTAGCAGGGGTGACAGAAGCTCTGGCTTCCCACTTTGAAGCCATCAGTGCTCATCAGAGGCATGGAGAGGTGCCAGGTGGATGAACCAGGAAGAGGACTTGACACGAACCTCTGGCCTTCCTCCAGAGGTTGAAGGACTTCAGCTCCCAGATTCCTTAGCAGCAAATGGTTTCTTATCCATTTTCATATATTGTTCCTCCCTGTATCATGATTTAGTTGTATGGGGTTCACTCACAAATTTGCAGTCTTAGAACAGGAACTTGCATTTTTTTATATTTATCTTTTGCTGATAATTCTTTGGAAGACGATACATATTTGATGCTGCTAGATAGACCACGATGGTGTTGCTCCCCAACACCAGGGAATCAGGGAATCAATCAGCTTTCCCCTACCTAGTAGCCACATGCTCTGGTCTCCACCCCCCCTTGTAGAGGTGTGCAACCTGAGGCCTTATGGGGAGCTATAAATCATAAATCTGTCCTGTTACAGTCTTATACCAGGTGTGATGTGGGATAATGGTTTCTCCAGATGTAATAACCTGGGCACCATCTTGTTCCACATTTGCTGAACTGATTTGGTGTGGAGATAGTCCCAGACTCACTGCCAGTTCATATGCCAACATGTGGGTTGTGGGTTGCAATTGCACCTCCATACCCATAGCAGAAACACATCTGTACTTAATGTACTTGTTGAAACGTTGGATGTTTTTGTGTTGTGTTAATCTGTAACCCTTGTTCTTGGCCTCAGATCAGGTAAATGTGCCTGTTTAAATTTTCCATTGCCTTCACTAACCAGGCACGGTCTAGCTGTCTTTTGACTCCAGTTCCCAGCAGTCTCAAGCTGTCAGCATGGCCAGTAGTCAGGGATGATGGGAGTTGTAGTCTAAGCAACATCTGGAGGACTGCAGGTTCCCCTGTTTTTCCTTATTGTTATTGAGGGAATGAATTCTAGGCACTGTTGTCTACCCTCCCAGAGTTACAATTCCCAGCAACTCTAAAACTCCAATGCCTGGAAAGATGTTTTGAATGTGCTTTGAAATTATAGTGTGTTTACTATTATGTGGGAAAGCTGATTGGTGAATGGATCTTTTTATGTAGCTTAGCAGAGACAGTTCTGGGGAAGTCTAGGCTGAGGGTTTGAGGAGAAAACCTTTGTGCTGCTTGGAGTGGTTTTTGCAGGAATGAAAAGAAATCACAGGTAGCTTGGTACCCTGGAAAATGTTCAGAACAGCACCAAAACAGAAAGCTGATGCTTTATGTTTTCTAGGCCTGATTTGCGGCACCTTAGTTTCATTTGCCTGCCTTCTCTACTTTAAAATATTCAGCTCTGCTCTCTCATAGAATTGGTGGCAGGGGAGGGAGGAGTCCTGGACGAAAAAGGGTCCTGGGTGCTGGGCTGGAGCCACCACCCATGATCAAAAGGAGACTTGCTATGCCTCTGAGACAACGAGTCACCTGATTGACCAGTGCCACAGTAAAGACTGCTGACATCATCTCTGTGTCTCCTCCAAATCAGGAAGTGCTGCAGAGGGGCTGTGGGCAGTTTGCAAACCAGGTCCCTGCACAGACAGCAGAACTTGCTTGAAAGCAAACAGGAAAACAAAAGAAATTGGTTCCTGTTTCTCTCATAGTTCTTGGCAAAGCAGGAGCTGGATGGTTCAAAGCAAGGACTGCTCTCTGAGCCAAAGACAAAAAAGGCGGAAGGATGCCAGAAGGTAGGGCTGGAGTGGGGGGGCAGTGACAATATGACCAGGGCTGCCTTTCTTGGTTGCAACAGCAGGGGTGAACACTCAGCTTGATGCTTTACTCCAGCTCAGGTTGCCCCTGTGTTCACTAACTGAAGATTTTGCTCAGTTCCCTGAAGCAATATCAAGTTTATGTTTGCATCCATGGGTGTATTTGAAGAAACTCCTAGTTTTTAGGATGCTGAGTTATGCATCTGGTGCAGAATGCCATGCTTTTACGTGTTGTGATCATGGAAAGTTTGATAGATGGAATCAGAGGACAAATACATTAAATTCAACCCCCCATGTCCCAAAAGGATGTTCCTGGGTGTTTGGCAAGGACCATTTAATAGTGTTTCTCTGGTTGCCACCCACTTACATGCTCTGGGAGTTAGTTCACACAACGGTTGGGCTTGCTTCTCCTCTGTCCTGCCTCCTGCCATCCTGCTCTGCCCAGGAGTCTGTTAAGGGCTGTAGTTCAGTGGCAGGACACCTGCTTTGCATGCAGAAGTCACCTGGTTCAATCCCCAATGGCATCTCCAGGCAAGTCTGGGAAAGCTACCTGCCCGATACCCCAGAGGTCTGCTGCCAGGTAGATGATACAGAGGTAGGTAGACCAATGGTAGTAGTAGTAGTAGTAGTAGTAGTAATAATAATAATAATACAGTGGTACCTCAGGTTAAGTACTTAATTCGTTCCAGAGGGCCGTACTTAACTTGAAACTGTTCTTAACCTGAAGCACCACTTTAGCTAATGGGGCCTCCTGCTGCTGCTGCGCCACCGGAGCCCAATTTCTGTTCTCATCCTGAAACAAAGTTCTTAACCTGAAGCACTATTTCTGGGTTAGCAGAGTCTGTAACCTGAAGCATATGTAACCTGAAGCGTATGTAACCCGAGGTACCACTGTAATAATATTTATACCCCCGCCCGTCTGGCTGGGTTTCCTCAGCCACTCTGGGCGACGTACAGCATATCTAAAAACATCAAACATCTAACATTAAAAACTTCCCTAAACAGGGCTGCCTTCAGATGTCTTCTAAAAGTTGTGTAATTCTTTATCTCCTTGCCATCTGGAGGGAGGGCATTTCACAGGGAGGGCGCCACTACCAAGAAGGCCCTCTGCCTGCCTTGTACCTTCATAATGCTTCCGAAGGCAATGCTAGTCTCAGAGTGACCTCCTTTCTTTTCCTGAAATCCTTGCAGGATTCGGCCGGGGTGTGAGCACCGCTTACTGCCGGCTTTGCCACGGGAAATTTTCCTCTCGGAGCCTGCGGAACGCTTTTGGAAAGGTCCCTGTGGTGGGGGAGAGCTCCGAGAAGCAGCGGCGCATGGACCAGGTCTTCTTCACGGACTTCCAGCGGCTGGTGGGGGTGGCTGTCCGGCAAGACCCGGCCCTCCCCCAGTTTGTCTGCAAGAAGTGCCACGCCCAGTTTTACAAGTGCCGCAGCATCCTCAAGGCCTTCATCCAGAAGGTGAACCTGTCTCCCACTGGCCACCTCAAGCCACACGGAAAGTAGGTTGAGCGGATTTCTCCACTCGCGGGAGGCTGGGCTGCTTGTGGCTTGTCTCGGTAGCCACCAAGACTTGGCCCCCAAGCAGGCAGACATTTGTGAGCTGTATACAAAATACTTTGTTAGGCTGCTGATGTCCCACTAATGACTTGCACTTCGTACAGAGGGCTAGGGAAATACTTTGTGGGTTCGTAATGTATGTGGCCTTATTTGCAAGGCCAAAAGTCCAGTTTCCAGCAGCTGGAAATTGCCTGTGCACATTTTTTGTTTGTGAAACTGCCACTTTGAGACCAGAGCACATGCTGCCTGAGTCTGTCCTCCCTAGAAGGCATCTGATTTGCTCTGCCGTCTGTTTTGTGTACAGGGACAACCTTGCCCAACCTCCTCTTCCTGCTGCAAAAGGAGATGCTCCCTCTCTAGGTAAGTAGGATTGTTTTGGCTCCTCTGAATTTTCTCCTTGATGTCAGTTGTGGCTGCCCTGTTGCTTCCACAGTTTCCACTTTGCCTATGCTTATAGCTGATGTGGTGCTCAGTCTCTGGCAATTACCCTATGACTAGTGGGGACCAGGGTGGTCTTTGCACTCTAGGGCCAGTTCCAGTGTCCGCTTGGGAAGGCAGTATTTTTATTTATCTAAAACATCTCTTAGCAGCCCTTCATGAGAAGTCCCAAGGCAGGATACCATCAGTATGAAAGCACAAAGATATCTAAAATAAAAACAGTGCAAAACACCGATCCAAAAATAAAATAACTCAGCATCAGTTACAGAAAGGGAAAACTCATCTTTTGAGTGCCAACGAGCCAGCCATGTGCAAGTCTAGCTAGGGCTCCCCAGCTTCTTTTGCCAGATCACAGGTTCAGGCAAACTCTTTTTCTCTTTCTTGAATTTTATTTCCAAGATAATAAAGACAAAAACAACAAAATAAAATAGACACAGTGGCATCTAGCAATTACTCACTGAAAACAATGTGTGCAACATTCAGGAGGAAGGGTGGAATATGAATAAACAAAGTAAATAATGTTTTTCCTTTTTAAGTGTAGGCAAGCATATTTCTAAGATCTGTTGGGAACATGGATCTATTCTGTATACTTCATAATAATATGACAGTTTGTACTTGGTCTCTGATCCATCATTTCAAGAAAGGCTTTGATCAACGTTGCAGTGCACACCCCTGATTTGTGTATGAGACAAAGCCACAGCACAGTAAATAAACCCTTCTGCACAAGAAGCCCCACACAACTGTTTGCCACTGTCAGTCTCTCTGCAAACCAAGTATTAGGCAGGATGATATTCAAGTGGGTTTTTCCTTCTTCCAAGCTCAGTATAAAGAAGCAGTAGCTCATCATCCCTTGCCTTCAGCAGATGCAAAGCTGCATGCATTTAGCATGGCTTTATTGTTTTTTTGTTTTGTTTTTTTATTCAAAGTTATAACAAAACATATTTTCCAAAAACATATCCTTATTCCCCCCCATTTTTCCTCCCCCCACAAAACCCATCCCCCCACCCCACCCCCCGACTTCCCTCAGTTCCAGTCTTTGGTTTCTCCAATAATGCTATTTTCTGCATGTTACAGAGTTGTATAGATCCTCCAACTGTTTAGCTAATTATTATCCGCAATAAATTGTGGATGTTTATTCAAAACCTGCCAAGGAGTCCAGTTCACTTTGTTGCGTCTTCAAATACTTTGTGAAAGGTTCCCATTCATCCTTAAAGTCACAGTTATCCTTGTCCCGTAGCTTATGTGTCAATTTTGCCAGTTCTGCATAATCCATCAATTTTTCTTGCCATGATTCTTTAGTTGAGATTTCTTCAGTCTTCCATCCTTGTGCTACCAGAACTCTCGCGGCCGTTGTCGCATACATGAAGATGTTTTTCAACATTTTGGCAGGTCTTTCCCTACAATCCCCAACAAAAATGCCTCGGGTTTTTAAACAAATGTTAAATGGAACATTTTCTTCAGTTCATTGTATATCATTTCCCAAAAAAATTTAATTACTTTACAATCCCACCACATATGATAAAATGTTCCCTCCTTTTCCTTACACTTCCAACATATGTTTGAGCTAGTTTTGTACATTTTCCCTAGCTGCACTGGTGTTGTATACCATCTGTACATCATCTTCATGTAGTTCTTCAATAGTGAACAATCTGTAAATTTTAAGTCAGTTTTCCATAATTTAACCCAATCCTCCATCATAATATTGTGACCTACATCTTGTGCCCATTTAATCATAACTGATTTTACCTCTTCATCTTTCGTCTCCCATTCTAATAGTATGCTATATGCGGCCTTCAGTAATTTCACTTTCCCTTCAATCACTTCCGTTTGAAACCTAGATCTAGTATAACTAAATCCTTTCTTACAGTCTTCTTTATATGTTTCATGTAATTGTCGATAATGCAACCAACTCTGAAAGTGGTCTTTGATCTCATCATAATCTCTTAATTTCCATTTCCCATCATGTTCCTTTAATAAATCAGCATATGTGAGCCATTTTCCTTTCTTTCCAAGTAATGCTTCATGTAGTGAAAGCCACCACGGAGTCTTTTGTTCCAATAAGTCTTTATATCTCTCCCATACTCTCATTAATGATTTCCTGATTATATGGTTGTAAAAGCTTCTATGAATCTTCCCTTTCCCGTACCCTAAGTATGCATGCCAAGCAAATCTGTTGCCATGTCCTTCTAGTTCTAGTGCCTCCTGCTTGTCCAATCTCATCCAGTCCCTGATCCATACCAAACAAGCAGATTCGTAATACAATTTAAGGTCTGGGAGGGCAAACCTGCCTCTATCTTTTACATCTGTAAGTATTTTATGTTTTATCCTTGGCCTTTTGCCCCCCCAGATAAATCTTAAAATCTCTTTCTGCCATTGTTTAAAGCATTCATCTTTCAGGATGACTGGTATTGATTGAAAAAGAAATAGCATTTTAGGCAACACATTCATTTTAATCGCTGATATTTTTCCTAACATTGAGAGATTCATTCTGCTCCATATTTCTAAATTTCTTTTTACCTCAAGCCAATTTTTTTCATAGTTATTTTTAAATAGGTTTATATTTCTTGATGTTAACCAAATCCCTAAATATTTAACCTTTTTATGGACTTCAATCTCAATATTTTGTTCTAATTCGGTTCTTTCTTCTTCCTTCATGTTTTTAACTAATAATTTAGTTTTATTCCTATTTAGCTTAAATCCTGCCACTTCCCCAAAATTCTGAATTTTTTCTATTACTTTAGGGAGTGAAGTTTTAGGTTCTTCCACTGTTATCACTAAGTCATCTGTATACGCTTTTAACTTGAATTCACTTTTCCCAACTTTTACACCTGTAATCTCTTTATTTGCTCTTATGTTTTTGGCAAGTACTTCCAAGACCAGAATAAACAATAATGGTGATAATGGGCATCCTTGTCTTGTTAATTTTTGGATCTTACAATCATCCGTTATCACCTGATTTATAATTAGTTTAGCTTTTTGTTCTGAATAGATTGCCGCTATTGCTTTTAAAAACTTGGGACCACTTCTGATTTGTTCTAACAACTTTATCATGAACTTCCAAGAAACATTATCGAAGGCTTTTTCAGCGTCTATAAACATCATTGCCACTTTCTTTTCATATTTAGCCTCCAAATATTCTATTATATTCAAAATATTCCTTATATTCTCCTTCATTTGTCTTCCTGGTAGGAACCCAGCTTGGTCTTGATGTATATATTCATTTAATATTTTTTTTAATTTGTTAGCTAGGATATTTGCAAACAATTTGTAATCATTATTTAACAAGGAAATAGGCCTATAGTTTTTAATTTGCAGCAAATCTGCGTCTTGTTTTGGAATTACTGTTATATAGGCCTGTTTCCATGTTTCTGGGATTTCGCCTGTGTTCAGTATTTCATTCATGACATCTTTCAATGGGTTCACTAATTGTTCATTTAATATCTTATAATATTTTGCCGTAAAGCCATCCGGGCCTGGAGACTTGTAGCATGGCTTTATTGTTTATCTGTTACACTTCTAGTCCATCTTTCCTCCAAGGAGCTGAAGGTGGTGTAATTTCAAGAGGTAACACTGCCTAACAGAAAGCAATGTGTTCAGGAGGAGGGGTGGACTATAAATTCCATAAATAAAATACAACAACCTTGATTGATTGATTGATTGATTGATTTTGTGTGTGTGTGTGTGTGTGTGTGTGTGTGTGTGTGTGTGTTTTACCACCTAGCACAGTTGCCATAGTCCATGCCAGCCAGTTATTCTGGGGCTTATGGTGTGGGGCAGGGGTTTCAGTGGCATGCCTGGTCTCTGCTACCCTCTGTCTTTCTCCCTGCCAACAGCAGACCTGATCACATCCAGCCCCCAGTGCCTCCACAACTTAGTGATGTGGACCCACAACCATGCTGAAAGCTGCCAGATTGCTCCCAGCTTGCAAGGCGTCTTGTCCTCGGAGTACTGCGGGATCATCCAGGCCGTGTGGGGCTGCGAAGAGGGTCATGATTATGTCATGAACACAGATTCGGACAGCAGCACTTTGCTGGTGGACAACGCCCTGTCCGTCAAGTGGGAACTGAACAAGGGCCCTGCCCTGCAGCAGGCGCATGTAACGGGCAACGGGGTGAGGGCTGACTGTACTGTTGCTGCGGCAGCACCGCCGGAACCCCAGCGTGGCGCCACTCATATGGCAGCCAGCCAGCAACCTGCAAAAAGCGGGACTCCTCCGTCTGCGCTTAGCACAGAAAGCTGGGTGTCGGAGAGCCAGGATTTGCCTTCCTTCCAAGATGCCTCGGAAGCTCCTTTGCAGGAGGAAAGCCTGCCGCAGCCAGACTGCCCTCTGAATGGCAGTCCAGGTAAGTGGCATGCCAAGGATGTCTCTCCAGGATGTCGTGGGGATTGCGGGTCACAACTCCACACAGGTCTTTGCACATTTCTTTGCACAATATACACATATATACACATATACACAATATACACATAAACGGCCTGGGCCCAGTATACCTGAAGGAACATCTCCACCCCCATCGTTCTGGCCGGACACTGAGGTCCAGCGCCGAGGGCCTTCTGGCGGTTCCCTCAGTGCGAGAAGCCAAGTTACAGGGAACCAGGCAGAGTGCCTTCTCAGTAGTGGCACCCGCCCTGTGGAACGCCCTCCCACCAGATGCCAAAGAGATAAACAACTACCAGAGTTTTAAAAGACATCTGAAGGCAGCCCTGTTTAGGGCAGTTTTTAATGTGTGACATTTTAATGTATTTTTAATCTTTGTTGGAAGCCGCTCACAGTGACTGGGGAAACGCAGCCAGATGGGCAGGGTACAAATAAATTATTATTATTATTATTATTATTATTATTATTATTATTATTAACTCTGAGTGTTCAGCTGTTCAAGCCTGTGTGGAAGCAGTGCGTTCACAGAGCTGAGGGCCAGCATTTCTGATTTATAGCTCAGCTGTCTGGGACTAGGCATGCCCTTTGCATTCTTGTTGCTTTTTAATTTCCGCCCGGTTAACTTGGCTTTCCCTCCAGCCAGTGTGCCCAGACACTCAAGTCTTCTCATGGTGAAGCAGGCTCTTGCCCAGGTGAGCTCAGGCCCACGTCCTTTGGCTGACCACCGCGAGAAGAGGATGCTGGCCTGGGTGGGCCTGACCCAGCAGACAGGCTCTTCTTATGTTCCGTTGGGTCGGGTGCCGCAGGACTGTTGTGCCTTGACGAATCTTGTGCCTTCCTTTGCTCCCTTTGCAACACGCATTCTTCTCCGTCTTCTAGGGCCACTGAGTGAGAAGCCGGTTCCCTCTGCAGCCTCGGATGAGCGGGTAAAAGACGAGTTCAGTGACCTTTTTGAGGGGTGAGAGAAGAAGAGCGGGATTCAAATGTCACCTTTGCAAGCATGAACAATGATTGTGGGGCGGGAGTGGATCTCATTCCTCACTGGAGAGTCCAGTCACTGGAGACGGCTGGCTTAGGGGGTGGAGGGAGGGGATCAGGACATCACAAAGGGCGGTTTTTGTGGCCTTTATTAGAAGCAATGCAGTCCAATAGTAAAAATACAAAATTATTAACTGTAACAACTCCTTAATACTACCTTAAGTTTAGTTCACATTAATTGTTGCAGTTACTATCTCTGTTTATAACCTTTGTTCTCCACAAAGGTTATAAATGATGCCCAAGTATTCAGGTTTTTTTTTATGAAACTGGATCTATTATTCTCACTGATGGGCCAGAATGTGGACAGATACAAATCCATACTGCCTTTGACAGTGATTCCAAAGGATGTCACTTGAGGCAGTCTTATCTATTATTTATTTTACTTATTTAATAGAATGTATATACCACTTGATGGTTTGGGGTTTTTTTTAAAAAAAGGAGCACCTCTAAGTGATTTACAGAAATGTAGCTGACAAAAACAACAACAAACAGTGGGCAGGTGAGGTGCCTTGGCAGAGTCTTAGCAAGTGGTCTTATGGGGAAAGGCTATAGCTCAGTGGTAGAGCCTCTGCCTTGTGTTCAGAAGGTCCCAGGTTCAATGCTCAGCACCTCCAGGTAGGGCTGGGAATGCCCCCTGCCTAAAACTCTGTAGATCTGCTGCTGCCAGTCAGTGTATAATACCAACCTGGATGGATCATTGGTCTGACTTGGTGTAAGGCAGCTCCCTACATTACTTTGGTCCAAAACCTTTTGCAGGCACCACCTTCAGCTTTTAAGCATGGAACTGATTAGAGCTGGGCACTTGCTTTTTAAAAGACTCCGAAGGCCGGGCTTCCAATTATTTGATGCCCACGAACCCACATGGCAGGGCAGTTTCTCTGCTCGCTTTTTTGTAGCATAGCGGCCTTTACATTGAGTGGTTCTGGACCACTGTCTGGAGTGTGTTGTTTTCTTGAAGAAGGAAAGCTCACTTTGGGGCAGCCAGACTTGCAGCAGTTTCTCTTGAGCTCCCCCCCGCTGTCAACATAAAGGCCCAATGAGGCTTCGCCTGCCTTCTCCTTTAGTGAAAGGGCCTGTTTACTTTCTCAGGTACTCCTTGAGTGACGACGAGAACGACAAGAGAGCGCAGTCTTCGGACGACTACTTTGAGCCTTACCCAGAAAAGAGGTGAGGGCTTTTTCTTGTCCTTTTGCTGCGGCAAAAGACAGGAGTGATAGCTTCTTTCTCTCGAATTCATTTGACCTTTTGCAACCTCCTCCACTCTCAGTGGGCAAAGGCCCACATCCATTCCCTTCCCATTCGCACATTCTCTCTTTTCCTAGGAGTGAGCAGGTTTCTTTTCAGCCTCCTGACAAATGCGTTCATTTGTTTGGGATTGTATTTTAAGTAGAGCTATGCAAACGCTGTGTCAGTGCAAGGGTTTGTAGAATGGAATATTCTCCTGACCCCTAAAAGCCCCTTCAGTCTGTTTTAGTGGCTCCCTCAACCCTCCGAGCAGATTTGTGGAGAGCGCAGGGGAAGGAGAGGGTGGGAATGTTCCATTGTGCAAATCCTTGTGCTGTTGAAACGAGTGATGTGGATACTTTCCTTTATTTCAGCAATTTAGTCTCTATGTAAGGCTTTCAAATGTTTGCATTTATTAATGGGTGGCCAGCCTGAGATCCTTGCGCTGGCCTAATTTCATGTAGGCATTGGGGAGGGGGGCAGAAATAGGGAGGTGCAGCCTTCAACAGGGGTAGGGTGGTCGTTCACCCCTGTTTTATAACCTCAGTTGACATTCAGCAACAGTTCCCTGTTCCTCCTCTGTTAGGGTATCCAACAACAGGAAAGTTGAAAGCAGAGAAGCAAAGAAGCTTGAAGAACCCAAAATAAGGAAGAAGCCAGGACCCAAACCTGGCTGGAAAAAGAAAATCAAATGTGAAAGGTATCATATACCCAAAGCTTCCAAGGTGTGAGATTCCCACCACCAAGAATGGTCCAACCTACTCACCAGTTACTCTTTCCTCTGCTTTTTTTAAGGGAAGAGCTGCCCACCATTTACAAGTGTCCTTATCAGGGCTGTACAGCTGTGTACAGAGGTGCAGATGGCATGAAGGTATGTGGATAACTACTAGCTACATTTAGCTTTGGAGTCGTCAGACCCACAGCGGGACTTTACTTTCTGGAACAAGTGTCTCTCTCTCTCCCTGCCACCACCTTCCCCCATTTCCTTTGGGTGGAAGCGAACCAATCAAAAGCCAGATTGTAATGATTGACAGCCTTGCCTAACGGGAGGGAGTAACCCTAGCTTACAAGAGAAAAACAAGGAGAAAAGCTTATGATCCAGATTTTGCTGCCAGTTTGAGGAAATGGATGCAGTGTCCTCCTTTCTCATTCTGTTCACATGATTGCTCATGTGATTGGTGCTGTGGAGTAGCTTTGGCCAACCAGTTGCCCTTAGGAAGTTTTGGACTACAATCCCCATCAGCCTCAGCCAGGACATGGACTTGTAGTCCAAAACCTCTGGAGGGCCCTGTTAGCCGCGCCTGCCATAGGTGATCAGATTGTCACTGCCCGCAAACCTGCATGGAGTGAAAGTTTGGCTCTGTGTGAAGATCTCCATCTCTCTTCTTGGATTTAGAAGCACATCAAAGAGCATCATGAGGAGGTCAGAGAAAGGCCCTGCCCGCATCCAGGTTGCAACAAGGTGTTCATGATTGACCGGTACCTTCAGCGCCATGTGAAGCTCATTCATACAGGTATGTTGTGCTTATGAGAGAATGACGGAGGATTTGCATGGAAGAGAAAGAAATGCCCTGGGCAGAATCAGGCATCACACATGGCACAGGAGAACAGGCTTTTTCAGTGGTGGGCCCCCATCTGGAATGCTCTCCCCAGGGAGACATGCCTGGCACCATCATTGTAAGACGTTTTTATTTAGTCCAGGCTTCTGGTGGTTATGTTAGCCTCTACTGTGGTGCTCATCTTTTAGTTGGATAGGACAAAAATTGTCCTTCTTCCTGTATTGCTGGAATTTTTTTTTAGGAATTTTGAATTGCAAATTTATTGTTTTTAATTTGGCTGTTAATTAATTTTATCTGTTTTTATATTTTGTTAAGTTAGGTCGTTTGCAGGCTGTTTTGTATGAAGCAACTTAAGAAACTAAAAAATAAAAATAATGTTGATATTCATGGATCTGTGGTTAACCTGCCCACAAACTGTGCAGACCTCTGTATCATCACAGAGAAAGCATTGGAAAAGTGCTCTAGTTACTTTTGGGGAAAAACTGCAGAAAACATTGCCATCTTATTCCCCTCCTCTGCCGCCATTCTTTTTATTCATTTCATTTTCATTACTTATTTGCTGCTTAATGTAATGAAGTCTCTTTAAGAGGTTCACACTATATGCAATCAGAAGCCCCTAATCAAAGTCTTCCAAGAGTGTCAATGATGGAGAGAGTCCCAGTAACATAAGAAGAGGTTGGGCTGCTGGTGTCAGGCCAGAGGGGCATCCCCAGCTCGCAGCTCCCACAATGGCCAGCCAGATACCTAGGGAAAGCCTGCATCAGACTTCTTCACACACATTCTCCAGCTGCTAGTATTGAGACAGACTGCCTTTGATGCCGAGGTGGGGGGGGGGGGCTTAGTACTGCACTCACTGTTGATAGCCTTTTACTCCGTGAATTCTCCTAAACCACTTTTTTTACAGCCACCCAAGTCATTGTGATTTTCAACCCTGTTCCCTTCTCCCATTGCAGAGGTGCGGAACTATATCTGTGACGAATGTGGCCAGACATTCAAGCAACGCAAACACCTCTCCGTTCACCAGATGCGCCACTCAGGAGCAAAGCCTCTCCAGTAAGCACACTTTGCCTATGGCCTTTTACAGATAAGCTGCGTTGCCTTCATGGGGCATCTTAAGATTACTCAAAGCTGAATTTGAAAACTAGTATGCCCTAACGTAGTTGAAGAAAGGTCATCTCCCTTGCAGATGCGCCAATAATGACACTTCCAAATTAAGATGTGGCACACAAGCGCGCACACACACATTTTGGGTCCTGGGATTGGTTTTTTGGTTCATACGTCCAGTAGTGTGGGAAATGATGATTCTAGGACTGGTTTGGGAAACATTTCCTGCAAAACCATCTGTCTCAATGCAGAACTACAGTCTTACGTTGGAAGCCAAACGGAATCCATTCCGGAAGTTCATTTGACTTCCAGTGCACAGCTTCCGATTGGCTGCAGGAGCTTCCTGCAGCCAATCGGAAGCCACACCGGACGTTCGGCTTCCAAAAGAACGTTCTCAAACTGGAACACTTGCTTCTGGGTTTGCGGCATTCGGGAGCCAAAAAGTTCTACTGTTAAGGTGTTTGTCAACCAAGGTACGACTGTACATGTGACTGATCATTTTGCCATAGTGGAGAGCAGCACTCAGTTTTCTTTTGGTGGACTGTGGCCTCTCCTGCACTTCAGAATGAAGGAGTGCTGCTGCCATACAAGTCTGTCTTGTTAAAGCACCAGTTCCTAACAGAGGGCTGGCTCCGGTCTATAAGGAGTGTCTGACTCTAGCAAGAGCTAAGCTGTCACTTCTCCTATAGGATATTCCATTCCCACAGAGAGGACACAGCGTTCACCAGCGTCCTGGATTTTTGATCGGGACATCCAAACTACAATCTGGAAGCATGTTTCCCGCCCCAGCAATGGTCTCAAGTGCAGCTCAGTATTCAGGGTTCTTAGTAGATAAAAGACACTTGGTTATTGGAAGCATCCTCTCACCTGTCTGAGAGTAGCTGATATATTTCTTCCAAGGCTGAGGCTGTGCTGCTGCTCCCCCTCCTTCATGGGGATGAGACCAGGTGGCAGGTCTGAGGTCCGCTTTCTGCTTTCCCCCTGCAGGTGTGAAATCTGTGGCTTCCAGTGCAGGCAGCGAGCATCCCTCAAGTACCACATGACCAAACACAAAGCAGAGACTGAGCTGGAGTTTGCCTGCGACCAATGTGGGAAGCGCTTTGAAAAGGCCCACAACCTCAACGTCCACATGTCCATGGTGCATCCCCTCACCCAGACTCAGGACAAAGCCAAGGCTGCTGAGCTGGAGCAAGAGCCTCTGCCAGAGGCTCTGTCGGAGGCTTCAGAGACTGCAGAGAACCATCCTGTAAAACTGGAACTGAGCGTACAGCAGGAGCCCACCTGAAAGAGCCCTGGATGGGAGCCCTGATCCAGCTTTGCATAAAGCAACACTGAGTGGGAGTTTTAAACATACGTTTTAACGGATCCTCCCAAAAACAGAAAGGGGTGGGGACTCACTTCTGCTTGCTGGTGAAAAGCTTTCCATTGCTGTGACTATTCTCCGTGTGTGTGTTTGTGTCCAAGACCGTAGCAGTGTCTTACAGAGCCATATCCGTCTCGCCAAAGGAAGCAGGCTGTCCCGCCTTCCCTCTGATGTGGCGACTGGTTGAGCTCAGAAAAGGTATCGCACCTGTTATAAAGGTGTGTTGGCCATAGGCACAGGCTCATTTTTAGGGGCTCTCTTGTTTTAAATTAAATTCCAAAGCCAATCTGAAAAAGAAAGACGAACCAGAATATTTGTAACATGGTTTTTATTGTTACAAAGTCATGGTCATGCTTGTAATAAATTATTTACACCATACTTTGAACAGATTAAGCCTTTGCAGGCGTGTCCACTTTTCCCTGTCCATGCATTTTGTCTGGGTGGGCAGGGAATGCCTGCCTGCCTGGACTTCCGCAGTCAGAAAAGGAGAAGTTCTTCATCAAGCAGATCCCCATCATCACTGGAGTTCACAAGGGCAGCCTTCATCTCTGGGTCCAAGTCTTCACAGAGACTCATCAGCTAAGAAGGAAAAGAGTCTGGTGTCAAGCGTTGCTACCTTTCTGAAGCTAAATCCTTGAGCAGACTGTCCGCAGACAGCACGATGACGTCGAGTTTGTAAAGAAAGGCTGCCACCGGTTCAGCCTCGCTGCAGTCAGCCAGCAGCACTCTGAAAAGACAGATCTCTGGCCTGGCCATGTCATTTCTAGGACAGGTCATAGTGTTTGGTAATCTACCACACCTGTGGACAGCAGGAGCCAAAGGTGTGCAAAGAGTCAAGGCACAGCTGCTTCCTGCTTGGAGCGCACAGGTGGCAAGGCTAGGAGCAGAGGAAGCTGCCGGATACCAGATCAGACTGGCTGGCAGTTCTTGGGCAGAAAAGGGCCTTTCTCAGCTCTATTCTTGGGAGTTGCCAAGGATGCAAAGCATGTGCTCTACCACTGAGCTAGGGTTCCTACCCACTACGACTGTTAAGTTTTAAAAGGCACGGTCTTCCTTGCCCTTCTTTTGCCAGTAACACGAGGTTGGAAGCAACCAGAGGACTGGAGAATAGGAAATAACTGCTCAAGAGCCTCAGAGGATCCTACTCAGGGGCTTGTGCTTCAGGTATAGAGCCAGACATGCAAAGCATTAAGGCCTGGGTTCAATCCCAGCATTTCCAGTAAATGGAACCCACAAATGGGCTGGAAAACACCTCCACTTTAAGAAGGCCTTTAGGAGATACAGAGCAAGGGCCAGTCTTTGGGTGCAGCCAGACCAATATTGGGCACATTTCAGCTTTTCTTCCTCAAAAGTCCTACTATTAATTTGTGCTCCCCCCCTCTAAAATGGCGAAGTTGAGTTTCTGTCCCCTTCTCCTAGAATAAATGAAGTGAAGTAGAGGGCTGAAAGACTGAGCCAGTCGCCATTGGCTTTGTTGAACTGATTGCTGGATGGATCAACAGGACAATCCACAGTGTTGCCAGCAGCCCTGGATTTCCCAAGTTTTGAGGTAGCAGAAAGACCTTTCACCCACCTGCTGGAGGCTGGAAAAGCTCTCTTGAGGACACTGGGGGACTGCACGTAGCAGGAACTGCCGTGCTCTTCTTATCAGCGCCAGTGACTCCTCCTGGGAAAGACAGGCACCGTTCAAATAATGTTGCAACTAAGCCACAGCTTAAGAGTTGCAGGAACCAGAAGGGATGCAGCTGGCGACTCATCTAATCCAAGGGCAGGGAAGTCAGCCCCAGCCAGCATGGCATGGGATGAGGGGAGCTGGAATTCACATCTTGAGGACTTCAGAGATCTAGATTAAATATTTGTATTCTGCTTTCCCAACAACAGGGTTGAGCTCAAAACAGCTGAGAGATGTTCCCCATCCCTGTTCTAACCTCTGGTTGGTGTAGCTTTTCTCAAATGGATTCTCGCCCATGGGCAGTTTTCGCTGGTAGAAACATCTTCCTGGTATCTAAGCTAATCTGCTTCTACTTTGAACACATTTTCAGAATGGAAACAGTGAATAATACTTCTGTAGACTGATCTTACTCAGACTTTTATTTATTGCATTTATATCCCACCTTTTTTCTCCAAGGGGTGCAAGGTGGTATCGGTGGTTCCCCAACTCATTTAATCCCCACCATAACCCTGTGAAGTAGGTTGGGCTTAGAGGCAGTGACTGGCCCGAGGTCACCCAGTGTGCTTCATGGCAGATTGGGGATTTGAATCCTGGTTTTTCCAGGTTCCAGTCCGACACACTAACCGCTACACCACACTGGTTTTCCTTGAGTGACTTTGCTTGGAGGTAAAACTATATATACTGCAAGAAGCCAGCAAAGACAGAAATGCAAAGCTGACTGACATGGCTGTTTATCAGAGCAGCTCCAGTCTCTCTCTCACACACATCCCCCTTTCATCACTGAGCCCTAATTGTTCCAGGTGCTCCCAGGTACGAGGTGGGTGCTGCCCAAATAATGACTCATAGAGTCAACACAATAGGCAAATAAAGGCTGTGGCTAGCCAAAAAGGGAACAGGATGGTTCTGTACTTTGGAAGGAAGCAGAGGGGCTGATCTAAACAAATGGAAGGGAAGGGGATGAGATGCTCACAGGCTCAGTGGAATGCAGGCTTGGTCCCACTGCTGTTGTCCCATCCATAAAGAGCTGCAGCAACTGTGTGTACATGTCAATGGCAACATACAGGAATGTATGCTCCTTAACCAGGTGTCCTGGTTCAAAGGTGACGACGAGGCTACAGAAGAAAGAACAAGTTAGCAGGCCAAGCAGGCAACAAGTGTGACCAGGTCAGGCTCCCTCCTCGCTTTGCATAGATGTACTTCTGCAGGCAGACTTGCAGCCGAGTCACTCGGCCGTGTCTTTTGACTTGAAAATTCAAAACAAGTTTAGAAGGGTTTTGTGGTAATGATGATTTATCTACATGTATCAAGTCACTTCAACACAATGAAAACTCTGGTGCTTCTTTCTTAACTTGGGGTTACTGGGTGGTTGGATGTATCAGTTAAGCAAGTGCATAAAGTGGCCCTGTCAAGTTTCTGGTACCCTTGATTTTCTCAGCAAGTATATACATTACACGCAGAATACATTTGTGAAATTTACCTATAGAAAGCAACCGGCAACAGCCTCAAGTGTTGATGTGATACAGTACCGTGCAGGATTTGGTAAGGGTTGTGGTCTGCAATGCCAAAAGAGACAGATCTTAGCTGGGCGCCAGCTTTCAATCAAACGTTTCTCACAGTTTTCTTGGGGGTTGTATCCAACTCATTTCCACTAGATCCATTGAAAGTAACAGAAGTTCTGTCTGTTAATAGTCTAGCCTGAGCAGTACTTAGCTGGCTGCAACCCTCAGATGGCTGCAGCTTATGAAGGAGCGTTCGTACCTTTCACTGCTGAACTGAAGACGGCCAGCCAGGATGCACCTCGTTCCTCCAAGCCCTGAAGCAGCTTTGAGCTCCAATCCAAGGCTTTGTGAGCATCCACGCCCTCCTGCAAGTTACAGGGGAAAAGCACACACGTACCTCCCCTCTTTGGTACACCCTGGAGGCATTACCAGAGCCACTGGGAACAGCCATTGGGTCACTTTGAGCAAACTCCACTACCTTTCTCCATGAGTTTACCCATCTATAAAGAACAGGTCTATAGGAGCTTCCTACTTCTTAGGCTTCCTTTCAGGCTAAGCAGCAGACAGACAAAGATTGTAACCATCATCGCATACTTAAAAGTACAGGAATTTTATGTCTCGTAGAATCATAGAGTTGGAAGGGACCCTGAGGATCATCTAGTCCAACCCCCTGCAATACAGGAATAGGCAGCTGTACCTTGCGGGGATCGAACCTGCAACCTTGGCATTGTCAGCACCATACTCTAACCAACTGAGCTATCCGCCTCCACTCCACCTTTGAAAGTTTACGTGACAGTTGAACAGTGACAAATGAAGGCCCTGGGTCTACCAGGCAGTTTGAGAAATCTACTTACCTGTGGGGTTACTATCGCTGAGATGAAATCCACGACTGAAAAGAAGAAGAGGTTCACCAAGAGCTGTCAGGTAAAAGAAAAAAATAAATGCATGCATCACACAAAGTGAGTTTCTCAAGCCTGACGTCGACCCACTGGTCTAGTCTGCAGAAGCCAGGGTCACCCTCTGCGCCATCATGGACACATCATGGTAAAGCAAAATGCAAAATGTAATCTCTTACTTGCTCTGCTTCAGACCCCAGCCTTTTCAGCCCTTCAGCCATCTTTTCATGCACCATTTGCCGTTGCACAGTGAAATGGAGAAAGGCAGCAGAGATCCATGGAATGTCAGAGACCAGGGAAGCTGCTTCCAGTGAGAGGAACCTGAGTGGTAAAGACAAAACAGTTGTCAGTTGAAAGGCCAGCGGGCTCCTTTTCATAGATGACAGCCCTCCTTAATCAGGTGTGTGACATGGCTGAGAAGAGAAGATGTAGAGACACCTGGAAGTCCAAAACCAAGTTTTTCAAGGTGAGAGCTAAAAAGGTAATAGGAATGCAACCCCTCCCCATCTCTTCTCATGGCTGGAGTGGGAGACATGAAGGGAACACAGAAGCTCAACAGCTTCTCAGGTGTGAGCTGCTTCCTTGGAGTTACCTGCTGACAGAGGTCTGCAACTCCTTGAGGCTCTGCAATCCCTGTGCGACTGGAGCGCCGAAGAGTCTGTTCCACTCCGAGAAAAGCACGGGCTCCAGCCTCTGCCACCAGCACTTCATGGAGTCGAGACAGAGAGCGCAAATCAGCCACTGCTTAAAACTGCATCAATGCCATTTTACATGCCACTCTTACATAGGGTTTCCTCACCGACTTTATTTGAGCAGTGTTGCAGAATCAAGTGTCGTCATCCCCACGCCCCATACTCTGGGCCCCAACTAGCTACTTTTCTAAGGATTAGGATCATCAAGAGGAATATTCATGAGGCATAACAGAAAAACTTTATTGTTATTAATACAGAAGGCTCTTGTGTGACCTAAATATCTGCAGGCAGAACTAGGACTGGTGCTTTAAAAAACCAAACACACCTGTTTTAATATGGCTATTTTAAACCAAGAATTTATTTTGAGTGGTTCGGCATAGTATTTGCTCAGGATGGGCTATTATGGTGTTAGAAACACCCACCCTCCTCCAAAAAGTGTACCTCTATGATCTCCAAAACCACCCTGGCTGATCAAGCTCCTGCTTAAGAGAACTTGCATCATATTATCATAGAATCATAGAATTGTATGTAGAGTTGGAAGGGACCATGAGGGTCATCTGGTCCCCCTGCAATGCAGGAATCTTTTGCCCAACGTGAGACTCAAACACATGACCCTGAGATTAAGAGTCTTGTGCTCTGCCACCTGAGCCAAGAGCTTTTGGAACTGCAAGGAGACATATAGAAAGGTAAATCAACAGCATGGGCCTCTTACCGCTGCAGAACCCAGGATTATAGGGCACGTGGTTTGACACAAGGTGAGAATGGCAGTCACCTCCTGCGCAGGTTTGTGACACTCCAAGCTGGCGCTCAGCAAGCCCTGAAGGACAGCAAGGACAGTCACTAAGGCAGATTTCAGAGCACTAAGGAAGCAAAGGCGCTTCACTAAGGCAGCCTAAGCCAACCTGGTCCCCTGCTTTGGACTACAGCTCTCATCAGCCTGATACCGAGGGCTGCTGTCAAAAACCACCGGGGGGGGGGGAATCAGGCTGTGGTAGGCAGCACAAAGGCCATGTCCCTCAGGTGTTCCACTGGCATGAGTGGGAGCAGTGGAGAAACAACACTTGGGAGGATTTTAAAAAATGTACTCCAAGCCCACATTCAGCCCTCATAGGAAACTGTCTCGTTACCCATTCTAAATGGATTGCACAGCACTCACACACAGAGAGACTACATAGGATTGCCAGGGGACTAAATTCCTTCCCTGCAACCCCATATTGTCGGGGGAAATTCAGAAGACAAGAGGTGAGTTTGCAGTTACATTACCCTGAAGAAATGAGATGTGATGTCGTAGGAGAGCACACAGCCTCTGGAGCAGACATTCCTCTGTAAAAATGTGAATAAGGAATTTCAGAGAGTGAGGAAAGCATTCCCAGGAAATCTGGATAATAACTTCAATGTAGGTGCGCCCTGACTCAATGGTGCCCACACCCAAGATTGTGATGGTTTTATTCTGGCTGTTGGCAGCACAGGTTGTTTGGGGTTTGCTCCTCCTCTCAAGTTAGCAGGCAGTAGATCAGAGTGATATCACAGAGAGAGGGGATCAGGTCCCTTTCCAAGGGCAGCGATCTTCCCCAAAACAGCAAGCGAGCATAAGGGCCACATTCTTTAAAAAGCGGTAGACCAGCCTTCTCTAATGTGGCTCCATCCGAAGTTTTGGGCCACAGCTCCTATCATCATGAAACTGTGCTGTGTAGTCAAAAAAACATCTGGAAAGTAGCAAGCTGAGGACGGCTGAAGCAGACTGCTCTCTCACTGAGGCTGCTTTAAGCCCCAGAAGGAAGATTCAGCAACAGCACACCCAGAGAGCAAAACACACAGCCAGGAACAGTTATCAAGAGCACTGCAGTTCTTTAGGACAGGATACACACCAGTTCCGTGTTTGCAAAACAGAAGAAGTCTTCGCAATCCAGAGCAATTTTATTTCCTCTCTTCTGTGTTGATATGAGAACCGATGGAGGGAGACCTAAAAGAATCCTGAACAAGAAGCAGTTTGTTTCAGGGTAAAAAACCATATTCATTTTGATTTAAGAATAGTGTCTGATTTGTTGTGGACAGGATTTCAGATTGCCAATGAAAGCAATGAACGGAAGCGTTAGCAAAACTGGGGCCAAGATCAGGCTATTCCCAGCCCTCCCTCTGCCCCTCACGAGAGCAGAGAAGGCTGTAGCTCTGTGATGGAGCACCAGCTTTGCATGCAAAATGCCCGAGGTTCAGTCCCCGCTGGCATCACCAGGGAGGCCTGGAAACGCCACCCCCCCACTCCGAAACTCCCAGAGAGCCACTGCCAGTCAGTTTCAATAATGCTGAGACAGATAGAGCAATGGCCTGACTCCATATCTTTATTATTTTGAATGTTTGGCCAACTTTCCTTCCCAAAGGGAGCCCAGAGGGTCTCAAAACATAATAAAATTAGATGAAAACCCATTTAAAAACACCACTGTAACATTGAGGCAACAGTTAAAACCAGCAGTGTGAAAAATCTGATAGCCAGAGGCCTAGAAACAGTGTCTTTCCATGCTTACTGAATGCAAGTTTTCCTTCGGAGAGACTTTCGCAGCTGGGGTGCCACCACTGAGAATGCCCCGTCTATATCTATAGCTTCCTATGTCCCAGGAGGAAGCAGGAAGGGAAAATCTTGTCTTCCATTGGCCTCTATGCAGCTGTGTTTTTAATTATCCCCAAAGCCACTTGGACTCATTGGCAGCCATGGTGCATTTACCTGGTTTGAAGCAGCACCTCCTGCTGCCGAAGTAGCCTTTCACCCACAGAGGGCCCATTGCCCAGAGCTTTTTGCCGCTCCTGGAAAACCCTGAATAGGAAGTGCTCCTCCCTTCTGGGGCAGGAGTCAGGTGGGGCTTTCTTGCGCTCCAGCTCCAGCTCCAACAGCATCTCCTGAAATTGAGACAGCAGCCGGTTAGTAGAGGGCAGGAGACGGCGTTTCAACTCCTGTTTGTTTACTTATTTATTAAATTTCCATCCCACTCTTCTTCCCAAAGGAGCCCTGGGCAGAAAACATCAAAAATTTAAAACAATTCAAAACAACAAAAACATATTTTTAAAAAATTCTAAACCACCTAAAAACATTTCAAACCGTTCAGAATGTCAAAAAACATATTGCAGTAACCTGCAGTTTTGTAAGGGTATATCTTTAAAGTAGGTGAATAATCAGGTAAGTTAAGTTAATTTGGAATATGCAGAAAATATAAAAAATAAATTTAAGGAAAGAGGGGGAAGAAAGTTGAGTTTCGAAATGTTGAAATGATTGTAAAATTATTGAAATGTATAAATTTGAAAATAATACATAAAAATTAAACAAAATAATGTCTAAAAACATGAATATATTCACAGCAGTGGATCGAAGATCAAAATAGTGGTATTCCATAGTAATAAATGCCCAGTACTTATTATATGTTCATTTTCCCTCAAAGCATTTCACATACATCCCTTATCCTTAAAACAGCCTTGCAGATAGGCAGGCCACTATCATAAAGCTACCATAAGCTCAGTCTAGAGCAATCTTCTCCAACTCAGTGCCCTCCATATGTTTAGGACTACAATTCCCACCTGCCCTTGAAGACCATTATACTAAGTGCAGAATGCAGTGGCCTGTGGTGGCCCAAGCTGCAGTATTTAGCAACAATGCTGTACAGGAGACCATGCATGTGCATGTTCTATTATCAGCATGGTACCTGAGACTGGGTCATTGTTAGCCATCACTAGCAGCCAATGCATAAGATGGCCAGCTACACACCTGGATGACTCTCCAGCAATTTAACTGGACATTGCTTTCTGGATTAGAAAGCACCTTTGCACCTGTCATATCATTCCTAGCATCAGAAGACCAACCCCAGCAAGCAGCAAAATCTTTAAGGAAAAGAAGACAAGTACAAACAGAAAACACATAGCATGCACATTTGCATCACCTGCAACCGGCAGTAGATATCGGGGCTTCCTCTCCCATGGGATATGGAGCATTTCAAATCTTTTAGGTGGTTGGGCTTGTCAAGCTCAGACCTGGAACCAAAAGCAATGGAGGAGGAGCTACTGCAGGGCCCAGAAATATCTGAACACACAGAGAAGCATTTGCCAGAGAAACTGGGAGAGGGACACGTGCAAGTCCTAAAGCTGCTAATTTTGCATCTTTACCTGCTTTAACATGCCATGGAAACACACTATCGATAAACCAGAACTATTTTAAAAGAGTGCATTCCTGGGCAGGGGGAAGGAACAATCTCAATTAAGGCAGATGTTTATCAGCATTGCGTAGGTTGTAGGAGTAACACACCCTTTCACCCAGCTGATCACAGGCAGAGAGAAAAGGCAGAATTTGGGTGGGAAAAACAATTGGTGCTTTGTTCATCTGTAGAAAAAATTTAACCAGCACCTTTAATGAAAGGGAACCAGCCGTTGTGCTCAGGTTCTGGTAGTAGGCTTCCCAGAAGGAGGACCTGGCTGGCAGGAAAAGGACAGTGGACGATGGGCCTTTGGCTTGATCCAATGAGACTCTTCTGACGCTCTTACCTCTGGCAGAAATCCAGGATGGTGCTAATAAGAACAGCACACATCTCTCTCAGGTCTCCATCACAGCCTCCAGCAGCAGCAGGCACAGGAAGAAAGTGCTGATACAAAGCCCAGTAATGGAATTCCTGCCTGCATGTAGGAGAGACAGGCAGAAAAAGCTCAGATCTTCTGCCAGCAAATCAAAAGGCAAAAGAGAGAAGGTGGGGGTGAAAGACCTTGAGCCAAATCTTCTTACGGTTATCATCAGTGCACAAGGCTGGACATAGAAGTGAAGGCTTTTAAGCTCAGACTCAAAGGGACAGAGAGAGGGTGAGAGTTTTGCAAAACCATTTCAGAGACTAAACCATGAATTATTTTAGTTAATTATCCTTCTCTGGACTTTAGCTTTAGGAACGAGGGTTCTGCCTTTGGAAGGATTAAGGGGCTATTTTATTTATTTATTAAAATATTTATGTAATGCTTTTCAGAAAACGTAGCTACACACATCACACAGTAGACCAAGAATAAGCAACAAAAGGTGCTTGAGAAAGTGTGATTTTTCACATACAAATCACTGTTTTTCACATCACAAACACCTGCACTATGATTCTTTTTTTAAAAAAAAGCCTTCTAAAACCACTGCCTCCCCCGCCTAATATTCCAACTTGTGAAAAACCAGCCTCAGTGCTTAATTTTCACTTTCTGGGCTCATTTGCAGGTGACCAAAAGTGCTTCTTCACATGAATGAAAACCAACCTTCACCATCCTGGTGTCCTCCAGATGTTTTGGACTACAATTCCCATCAGCACAGCCATATGAGGCTGCTGGGAATTGTAGTCCAAAACATCTGATGAGCATCAGGTTGGTGAAGGCTGAACCTTGAACTAAAGTTAAAGCCAGCCTGCAGCACTCACCTCTCACAAGGAGAAAGAACGTCTTCATCAGGCTGGACCCCTAGCTCCATCAGCAGCCACTCTTGGAGGGTCAGCTGCAAGAAAGATAAATTTCTGTACACAAAACAGCAACAGGAGCTCCCCAGACACCTTAGCCTGTTCCTCCGTGCTAAGCATTAGGTCATTTGCTCTGGCCCTCAGGCATAAACTGAAGTGCTAATAGCATTGAATTTCTTAAATCAGGGCGAAATCAGGATTTACCAGCAGAGCTCTCAATGATTTGAAGTAGACTGGCAAGGATTTCTGACTCCCTGTTGCTTAACAGCAGCAACAATAACCTATCCTACTACTTCCACAAGGCCTTCATGTGTAATGGATTAAGAGCTCTTCTACACTTCACTCAAACTTTCAGAGGGCTGCTCAGCTCTGGCTAAACTGAGCCCAGCTCTTATGCCTGCTTAACTGGCACCCCAACAGTGAAGACTCAACCTGCTACAGATAACGTTGAGACATGGTTGCCAGAGGGCAAGGGAAGAACCTGGCACAGTCACTGAATTTACCTGGAACTCTTTCTCCTGCAAGAGCTCTTTGAACTGGGTTTGCTTCCACAAGCAGAGGGCAGCTTTCCGGTAACAGATAGCAGGGTGAGATAAAGTTTTCCAAGGAATCTCAGCTTGGTCTCCGTCATAGCCTCTTCCTCGAGCCTCTAAGCTGAGCCGTGGAACAACATATTGAAGCTACAAAACAGGGGAAAAAACCTGTCAATATAAATAGCACTGAGCTAGATGGACTACTGGTCTGACTCTGTATAAGGCAAATTTCTATATCCGGTATACAAATCCACAAGTTGACTTTATAGAATAACAGGGTTTTCATATTTGCTGACATCATTGATTTCATCACAAATATGACTCCAAATTGTTAAACAGCATTGTTGTATTTCCCCCCCAAAATGTTGGAGCATAACAATAATAAAATCTGGAACCACAAGTTTTGAGAAAAGCAGGCTGGAAAACGCTGCACTCACAGAATACTGAGCAATCAATCTAGAGAGAATCCTGGATAAACATGCAGGTTAGCACACTATAGAGTAACTGAGCAGAAATAACTGCAGCGGAAAGATGCATTTGTGTTCGGATTTGACTTCTGAGTGCAGGATAACTGTCGTTTGCTTTAAATATATATTTTATAAAGTTACCTTTTTTACAAAACCAGGATGAAGTAAGGAGCACAGACAAGCACTGGAAAGGGAAGGAGATTTGCAGAAGTAGTAAGAGAGAGCAGCTGTACAAAACCTACAGAGAGAGAGAGAGATAAAAAGTATTATTTTGTTTGGTCATTCACCGGTCTCCTTTCAAATACTATCTATTTTATTTTTATCCCATCCTCCAAGAGAAATATACCCACCACCTATTTTACTCTCACAACAGATGAAACCTTTGATGGAGAATGAAGTTTACCTCATGCAGAAGACAATGGACTCTCCTGTCCGGCACACCAATAAATAATCCCAGAGCTCAGTAATTGAAAGACATCTTTTGGATGCAGAGTGAGGAAGCCAAGAGCAGAGGTCCACCTCAGGAATTAAGGACTTGGCTTCATTTAAGTGGATTGCAAAGACAGCCAGGCCAATGATATGAGCATCACTTAGAGAAGGCCCCTGCAAACAGACGAAACATACCCCAATCAAAGCACATGAAAATACATTTTGTATCCATGGTTACCAGTTTCAGTAAACCAGGAGTGGCTAACTTGCAGGCCAACAGTTGTTGGACTACAGTTCCCATAATCCCGTTGGACTACAGTTTCTATAATCCCTGACCATTGGGCCATTCTGGTTGTGGCTGATGGGAGCTGGAATTTAGCAGCATCTGACAGGTCACAGGTTATCCCTGCAGTAAAGCCCAGAACTCAAAGGGGCCTATCTCAGGACCTCAAGCAGACCGACACTCTGTGATGGCAACAGAAGGAGCCAGTTCAATTCCGGTTCTTCAGAGGGGTGCATGCATTAAGACATCAGCTCATCGCATTGGGAAACCCACCTGATGACAGATAAGCTGGCAGAGCCTGCCCAACAAGGATGGCAAGAGTCGGCGGTGCCCACAAACCATTTTCACAAAGAGGGAGGGCCAGGCCCCTTGTCTGTAAGGAATACAAGCCATGCCATCATATTGCTGCCAGGATGAAAAATTATTTATCTCTGTTTAACTATGTTCCAGAAACTTTAAGTACCTAGCAAATGTTATTTTTACCTGTCTGGAGGCAGGAAGGAGGAGGCAGCCATTACACTCTGGCAGAACAATGTCAGAAGAAGATCAATAGCCTGAAAGAGAGAGGCTGGCTGTTGATTTCTACCCCAGGGCCTTTGTATCTGGTGTTGGTATCTAGCAGGCAGAGATACAAGCTCCTACCACGCAATTATGAAGAACTGAGAACTACAATTCTCATATTTTGCCTGACAGGACCGCCACAAATACTGAAAATATGGCTCATTGGTTGGATGGGTTCCCAACATTTTATCTCCGTAAAATGATCCTGTCTCAGGGATGTTTCAGTGAAGCAACTTAGAGCAAAGCACGTCTGTACGCACCCCTTGATCCTGCTTTTCAACTTCAGGAATGGAAAGGTTTAGCTTGATCCTAAGACTCAGGGATGCGGCTTCATCCTCATCTTTCATACGTCCCAGAACGCCCACCAGTTTATCAGAGACCACAGCAATCTGAGCTGGCACCTCTGCAACAGAGAACAACATGACAGAACAGCCAAGAAAGGAGGCGAGAGTATATCCAGCTGCTGAAGTTCCTTAGGAATTTATTTTAAAACCTCATAGGCAAATTGTTCTGCCACCCTGAACACACAGTGCCACCGGCATATGTGGTGTTTGATTCCATCTGAAGGAAGCGGGAAGTTTTAAGAAGCAATAATGTTGACAAGGGAGCGACCAGGTTTAAGTGATGCACTTGAGAACTAGAAACAGACCTCGAGCCATCTAAAGTAGATTAGGCCAGGCCTGCATCTAGCAAGCCAAAAAAGTGGGCAGGTCTTTTTCAGCCAAGAAAAAGCATGTTTGCCAAATACTAGATGCTCGAAATTAAAGTGAATCAGACAACTATGTGCACACACACACACACACACACACCGGTCCAAGATGCAACTCCAACCTGCTTCTCCCAATGGTTTTGCTTTGGCCCACTGCCCAAAATAAGCCACGTTAAGTCGAAGAGGATGACGTAATACCCTGCTGGAGCCCTCACACCACCTTTTCCTGTTGTGGCCACTTGGAGCTGCATGACAGTTTCCACCGCAGCAGTTCCATTTGCCCTTTGGCCACCCCCTGAGTAGGCCAGATTGCACCTTCATGCCTGGTTCATCTCACCTTGCCCAACCAGCTACCCCAGGGACCTGCAGAGTCTCCCCCTTGGGGTTGTCTTTTACCCCTGAAGTTGGCTGATGATGCGTGAGGCCCACAAACATCTCACACGTACGACACAGGCTCACGTCATCTGCCAAAGCGGCTTTGCAGGCGCGTTCTGTGCTGTTTCGTCCCCATTCTCTCCCCGTTTGCCGCCCGATTGCCTTCACTTACCATCATGCTTATTCTGGTCTGTAATAAGCAGCCTCAGTGTGTCAAGTTCAGCTTTTAGAAGTTCCAAGGGCTCCCTGAGATCACTTGCCTCAATTTCCATTGATTCATCTGCTGAACACAAGAAGCTGCTGCTGTCTTATGCCAGGATCAAGCTATTTGTAAAGTTAGCCTAGAATTTTCTATTGTGTTCAAAATGTTTCTTACCTGTCCTTCAGAAGGTTCTAGGGCAGCGTACAAAATGGTGCATGCAATTTACCCAACATACAAACTGCTATATATGACCGGCCAAGACTGCTTACAGGAGCAGGCTGACGGAAACTCCTCTGCTGAGAGACTACACTGGTTGCCAATTTGCTGCAGGACCAGGTTCATGGTTCTTGTGCTAATTCACAAAGCCCTAAAGAACTTGGGCCCCAAGTACCTTAAGAACAATCTGATTGCTTATGCTCCACCTCAATCACAGAGATCCTCTGATGGGCCACTTCCTGGGGTTCCCCACACCCCAGAGGTTTGGTCAGCCTCTCTTAGGGACCGAGCCTTTAGCGCAGCAAGCCCTGCCTTTGTGGAACTCCTTGCCACTAGAGGTTTGGCAAGAATCATTCCTGCCAACTTACAGAGATCTCCTAAAAATTGTGTTATTCGGACAAACCTTGTGAATTTGTTTTTGCCAACCAGTATTTTAGTGATGTTTTTATCATTCTTACTGTAATTTTGGATGGTGTTTACCACCTGGTTGTAGTTTTATGCAAGTTGAGTTTTAAAATGTTTAAATAAATATAAATGTAATATAAAAGCAACAGCAAAATGAAAAAGCAGATTAAAAACTCATGTTTAAAAACTATGGAAAAGAAGAAGAAAGCAGCAGCTCCAATTACAATTCCATTCAAAATGCCTGGGGCAATAGAAAAGTCCTTAACCTTACACACCCCTAGGGTCCCAGGCAGAGAAATGTCTTTCATCAGCACTTGCAGACAGATCCCATTTTAACCAAAGATGCCTGGGGGTTGAACTTGGGATGTTCTGTATGCAAAGTGTGTGCTCTCCACCAATGAGTTATAGTCTTGCTACCCCCTCCTCCCAATGGAAAGTGCATTTTAGTTCAGCCTGTAATATAAACACTGTCAACTTGAAGCCCCACTATTTTGATGGAGCAACCTCAAAAGAGCATTTGCAAGAGTAACAGCCCATATTTTTAACGAGGTTCTTAGACAGTATGCAGACTATTGACCTACGGTGACTGACAGCATCACCTCTCTAGGTCTGGTTTAGGGCACTCAACCTAAAGAATGGACTGGAATTTGTGCAATTGAACAAATTTATCTCCACATACGTATCAGTATTAAGCCAGCTCAGCACATTGAAGTCTCCAGGCTAATTTAGCAGCACCGTTCATTAATCCTGCTTCACTGGCGTGATGCCCCAAGGCTACATATAACAGACAGTGATCGTTTTAGAGCTAACAGGCAATGCAATTCCATCAATATCAAGCCAGCTGCATTAAAGGACAAAAGCAGGCTAAATCGTTTTATTCACTTCTGCTACAGGACCAGGAATTTAATGGAACAGCCACTAGGGGCCAGTGTCCCCACTTTATCTGGAACACAAATCATTCCTTTTGATTGCTGCAAGCTGCTAAAAAGCATCACTTCACCCTTGATTTCTGGCACTCAGGACCTCAAGCTGCCCAAGCCTGAGAACAGCATCTCAGTTTTCACATTAAGTAGAAAGGTCCAGAGTTCTTTAGAGGCAGCAGCAGGACGCATCAGCTCCAATTCATCTGTTGTCAGAATTGTACCAGAAAACACAGTAAGCTTCTTGCACAGCCCACATTGCAGATTAACAGGCATGGAAGCTCCACACTGAATCACTTTTGTGGTTCAGCAACAGCATCCCCCCTTTCTCTTTGCAGCAAGGAAAATGCCAGCACCTCCATAATGCATTTCCCCATTACACAACCACAAAGGAGGCACTATCCCTGGGGAAATGCCAACGTTTCGTATTTGTTTTAATACCTGGGAGAAGGTGAGCAAAGAAGCAGCATTTGTTTTGCTTCATTCTTACCACTAGGCAAATAGATCTTTCTCACCCTGCAAGAGCTTCTCTTTAACAGCTTTGCATTCTTCAATATAAGTGGCGTACATGTTCACGGGAATTTTCTCAGCCCTGTTTTAGGAGACAGAAACGTTTTTATGCCACCATTGAACCAGCCTCCAGTTACCATCATGACGCAGTTGGCATGTCACATGCAAACTATGTTTTAAAGTGAGCCAGGGCATGCAGGTGGCTGCCCCTTTTACTGGCTGACCAAGTAAGCAATACAATGGGCCAGAGCTACAAACAGGAAGCTTTCAATTAACATCAGGAAAAAACTTTTTGTTGAACAGAACTTGATCACGATTATGGGTGTTGGCCATAGGAAAAGGCATTGCTGGTTATAAAGCGCTGTCTGAAACCTCCCCTGTCATCCCACTTCTCAATAAGTGCAGAAAAGAACAGCCGAAGAAGTGCAAAATGGCTCCAGTATGGAAGCAACCAAAGAGATAAAGACCATTTTGTGACACGCAGGAACATTTTCTTGCACATGCAGTTAATCAAAGGAAACCTGGAGACCAGGAACAGTGGACCCAAGAGGCAGAGAGGTCTGTGGGGTATTCAGAAGTGTGGTAATACCATAACACCACTGCATTACATGGCTGCAGGCGCAGAGATAACGCAGCATCATGGAAAGTCGCATCAGGTGATGTCAAACGTCCCCAGTATGAAGCCTCTAATACCAAAAAACAATTGCAGCTTTACAGAATCCACTTCCTTACCTCTTAAGGGAGTCTATCAAAGCCATGCGGGAGTCGGGTGTTTCAGGAAGCTGCAATAAAAAAAATAAAAATAAAAAATAGTGTTTTAATATCTGTTTTGACATGGCTGATTTAGATGCACATGTTTTTATGCTGCAGCTCATTCTGAGTGTGAATGTGAATGTGCTTAATAGAACAGTAACCTATAAGTTTAGGAATAAATAAAACAGAAAAGCAACCAAAACTTTCAAAAAATTTCATTCATCGCCCAAAATTGGAGGAAACGAAAAGAAGGATGCTCACCACACGTGGCGCAAGTAAAGCAGGAATAAAACGCGAAGTGTAATAGGACCGTCTGAAGATGCTGAAACACAGGAAGGCAGATGCGGTAGAAATTAATCACATCTGGAACACAAAGTGCATCTTGACATTTTTAGGAATGCCTTAAAACAAACCTATTGGTTTTTATTTCAAAAAATCACACAGAAAAACAGTACTTCAAAAACGCAGCATGTGGGCCTATCGTTATGATAACCCATTGATATGATTAGCTATAGGGCAGTTCCACCACAGGAAGGACTACACAACACAAAGCAGCCTTTGCAGAACCCAGTGAATAAGAATCTAAGAAGAGCCCGGCAGCAGCTGGATCAAACTAAAAAGGGTCCATCTTACTTCAGCACCCTGTTCTCACAGTGGGCAGCCAGGTGTCCCCAAGGGAGACTACAAACAGGACCTGAGCGCAACAACATTTTTTACTTTATTGGGGCATTCACAGGGAGCCAGGCACACCCTCAGCTGCAGCCCACGACAGCTTCCTCAAGGCAAGAGGGTCCATACAAGGGCAACAGAACAAGCAAGTTCTGGGCTGCAATCTGAGGGCCACAAGCCCCACAATTTCCCCCCTGCCCTGAGCGAGCTACACTGAAACAAAAGAGGAAATGCACAAGAGGGGGACTGTGCCAGACCAATTGCTGGAAACTTCAAGAGAGGAGAATCCTGCTTGCTGATTTCCCATAGGCATCTGGTTGGCCACTGTGAGAACAGGATGCTGGACTAGATGGGCCAATGGCCTGATCCTGCAGGGCTCTTATGTTCTTGGGGGGATGTTTCCAAAGGATGCCTTTTTAACCGGAGTTGGGGAACCACCATTCATGGGTGTTTGGCTCTTTTCCTCCTTCCACATTCTTTCCACATGCAGTGGCAAACACTAGACAAACAGCTACCAACAGGTTTTATTATTATTATTTTAGCCAGCAATTCCGGCTCTTCTTTTAAAGCCTTTTTTTCCTGACTGCATTGTTTGATATGTTCCTGGAACAGAATATTTTGGGGAACTGGGAGATGAAGATATCATACCTGGCTTCCATCACACTAGTTGGGATCTTTCCAGTGTTTTCAAATATCTGAATGGCCTTTTCAACATCATGAAGTGCCTGGCAGTGTGGCTGGCATACACACAGAGAGAGAAGCAACAGAGGAGAGAAGAAATGTTTTTTATCTCTTTTTGCACAACTGATCCAAGTCTTTCTTTCCTGCTCTATTGTGCTTTGTGACTGCTTTTTTTTGTCCCATGGGAGACATGGCCAGTTCAGCTGCATAACAAATACTTGGTGATGGGGAACTAAGACAGCATAACAGGAGCAGAATAAGATCACAGTCAGGTAAAAGATACTCAAGTGTATCTTCCAAATTTCATATATTTTATGCCTTGGGACTTAAAGATTCTGCTGTTAAGTGTAAATGGCTGCTCTGGGTAAAGTCAGGCAGAAATAATGCTGTTTTGGGTCTGGTACAAATGAGCAGCCACAATAAAAACTGCAAACAGCAAGAGCCAAGGAAATCAGTTCTGTGACATTCAACAGGGCCCAACAGAGACATAAGAGGAATGAAAAGCAACCTTTCCTGCAGGATACACTGAGAAATTGAAATAAGAACTCCCTGAAAACAAACATAGCTATAGCAAACAGCTTTTATGTATCACACTTAAAAGAAAAAGACCAAATTTGTTATGCTGGATTTCCACCAGTAAGTTCCAGCATCTCTGATCAGACTGCAGACAAAGTTGTAGAAATAAATGAATAGAATAATGCTGGTCCAAACTAAACGAACTGGAATGTCATGGTTCGTTTTTGTCATGGAGATTAAAATTGGACCCACTTACACTTTTCTGTCTGCCTTGTACATAACTGCGCAAAAGTTACCAGTCTGCAAACATTTTACATGCCTCGTTCATCTGCCAGCTGTATTTCCATACTAGGTTTCCTTCCTCTGTTTCAATGCTGAGTGCTGAGGAAGTGCTGAGCACCGCAGATCACCTGCATGCAGAGCCGACCCACCTGCAGCTACCAAGCAAATGCTCAAACACAAGGCTGCTGTCACCCACCCTTTTTTCCCCTGACCGTGTGTAATTAAAGCTTTTGCCTCCTTTCAAAGTAAGGCCATGAGTTCTAAGTCCTGCGGGCGTCAGGAGAGGTGAGATTCTGAGTAGAGAATGAGCATCAAAAGTGCAGGGGAAAAGGGAGGTGGGAATGAGTGGGACTGCAAGATCAAGTTAGGCCCTTGAAAGACCCCAAGGGAAGCCTCCGAAATTGAAGCAGAAGCCCTGGAGGAATGTGCCCCCACCCCCAAAAAAACAAACAAACCCTGAGCTCTGATTAGTAAAAGGGTTTGCCTGCTTCAACATTTGGTAATTGCTCATCAGATGTGAAGCTGAAGAAGGGCATTGATAATGCAAGGTAGTTTTCATGGTGCTCAGAGAGACCCCATTCTTGGCTTAGCTCCCGGCTACCTGAAGGGCCGCCTCACTCCCTCTGAGCAACTTCTTTCTGACCACATTTAAATCGTGCGATTCCCTTCCTCTTCAGGAGGACTGCTGGCCCCTCTCACTCTCTCAATTTTCTGCTCCCAAGTTAAGACCTTCCTTTTTCAGATAGGCTTTTAATTTGCCTGGTTAGTGCAAAACGGCTGATCCTGCTGCTTTGTGCTGGTCCTATCTACAGCAATGCATAATTTGTTTGTGTTTGATGTCATTTAAACACCAGCCAAAGTCCTTTTTATTTTCTCAGGCCTTTTAATCCTTGACTCATTTACGTTTTTGTGCTGCTTGGTGTCTGTTTTAAATTACACTGGCTCCTTTTATATTACAGTGCCCTAATTTTTTTGCTTTAATTTTTATCTAAATTGCAATTTTAACTTTTTTTAAGCTGCCCCAAGAACCCGTGAAAGTGCAGGGTTACAGAGCAACCAAGCAATAATATAAATAAAATGATAATAGAACTTGAGGTAAGCCACCCTGAATATCAGCTTTTAAAATAGTGGAAGGGTGGAACAGAAATTCTCCAAGTCAATACATGCCCACTTTACCCTTCAACAGAGCCTTTTTACTCCCCTCTCCACCCCCAAGTCCAGCATGCATGTTGCAGTGCTAGTGTTGCAGTTCAGAAGCAACCAATGTGGTGCCTTTCAGATGCTACCCAATTCCAACTACCATCAGTCCCAGCCAGCATGGCCAATAGCCAGGGAGGATGATGGGAGTTGTAGTCCAGCAACATCTGCCTACCCTCACGTTGGTTCTCCATGTTATAACCTTAAGATGCATCACGGTAGCAGTTGTAAGCCTTAAGAAACATTGTAAAGTCATATTGTTAATGTTCTCCCCATGTAACCAATTATTAAGGTCAAGTCTACACTTGAGAGAAGTTACCACAGCAGCAAGTCATAGAAATTATACTTATGGGGTCAGTCCAGGTGGTTCTTGTGTACCTGCACAGCTTCCTTGACAGAAGACAAATCCTCATAGAGACCCATGTCTTCTATTGCTACCTGGAAAGAGTTGAAAGAAAAAGGAGCACAGCTGAAGGCGTGGTGGTGGGAAAGGGCAGGGGGCTTAGTGCAAAACAAGACTCATCCCTAGAACTGGTTTCCGACAGCTGGTGGCTAATCTTACCTTTCGTACCCTGCACAAATGCTGCCAGCATCCCATGCACATCTGCAAGCGAGGAGGCAGTTTCCAGGTAGCTGACTGAGCCCCTGCACCTCCCTCTTTAAGAGGCTGAGCCCCTGAAATGGAAGAAGCCCTTCACTGACCTTGAAATCAGCCAGTCGGGTTTTGGCGAGAGTGATGTATTCCAGAAGAAAGGGGCGGTATTTGATGGGTACAAACGGCGGGTGCATGATGTGGACCTAGAGAGACAGTTCAAATCAAGGTTAGGCCAACAGTCATCACGCCCATTGGATGCCCCTAGCAGTTTTGCACATTCCCTCCCAAGGTATGGGCTACAGAGAACAGATGCAAGATTTATTGTACACAAGTACACTGCATGCTGCCTTTTTGTATGCATATGAACGAAACAAAAAAAGCATAGAGCACTTTACACTTCCTAGAAGTTCAAGCAGCAGTTAAAATCTAAAAATAGGTGGCAAGATCCTGTCCATGTCTCACCTTCAGGTATTGAGGGGCTTCCAAGGGCACCAGCTCCGACAGGAACTTGAAGAGGAAGACTAAGGCCTTCTTACTGCTACTGTGGAAGCCACTGCTGCTCCCAAAGGCAGCCTGGAAAGCGACAGCAACACACAGAAGACTGTTAAACTATGCCCATCACTGAGACGAGGGAATTCATTACTGCAAGATGTAGTGACGGTCACCAACTTAGACAGCTTTAAAAGGAGAAAAGGCAAATGCATGGCGGAAAAGGTGTCAATGACTGTGCTACCTGTAGGACTAGAGCTACTGCACACCACCTAGGAAACTGCCTTATACCAAGTCACACCATTGGTCCATCTTGCTCAGCATTGTCTACACTGACTGGCAGAGGCTCTCCAGGAATTCAGGCGAGAGTCTCTTCCAGCCCTAACCTGGAGATGCTGGGAATTGAACCTGGGACCTTCTGCTTGCAAGGCAGATACTTTACCACTGAGCTATGGCCCTTCTCCAACTGGATGGGGAGAGAGCAGGAGAGGGCTTGTGCTCTTATGCCCTGTTTGTGGGCTTAAAAATAATCTGGAGGGCCATTGTAGGAAACTTGCAATCGGCTATAGTGGGGGGTGCGAACCTGTGGCCCACCAGATGTTGCTGGACTCAAAATGCATCATAGTCCAAGAAGAGTTAGAGCCCAACATCTTCTGTGGGGCCACAGGTCCCCCCCCCCCAGCACTCTTGGGATTCTTCTATGGAGCTGGTCCAGCCACTTTTCACTCCAAGTTTGATTTATAATGTTTTTACATTTTGAGTTTTCTGTTCCGCATTCCCTTTGCCATTTGGATAAATGAAGGTGTGGGTTGAACAGCAATGCCAAATTCCTGCTGTGCTAATGCAGCCTTGCTCCATTTTGATTTCAGACCCATCCCAGCCAAATGCAAAGCACCTTCAAATCCTAGTTTCTGGTACAGTAGCTCACTCCTGTAGAAGCCTGGATACCCTTCAAGACACACACACACACACACACACCGTCCTTGTGTCTGGCATTAACAAGTTTATTTGGGAAGCGTCTTCCATTTGCTCTTACCTTAAACCATTCTGCATAAGACATGAATATCGCAGGGCCTTCCAAGGCTGCCTGGCGGACTATTATGAATGCGGTGATCATGTTTTCCAGGTCATAGTCCTCAAAGGCTTTTCTCAACAGGCGGTCCAGGAGGTCTAGAAGAAGCACAACAAGATCTCCAAAATATTACATACCTATGGGGAAACCTGGATGCTAATAAAAAAACAAAAAGGCAACCCTCTGTTAAAAGATCAAACAAGACATTGAATACCCTTGTATTATAATTTTTTTGCAATTAAAAAATGCCAAGGAAATTGCTGTAGACAATAACAGACAACCCTGTTGTCTCAGTTCACAGGCCACAGTAGCAAATGTGCTACTCTTTCCCACTGGCCCAAAGCAACCCAATGAGCTTCATGGTTGTATGGGGATCTGAAGGTAGGTCTCCCATCTAGTCCAATGATCAACACCAGAGCTCCTGTGTCATATCCCTCAGCTGACAGATGTGTGGAGGGTGCGTAAGAAAGGTCAGTTCTTTGCTGTGATATGGCTATTGTGGAATAATTGCTTATCACCATCATTAAACACATTTAGCTGCCTGGTAAAGATGCAGCTCTCTCAGGAGAGTAGTTACTGATTTCTGCTGATGCTGCTACTACAATATGGGGAAGTCCTTTTCTTCTTCTTCTTGCAGACTCCTATCACATCTACTGCTACAGTGTTGTTGCTTTTAAGTTTAAATCTTCACTGAGCATTTTGATTTGATTGTTTTTACTATTCGCTAACTTTAGTTTTGGATCGGTTTTCAGAAGAGCCGGATATGTGTATTTTCTTTAAAAGTAAGCAAACTCATACAGTACTGATCTCATAACTACTTAAAGGGTTTTAAAGCTCCAACATTATACAACCACGTTTAAATCTCTATATATTAATGCTCATACCTGAGCATGAACTTCCAGCCTTCCAAAGGTAATGGAAAAAGCCGTTCTCTGCAGAATGGGGCCCTGGCACATACTGCAAACATATGAGCATATGCCCCCTCCAGGTGGCAGTTTAAGCCGCAATTAATAGCAGTTTAAATAGTCTCAACATAACGTAAAAGGTAAAGGTAAAGGGACCCCTGACCATTAGGTCCAGTCATGACAGACTCTGGGGTTGCGGCGCTCATCTAGCTTTATTGGCCAAGGCAGCCGGCATACAGCTTCCGGGTCATGTGGCCAGCATGACTAAGCCGCTTCTGGAGAACCAGAGCAGCACACGGAAATGCCATTTACCTTCCCGCTGGAGCGGTACCTATTTATCTACTTGCACTTTGTGCTTTCGAACTGCTAGGTTGGCAGGAGCAGGGACCGAGCAACGGGAGCTCACCCTGTCGCGGGCATTCGAACCGTCAACCTTCTGATCGGCAAGTCCTAAGCTCTGTGGCTTAACCCACAGCGCCACCCGCGTCCCTTATAATGACCCACAGCTAAATTAAATGTTGACCACCTGCGTCAACATAATGACCCACGGCTAAATTAAAAATTCAGAGAGAGAGAGAGAGAGAGAGAGAGAGAGAGAGAGAGAGAGGGAGACTTGGCAAAGCCATCCAAGTCAAACTGATAATATTTGGCAGAGAAGCCAATATTATTTGCGAATATTTCTAAAACACGAACAAGCAGCTGTGAGCATCAGATCACACCAGCCATTTTCCTCTCATGTCTGTTGGTTCTGCGCTTGAAAGACCAGCAGCAGCCCAGACATCTTCTCCAAACATACCTTTAATCAAGTGTTGTGCTTGAGGATGACAGACTAACAATGTAGACACACAGGAAAGGACATGGTGCCAATTCACTTCGCTTGTCTCTAAGACCAGCTGCAAATGATGTGTCAGCTCCTCTGCTTTGAACACCACAAACAGCTAGAAGGGAAGGAGGAGGAAATCCTTTTGGAATCAAAGGACGCTGGGGCAGAGCACCCAAGAACGCATTCATGGTTCACTCCTGACCATCACACTGCTGATCAGTGTTAGACAGTATTAAACAAAGTGGAAGAATGGTCTGGCTCATCCTAAGGCAGCTTCCTATATTCCAGACCTGAAACCCAACCTAGAGGAGCTGGGGAAGCAGGAACTCCCACTTCCACCAAGACCTCTCTATACTGCCAGTGCCCCTGAAGAGCCACTGGATCCAGACTTCCCTGCCCAGGACTGTAATTCTCCACACCAACCGCCTGGTTTCCTGGTCAGTGTCACTCTGCATCTCTCCCAAAATATGGTGAGTCAGGCAGGACCTTCAAAGCTAGCTGCCCGTGAGGCTATTCAGCAGGAGGGAAGTGTCTATATATAAGCAGAACTGAGAAAAGAACTCCTATGCAAGCTTTCTGCCCTGGAGAGATGAATCCTCTCTAAGGCCAAATGGCTTCCCTTCCTTGCAAGCAAGCAAGCAAACACCCTGGATACTTCTCCTTGCTTGCACATCCCCATTTGATATCCGCATTCTGTTTTGCAAGCCTCTTGGCACAAACAACATTTCCCCAATGCATTGTTTGGTTTCCTGGCCTCAGCTTAGAAAGCTATTGGCTTTTATTTTTTTGTTCCATAAAAGAGAGCAGGCTCCTATTTTGCTATAATTGAAGCATGCTACTTCTGAAAAGCCCAGACGCAGCACATATCATGTTACAGGGACTGTACCAAAGGGTACAGTTCCAGTAAGCTGCACGAGCTTCAGGAAATAATAATAAACAAGGGTTGTGCTAAAATGTGAGGTGTTCCTGGTCAGATCCCACAAGGAAGAGACATACTTTGCGGTACAGCATGGTGAGCACGGAGCTGGTTCTTGCAAAGCTCCAGTCTCTCTGTAGATGAATGGCTTCGAAAGCTGTGTTCAGAGAAGACAAAGGGGAGGGGGGAAATCTAACTTTACAAACCAGTAAGAGCAATTCTGCCAAAGGATAACAAAATATCAAAGGCTTCCCTTGCTTATGCCTCACAAAATAAGTCAATTGTTTCTAGCAACTCCTAAAACCATTAAGCCCAGGGCCTCTTTCACTCGTTCTCTTGCACACGCTGCTCACTGCATTGCTAAGGCACTGAGGGAAAAGCTGTGAGTTCACAGTGATGGAGGTGTTTGCATTTCCATAGGGCAATGCAGGGTTGCCTTTCAGGAAATACATGACATAGGATGAGTGAAAAGCAAGTTATCTGCATGATGCTCCGAGGACAGACTTGTGGCTTAGTAAGCGTGCAGATGACTCCTGAAATTCTGCTATCTTCCAGAAGAGCTAAATGGTGACAACCTCCCTGGCTGATTAATAGCCAGCTATTCTACTGGAGGCTGTAACATACTGTAACATTTACAGTATGTGAAAAGTAATTGTTAGCATGAGACCAATGTGTATTTTGCTTTTGTCAGCCAGTTGGTTATGAGCTTATTTAGCTGAAAAGTGGTTTTAAAAAACCGAAGAAGTCTGAAATACAATTTTTAAAGACTAAGGAGCAGGAGTGAGAACATTCAAGCCTAAGCTGTTCTTTTTCCAACTTCCACCGGAGTCCCAACTTATCCCACATGCCCCTGGCCTCATGTTTTCTGGCCTGGACCTCTCCACATCCAAGGACTACACTGCCTTTAGGACAATTTGTCAGGGGATGAAAGCTGGCAGTGGGTGGGGTCAGAGCCCAAAGTGGAGGGAGCCAGCCTTCCTTTTCGCTCTCTCCTCCTTCCCCTGCCCAATGAGCTTGGGCAGAGGGGTTTTAAAACCAGGCTGAGGACCACATGAACTTACGCAAGGAGCTGCATGGCCACCTCTGCCTTAAGCCTATCTCTGAAGACCTCATCAAACAAGGGTGGCATTTTAGAGACAGTAGCAGGGCCTGGGTCAAAGGGTGGGGGCTCTTCAGGAGTTGCTGGTTGCATGGCATGGCAGGAAGGAAAATTACTCCCAACATACGTGATATGTAACCAGTCATATATTGTACACTGGTCAACATTAACTTCCAGTATTCCCTAATTTTGCGGTATTTCTAACAAATGAGAGTTAAGTCCACACAGACAAAATTACCGTGCCAACACTACTGCCATTAACTCATGGAGAAATCTGGCGTAATCTTAAGGGAAGGGTGCGTGTCTAAACATCCATTTATAAAAGCTTTGTTTTAAATTCACACTCAGTGCTAACTGGGGCACTGACTTCCAAACCCATCTTCTCTATAGGTCTGTTTCCCAGTTCCCTTGATAGGAAGCCCCACCTGTTAGCTGAGCGTTGTAAGTAAGAACCTGGGTCAAGGTGTGACTAAAGAACTGATGCAGAGACTCCGGAGGGCCTGTGCCTTGGGATGCCGTCATGCCAAATACGCAGAGCCTGGAAATGGAAAGGGAACCTCTAAGTCTCAGCGCTCAAGAACAATGACTCATCAGAGGTGAATTGCTGATAATGGCTCCAATTTTTTCAGTATAAAGACATTCACTAGGAGGGCTGTCAAAATGAATGTAAATATTTATCCATTTTAATATAGGCAGAAAAAATACACTAGATTCCCCCCCCCCCTTGAGAGAGTTCAGTCTAAACTCCTTAGAGCTCTCCTACATACAAGTCCCCAGATGCGTTACAAACTCATGGGTTAGACCAGAAACGGGGATGATGAGAGTGGAGGCTTATATCTGCCTAACATCAATCTACAAATGGCTGACATTGAATCTGCTCCCCCGAGGAATAGCCCCACTGATCCTCTGCGACCAGTTCCAGTCAGGCTGGCAGACAGCAGTCCTGAACACCCTTCAGAAACTTGGTTTTGCCCCTCAAGCCCTTCTAAGTCTGGGGTTGGGCCAAGTAAAAGCTACGGTTATGCAAATAATCATAGACACTGAGAGACAAGGTGCCCCGACTATAAAATTGGAGAAATCGAGAGATATATAGCCGCACCGGCAGCATATCTCTTCTTTCTAGTATCCAAAAATGCAAGAAGGGTTTTTACACTCGCCAGAAGCTCGGCTCTGCCCTCGCCGGTCCTGGAAAGATCCTTTTAAAAAGTCCTATATGCTCAGAGACTTTGCGCCTGTTCATTGGGGGATATAGGAAGCCCAGAGCACTTATTCTTTAGATGTCCCTTTTATGAAGAGGCACATAGTGAGACCATTGATCCCCTGCTGGTGAGCCTCGCTGACCTCCCAGAAAAGCAAAAATTCGACCTTTTCCTGTTAGGCAAAGATCATAAGATGACCTGGATAGTCGTCAGATTCTGTGTACAGATCTGTAGGTACAGACCATCCCCCGACTCAAACTAGTTTGTTAAGAAAATCTGCAAACTCAGTTCTGTGGGTGTATTCTGGGTCATCTCTCTGAGGTAGCTTATCTTAAAGTTTTAAGTGTCTATACGCTTATCACATTTATAAATTTCAAATTTATTGTTGTACATTGTTTAAAATATTTGTTTTCCTTCTGGGATTGTACCCCCAAGTGTGTTTTATAAGCTGGTCTCCGACCGTAATAAATTATCTATCTATCTACACTAGATTCCCGCACCACATACACACAAACCCTTGCACAAAAGCAAGGAATGGGGGTTGGGGAAGGAACTCGGAAGGAATGCAGATGACCAGGAAAAGGTTTAAACATACCAACTTCCAGGAACTGAACTAATTGGGTGCTATAAATAGGCATATAAGGAGAGAAAGCAGGCGGCATCTGCAGTTTGCAGTCTGCAGAGTAATGCTGGCATAGGAAGCTCAAAGTAAACGTCACCAGTCACAACTGCTTCAATGATTTGTGGACTTTAAAAACAATGCCTAGGATTTCCTTTGCAAGTTGCACATTGGCCAGGACTGACAGATAAAGAACATAAGCACCGGGACACTGCACCAAAACAGTGGACCATCTATGGAATCTACAGAGAACGGCTGCTGGACACTGAGGTTCTATTCTTAGGGAGGTTATCACACAACACAAATGACTCATGTATCTTTAGGGTGAGAAGGGAACCGAAACTGCAGGCCACATTCCATGAAACCTAGGGTGGGGGACCTCTGGCCTTCCAGATATTGTTGGAGTACAAAACCCACCATCCCTGACCACTCGCCATGCTGGCTGGGGCTGCTGGACCACCAGTTCCCTAGCCCTGTATTAAACGAGGTGCTTGCTTAGTTAAGAAGTGCTCCCCCTGACCATTTCACCGCTCTCATAGTCATGCATAACCCGTTGTTCTTTGCAAAACCTGTAGAGTGGGGCATGGCCCCTTACCAGCACTTCACTGCCTTCAGTGTGGAGGCCTCTTCCTGCTTTTTTTCAGCCGCAGCATCGAGCACCCCTAAAGAGAAACCAAAAACAATGTAGCCTCGGTGGGAAACACAGCTGGAAAGGACCACCCACAATATGGAAGAAGCCGTTTGGGAGGCACACATTTAAGGAGATGACCTCATTAGGAGAGTGGTGGAAAGGAACAATTCTTCTCACGTTGAAGCTATTATGAACAATTTCTTAAGAGGCAAAGACTTGGAAACAATTAACCCTGACCTTGAACCACTCTAAGAGGTTTGACGTGCACAGATTTAGCTCTGAAAGGTTGCCCTAATGTTTATACTCCAGAAGTAACTGGGGCAGGAAGATTTGTTATGCCGAGCGCCTCTAAAATGAACATGGGCTGCACATGAGCAGAGGGGGAAAGGCAATCAGAACAAACAAAAGCACCAGGTGACCTGGCCTAGAACCCAAAGATTTGCAGGTTTTCCTGCCTTCCTGTTGCCGTGCACAGAAACATCTGAAGCACATGGCAACAAATAACAGATGCAGTGTAGTCGCTAACTTAAAACTCACTTAGTGGTATACCTGCTCAGATAGCCAAATGTTTCATATCAGCAGAACATTGTTGCACAAGAAAATGCATAAGCAGGTTGATGGTAACTTCATTGCACAACAGATTGTGCAACAAGTTTCCGCCAGCACAAATGCTGCATTGGATTACCCTGTTGCAGGACATTGGAATTCACCCCCATCCACAAACGCATGAAACCCTGGTCCCAGGGGTGTTACTACAATTCAGAGAGATGTGCAACATGACGATTTGTGGTTCGTTCTCAAACTCCAGCAGATAATAAATGCTCATTTAGAAAAGAATTAGTGCCAACTACGAGGCAGCAGTCAAAACATGAGATCATTCCAGCTACTCCTCTTTCACATTACAGCTCGTTTTTATTAGCAATCCCCGGCTCTCTACAAATGCAGTGGTATCTGGAAAGGCTAATTACATACACAGCACATTCCTGCATGTCAACAACACCCCCAGCCGTCAGAATAGGGAGAAGTATCTCTACTGAGGTGTAATCATAATTTAGTTCCCAATGCAATTTACTTCTACGGGCACCACTTACATGTCAACATTCTCTCAAGTACAGCACAGCAGACCTGTTTTTTTTTAAAAAAACACACACACAAAAATATAATAATTATTAGCTTTTCATCAGATATGTTCACATAACAGACTCTAAGATGCTCTGCCTCTTTCAAATGTAATGAGAAATAAATTTGTCAATCAATTACATGCACAGGCTTCAATACAGTGCTGCCCCCTTCCTTGATGGAAGGCATCAGTCAGTAGAACAGGGGATGAGGTCATTTTCCCCATAGGCCCTCCTCCTTTCCCTAACGCTACTTGAGAGGTCTGGGGAACCCTCTTGGGAAGACATGGCGGCAGAGGAATTGCCAAAACTTACTTCCTCTCCTCTATGGAGGAAAGAAACAAGGATGAGGAAACAAGTGCAGGCTTTTGAATAGAAGACAGTGACTCTGGGAGAGCATCGTCTTGCATCCTGAGGCTCGCATGAGCTTTCAGAAAAATTCCCAAGGGGCACAGATTCACTGTTGAGGGCTAGGACTGCTGACTTGCCTTGTCTATGAGCTGCAAGCTAGCAACACAGGAAGCTGCCTCATATGTACCAATCAGAGCAGTGATCCACCCAGCTCAGTACCGTTTACATTGATTGGCAACCTATCTCCAGAAATTCAGACAGGGGTGTGTCCCAGTCTTACCCGAAGATGAAGGGAGAACTAAGCTCTTGCTGCTGAGACTCTAGTTTCATTCATCTCACTGGTGCGCCAAAAACCATTTTATTAAGAACCACAACACTTAGTGATTATGCACTGTCCTTACTTTGGAGATTTTCTGCAACTGCAGCTTCTTTCCCATCTCAAATGTTTTCTGAAATCCATTATGAAGGAGCACAGTCACAAAGTCTACAAATTAAGAGCAAAGCCACTGTCAGCATACTCCCAGCATACCAAAAGGGAAAGGAAGATAATCTAAAAGGGCAGCTCCTTGCCCATCTTCCCTGAGGGCTGCTGAAGACCTGCATGCCCTGAAGGAAGGCAAAAGCAAGGGAGCTCAGGCCAGGGAGCACATATACCATCAGTTCCCAGTTGGCAGGAGAGGACTCTCTTCATTTCACAAAATGCATTTGTTTTAGTGCTTAAATTGTAAACCACATTAAGTGCCTCAGCAGAAAGGTGATGTATAAATCCAATGAATAAATAAATAGAGGGAAGTTAGGAGGGAACAAAGGAAGGCTTTGTCTGGAAATCCCTTCTGTACAGAACAGGGTTCACCTTTGGTTTATTAGTTTAATCACTAAAGAAATAAAAATTAAATTGTTAATGAGGAGAATCATCAGACCCTGAATCGTCTTAGTCAGGATATTCTGAGTCAAAGACCAGCTGAGCTAGGGAAGGTTCTGTTTAATTCCCAGGCAATTAAAGGACTATGCAGGGAAGGAATGAAAATCAAGAATAGAGAGGGGTAACTTTTCTCCCTCCAGATGTTGCTGGAGTAAAACTCCCAACTACTGGCCATGTTCCTGGGGTTGATGCGAGCTGGAATTCAACATCTTGAGGGCCACAAACCATCCCAACCCTGGCCTAGAACACCCAACAGAAGGCAGAGATGGACTGGCATCTTCCAGCCCTCAGAAGGATTCCTAGGCTTACCAATGTGCAATGGCCACTGCCTTCAGTCCCCACAGAAGCCAACATCTAACAACCCCCCGCCCCACCAACTGCCCCATACCAACTGTGTTCCAAGTCAGAGCTTGCCTGTAAGCATGGACCCCAGTGTCTCTGTGTCCAAGGAAGGATCTTGTGTTTGATGGCAAAGACGACAGAGGCAACTGCACAACCACTCCTCCAACGCAGGAGCATCTGGATTACTGAGAAGAGACAACACCAACTGCAGTTCCCAATATTATCTTTTTCTAGGGACTGTTTCCCTGACCCACAAGTCCCCCCCACACACCCTAAAGCTGCAAATCTTTTGGGTCACTGCAAATCTTGCTTAGCGCTCTATGTGCAGCCTTGTCAAATGCACCTTTAACTTATGAGTGTAAAATACAAGCTGCCACAGACGAGGAGGCCAAAGAGCTGACCATATTTCATGTCAAGCCCAAAATCCTAGTGAGTCTTGGCAGCCTCTACTTACTTCTCCAGCAGCTCTTCCAGGCTGACAATGTTCTCTCTGTGTAACCGCCATGCAACTTCCAGAATGAGTGGGCTCTGGGGGAAATAACGCTACCATGACGTTCAGGAGCCGCAAAGAGGTATGGCCAAGCACCCACAAACAAATAACTCAGCCACTTGGCTAAGGCTCAACAGCTGATTAGTGTGGCCCACATTGTTGCTGAAGGCCCACATCTAACCACAACCCATTTGCTGCCTCAGCTGTGGCAAGCTATGAAGACATTGTCCTGACATTTTGTGAGAGATCCATAGATAAATACTTTGCATGAATAAATAAAAATAAATAAAGCTCAGAGGCAATAGGATAGCTGGCAAGGGCCAAGTATTATTTAAGTACTGCAATGCTAAGAGTTTATTAAGAGGCCTGTGCTCTTAAGTTTGCTACTTAAATTGTTTGCTGGCATCAGAAGAGGAATCCTGCATTTCTCCCCAACAATGTGAAGGCACTTGTCAGCATTAAGGCATCAAAGAGGAGTGAAGCTATATGAGGAATGTTTTTCCAGCACATGTGTCTATAGATGGAGTGGGGAATCTGTGGCCCTCCCAGATGTGGTGGGGTTACAGCTCCCATCATTCCTGACCACTGGTTGGGGCTGATGGAAGCTGGAGTACAGTGGTACCTCGGGTTACATGCACTTCAGGTTACATACGCTTCAGGTTACAGACTCCGCTAACCCGGAAATATTACCTCGGGTTAAGAACTTTGCTTCAGGAGGCCCCATTAGCTAAAGTGGTGCTTCAGGTTAAGAACAGTTTCAGGTTAAGAACGGACCTCCGGAACAAATTAAGTTCTTAACCAGAGGTACTACTGTACCACTAACGTCCAGAAGGTTGCAGGTTCCCCATACCTGGTATGTAGCATTTCCCTCTTAACACCCCATATTTCTAAAGCATTCTTACTTGCAACTTCCAGGTTTCTTGAGCGAACCGCAAACGGCAGAACGCATTGTGCGTTAACAAATCCTTCAGAGACTGAAGCAAGCATGACAACTTTTTCTGTAATTGAAGAAAAGAGTGCTGTTTACTTAAAAAATGATAATAAGTAGCCAGCAGCTTTCAAGGGTGCAGACTCTTTATCTCGCTCCTTCCCCTCTCCTTGCAGCTGCTTGTACCAGACAGGTAAAGTGAAGGGATTTGGGGCGATGAAGTAAATGGACTATAAGAGGGCAGCATACAAGGAAAGCAGTGCAGGGGGGCTCATGGGGGTTTCAGTGCATTTGAAATGTCTTAGATATGAGCTGAGCTATTTCTCAGTTTCAGGGAGGGGGGTGAAATCCCATGTGAACTTCAGGGAGAGCTCACCTATTGTAATTCCCAGAGGCCCATCAGACATCAGTAGGTCACAGAAACCTCAGAAGGAAGTTGCCAAGCTGCCCCCAACAGCCTTCCCCAACATGATACCCTCCAGATGTTTTAAACTACAGTTCACATCACCCCCAGGCAGCATAGATATAAGATGCTGAGGCTGATGGGAGTTGTAGTCCAAGACATCTGGACATGACCACAGCAAACGAAGCATGAGCTAAAAATATTTCACTTTTATCACAGAGGAACTGCAGGTAAACCCAAATGAGTGCCATAATTCCTGTTTGCAGACTCTCTAATTGAGGTGGCATTCTATGTGAGGAAATAGGTTGCCAACCTCAGCCTTTAGTTCCTCTAATAAACATTTACAGTTTATACTTAGAGACAGCACTCCTCTCCCACTCTTGCCATGCCCAGAAATGGAATTCCTTCCTGCTTACTCTCTGCTCTCCATTCAGCATCACAGCTTGACCAGACTCAGCAGAGATCTTCTCAATGTTTCCAGCAGCTATTCTGGCTGACAGGATTTCCACTGGCACACCCAGCATGAAGGCCTGATCCTGCAAGGCTGAGACTAGAATGTAATATCAGAGACGGAAGTGTGAAAAGAGAGGGGAAACAGGGTTAGCAAGGACAGATTGTGCAACATAACCCTATCCATTCTTGCACCTGCACCTTAACAATAACACCCAAAACAGAAAGTGGGAGAGGATATATTTCAAGGGAGAAAACACAACTTGTTCTTAAAAGTTCCCAGGATAAATTTCTAGCATTTCTAGCTATAAAAAAAAAGGCTCAGGCTACAAGGTTAGGAAAGGTCATTGTCCCAAAACTTGGCAAGTTGTTGCTCCCAGTTGCTGTTGATAGTACCAGACTAGACAGAATGTTGATCTGAATATTTTAATCTTTCTGAATAGATTAACTTGATTTTCAGCAGCTCCCTCTGGCAAAACAGATAAATCTCTTGCACCCACCCACAAATTGTTCTGGAACGGAAGCTTCATTGGCTGGACTAAAGGAAAGTAGCTGCTTGTTCCACTCTGAACTTTCCACCTGTAAAAATAACACAGAGAGAGACATGTTCATCTTGTTTATTACTTATGCTATCAAATATAACCTAGCCTGTTCCAGATGCAACCTCAAAATGCTTGGGCATACTTGCACAGCAAACATTTGGGAGTCCAGAAGGAAATGCTAAAATTCTCTGAAATGGAAGAAGGAAACCTTTACTCATCTGTTGCCCTCCAGGTAACTTGGACTACAACTCCCATCAGCCCTAGCCAATGCTGGCCCGGGCTGATGGGAGTTGTAGTCCAAAACATTAGGAGGGCAAACAGGTTGGTGAAGAGAAAGGGAGAACATTCCATAGATAGGGGAATTACTCGGTCGACAAATCTGCACATTTCTTTATTCAAATAATTTATCCCGTTTCATAGGATAAGATGATGTCCAAAGGAAGCAGAATGCAGGAACAACACCCAGTGGCCTCAGCAGGTTTCAGATATCTATCCACACATTTTCTTTTTTAAAGGACAATCATTTTATGATTAAAGGAAACTTAACAGGTAGTAGTATGGAAAATGTTCATAAGAAATTAAGGCTGCAATCTTAAACATACTTTCCTCTAGGGAATTTATATTTTTACTACGGAGTTTAGAGAAGGTAGCTTATGGAGCTGTTTTTTGTTTTTGTATCTGGCTTTTATGCAACCATTTGTATTTTAAGATGATTGTGGGTTTTTATTGAAGTATGGTTTCATTGCTGTTTTTATTTCTTGTACAATGCCTAAAGAGTTTATTTTCTGAGGCATCTCATAAAATACAAACAATAAATAGGCAGTAAGCTCTACTCAGCTCAGTGGTTACTTCTGAGTAAGCATGCTTAGGCCTGCCACTGTAAGACAATTTTGCTCCCCATGGACTTATTATTCTCTCTCCAATAAGAATCAACTCCAGATATTTATTTTTAGTCATCTGTAGTTACCCCCCCCCCAGTGCATCCTGATGACTCCTGTCCAGAAGCACAATTTAAACCAGGAACATAAACACAACACTGAAGTTCAATGGGAGCAAAGAAGGCACCAGGAAGCTGTTGGAAGTCAACACTGCTACTTTCTTACCTCAAGCAACAGGTCACCCAAATTGTGATGGCAACTCAAAATATGAAGAGCTGCCTCCTTCAGCTTCTGTTCATTTTTACGTTCACATTTCTGTTTCTTGGATCTTCCAGCTTTTGGGGGGGGGTAGGGAGGGGGGATTGAGAGAAACAAAGAAATCTTAGTCCAAGAAGGCATGCCACTAAATTTTGCTAAGGTGGTATGGTATGGTAATTGGTTCAAGCTGAGTTGAACTCTGGGCATCCTGATGGAGAATGGGGAAATATTTCCATTTCCAGTAGCCACTTTTAAATACGAGGGATGGGATCCCAAGATAACCTAAGGAAGTTCATAGAAGGAAAGTTTGCCATTCTCTCTTTCGTTCTGTAGTCCCCAGTGCCCCCTGAAAAGCCTCTCCAGAGGTCCAGGGGCCCTCCTGAACAACATGGGTGTTGTAGAAGCTGCTGGAGTAAGAAAGAAACAGAGAACTTTTCTTCTATAAGTTTTTTAAAGTTAGCGTTTCTGAGGATCCAAGTCCCACTTTGGGCAAGCCTCCCTCTCCTGGCACTCCCCTTCTCTCTATTCAACATTATTAGGACCTTAAAGTAAAGGTAAAGGGACCCCTGACCATTAGATCCAGTCGTGGCCGACCCTGGAGTTGCGGCGCTCATCTCGCTTTATTGGCCAAGGGAGCCAGCGTACAGCTTCTGGGTCATGTGGCCAGCATGACTAAGCCGCTTCTGGCGAACCAGAGCAGTGCACAGAAACACAGCTTACCTTCCCGCCAGAGTGGTACCTATTTATCTACTTGCACTTTAACGTGCTTTCGAACTGCTAGGTTGGCAGCAGCAGGGACCGAACAACGGGAGCTCACCCTGTCGCAGGGATTCGAACTGCCGACCTTCTGATCGGCAAGTCCTAGGTTCTGTGGTTTAACCCACAGCACCACCAACTAAGTTTGTTCTGGGTATAAGCTTTCATGTGCATGCATTCCTCAGATACCTTTTTGTGCATGCACAAGAAGGCTTATACCCAGAACAAACTTAGTTGGTCTCTAAGGTGCTACTGGACAATTTTTTATTTTTCCCCCCATTTATTTTGACTGCTTCAGACCAACACAGCTACCTACCTGAATCCAACATTATTAGGGAGAGCCTTACTAACCCTGGGGAGGGCATTCCATAGGTGAGTAGCAATCACTGCGGAGGCATGTCCACAAAGAGCTCAGGATGCAGCATCAAGAACAGGGATGATGGGAGCTGTAGTCCAACTAACATCTGGAGAACCACACACTCCCTATTTTTGGAATAGACAGTACTGGGCTACATGAACAAATTGTCAAACGTTTTATAACGATACAGCTTCCTATGCTCACCTTACAGGTTAATACACCTCTCAGGGTGGTTGTGAGAAGGCCCTGAGCTGTTGGAGGGTTGCATAACAAACGTTAAACTTTAGTTTGCTCTCAGGTTCAGCTCCCAAATCAGCTTTCTGTGCCAGAGGCTCAACACAGTACCTCTTCTATAACAGTCAACAGAGCCCCTGAACATGCACAAAGTACTTCTCCCTACACAGAGCAGGGCTCATTCCACACTGCCTCCCTAGTAAAGAGAGCTTCTGGGCATATACAAAGTAAAACAAAAGAGACAAACACACTGGGCAAGAGCTGCAGCCCTTCTAAGGAGAGCTTCTGAGCATACACAGAGTGCAACTACTACGACCTACCCAGGAGCGCAGAAAGGGCTCTCTCTCCCGCAGACATCGCTTCCTTCCCTTCGGCTCTTCGAGAGCGCGAGCGCGCACCAACCAACCAACCAGCGCGCCCTATGTCCTCATTGGCCGCCAGCAGGGCGCCTTTGCCCAATAGGAAGAAGAACTGGAGGCATGCCCTTTGCCGTTTCCTAAAGCAGAGCTGCGGCCATTTTGAGAGTGGCGGTGAGGAAGGTCAGGGAGGGGAGGCGCCATCTTTGTGGTGGCGGCACAGAAGAGTTAGGCCGCGCCCGTCCCGCTGTCATTGCTGAGCGAGCCGTGGAAGGGGCGGGGCGGGTAGAAGACAGACGCCTTGGGATAGCAGAAGGCTCACTAATTCCGACAGGGGCGGAAGATTGCACCCCTTCCCACCCACCCCGGTTATGGTTTAGCTGAGAGTTCTGCCTATGAATCTTTTGCAAAGATCTGTTGCATCTTTGGGAATTGGAGCTGCATTTATCAAAAGGGCGGCCACCGCTGCGCTATTAGGGGTGTGTGCAAATATTTGCACGCCTTGCCTGAGAGGTTGCAGCTTGTGCGTGTTAGTTTAATGAAAGGTGACTCCCTATAAGAGAAATGTTTATGGGCCTGGACACTCAGAAGCACATAATATGCACGGGGGTGGAAGGAAAGCCCTTTGAGCGTATGCGGAACTGGCACTGTTGCAGGCGCCACTCTTTCGCCCTTTGTAACAAATTGATCTTTAAGTGTGGCACCACCTACACTCCGGAGCTCCCTGCCTATTGACATCAGGCAGGCAGGCTCCATGACTGTTTTCAGTGCCTGTTAAAAACAATTTTGTGTAGGCAAGCCTATCCAGATAAGCAGAATGCTGATATGTGTTTTAATCTGATTTTTATCTTATTCCTAAATCTAATTATTATTTTAATATCTAAAATAGTTGTTTTTAACATTTTTCAATGTTTTATTTTTTTGTAAACTGTTTTGAGTGATGGAGGGTTTTGTTTTTTAAGCAATCAAGCAGTATATATTTTTTATTTTTTAAAAAAGAAAATATGTGCAGTGTGTTAAAGGCAGGAGAAGAGAACACAATTGCTGCAGTTTAGTTGGCCTAGGAGGGTCCCTTTATAATAGCTCAGCCTTTGCCAGACTGGCCCTTTCCAGATGTTTTGGACCACCATTCCCATCGCTGGCTGGGGCTGATGGGAGTGGTAGTTCAAAAGATGTAGAGGGGGATAGCTTGGTAAAAACTGCAGTAGCTGGTTTCTTCTTTACCCCCCCCCCCAAACACACACAAAAAAGAAAAAGCAGAAGCCTCTGGCACTTTGCCGAAGAGGCCATAAGGTAGTTAACTGCACAGTGTGCTGCTTTAGCAGGAATAACTTCTGTGGTTTTTCTCTCAGCAGGACTGGCTGGGTTCCCATCTGCAATGTGTTCAGGTTGGCCTAAGTACCCATTAGCTGCTGCAGTTCCTCATTCCAAGTGCTGCGTCCTGCTAATTCATTTGGAGCCTGTGACCGGCCAAACAAGTGAAAAACCCGGTGACCATGTCCTGAGGAGCAAGCACAGGCTTGGTTTCGCTTTCCAAGAGACCAATTAAGAAAACTGGCTTCTGTTGGAACTGTCAGGAGATACTTTAATTGCCTTTCCCTGACTCTTCCCTTGTCCTATTTGCCTTGACCCTTTGCCATCTCCTAGCCCAGTCAAAGCATGCCTCGGGGAGCACTGGGAGGAAACTTGATTTCTTGGGATGCCAACTTTGCCCCCTGAGTGTTATTCCTCCAGGGGAGCAAAACATGACCTTGCAGCTGGCAAGGGAAGGACAGGAGAAGCACATATTCTGCTACGGCTTGAGCCAGTCATGAAATGTGCATGGATCAAATAGCTCCTTGCTGTTAAGGCTTTGAGAGAGTGAATAGGCAAGATCAAGAACCCCATTGGCTCAGCCTGGGGACACGTCCGCTACAAGGAGAAGAGCCCTGCTGGATTAGACCAAAGGGACATGAAGAATTGCTGTCAGTTATTTTGTTGTTGCTGTGCATTTAGAAAATAAAATATTTTAAAATAATAATTGCTGTCAGCATCTGAGATTGAAGTGGGGGTTCCTTTCTGAAACTGGAAGCAAAGTTAACCTAGCGGCACAAACCTAACCATGTCTACTCAGAAGTGAGTCCTGTTGAATTCAGTGGGACTTACTCCTAGGTGCGTGAGGTTAGGATTGGGGCTGGAGATTCTCTCCTGCTGTGCTTCCTGCTAACATATCAGAAACTGCCCCGGTCCATGTCATACAGGTGACAACCAGGTCGCCCCCCCCCGAAATAAAAATACTTTTACCACAAACTTGACAGTAAACTTTGACTTAGTAATAAAAGGTATCCATTTACTTCATTGTTCTCATTCTTCAGGAAGAATCTGTCTCACTTGGGTTTATAGCTGTTTATATGGTGTTATAGCTGTACATGGCGCTTTGGAGGATAAGCAAAAAAAGGTTGCATCCTGCCCCAATAACTTACAACCACAGTGTGGCACAGGAGGCAACCTTGGGTCTCCAGATGTTGTTGGACTACAACTCCCATCATCCCTGACCACTGGCCCTGCTAACTAGGGATGATGGGAGTTGTACTCCAACAACATCTGGAGACCCAAAGTTGATAAAGGCTGGACTAGAGGAAGGAGAGACAAGGGCAAAAAGTGATGATGCACACAATTGCATTTGCAGCTACATAAGATTTCGTTGCAGTTTGGGGAAGGTCCACAGCTAAGTGGTATAGCATCTGTATTGCAAGCAGAAGGTCCCAGGTTCAGTCCCCAGCATCTGCAGCTATGGTTGGGACTGTTCCTTGTCTGAAACCCCGGAGAGACACTGCCAGTCAGTGTAGGTAATACTGAGCTAGATGAAGAAGTTGCAGCTCCTTATGTACCTAGAGAACATAGTGATGGTGAAGAAACAAACCATGACTCTTGGAGCAACAAACCCAGATGGCTCCTTGCTGAGTAGCTGCAGCAAGACCCTGGGTTTGTATGTACCGTACTCATTGAAAAGGAAAGTGGAAGAAAGGTCTAGGGCAGAGGTGGATAGCCTCTGGCCCTTCAGATGTTGCTAGACTCTCTGCTTTTATCACCCCTGCCCATTGGCCATACAGGGAGGGGTTGATGGAGGTTGGAGGCCAACAACACCTGGAGTGCCACCCCTAGTTCTCCTCCCTGCTCCAGGGAGAGTTCTGGAAACCCTGGACCTGACTCATAAAAGAAAATGCCCCCAATTTTGTGTAGGTTGGCAAAGCAATTATGTCAATGGTTGGGAGGAGATGATAAGTATTGGCAAATATTTAGCAGCCGCAAATAATGATGATGGAACGAGAAAGGAATTTCATCACGTGGGCCAATGGGTGGAAGCAGCAAGGAGAAGGCAAGCTGGGCTGAGCGCTGCAGGAAAGTGAAGCAATTTTGGGGGGATCGGGTGTCCTTGCCACATCAAACAGCACAGAGGCACTCCAGATAGACGGGAATGGCTGTTTATTGATCTAACAAGTCTGACCACTGGCTAGGATTATATTTGCCATGTCGTGGATTTGCACAGCTCCAACAATGGACAGGGTCTTCAATTTCAGGTACCACTGGGATTTGAATCAGCCAGTTGCTATGGCAATGGCCCAGTGCCATCTATATAAGCGAGTAAGGCATGTCAGCTTATTAGTCATTCAGTGAGTCTGTCTGTTACATCTGTTATGTCTCAAGAGTCTTGAATTGCTGGAGGAAAAGTAATACTTACTACTTGTATATATCTGTATCTGCAGAGCCTAAAAGCTGTATGTATAGACCGATGTCTGGAACCATATTACTGAAGCCTGATCTTCTGCAGCATTAAACTATTTTGGACCTTAAGTTGCCTCTGTGTGGTGACTGGAACCACTGCATGGGTAGAATCATAGAACTGTGGAGTTGGACGGGACCCTGAGGGTCATCTAGTTTGACCCCCTGCAGTGCAGAAATCTCAACTAAGTCATCCATGACAGGTGGCCATCCAACCTCTGCTTAAAAACCTCCATGGAAGGAGGATCCACCACCTCTCATGGGAGTCTGTTCCACCGGTGAGCAGCTCTTACTATCTCACCTCAGATTCCTAGCAAGGTACCCATTTGTAGCCAGTTATACTACATTTGTCTTAACCCTCTTTTAAAGCAGTCCAAGTTGGTGGCCATCACTACATCTTGTGGGAGGGAATCCCACAGTCTGTGTGTGTGTGAAAAAGTACTGTATTTTGTCTATTCTTAATATTCTAACTTTCAGTTGTATTGGATGCTTCTAATAATATGAGAGGGGGTGAAAAACTTTTCTCTGTCTGATTTCTCCACACCATTTATAATGTTATACACCTCTCATCCTTTCATACAAGCCCTGTGCATGTTGCCCTGAGCTCCTGGGAGGGAGAACAGGATGCAGATACAATTACGAATACAACAGTTTCTGCCTGAAGCAGGGCATAGGTCCTCTCTGGCAAAGGTAGAAGTGTGCAGCAGTGGGCTTTCCCCTTCTTTTTCTGGAGCTCAATCTGTCAGGAGAGAATAATAAAGTGGATCCTGATCATTTGCCAGGCCAGAAAAGTGGAACAAAGTAGGTTGCTCCACTCTGATTTTCACAGCAACCTCTTTTGTGCAGTTCTGTGATGGATAATTATTTGGCTCTTGCTACTTACCTACTTAGCGGCTTAGTCATGCTGGCCACATGACCCGGAAGCTGTCTGTGGAAAGCCTATAGAGCAAGATGAACACCGCAACCCCAGTTTTCCGTGACTGGACCTAATGGTCACGGGTACCTTTACCTTTTACTTACCTTTTGCTGCTTACCTGTGTCACATCTGCTCCCTAGGTGACTGCTGTCCCCACTGAAGCAGCAACTGTTTCTTCTTGCTCTCTGTGCCACTAACAATAGGACATCTATTTTTAATTTTACTTGCAATTTTCCTCAGCCTGTTTGGTCAACGTGGCTGCTATTACCGGTAGGCCATGAAGCATATGAAAGGCCAGCAACTCTTGAGTTAATGCATGCTGACATTAATAGCATGGATTGGGGGTTATTTTAACTGAAACATTAATGAAGAGGAAAAGGCACTTTCTGTTTTCCCCATTGCTTGAGAAATTAAGTATCTTGGCAGTCTGTTACTGAGGATACTAGTAAAACACATATGTGGATACACACAGCCCCACAGCTAAGCTGCAAAAAGAAATAATCTGCTAGGGAGAAGAGCTGGTGGAGGAAGATTGGAAGAAATTATGGGTGTATAAGTGGAAGCTGCAAGAAAGTTTAACTAACTTTGTTGTCACATTAAGAATCTTTCTTACTATCACTGTTTCTACAGCGAGTTGTGAAAGAAGTTTCTCAAAACTTAAACTAATTAAAACATATCAGAGATCTACAATGAGCCAAGAAAGACTGAGTAATCTAGCAATACTGTCCACTGAGAGAGACTTTAATGTAGATTTCAATTCCGTTGTTGAAAAATTTGCGCTAATTAAAAGCAGGCGAATTTAAATTAATCTGTATATACAGATTGATATCTTGCACTTCTATTAAAGAATTACAATTAGAGGTACAGGATTGAGGAAGTTGGCTCCATCTAGCCCAATCTTGGATCATCTCCAGGGTATGGTTCCATTTTGATGTTTAGTTTTTGTTCTTGATATTTTTTGTCGTTTACGATGGTTGTGAGACGACATATAATAGCATGGCCCATGCTAGGTTACTACATTTGTAGATTTGTATTCATAGACCTGCTGAAAATGTGGAGAATGTGTAATGCATGTTCGCACTCAATAAAGTGTTTGAAAATAAACTTGTATTTAGATGCATTTTACTTTAATTACATCAGTATTTTCATAACAAACAATACATGTGCTTAGGGGGTAAGGGTTTCTTTAACTAATCTAGTGGAAGAGACTCGAGTGCTAAAATCCACAGGTTAGGGGATTTTACTTGCCTTGCCCCGGGTGCTGACAACCCACGCTACGCCACTGCTGGCAGGGGCCGATAGTCAGGAATTCCCCCCAGGGGAAGTCTGGAGGGCTGGCAGTTGCGATGTGAAATCACAGATAGCTCATAGAAGCATTGGAAGGGAGCCTGAGGATCATCTAGTCCAACCCCGTGCAATGCAAGAATAATCAGCTGCATGGGGTCTGTCCCAAGCTGCAATCACTGCTGGGTAAATGGAAGCCAGAATCCAAATCTGAAAGTTATTGATCAGCAAGGCAAAAAGGTGGCAGATTAGAAGCCCTGTCTGCTTCCTGGCAAACCTCATGCGTAACATCTGGGACTGAAGTTGACCTGATTTGAAAGCATCTGTATGCAGCTCCCAGCCAACTAAAAGGGAAGAAGGCAATCAGGACTGGGGAGTTCCCAGAGCCAGCAGAAGCAGGAGTTGGCAAAGTAGCTCAGTGACAAGGCATCTGTTTTGCATGCAAAAGGTCCAGGTTCAAGCTAGTAGGGTGGAAGTTGGTAATAATGAATCAATGGCAATATTAGGCAAGCTCAGTGATTTTTTTTCTGGGGGGATGCATACCCCTAAACATTTTGTGAATCTAAGTTTGGCCTCATTGAGGGGCAATATTTCAGTAGGAGTAGGAAAATGAGAGTAGCCTGAAACATTTTTTTAGAAAAAAAGCACTGGGCAAGCTTAACAGTTTTAATGCTTTTTGACTTTGTTTACCAAATAGAATTAAGCAAATAAACATGCTTTATTAGATCACGTTGCAGGGCATCTGAAAGTTTGGAAGTTTCCCAAGCAAATGTCCCTAATTTGCATAAACATTGTTCCCAAAACCTCACCTCATTGGTTCAATCCCTGGCATCTCCAGGTGCAGCAGAAAATGACTCTTGCCTGAAACCTTGGAAAGCTGCTGCCAGTCACTGTAGGAGTGCTGAGGTAGATGGACCAAGGAACTGTCAGAAAAAGGCCGCTCCCTGTGTTCAGTATGCAGTCAGCATGCAGCTGAATCCCCTGCCTGTTTACTTGGAAGTAATTCCCACTGGTTGTGCATAGGACTGGAGCTAGACAGCCTATTCAGACCAACAGCACAACCACAATCCTAGCTCATATTTGCTCAGAAATCAATCCTGTTGGAGCTTATACCCAGGTAAGTGGGATTAAGACTGCAGCTTCAGGTGCACTTAAACATTGACTTCAATGACCTTAGGCGCACCTAACTCTGCATGTGGATGGAATTTTTACTACTTGCAGCTTCCGTCTTTGTTTCTGGAGGATTCTTGACCCAGCCCCGCAGAGGCCAGCAACTGACACAGGGCTGGTTGTTAAAAGCCACATTTCTGGAGCAGATTCACCTGTCCCCTGTTGTTCTTTGCACCAGCCTCCCCCTTCTGATAAACACACATGTATCTGGGTGTTTGTCCATGCCCCGAGACATCTATTACAGTTAGGCATGGGATTTTTTAAAAATTAAGTTCACATTTAATGGCAAACTTACCAAATTCACACTTTCTGAAACAATACATGAATACATAGCCATCCTTTGAAATTTATGCTTCTCCAAGTCTTGCAATGCAGTTCTCCAGCCAAGTAATGTGTGCAAAAATGCATATACCAATGTGCATATAAATGCATATATTAGTGAAAATGACATACAAAAATGCATTATATTAGAGAAATCAGCCCTACATAAATGTGTATATTAAGAAAATGATATACAAAAATATGTAGGAGACATTCATACTAAAAAATCTCTTATAAATCTTAACGAGCACATTTTTTAAAAAAATGCAAACACTTGTGGAAATGTGAACTTAAGACTGGAAAAATGAGAAATTGAGAGACACTAACATTCAAATATCCACCCATCTCTAATTGCAATATGAAGGTGGTGGTGTTTAACATTGCCCTATTTTTTTCCCCCTGAGCACAGCAGATGAGCTTTGTTTTTATTGTGGTTGATTCTGTGGGAAAAGGTGGATGTGCCCTGTTTTTTCTTGAGACCTGGCCTCTGTGAAAAGAAACCTGATGTCTGGCACCATTCACGGTATCCAGCAGACCACTGAGTGAGTCCTATCAACATGTTATTTCATTCTGCCATCTGTCACGTATTACTTCCAGCTCTGTAGATTTATGTGGCCATCATTCATACAGAACTTTGTATAAAAGCTCACGGCAAGATTTGCTGCTGTATACGAGGCCCCTCCCAGCTCCAGTACGCACACCATGCTTACCTTTGGTGTAGCATGTCATGCCGGAATTGGTTTAAAAAAATAGACCACAGTCCATCAGTAAACTATTGACCAATAGCCAATGGACCATTTGAAGCATGCTGGTTGTTGGGATTCTTGCAAAGAATGCTAGCCAGTCAAACTATCAACCTTTATTTATCATATTCAATAAACAACCTTCTCATGTTCTTATTAAGCAAGACAACAGCAGGCTCAGAATCAATCAACACGGGTGGGTTATGCATTAACTGTTAAAAAGATCCTGAGTATGTACTCTTCCTTTGTAAATCTAATACACACAGAGAGACTGTGTGGTCTGTTTTGCCACAATAAATCTGCTAGCCTTTAAGATGCCACAAAGCTATTTGTTGTACTTATTTCAACAGACTAATGTAGGTACTCCTCTATAAAAGATTAGTTATTGGTCAATCACATTGGTATTTGCACATAGTGCCTGGATAGCACAGTTGGTTAGATGGTGGTGCTAATGATGCCAGGGTTGCAGGTTTGAACCCTGTATGCATATTCCTGAATTACAGGGGGTTGCACTAGATGATCCGCAGCATCCCTTCCAACTCTGATACTTTAACTCTATGTTTGCTGGCTAGGAGACCAAGGTTTGCTGGCAATGTACACCATGAAGATCCTAGAACATCACCAGCCTAGCCCCACCCATAGGCTGTAGAAAGAGCAGTTGCAGGGAGTCCCTGTCCCCACCCTGCAACAGTCAGCTCCATGGCCCACGGCCCTAGCATTTCTACCATTACAATATATTGTCAACAGCTCTGATGGTCATTTGACTGCAAGGTGGAATATAGGAACGCAGGAAGCTGCCTTATATGCCAAACCAGACCATTGGTCCACTAGCTCTACGTCTGGAAGCAGCAGCTCGTCATGGTTTCAGGCAGAGGTCTCTGGAGCTGCCATATGTTGAACCTGGGACCTTCTGCGTGCAAAGCTGGACTGATGCTCTACCTGTGTGTCCGCTTCATACATTGTGGGGCACACCATGGGTAAACATGTGCACATTCAGTCATCTTATAATATGTGAAGCAGCTCTGAGGCTAGACTTCACCCAAGTGGCCCCATAGCAAAAGGTTACTTGGGAGCAGATGCATGAGGCTTCCATCTGGTTCCTTGTCTTTCAAGGCAATTTGCCTTCCTTACAGGAGTGGCCACTTCCTATCTCCTCCCTGTCAGCACTCTAAGTTCTCAGATGGGTGGATTTGGCACCATCTTTCTACCTTCCTTTTGTAGTGACCACCACCCAGAGCTTTCAAATTGGAGAGCTGTACAACTCTTGCTCCTTCTAACTTGCCCACCTTCACACTTCATGTGCTGCCTGGTTCTTTAAAAATGGTGGCCTCATTCCAACCTGGCTACTGCTAACCAGCTGAACTTCATTTGCTCGTTAATATCCTACCTTCATTTTGATGGGAGGGATTAGCTGAGACAACTTGAGGTGGTGCTCCAAACCCTCCAGGAATGTTGGAGGGTATGGTGCTTATCTGCAAAACTGAGTTTGAATGGAGCAGTCTATAGGTATGTGCTGCTATTATGGTGGTTACTTTGCTGTGTTCCTTCCTACCCACAAAATATGTATGTATGATCACACTGTGTTTTCAGCTGAGCCCAGGAGAACCACCTGGTATGGAAAAGTGTTGCAATGCTGGCTTCCAAGTTCATCCTACTTTTATGTTTTACTGGGCCAATTTATCTAGACAAACTTTTGAGTTATGTAGCATCATTAACAGTCTGTAATCATGCAGTTCTAGGCCAAATGCTCTTTGGATAGCATGTTTGGCCATCATTACTTTTCCTCAACCTTTGCTTTAAATAGAGAGTCAATGGTCTACTTCCTTATTCTGCCTGACAAAGGACTTTGCTTTTTGTTGGCTTATTCTAATTATTTATTTTCATATGCCTGTATTTGCCTGTGCTCCCAACTATTAATAGTCTGGTCCCATCAGTAAACCGTTTATGATTATTATCATTTCAATTTCTATCCCCCACTTTCTCTCAAAGAAGCCAAGGGCAGCAAACAAAATGGCAAAACAGTAGTTTTTGAAAAACAAATTAAAATTCTGAAAATGATTCCCAAGTGCTCTTAGAGGTGGGATTTATCGAAATCTCATGTATATCTTGCAGACCATGGTGTGTTCTTGTTTTCCCTAATCCGTAAGTGCTGCAGCTCAGTGCAGTGGCAGAGCATCTGTTTTGCATGTAGAAGATCCTGGGTTCAATTCCCAGCATCTCCAGGTGGGTCTGGGAATTTGTTCCAGTCTGAAATCATGGAGAGCTGTCAGTGTGGACAATGCTGAGCTAGAGAACCCAATGGTCTGACTCTGTATGAAGCAGCTTCCTAATCTCCTAAAACTGCATATGAATATCTATGGCTGGAGTGAGGAATGTCTATGGCCTTCAGGCCTTTCTCTCTCTGGTCCTGGAGCTCCCCAAACCATGCACCCCCAAGTGCCATTCTGGGCCCTCCTACTATGTGCTTTTGCCTACTCAGAATGTGCCATTGAACTGCAGGAATGCCTTTTGCATTTGTGGCTAGAGAGACACATAAGAGGGGTGTAGAAATCTGGCTTTTGCATAGCTGGCATGTAACCCACTGTGCGAAGATGAGTCACACATCACATCTCCTGGCCTTCTTTTGCCCCTGGCCCCACCAACTAGTAACATAGTTGGCCCTTGGGAGGTTGCCTGGCAAGGGAATGGGTCCCTCTGGCTGAAGACGTGTGCCCCTCTCTAACCTAAGGGGATGGTAGTTGGCAGCGCTCTCTCTTGGGTGTAGGTTCCACCAGCTTCAGCGCTCAGGTCTGGAAAAGCAGCTGCAGTCTTCTATAATTTCGTGTTGCAAAAGGGCAAGTGCACAGCTTTCAGATAACTCTTAGTTGTTGAAGAGAAGCAAAAGGATCCTAAAGTAAAGGAACAGTTCTATAATGAGTGGAGATACCTTTGCTTCTGGCCTCTAGAGCTCCACAACAACACTCCTGCTCTTAGGCTTCTTTTTAAAAACCACTCCTAAAAGTTACAAAATGACACAGGTGTGCCTGCATGCAGGAACTCACACAAACACACCCCACTGCTTGCTATTGATGTCGCCAGCTCTCAGGTATCATACAGCTGCATTTTGCACAGCATGCAATTAAGATACTAGCAGTTTGAGTAAGAAATGTCTCTTCCCCGAGGAACAAAAATATTACCGTTTGGAGTGCTGGGGGGATAAAAGGGGACATCCATGCAGTGAAGGGAAAGACTCCTGAGCCATCTACAACAAATTACTGCATTTACTGTATGGGGGCAGGGGGAGCTCCTCTGCTAAGGCTGTTGTGATGTGCCCTCCCTTGCTTGCATTGAATAAAAGAAAATAAAAAGATTTCCTGAAGGGTTGTTCAAGGGCACCTGCAATAGCTGGATAGAGAAAAATGCAATTTATTTGGAGAGAGCCCTCCCTTCCTTGTGAATGCTTTAAGGGATTAACTAGGTTGGGATTAAATTACTATACTTGGTCATCAGGATCCTGTAGGGTTGCGTTGCTATGCTTCCTTTGATGGTGGTTCTCTGTTTTGCCTCCCATTCCCTGTTTTGCCTCCCAGTGGCTGGGAATTTGCAAGGGAAGCGTGATGGCCAGAAGGGCTTCCCAGAAGTCTTTGGTAAAGACTCTAAAACCCCTTCTTTCAAACATGGGTGTTTGAAGTGCTTCAGAGCATGAGCAGAGTGTTATTCCATCTCTACTGTTGAGGCAGGGGGACAGGCCATTGGCCCATGTGTGCACTTTATACTTTGGAGGGGAGTTGTGCTCTTTTGCTAGAGGCATTTGAGCATAGGCTGGACAGCCACTTGTCAGGGGTGCTGCAGCAGCATCCTCTATGAGAGGCCTTCCACTGGGCAATGGGTTGAAGTAGATGACCTCTGGAGGTCCCTTCAAGCTCTGTGATTCTCCTGAGTTGCTGCAGCCAGCTGCCCCACATCTATATGGCATCCAGGGACCTGAAGATGTGCTCTCTTCCTCCCCCCCCCCCCCAGAGCCTTGGTGTTCCCTTTTCAACATACTGATTTCTTGGTGGTCCTCTCTCTCTCTCTCTCTCTCTCTCTCTCTCTCTCCACTCACGTACAAAATTATCAGTTTGTCCCTGATTAAACACTGAAGAGGGTGAAGGGGGCTCTCTGGCTATTTAAGAGCAGCCCCGCTAGATCTCATCAAAGGTATACCTGGTCCCTCCCATCCCCTTCCACAGTGTGATTGGAAGGTCAGCAGTTCGAATCTGCGCGATGGGGTGAGCTCTCATCGCTCTGTCCCAGCTTCTGCCAACCCAGCAGTTCGAATGCATGCCAGTGCAAGTAGATAAATAGGTACCACTGCAGCGGGAAGGTAAATGGTGTTTCCGTGCGCTCTGGCACTCATCACGGTTCTCTGCGCTCCAGTAGCGATTCAGTCATGCTGGCCACATGACCTGGAAAGCTGTCTGTGGACAAATGCAGGCTCCCTCGGCCTGAAAAGTGAGATGAGCACAACCCCCCATAGTCGCCTTTGACTGGACCTAACTGTCCAGGGGACCTTTACCTTTTTATCTTACCCACTCCCTTCCACAGTGACCAAGTGGATGCATTTTGTTTTTTAAGTCGCTTTCTGCGTGTGCTTAGAGACACTTTTTAAAAATGGCACTCTCTGCCTCCACCCAGAGGCGTTTTTTAAAATAAAAGGCAACTTTCTGCATGCGCTCTGCGTGCTCTCAGGGGCACTTTTTAGTAGCCGCATGCGCTCAGAGGCCCTTTTTTACAAAGCCACTCTCTGCATGCGCTCAGAAGCGCTGCTTCGAAGCACTTCAGGGCAGAGGCTTGGCACTGAACCTCTGTGCCGGAGCTGAGCCGAGCGTGAGAGAGGGCGCCCTCGGCTTTTTTGTCCTCCGCAGGGCGGAGCCGGGCGCGGGCCCGCGGGGCGTGTCTCCCCACCTCCTGGCCGCACCTGGCCCCTCCATAGGCTGCGGCTGCGGGGCTCCCTCCTCGGCGGGCTGGGCTGGAGGGATGACAAAGCAGCCGTGGCGGCGGCCAGCCCTGCTCAGCCCTCCCCTTCCTTGTCCTCCTCCTCTTCCTCAGGCTGCCCAGCAGCGCCGCTGTTATGGCAACCAGCCCGCCTCGCCGGAGGAGCCGATGATGGAGCAGCGGCCATGGCCCGAGCGGCGGCAGGAGCAGCGGGAACCGAGGGCGGCGGCGGCGGCGGGAGCGGCGCGCGGGCCGCGGTGGCGGCGTCCGAGGAGCGGCCGTCGGGGGAGCCGGCGGAGCTGTCCCTGGAGGAGGTGCTGAAGTCTTACGAGCAGCCCATCAACGAGGAGCAGGCCTGGGCCGTGTGCTTCCAGTGCTGCCGCGGGCTGCTGCAGCCCGGCCCCGTCGAGGAAGGCGCGCCCGAGCAGGAGGCGCGCCGCTGGGGGCCCGCCGGGCGCATCCGCGACACCGCCGACATCCGCCTGCACCGGGACGGCGCCGTCTCCGCCTGCGGCGAGTACGGCGTGGCCGGTGAGTGGGGCGTGAGCCGGGCCGAACGACCCACAAGGGCGGCGGCGGGCTGGAGCGAGGGAAGCCCCCCCCCCCGACTCGGGCAAAGCAACCTTCTCGTCGGTTTCTGCTGGGCTGTCCGGGAAAAAGCTTCAGGGACGGAGGCGCTTTGGAGGGACTGCGGCTGAGCGCTCGGCCCCTCCCCCGTCTTCTCAGCCCGCAGGGATTAAGTTGGGGGGGGGAAAGCTTTTAGCTAGAGCTAAACGCACCGCGAGTGCTTGAGGGGGGAGAAGCAAAGAGGGCTTCTGTGTCCCGCAGTCCCGTAGCCACCCCCCTCTTCACCTGCCGGTCCCTACCTGAGAGGCTAGTGGGCGGGTGTGTCCAGAGCTCTAGACATAACGGGGAGGTGGGGGGGACGATTCCTTGGCAAGGGAAGAGCCAACAACTGAACTGCCGGGCTAGTACCCTCCTTTCCTTTCACCCTCATTTCCTTAAAAAAAAAAAGTCTGGAAGTATTCATTGGTGATTTGCTTTTGTGATTCCTGTTTTAGAATCTACTAATATAATAGTGAAGCCCTCCAAGTACATCTAAGCATGTATGTGTGTGTGGTTTTCCCCCCTTTCTGAGCCTGAGATGTGTTCCAGGAGTAAACAAAAAAGTGTTATGGTGGGAAGTGAAATCTTGCGTCGGCAAGATAAGGGGCATGTAAAGACTCTCCATTAAAAAAACAACAACCTGGACTTGTTGTTTCTGAAGGGCAAAAGGTTTTAACAATTTGGTTCGTTCTGAATATCTCAAGGGAAGAACTGGAGGTGAATTGTGGATGGGGCCAGCCTTTCCCCATGCGCTAACTTAAAGCTGTTTTCTTGGAGCCTGAAAGCAGCCTGTTCCCAAGTAGACAGAGGAAATCCTAAAGGCATCAATCTGTCAGATGTGATGGCATTTGAGGACGTCCTGTTTTGTAGGAGTTGGTCTCTGTGCATTTTGTGTTCCTGCTGATCCTTGCATATAAACAGACAAAACTTAATTCTTTGGAAAGGAAATTGAGCAGCAGAGAAGAATTAATGCAGGTTAAGTAAGCTGAAGGGACTGTTTTCTACATGCTCTCACTTCTATGAATCAAAAGATTGTGTGTGTGTGGTCTCCACTTGAAGGTGAAAGGCACTTAAACTGCAGGAAGGTAGATACAATATCATCATGCTTTAAAACCAAACCAAACAAGCCTCCTAATGGAAGACCCACCAGGTATGTTGCAATTGCCTTAAGCACTGCAAGGCTGTCCCAGGGCCAGCGCTAACATGAGGGAAGATGAAGCAACTACCGCAGGTGGCAAATGCTATGGAGTGGGTGGGGAGTGGGCAGAACTGTGTGTGCCCTACAGCCTGCTTAAACTAACTTGCTGCCTTTGAGTGCAATTGTGGAAATCTAAGAAAGCTGTCCGTCTGGTTGACTTTTGTACACAGGGGCGGGAAGGTGCAATCTTGGCCATCTCGGGCAGCAAAATGTCTTGGACCACCCACACGTTGCTGTAGAAGAACATTTTCCTTTTTAAAAGTTTTAACACTGTTTTATTTGGAAATTAAAGCTATACGTATTGTGATAACATGACAATATATCAGCATATTAACAAATCCTTATCCAAATTAATTATATAATTTTATTATGTGTTACCCAACCTATTTGAATGCTTTTCTTTTAAAGCAAACCTCTTCCCTGCCCCACCCCTCCCCCACTTGCCTGCTGTCACGCAAGTCCAAAGTCTAAGCTTCCCTGTGCACCTGCAAACTGGGTGGGGATCCTGGATTGTAGTAAGTCCTGGATTATCTTTCATGTGTGAGCAAAGAGGTCAAAGTATCTCCCAAGGGCACACTTCACATCCTTGGTATGTTTATGATGTGTGTAATTACACCAACAGCCAACACAAATCTGCTGCAATTTGCGGAGTGTTCACACGTGCTAGCATAAACACAAGCCATTCAGTGCTTGAGTCACGCTGCTTGCCTTCATCGTTTAGTACATCCATGCAAGGCAGGTGTAGATGTTTAAGAGCTATAGATTCCGCCTTGTTATTTGTCTCCAGGGTAGGGAAGTGTTTTGGCCCCAAGGGGTGAGCCAGGCCCTGTGTGGCCTCAGGGACATCAATGTTTGGGTGCTTAGCATCTCACAGTCACCAGCCACACGGCAGGTGATGAGAGAATTGTGTATTGAATCACTGCAAAGCTGCTCCCTTTGTGGCTTCTCTGAAATGCAGCAGAGGATACGTTCCCACCAGCGATGCACATAACTAATGCACGCACACATTCATTTATGCTCTTGCATGCATCTCAAGGCTTGGGGCAGGCAGGAAGAGCTGCAGAAGACATTTTACCTGGAAACCCACTGAAGGGTTTTGGGAATCAAATGTGAAAGCTACAATACGTATAAAACATTAAAAACAACACGATATGAAAGCTATCAGAACTAAAAGAGACAGGATGTGTGAGACATGAAAGTGGCATGAAAGGGAATTAAAAAGCCCAGGGGGAAAGGGGGGGCTTTGACTGGCAGCACTGAAATGATGTCAGTGAAGCCTGTGGAGAGCATTGCACAGTCAGGAGGCCACCAGCAAGAAGGCCCTTTCCCCTGCAGCCTGTGGACACACCTTAGATGACGGGGCAGCCAAAGGACAGCCTCTGCTGAAGGTCTTAGAGTGGAGTATCTAGTGTGGTGTCCTCCAAATGTTGTGGGACTTAAACTCTAAGCAGCCAGCATGACCAATGATCAGAGCTGATGGGAGCTGTAGTCCAACATCTGGAGCACCACAGGTTCCCAATTCCTGTCTTGGAGTATGGGCAGGCAGGTGTTGAGATGAGGTTTTAGACTACAACTCCCATCACCCCATCCATTGTCTGCTGACTGAGGTTGATAACAGTTGCAGTCCAAAAATTCTGGAGGGCACCAGGTTAGCGATGGATGATGTTGGCTTTACCAGTGAAATGAATGGAGGAAACTGACATGCATGTACCCTGGGTTCTCTTTCAGCTGCTTATCTCTCTCAATGGAAAAAAAAATGCACTTCTTGCCTAGTTCAAACAAGCTGGGGACTTGCAGGTTGCCATACTGCCATGTTTCCTGTTGGAGGCAAATTGCTACTTGAATATGAAATTCAACCAAACCAAGGAGGTTCCATCTCCTCAAACAGCTACTGCTCTTTATCTCAGCCATGCCAGTAATTACTTATATTTTTGAAGAATGTGTCTTGAAGTTAGGCTCCAGCTATCAGGCAGCAACTTGTTCCTTTTGGTGTCCTGAGTTCTTACGTTGTTAACTTGGTGTTCTCATCCATAAGCAGAGGGTCTCTAATGAAGCTGAATGTTGGAAGATTCGAAACAGACAAAAGGAAGTGCCTCTTCACACAGCACATGGTTAAATAATGGAAACCGCTCCCACCAAGGGCAGCAATGGCCACCAACTTGGATGACTTTGAAAAAGGATTAGACAAATTCACAGAAGTAAAGACTATCAATGCCTGTTGGTCACGATGGCTATGTTCTGCTTGCACTATTGGTGGGTGCAGTATTGCTCTGGGTACCAGTTGTTGGGAATCACAAGTTGTGAGGATGCTATTGCACTCAGGTCCTGCTTACTAGCTTCCCAGAGGCATCAGCCTGGCCACTGTGAGAACAGGATACTGGATTAGGCGGGCTATTGCCCTGATCCAGCAGGATCTTATTATGTTCTTATGTGTGCGCTGCACATATATATACTTACCACCCCCTCGGTTCCCTTTATGCATCGGATGAATCCTGTTGTCCACAAAAGCTCTTGACTTCACAGCTTTATTCTGTGCTCTGTCCCCTGAAGCTCCATTCCCCACTTAAGGTAGGTCTGTGGTGGATGGAAATAAGAGGCAGGATGAGCATGTCTGTCTGACACTCATGTGCTTTGTACGGAACTTGTGTCAAGAGGGAAGGGCCATGGCTCAGTGGAAGAACATCTGCCTTGCATGCAGAAGGCCCCAGGTCCCATTCTCTCCTCACCATCTCCAGGTAGGGCTGGGAATGTCCTCTACCTGAAACCCCGGAGAACCAGGTCTATGTAGATTATCCTGAGCTAGATGGACCAATGCCATGGTCTGATTCTCAGCAAAAGGCAGCTTCCTAAGAGTAATTCACAAAGAATTGAGGCAGCAATATCATGACTTCATCTCTGTGTGTGTGTGTGTGTGTGTGTGTATATACGTCCCTTTTGTGTGTGACTCTCCTGTTGTGCAGCTGAAGAAATAACAATGAGGATGTGCCTACATGCGAAGAATTGAGATGTTCTCAACTTCAAAGCCACTGTCCTGTTGTCTAAATTTGACAACCTTATTGTCCTAAGCTTCATATATCTGAATCAGTTTGGCTGCTGCTACTTTACCAATCCTCACCAACAGGCACCGAAATCCTTTCCATTGTGCTCATCCCCCAGAAAGCACTTCACAATCCCACATGTTTTGACATCTCTCTGGTGTCTGCAAAGGCAGGTAGCAATTCTATTTCAAAATTCTAACTCTTTCCTGCTAATCCCAAGAGAATGAAATATAGGAAGGAATGCATGGGGAAGGTAATTGTTTTCTGTTTTGATGTTCTTTGTCATGTATGAAAACTCTGAAAGAATAAGAGATGCCTGGAGGGACAAAGCAGAATGGAACCTTTTGCCTTTGTCCTTGCAGGGGCTGCAGCTGGTTGCGTTGGAGTCTTTGCAGGAGTAGCTATTGCTGATCTGCTTGTTCTGATAATATTTACTTAGAAGCATTGCACAGAGTGCCTTAAAAACTGGTCTGCCCGGTTCTGGGCTATACATAGCCTAGCCTATGATTGTCAGCAGCTACTAAAGGGTCACTGACTTCTTGACCTTCAACCAACGATGCAAAGCGAAGGTGACTCTTTTGGTGCATTTAAATCATTCCAACGCAAGAGCTCTCTCTCTCTGCCCACAGGCACCACTGATGTTTTAGTGGGGAGGAGGCCAAGAATTGCATCAGTTTAATGGTCCCTGAAGGAACACGGTGATGAACAGTAGCAGTATATAGCAAGGAATCTTTGCTGCAGTAGAGAGAAGCTCAATTCCTAGCATGTTACTTTCCAGCATCCATGGTATCCTGAAAACCTTGCTTGATACAGCTAGGGGTGCTTCCAGAAGGACATTTCTTAAAAATCATATATGGGAAGTTCAGATTTGATTTCTATGTGTGTGTGAGTCGCACATTGCTTCCCACAATTTCCCATCCACATTAGAGCTTGATGGGATGTATCTGTGCTGAGCTGCTTTGCTCCTCCTCTCTGCCCCCTGTCCCTTTTCTGTTCTGAACATAAGAAGAGCCTGCTGGATCAGATCAGGGGCCCATCTAGTCCAGCATCCTGTTCTCACAGTAGCCAACCTGATGCCTGCAGAAAACCTGCAAGCAGGAGCTGAGCAGAAGAGCATCTTCCCCTCCTGTGGTTTCTAGCAACTGTTACTTGGAAGCATTTCTTCCTCCAGTTGTGGAAGCAGAGCATAACCATCCTGGCTAGTATCCTCTGATAACCACCCTCCTCCGTGAATTTGTCTAATACTATCTGAGAGCCATTCAAGCTGGTGGACAACATCGCTGCCTCCTGTGGGAGCAAGTTCCTTAGTTTTAACTATGCACAGCATGAATAAGGCCTGATTCTTTTGGACACACCTGCAGGTATTTTTGCATCGGTGTGCACTTCTGGAAAAAAACCAACCCACTGGAAGTGTGCAAGATCAAATGTAACCTTCCTTTAGTTATCACGCTTAACAGTAGTTAAAATGCAGACTTGTGGGGGACTTCCGGGTTAGCGCCATCGGCGAATGGCGGAGTTCCTCCGACCGGAGGAACTGGCTCCGTGGAAACTGGGTCTTCCCGCCGCGGCGAAGGTGGGGACCCGCTAGAAATCCCAGGCGGAGGAAGCCTGGGAACGTGGGGTTCGGCAGGGCACCAGGAGCGCCCCCTACTCACGGGGAACCCCTTTTTGGGATTCCGGAGTGAAGTGGGGTGAGCGGCGCGGTGCTGCGAACTGACTGCTACTTTCACGGAGTGAAGCCGCACAGCCATCGCTGGAGAGCGCTGACTTTTTCCTGTGGACAATTGGATTTAAAACAAGTACCCGTGAGTAGAAATGGAAAATCGGATCAAGAAATATCTTAATTTGACATCGAAGCGGGAAGGTTCAAAACAGGAAGTCCACCTTCCGCTTTTTGTATATAGACTGAAGCAAAAACCTTGTAAGCTAAAGCTTGGAAAGTCGTTTAAAAAGCCTAAATTTCCTTCATTTATAACTACTGAAACCCCCTTGGAAGCAGGAGAAAAGGGGGGGGGGCTTTGTGTAATGCCTGCAGGAGAGGGAGTGAAGAAAGATAAGTTTCCACTGTCTCTAACCTGGGAACGGGGTGTCAGAGACAGAAATTGTTGGAGAGGTTCATTGACTGTGAATGGAATACTTTGACAGATAGCTAAAGAAGAGAAATAAACTGATTCCAATGTTGCCTTTTGCATTCTAAAGAAACAAAATATCTGAAAAATGAAAGTAATTTTCCTTTGTTGGACTTGCCTTAAAAAGATGGATACAAATAGAAATTGTCTCCTCTAGAGGGAGCTTGCTAAATTGTTGCTGCAGTCTATTTGAGGACTCCACAGCTGTGAGATTGAGATCGTGGGATTAGTCCTTTTGACCTTGACTAAATATGAGCTGGGAGGAAGTTTTGGTGCTTGCTTTATGCAAGACAAGTGCTTTGTTGGAACAGATGCATGAGAAGATGGATTTGATGAATGAGAAAATGGATTTGATGACTGTTGTGGCCAATAACTGTGAACAAATAGTGAATAGTGATACAGAAACCATCCAGGGACCAACTCAGGAACCTGTATTGATTGGGCAAGTGCAGAAGATAATGGAGGAGGCTGCGGTTGCACCTCAAATAATACAAATGGAGAGACCCAAGGCCCTACAGGAGCATAAGCCGCTGTTTTTGAAGATTGAAGTTGGAGTGGGCCAGGGGGAGTCTGGAGCTGAGGAGGCTCTTAACTTTGGAGAGACTTCGAAATATGTTCGTAAATATTTTTTGGATTATATTGATGACTGTGGGGAGTGGGACTGTGGGGAATGGGCTGGTTTGATGAAGGAAGATGGAGATAAATTTGGGTTGGAACCCCCCAGAGACCTACTCCTCAATGAGAAAGGAAAGAAATTAAGAAAGAGACCAACAAAAGACAAGGAAAAGTGCGAGTATAAACAAGAAGAAGAAGATCTGCAGAAGGGACATGGAAGAGACTTAAGGGCCTCGGACATAAGACTTCCAGGTTGATGGACTAGATGGAATGGACAGTAAGGACTGACACGACCCGAGACCAGGAAGAAGAGACGTTGGATGAAGATTGGAAGAAAATTTATAAAGAAAATTTTTATTTAGGGAATTAGCCTAAAATTAATGAATATTAGGGAATATGTTGGAATGTAACTATATGACTCTAGTAGAAATGATATCAGGAGCTATGAATAACTGAGTACAAGTTTCAAGTTTTAAGGTATTTTATGGTAAGATAAGGTTAAATAAATTAAGGTAATTTGAATAACAGAATATGGGGAAAGATGGAAAGGATCTGTCGAGTTAATTAATAGGTTAAATTGTTAAGATAAATTATTTAATAAAAATTGAGAAAGATGGAAAGAATTTGCTGAAATAACTAACTAAACTAGAATACAAAAAGGGAGGTGTGAGGAGGTCAACGAACCAAGCAAATGGAAGTTAAAGATATGTAATATGGGATTTGTGTCTTTTTTATTCTTCTTTTTTATTTTTCTTGCTGTATTGTTGTATTGGTTTTTATGTTTTGCGTTTTTTCTTCTTTTTATGTATTGTAGTGTTGTTTTTTATTTTTTATTTTTTTTCTGTAATTCTGAAATTATTAATAAATATTATTTTTTAAAAAAATGCAGACTTGTGCTTTTGAGGAGGGTGCAACTTTTCCCATTATTTAAAAAATAATCTTAATGGCGAACCCTTGCACAAGAACAACGTTTAGCTACATCAGTCTGCAGTTTGATTTGGTGAAGGTGTGATGGGTAACAATATCAAATAATAATAATAATAATAATAATACCCAGTAGGCCTCTGTAACCATTAACAACACAACCACCTGTCTTCCTCAGCCCACCCCAAAACAGAGCAGCAATTAAATACTGGAACAAAGAGTCTTGTGCAAGACCAGCACATAATTTTGCGAAGTGTTTTAAGATCTTGATGTATGGCACTTTCTGCATGTCCCCTGCATGTTCTGTGTGGAGATTCTGAGAGAGCAGTTCCTCTGAAATCCAGAGGATTTCCTGTTGAAATCCAGATGTGCTTTCAGTCTGTGGAAGGTAGGTATGCCTGCAGATTGTGCTCACGTAAGGAGCAAATGGAAATAGGGGCATGGCATTAGAAAAAGGCTACTCAAAGTGGTGGTCCACAGAATAGTGCCAGTCCATAAGCCATCAGCTGCCAGTCTATGAAAACCTCATCACAACTCAAGTTGGGTGAGATACCCCAGGGACCAATATGGTGCTGGTTTCTGACACATTGGGGCGGGGGGGGGGTAGGAATTGCTGGTCTGCCGCATCAGATAGTTTGAGAAGCAAGACTAAATTCTGTTACAAATGACTGGGTTGGTTCCACACCCCTTATCTTTTTTCCTTTGTCCATCAAAGAGTTCTGTAAAGCTCTAAACCTTGCTTATATCTACTTCAACCTAATTTAAATATACTATTTACATACTATCTCCTGCCCTTTTGAGACCAACAGAGAAACTGTAGTGACTGAATTTCCATGTTGGGGACATTTTAATGCCAAATGCAAAGAGAAATATTTCCTGCTTAGCCTCTGCAGTTCCTCTTTCAGGGACTGGTTGATAATGGAACTGGAGTCAATAAGTTAAAAACCAAGGTTTTAGAGAAAAATTTAACACCAATGTAGAGAGAGAGGTTTCAGAATGAGACAGGTTTAACAGTGGTCAAGAAAGTTAAATACCTGGGGATTAACATGACAGCAAAAAACGGGAATTTATTTAAAGACAACTATGAAAAATGCTGGGCTGAAGTGAAAAAAGATTTAGAAATCTGGTCAAATTTGAAGCTTTCACTGTTGGGTCGTATTGCTGCGGTAAAAATGAATGTGTTGCCTAGAATGTTGTTTTTGTTTCAAACATTGCAAATTGTGGACAAAATGGACTGTTTCAAGAGGTGGCAGAGAGATATCTCTAGATTTGTCTGGCAGGGCAAGAAGCCTAGAATAAAATTTAAAATATTAACAGATGCAAAGGAAAGAGGTGGATTTGCCCTGCCAGACTTTAAACTTTACTATGAATCAGCAGCCTTTTGCTGGTTGAAAGAATGGCTGCTTCTTGAAAACACTGACATTTTGGATCTAGAAGGTTTTAACAATGTATTTGGATGGCATGCATATCTGTGGTATGATAAGATCAAAGCACATAAAGCATTTAAAAACCATATTGTCAGGAAAGCATTGTTTAATGTTTGGATAAGATACAAGGATTTATTGGAAAACAAAACCCCAAGGTGGCTGTCACCGATGGAAGCGAAAGCTCTGAAAAAGCTCAATATGGAGGCCAAATGGCTGAAATATTGGGAAATTTTGGAACAAGATGGAGATAGACTGAAATTACAGAGTTTTGAAAAATTAAAAAAACAAAGTGCGAGACTGGCTTCATTATTATCAGATAATGGAGGCATATAATTTGGACAAGAAAATTGGCTTCCAGGTGGAAAAATCAAAATTGGAAACAGAACTGTTAGAACCCAAAACTAAGAATTTGTCAAGAATGTATAACTTGCTGTTGAAATGGAATACTCAGGATGAAACGGTGAAATCTGCTATGATTAAATGGGCACAAGATGTTGGACATAACATAATGATGGCTGACTGGGAACAGTTATGGACCACAGGTATGAAGTTTATGGCATGTAATGCCTTAAGAGAGAATATTATGAAAATGATATACAGGTGGTACATGACACCAGTCAAGCTTGCAAAAATCTATCACTTGCCCGATAATAAATGTTGGAAATGTAAAGAAACCGAAGGTACATTCTTTCACCTTTGGTGGACGTGCCCAAGGATTAAGGCTTTCTGGGAGATGATTTATAATGAAATAAAAAGGGTATTTAAATATACCTTTCTGAAGAAACCAGAGGCCTTTCTCCTGGGCATGGTCGGCCAAATGGTGCCAAAGAAGGACAGAACTTTCTTTATGTATGCCACAACAGCAGCAAGAATACTTATTGCAAAGTATTGGAAGACACAAGACCTACCCACTCTGGAAGAATGGCAGATGAAGGTGATGGACTACATGGAATTAGCGGAAATGACTGGCAGAATCCGAGACCAGGGAGAAGAGTCGGTGGAAGAAGATTGGAAGAAATTTAAAGACTATTTACAGAAATATTGTAAAATTAATGAATGTTAGAATGATGTTGGAATGAAGCTAGGTGGTTTAAGCAGTAATGCTATAAAGGTGTATGTAAAAAAGGATTGATAACAGATGAAAATTTAAAGTTATAGTATATTAAGTTAAAGAATCATGAGAAAACAAAGAGGGAAAGAAATTGCTGACTTAACTAATTGAACTGGAATACAAAAAAGGGAGGTATGAGGAGGTCAGGGAAACAAGGATATGAATGTAAGTTATGGAAAGATTGATTCATTTTTATTTTTATTTTTATTTTCTCTTTAAGTGTCTTTTATTCTTTTTTCTGTATTTTGTATTTTGTATTTTCTTGTACTTTTACTTTTTGTTTTTGTGTAATTCTTGTATTCTCTGAAATTTTAATAAATATCATTTAAAAAAAAAAAGATAATGGAGCTGGAGTCAAGGGTGAATTGTGATATATGAGAGACACTAGGAACTGAGAGAGGGGCAAATCCGTTCACCAGCTGACTTTGTGCCCCTTTTACAAGGATGCAAATCTGAGCTGCTGCTACTTTCTTTGCATGTCTGGGTTTTTTTAAAGTTCTTCTGCCACAGAATTGCTGTGTAGTGCTGCCTACGGAGATGTTTAGGAGATGCCTTAATTTCTCTGAAATGTCTCGGAGTTGCTGAGAATCTGCTGAGTCTGTTAGACTGCGCTTTGCTGATGCGGCTGCCCTAGCAAGTTATGCCTCTTTAACAGCTTTTGCTCCTGTTGTCCTGCTGATAAATGGAATACAGGACACTTGCTCCATTCATGTGGCTGTATGAAGCCATGCTCTGCTTTCTTCCAATGCAAGGCAGCCAATCTGGTGCAGCTCCAGATATTTTGGAGTACGATTCCCATCAGCCCCAAGGAGGATGGGACCTGTGCAGTCCACATCTGGAGGGCAGCATGTTGCCTCCCCCCACCCATCCTAGAGGTAGGGCAACCTTCCCCAGCCTGGTGGTCTCCAGGTATTTCAGGCTACAGCTCCCACCTGCCCCAGCCAGGACAGCCATTTCCTACTATAATACCTCTCAGCCGTGATGGGAGTTGTCCAAAATATTTAGAGGGCACCAGCTTGGGGAAGGTTGTAGTATTTGCAGAATTTTGAGTGCATTGATCGTTGGCTATGGAAGTACCTCTAAACAGAGACGGCTTATTTGAGCCTTCTTTCCCCAGCACCTCTTGGACAGAGCGATGATGGGAAGGCACTTAAACAGAAATAACAATAGGCTATATTGTTCTGATTTATATCCTCTGACCTTTGCCCATAATATTCCTCAGAGCGGCTTACAATCCTTTTCAGTATACAGTAAAAACAACTTTTTGTTGTTGTAAGAAGCGCTGCCACCACTACCACCACCAGGACTACCCTTCCTCCACCACCTGCAGCCAAACAAACCCCAAACCAGTCTAAACAGCATTGGGCAGCCCTGCAGAAAGCATCCTCGACCTCTGTGCTACACATGCTAAAAGAGAAGGAGAGCTTCACCCTTCAGCGTCACTGGAGACAAGAGGCACTTGTGTGGGCCAGGTTGACCTCTCTGCAGGGCAGCCTATAAGTGGCTCATTGATTGGGGAAATGGCAGGAAATGGGGGTCTGAGCTCCCTCGGGTCACAGGGGGCATGACAGCAAAGTGGCTCTGAAGCACTGCGGACAATTATGGAAAATGGAGCAGGAGGAGCCTGGCTTAAAACCTGCTCCATTTAGTGCACTTCCTCCCCCCCCCCCATAAGTCTCTGCATTCATAAATGGCAGGTTCTCTGAGGACTATCGTCCCCAAGTGGGTGAATTTAATGGCCTGCCTTTTCAGGGCTAATTTCTGTCTTGCCAAAGATGCACTTGGAAAAACACTTTCTGCCCCAGAGAGCCTTTTATTTGCCTTTTTGACTGTTGGTGCACCAGCTGCCACGTGTCTTTTTTCTGTTTTGTTTCTTTTCCAAACTCCCACCACTCATGCATTTTTGCTTCTTCCCCTCCCACCTCTTGATATTTGGCGTTCACAGCCTGTCCCTTGCAGAAGAGGAGGAGGCTGCTGCTGCTGCTGCTGCTCTTTTAATGTTCACAGGCAAACCCTGATTGTTCATGTTTCATGTGTACACTTGAGCCTGATCTACAGGTGCAGCAGACAGAGACTTTCAGCCATGCAGACTTCCACCACCCCTTCTTTACCTGTGTGGCTCTCCATGATGATTCACTGCCAGCCAGCCAGGACTGAAGAAGGCAGTACTTAAAAGGCACATTTGGGCTTGGAGAAGGAGTAGTGTGTGCTGGTGTATAAAATAGAAAATCATCATCAGTACAATGACAAGCCATAGTTCTCCCTCACCATGGAGGGTAAAGCAATAATAAACAAGGGTTTGTAATTATTATAATACCTCAAGGCAGCTTACTAATAACATAGGAACAGCTAAAAACATAGCAGGGTGAGAGAGTCATTAAAAACATTTAAACACCAGTAGAATCAAAACTATATATGAACATAAAAGATTCTAAAGGAACAGGAAAAGAAAGAAGATTTTTTTCCTATCTGACCAATGAAAAGAGACTTAAGGGGAAACTGATGAGATCTCAAGTCCCCATAAAAATAGCTACTGGTTAGTTAGTTTTTGTTTTAAAGAGTTTGGGGGAGAGAGAAGCATTACTGGCCAGTTGGCTTGGATAGGGTTTCCCAGTCTTAAATCAGCTTGCCTTGGGACAGAAACTGTGGCTTTGGGGAAAGGGGAATACTACTTGTTGCCCTCTGACCATAAGAGATGTGAGTGTTTTTTATGTCACTGTGGTACAGTCTGGCCTGCATCAGGTAATGTGTTGCATGCATGATTCTGTGAGCATCCCAGTGTGGTAGCTGAGCCAGCCATTCATTTTCTTTAAGAGAGCTGTGGCTTTGGCACCACCACCCTTAATGCATTGAAATATTAATCTCTTTCCCTTGGACTTGGTTCTTAAGCTGTCCTGTAGGCCTCTTTGGACAGTGTCTACAGCACCCTTTGAATTTCTGTCTAGTCTGTAGTAGCAGGGAATATGGGCTCCTGCTTTGATAAGGGAAGGAGGCTGGGTTGGAATCCTACAAAGGTGCCCAGGTGAATCTGGGCCCTTTGAGTCTGGCCTGGCTCTTGTGGTTGGGAAGAGAGTGTGTATATGTGGGGCATGCGAACGACAAGGCATGTGAATAACAGCCCTAACTTGAAAATATGGGATATTGCAGCAATCTTAATGGTGTCATTTTCCTCTTGCAGAGCTCCCATTGACTTTGACACCCTCTGCTGAAGCACAGGTACGTTGTCAATTCCCTCCTAGGAAGTAAGGAGTCACTGAAACTTGCCCCCGAAAGCCAGCATTATTGGATCATTCTGGTGACCTGCTAGAAAGCTTTTATCTCAGCATGTGGGTGAAGTCATTCTGCCTTCAGCCAGATCAGTGCAGAAAACCTCAGTCTGCTAAGAACGTAAGAGCTCTGGAGCTGGATCAGGCAAAAGACCCCACCTTCTGGTATTATGAGAGAGAGAGAGATATGCCTTCTGCAGGCCATGCCTTTCATTTAAAAGCTCCTATCATGCCTTTCCAACTTTATGTGAATGAAAGCGCTTTAAAGTGGTGCAAACAGAACCCTTCTGATTCCGAGTGATTTCTGTGTGTCCTCCTCCTGAGAAGACCTCTGGGAGACGCTGTTTCCTCTCCCTCCCCCCCCCCTTCCCAAACTCAAAGCAGCTGCAGCTCCACCATCAGCCCATCTCTCCTGGGTGCCTGTCGCCTTGGTAGCTAAGCCCAAACAATGAATAATTCACAAATGCTGAAGCATAACTATATTTAATGAGCTATCCCAGGCCAAATTAAGTCCCTCCTTGATCCCATTAGAAATGGCCTAAATGGTAACTGGGAGACTGGAGTAGTTTGGCTTCAGATGGACCGAGAACCAAAAGCAGCCAGCAAGGGAGATCCTTTGGCAGGTGCCATGCACCTGCTGCATCTGGTTTGGAGATCTTACAAGGTGGAGTTTAGGCCCTTTTTATCTCTTTGCACACCCTGAACATGTGTGTCTCCCTCTTTCCCCACGTCCTCCTCTTGGCCTCCACAGCTCAGCTCAACTTGACATGACAGTATCTTTGTTTTTCTTCTATCAATGTACACCTCTTCCCTTTATGGCTGCCCACCCCCCACTCAACTTTCCCACAGGGGAAGGAAGCCAGCTAACAGTGCAGCTTCTGTTTCTGCTCAGAGACTTTTGGCTCTCCACATCAACCCTGTTCCCTGCGGGGGGCTCACATTCCCCTTGACTTCTAGATAATGGAGCCCTGGTGTTCATGGTGCAGAGAGCAAGGAAAACAGGAGGGGGGCCAGAATGCACATCTTTGTTTGGGAAATAAAATGAATTGTTTTAAAAAATCATTTCAGTAAATCTCCAATACAGTGGTACCTCGTGTTACATACACTTCAGGTTACAGACTCCGCTAACCCAGAAATAGTACCTCAGGTTAAGAACTTTGCTTCAGGATGAGAACAGAAATTGTACTCCGGCCGCGCAGCAGCAGCAGCGGGAGGCCCCATTAGCTAAAGTGGTGCTTCAGGTTAAAAACAGTTTCAGGTTAAGAACAGACCTCCGGAATGAATTAAGTTCTTAACCTGAGGTACCACTGTAATACCAATAGTAACAACAAGAACAGTATACAACACAATACCTGCAACTAAGTGTTGCAGTATATCCTCCCTCTCAAAAGGAGTGCTCCTGTTCAGAGTTCCAGCCAGATACTGCCTCTGAGAAGGGCATTCCACTCCCCACTCCCCCGACATGGCACCCAGGGAGCACTGCCCCCCGCCCCCCTCCACTTGCGACTCCACTGGCTACATGTAGCCACATCTTCTGTTGATTTGTCTAATCTGCTATGAAAGCCATTCAAGTTGGTGGCCATCACTTAATCTTGTATCCTAATGATACAATCTCACCTAAACAACCTTTTTGCCTTAACCACCTGTGTCCGTTTGCTTGCAGATGGTGCAGTCTCTCGGCTTTGCGATCTACCGAGCGCTGGACTGGGGTCTGGATGAGAATGAGGAACGAGAGCTCAGTCCTGAACTGGAGCGGCTTATTGACTTGATGGCCAACAGCGATTCAGAGGACAGTGGCTGTGCCACGGCAGATGAAGGCTATGGCGGGCAGGAGGAGGAAGAGGAGGCTGTGGCGGAGGGCACCCTGAGGGCCGTGTGCACCTTCAGCCAAGCCATGCGGCTATGTGCTATGCGCCTCACCCAGCCCCAGGAAGCTGAGGCCCACTACCAGGCTGTCTGCAGAGCCCTCTTCCTGGAGACGGTTGAACTCAAGGCTTTTCTGGCCAAGATTCGCGATGCCAAGGAGGTGAGCATTGCAGTGGGCTGTGTTGCTCTTGCCACATGGGCATTGATGAGAGGGCATGCATGGCAGCATCAGCGCTGCTTGACCCCAAGAAGGAGCATGCGTGCGCTTGTGACATGTTGTCTGCTTGCTAGGGGTATCAGAGATTTCTGTTGGAGACGGGAATGGAAACGGCTGCTGTTCTCTTGTTCGTCCCATGCCCAGAATGGAAATCAATCTATTGCATAGAGTCTATATTCACTACTGGCACTTCCAGTCCACAAATGATGCATAGTCTATTGCTCTCCCCCACCCCAATTTGCATTGCATTTCCTTTGCACTGAGATGAATGGGCTGGAATAATGTGACTACTAAAGAGCTTATATATTTTATGTAATTAATCCCACTACCACCGACATTGAAACCATAATGCAGTTTTCGGTAGAAAACAAACTGCAGCAGAAAGGAAGCAGTGCTGCTTGTGATGAATGTAGGGTGGGACGTAGCCCTCTTGCGTCCCTACTATTCACATGGCAGCTTGGAGAGTTACACAGTGACATGTCTCTGCCTGCAAGGAACTAACAGTTTTAAAAATGCCATAGGGAAAACAGAGAAAGGGAGAGTCAAGGGAGGAAAGGAAGATTTGGGGCAAACAGCAAACTACAAGCCTTTAGCTTGTTTGGATTTAAGGACATGCTCCATACATGACAGCATTGCAGCTTTGTTGGAAGATGCACTCCATGGATGACGGCGTCCCTGCTTTTTACCTGAAGCTGCAACATGGATAAGCTTCCTACACAGCAGCTAGAGGAAGGATAAGGATGCTCCAAACCCTGCACACACCTGTATCTGCAAAACAGTGACCTTGTTGCTCTGGGAAGGGGAGGCATCAATTGTCTGTAGAGCTGCAGCTGTTGTTAAAGAGGCTGTTTTCTGCCTCATTGAGCTTATGAGGCTGCTCCTTCTGCCTGTCAGCCTGATGATGGCACCTGTGTGTCCCAGCTTGGTCTGTGTGCAGGCTGCCTAAGTTGTGATGGGTAAGCTGGTGGCAGTTGCAGAACAGGGTAGATGGGGATGATGATCCTGTGGGTGTCGGAGAAGGGAAGCTGTGATCTGGGCTGGAGCACAAAGGAGGTGGCTGAGTAGTTAACGGCACCTGGGCTGGGGAAGACGGACTCAGTGGGGACTGACTTCCCTACATCCTCGTGCATTGGTGATGCATGTTGCAATTCCTAGTTGCTGGCAAGGGCCAATTTTCTTAAAATGTCTGGGGTTCCCTGGCTTTTGTTCTGTTGGGCTTTTTTAGTTTGTTAAAGCAGTAGTATCCTTTTGATAGTTAACAATCTAAGGCTGTGATCACACCATACATTTAAAGTACACACACCCTCTCAGCAACCCCCTGCCGAAATAATCCTGGAAACTGTAGTTTATCCCACAGAGAACTATAATTCCCAGCACCCTTAACAAACTACAACTCCCAGGATTCTTTGGTTGGGTTGGGGAACTGTGCTTTAAATGTATGCTGTGTACACAGCCTTAGTCACTAAGCTTGCTGATTAATGAACAATGACATTTCCCACCTTGCGCAGACTTTCCAAGAATTCCAGGGGAGGGAGGGGAGATGGAGAGAGTAGGCAGTGGGCCACATCCTGATGCACCACTTGTCCTTCCTTCTCTACCCAGTTCCTGGTCTCTCACGTGCAGCCCATCCCAATTGTGTAAACACAGATCCTTCCATGAGAATTAGGCACTTTCCCTACTTCCTTCAGCTGTTTCCTTGTATAGACTCTAGCTGGGCTGTTGTAAAAAACCAGCAGCGACAGCACCTCCTTCTGGCCAGTATCTCTGATCGGCAGCAACCTCTAACCTACTGAGCTGCCCTTGTAGAATCTCAGGGAAGCTTTTCTTCTGGGAATGGGCGGAGCAGCAATTTGCATTCCTCTCATTCCAAAGGTTCTAAATGACACACCTGCAAAGAGACATCACCTGTCTCCTGGGAGGAATAAAGGAGGGCAGGCAGGCAATGCTTTCACCTGGCTCTTCCAGCACAAAATAATAAGTGACATCCTTGTGGGCTTGTCTCATGGGCGGAAACCTATTAATGCTAATTAACTCGTTGCTAATTAATAACTCTACAGCCAAACAGTTCAGTAGGGATCATGAGCTACTCTAGGAAATGATTTCATGGAGACCCAGAATTCCTCCTGGCACATTTTTGTCTCTCTGGAGGGGTGAAGTCTGGCCATCTCTGCCCTTCCTGGGGATGAAATGTAACACAGCTCTTCACAGCCACTGTCCTTAAGTCAGGGATGGAGAATGTGTGTGTCTGTCAGTTGCTGTTAGATGCCTAACTCCCATCAGCCCAGTGGGAGTTATTATTAATATATTAGAGGACTTAGTCGTTAATAAGATAAATGCCTTGTTTACCACGGCCTCTGCCTGTTCCATCTGTTTGCAGTAGAAATATGATGTGGGTTTCTCTAGCAGGAGCTGACAAAAATACATTGCAGATTTGTTAACTGGAAATAACTGTTTGTACGATCGCATCCCAGTAAAGCAGCTTGGTGGCTGTAGGACGCCAAAAATATGACCCTATGGCAATTAGTAGTGTCTTTTTGGGTGGTGGATCTCAGCAGATTTCACATCCTGACAGAATCTAGAAAAACTAACAAGTCCCCCTGGGCTGTTGGTCAAAGGGCCTGTATTCCACTGCCACTCTCATTGGTGACACTCTCTGGGGAGATGGCTGAGTGGCCTGTGCAGAAGGAAAAGCTAGCCTGTTTTTGTTTCTTGTGGTGTGCAGATGCTGACGAAGCTGAAGGATGAGGACGAGAAGCTGACAGACCGATCAGCTGCAGATCTAGACAACCTGAGGAACACAGACTGGGTACAGAGTGATGGGGGTGGGTGGGATGGGGGAGTGTCGCCTGGATAAATGGCTCTGGGCTAGCCCCAGTGGGCTAACCATGGCAAGAGCTTCAAAGCTGGCCAGTCAACTTCAGTTTCTTTTCCTTGGACTAATCCTGGGGCTGCCAGGAGAGGCGCCCTGCATGCTGGTCCTGCTAGGTGTGGCATCAATTGCTACTCAAGCTTCACCTGCTCCAAATTGGGGAAGATTGCAAGGAGGGAATGTATGGGCCGTGTGTGTGTGTGCGCGCGCGCTGGGGGGCTATGTGGCACAATGGCCTTAGGTAGAGTTCCCCAAGGTGGACCCAAAGATGGTTTACAGAGGCTCTTTCTGGAGGAGGATGGGGCACAAGGTTTATGCCAAGCCATTTCTCGTCAGCGACTGATATTTCTCTGCCTGCTGCAGGCTCGGCTGTGGGTCCAGCTAATGAGGGAGCTCCGCAATGGAGTCAAGCTCAAGAAGGTCCAGGAGAAGCAGTTCAACCCCTTGCCCACTGAGTACCAGCTGACGCCCTTTGAGATGCTGATGCAGGACATCCGGGCCCGCAACTATAAGCTCCGCAAGGTCATGGTGAGTGAGGTGGGTGGGTAGGTGTCCCTGGTTATTTTGATCACTGCAGCAATAGGGCCCCTTTTTCTTTTCCTTTTTATCTCTACCCCTGCCTACACCTCCCAAAGCCTGGTCCTGCTGGACTGTGTAAAGTGACAGGGAAATGCCCTGGAAAGAGTGGGATAACACTTGCTTTGACATCAGTGCCATCTAACCTCCCCACAAACAAATCAGAATGAATGCTCAATAAACAGGTTGTTCGGAAGCACCTTCCCAGTGTGTGGCTCCTGGGAGTCAGCAGCTAACTGGCTCTGCCCCCTGAGCCACCTGTTTTGGTTCCCCCTGATGGACCCACTAACAGGGAGAATTCCCACAAGCCTCAAGTCTGCCTATGCCTGGGCCATAGACCGAGTCCATCCATCATGCTCGGAAATATTTCCAGAGACCCTCTTGGGAGGGAGCTAAAACTGGTAGGATCACACATGTAAGCGGTTTACACTTTCAAAGCTTCTTAAGGCATTCACCAAAGGCAAAACAGGGGACTGGACAGGTGCTGGGAAAGAGGGACACTTGGATAGCACCCAGCTGCTAATTCTTCTTCTTTGGGGCATCTGCCAGGTGGACGGCGACATTCCTCCCAAGGTGAAGAAGGATGCGCATGAGCTTATCCTTGACTTCATAAGATCTCGGCCGCCCCTGAGACAGGTAGGTGGAAAAGGTTATTCTTAGGAAGAAGTCCCCTGCCCCCAGTTTTGGGTTGGCCCTGTAGCCTGGCAGGTGTTTGCTTTTGGATCCGGGGAACCAAACATTATGAACTTAAGAGTCTGCTGATTCCCTAGCCTAGCAGATTGGCAGGGGACTCTCCCGGTTATTTACCCGCTGTTTTGCAATCTCCATCTAATTTGTGGGTGGTTCAACTATTGGGAAACCCTTTGAGAACCTCATGCCAATAAGGCCACCTAAGGTGTAGCTACACAGCATCTGCAAGAGAGGAATGGGCATCTTAAGCCGCACTCTGGGTCCCTCCACTGTTTTCTTCTTAGGGGGACTGTGCTGTGCAGGGAAAGAGGATCCTCCTGTGAAACTCTATTTACTTTTTTCTTGCCACTGCTGTGTGACTGCCACTGGCAAAATCACAAGGTGTCTCAGGTTGGGCAGGCAAATAAATGCCTGTGGGAATGGGCAGACCTTGCCCACTGGCCAACAGTTTGCCACCTCTGTCTCAACTGGCTGTGCCAGGGCTTGATCCTGGGGCTCTTCTGTAATCTGAGAGCATGTGCCCTGCAACTTGACCAATGGGGGTTATACTTGGACATGTGGAACTTCTTGTGCAGTTGCTGTATCTTGGTCACTCTGTCACCTTAGTTTTGTGGGATCAACGTGCCTTAGGGATCCTTAATAAGGAAGGTGGCGATTAACTATATAGCCCTTCTGAAAATGAAAAACTGCCCTCCCAACCTGGCTGCAGGCTTCAGAACGGAGGCTGCGCCCCATTCCTCAGAAACAGAGGACGCTCCATGAGAAAATCCTGGAGGAGATCAAGCAGGAAAGGAAGCTCCGACCTGTGGCATCCCGGCACCAGAATCAGAAAGGTAAGCCTGCGATGATGAGAAAGGCTAAGGGGAATCCTTAATGCTAGTGTGCAACCTCTTCATCAGTAAGTAGATGGGGCCATTTGGGCCATATTTGTATAAGGTATTTGTATGCCACTATCATTCACATTTTGATGCTGGGTCCAGAAATTACATGGGGAATGGGAGGGGCAAAAGTTGGGACCTAAGTTATTGGGTCCAGTGGGAAACTCTGAACTCACAGTGCAAATCTCAGAAATGTCAAGGTGATCAAAAAACCTGGAACAACTGCAGAGATTCTGTTTTGTGGAACCAGCTGTTAAGGGGACTGGTGGAAGATGGCTTTGAAGCTGTCTGAGTGTCTTGGATCAGCCAAAACATACGGAGGGCACCAGGTTAGGGAAGCAGAGTTAGTCACACAAAACACTCTCCAATGAGAGGAGAAATGTCAGTCATGAGCCCAGTGTATTCCAAGGGTGGAACTCAGTCCTGCTCAGAGTCATGAACATGACTAAGTAATTTCAATAGGTTATGTAGTATTCTAAATAGCATTTGGTTAAATACAACTCCAAATAGGTTTTTTTTAATAAAAAGGAGAAGCAATGTCAAATATTCAGTATGTCCAGCAATTTATAGATAGAAAGGGGCTGTATCCAATGTTCGTCCTACTCATTGAAAGTAATGGACATTTTAAAGATGTTTCATCACTTGCTGTTTTCCACCCTGGGCTTCTTTGGGAGGAGAGGTGGGATATAAGTAAATTGGGCACGTTAATTTCAGTGGGTCTTCTCTGAATAGGATTTAGGTGGCCACAACTCTAGAAGTTGTTGTGCTCCTACTGGGCCCTCATGGTGCTGCCATCCTTGTTCTTCTCCTCTTCCAGGGTTTGGCTCCCTCCCCTGCATCCTGAATGCCTGCTCCAGCAATGTGACCTCAACTTCCTGCATCAACCTCTCAGATGTCTCCGACGCCAATGCCCTGCCCCAGCGCCAGAGGCCGAGGGTCTTGCTGAAGGCTCCCACGCTGGCAGAGATGGAGGAGATGTTGACCTCAGAGGTGAGAACCAAGCTTTTTGCCTCTCTTGACACCTTCAGGAAGAAGAGTTCTTTAGCCTGTAGGAACTGGTGCTGTGCTGCAATGGAGACACTTTGCCACCGTATTGCTCCTTGGTCCCAGCCACCATGTTCTACTGCACATGGCGCCCGGAGGTGTCTGGAAATGGTGGGGATGCACTTTGTGGTGGTGCATGTGGAATTAGCCTTCAACTGCATTGCCTGATGTTACCAGTTGGCACTAGGGATGGAGGATAAATTAGATTTTGTTCGCATTTTAACAAGAAGTTACCTAATGCACACTCCCGGAACCGAAATAATCACCCTTTTAAATTTGTACTGCTACAAATTTTGCAATGCAGTTCTCCAGCCAAACAGTCATGCATATATGAAAGGGAAGTGAGCATTGCAATACATAACATACAAAATGCATTATGTTAGAGAAAATTGCTTGCAAAAGTGTACATATTAGTCAAAATGGCATACGAAAGGAAAGTCACACTGAAATGCTGATTTTTCAAGAACATTAAAAATATATATAATTTAAAAACCACAAACTGCTGCATAAATGTGGAAAAATTAGAAAACTGAAATGGGCAGATTCACCCATCTCTGCCAGTCTCTGGAATTACAAACTTCAGAGTGTTGTTGTTCTCATGTCCTTCTTGTGGGCTTCTCATTTGATTGGGTGCTGTAAGAGCAGATACTGGAATAGATGCCATGCCCCCCCAGCCTGACCCAGCTGCTGCAGAGATGTTCTTGGGCTCAAAAGCCATTCCCCCAAGTGTGACCTCTTGCATTGATGAATATACCTATTCCTGCTCCCTTTTCTCTGCAGGAGGAAGACTCTCCAAGCTCTGAGGCTGTACAGGAACCAGGTCCACTGATGCCCCTGAAGCGTGACCGCTCCTTCTCGGAGCAAGACTTGGCCCAGTTTCAGAGCGAAAGCAGTGGTGGCCAGCCTGACTCAGAGTATTTGGGACCCAGCGGGTCTGAACCGAGACCCCGCTCAGGTACCAAGAGCCCTGCATGGACCAGCATGGAAAATACGGGCAAGTGCACTCCTCACCGCCACCCCTGCTTTCCAACTCCACCCAAGCCTTTTTTCCTAACTCTCCACACACTGACACTCTGGTTCTAAGTTGGTTAAATGCATGGTGTGTTTGCAACCTAAGGGACCCAGCAGCTCTGCACTAAAATAGTGTGAGTCCTTCACTGACCAGTGTGGAGGAAACGGGCAAGTCTGTCTGTCTCTCAATGTGCACATATACCAAGATGGCACTGACTCTGGTCTTGTTGGCATTCTGTCTTCGTCCTCCAGGTTCAGTTCCAGCCAGCTACCAGCAGGCTCCCTGTGGTGCCAGTCCTTTCCCCCCCAAGCATGGCGTCCTCAGCTCTGTGGACGAGAAGTCAGAGGCTGGTTCCAGTACTGCCCCAGATGTCAACCTGAAATATTTGTGGCTGGTAAGTATCTGGTATGAATCAAACTCTCATGGAGTGTGGTGTTCCTGTGCACTGGGTAAACTCCCAGCCTCTTGATGTGAGGCTAGGCAGGGAAGGAGCATCCGTTCCCTGTCCCGGTCTTAGTCTGGCATGCCCCAAACGTGCAGTAAGCTGAGATGTTGTCACAACCTGGAAGAAAACTTGCATAGAATGAATGGCATGGGTGGAAGGGAGGGAGAACTGCTAGGCACCTGTAAGGTTTGGAGCATGGGCCCAGAGACTCAGATTTGCCTAAAATACACTTATGCTAATTTATATGTATAGATATAGATTTACAAGTTAAATATGTCACAAAAGGCAAACCAGACATTATCTCTGCTCCAGATCGCTCCAAATATGTTCTTCCTTTTCCTCCCACCCCAGACAGTCCCAAATTGGTTCCTCTTAAATTCATCTGCCTTTAATTAATTTCCTTATGGACAATGCTCCAGATAGTCCCCTTCATTTAGTTTATTCATTAGCCCCAAAACATGGAGAGATAAAATCATCTTAAATAAATTAATGTATTCCTCCAATTAATATTACACCACCAAAATGCTGTGGCACTCAGGAAAAAGGTTTGGGGCCTGAGCCCCTTTCCTCCACAGCCTTATCAACACCCCGGTGGGTGGCCTGGAAACTATGGGGCATGGGAAGATCTGTCTGTTTCAGTTTTCTCAGGTTCCCGTTTTTTCAATCTGTTGGAAACAACTTAAAGAACAGCGTAATATACTTAGAGCCACCCCTGATTTAAGGGCTATTCCACTGAAATAATAGGTGCATATCCAAGTTTTGCTCTCCTGTTAAAAAGGAGATAGCAGGGGAAGAAAGACTTGGGAGAGTTGCTGCTGGTCAGAGTGAACAATACTGGGCTAGTTGGACCAACAGCCTGGTGGTCAAAGGTGGCTCCTATGTCCTTCTGTTCTCTCCTCTCTCCAGCAGGAGTTCAGCCACCCTGTGGAGAGCCTGGCACTCACTGTGGAGGAGATGATCAATGTGCGGCGGGTGTTGGTGAAAGCAGAGATGGAGAAGTTTTTGCAGAGCAAGGAGCTGTACAGCAGCCTGAAGAAAGGGAAGGTGAGAGTTGAAGGATGCAGGATGGGGTGTCTGTGTGTGTTGCTGAGCAGGGGCCTCTTGCATTGAACAATAGTCAGCTTGGAAGCTCAAGTGTTTCCTTTTCCCCTCCCCTCTCACCACTCAGATCTGCTGCTGCTGCAAAACCAAGTTTGCTCTGTTTTCCTGGCCCCCAACTTGCCTGTTCTGCAAGAGGTGAGCAAGCTCTGTTTGTGTGGTCTAGGCCCGGGAGTGTTGTTGGTTGATGGCTGCTGAAGGGGCTCCTTTCTTTGATCTGATGTTGGTTTCCCCTTTTTGGTTTTAGGTCTGTCTGCAGCTCCTGTAGTCTAAAGGTAAGAGGCTCTTGGCTCTGCCCATGACATGAATATGCCCCTTGGTGCAAGAGCAAAAGGTGAGCCCACTTGTGGCTCACAAGATGGTTTTCTCCCATCTTCTGAAGATCTACACCAGATAAGGGCTATTCAGGTGTCATTGGACTCCAACTCCCATCAGCCCCAGCCAATATTGTCCATGGCTAAAAATGAAGGGAGCTGTAGATTGAAAACAGGTCCCCTATCCCTGACCTACAATAAACATCTCCTTCCCAATACAGTGGGATACAGTGCAGGCCCTTGCTGTGGTGATGACTCCCTGTCATGGCAGTGATGTCCAGTGCTCCTGCTCTTCACCTTTGCTGAGAACCTTTCTTTCTTATATCCTCCTAGATCAAGATGCCTTCAAAGAAGCTTGCCCATATCCCTGTCTATGCCCTGGGCTTTGAGACCCTTCCAGGCTCGTTGGGTACAAGGGCACCTCCATTCCGGAGGAGGGAGGCTTTCCAGTAAGTAGGACCCCCACACACTCTCTGCATCTGTCTCCCCCACCCTCAGTTCATTCATGAAGGCACTGTGCTCTGTATGATTCCTGGTGGAGTTAAGGGCCTTAAATAGAACAGTGCAACGTTTTTCCTACCCCCGTTCCTCTGTCATCCAGGATTGGAGACAACAGGCCTTACTTCATTTCAAATGCTTAGGGGGAGAAATTTGCCATTGCAAATTTTATGTGGTCTTAGCCAGGTCCAAGAAGGATATGAGGTGGCAAAGTTTCTCCCAGGGCACTTGTGTGCTCACAATTCTATGAATACACCACAAAAGACTGGATTAGTTTTCTTTTAAATAAGTCTTCTACTATTTATGGGGGTAAGCTTGTTTGCAGAGGTCTTACTTGAGCTACAGGGGGCTGAGAGTTGATACAGCTGAGCAGCAGAGCTCTGTGTAGAGTGGAGCTGGTACCATCACTCTGTCTTCTTGAAATCATGCAGACATTTGAAAGCTGAGGAGGCTGGGGTTGTTTGCAAGATGGGGTTCAGGTGGCTTTAGAAATGAGTTACTACTACTGCTATTAATGGACTGAACTAAATAGTTGCACTAGTGGGAGCCAGCACAGAGAGTCTCACTAGTGCAACTGGGCATTCCTTCCATGCTCCTCCCCCACAAATTAGCTATGGGGAGTTGAAAGAACCACCAGAATAGTGCATGATGGGAGGAGAGCAGAGTTCATTCCACCATGAAATTGGAAATGCTTACGCCAATGGAACTATTGCCTTAGCACAAATCCACCTAATAACAATTGTCATCAATATTATCACCATCACTCACCTTTCCTCCAGGGAACTCAAACTGGGTCACTATATGGCTCTCCCCCTCCCATTTTATCCTCACAAATAACCCTGTGAGGTAGACTAGGCTGAGAGTTAGGCTAGGCAGTGCACTTCATGCCTGAGTGGGGATTTGAACCCTTATCCTGCCTGCCAGCCCAGTGTTCTAGCCGCTACATCGTCAACGTCTTCCTAGCTGAGCTAGGGGGCTGTCAGTAACCAGGCTTAGTTGTCTTTCTTGGGGCGTTTGTGACGGATCCCCCTCTGCCCCCACCCCACTTGCCTTTCCAGCTCCTTGCAGGGCACGCGCTGGCGCAGCGTGGAGGAGGAATTCCCGTACATCTATGCGCATGGCTCTGTGCTCAAGGATGTTTGCAGCGACTGTTCCGGGTTCGTCACGGATGTCGTCAGCTCCAGCCGCAAGAGCATGGACATCCTGAACACCACCCCGTGCAGGAGCCGCAAGACCCAGTCCCTTTACATCCCTTCCAGTTAAATGACCCACCTCTGCTGCTGGTCTCCTCCACAAGCCCCCTGCCCTCTGCACCCAACCTTCATTCTTTGATCCTCTGTCTTTCCCAGCCCCCAGCAAGGAGGATGCAGGTGCTCTCTGGCCAAGGAAGCTTCAGCTGGCTTTGTCTGGACTTGTTGCCTCCTGGCTTCCTTGCTTCTCTGTCCAGCCCATCTCCTCCTTTCCCTCCATCCCAGCCTCCCATGAACATCCCTTGCCTGGCCTGCGTGCGTGTGTACATATATACATAACCTTATAGAGACACTATATTTATATCTGTCGATCAGCTGCTGTGGTCCATGGGCTACGTTTGGTCTGGGAATGCCCCTTCTTAGCAAACGAGGACTCTGCTGAAGTCTTCCCACCAACCCACCTTTTTTGGATTGTAAGAAAGCCAGATTTGGGGCACGATAATTCCAGAGTGGTTGGAAGCCTGGCCATCTAAGTTGCTGCAAATGCAACCTTGAAATCCCAGATGCAGCCACCCCAGAGGATGACCTTGTTCCCTTGAGGGCTCTGCCCTTTCAGTCATACTAGCAAGAGAAGCTCTCTCTGAGATGTCTTACCTGTGCAGCTTTTAGTCTTATGGGAAGCAGGCCCATTGTGCCATGACCTGTCTGCTGCTTTCCAATATCTTCCTCCAAGCTGTTTCTCCCCCCCCCCCCCGCCCTTCTCGGTGATGTCTTGATTATCTGCCCCCTCCCAGCACCAAGCAGCAGGAGGTGCTTTTTAAAATGTGTTCAGACTATCATTGTCTGTTTTCTAATCCCTGGTTTTTTGGGGCTCCTTGGGTTTAGGAGGCAAGGGGTAATTTTTGTAATCATTTAGACAAAGGCTGAACATTTCCCACACAGTGGGTTTTGTGGGGCTGCCAGAACTACAGTTGGGGGGTTGCATGGCTGCTAGGGATGAGCCAGGCACCGACGAGAGTATCAGCTGTGTATGGCAGGATCCTGCTGGCAATGTCTCCTTGTGCAGAACAGGACTCTGGCTCTCCAAAGGCTGATAAGATGAGCAGTCTGTTTCCACATGTCCCATTCCCCCACTCCATTCAGGATTGCCTTGAAAATAGAAAACAAAGGTGCACAAAGGAGCTCTCCCTGTGAGGACAGAATGAAAGCCAGATCCAGCCCATGCCAGGCCTGGGCTAGGGTGAGTCTCACCGCTGCCCTTAAGAAAATTTGGAGAGAGGAGATTGGGATATGCAGGGCTGCCCCTGAGTCTTTCAACCACCTTCCCTGTCAAGCCTGTTGCTGTGGTGGCCAGCACATGTAAATTGGCTGTGCCATGGCATCCTGAGCTCATCTTCCCTTATTAGCTAATTTCCAAACCCTGGAAATACCTCAAAAACAGAGGCTGTAAATGCAAAATCCACAGCCCTAATATGCCAAATTAGCACATCAGCAATATACATTCAAAGCACTATGATACCACTTTAAATAGTCTTGGCTTCCCCCAAGGAATCCTGGGGCATGTAGTTTGTTAAGTGTACTTAAGATTTCTGAAGAGACTCCTATTCCCCTCACAGAGCCACAATTCCCAGCATAAACAATCAATCCTTTGTAGGAAATTCTGGGAACTGTAGCTGGGGGGGGGGGGGAATACAGGTCGTCAGCACCCTTGACAAACTACACTTCCCAGGGTCCTTTAAGAGAAGCCATAATTGTTTAAAGCGGTATGATACTGTTTCATATGTATAGTGCAGATGGGGCCTGAGACTACTGAGTGTAGCTAGTGGAATGGGGAGTGGATCAATTTATCTTTGACAGGTGAATAGAAAAGAGTCTTGCTTCTCCTACCCTTTTGTCTTTTCCCTGGATTGGTTTTATTCAACCTGGAAGGCAGCACTTCTGCCGTCTCTGGTCTGCTTATTTCTGCCAGGGATTATGACAGATCTGCCTTTGAATGTTCAAGTGTGAGACCAGGCTGGGATAAGCAAAATTCCTCGCTAGCAATGGCAGCCCAGTCTTCTTCCACCAGTGAACCATTCAGTCTTCCGAGCAGCAAAGACAGCCAATACCCTGTGGCTCCCTAAGAATGCAATTTATTATGGTATAAGCCAAAGGTAGACAACATGGTGTCCTCTGGGAGTGGTGGACCACAACTCCCATCAGCCCTATCCAGCATGGCTAATGGACAGAAATGATGAGAACTATAGTCTACCACATATGAAAGGCACCCCAACATACGCTTTCATGGACTAGTGGACCACTGCATCTGACAAAGTGGATTTCCAGTCCCCAAAAGCTGATGCCATAATGAATGAAGTCTTTAAAGTGCCACAGGACACTATTTTTTATTTTATTTTTTTGGTTATATTTAGCCTTGTAGCTCTGGGCTTTATTCTGTGGCATGGACCATGGGCTGCAAGCTGCCAGCCTGGTGTTGCCCATTTGTCCTGTTGAGAAAGTGGGCTTCAGCGCTGCCACTTGGGTTTGGCAAGAGCCTCCATGGCTCCATTCCTGCATGTCGCCTACCCACAGTGGCTCTGCTGCTCAGGATGTCAACTGGCCACTTAAGACAACCTTGGACCACTTCTGTGGCTCAGAACTAGCACCATCTCCTGCCAAGCCTGCACACAGTCTCAAAAGCTGTACACTCTCTCCCCCCCTTCCTCTTCCTGCCTCAGGGGACGTAACTGCTTCCTAAAATGCCACTAGTTTTGTGTATAGCACCATAGAGCTCCACATTTTGTATCTTGCCAATACTTGCAAATGCCAAATATACAGTTCATGCAGTCGGTGCTTTATAGTGGAACACACCGTGTACCTGCAGGTGCACAGCTGGATGTGCAAATACCTACTTGTACAACCAGTCAGTTATGGGGTGAGGATTAAGTGCTTGTCAATTTGCACATGATGCAAGTGGAAAAAGCAAGGACTGAGTTACACAGGGGATTGAGAGAGGACATTGTAGAAACAAATCAGGTGGAGTGTTATGAGGGTCAAAGAGGAAGCCAGGTGTTTGCAGGTGAGTGCTCAAGCCTGTTTTTCCTCGGTGCTGAGAAAGGAAGGTAATCCAGCTATAGGAACCGCTAGTGCTTTTCACTGCCACTGCTACTTCTATTGCTGTTTGTGCCAATCTGCTTGCTTGGAGTCTTGCCTTGGCTGCATCGTGCTGGCTGCTGCCTCTGGAGTTCAACATGCCTTATCACCCTGCTCACCTTCTTTGCAATAATTCATTGCACTCTGTGTCAAAAGGGGTGTGTGTGCTCCCTACTTTTTCTTGTATGTTCTGCCTGCACTTACTCTCCCCCTCAACCAATGTTTTATACGCAGCCTGTATTGTAAAGAGTTGTAAATAAAATGTAAAGTGAAACTGATCTGGTGGTGTGGCCTTGCTAATAAACACCTCTGGGCAGTGACAGGTTTCAGATTCATCCAGCCCTAGTGGTGACTGATGGTGCTTTCCATGATATATATATTTGCACATATATAAGGGGTTGAGTGGGAGCATTAAGACTCCAAGAAATCCTGTTCTCCAATACCATAACTTTGGATTCTCAGTGAGCAAGTCAGGCCTCTGCACCTCTCCCCAGCTCCAGACCCAAGACTACCAGATTCTGTTGTTCTCTTTCACACCTTCATGATGTCAGAGGCTGAGATCTCCTACTTGAGTGACAGCTTTTTCTCTAGAAACTGAGAAGTGGCTTCCAGGTGTGCATATATATGCAACAACGTCCTGGATGAATAAAAAAGCAATAATTCAAACATATAATTTCTATTCTTGGTCCTAAATATTTTTATTGCCATTTTCCTTTTTTACAGTGTCTCCCAATTACAAGGAGTGTGATATCAAAAATATGAAATAGCATTTTGATAAAATAGAAATCACTGTTAGGCAATTTCTTAGACTTCTAAATAAAGTAACAGTGCCTATCACCCAATTTACTGCACTCTGTAGCTCAGAAAAAAAATAAGCACAACGGAATATACAAGACCACTGTGGTATTTATACATGTTGCTACATTTCCCAAGCTTGAATGGGCAGTTTCTTTGGAAAGCCAACTAAATTAATAAAAGGCCAAATGAAAGTGTATTGAGTCTAGTTTTGTTTGACCTTGCCTGCGTTTCAGTTGATGAGTAATATTTTCCACACCGGCAGTTCTAACCACATTAAAGCAAGCAGTCAAAGGCCCAGATACAAGAGAACGATGCTACTTTCTTCTCCTCAATCTCAATATCCACCCCAACTTGGGTGGCTTTAAAAGAGAATTAGGCACATTCATGGAGGGCGCGGCTATCGACGCCTACGAGCCACGACGACTAGGCTCCCTATCCGTAGCCGGAGGCAGCGATGTTTCTGAACACCAGTTGCTGGAGACCACAAGATGGGAGAGCGCTCTGGTGCCCGGGTCCCGCTTGCGAGAGCTTGGATGCGGGACCAGATGGCCGGATCCAAGAGGCTCTTCCTTCGCTCTTAATTCCAGCTGGAATCGAGGACCTGCGCACACGCAGCCCGAGGCGAAGGCTTTGCTCTGCAGCCGCGACTTATGCTGCACGCTCCTGCTGCCATCAAATATAACGACCGCGCAGGCAAGCCAGGCATGCGCAGAGCCGTCCTCTCGGGCTGCGGCGCGCACACGTCACGAAGAAGCGCCTCTGCTCTCTTTCGGGTCCTCCAAGTGGCTTCCGGTCCGTCGGCTTCTCTTGCCCGGGGTGCTACGGTTCTATTATGTCGCGACGGGCCTTGAGGAGGCTGAGGGGGGAGTCGCGGGGGCAGTCGCCTCTGGGAGGCCTCGATGTGGGAGGCGGCGGCGAGGAGGAGGAGGACGGAGGAGGTGGAGGAGGCGGCGAGGTGCCGTCGTTGTCGGGGGCTGGAGGCAGCAGGAGGCGGCCCCGGCAGGAGCCGGCGGGTCGGGTCACCAACCTCTTCGAGCTGGTGAGGGTCGGGTCTGCTGAGCTGCCGCCAGTGTGTCCCTGAAGCGGGAGGAGGCTTGCCATAATGGCTCAGGAAGAAGGAGAAGAAGAGGCAAAGGCCCGCCGCCCGCTTCAGCTTCCGCTGCTTTCCCGTAGTAGCCTGGCAGATGTTTCCAAGAAGCTCAGAAGCAGCAGGGCGTGATGGCAGGCAGCAGGCTTTTTATTTATCCTCCACGGTTGGAGGCAGGTTATGCTTCTGAATGCCAGCTGAGAGAGTTGCTGTTGAGCTCAGATCCTACTTGCATGCTTCCCTTGGGCCTCTGGATGGCCATCGTGAAAAGAGAAATGTTGGACTAGATGGCCCTTTGGCCTGATTTAGCAGTTAGGCACTTCTTATGTTCTCCCTACCCCAGCAAATGGTATTCAGTTGAATACCCTCGCAGTATGTGGAGGTTCCACTGCTAGCTGTCATAAAGGTAAAGGGACCCCTGACCATTAGGTCCAGTCGTGGCCGACTCTGGGGTTGCGGCGCTCATCTCGCTTTATTGGCCAAGGGAGCCGGCGTACAGCTTCCAGGTCATGTGGCCAGCATAACTAAGCCACTTCTGGCGAACCAGAGCAGTGCACGGAAACGCCGTTTACATTCCCGCCAGAGTGGTACCTATTTATCTACTTGCACTTTGATGTGCTTTCGAACTGCTAGGTTGGCAGCAGCAGGGACCGAGCAACGGGAGCTCACCCCGTCGCGGGGATTCGAACCACCGACCTTCTGATCAGCAAGTCCTAGGCTCTGTGGTTTAACTCACAGCACCACCCGCATCCCTAGCTGTCATAGCAAATCAGAATTTCCTGACTGATCAGCCCTAAGGTCATGTAGTCCAGCATCCTGTTCCCCATAGTGACCAAGCAAATGCTTTTGGGAAGTTTAGAAGTAGGACCTGAAGGCAACAGTCCCCCCCCCCCATGACTTTGTATTGGGAAGCTCTATGTGCCATGAAGTTGTCTAATGTGCCATGAAGTTGCTTTCTTAAAGCAAGCTGAGCTATTGGCACATATTGTGTGGTGACATGAAGTTAATTTCTCCATTGCATGAAATGCACTTTCCTTTGACTGCTGCTAGTCAGCTTTGTTTCCTGGCCCTGCATTCTAATATTATAAGGGAGAGGGAAAGAAATGGGCCCATTTAATCTCTTCTCTTCTCCTTCCCCCCGTTTTATAAACTTGGAAAGCCATCATATATAGAATCAGGCCATTGGTCTATCTAGCCCAGTAATATCTACTCTGAGTGACAGTGGCTCTCTGAAGCATCAAACCAGAGGGCTTTCCTAGCCCTGCTTTCTAAAGTGTGTTTTACAAGAAATTGAACTTGTGGTTTTCTCCATCAAAGCATGACTTATCACCAGGCTGTGGTGTTTCCCTTTTATATGATAAGTGAAAGAATTCATACCTCTGCATTATTCTGCTATTCTGCAAAATGAAACAAACATAACCTGTACTTTTATTTCACTGAATGATTAGGGAATGTGTCCTATTTGTTCAACTGGACTAATTTTTACCTGCACAGATAACCAATGAAGAAGCAGAGGATGATGTAGCATCTAAAGAGGACAAAGATGATTCCAGGCTGCAGGAGGAGGGTGACACAGGGAACAAAGAAGGTCTCAAGACTGACAGGTGGAGAGAAGGAGACGAGACAGAGCAACCGGACCAGATGGCAAGTACCCTGTAGGCAGCTGGGACAGTAACACACATAACTGTGCAAAAGAGTAGTGAGTGGATTTGTAACTGGCTGACTGACCGAACCCAAAGGGTGCTCATCAATGGTTCCTCTTCATCCTGGAGAAGAGTGACTAGTGGGGTGCCACAGGGTTCTGTCTTGGGCCCGGTCTTATTCAACATCTTTATCAACGACTTGGATGATGGACTCAAGGGCATCCTGATCAAATTTGCAGATGACACCAAACTGGGAGGGGTGACTAACACCCCAGAGGACACGATCACACTTCAAAACGACCTTGACAGATTAGAGAACTGGGCCAAAACAAACAAGATGAATTTTAACAGGGAGAAATGTAAAGTATTGCACTTGGGCAAAAAAAATGAGAGGCACAAATACAAAATGGGTGACACCTGGCTTGAGAGCAGTACATGTGAAAAGGATCTAGGAGTCTTGGTTGACCACAAACTTGACATGAGCCAACAGTGTGACACGGCAGCTAAAAAGCCAATGCAATTCTGGGCCTCATCAATAGGAGTATAGCATCTAGATCAAGGGAAGTAATAGTCCCACTGTATTCTGCTCTGGTCAGACCTCACCTGGAGTACTGTGTCCAGTTCTGGGCACCACAGTTCAAGAAGGACACTGACAAACTGGAACGTGTCCAGAGGAGGGCAACCAAAATGGTCAAAGGCCTGGAAACGATGCCTTATGAGGAATGGCTAAGGGAGCTGGGCATGTTTAGCCTGGAGAAGAGGGAGGTTAAGGGGTGATATGATAGCCATGTTCAAATATATAAAAGGATGTCACATAGAGGAGGGAGAAAGGTTGTTTTCTGCTGCTCCAGAGAAGCGGACACGGAGCAATGGATCCAAACTACAAGAAAGAAGATTCCACCTAAACATTAGGAAGAACTTCCTGACAGTAAGAGCTGTTCGACAGTGGAATTTGCTGCCAAGGAGTGTGGTGGAGTCTCCTTCTTTGGAGGTCTTTAAGCAGAGGCTTGACAACCATATGTCAGGAGGGCACTCATAGAATCATAGAATTCTATGATTCTATGAGTGCCCCAGATGTATCCCTGGAAAAGGCAGGGTGCTCTTTCCTGGGGGAAACCCTTATACATATAATGTGAGGCTGTCTAGATTCTGCTTCCTGGACAGGAAAACTGCTGTGACATAAACTCCTGACAAACTTTACTTTCAGGAGTCAGATGTGCTGCAGCTACATGATAGCATCTAATTCCTAGGATAGCCACTATGCAAATGTGTCCTGTGTGTTAGAATGTGTGAATCAAGAGATGATTTATTTAAAAAGAAATGCTGAAGTAATGCTGAAGTTTTTCTCAGGACTAGATCCCTTAGTTATGTTTCTGCTTCTGATTTGATGCTGCAATACATATATCTTAATTGTACCATTCACTTTTATTTTTAAAAGCCTATTTCAAATAACAAATCACGAAAGAAAAAGAAGAAAAGAAAGAATAAGAAGAATGCATCTGGCGAGTCTCTGGTAAATATGAACTAGGTTTGTGGGTTTAGCACCCAGAGGGGGATGCCAATTGAGGCTGGCTAATGCATATAGGAAGGATAAGACAGGGCTGGATGAATCCCACCCTCCTGGCCCCCTTGGGATTTGAAATATTTATATACCCTTGTGTAGGATTGGCTCTTTAAAATGTGGTGGGAACGTAATTCCAGCCCCAGTGAAAGCTGACCAGCTAGATGTAGTGAACAGAGACTAGATGTCATGACAGATACACAGCCACACCATATTAGTAGAAGAGGGTGAAGAAATTTGTGCTAGGACAAGTTAAAGCAGTATGTTTGGGTATGTGGAAGACATTATAGACAGCTCCTTTATCAGGGGCTGAATCTCAGAATATTGCAGCTTTCCTTGTAAACTTTCATGTTTCTTAACAGTGCCCTGGAGATGAGGACGATGCAGAAGACATTGAAAGCATCCTTGTGAGGATTGAGAACTCCAATGGGCCACCTTGCCAGAGCCAGAGCACAGTTATCACGGACCATCGGCCTTTGCTCTACATAGAGCACAGGTAAGAAGCCGAGTCTTACGAAGGCGTTTTCCTAACCTAGGGACACTTGGGACTGGGAGCAAGTTGAGCAAGTGAAGTCTGTGGCTTGTGGAATGTTTGTGGGAGGAACCAAAATTCCTGCACAAAAGTACTTTTGCTTTAGAACGGAGGTGGCTAAGCTGCAGCCTTCCATATGTTGCTGGCCTACTGCTCTCAGCATCCCTGACCATTGGCCATGCTCAATGGTCACAGGTTTCCTCCTCTGCTTTAGAGAGTGCTGTTAGAGCTTTTGTTTCTTCCTTTTCTCCATTTGTTTTGCATTTAGACACCCTTCACAGAAGTCTTTTATCTTCCTAATAAAGTCCCTGTTTTATATTGTCACATCAACATGTATTCTGTGTGCTGTGGAGGTTTTGATATCTGGAGTTTCTGGAGCTTGCTCTTTATTTGCCAACAAAGTACCTTCCAGCATGCAGACTGTATGTCTTCCCCAAAGATGAATGGGGAAAACAATCAGGGTCAGTGAGCAACTCATGTCTGGGAGATGAGGCATGTTTTGCCACCTACCTTAGATTTTCCCAGTTGCTGCTTTGTAAACTATTAAAGAGATTGGAGAAGGACCTGGTTGCTGCTGTGGGGAGTAGGAGTCCGTGTGAGATGGCAGCATATTATAGCCAAGGTAGTACCCTTCAGATGTTGTGGACTGCAGCTCCCAGCATCTCGATGAGTATTGGCCATACTATCTGGGGCTGATGGGAGCTGTGGTCTGCAGCATTTGGAGGGCACTGCATTGCATATTCTTGACTTAACGGTGTGTCCTCCAGCCATACCGACCAGCACTTCTTGCACCTCCTGTGCTGCTGCTACAACGGTGTCTCCAAATCCTTGGCCTGTCAAGTTACACCTGGGAAGGGAGAGCTGAAGCAGCTCAGTAGATGTTCCGTGTGTGTGTGTGTGTGTGTGTGTGTGTGTGTGTGTGTTTGTCCCTCCCAGAAAATAAGGCATGCCTCACAGGAAGCTCAATGCAAATACAATGAATTGTTGTCTTTTAAAATCATACATGTGTGGTTTATCCTCAAAAAGTGGTAGCGGTTGTGGTAGGCAATAATTGAACAATGGAGCTTGAGCATCTCTTCTTCACCTTCTCTGGTGGCTGAATTGTCTTGCCTCTTCCTATTTCAGCTTTTGCTTCTCCCCAGACTCCATGCACTTCTCAATAGTCCCCCCACTAGTCTTTGGTAAAACTTCTCAAAAGTCTGTGGCAAAACTGAACTTTTAAAAAAACAAACAAACATACTTTTATTAAGGATTTTTTGGTTTACAAAAGTTATGTGCAATGTCTCTTTTTTCCAGTTACATTTTCTACATATCAGTTTCATTTGTTGAGACATTAGTGTAACATTAGGAAGAAAAAGGGGGAAGAGGTGGAGGGGGGCATGGTGAGTGGGGGTGGGATCGGGTGGCAATGCTTCTATTCTACTTAGTGTAATTAAAAGCTGAACTTTTGAAGTAGCATGCGTTATGTAGAAGGGCAGATCAAATTACAAGCTTCCCTCAGTTTATTGTTACTGCAGCATTTTACATGAATGACGCACCATTTTCACTCTGACCATTGAAATGTCTGCCTTAAGCCCTCCTTTCACTTGGGGGGGCGGGGGTAGTGGACCTGCCTGCGTATTTCAAACCTTTCTCCTCAACAGGGGTCAGAAATATATTTGAATCAAAACAGAGGGTTGCATTCTGAGAGATCAGAATTCTGCACTGTATTTCAGAGAGTGCAACTGAATTCCAGCCCTGTTTACAGTTGCTTGTAGGGTTGCTGGCAGTTTAGTGGTGTGTTAGATGTCTTGCACTGTTTGATCAAGAGAGGGCAGTATTGGCACTTTCTGTTTCGAAGCTATTTTGTAGCAATACTGAAAGGGCAAGGAGTGGTGAGATGAAAATACAGTATTAAGCTGCCCTGCTTCTTGCTGTGTTTGTTTACTGTGGTCCTTATTGCTTCTGCCCTTTTAAATATAGCCTCTGCTTCTCCAGTAGTAGAGATAAGTGAAACACTCAGAAGAGGTATGGAAAAAAATGTAAGGCTAGGTAGGGTGTTTCAGCAAAGGGGTTGCTGAATATACCTTTTGGTAAGGGCCTCTGCCATGTCTCCCTTCCTGTAAGCTTTAATCTGTCTCCCATAACATCTTCATCAGGGATAGGAGAATTTGTGGCCCTCCAGATGTTGCTGAACTCCAACTTCCATCATCCATGACCCTTGGCCAGCAATCTGGAGAGCCATGGGTTTCCTGTCCCTGACTTATGCCTAAGCAAATTGAAACAAATTGGTGTTTGTCACCCGGCTGCCTCTGGCTCCATCTCTGCTCCTTCTCTTGTTGCATAAGAAGAGCCCTCTTGGAACAGGCCAAAGGTCTGTCTGGTTCTCAAAGTGACGAATCAGATGCCCAGGGGAAGCCCAGAAGCAGGACCTGAGCACAACAGTGCTTTCCCCACCTGCTGCTGAATTTTAGATTGTAAGCTTCTCAGGGCACAGACCTGTTTCTTGTTCTTTGTATATAATTAATAGAAATAATTAATATAAATAAATAGGTGGATTTGTATTACAATTTTTCCCCAGAAACTTGAATCCAGAAACAGAGCTGAAGAGATATTTTGGGGCCCGAGCAGTTCTTGGTGATCAGAGGTAAGTTCAAACTCTAGAAGTGTGAAGCATGTGCTTAGTTAGGTCCTGTGGGAGACTAAAGCATCTGCCAGTTGTCCTATAAAAACATACTTTTTGCTTAAGCCTCTTAGGCTGAGGAACTCTGAATGCCTCTTGCTTAACACTCCACTTTTAGACTGTCTCTGAGACAAGGGATGTTGTGGAGATCTCAGACAACACAGAGTGCTGAAGACGAGGGAAATGGGTCATCAGCACAATAGCTTCAGTGTTTCCTTAGAGATAGTGTCAGTTTTTAATCCTTTGTGCTAATCTAAACAATCTCTTTAAAGCCCAGCCTACAAGTGTGAGGTGCCTGGATGCGGACAAGTACTTGTAGGTCATTCGGATGTGGTAGGAAAGAGGACATGTTGGTGACTTTGAACCATGATTATGCTGCTGTTCCAAGTGCAGGAAGCAGCCTATAATTTCTTCAGGAAGGCAGGGAGCCAACACAGATATCTGAAGGTTCAGGAGGCATGGTCCCAGTTCTGGTAGGCACAAACCAGTAGTGTGCTGCTGTCCTAAATACCTGTCCTGTTGAGCTTCTTTTCCCTCACCGCCTTGCCATTCCCCAAGTGTCAATTAATCAGCTGAATTTACTGAGGCGCTACATATGACTCTCTGGTTTGTTTATAAAGAGCGCGTGAGCAGCTTGCAGCGTCAGACTTAAACAAGTTTCCTCTCTGCGTGGGAGGTCTTGTGGGTGTTTGCTTCATTTTGGTGCATTTTGTAATTTTTTGTGCTTTGCTAGTAGTTGGTGCTTTTAGTGCTGTTCGCTTCAGCAAGATAGCGGCAACTACTGGCAGAGCACAGCAAGTGTAGAGCAGCCTTCACTAACCTGGTGCCCTGGCTTGGACTACAGTTCCCATCAGCCCCAGTCAGCAAACTTGTACTGACTGGGGCTGATGGGGGTTGTGGGAGACAACAGGTGGGGAAAGGCTGAAACAGAGAGAAATCTGCTAATGAAAAAGATGGCTTTCTATTTAGATGGGAAGGAGATGATATCTGACCTTCCTAATTCTGAGAGACCAGATTGCATTTTTTTTCTTCTCATGTTATTTGTATATCACAAAAATAGCATAAAAAATTAGCAGTAATATCTATAATGTATGGTTCATTATTAGTGACCGGTACCAGATTATATTTATGATACACAATCAGGTAGGAAGCCAGGGTTGGTCAGTCATATGACAGAGTCCTTTCATGGTAAAAGAATGCTCCAAATGAAGCCATCAGCCATGTGGACTAGAAGACCAATTTGGAAATTAGATAAGGGCTCAGGTAAATAAATGCCCCTTAAAACAGGGCTCATTGGAAATCTGGATAGGAGATGAAATGCTGAGCCATCATATGGAGCAGATTGAAAATTGCATTTTTTGTTCTGTTTTTAATGTTTTATTGTGGGGGGATTACTGTGTGTATTTTTATTGTTTTATTGGAATGTGGCCACCCTGAGATTGTTTGCATTAAAGAATGGAATATAAATTTTATAAATAAAATAAATATCGAAAGTAATTTTCATCAGTTTGTTCAGCTAAAATAACATTGTATTTTAATGTTTTGTTGGAAGCCACCCAGAGTGGCTGGGGAAACCCATCCAGATGGGCGGGGTATAAATAATAATAAATAATAATTATTATTGTTATTATTTTATTTTGCCTGAGTGTTTCTGCTTGTTTGTGTATGTGTCTCTCTCTGTGTGTCACTGTGGTAAACCTTGTGGTATTCATTGGTCTTGCATTCAGTCTGCAAGTTCTATTTCTTCTGCAGGCCACGGCAGAGGCAGCGCCAGTATGTCCGCAGCACGTGGCTGACAGTGCCTAAGAACACTTGGCCACGCCATAGCAAAACAGGTGAGAGGCTTTCCCCACTTCCCTCAGGTGCTCTGTGCACTCCCACTGGCTTTACACCTGCGTTGGAAACACATGCCTGGTTGCTGATTCCATCTTCATAGCTGTTACTTTAGTGCAATCTTCCCCTTCCACTTAGTTTCCTCCAGATGTTTTGGACTAGAACTCCCATCATTCCCAGCCAATTTGGGGCAGGCTGCTTTATTTTGTGTGTGAGGAAGTACATCTTCACATGTCAAGTAGCAGGACCGCATGTGCTGAGCTGACATGTAGGAGCAGTGTTTGTATGTCACTCCACCCACCTTTCTCTTTATGTGATCAAAAGGAGGTCTCTTCCTCTGTGCCTGGAATCATTGCGCAGTCCAGCTTTCTGGAAGATGTCGGAAAGGAAAATTTATCTCCTTAACCAAGTATCTATAACCCTGACTGCCCACGCTTCTTTGCCTGTGTGCTTGCTTGGAGCCTCAATTTGTTTTTAAGCCTGGAGAAAACAAGAATCCTTGCTTTGGCGCAAGAGCAGGAAACCTTTGACCTTCCAGGTGTTGCTGAACTACCACTCCCATGAGCCCCAGCAAGCATGGCCAGTAGCCAGGAATGATGGGAGTTGTGGTTCAGCAACATCTAGAGCAGCCTTCCTAAACCTTGGGTTCTTAGATGTTGTTGGACTCCAACTCCCCCTAGCTAGTGGGAGCAGTGGTCATCGATGATGAGAGTTGAAGTCCAACAACATTTGGGGACCCAAGGTTGAGAAAGGCTGATCTAAAGGTTTCCCACACTTGCTTTAGGGAGTCAACTAACAGAACTAGTTAAGTTGGGTTGGGCATGCTCCCTTAGGCACTGTAAATATATTGCATCGTGCATTAACAGCCCTCTTTCTCTCCCCTTCCCATCCCCAATTCTGCCTAGGCATATCCATGGCGCTGCTAGAAACAAAGCGAGGGGTACAGCACTTTGCATTTGAGCACCATCGAGAATACCAGCAGGTGCAGTTCAAGTTCTTGGATGCCGTGGAGTCCATGGATCCAAACAATCTGGTGGTAGGTTCTCAATCGGACAAGGCCCTGCTGCGATATCAGAACCCACCTGTAAGAATGGCAGCCATTTTTGCTGTTGCCAGTACCTGATCTCTGAACATCCAGCAGTCTGCCAACCTGTATTGTATCAGGTGATTGCGTGTTGAACGTTTTACAAGAAGGACCCTCCTGTGTCAGAGCAATGGTCCAGGTAGCTCAGCATTCCATCTGTGGAGTTGCTCTGACCCAAGGCTGGCAGTGGCCACTGTAGGAGGTTCACAAGCAGGGCATGTATACTGTGATGTCCTTACACTCTAGTGGTCAGAGGCGGACAGCTGGAAAAAGTGGTTGCGGCCAGCGTGGGCAAGAAGTGCCATGTCTTGGGACCAAATGAGATGTTTCTTTGCTCACGTAGTTTGCCATGATTTGCAGGGGCAGGGAGCCAAGTCAGATTGTATCCCTTTGCCCCATAGCCACAGTCATGATCATAATTTCTCATCTCCATGCACAACCTGATGGGGAGCTTCCTTTGGTATTCCCCATCAGCAAACAGAATAATTGAATTGTAGGCATGGGTGGGTGAGCGATTCTGGTTGTGAATGTGACAGGGGGAAATGGTTAAGAAGGCTCCTTCCCCTTCTGTTTTTAAACTCAAACACAGCAGAAAACAAACTGCATGACAAATGTCTTGTCTAGTTTGGTCTTCGGAGTACAGGACAATGAGTTTGTTATTACATGGAGATATATGACAAAAGATGGCAAACCCTGCTGCATTCTGGGCTCTAGTCCTTCACAGTACATAGCATAGTCACAGATCCTGCATCCTTTTGCTGTTTGTAAGATTTGGACTGAAGGGTTCAGTGACTAAAGAGACCCTTGATGGTGGTGGGTTTCTAAAGCATTATCTGCTGCCACGTTTTGGTGTCTTGGAAGATTTTGCTACTAGTGACTGGTGTTTTCACCTACCGTATTTTTCGCTCTATAACACGCACCTGACCATAACACGCACGTAGTTTTTAGAGGAGGAAAACAAGAAAAAAATATTCTAAACGAAACAGTGGATGTATGATTTTTGTGGTTCATGCTGTGGCCACAGACGTGATCTGACGGTGAGTTTGGGGTAGCCCAATGCAAAAATCCTGAGGATCCATGTGGATCCATGCTTTGTAACCACGTTTTTGCGCCATTGCAGCCCCATGAAACAGTGGGTGCGTGTGTGTTTTTTTGGTGCAGGCTGTAGCCATGGATATGCTATGTGATCTGATGGTGAACTTGGGGTGACCCAGTGCAAAAATCCTGAGGATCCATGTGGATCCGTGCTTTGTAACCACGTTTTAAGTGGGGAGGGAAGGAAAAGCATTCAAGGGACAAGGAGCACGCGTGGGGTGTGTGGAGAAGGATGCTGCTAATAATGCAGAAGAGGGGTTTAAGGGGAGAAGGAACACGCGTGGGGTGTGTGGAGAAGGATGCAGCTATTAATGCAGGCGAGGGGTCTATGGGGAGAAGGAACACGCATGGGGTGTGTGGAGAAGGATGCTGCTAATGATGCAGGAGAGGGGTTTAAGGGGAGAAGGAGCTCGGTGGGGTGTGTGGAAAAGGAGCTTTTCGGCGAGTTGAGCGGGGAGGGGGGGAGGGAAAGAGCACTGTTGCTTTAAAGTAGCCAACCGGACAGCAGCCACTTACAGCAGTGTAAGCAGCTCCTTTCCTCTCCCGCTTTGCTCCTTCTCTCCCTCTTTGCTGCTTTACGCAGCTAATGGCGAATCCCCTGCAACCCAAGTCCTGCTCAGCGGATCAGCTGAGACGCTGGGAGAATCGTAATTTCCCCCTCTCCCTCATCCCGTGCCCTCCTGTCCCCAGCAGCCTTTTTAAAAACTTTTTTACTGGTTTTCACTGCGCTCGTGGCTCAGAGCCCTCCTGTGCCCTGCCGTCCCTCTGCAGCCTCATTGCTCCATTTAGAGAGCGGACCTTTGCTAGCTGAGGCTGCAGCAGCTGTTGCTGGCTACGCGGCGCTTTTCCGGCTTGCTATGGCTCCTGTCTGTCCCTCCTCCCGTGTAAGCGGCTGCTGCCCGCTTTGCTGCCATGGCTCTCCTTCCCTCCCTCCTCCTCGGCTACTCCTGGCTGTAAAGCAAGCAAAGCTAGAGCCGCGCAAAGCGGGACAGAAGCCCTGCAAGCGGCTCCCGCTTTGCTTGACTGACGGCAGCCATGGCTCCGGTCGAGTGCATTCGCTCCGTAACACGCACAGGCATTTTCCCTTACTTTCTAGGAGCAAAAAAGTGCGTGTTTTGGAGCGAAAATTACGGTAATCCTTTTTTCAAAAGCAAGCTATATTGGTAGCATCACAACAGCCTGAGGCAGTGAATTCCAAAGGCTGACTCGGTATTTTGTGGGAGGGTAGCTGGAAGTTCCTCCTTTGTATCTCTCTTTCTGAAAATTCAAAAATCACTTTTGGGATTGCGATATAATTAAGTTCATTGACGCTTTGGTCTGTACTCCTGGTCCTGTGGGGAATCATAGAGTTGGAACGAACACCCAAGGGTCATCTAGTCCAGCCCTCTGCAATGCAGGAATCTCAGCTAAAGCATTCATGACAGATGGTCATCCAACCCCTGCTTAAACACCTCCAGTGAAGGAGAGTCCACACCTCCCAGCGTAGTCTGCTCCACTGTCAAACAGCTCTTACTGTCAGAAAGTTCTTGCTGGTGTTTAGTCTCAGTCTGCTTTCTTGTAACTTGAAGTCATTGGTTCAGGAAGAGGCAGTCTGTTCTCTTACTCTATGGAGCAGAATTCTGATGTGGAACAAGTCTCTCCTGCAGCACAGAGGTTGCCCTGCCTGTCATAAAGGAACTTGATTTCCACATTGGGCTTGCAGCCATTGTTGTTGACCTGGATGAACTCATCCATAAAGCAAGCCCCTGGCTGAGGACGCCCCTCCTGTCTGGGACAGAAGGTGGGGGTGAGGAAAGAGAGCGCTGAGTGGATTCTAACAAGCAAGATTTGAATAGGCAGCTGTGCTATTTTTAAACTTCTTTTTCCAGATTTGAAGAAAGGAGTGCCTAATTTCTCTTGGTACTTTAGCAGAACAGGCTCTGCTTTGAGGCTTTACTGACCATATCCTGGTGAATTAAGTTGGGCAACAACTTTGATGGTACACACAAAGCAGGCAACTCATTCTTGGCCTAATATTAGCATAATCAGGACATTGAGCTTGGAGAGCCCCCAGCCTCCCCCCCTTCCCCTTCCCCGATGAGGGCAAACACGGCTCTTTGAAACTTCACTGTTCTGTTTTTTAGATAGAAGACCCTTTGTCTGGGGAAGACTCACGCTTTGCACTCTCACCACTCATTGCTTGGGCATGGGATCTGTGCTTGATGGGCGTCTTTGGCTTGGGGAAAAACAGAAGGCAGCAGCTAGAAGCTGCAGCTTTGCAAATTCAGATGACACTCAGTTGTCGCAATGCAAGCCTTGGCACAGTGGGTCATGGTCAGACCAAATGTCTGCTGAGTTCAGCATTCTGTGGCCTACAAGTGGTCAGACAGATACCCCACAACTAGAGCTGGGTGGTCCTGTTATTTCCCAGCTAATTGTGATCGGGATAGGGGTGGGTTGAGGATGCGATTAGCAGGCATCAAAGCTTATGGTGTGTGCAGCCCCTTAGGCATGGTACGACCCTGTCCTGTCCTGTCCCACCAGCATATGCCTCCCCCACACCACACTGCAGCTACCTTTGCTTCCTTCAACTCCAAGTCAAGATGTCCTAATGTGACTCCTCAGGTCATCAACTGCCTCACAGTACAATTTCTGAAATTAGTTGTCTCGTATGCATATGGTGGTGCCTAATCAGGCTGACTGAAAACTTTGTAGTGTTTCTGGTCAGCCCCTCCCCACCCCCACCCCAGAGATCCCTCTCTAATCTTAGATCTGTTTTCTTGCACCATTCACAGTTGATGGGCTTGGGAGTTCATTCAAGGTGAAGTGCAGCCCATGGCAGTTTCACTTAATACACCACTTCGGAGCAATCAAAGAACTGAATGTTTCACATCTTGGAGTAATTGTTTGTTCCCTAGCCTGTTATTATGTAGCCTGCTGTTTTCATGAAAAGTCATCTTCTGGATCAATAAAATACGAAGAGAAGGAAATGGCCATTTCACAGATCTCAAAATGCTTGCTTCATCTGTCTGCTTGCAGCTTTTGCTCCAGATGAACCCTTCGCATGTAGATTCACTCTTACAGCTCAGTGACGTCTGTCGGATGCAGGAGGACCAGGAGATGGCCAGAGACCTTGTCGGTAAGAAGCTGAGGGCAGCCAGAGTAGAAGCTGGGAGGGCTGTGCTGTGTTGCTTGAGCTGCTCCTGGAATTATGGTTCTCCCCAAAACGGAGGAGGGAGTCTAGAAGGATGCATGTGTTCTAAAGAGGGCCATGCCTTCCAGAATAGGGGATTGTGGGAGCCATATGTGTCACCAGCTAGTAATCCAGAGCATTGCTCCTCACCCCCTGGGATGCTACTGTTTCATAGGACACCTGGATTAGGAAGCACCTTCCACTTCCTCTTTAGAGTCAGTCTTGAAGGGAACAGGGCCTTCTCAGTTGTGGCACCTCATCTATGAAGTCCCCTTTCAGTTCATCATGTTCCCACTCTAGCCATTTCGACAACAGTAGAGTACTAATTTTAGTATTTCTAGCATTTAGTGGAATCTGGGTTTAATGCTGATTTGACAGAGAAATGGGTTAACAATATTTTAACAACAACAACAAAAACTCCAAAGATGAGTGGTGTCTCCTGCCTCCAGGACAGGGTAACCAATATAGCGTCCTCCAGATGTTATTGATCCACAACTCCCAGCATCACCAATGGTCAGAGATGGTGGAGGTTGCAGCCTACAACATCCAGGTGGCATCATGTTAGCTACCCCTGCTCTGGTGCTACAGGAGGGAACACACACACACCAATTTCCTAGGTAGCTTGGACCAGAGTGGGATTGCTCTTGTGGCTACCTCTGCCTGACCTTTTTGCTGCCACCTAAACATGATACCCACAACAGCAAAAACCAACACTAAAACTTGCTTACTGTGTGTTATTAAATCTGTATTGCATAGTAAGTTTACATTGCATAGTGTATATATTAGATTTCTGTTCTAATACTTCAAATGCATTTGCATCACTCAGGCAGCTTGCAATAGTTCAAATCACAGTATCATTAAAAATCTACAATATTGTTATGTCGGTGCTATAAATGGAGGAAGGCCTGTCCACCACAGCTGAATACCAGTTGCAGAAAACCACAGAAGTGGGGATTGCACTTGTACTTGAGCCCTGCTTGCTGATTTCCCATAGGCTGGCCCTGTGAGAACAGGATGCTGGACTAGATGGGCCATCGGTCTGATCCGGCAGGCTCTTCGTAAGTTATTATGATCTTAGGCAGCATGCAAGTTGGTAGGGAGGTGGTATCCTGCACCCAAGCCATATGGGCTTAAAGTATTAAAATTTAATACCTCGCCTTGTTTTTGAAGAATATAATCAGTACATGAAAGGCTACAGAAGGTGACTCAGCCATGCCCCACTCTTGGTGCCTCTTTTGCAGAAAGAGCCCTCTACACCCTGGAGTGCGCCTTTCACCCAATGTTCAGCCTCACCAGCGGGACCTGCAGACTGGACTACCGGAGGCCAGAAAACAGGTAAGAGTCCCATTGACAGTGCCGAATGGGAGTTTGCTTGCTCAGTCAGGACTTCTCACTCTAAAGATAGATGACTTCTTTGCACAAGCCAGGAAAGGAGTTGAACCAGAATGTGCTGCCCTTCATGGCTGATCAAGCCTGTTTATGCCCTTTTCCATGCCCAGACTGAATTGTTGTTGTTATATTGTTAATCATTAATCTTTCCTTTTTTGCTGTGCCTCTCAGAGCCTTCTATCTGGCTCTGTTCAAGCATATGATTTTCCTAGAGAGGAGAGGTTGTCCTCGCACCGCCCTGGAGTTCTGCAAACTTATTCTGAGGTAACTATTGGTTCTTATAAGGCAGCTTTAGGCCTCTGGTCTGTCTTTTAGACTTGGTGGGAGGACTGACCAGCACACCCGTCTCCCACCTCTACTCTGAGCAGGAGTGTGTTTACATACTGAGCCCTTAATTTCTCTAAAAGTTTTTAAGGGGGCAGTTAACTCCCTTATGTAGACATGGAGAAGGGTTGATTAATTTGCTGGTTGGTCTTGAGGTAAAGGGACTTTCTCGCTGGTTGGTTTTGCAATAGACTCACATGGTTTCTAATCTCCCCACCCTTGCATTCCACTCCCATCTCCAAAGCCTTGATCCAGAGAATGACCCGCTGTGCATACTGCTGATAATTGATTTGCTGTCGCTACGAGCAAGAGAGTACGCCTTTCTGACACGCATGTTTCAGGAGTGGGAGGTGAGTTGCTAGTGGGTGGCCCTGGCATGAAGTGTGCTGAGAACGGAAGAGTCTGGCTGAATTGCCAGAAGGTCACCCCACCACCTGCGGAAGAATTAGGTGTGAGTCACTCTGGCCACAGCCTGTGGTGCTTCCGATTCCTCTGGAGCTGGTTGTAACTGCAGCCTGTTCATGAGCAACTCTTATAATGCAATTTACCACTAGAGTTACTGTTGACTTTCTGTGTTTGGTTTTATGGACTGTTAATGTGTTGCATTTAACTGGTAATTTTCTTTGTGGCCCCATTTAGGGTCAAAAAATGGGATACAAGTTTCTTAAAAATCAGCTCAGCTGTCAACCAGATACTTACATAGCTTCTCTTCCTCTTCTCTCCCCTCCCCTTCCCGCCCCCACCTTTAGGGTCATCGGAACCTGTCTCAGCTCCCAAACTTTGCCTTCTCGGTCCCTCTGGCATATTTCTTTCTGAGCCAGCAGGAAGACCTCCCAGAGTCGGAGATCAACCAAGCCCACGAAAGAGCTGCCAGCCTCATTCGGCAGTCACTGGTCATGTTCCCGAATGGTGAGTCTGTCTGTGTAAAATGTTCAAAGATGGGTATACAGAAGGCCGCAGCTGTGAATAAAGCCCTTCATATTCCCTCAGCAGTGGTGGCTCCGGGAGGGCAGTAATGCTAAACCTCAGAGGGGGGTTGGGTTGCTTTAATCAAGATTTCCCGTGACTGGTCGTCTCCTCTTTGTCCACGCTTTCCCTTCAAGACACTGTCACGCTTTAGCCAGGAGCAGCACATGGGTCCTGCCTTTCATCATGCTGTGCCTGCCTCGTCCCTGGGAGGGGCCTGCCCAGTTTCCCCTTCCAGCCCCAGGCTCCAAAGGGATATAAGGTCTGCCAAGACAGCCTTGCATGGCTGAGCAGTGAATGTCTTCTGCTCCAAACAAAGGGAGTCCAGTTTGGGCTGCTGACCCATGATAAGGCACACCCTTTCTGCTCCTCCACAGCGACTTCAAACAAAACCCCTTAAAATAATAATTAGGGGCCAGAAAAAGTTCTGTTGTGTGGTTTTAATGGCACCTCACTCCTTGCAAGTCCATTTCATTCAGAACTTGTTTCTGTGGTGGAATAAAAAAACAAGAGGCAGAGCAATATTGTGACCCATTTTGAGTACCCGTGCAACAGCATTTGTGGCGGTTGGAGGTCTTTTCCTCTCATTTCTTTCTCTTCATGCCTCTTCCAGTTCTTATGCCTTTGTTGGATCGCTGTAGTGTGCAGCCAGATTCCACAGTAGCATCCCATGCATTCTTTGGACTGGACGCCCAGTTGAGGTAAGGAGTGTGTGAAAATGCTCTTTGCAGTCCAAGAACATGCAAGTCTTACAGGAATGGAGTGAGGCATTTTGTGGTGTCAGCAGCTGAATCTTCTTATTGAGTACTAGCAAGATTGGAGGGAGGTTTTTCAGAATACCAAGGGAAGCATCAGAACCAGAGGATTGCATGTCAGCAACATGAGGTCAAACTGAGAATCGGATTCTGACATAGGTCTCGTGTTGTCAGTTTCTGGGGCCAATGGGAGTCAGCAGGAGAGCAGAAGCTTCTTCTAATGCTTTCAGCAAGCGTTGAGTGGTCTCTACAGCAAAGAGGCTGGGCAAGTTTCTGGTTCAAGACTGTCTGGTCTGTTGTTGCTACAGTGTTGGAGGGGCAGGTCACAGTCTATGGAATGGACATAAGGATGACCTCTGCGTCTGACCCTTTCCCCCAGGACAAGGGCAGAATAAAAGTGTAATGTGTTGTGCCCTGCTAAAAGTGAAAATGCCTTATTGGGTGGCTCAGCTCCGCTATCTTCCATCAGCCTTGATGCCTAGTAGTGGAACTGAGGCCTTCTGCTCTCGTTTCTCTTCCTTTGAGTTGTCCTCAGCAAGTCTACCTCTAAGGCAGCAAAGTGCTTTAAGCTGCCATGTTTAAAGGTGTCTCGTTTTCCCTCTGCAGTTCGCCCCCTGTGCTGAACCAGCTGGTTGCCCTCTATCTTGGGAGGACCCATTCCCTCTGGAAGGACCCAGCTGTCATGGCCTGGCTCGAAACAAACGTGCACGAGGTGTTGCGGATGGTGGATGCCAAAGACCCAATGTTGGAGGAGGCTGAGCAGAAGTGAGTCTCTGCACCTGCTTCAGGCTGATGGTGGGCAGAATTCATTCCCGCTCTGGCTCCAAGCATTCCCTGCCATATTCTGCTGACTCCTGCACCCTGTAACCCTCCTGTTGAGAGAAGAGAGCGTTCAGCAGCCGGGGGGGGGGGGGAGAGAGACATAGCTGGGCAGTGGGCTGTGCTTGGTGCCTGCTTAGATGTGCCAGCTAATTTGAGGGTGGTCGGGAAAGAAACCTTTTTGAAGCTATCAAGAACTGCTAACTGGGCTGACTGAATGCAGCTACTTTTGGGGGATTCTGGCAATCTGTGAGCAGCCCTGGGTGCCAACGTGATACTGCAGAGGAGGCCTTTGCTTATGTGTGGCTGGGAAATAGAGCTCTGAGGGATGCAAAAAGCAAATTGGAGCCACTTCTCTGAAATATTTTTGGCCCTTAGGCGAAAGGCAAGGTACCAGAACGCTCCCAGGAATGTCTACCGCCATGTGATCCTCTCGGAGATAAGGGAAGCCACAGCAGCATTGCCTCCGGTGAGAGAATGGATGGGGCAGGGGCATAGCTGCACTTCACAAACCTTTTTTTTATGGGGAGCATATCCTGTCGGTATCTCTTGCTTCTTCTGATTCTGCTCAATATGGTCTTTCTGCCCTACCATATCACAGTTCTTTGGGCATAAGGAGCTGGCTGGCACTGAGCTGCCAATGGCCCATCCTGCACAGTGTTGTTTGCTGGAGAGCAGAGACTTCTCCCAGCACTGTTGCCTGATACCATTTAATGGGAATGTCTGGGACCTTCTACATGGCAAGTGTGCACTGTGCCTCTCGTCAGTATAGCAAGCTTACCAGCTCTACTGCCATTTAGGCCCCTCCCACCCAGAAGGGGCCTTGCTAGCCATCCCAGGGCTGCATCTGCCACCACCTTGAGAGCAACCACATTTTTTCTTTCACAGTTCTCCCAGCTTGTACAAAGTTCCCTTCTCCTTTTGTCTCATATTTCTAGATTGTAAGCCTACAGGCAGGAACCTGTTTTTATCATTTTTTGTGTGTTTGTGTGCAGCACCTAGTGCATATTTGGCACTTTATAAGTGATCCAGTAGGGAGGGAAGCAAAGCAGGGCCACTCCATCGGCTCTGCCCAGAGATCAGCTACATAAGGTGCCTCTCCCTGAACTGTTTCCACTCAAGCTGGCCATTGTGGGAACAAATGTTTTCATTTTAAGAAGGAGTGCCTGAATTTGCTTCTCTTTTCCCTTTGGGTACATGTATTTTAGACCGTAAGCCTACTGACAAGGATTGTCTTGTTAGTTACTGCTCTTCTGTAAGCTGCTACAACTAAATTCAAAGACGGTGATGAGTTCTGACCTGGATTCCATTTCCCTCCCTCTCTCAAGGAAGTGACCTCCCAGCCAATAATGGGGTTTGACCCTCTGCCACCTCTGGACTCCATTGTTTCGTACACAAGGCCAGAAAGGTACCACCTGTTGCTGCTTCCTGCACACCTCCATCCAATTCAGTAGCTTGGATATTTACTTAGGTCTGTGTCAGCCTGGGGTAGACAAAAAACCCCAGGAAGGACCAGAAGTGGTCCAGTTCTCTGAATCTTTTAAACATGCATTGTGCTTACGAGTTTTTATACAGGCAGTGGAAGCTGGTCCATTAGGGCAAATGGGGCACTGCTCCACCAATCTCAGCCTTCCCTGAAGGCCCTGCTTCCCTCAGTAATCTCCCCCATTTACTTACAACCAGCCCAGCAGGTGTCACTGCCGGTCAGCTTCTTCCTCCTCAGCCTCAATGCTGCCCTTGGAGATATCAGCAAGGAGAAGGATGGGGACAAAACTAGAAAGCTAGAATTAGTTGATTCCACCTCTCACTTAACTCTGGCTCCTCTTGGTCTCCCTGCTTACCAGTCCCAATGGACACCAGTCAGCTGCCTTATTCCAGGCCAGCCTACCTGCCCATCGCGCTCATTATTGTCTTCTCTGAGTAGCACAGGTAGAGAATGTTCTTTCCCATTGCCTCCTATTGGAGATAACAGGGATGGAACCTGGGACCTTTTGCTTGCAGAGTACATGCATTGCTCATAAGCTGTGGTCCATCTCCTCCTCAGTGCATCAAAGACCCACCCACCCTTCCCCATGTCACTTTGTTCTTCCCATGCAGTGGGCCAAATATTTATTCTTTTTACATTGCCTTTTGTATCCCACCGTTCCTCCAAGCAGTTCAGATGACATAAAATCTGCCCTTTGCCCCTGTGATTGGTCGAAGTTTACCCAGTGAGTTTCATAGTTGAGTGGGGATTGGAACCAGAGTCTTAGCTTAGCGCAGCACTAAGATCCATTACATCAGACTGTCTTTCAGGATAGTAGTCCAAAATTGCACGCTCCCTGGCTCATGAAGTGCCATGATGTGCCCGCTCTCCTAGGAAAGAGGAAGAGGTCCATTTGTGACCAGACTTTCTCTCTTTTTTTTCAGGGCAACCCATCCAGCCAATGAAAGCACTTTATCTCTCTTCTTTCGCTCACTCTTGCCAAACTTCAACTTGCAGGTATGTTGAGTGTGAAATGACTGGCCAAGGTAAGGCAGATATGCAGGTGGCTGCGTGCTTCTGAGTACTAGGTGCTGGGAATGGCAGGAGGGGAGAGTGCTCTTGCACTTGGGTCTTGCCTGCAGGTTTCCCATAATGGGCACCAAGTTGGCAACTGTGAGAACAGGAGGCTGGACTAGATGGTCCCCCTTTTGCTTGATTCAACTCCTATCAGCCCCATCAAGTATGCTTCTACAAATGCAGTCTGCCAGGTTCTCCCCCCGAGAAGACTGGAGTGTCCAGGCCTTCCTCCCTAAGTGTATGGTATTTATAAGGAGCAGAAGCAGAAGTGGAGAATTTTCAGCAAAGAGACCGAGATGAGCTTCTTTCTAGCATATCTTCTGAGGACCCCAAAGACTGGGCTGGTTCTCCTTCAGTGCCCAGCACCTCATCCAGTCAAGCTGCCTTGTATAACTCCTTGCCCTGTGCTGTGTTTCAGGGAGAAGTCAGAGCCGGTGGAGAGGAAGAGCCGGGTGCAGGACAGAATCTGAACCAGGGTGTGAACAGACTGATGGCAGCCATGCGGGACATGCTGGCAAATATCCAGTTCCAGGAGCCACCACGGGACGACAACCCCGAGGGGGATGGGGGAGAGTGGGACTAGTCCCTTGCACCCCAGAACTTCCTTTCCGCCCCTTCTGTAACTTCCCTTGCCACAAAATAAACAATCATAAGCCAGAGGGGTAGAGTGTCTCTGTGCCTTAAACATGCACACACCAGGAAAAAAGGGCATGGTTATCATCTTGGCACAACTGATAGGGCAGAAATGGCCCTTTGCTCTGAAAGCTGCACACAGTTGCTTTCATGAGATCCATGTTTCGCTAACATGCAACTGTCCTACCTAAGGAGAGGAGCTGCAAGCAGTAGGCTGGGGAGGCACACATGCCCCCATCTCAATTCCTTTCACTGAGAGATTTATTGTGTCAATTGCCTTCCTTTTCTCAGTGGCTCCTGCCAGTGAAACCACATAGGCTAGAGTACCAGCCTTCAGCTATTGGATCAAGACCCACTACCAGGTCATGGCCTGATCCAAGGTGGGATAGTGCAACAGCAGCAGCAACACCACCATATAACTATATGGTGAGGGGGGGGGATGTGTTACCAAATGCCTGTTCTGGTTAAAGACAAATCCTGGATTTGGAAAGGTTGGAGGCCATGGGGCTAGTGGATGTGTTTTAAAGTCGCTTGGAGGTGTTCTGCTAATCAGAAAGGATCTTTAGTGCAATTCAGATATGCTTTGTGGGAGGGAGGATATAGAAATTCTGTGTCAGTGACTTGCTCTATCAAAGTAAGCAAGATATAGAAGATCTGTGTCTCCTCGTGTTGTTATTCAACATTTAAAAATAGCTGCCTGGAGCAAACTTTATGTTGGGGAGGAAGTGTTTAAACTTTTTCACTTCCTGACCTTTTTCATGAACGTATTGCCCACCCAGAGCTGTTATTAGTTCCTTTGGGAAAAGACGGGTACCCAGATTGTAGCTGTCTTGTTTCCCCACTACATGACACCCCAAGTTTATTAATAAGTGTATTTGTCAGGGGGAAGGAGAGGATTGTGAAAATGGGGGCGGGTTAGGCCTTCCTCAAGCACTGTGCCCTTGATCCAATGTGTCCTCATACCTGCCCTTAACATGCTTTTGGGACATCTGCTGACATCTTTTGTCATTTGGCTTTTTCTGGGCACCTGTGCTTGTGACCTGTAGGATTGGCAGAAGGGATGTTAGCACCCCAGACTCTTACTCTGTTCCTGCCTTTAAAGGGTGCATCACAAATCAGCTGGATAATGCAATTTACACGAGCAGGAGTGGCTGCCATGCTCTGAGTTTGACCAAATAATACAAGATTCTACTGAACATAATGAGGATAAAGTTGTTGTTGCTGCTGCTGCTGCTACCCTCAGAGAATGTCCACAGACTTGCCCTGGAGCTTAATCAGTGTGAGCCCCTCAATATTTTCCTGCAGCAGAGTGGGTGACTGGCAGCCCCCTCTAGAGGGTGCAAACCCCAAGTCTCTTCTTTCTTCAAGGGACCAGCACCCACAGTCCCACCCAAACCTTACTCTGGATCTATTCTGCATTATTTCTGCTCCCCTAGTAGTTGTAGCAGAAGCAAAAGTGTCTGCTGCATTCTGACTGAGTTCTGCTGTGGCAACCAAACCTTCCGGCAGGCTGGCCTCTGCACTGGGCATGCTTGACTATTGGCCCTGGCTTTGCAGCCTCGGATCTGACGCCTCCTGAGCGGGAGCGGCAGGGGGTGGGACTGTGTTTTGCCTGCCTCTCTTGGCATCAAGGCAGACATGGTGCATCTGCTCCTCTCTTCACACTTTGAAGTGCTGCCTCTGGCTTGACTCTCAAAGGCCTCATTGATAAAGCTGTAAATAGAACTCTTGGCCGGTTGCTGGCTTAGAGCGATGAAGACATCCGCCAAAAAGAGGATGGTTATAAAACGTATTTTCTCTCCTGGCTCAGCCACCAGGCTCTGCTCCCAGCCAGGCAACCCCATGCCAGTGTTTTAGGGCTGCACCGAGTGGTTGATTAGCTGATTAAAAACCTTTTGATTGACTGAAAACACGGCACCTGATTAATTAGGCAAAGCATTTTTTTAATGTTAATTATTCATGATAAAGATACTTCTTTTCATTGCAGACATTCAGAGGTTGGTTTTCAGTATGACTCATTCCGGAGTGCCTGGCAGATACCCTCTCTATTTAAGAGCACATCAAGCCCCTGCTATGAATAGTGACTTCAGGAGGGGGGGCTGACACTGGAAGGGTGAGAGCAATGAAATGACTCTAACTGGCAGCTGCAGCCTCTTTGGTTTGGGGAAGAATTGGGATCAGAATCTTCTTGCATCAACATTTCATTTGGCTTGGCCTTTTGTGGGCTGATAGAGGAGGTTAGCTTGGACTGTTTAATTGGAACTTGGAAGCTGGTCTAATGTGCCTTCTTTGCTAGTGTGTGTAGGGGGAGGTGAGTTACAGAGCAGGCCATGTTTATGGGGATATAGTGTCTGTACATCTTCCAAAGGGCAGGGCGCCAACCTCACGCCTCAACCAACCATGGGAGTCCAAGGGCCTGCATAAATTGCAGCTGTTTCTTACACACACACACCACATGCCTGGTGAGGGATTCTCCTTGCAAAGACTGAAAACAAGAAGTGGAAGGAGCATAAAACCTCCCATGTCTTTATTCTACTCCTCCGCCTTGCACAGGACTGGAGTTTGGTTAGTGCTACAGCTTGATCCAGATGATTGCGCTCACATTTTCAGAGGGACAGTGACTGTTGCTGCTGCTTTGTCCCTGTGTGCTCTGCTTCAACCTGGGATCATTTTCATGTTTGCTGGGCAGCTTCTCTCTCCGGAAGAATACCAGCTTGTCAGGGGAGAATATCAACTGGGACTGTGATACAGGGGTGAAAGTGTTAAACCCCCTTCCCTGTGTGCTGCAATCCTGATCCTCATTCCCAGTGACCTTTATTATAAAAGTAAAAGCAAGACCTCTTCAGTGTTCCCCATGCATTTAATGTCTGCAGCTGGTTCTCTGAATTAGCATCTTAAGAACATCACCACGTACTTTGGGCAGGCTAAAAATGCTTCTGCCCTAATTCAAAACCCAGAGTCATTAAAGGAAACTACCCCACTCACCCTGGAATGCTGCGGCTTATCTCCAGTACAAAGTGGTTAGCAGAACAGGGGTCAGCATGAACTGGGATCTCTCTGGAAACGGGATGTTAGGTCAGGGCCAGCAGGAATATATGATTCCTTGCTTACCTCCCTGCCCTTCATTCTAAAGTCCCAGGGCAAGCTGAAACACTTCAAAATGGCAGATACACTATAAGGATCAGCTTGTCTATTAATTGTCCACAAAATATGAAATGACTTCAAGATATCCTCAAGCCATTTTTACACGAAAGTGTGTGTTTTGCATGAATAGGTAAAAAATGGAGTTTGCTGTCCAAGTAGTTCCCACCTGGTTTCTGTTTTCCCATCATGGGGGCTGTCACAAGGGTTTGCCTGTTCTTGTACCCAAAGTTCACCCATATTTATTAAAGAGGAAAACCTGCCCCATACCTTAGGAATATAAGAAGAATCTACTGGAATGGCTCATCTTATCAGCATCCTGCTCTCACCCTGGCTATCCAGATACCGGGGGTGGGGGGCGGGGAGTAAAGGTAAAGGACCCCTGGGTGGTTAAGTCCAGTCAAAGGCAACTATGGGGTTGCGGCACTCATCTCGCTTTCCAGGAGCTGGGACAGAGCAACGGGAGCGCACCCCATCGCGGGGATTCAAACCGCCGACCACCTGACCGGCAAGCCCAAGAGGCTCAGTGGTTTAGACCACTGCACCACCCATATCCCTACCAGAGGGAAACCGACAAGCAGGACCTGAGTTCAGCAGTCTCAGCTCACTGGTGGTTCCCCGTGAGTGGTATTCAGAGGCCTACCACCTCCAAGATGGGAGGTAACACACAGCCATCATGGCTAGTAGCCATAGATAGTCTTATCCTCCATGAACTTGTCTAACTCTCAGGGCCATCCCTGGATGTTTTGCCGCCAGAGGCAAAAGAGAAAACACTGCCCTGTCACCACCTCTTCCTCTGTTGCCCACCCATTGCTGTGCACACACACGGCATCACATGTCGGCCTACTGCCACCTGCCAGCCACTGGGCAGTACATGGATACACAGAGGCAGAGGCTGACAAGTGCAGGGCAAGCTCCAGAGGCAGGATCGGCCACTCTCCCAGCTTTCTGGAACCTGCCACCCTGAGGGAACTGCCTCACCTCATGGGTGGGCCAGCCCTGCTAACTCCAGGTGGCCATCATTACATCCTGCGATAGCCCTTGTATCTACGGGTGAAGGGTGGTATACAATTTAGTACATAATAAATACGTAAATAAATACAGCAAATTCCAGACTTTAACAACAGTAAGTGCTGGGTGGATAAGTATTTTCTTTGTCTGCACGGAATCCTCCAGCACTGAGCTTCTTTCAATGGACCGGTATTATAAGAAAAGGATAAATACTTCTCTCTATCAACATTCTCTACCCCTAACAATTTTAAACGCTTCTCTTCTGTCCTCCCCTTACTCGCCTTGTGTCTAAACTAAAAATCTCCAACTGTTGTAAAGGTAACTGGAAAAAAGTGATCTTGAACATAGTGACTGATTTTGTTTTTAGCAAATGAAATAACTACGACCCCTTTAGGGTCATAAATTCTCTGTCTTGCAAAACAAAGAGCCCATCTTTTCCTAGCGAGGAGAAGCAGACCCGTCTTCATGATGTACCATGCTGCTTTGAATTACGTAGGCTGTGTCTTGTGAAATCAGCCAGTGAAACATGCAATGCTCTCTCCACAGAGTGAGTTGTTTGTGTCTCGCACAGCATGTCACGTAAATAGTTGCATAAGAAGTCACACTTGCATGCCAAAGTATGCTGCTTACAGGGCGAGCTTGACTGCCTTTTGCATGCTCTGCCCTACTAGGAATTGCTAACCCAGAGCTGGGGGAAACGGGAACAAGGCAAGGAAGTATTAGCATGCACAAATGTTGTAGTGTCATGGAAATGTGATGCTTGTGCATCGTCTAATAGGTGAAATGAGGAAAGTTCTGAAATGGAACTTATTTGTGCTAACTCAAAGCCAGGTTTTGCATTTGCCTCTGAGTGGCCACTGTGAGAATGGGATGCTGGGCTGGATTGGCCATTTGCTTAATCCATCAGACTCATTTTACATTCTTGCATCAACAGTTTTAGGGAACTTCCTGGACTCTGAAGCTTTGATTTGGAGGGAACTGTACAACCCTATGTTTAAGATTTTCAGGAGAGGCCATTCTTTCTGCCCTGCCAATATCTGTAGCATGTTTGGCAGAACTTAAGGCAGGGCCTTCCAAGTGGCTTCCCCCAAACTCTAGAGTTCCTTGCAAGGGAGGCCCATGTAGCCTCTGATTACCTTCTGTCAGTAGGAAGAACATAGGAAGTTGCCTTCTACTGAGTCAGACCCTTGGCCCCTCTAGCCTAGTATAGTCTGCACTCTGGCTGGCAACAGCTCTCCAGGGTTTCATGCAAAGGACCTTCCCAGTTCAGCTACCTGGAGATGCTGTCAAGGATTGAACCTGAGACCTTCTGCATGCAAAGCAGATGCTCCACCACTGACCTATGACCCTCTCCTAAAGGGGAATATTTTTAGTCAGACGAGGCTCCAAGTAGCTCCTCTTGTTTTATGGCCACTGCAGTGCTGCTATGTGTTCTACTGGCTGTTGTTGTTTGTATTGGTTGCACAGGAAAGTTGCCATTCCTCTAAATTCCTCAAGGCAGACACTTTTGCCAGACCATATTCACAGAGTAAAGTTTGCACTGGCTGCCCATATGCTACTTGGCCAGGTCAGGCAGAGAAATGAGAGATCAGGCGGTCCCTGAGATATCCTGGACCCAAGTTGTTAAAGGGCCTTGAAAATAAGAACAATGAAGCTGGCTAGGTAGCATATGGGCAACCAGCACAAGCTTTCCATCGCTAGTCTTATGTGCTAGCAATAGTCTGTCTCAATCAACAGTCTAGCTGCTGCATTTTACATAAGCTGGAGGCTCCAGACCAGGCCAACAGAGAGAGCATTGCAATAATTGAGTCTTGTCAATCAAGCTGGGCAATTTCCTCCAGTAGAAGTTGGTGGGTGGAAAACCCGGAGTGTGTCAAACATGGGTGAAGCCATATTTGGGAAAACGTGACTCTTCTTCCGCCTATATGCAACCCTTCTCCTTTGTACTTGCATAAATATAAGTTGAAGACGTCACTGAGATGGTGAGTAATGCTTCACTGCTGGACCCCCTTTTGCTTGGCATGGGGGGGGGGGCATCATGCCACCAGGATGTTAATGAAGAGGAAAACTCAGCCAGGCTTTAAGGGCAGTTTCATAAGTTCTCCCTGCCATTCAGCGCCCTCGCCTCCTGGGCTGTTATCATGTGGATCACCCTCCGCCCCTCTGCTGATGGGAAAGCTGGGCATATTCCTTTAAAAGTAAGGGAGATAAAGGGTCCTTTCTTTGCTGTGAACTCCTGCTAATCAGTTTACTTTGGGGAAGAGGCAAATCAAGCAACGGCACCCTTGGAAGGAAAATAGGGCTTGGGAATCCAGAGCCGGGAGAGGCGGAAAGAAGCTGGCAAGTTCTGCCCTTTTCTTTTTCTGGGACAGAGACCCAAAGGAAGAAACCAGGAACAAGAGAGCAGAAGCCAAGAAGACACGGGCGTTGGGCTCTCCAGCGTATTGTGCCAAAGAAGGGTCACTGGAAGCGTGTTGCTGACTCTGCCACCCCAAAACTTTGTGTGGAGCATGTCTGGTCTCACAGCTCTGTTCTGAGACATCTATCCATCTATTCCTTTGGAGGAAGAGGGGCCACAGAAGTTTCTTTCAGGTTCCGCAGCCTACAGGTGAGTTCCCGGACCATGCTAACTATATACTTCTTGCCCAAGAGAAAACTCTGTTGTAAAATCCTGCGGGTCTCCATTGTCTTTCTGTAGCATTCCCACCAAGGTGCCACCATGTCTGTGCCATCACCCCTGAGGGTGCTGCCCAGCCCCCCGAATGCCACTGCAGGCATTCCTGTGAGCAACCAGACCAATGAGACATTCTGCACAAGCAGCCAGCAGGTGGTGATCCCTGGTGAACTCTTCCTGACCCTGGGGATCCTGAGCTTTGTGGAGAACTTGTTAGTGGTGGCTGCCATTGTCAAAAACCGGAACCTGCATTCACCCATGTACTATTTCATCTGCTGCCTGGCTGTGTCAGACATGCTGGTGAGTGTCAGCAACCTAGTGGAGACCCTCTTCATGCTTCTGCTGGAGCATGAGATGATGGTTGTGCAGCCCACCACCGTGATGCACCTGGATAACGCCATGGACATGCTGATCTGCAGCTCCCTGATGTCCTCGCTCTCCTTCCTCGGCGTCATCGCCATTGACCGCTACATCACCATCTTCTATGCCTTGCGGTATCACAGCATCATGACCATCCAGAGGGCCGTCACCATCATCGTGGTTGTCTGGGTGGTCAGCAGCATCTCCAGCACCATCTTCATTGCCTACGATGGCAAGGCGGTCATCCTCTGCCTGGTCATCTTCTTCCTCTCCATGATCACCCTGATCATGGGCCTCTACATCCACATGTTCAGCCTGGCTCACCAACACGCCCGCAGGATCTCCAGCCTGCAAAGGAAGCAGTCGGCGCCCCACTTCACTAGCATGAGAGGGGCCATCACCCTCACCATCCTGCTGGGCGTCTTCTTCATCTGCTGGGGCCCCTTCTTCCTTCACCTGATCCTCATCCTCACCTGCCCTGAGAAGCCCGCCTGCAACTGCTACTTCAGATACTTCAACCTCTATCTCATCCTCCTCATTTGCAACTCTGTGGTGGACCCCATAATTTACGCCTTCCGGAGCCAGGAGCTCAGGAGGACTTTGAAAGAGGTGGTCTTATGCTTTTGGTAAGGAGCAGGCGGCACTGGGGGTCTGAGGGTGCAAGTAGCCACTGGGGCTCTCCTGCCCTCCCCAGAGGCAGCAGAGGCAGCCACTTTGCAATTGGGAGCTCAGCGCCCCCTGGTGGCACTGGGGATGGGCAAGCAGAGGAAGCCTCTGGGAGGAGGTGCCAGCCAGTGTTCTCCACATCCTATGGTCAGAAGGAGGAAACAAAGTGTGTGTGTGTGTGGTGGGGAGGAATGTTCTTTTGCTTCCTGACTGCCGTCAGCCTAGAGGCATGGCTGAGATGTTGTATAACTCTCTGCTATTTCCTTGCTAGTGATCTAGGGAAGCCATTCATTCTTCCTCTGTGGGGGCTCCAGCCCGTTTCCGTCAAGGTGTGCAGAGCAGAGGGTAAGGATGACAATGGCAGGTGCAGCAACATTTTCCCAATGCAGAAGAAGGAAGAGTGTGTGTGTGTGGCTGTGTACACACTCCCAGTTGCGCTGCATCCAGTGCACAACAACCTTTGGTTTGGGAAGTGGTATACAAGTGATGTTAACCACAACCAATATTGATCCTCTCCTTTCTGAGGAAATGCTGTGTTTTGATGCATTCCCCGCCACACCCCCCAAACCAGCTCTGATTTGACTTGTGTAAAGATACGCCCTCACTGTGTTTTAAGCCTGTAATGTGTGCACAGCCTAAATATGTGTTTTGTATGTCAAGGAGCCTTCAGGGTAATAAAGAGGAATGTTTCAGAGTATGTGTGAGCAACCCCAGGAGGGCTCTACCTGTCTAGGAGTACAGGGTGGGGGGTCCAGTTTAGAGATGTGGACATCTTTTCCTAAAGCCATTTCAGCACTGGGAAGGAAACACCCTAAAATTTCAGATGCTGCAAATATGTTCCCCCCCTCCCCCACATTCTCATAAGACCTGACTGGCAGCCTCTGACTGTGTTTCAGTGGACTGCCCTCCCTCCGTCTTCTGACTTCATGTTTGAAGTCTCTACAAATCAATGCAACTCAATAAGTTGCAAAATGGTACCTCTGCCCGTATCTCAACCCTTTGTCCAGAATTCTTACAACATTGTCCTTTCACTGAAAAATAGGCCTGAGTGATGCTCTGTGCTTATGTGAGATTATCTTTCTGAGTGGATCTCTGCTTCCCTTACCTGAGTGGATCTCTGCTTGTTCCAGTTTCCAGGTCCTGCAATAGATGGTTGTAGCATCCCTTACCTGGTGGCTGGGCTACCTTGGGCCAAGCTTGGAGGAAGCATCAGGGACTCACAATCCTATCTAAGTTACTGGTAGTTCCTTTTCAGAACATGCTAATTAAAGTAGGAGTCAGTCTTCAGATACATGGTGCCCAAAGCACAGGAGCCTCCTAGTGTTGCATCATATGCCACAGATGGGAGTTGCCTGTAAGGAACCTCTCACACATATCCCTGTCCGGACCTGTGCCATAGTGATGCTTCCATGCAAAACAAGACAAGCAATAGCTCATTCCAGGCATCACCCCTAGTAGATTGGACAGTAGCATAGCCCTGCTAAAGAAATGACTCTAAATCCAGAAAAGAGCCTTGCTATTTACATCCAGAGCTTTACCAACTGGGCAAACTCTTATTCCATGCCACGTAATAACAAACTTCAGTGGCATTGCCGATTTTGATATTAAGGTTTGCTCTTAAAAGCATACTGTAGGTCTGAGCTGAGGCTCTTTCCTAAGATAGCAGGAGCAAACTCCTAAAAGTACAAGGAGAGCCCTGCTGGGAACCCAACAGGCCCTGTAGTCTAACATCCTGCCTCCCATAGTGGCCAACCAGATGGCAATGACTTTATGCGCAGGGAAGCTACACATAGGGGGCGGCATCAATACAGCTCCTTGCCAAGGGTGCAAGGGACCCTGCAAATGCCTTTGGGAGCATGCCCACCAGAAGTGGGTGACCAGGAAATCCAAGACCAATGAAGGACAGTTGTCTCCCATTAACATGAAGGGCTGTCCCACACAGAAGACAGTTCTTCTCTGTTGCTCCAGAATCAGTGGCTGGAAAAGGCAGAGAAGTACAGTAGACTTCAATGAAACATGAGGGTGGACTTCCAGATAGTGGCAGCTGTTCAGCAGTGGTTTGGGAGCTGGTGGGCTCTCCTTCACTCAAGAAGAGGTTGAGCAGCCATCTCACAAGGTTGTTGTATTTATATTCTGCATTGCAGGCCCCGTACAAAGCAGGAGGTGGGGCTAAGCAGCCTTCAAAGTCCTGTCTGATGCTGTGATTCTAAAAGCATCTGAGCCAAGAGTTCCCAAACTGGTTTACGGCATTTCTGTGGATTTGTGGTTAAAGGCAGGAGACAGCACATCTATTGCATAGAAGATTCATGCTGCATTTTAATTGCTTCTTTTGTTTATTGTATTGTATTACAATTTGAATTCAGTGGATGTGATTTAATACAAGGATGTGATTTAAAAATGCAATTAAAAATCACACAGCATCTAGTACAGCACAACACAATTGCTTCAACAGACAGGCGACACCATTAACCATTTTCGGAGGGCCTGAGTGGTTTGGGAACCATTGGTCTGAGCCACATTGTGCAGAATACAAATCATGGGTCAGGATGAGGGAGACAGGAGGAGAGATGAACGGCTTGTTAGTAGAAGGTGTATTCCGGAGAGCAATAACAACTCACTTGCAACACTGTATAAGAAGCAAGTTCAGTGGGTGTTTTTTGTGGGGTGTTGTCTTTCTCATATGCACCAACTGTGTGCATTCTCAGAAACAAACACACAAATACAGAATGCTGGGGGAGAAGCACACAGCACTTTTATTCCACCTTCTTATTATCTGATACACAATATTTTGTAGGTTTTTGTGGTGCATGCGGCATGAATGTTCAGCTAGCAGGTTCTGTGTGGGAGAGGAAGTTGCAAGGGGGCTGCAACTATTTCTAAGAAGTGAGAGCTCCATCTGACCAGGGGCTTTTGTTTTGTTTGAGCTCTGCCACAATGAGTCATGCCTATTGGGGGGGGGGGGAAATGGGTCCTGCCATTCAGCAGTCTGACTAGTCTCTGACACACCACTCCCCCTGGGAGGGAAAAGGGCCCCACCTCCCTCCTCTCTCCTGTCAGTGGGCTGCAGCTGAGGTACCAGAACAAAATCACAGGGTCCTTTGCGTGCCCACCTCTGCCTCACATGCCTACCCATTGCCCATGCACCGGATGTATCATGCATATGGAGCATCCCTTGGCAATGGCATAAAAGTTCCATGCAAGTCTGTCGCTCATGTAGCAGGCTGGCAATCCAGAACATCCCTTCTACCCCAGGCTAGTGGCTCCCTCCCTCCATTCACAACCTCCTGAGCAGCAGACACATACATGTTCTGTGGCATTCCCTCCCCCCACCCCTTCTTATGCAGCAGCCTGGTTGTTCTGGAATGTGGGCACCATCTATTGCCTGGAGGTGGCACTAGTGTTTGCTGCCTTTGCCCTTCAGGTCCTCTTGGGCAAACATCCTGAGCTGGTTCTATGTCCCCATCCAGGGAAGGGCCATTGCTCAGTGGTAGAGGACCTCTTCTCCCCTGTTCAATCTCTGGTGTCTCCAGGTAGGGCTGGGAATGTCTCCTGCCTAAAACCTTGGAAAGCTGCTGTCAGTCAGTGTAGACAATACTAAGCTGGCAATCATCTGATGCAGCATAAGGCAGCTTCATATTATTCCGGCAGGGTGGCTAACCTTTTTGTTAGAGAAGGACCTAAGTTCAGTGCTAAAATAACAGCAGCTTTGCATGCAGAAAGGCCTGGGTTCAAGTATGGCTGAGAAAAGACTCCTACCTGAAACCTTGATGAGCCGCTGCTGCCTGTTAGTGCAGACAATACTAAGGCTAGACGGTTTTCAGTGCATCCATTCCTTGCCAAGGCAGGTGCTTTACCTGAGAAAGAGGGTGAACTGGCTGTTTGCCCACTGCACAGTCACATTCACTCTTGAGTTCCTTAGTCTCTCTCCAAGGCCTGATGTGATTCTCCTTCACACAAGCCCTTTCTCCAAGCTCTGTCATCTCTGATTACTGCTTCCTGCTGCTCACTCTGCAAAAAAAGAGAGACCTCTTTCTGGGCAAGGCTACTCCCCAGGGCAGCAGCCACATCCACCATTCTGGGAATTCAGCTGCTGTGGGGAATGATCTCAAAGTGCTTTTCCTTGCTAGGAACTTGGCTGCATTTTACTGCCACTACAGATGTAGGAGGGACTGCGCAGGCAGGAAGCCTGGCAGAGAGGCTGGCATGGGATGACCATGAACAGGCCCTGAAGAAGAGGCGGAAAAGGGCTTAGAGGCTAGCAGAATTTATCCTAACCTGCAGCTAGAAATGTTTTCATAGAATCATAGAATTGTAGAGTTAGAAGGGGTCCTGAGAGTCATCTCTTCCAACCCCCTGCAATGCAGGGATCTCAACTAAAGCACCCATGGCAGATGGCCATCCAAGCTCTGCCTAAAAATCTCCAAGGAAGGAGAGTCCACCCAGCAATGCTGGATTACCACATGGGACCCACATTGGGACCCATGCCTTTTAGGGGCCCAATGACAACAGGTAAAATAATATCGATTTGATCTTGAAAGAAAATTACAATCAGGACTTCTTAGTTCAATGCTATCCCACTAGAGCAGGCGTGGTGGGGAGATTTCGACAGCCATGGGGCCTCCACAGGATTTAATCCGGCACTGCTTCCAAAGGAGTCTGTTCTCTTAGTACCATCAGAAAGTTCTTCCTAATGTTTAGTTGGATATTGGAATATCCTTTCTTGTATCTTGAAGCCATTGGTTCCGGTCCTACCCTCTGGAGCTGGAGAAAACAACCTGGCTCCATCCTCCATGTGACTGCCCTTTAGATATTTGAAGATGGCTATCATATCTCTTCTTAGTCTCCTCTTTAGCAGGTTAAACATACCCAGCTCCCTCAATCGTTCCTCATAAGGCTTGGTTTCCTGACCCTTTGTGCATTAGGTGGAAAAATTGTCCAATAGGAACTATTTGTGTGCATGCAGTTTGAGAATAAGGGATTATCAGTAAGGAGCTAGATTGTTCTTTGAAAAAGAAATAAATGAGATTTCTCCCTCCTCCCTGGACCCTGTCTCTTCCTGCTTTCTGAGAGAATAATTCTGGGGTGGAGACGCTTGTGGATTGGGAGGGTCGTCAATACAGATGGGAAGCCTAGACCAGACACTGGGGGGCGCTGGTGTCCAGCAACAGGAAAGAGAGAAGCAGCTTTGCCTTAGTGGACAGCAAGACTTAACCCTGAGCCAGCCAAGATCCAAGCCCTGCCTGTGACATGTTGCCAGTGACAGAGCCCACGTGAAATCCTCACAAAGAAGCGTTGGGTGCCCTTGAGCACGTACAGAGTCCTGCCAAGAGGTCCCAGCCAAGCACCCGGCATCCCTCTGTGATTTAAGGGCTGGGCTTGCAGATAGGAAGATATCGTCAGGCCTAGGCTGGCTGTTGACGACCAGCCCCCTCTCCTTGTATCATACTGGCTACGGGAGCGGGGAGGACACTGAACCACTGCGAGGCCAATTGTCGACCTCCCTGCTTCCAGCACCGACATATTCCTCGGGCAGGGGAAATGAGTGAGGCCTTTCTGCCTTCAGTTGTATACAGGTGAACCGGACCTTGGTGGGGGAAGGGCCAAATTTAGGTTTGATGAGGCCCTAAGCTACTGAATGTAATGGGGCCCTTTATATGTCCAGCTGTCCTTTGTCAACAACAAATTGTCGCTGTTTTTTGTGTTGAATATATGCTATTTCGGGGCCCATTACTTACATCATAGGAGCCTACACAACACAAACACTGTTGCTGTATGCAGGTTTTATTTTATTTCTTTTTTATCTTATATTTTGGAAATGTACATCCAGGGTTTCTTTTCCTTTAATTTTTTTGGGGGGCCCCCAAGAGAGTGGGGCCCTAAGCTATAGCTTGTTTAACTCATATCTAAATCTGGCACTGGTGGGGGAGCCAGGAGAGCGTTGCCTCTGAAGGGACCCACCCTGGCAAGGAGCTCCTGCTTGTTGCAGCCTGCTGTTCTTCCTGCTGCGGTTCTCGCCTGTCAGAGAGGGGGCAGCCTTTCCTCCCCCCCTACCGCCAACACACACACACACACACACACACTTAGGGAAGAGGTCAGCAGAGTCTCCCGCCACATGCCTTTGTTCTCCCCCAGGAATTGCAACGACAACCCAGACACAAAGGAGGGCGTAGGGGGGAAATGACAGGAAACAGATCTGTGGAACCCCTCCCCATCTCCCCACCCAGGAAAAGGGGGAGAGTAGGGAGAGGCAGCTTCCTGCCCGAGCTGGCTGAACAAAGGGGAGGCGGGCGGGGAGCCTCCTCGCTCTCTCCTCCTGCGCACCTGGGACCGCGAAGGGGCTTTTGTTCTGCCGACTTTCCCCACCCGCATCATCTCCCCCCACTTAGGCGATGGCCCATCGCCCGTAGCCCCCATAGTTCTCCGCCCTTGTTCCCGGTTGGATGGTCTTCAGTTGCCCCTTGCAAATTGCAAGCAGCCGAGGAAGAGAGACCCACGACGAGGCCCCACCCAGCGGGCAGGGGCGGGCTGGGCACTGCTGAGTCAGGGGGGTTCGCTCAGCTGGCAGTTAGTCAGCAGCAGGAGAGCACAGAAGCTGCGGGCAAAGAGTTGGCCAAGCGGCAAAAGGTTCGAAGGAAGCGCCCATCATCCGAGCCTCACTGGAAGGAAACACGCGTGTTCAAAACCGATTGTTAAAAGCACCCCAACCTCAGCAAAATACACAGAGCTTCAATGCAGGATGGCCCCTCGAAAAATATATATATATATATATATATATATATATATATATATATCTGTCTTCAAAGGGCTGGGTGGGCGGGCGTGATATCAAGACAAACGGAGAAGCCCCCAGTCACAAAGCAGAGCGCTACTGTCTGGCTGGGGAATAAGGAAAGAGGCGCGCCAAGGAAGGATGGTTTGGCGACCCCGTCGGAGGCCATCAAAGGCAAATGCAGGGCTGGGGCGAGACTGAAACTTGAGACCTGATAACAAAGATGCCCCCCACCCAAGAGACATCCCAGGAAAGTGGCTGTCCCCCTCACGCACCCCGAGGTACCGCAGCGGCCCACGAAGGCAGGCCCCACCCGCCCACTCTGGGATGTGAACCTCCAAGTCGCTTCAGGCAACAGCCTGGGATGCCTCCTGCATCAGCCACCTCCCCTGGGCCTTTTCTTTTGCACGGGCCTTTTCCTCGATGCCGGCTTGCGGGCGGGGCGGAGGGAGCGCGGGCCTTTCCCTGCCCAGCCTGGCAGCCCGCTTTGTACCAGGCAGCGCGGCTCTGGCCGGCGCCGAGGGATGCGCTGCTGGTGCTGATGCTGCAGGGATGTTGCAGTATTTTGCAGCGGCGCCTCCTGATTGGCCGCGGCGTCGGCGCTGACGTCAGCGCCCCGGCCTGGGTGCAGCGGGAGGCGCCTATAAAACCCGCCGGCAGCAGCCTGGACGCCTCCGCCAGCCGCTCCGCCAGCTGCAGCCGCCGCCCACCCACCCGCCTGCCTGCCCGCAGCCGCCCCCCCGTAGCACCAGCCGCAGCAGCATGAGGGAGATCGTGCACATCCAGGCGGGCCAGTGCGGCAACCAGATCGGAGCCAAGGTAAAGGCATGGGGAGGCGGAGACGCGCGCTGCTGGGGCTGCGGAGCTCCCCGCCGCCCCCCGACGGCTCCTCCAACGGGACTTGGGGGCTCCCTGGCTGATCCTGCCCGGCACGTTGCGGGCCGCCTGGAAAAGAGCCAAGCGTTGCGCCGACGAGGCGCCCGGCTGCTTTGCCGCTCCCCTTGCCCTAGATCCGGGCGAGGTAGCCAGGTGTCAACTCGCCAAGGCGGTGGGGCCGGTTCCCTGGCTTGGGACCGGGGTGGGGCGTGCCCTGCGCTGGCAGCGGCGGCGCCTTTGTTGTGGCCTAGTCTTCCCCCGCCCTGCTGTGGGCGTGGAGGCACCCCAGGGCTGCGGGGCAGAGCCTCCTGCAGGAGGTGAAAGTGCCCTCCGGCTCCCTAGGAAAGGCACTCCTTTGCCTTCTTGGCGGCTAGCCAGTAGGTGGCCCAGGCCAGCGTCTCCTAAAAAGTCCGCCCTGGGCATCCTGACGCGGCTGTCAGAGGCCCGTGGTCACCCTTTGTTGTTGGCGCTTCTGATGGGAGACAAAAGGAAGGAGTGGTCTTCCTCCCGCCCCCTCCGCCACGCCCATCCAGGCAAGGGGGCTGCCACACCCAGGAAGCAGGGGACCCTCCTGAGTCTCTTAGAACAAAGAAACCCTTCCCTCTGCCTGTGACCTTGCAAGTTCCTGCTGTAACCTTGGCTAGGTCAGGAGGCAACTTGGGCGATCTGGCTATTTGTTTACACTCCTTTCCCACCTTTTCTCTATGGGGAGTGCTATGGGGCAACATTTCAGCCCTGCTTCTGCAGGGGAAGGGCGGGGCCACCTTTTTTTGCCCTGTCTTCTTGTCCCATTGGGTTCAGGGGAATGGCTATTCCTAAAGACTTTCAGGAGCCTTTTCCTCCCTTTGCCAAGTGGTTCTGTGGATGACAGATGGAAGGTAAACAGATTTCAGCCTGTGATGCCCCCACCCCTGGACAAAGCATCTTCGCCTCCCCTTCCCCTTGCAGCTTCAGGTAATGCAGGACACAATGGTGAAGAGTTGTCCACTCCTGGAGACAAAGAGGTGTGGGGATTCTGAGCGTCCTGTGGCATCTTCTGATATATGAAACAAACAGAATGTTTGATGTCATGACAGGATCCCCTCCTGTTTCTTGATGGGGCAGCTTTTTCCTAACTACCGGTATTTGTTAAGTGAAATGGCTGCTCTTGGCTGGTGCAATTGGGTCAGGGAGAGAAACAGGGAGCACCCTCTCTCTGGGCAGCAAGGGATGGTCTTATTTTTGTTAGGGGAAATGTCCAAAGGGAAATGAACAATCCTGCAAAAATAGGGGGTCTCTCAAATGGGTTTTCAGTTTCTGCTTTCCCAGGAGACACCTGCTGCCATGACTTAGTGTCACAAAGACAGCTAATAATCCATTAAGTCAACCCCCCCCCCGCTCTCTCCCTGCTCTTCTCTCCTCCACCCTTCAAAACCAGACATCTGTGCCTGCTCTGAATAAAAAGGAAGGCCAGCCTGCTGCAGTGTGATTGTACCACTTAATGCTCTATCCCCGTGGGGCAGGGTAGCAGCACAGCAGGCTGAAATCAAATCAGGCCTCTGGAGCTCTTCTGCAGCTGGGGCCGGGAGCTCCCTTGCCTCTCCCCCACCCCACTTAGGAGAGAGGGATAGTCTGGTCATTATGCTGGATGCAGGGAGGTGGGCGAGGGGTATGAAGAGCACCTGCTATTCACCCACAGCCAGTAAGCTATTTAAGAAGCTGAATAATGAACCTTGAAAGACTGCCAGTCTCTTCCCACCACCACTCAGAGCTCCAAGTGTGGCAGCTTCGCCACATGTCTCCTGAGGAAGAGGTGGGTTAGCCACACCTTCTGCAGCAAGGAAGTCAAAATGCCCAGGATTGTACTTGAGATTCTCAGAAAGGAACATTCTCCTCTTTAAAAAAAAAAAAAAGACACAGGGTGTTTTCTACCCTCCACCCTCAAATGCTGAACGTGGAATCCTGTGGAAAACCAAAGGAAGTTGAATGGATTTCACATGATCTGAGACAACCTTGGGTTCTGTTGCAATCTTCCCTGAAACTGGGTTACTAAGGCAAGGGAATAGGGTTCTCCACTATCTTGCTGCTCCTGAGTCAGGGATTTGGGGACAGGCAATCATCAGTTGGGGCGGTGATGCTGGAGGCTAGCTTTCTGCATAGTTTACCTAAGCAGACTCATGCATATGCTAATCTGCATGAATAATTCATTGTAAACTCACAGGTTCTGTAATTGACACATCTGATCAACACAGAATAGAAGCTGGCTTTGGAATGGAAGCCTGGCTTGGCAGCCCCTGAGATATTTAAGGATTGTTCTTTTTCTCTTTTTCTAAAATAAGAACAACTTTATTTAACCTATTTGGATTCCTGCATCACTCTAGATACGGTATGCCCCAGAGAATTCTGCTGCCAAATCCAGGGTGTTGATTTCAGAAGCCGTCTCTTAAGCAATGCCTGTGCCACGACAAAGAACTATGCTTTATTCATGCCTTAAGCTGGACAGTTCACTTAATTATGCATTGGTGTTCCTTTGAAACCTCTCAGAATATGGGCAGGAGTTAATTTGGGGGAAAAAGAGATGACAGTCACTTTTTCACATCTGAGTCTTCCCTTCCATGGAGCTAAGGGCAGAGAACGGCAGATTGTTATCCATTTCAATCTCTCAGCATATTTGTATGGAAGGCTTGGGGGGGGGACCCTTGTAAGACCCATGCAGTGAGCTTTATGGCTGAGCCAGGGATTTGAATTTGACTCAGCCTGTTCCAAGTCAAATGAGACCAAATGAATTGACAAGAGGGCTTGACCCTTGCATCTGTCTGCAGTCCTAGGGCTTAGTCTCACTTCCGTCACTGAGTAACCTTGGGCCACCTCTGCATATATAGGATTATATCACTTTCCAGATCTGCTTCATTTTTAGAAACAATTTATTGGTGAAGAGGCCTTCTCAAGGCAGATCTTTTTGCATTGGGTGCTCAGGGGGGGATCAGCCTTGTGGCATGTGGCTGACGCCATTGTGTTTACAGTCTTCCTGACCTTGCCATCAATTTCAATTTGTCCTCTTAGTAGTGGGAGCTCCCTGGTAATTAAAGCTCTGTCCACTGGAGATGGTTAGCATTCATGACATGCATCTTCCTTTCTCTCCCCCCCCTCCCGCATTGTTCAAACTAATTTAGCAAGGACTGAGCAGTCTCCTATAGATTGCTGTAAACAAGCCTTTTTCTCCTGTCCTCCTCACTGCCTTGTTAAAACAGAAAGTCCTTCTGTTAGTGAAAAGCTCCACAAAAAGAAGCCCTCTCTGTCGTCCTCTAGGAATACAGCTTAGCCCTTGCTTGCAAGAAGCAATTAGTTCCAAGGTAAAAAGTTCTGGAAAATGCATCATTAGCAGCTGTCCCTCCTAAGGGAGATAGAGTGCTCTTGCTGCAGTCTGCGTAGTGCTGTGGCTCGTAATAAGTTTGCACCAATAACCAGCAGTGCGAAGTCATGTGCTTATTTGCCGGTGAGATGACTCTGCACAAATTTAGCTGCTTTTCCTTGTAGCTTATTCCCAAAGCAAAATGCTGTGTTGCTTGTCAAAATGTGTACAACAGCCTGATCAACTCTTGCCTCTACCTTTGTCTTCATGGCTAAACACGGCAGATGAGGGCAGGAGTTTTGACGTGCGGCAATACCCCGTCTGAATGTTCTCACTTTCAGCAGCCTTAAAATACTAAAAGCTCAGCCAAATGGCTGCTTCTCTGTCTCCTTCACTGCGGTGTAGATTCCAAGAAACAAAGCTAGGAAAGCAGTATCTTTAAGGTAGCAAGAGGTCATGGTTTCAGCACCATGGCCAGATCCCTAGAACAGCACACAGCGCTTGCAAGAACGAAGCTTTTCTGCTCTGGGTCTCACTGTAGGCTAGTGAGAGAGCCCTCTCAAGGATGGCTTTGCAGAAAGGGCTCTTAGCAACCTTCAACTACCAAACGCAGCTACAGCTGCTGATGCAGTGCTACTTGGCACTTGCGAGTAGCAAATCAAATTTATTTGTGTATTTATTTCTATCCCATCTTTGTGTTGTTCAAAGGGATGTACTTGGCTCTCCTTCTCTCCCTTTTATCCTCACAATAACCCAGTGAGGTAGGTTAGGCTGAGATGTGATGACCCAAGATCACCCAGTGAGCTTCCTACTGAGCAGAGATTTGAACCCTGGTCTCCCATGTCCCAGTCCAATACTCTTAACAGCTACACCACACTGGCTCTCTCTATGTCACTCAGTTAAGCACCCCCCACATTCAAAAGAACTGCTTGCACTCGCACAAGGGGTGGCATACTGGATAAGATTTACAGGATAAGGTCAGTGCTCAGCTTAGCCCAGTATGATGTCTCCAGCAGCAGATCAACTCAGAATGCTTTCCCCCAGTGTGGATAATGAAAAAGCTAAACAGCCCAATGCGGGTGGGAATTTCCTTTGTTTCTAATGGTATAAAACAAGAATGTCCAATTCTTTAGCTGACAACATGTAGAAATGTTAATTCTTTCTATCTCCCCCTCTCCACTCTTCTTTCAGTTCTGGGAGGTGATCAGTGATGAGCATGGTATAGACCCCAGTGGGAACTATGTCGGTGACTCTGACCTGCAGCTGGAAAGGATCAGCGTTTATTACAATGAAGCCTCTTGTAAGTTGTGCTCCTACCCCAGACCTGACTGCTCTTCCTGATAGGCAGGGATATTTTGGTATACCAAGACACTTCCTCCTGGCCTCCTCTCAGAAATGAAACTGGAAGGTTTTCACCATTCCAGGCAGATGACAATGGCCCTTCCCCTAAGCACTTGTAGCGGCATAGAGTATGCCATCTATACTGCCACCTCCTTCCAAGTGAGGGAAAAGCACCCCAGGACTGCCACTCTCACCTTGGATAGCACCCAGTTTTGCAGCAACATTGCAAAAAGTATTCTTCCTTGTCGCCTTTGTTGACCAGCCTAGTCCTCTTTTGAGGCAGAACGCTACAGATTTGAACAGCAGCCCTGGAAATTATATGGCTGGTACTGAGTACTGCCTTGGGTCTCTAGTCATGGGTCAAGGGCAGGCTGCTTTGAGCATGCATCCTTTAATGAGTTAAGGCAGCAATGATGGTGGGGAAGCCTGTGACATTCCAAATACTCCACAATGCCCATCGTCTCTGACAACTGACTACCCTGGTTGTGGCTGATGGGAGTTGGAGTCCAACAACCTCCAGAGAGTTGCTACAGATTCCCCATCCCTAGTTTAGAGGAAGAGATAAAGAAGCTCAGCCCCACAGTATAGTCTCCTTGGTAAAGGATTCCCTGGATTGCTGGGCAAGAACATCTGAAAAGGCTAGGTGGGAGCCTGATGTCGGGCAGTGCCCAATTTTGGCTTTGGTGAGCATCCTGCCAAATGGGTACAAGGAAGGGAGATGATGTGGGAGATCAGGAATCTTATAATCACCCCCCCCCCAACACAATAACTCCTGTTGTAAATCAGCAAGGTTGTCTCTCTGGCTGATTGCAATGAAGGCAAATCTTCCTTTGTGTTTTCCAGCTCACAAATATGTTCCTCGTGCTATCCTGGTGGACCTGGAGCCTGGCACCATGGACAGTGTTCGTTCAGGTGCTTTTGGGCACCTCTTCAGACCAGACAACTTCATCTTTGGTATTGTTTCTCTGCTTTCTTCTGCTGCCTGACTCTTTTCCCTTTTCTCTCTATCATAGCTTCTCTCAGATGTCATCCAGTTTTAAGCCAAAGAAATAGCACAGTTTGACCTCAGACTTGCATAACTAATACTAAGCTGTAGTATTTCGAGGTTTTTGGAGCTGCAGGCAAGGAAGGCTGGAAATCTTGGGACGGGGCAGCTGGCTTTTAAGGAAAGGGTTAGGTCAGATTCTTTCCAGGGTAGAGAATCTCCACTCCTTGATCACAGCTTGCTGCTGCCTAATACATCTTTATTTCTAAAGGCTCATACAGGTGCTTCAAACATATAAGCTAAAATCAAAAGGCAAACATCTTCAGCAGACTCCATGCACACCTAATTTGTATGCTTGGCCTCTAACCTCTGTGCTCCCCACACAACTCCTGCTTTATAGGCTCTTCCTGTGCCAGTCACTGCCCCATTTCTCTGGGCATTTTAAGTCTCCAATTAATGAGAATCTTACAAGAGCTACAAATGGAGGAAGTTAAAAGTGGCACAGCAAGCTATTGTTGCGTACTTTCCCTTTTTTTACTTAAGTCTGGTGGGCTTTCAAAACTTTCAAACTCTGATTGGTCAAAAGGTAACAGGTGTCCCTGAATGTTATGCCATAGGGATGAGTAGATCTGTACCTTCCCCAGTTGACAGGACAGGGCACACAGATCAGTGCTGGTTGCTACACAAGATGGTGTTAGTGTCTCTTCCTTCACAGGACAAAGTGGCGCTGGGAACAACTGGGCAAAGGGTCATTACACAGAAGGCGCTGAGCTGGTGGATTCCGTCTTGGATGTAGTGCGAAAAGAGTGTGAGAACTGCGACTGTCTACAGGGCTTCCAGCTCACTCATTCCCTGGGTGGGGGTACGGGGTCTGGCATGGGGACTCTCCTCATTAGCAAAGTCCGTGAAGAATACCCAGACCGGATCATGAACACTTTTAGTGTGGTGCCTTCCCCCAAAGTGTCTGACACGGTGGTGGAACCCTATAACGCTACCTTGTCCATCCACCAGCTGGTGGAAAACACAGACGAGACCTACTGCATTGACAATGAAGCCCTCTATGACATCTGCTTCAGGACCCTCAAGCTGGCCACGCCCACCTACGGAGACCTCAACCACCTCGTTTCTGCCACCATGAGTGGTGTCACCACCTCCCTGAGATTCCCAGGGCAGCTCAATGCCGACCTCCGCAAACTGGCCGTCAACATGGTGCCCTTCCCTCGCCTCCATTTCTTCATGCCGGGCTTTGCTCCGCTGACGGCCCGCGGGAGCCAGCAGTACCGAGCCCTCACTGTCCCCGAGCTCACCCAGCAGATGTTTGACGCCAAGAACATGATGGCCGCTTGCGACCCCCGCCACGGCCGCTACCTCACGGTGGCCACCGTCTTCCGGGGCCGCATGTCCATGAAGGAGGTCGATGAGCAGATGCTGGCCATCCAGAGCAAGAACAGCAGCTATTTCGTGGAGTGGATCCCCAACAACGTCAAGGTGGCTGTGTGCGACATCCCTCCCCGGGGCCTCAAGATGTCCTCCACCTTCATTGGCAACAGCACAGCCATCCAGGAGCTCTTCAAGCGCATCTCAGAGCAGTTCACGGCCATGTTCCGGCGCAAGGCCTTCCTCCACTGGTACACTGGCGAGGGCATGGATGAGATGGAGTTCACAGAGGCAGAGAGCAACATGAACGACCTCGTCTCGGAGTACCAGCAGTACCAGGATGCGACAGCCGAAGAGGAAGGAGAGATGTATGAAGATGACGAGGAGGAATCGGAAGCCCAGGGTGCCAAGTGAAGGGCTGGGGCCCCAGGCAGCGCTTGGGTTCCTCCCAGTGAGAGCCAAGCAGTGACATGGGCCTGTCGTTCATCGCTGTCCATCTTTGCTACTCATTTGCTGAGTTGTAGACAACCAGCTTCTAGTTGCTTCTGATTCAAGGGTTCCAAAACTTAAAAGCTGTTCGGTATTTAACCCCCTTCCTCCTCCTCTCCCCCCCTCCGCCCTATATTCCCTCTCCTTTGCCCCCCAAGTCTTATAAGTTAGTGCAGCTCCCTCTGTCCATGACTTTGATAACTTCAAGGGCCCTGGTCTTTATTTTTTACTGGTCTGTGTCTATTTTTATGTTTTGGAATACTTAATAAATCTATTGCTGTCCAGCATCTTGGGTGTCCCCTTTCTCTCATTTGGGATAGGGGAGCATGTTTGTGAAGTGGGGAGGGGTTGGAGTGCTGGGTAAAGGAACTGAATGAATGTTGTGGTGTGGCACAACCACTCCCTTGGAGAGTGTTGGTGTGTGTCTGTCTAGTGCAGCCTTCCACAAGCTGGTGTCTTCCTGGTGCTTTGGACTACACCTTCCCTCAGCCCCAGCTAGCACAGTCATGGGTCAGGGGTGATGTGGGTTGGAATACAAAACATCTAGAGGGCACCAGATTGAAGAACACTGGACTAGAAGGCAAACACCAGCTGGAAGTCAACCACACACAGTGTTGCTTGGCAACTGAGGGCAAGCATCAAGGTCCAGGCTTGGCTTTTGAACTATCCACCTTGCCGTGTTTCCAACCAGAGAAAGTCAGCAATTGCACTTAGGGTGGTCACTTTAAAAACACACACACCCCAACAACTTTAGACAATTTCATGCAGGCCAATCAGTGGTTACTAATGAAAACAGCTTCATATTCAAAGAGGGGTGCGCTTTGGGATAGAAATTCAGGCCTCCCCTCTTATCAGCAGAATGAGTGGGAGGTCCCTTACATGCAACAGAATGGCCTTGCCATAATTGGAAAGTAACACATTCCTCTATGAGCAGGAGGGCCATGAAGTCCAGCATCTAAAATGATTGAACACCACTGCTATGCTTAGAACAGTTGCCTCCCAGATCCTGGGGTCAAGCTGGGAGGAGCTATGAAATGGTCACTGCTGTAGGAGGTAGCTGCGCATCTGGCTCTGCTTAAGAACTGATTTACTCACAGGACTGGCTTCAGCACATGGTGAGCCTTTGGCCAAGAACTCCCCTCTCACCTGAATGTGCTTATATAGGCCATAAGTTGTGCCACAGAATTTGTGGGACTGGGTCAAGAGAGAGACAATGTGCAGCTTCCCACTTGGGTGGCAGATGTTTAGGAATGAGCACTTGCCTATGGGTGTTGTGACACTGGTGTGACTCCTCTCAATGGGCCCCTCAGTTAGCTGAGCCTCAAGAAATGCCTAGTGAGAAGGCTGGCTCTTGGCAGCAGCTGTGATCTGCGGGGCGAATCCTAAAGTGAGGATTGGCTCAGTGATGTAGGTGGGGCACATCAGATGTCTTCAGGGTGGTGGAACAGACTATTCTAATGCCCCACCTACATGGCTGATGGGAATGACACCAGGCAGAATGCAGACCTTACCCCAAAAATAGTAAGAGAGAGTTTTGCACTGGAAAGAACACACTCCTGCCTCTAATGACAACTGCTAAGATTCAAATGTTTGCTGCAACAGTGGACCACCTATGTAACTTACCACAGAATAACCCGAAGCTATGATCACTCTTGGAATCCAGTTGAACCAGCTTTCACCAACCTGGTGGTCTCCAGACATTGTTGGACTACAACTCCCATCAGCGCTGACGGGAGCTTTAGTCCAACGACATCTGGAGACCACCAGGTTGAAGACTCTAGGATAGCAGTCCATCTTTTCTACCTTACTATGGTCCTGCTACTGCAGACTATGGCAGTCTTTCTGGAAGTTCCTTCTGAGCAGTGTCCTGCAAGATGGCCCTCAGCAGCACCATATCAAAGATGCCTCCTGGGACCCACCCAACATTGCTGAGGTCCACTCTTTAACCTGCCACACTGGCATTCTCAGGAAGGTGCCTTATTCTGAGTCATTCTGCCATCTCGTTCAGCACTGTAGACTACAGCTCCCAAGGTTTTCAGACGCAAGGGGTTTATTTCCTGCCAGACACAAAGATGCTGCTGATTGAACCTCAGGCTATGTGATGGCCTGTAACTCGGAGCCAGAGGAGTCTCAGTCCACACTGGATCCTTTGCCTCAGGTGGCATCTGAACCAAGTCTGGGGCCTGATTCTGAAGAGCCCCAGTCTGCACAGGTTCCCCTGCAACAAGCACCAGCTGGGCCGAGTCAGGGGCCTGAGCCTGCCCTGGCTCCAGATGCTGGAATTACCTCATTGCCTTCAGCTGGGCAATCACTTACAGCTGCTCCACTACCAATTGGGTCGGGAGAGGTTGACCTCTGGGTCTAGTAACCCACCAACATCTCCCGAGCTGCAGAGGCTGAGGTCTGAGAGAAGGAGAGACCTAAGTACTCACAGGAGGAGTGCTCACCTTTGGGTGAGACAGGGAGGTGAGTCACTGGGGGATCAGGACCCCGACAGAGATAAAAGGCTGCTGGACCCCGCCCCAGGTTGAGGGACCTCGTGTCCTGCCTTGGCCCTGTCGGACTGACTCCTCGCGGAACCCTTGGATTTGGGACCAGACCTGGACCATGTTACTTGGCTTACCCCCGGGCCTAGCACAGGCTGCCTGCCTGCAAAACATATGCTCTACCACTAAGTTTATGACACTTCCCCTGGGAACACAAGAAGCCACCATATACTGAGTCAGGCCATTGATCCATCTAGCTCAATATTGCTCACACTGATTGACAGCTCTCTGGGATTTCAGGCAGGAATCTCTCTCCCATACCTGGAGACACCAGGGAATGAATCTGTTACCTTCCTCACGCATGGAGGTTTTAGCCCCAACTCGAAATGTAAAGGGAAACTTTCTACCTACCACTTTAGGTTATTTTTCTATACATACATAATTTGTGTATTATAAATGCACTGCAACAGGATGGGCTTATACAGTGAAATCTTACTACTTAACATGAATAGAAACAAAAGAAAGCAAAATGAGAAACCCTTTCTCAAAGTCATAAAAGATATCTGATGTAACCACAGATGCCCCCGCAGCTATGTAAGTTGTTCACTAATGTAACGATGGCCTGGTAGGCTGACTTTTGAGCATATCCTTGCATATCCTTGGGAAGGGCTCTCTCGGGCCTCTTTTGCGAGACAGACTCCCTACACATCTAGAACTTTTATTCACTCCCTTTTTTCAGGACCTCGCAAGAAAAGCCCGAAGGAACACCTTCGTGCAAATCAATTAAATGAAATGGGGCGGTGGCCGCGGAAAAGGGCTTCTGCCCTGATGTTTTTACATTAGTCAAAGACTGTCCGTAGTCGAGGTCTTGTGTGAGGGAGGACTGACAGCTGTCTTTGCTCGGGACTTGCGCGGTCTGCACTGCAGGGAAGCGGGCTGCTCCGAGCCAGGATGCCGAACCCCCTTCCTTCCGTGAAGCGCATCTCCTTTTCAATTTGCAAGGGACCCGCAGGCCTTTCTGCAGCGGCGCCCCCTCCTGGGCCTGATAGGCGCCGCGGCTCCTCCGGGCCGCGCGGGGGCAGCAGCGGGCCGGTCCGCGCGGGCCGGTTTGGGCGGCGCTCGTCGCTGGCCAAGGCTTGGCTGGGGGCGCCCCGCCGAGTTGCCATGTAGCGAGCCGAAGAAACGGCGCGTCCGGGCCGGGCAGAGGCGCGGGCAGCCGGGCCGGGCCAGGCCGCATCCCCCACCCACCCCCATGGGCGCGCAGGTAAGGGCCGCGGAGCGCAGGGGGCTCTTCCGGGCTTCTCCCCCTCGGGAAAGGGGGTCCCTGGGGTCGCGGCGTGGGGGGTGTTAGGCGCTCCCCTCTCTCGCTGCGCCCCTCGCCGCCGCCTCGGGGCTCCAGGGAGCCTCGGTTTCCCCGGCTGCCAACCTTTCAGGTCGATTGAGGCGGGGTAGGAAGCGGCTCGGGGTTGCTTGAGGACGCGGCTCCCCACCCCCACCCTCGAAAGTGGGAGAAAAAAGCCCTGCACCTCCTTCCCCTCCCCCTCCCGCGCCTCGAGATTTGGCTCTTCTGCTCCCCACGCAGGACCCTCTTCCCTCCTTCGACCCGGCAAGAGACTCCGCCGCCCGGTGGGACACAGCAGGTCTTGAGCGTGCAGCCTGGCTCACTTGCTGAAGCCCTCTGGCTTTGCTCCTGGTCGTGCCTTCCCTCTGGGACCGCCCTTCGCGCCTCTCCCCCCCCCCCCAATAATAATATTAATTCAGTTATGGGCCCCTTCTGATCTAGGGATCCCCTCCCAGGGATCTCTGCGTTTGTTTTTGTTGTTTTCACCCGCCCGAGGCCTCTCGCAGCCTCTTCCAAAAAAGCACGGATCTGAAAGGCAAAGCCTGTGAAAACCCGTTTCAAAACGTACGCCACACGAAAGAGAAAGGACGTGGAAGGCCATTTAGGGTTGAGAAACCTCATTCTCCCTGCCTTGGAAGTGTGGTTTAATATCCAGATACACTCCCAAGTGGCAGTAGGGGGTTGCCTTTGGGGCTCCTCTCTTGGCTCTGCAGGTCCCCATTTCTGCTCCCCTGATTCTCACAGCCCACCAGCAATGCCAAGACACTCAGTCCTGGGCACTTCCTCAGTTGCCTCTCTGCCTTCTGCATCTGTTCTTTCATGCTGCTTTGGGTGCCTGGAAATGCCCTCTGTGCCAGCTTTTGCTGCTGCACCAAGCTTACATGTGTGCATGTGGTGAGCACCTTGGACACTAACGGCCTCATGTGATCGGTAGGTGCAGAATGTGGGACAAAGGATGCTTTCTAGCTATGGTAATGGGTTTGCTGGTACAGTGGCCTTGCCATCTGATTATCTACAGAAAAGTAGGCTAAGACAAGAGCCCACCAGTTGCTTTGGCAGGAAAGGTCATTGCTCAGTGGTTAGAGCATCTGCTTTGCATGCAGAAGACCCCAGGTCCAATCCCTGATGGTATATCTAGGAAGGGCTGCAAAAGGCTCCTTAATCTCAGCCCTTGAATAGCAGCTGCCAGTCAGTGTAGACAGTACTGAGCCAGATGTACCAATGGTCTTACTCCTTTGTATATTCCTATAAGCGTGCAACCGACAGTGCCATACCAGGTGTTTTGCACTACAACTTTCATTAGGCTCAGTGAGCACTGCTGTTGCTGGCATCTGGAGGGCACCAAGTTGATGAAGGCTGGTTTAATGTGTTCTTCAAAGTATAATGTTATATGTAGCACAAATTGAGGTATTTCATCAGGTTTACTCATTTTTCAAAAGGAAAAATATTTTAAAGTCAGCCAGATTTTTTTTCCTGCTGCTTATATTTTATTTTGTTTATTTCACTATTTGTAGATTGCCTTTCAGGCTGTTCACATCATATTAAAGGCACAAAATTATACAACCCTGAGGTTGTAAATGTTAAATTCTATACACCTAAAAAACTAAAACAGCAGCACCTAAAAAAACAACACAAACAACCAGCAGAATAAAACTCAACTGGAAGCAGGAGGTTTTTCTTTTTTAAAAAAATGCCTTGGAACAAAGCAAACATCACTTTTCTAAACTGATGTGGACAACCTTAGAGCTCAATTATCAATGTCTTCATGATGAAAAAAAGGCTTCTTGGATTCTATTTGTGTTGTTTCCTGTGGTTAGTAAAGGGAAGGTGCTAATAGCCCAACAAAGTGAAGATGATGTCATTTTAAAGGCTCCTTAGAGCATGAGACAGAAGGGAAGAGCAGCTAATGGAAGGTTCTCATATATGCACTTAAATCTCAGTAGGGAAGTTGGAACAGAATGGTAAAAAGAGATTTGTACAATAACATGCTTGGAAATCTGTATTTCTTTGATAATAGTTATCCTAATAATGATAATAATTTTTGTGTGGTTGTCACCCCACCAACTGATTCCTTGCCATCAAGGGACAATGAGACAAGGCTGATTGATGTCATGCTGGTTTCAAATTCATTTAGCTGGCTTTCTTACTAGCCCTTCTCTGAGGGTCCCTAGATAACCATCAGTGGTCATGTGATGTTATGGACAACTCCATTGTTGGAGGCTCCAATTCCCAAAGTGGAAGGCTAAGCATGGTTACATATAAAAAGTAGTCTCTCAAGCAAGTGTGGTTGTATGCATCAGGGGTGGTCTTGGCCATGTGAACTACTCTTCGTCAACAGTGTTAGAAACTGGGATAGAAAACTTAGGAGCCAAATGGCTCCTGGGTTGTGGGCACTTTTAATTTATTATTTTGATAAGCATGAACTAATATGCAATTCTCATAAGTGACACATTGTTAATATAACATTTTAGCAGAAATTGTTAATATATGTTTAATTTGGGGTTTACAATAAAAATATTCGTACCGTACTTCAGTTTTCAAAATATTCTACCCTTTATTGTTAAACTTCTTAACATATTGTCTATCCTTAACATATACTTCAAGGCTTCAAAGCACATATATTTCTGTAATCCTTGAGTGTCAGCCTGGCACAAAAAATGGCACCCAGACTTTTTGAGGTGCTTGCAAATGGGGAATCTTTAGGTGCAAAATGCGCCTGGTGCCCTGCTAATTTTAGACCCTGTTCCTCAACCTGGTGGCCTCTGGGTGTTTTAGATTACAACTACCATCAGTCCCAGCCAGCACAGCACAAAGGATTGTATTCAACTAAGTCCTACTCAGAGTACACCCATTATAATTGGTGGTCATGTCCATTAACTTTGAGGGGCCTACTGTGAGTAAGAGTGGTAGCAAATATGACCACAAATGTCTGAAGGGCACCAGGTTGGAGAAGTTTGATATAGACTCAAAGTGGCCAAAGTTTGCCTAGCTGTGCTGTCCACTGGAGTTCTTGGGGATTCCAGGAAGGAACTGGCAGTGACATCATTGTGCAGGAAGGGATGACACCTGACTGATGCACAGGAGCTGCCCGGCTGGATGCCTGCATGACTCTGCAGAGTTATTGTGTAGCCATCAAAGGCTGCAGAACTGGCTTTACTACCATCTGGGGGACAAACAAGCCTGAGAAGGTGCCTATGAAGGCAGAAGCCATATGGGAGACACCATCCTGAGTGGCTTCTGGCTGGTCTGGGCCCTTATGAGGAGCAGACAAGCCAGGAGCTACACCAGGAGTGGGGTCTGCCTAGTCCTAACGTGTGACACCTCTAGCCCCTCACCTTGGCTTCTGTGTGTGGCTTTGGCAGGTCGGACTGCTATGGAATATGACAAGAAGCTGGCTCGTTTCCGGCAGGGCCACCTCAACCCGTTCAACAAGGCCCCGCTGCAAAGCCAGCATGACCAGAAGACTGGGGAGACTGGAGAGGAGTTTCAGCAGAAAGGTGAGTAAGGCAGCTGAGTTCTTCCCTTGGGTAGGGTTCATAAGGGCGTAATATTGAAGCTTGAAGTTAGATCCACTTAAGAAGAGGGGGCATCTGTGTATGTGCAGAGCGTCTTTTGGGCCAGTGCCATCTGCTCAGGCTTACAGATGCTGTCCAAAGTCTCTGGCCTTGTCTGCTCCTGCTTCCTACAATCCTTTGAAATGCAGGTACCGAGAATTGTACCTAAAGCCCTTTGGCATGTAAATATCTGGTACTTTTCATATATATAGTTCAAGTGAAGCCCTGTATAACCTCAGAATCAACACCACAGTCACCAAGACTCCTTTTGGTCTCGTGGGCATGGAGGAAGACGGGAGACTGTGGCGTTTCAAATTCAATGAGTAGGGGGACTTCCGGGGTGGCGCCATCGGCAATGGCGGACTCCCTCCGAACTGGAGGGACCAGCTCCGCATGCAACGGGTCTTTTTCGCTGCGGCGAAGCGGGGACCCTTCTGGAAATCACAGGCGGATGAAGCCTGTGACCGTGGGACTCGGCGGGCACCCTTAGCGCCCCCCCAACCCGCAAAGGAACCCACAAACGGGCTCCGAAGCGAAGAGGCGCGGTGCTGTGAGTCAATCGCTTTTCCTGCGGAGCAAAGCCGCATAGCTGTTGCCGGAGAGCGCTGCCTTTTTCCTGGGACAATTTGGCATCTAAAATAACCAACCGTGAGTACTGGAACATTGAATATCTGGACTTTAAATAAGAACTGGTGAAATAGAAAGGAATTTGGACTTAAAAATTCACCCTAATTTGGTACTGAAACGGAAAGGTTTAAACAGGAAGTCAGCCTTCCGTTTCCCTGTAGCCAGAACAAAGCAAAGACAACGCAAACTAGAGCTTTAAAAATCACTCTTAAAGGATTGACTTTCATCATTTAAAATCGCTGAACCCCCCTTCTGTAGCAGAAGAAGGGGGAGCTTTTTCCGAGCTGTTTAAACCTGCAGAAGTGAATCTAAAGCAAAGTAATTTTCCACCGTCCTGATCCTGGAGCGGGGTGTCAGAATTGACGTTTGAAGCTCACTGACCAGAAACAAATGTCTTTGACAGATAGTTAAAAGAAGAGAAACATAGTGACTCCATTGCTCCCTTTCGCATCTTAAAAGAACAAATATGGACAAAATATCTTAAAAAAGAAACTTTGTTGCTATTGTTTTTAAGAGAAAGAACAATCAGAAGTTTTTCCCCTAGAGGGAACTGTGAAATTGTAACTAATCCCTGGGAGCTTGCAGCTGTCACTGATTACAACCGTGGGAAAGGGTTTGTGACCTTGCAGGACAATGTCTGCAGAAGCACTGTTGGGTGCTTTCTGCAAAATAAATGCCTTATTGGATCAGTTAAGCCAGAAGACGGATTTGATGACTAATGCGGCCAGAACTTTTGAACAGGTAGTGGGAAACTATATGGAGCCCACCCAGGAGCTAAAACAGGAGCGTGCCATGACAGAACAGCTGAGAGATGAGGATTCTGCTGAATCTTGGGCGCCAGAGACGGAAGGAGCTGCGGCCCAGCAGGAATATAAATTTTTGGATTTGACAAATGAACTTGGAAAAGACCAGACTTGGAAAGATAAAATTTGGTTTGGTTTGGAAATGGGGGGTTGGATAGACCCCCCTATACAGGGAGATTTGGACTTTTCGAGTCTGGAAAGGGGCCGTCAGATGTCTGGAGCAGTGGGGGCTCTCAGCTTTGAAGGGAATCTGGAACATGTTTTTAAATACTACATCGAGTCTAGTCTGGACTATGGAAAAGGGACTGTTTTGTTGAAAAGGGTCAAAAACATTACCAAGCTGGAGTTCCCACGAATAAAAGGAAAATATGAAGAAGAGCTGTGGAAGGGACATGGAAGAGACTTGAGGGCCTCGGATATAAGATTGCCAGGTTAATGTGCTAGATTAATAGGACAAAAAGGACTGACAAAACCCGGGACCAGGAGGAAGGGATGAAGATTGGATTGCTTAAGTTTCTATTTTTATCATTAGGACTGTTTTACAAAATTGATGAATGTTAGGAAAATGTTGAAATGAAATTATTTGGCTCTTATAAAAATGTCTAAAGAATTAGGTAAGAATGTTATGGTTAGGAGAAGTTGGTAAAAATTAAGATTTAAGTTCTAAACTTTTTTATATATAAGATAAGATGAAAATAGATTAAGGTAATGTGAGGACAGAATATTATGAATTATGGAAAGGATTTGCTGTGATTATTATAAATCAGGATACAGGAAAAGGGAGGAGGAGGAGGTCAAGGAAAGAAGGTATTGAAAGTGGAGAATTGGAGAATGATGGTTTTACTTTTTCTTTTTCTTTTTTTGTCTTGTTTCTTTTTTTTGTGTAATTAAAAAAAAAATTCTCAATAAATATCATTAAAAAAAAAAAATTCAGTGAGTAGGAGGGGACATGGTTCACCCTCCAGATAACTTCTATGAAAGCTACTTCCTTCCCTTGGTGGAGAAATGAGGTGACCCCTTTCTGACATGGACCTCCTAGCCACAGAAAAAGAGGAGCTGGAGGAAAGGCAGGGGGCAAGAACAGATTTGGACCTAGGAAGGTAGTTCTGATCCCTACATAAGAAGAACCTGCTGAGTCAGGCCAGTGGCTCATCTAGTCCAGCATCCTGTTCTCACGGGGCCAACCAGATGCAAGCAGGAGCTGTGTACAAGAGCAACACACACACACACACACACACACACACACACACACACACATCCCAGTGGTTTTCAGCAACTGGTATTCAGAAGCATTGCTGCCTCTGGCTGTGGAGGCAGAGCATAGTCACCATGGCTAGAGACATGGCTGTGCGTAGCAGCTCCTCATACATTCTTTCAAGAAACTGGACACAGAGTTTCCCTTACACAGCTTTGGGTGGCTTCTTATTGTGGGGAAGGAGACCCAGGCAAGCCGGTGTTTGTGTGTGAGAGGGAGGGAGGGAATGTTGCAATTCTCTTCCCTCCTGACACTTTTGCGTCTCTTTGCTCCTTGTAGGCTTGAGGCTGGGCTTGTCCCCCGAGGAGGAGGCTGAGTTCCAGTGTTCAGAGCGCACCATGGACTTGGGTCTGGCAGAGGATCACTTCTCGCGCCCAGTGGTGAGGAGGAAGGAGGGATGCTTCTGCATTCTGGCCTTGGGCTTGCTGCCCCCCCCCCCAATTGTACCTAAAGACTTTTACATATCTGGAGAAAAGCAGCACTTAAAATCCCTGGCGCCAATCCAAAATCCCCACCCTTAACACCAAACATTAAGCAGCCAGCCCACCATTCCCGGCCTTGCAGAGCAGGCCACTTCTCTGGCTCCACCACTGGGGCCACAAGGATATGGCCTGCCTAGGCCGCTTGGCTATGGGGGCGGGCAGTCAAGGTTGTCCCTCTGCCTCTAAACTGACAGTCCCTTGGTGATCTGCTCTTCCTTTGCAGGGCTTGTTCCTGGCCTCTGATGTCGAGCAGCTGCGGCAGGCAATTGAAGAGTGCAAGCAGAGGATTTTGGAGCTCCCTGATAACTCGGAGAAGCAAAAAGATGCCGTAGTGCGGCTCATCCATCTGCGGCTCAAACTCCAGGAGTTGAAGGTGCACAGACAGGCTTGTAGAGGGGCATGTCCTCACCATAGGATGGGCTTGAGGGATAGAGCTCTGGCGTCTTCTTTCTGCCAGAGGAGTGACAAATCCAAGACTTCTTTCTTGCTTTAGTTCAAGGTGCAAAATTTGTAGTGGGTGGCAAACTTGCAGGTGCATCGTATGATCATGAAAGCCAGCATGCTGGACTGGATGCAAGATTGCTGTAGACCTTAGATGCACCAGCTAAATCTCTGCTCAGCCATGTTGCTCAAAAGCCTCAGTATGAGATGAGACAATCCCCCACCCTGCATCTCTGGGCTTCTAGATCAGAGGGCATAGCCCCCAGCAAGGCTGAGCCGCAGCAAATCTCAACTTAGCCACTACACCATGCTGACTTTATGTTTAAGATCTAGCTGTTTTAAAGATATCTTTATTGCTATCTACAGGGTGAGCCCAGGGGTGGAACACCTATGGGGGTCATCCAGCTGTTGTTGTTGGACTCCAACTCTGATCAGCCCTATCATCTGATATGGCCAAAGCGCAAGGGTGGTGGGAGCTGGAGTTCAGCAATGCTTAAATGGCCACTGGCTCCCCACCCCACAATTGCTTTAACTAATTCTCCTTTTTTGTAGTTGTTTTGCAGCCCTTTGGGCAGTGGGGAAGGGCACAGCATGGCTTGGACTTCCAGAAGTGGGGAGAGAGAGAGGATAAAATCACAAGGCCCTTGTTGGGGGCCATGATTGAACATCCCTATGTGGCCTGCCTTTCCCTATTGCAGGATCCCAGTGAGGATGAACCCAACATCCGGGTGATTCTGGAGCATCGCTTCTACAAGGAGAAGAGCAAGAGCGTGAAGCAGACCTGTGACAAGTGCAGCACCATCATCTGGGGACTCCTCCAGACCTGGTATACATGCACAGGTGAGAAGCCACACACCCACATCCCCTCCCCTGGGGACCAGGAGTAGGAGGCGCTCCAGTCGGAGATCAATTGCTGTTCCTCCTTCCAGACCATGGTGGGGAACCTCTGGCCTAGTGGCAGGGGGCAGGGGTCCTATGAGGCCATTTCCCCCAAGCCACACCCAGATATAGGGCAGGGGAGGACACGGCTGAAAAGGATCAAGTGTGTAAGCTGTGGCCCTCCCAGATATTGCTAGACTACAGCTCCCATCATGCCTGATCATTGGCCATGCTGACCAGGGCTGATAGGAGTTGGAGTCCAGCAATACCTGGAAGGCTACCTGCTTTGAGGCTCTGTTGCCAGAAGAAAGTTGTCTGCATGAATTGGATAGAAATTCAAACACAGATGCTTGAAATAAAGTCTTACTCTGGATGCAGCGTGGCCTGGATTCTGCAGTGCAATGAAAAAATACCTACAACCAGTGTTCTGGCCTCATCCTTTTAGGAGGGCACAAATATTACTCTCCCTCCTCATTCCTGTTGGCCTCCTCATTTTTCTGCAGATCAGGAAGCAAAAGCACTGTGAGTTCTTCCTAGGCTAAGTGGGGAAGATCCTGTAGGGCCTAAATCTTATTCTACCTGCCATGGGTATTGTCTCTTTTTATGCAGTACTGTCTTTTTATGTCCTGTGGAACTCCCTGGCACACAAGAGTTTTCAAGCCCTCTATGAATTAGCTTGAGGTTCTGTTGTGAGGTATCCCTGGAGAGACCTTTAGAGAGGAGATATGGGGGGAGGAGTGCTGCTGTTGGGGCCCTGTGGCTTCCTCATGCTTTTCTCTTTTTCCTCCCCAGGTTGTTCCTATCGCTGCCATAGCAAGTGCCTGAACCTCATCACCAAGCCATGTGTCCGCTCCAAGGTCAGCCACCAGGCTGAGTATGAGCTCAGCATCTGCCCAGAGACAGGGCTGGACAGCCAGGACTACCGCTGTGCTGAGTGCCGGGTGCCCATCTCGCTCAGTAAGTGTTAGGGTGGGACTGGCAGGGGAAGGGGGAACCCCTGGCTCACCAGGCTTAATTTGGCCCAGCTATGCCCACCTGTCGGACACTTGATGTCAGGTGTGGGGCAGGTAAAGATGTGGCTGGGCCAGAGGGGTTTTGTGGGCCAAACAGCTGGCCAGCAGCACCTGCAAAGCCCTCTGCATGGTATTTTGGAGCTGCCCACAAGCAGCTGATTGTTGGGCTTTGCATAACTCCATGTGCATTACTGTGCAAACTCCAATGATCAGCTGCTTGGCCATGCAGGCAAAAAGGGCCACCTGACATCATTGTTATGCTGGATGATTGGTGGGTGAGTGGCCTTGCCCACCCTTTCAAACTTTGCCATGAGAGAGCAGGGGATATAAAGGGTCTGGTTTGCTGGCCAGATCCAGTGCCCCAGCTCTGACCAAACCTTCTGGAGCCTGTAGGGTGCCTTCTCGGCCCTTTCCATATGCCCACATGGACCGAGTCATGGTCGTGAGTCATGGTCAGATACCTGCCACCCCACTTCTGGAACCTCTCCAGGCACTAGCTGTGAGGACTTAAACCAGCCTTGGACTAAAACTCCCATGAGACTCAGCCAGCTTTGCCGTCTGATGCTGGGACAGAGGGTAGTTGTTGTCAAACAGTAAACGGTGGTCAATCTGACCCACGTTTTCCCATAATTATTTTGCTTGTTGCCCTCCCTTCCCTTCTCGCCTAGAAAACTTTTACAGTGAACTGTAAGTCCATGGTACGACCTGTGCACATTCATGCAGGATTGTTTTTGTTTTTAAATGAATGGTGCAATCTTATCCTTTTGCTGGTTCATGCAGGCATGGCTGAGTCGTTTTGCTCAGAGCTCTGCAGCTTGGACAAGGACTCCAAAAGGGCAGGATTTAGTGGGCTGGAAGTGCAGCTCAGGAACAGAGTGAATCCTTTGCATGTCAGGAGTCCCAGCTGTGAGCCAAGGCACCTCTAGTCAAGGGATCCCAGCAGCAGAAAGCTTGGAAAGCCCTGTAGCTGTGAGCTGCATTGCTGCCAGTCAGGGTAGACAGGACTGCTTTTAGTGGCTCTAAACCTTACTGGCCATTTGTTGGCAGAGTTCTGCCCAGCCTCTTGGGAGTTTTGAAGATAGTGCTGCTTACCTCGACTGACGTGCCTCTTTCCCTCTGTCCCGCTGCAGGGGGAGTTCCAAGCGAGGCCCGGCAGTGTGACTACACTGGCCTCTATTACTGTAGCAACTGCCACTGGAACGACCAAGCTGTCATCCCTGCCAGGGTCATCCACAACTGGGACTTTGAACCCCGCAAGGTCTGTGCTCAAGTTTCCCAATACCAAAGGCCTTCTGTTGTCAGAAGTTGTAGCGAGTGGCATTAGAAGAGGACAGAGCAGGGATGGGGAACCCCATTGCTGTTGCCACTGTTGTCCATCCTTAACTGGTGACTGTGATTTCCAGGTATCTCGGTGCAGCATGCGCTACCTTGCCCTGATGGTGTCACGGCCGGTACTCAAACTGCGTGAGATTAACCCTCTTCTGTTCAACTATGTTGAGGAGCTGGTGGAGATCCGGGTGAGCATAGGAGGAGTCTGAGAGGGTACACTTGGCCTGAAACCTCTTCTTGATGTGTGCATGGGGAAGTATTTGGGGTTCGAATGAGATGTGTCCTGTACTGATATTCTAGCACCCAAAAGAGAGGTTCACATTACTGGGGAAAGACTGTCTGGCCAAGTGTTTCAAGGGAGTCTTCCTCTCCCTCTCCCTCTGCAGAAGCTGCGCCAGGACATTCTCCTTATGAAACCGTACTTCATCACCTGCAAGGAAGCTATGGAGGCTCGGCTCTTGCTCCAGGTCAGGAGGAGAGATGGACCAGCCAGCTGCAGTTTTCTCTTATGTCCATTTTAAGCCCAGTATAGGGGACCACTTACAAAATGTTGGGCGTTTATGTGCTTAGCCTCCCTTACACATAAAACCAGGTGGCTTGAGGATTTCATTTGTTTATAAGCATATTTCTAAATGGCCTGCTCATTCAAAAAATATTTATCAGTGGTATATGATAAATCTCAAAAAAATGGTAAAGCCTTAAAATACAGAACAAATGACCAAAACTGAACCACGTTAACTCTAAAAATGCTTGGGGAGGCTGGGATGTTTTCAGCAGGCATTCAAGGGACAACCATTAAACAGAGGAGCCTTTGAGTTCTTTACTCATACCCCACTTGCAGTTCCATGCTTTGTCTTGCCCTCTGCCCCAAATTGATCCGGTTGTGGCGGACAATAAGCAATCGTGCTCTCCCTTCAGCTGCAGGATCGGCAACACTTTGTGGAGAACGACGACATGTACTCGCTGCAAGACCTGATTGACATCAATGCTGGGCGCCTCAGCTGCTCCCTTACTGAGACCCACACGCTCTTTGCCAAACACATCAAACTGGATTGTGAGGTGAGGGTTCAGCAATTGGCATTCAGAAGTACTGGTATTGCTTTATACTGTGCATTATTAAACTCTGAAATTTACTGCTACAGGATAATGGCAATGGCCACCAATTGAAGTAGTGATAAAAGGGAATCGGGCAAATTCATGGACAAAGCTAGCAGTGGCCAGTAGCAGGATGGTCAGGTGCAAAAAGGGTCATCCCTCAGCAGTTTTAACATTATGTAGGACAACATACATCTCCTAAAATGCCCAGTGAAGGAGCCCTGTCCTCTTTCACTTCAAGCCACATCTAGCTACTAGTCAGGGTGGCTCTATGCTATCTCCAGGATCAGAGGAACCATGCCTCTGAAGGCATGTTGCTGAGGAACAAGAGTTAGAGAGTGCTGTGTTGTGCTCCTGACCTGTCTGTGGGCTTCCTTGAGCCATCTGATTGGCTTCTAGTAAAAGGGGTGCTAGACTAGTTACACTTTTGGTCTGATCCAGCAGAGCTGTTCTTATGTTACTGTGATTCTTAGCAATTGACAGGCCCGTTTTCCACCTCTGTGAATTTGTCTAAACCCTCTTTAAAGCCCTCTAAACTGATAGCCATCATCACCCATCTTGTGGTAGTGGAGTTCCTTACAGCATACGCTATATGATGGTGGACCATATTTTGTCTGCCCTGAATCAATTTCATCACATGATCCCAAGTTCTAATATTCTGAGACATTGTACTGACCTTTGGCATTACACAAATACATTACTGACAGGTAGTCTATAAGAGGAAGGAAAACTTGTTTCTTTCATGTATAATCTTATAATTTTATTTATTTAAGAATATTTATAATTTGCTTAATCTTAAAGACAAATCTTTACCCCCACCATGTCTTCTTCATTCAATGCAGCACTTTATAGTACATGGCATTTCCCCAGAATATGTTGCTGTTGGGGAAAATGCAGTCCCCCCTCTGCAAGATTAGCACACCCATGTGGTTGTATTAGTGTTGTAGGCACCCAGTAGCACGCAGGAAACCTCTATGGTGTCATTATGAGCCCAGCAACTCCACCCAACCTCTGTTCACTGGCAGTGGAAGTAGAAGCTAAAACTGACTCACTGGCCTTCCTTTCTCATTCTTACAGCGGTGCCAAGCAAAGGGTTTTGTGTGTGAGCTCTGCAAAGAGGGGGATGTGCTCTTTCCCTTTGACAGCCACACCTCCATGTGCATGGACTGCTCAGCTGTCTTCCACAGGTGAGCCCCAGAGCTATGATCTGGCTTGCGCCAGTGCTAAATGTGTGGGTTCAAGTCAGGCAGTGAGAGGTAGCTCCTGCCTCTCATCCAGATGAACGAAACTGATGAGCCTTTGTGTCTCCTTTTGCAGGGACTGTTATTATGACAACTCCACAACGTGTCCCAAGTGTGCTCGGCTAAATCTGAGAAAGCAGTCGCTGCTCAGAGACCCCAGTGTGGAGCTGCAGGCTTAGAGGTGCCTTTCCTTGGCTGGAGGGAGATGTCACAAAGGAACATGGCAAGCCCAGGATGCTGGGTTTCACCTGTACTTGCCTGGGAGGAGATCAGCCCAGATTGGCAAGGAGGAGAACCTTCACAGGAGTGCAGCTGGGAATTGCTTCTCTAAAGGTTCCGGGAAATGATGCTGCAGGACAAGTGTCCTAGACTCTCTCTCACTAGAAGAGCCTTTGAGACTGCTCAGCACATCAGACATTGCAGACTCTCCCTACCTGAAATCATGAGACTGGGTTCAAGAGAGCACTGTCCTCACAGGACACAGGGTTTTGGGTGTGAGGAGGACAAGCTTTTGGGCCAGGGTTTATTCATGGCAGATCCTGCTAGGCTGAAAAACATTGGAGAAAGGGCCGACTGACTGTGATGCGAAACATTTGCTAGCAGCTTTCCTCGGCTGTTGATTATTAACGCCACCGCTCTATGCTGGCACATGACATTGAGAGTGCCCATGTGGCTTCCGTTTTGACAGTGATACATCAGCATGGAAGATGATCCGAGGCAGATGGGCTTAGGGATGATATGATATCTAGAATTCATTCCCTCTAACTTAGATGCATAAAGTATCTGTGCTGGAGATCGGGTATGTGGGAGAGAAGAGAAGATGCCCTTTTCTTCTTCACCATCCCCATGGCTTTTGGTGATGGCAACACAAGGACTGGATGGATGATGAATTTGGAACAGGCCCCAACAGCCAGTGAGAAGAGACTGGAGTGGGGCACTTCAACCACAGTAATTTATCACGAGCACTAAAATCACTTTAAATAAAGCCGTGTGAAACTCTGGCTGCGTTACTATGATTTTAAGTTCTGCCTGCACAGACCTTGTCTTCTGCAAATATGTTACCTTCCTTTTCCTCTCCTGGAAGGCTTCAATGTTGCATCCTCTGGAGATATTCAAGACAGTTTGTGGCCAAACATAACGTGAGGGCAGATAGCTAGTGCTATTACTTATTAAGATAAATTAACTTGAGATCACATGTCCAAGTAACAGAGACCATGTTGTAAAATGTGATGCATATGTGGTAGTTATCTGCTTTTCATTCTTGGGATGCCCTTAGCCCCTTTGTCTCTATCTGAACTAAGGGCTTCAGGTGCAAGGAAGTTGCAAATACAACGGGTTCATCTTTGGTATGTGTGCAGCTCAGTAACTTGCAATTGAGCCTGTAAATTGTGTTAACTGTAACATGATTTTATTCAGTGGTCTGAAAGCTCCAAGTGATCTGTTATAGTTGTTTCGTAAATGTAAGTCCATAGCTGGTAAGTAGGCATGTGCAAGTTCAGATGGATTGTAGAGGGATATGGGAAGAGGAAACATGGGTTTCAACTTCTTGGTTGAACAGAGAGTTATTTTAACATCACAAAGCTGCTATTATCCTAGGCTCAGCCAAGCAGGTACCACAATAGTCCTGCTCCCTTTGGCTTGATACCACAACACAGTGTTACCAAAAAAGCTTTCCTTGCCCTACCACAACCTATTGGGCATACTAGGGCAGAAGGGACGAGGTACATATGAGATTTAGCAGCCAGGTAAGAACCAAAGAGTCCTGCTCTCAACTGACAAAATTGCTATCTAGACTATCATATAGTTTCTCACAGTAACTAACTCCATGCTTCTTGAAAGCCCACAAGCAGGAAATAAGCACAAGAGCACTCTCCCTACTTGTGCTCCCCAGCAACTGGTGTTCAGAGGCTGAGCACTTCCAGTATTGGGCTAGCCCCCAGGCATAATGGTTGGCAGCCACTGGTAGCCTTATTCTCCGCATCAATTTGTCTAATCTGCTTTCAAAGCCATCTTTGGTGGCCATTGCAACCATCTTGTGCTAGCAGATTCTATAGTATTAAAGTACACTGAATTGTGAACAGTGAGAGCTTTTGTAACATGAGGCAGAAGATCTTAATTCTATATATCTCTGAGAAAGTCCTATGTACTGGGTTCCTAGTTCATAGCATTCTTGACACAACCTCCCTCATATTCTGGGGGTTGTACCATCTCTGGCTGATAATGTGAGGGTAAAATGTGGGTGCTGCTGTATCTCCAGTTGATACAGGAAAAAGAAGATGGAAAGACATACTGGACTGAGAAGCCAAGCAGAGGGATTCCTGAGCAAGGGCTGATGGTTAGGGAATGCTCGTTATGCCTTGGATATTTTCTGTTTCAAGGCTGGCCCTGGACCATTTGAATTAATGAAAAAAATCTGCCTCTGCATAGCTGCAGAGTAAATTTCCCTGAATACTGAGTAGTCATAATTAGAAAGGTTGCCACTTCAGATCTTCAGGTATCTGAAGAAGTGTGCATGCACACGAAAGCTTATACCCAGAACAAACTTAGTTGGTCTCTAAGGTGCTACTGGACATTTTTAATTTTTTATATATATTTCTACTACGTCAGACCAACACCTACCTGAATCCACATCTGCATAAATATGTTTGGGGTGGGGAGATGTACTCCTCACCCCAGTAAAATGCCTCAAGTAATTTGCATTTCACGTGTACTAAAGCCATTATTTCGCCTTTCATCCGCTGGGCTCTGACAACATTTTCTGGCATACGCGGCCAAATTCAATCCCGGAACTACATGTCGCCACATCAGGGTGCTGCAGCCTGTTTTCCTGGTTACACAAGTTGGTTCACATACCTCCTATACGGTAGTGAGAAGCGAGAACTATAGCGCCTGCGCAGTGCAAGCCCGTAAGATAAACAAAGAGCGCATGCGCTTAGGGAGCCTGAGTGATAGGACAATAATGGCTCATCGGCTGGCGGCGGCGGTTTTATCGCCCCCTTTGGCCGCCTTGTGGAGAGGCCACAGCCGCGGACTTGCGAAGTTGGTACCGGTCCGGCAGGTGAGGAAAAGGCGGGTGCTGTTTTGTGTGTTGCACTGTCGTAAATACAACGGCGCCCTCTCTCTGTTCCCCAGAATGGTCTGAGTTAGGAATGGTGGTCGCTGGTTATGTCATCGCCGCGCGCCAGCGCTTCCATGACAGGTATAGGCCATATTCAATGGGCGTGGTCAGAACGCGCCTCATGTAACCCGGGCTCTGGATTGGCAGAGAAGGAGAAGCGTGATTTGTATAGTGACGTTAGAGTTGCGGATTGGCTAGAGATGTGTGCAACTGCTTTGGATAGCAGTCAGTGGGCTACACTGCAGGGTTGCTGTAAAGCTGCTCAGCGAAGTAGGGTTGATTTCTGAGCGCACAGGATCCCGAGGTTAGCCGTGCGCTTCTGCGTCCCCAATATGCCGATGTTTAAGTATGGACCACGCGCCCTTGCTGAGCTCCCCACTGCTCAGCAATAGCAGGCCACATAGCAAGGAGAATATCTTATGCCTGTTAATACATGCCCCTATCTCAACCGTAGCTGTCTTCCTTCTTCGACATGGGAATAATTATCCTTTAATGCCCCTGAACTATGGGGATCACAGCACAAAGCCTTCCCTATAGGACTAGCACAAGCCACTCTCAGCTTCACCCTAGGCTGCACACTGGCAGAGAAGGGCATTAAACTGACCCTCCCATGGGCTGTGTTAAGTTCTTTTCCTGGGATAATGCTAGTTTTCAGCTTCTGGTTTTAGAACTCCTGGTGCACAAACTATTCTGCATACAGAGCTTTATGGATACTTGGTTTTGAGGCCTTTCTGGCCACTGTGTTGCATATTTGTACCTTTGACCTGGCTCAAAAGAAAGGGGGAGGGACCCTTGCTGGCCCTCAGGAAACCAATGCCACCCTTTGCTCTTTTCAGTGGTGTGAGAGAGTCCATCCAGGATGTGGCATGTCCTTCCATCACTGGCTGTGCTCCAAGCCTGAAGGTATGTGACTCCAGCAGAAAAGGGCTGGCGCTTCTTGTTTGTGGCTGTGTTGAGAAGAAGAATGTCCTGAGATTTTTTCCTGCTTAATTGTAGAGCACGTTATTTGCATATAGTAGGTCCCAACTTCCATTTCTGGTACATCCCTTTAAAATAATCTCAGGCAGCAAGGCTGGCAAAAATATTTGTTGGTGCCCTTGAAGCCTGCTGTCGATCATGATAGACAGCCTCAGCCATCATCACTGAAGCTTTTCTTCCGGCAGCTTTATACTTACTGACCTACCAGCCTCCTATCAAGCTTTAAGTGTATTGTGTGGGCATAGAAGGTTGATATTGAGGCACTTCTGGTCATTTCAGCGTTAGGGAAGTAGAGCATTGTGGCAGCGGTGGGGACCTTGTCGTGTAATATAGAGGCTGGAAAGAACAAGACTGAAGCTGTCAACAGTAAGATCTGTTTTTGTCCTGCAGGCTTTGAGAAGAAAGATGAAAAGAGACAGGGTCCAACAGAGGCAGCCCCTGATAATAAAGGTAAGCACCTTCTTTTCCATGGCTCGGTTATAGAGCATCTGCTCTTCATGCAGAAAATCCCAGATTTGATTCCTGGCATTATTCTCCATGTAGGGTGGGAGACACTCTCTGCACAAAACCAGAGTGCCACTGTCTAGTGGTGCAAACAATCATGAGTGAGATGGACCTTCAGTGGTCTGTCTCAGTACAAGGCAGATTCCTTTGTTCCTATGTTCTTCCCCCTCATTTACCTCCCTAAAGTTGTTGAATGCCTCCCATTCCAAAAACTGGTCCATATCTCATAACTCTCCCCAACCTGTTCTGCTCCCCCTCTACAGTGCAGCCAGGAGCCTTTTAAAGCCTAACGTATAAGCATTTCTATTTTTTCTCTCCTTCCTAGAGCCTGTTGGCTCCAAAAATCCCAGTCTTTCAAAAAATACCTGGGGAAGCAGTGGTGGAGAAGGCAAGAGAGGACGGAAAGATGAGGATTTGGGGTGGTGGAATCACATGCAGAAGGTATGTGACCATTTTCTCTGTTGCATTTATGTCACTGAAATGTCCTATTAGCCACCTAAAGCTGCTGGAATCGGGGATGGCTAAAGCAGAAAAGAAAAATGACACGATGATAGCAGCCATATTAATTACCTACTTTTTGCCCCCAGGGAGAGTTCCCTTGGGATAATAAGGACTCCCGGTACCTGATTGTCATGGGAGCTGGCATCCTCACAGGGTTCTTCTACCTCTACTACCGAGATCCAGGCAGAGAAATCAGCTGGAAGCACTTTGTGCATTACTACCTGGCCAAAGGACTGGTGAGGCGATATGTGGCAGGCCATCCTCTTGCTGGGGGCGGAGGGCAGCTCATGTATGTATTCTTCCCTATTCTATTCTAGCAGTAAAGTGTAGGCACTTGGAGTAGGCATTAGGAGCAGGAGAGTGAATGCTAGGAGTTCTCTGCGGCCACAACATACCATTTTGTACTCAACTGAAGCTCCACCCAGAAGGGTTCACTCTCACTCTTTCTGGTCCTGTCCACACCGTAGATTTAAAGCACTCTTATACCACTTTAACAGTCACAGCTCCCCCCCACCCCCCAAAAAATATGGTGTAGATGTGACCTCTCCTTCCTTCCTTCCTTCCTTCCTTCCTTCCTTCCTTCCTTCCTTCCTCTTAAGGTGGATCGACTGGAAGTGGTGAACAAGCAGTTTGTCCGGGTGTTCCCAATCCCTGGCGCCACCTCAGAGGTAAATAATTCCAGGGGACAGAGGGATGAGGTGGAGAAAGACAGGGGATGCCCACAATCACTGCTCCAGTCTGCCACAGTTAGACCTCTGGAAGAAAAGCTCTGTGTGTACGGCACAGCAGTCTGGTGGCAAGGGAGTTGGGTCCACAGAGGTCCCTTTCACACCCGAAGCAAGAGAAGGCTCTGTTTATGCCAGGGGACATGAAAAATCAACACCTGTCCTTGGTTGCCACAGAAGCACATCTGGTTCAATATTGGCAGTGTGGATACCTTTGAACGAAACCTAGAGGCTGCTCAGCTGGAGCTGGGGATCAGCAGCGCCCAACAAGTGTCTGTGGTCTACAGCACTGAGAGTGATGGGTGAGTGACAGGCCCCAGATCAGAAGCAGATGTGCTAAAACTGCCCAGGTGCCACCTGCTGTAGTTCACAGGCCTTCTGACCTTCTCCTCTTTCAGCTCCTTTCTCCTGAGCATGGTGCCTAGCCTTCTGCTGTTGGGCTTCCTGCTGTTCACTCTGAGACGTGGACCAATGGGAAGTGGGCGCGGAGGGCGAGGAGGAGGAATCTTCAGTGTTGCAGAGACGACAGCAAAAGTCCTGAAGGACAACATTGAAGTGCAGTTCAAGGATGTGGCCGGCTGCGAAGAGGCCAAGCTGGAGATCATGGAGTTTGTGAATTTCCTGAAGAATCCGAAGCAGTACCAAGATCTCGGGGCCAAGATTCCAAAGGTGCCCACTTTTGATTTGTAGCCAATTCATGAGGTTACGCAGCAAGTCCACATGGCCAGTGCTTTTGGAGGAGAGGTGAAGGCAGCAGTTGGCTGCCCAAGACCACCATAAATGAAGCCCATCAGAATAGTGTTAGCTTGGAGGGTTGTAAGTGAATCTTCCTGAAACGAGGGACCTCTGAGCCCCAGCAATGTTGTGCCATTCCAGGCTTTGAGGTGCTGCTGATGTGGGTTGGCTGACCAGTTAAGGGAGGGACTGCTTGTCATTGGGCCGTATTGCTGCCCCACCTTCCCTCGTGTTGGCCAGCCTCTTGTCTCTTGCAGGGAGCGATGCTCACGGGGCCCCCGGGCACAGGCAAAACCCTCTTGGCCAAAGCTACTGCAGGAGAAGCCAACGTCCCTTTCATCACTGTGAACGGCTCTGAGTTCCTGGAAATGTTTGTCGGAGTTGGGCCTGCAAGGGTGAGACTGGGGAACCTCGCAAAACGTTCTGCATTGGCAAGCTTCTTAAACAGAAAGGGTGGTTATCCAAAATCAGGAACTCATCTTGTAACTATACCTTCTGGGAGATAATAGAAAGGAGTCTAGGAGACATTGGCAAGTGACATGAGCATCCAGGCTTCAGCTTTGCCCATTTGATTCTCCAAACAGATGCTCAGTGTTTGGGCAGGTGCCTGAGCAGGGGAGTCTCTTGTTTCTTGCACCTGCTTGCATATCTCCCTCAGATGCTCAGCTGAGTCTGCCCTTTCTCCTCCCAAAGGGGCAGGATTCTTCCACCTTGGGACCCATCATCTGCACCCTGCCCCAGCTGCTCACCAAACCAGACTGCTTTCTTCCCAGTGGGTGGATCAGCTCTGGGGAAACATCTTTGTTTCAGGTTCGGGATATGTTTGCCTTGGCACGGAAGAATGCCCCTTGCATCCTCTTCATTGATGAGATTGATGCCGTCGGGAGGAAGCGGGGCCACGGGAACTTCGGGGGCCAGAGCGAGCAAGAGAACACACTCAACCAGCTGCTGGTAGAGATGGATGGTGAGATGGAACAGAGGCATCTTGAGGAGGGAAGGAGCTGGCATGCTCTTGTCTCCCTGGAGAAACAAGCGATCTGAAGTTCTCACCCCTGTTTCTTAGCATTAACAGAGGCTCCTGTGTTAATGTTTCCAGACCTTTAACATGGTTCCTGCCTGGGATAGCTTGGCTGTTCCCAGCTGTGCCCTCTGCTCCTTTTGCCCCATCACCATCTTTAAGATCAAGTGAGAGCACCCCTCATAGACAGCCCTCCCCTCAACTTGGTGCCCCAACCAAATGTGGCTGGACTCTGAACACACACCGTGCCCATCCAGTGGTTAGTGGTGATGAGACCACCTGGAGGGTACCAGCCTTGGGACAAGGCTGCTTTAACGTGTACAACTATTGCATGGTTGGGGATAAGGGAGAGTTTGTGTTAGCAGAATGGAAGGGGCATTAAATTGGGTTCCAAACTGGGTCTTTTTAGTTTACTTTGAAACCATTCTGAAGGTGGGCTTAGCTAGTGACCTAGTTTCATAACTCTACAAAAGGTTACATTCTGAATTTTGTTGCAAAGCACTGTATTTCAATCCGAATACGTTAGCTCCGCTCCCCTCCACTAGAAGGCTTGGATGATGTTTGGGGAATGTGTTCTGTGCACAAAATTGCAAGAGGCATCCCCCTGCCCCCCCCCCCGGAGCTGATCTCCTCTCATTTCCTGTGCAGGGTTCAACAGCAGCACAAACGTCGTAGTGCTTGCTGGCACAAACCGACCCGATGTCTTGGACCCGGCGCTGACGAGACCTGGACGCTTTGATCGGCAGATTTATATTGGTAACAGATGCTATGTCTAGTCTTAGTTGTGCTCACCACTTTTGCTGGTCTCCCTGCCCGCCACTGAAAGGTTGCCCCTGGAAGGTTGCTCAGAAGGGAATGTAACCCATGGTTTGAAAAGGGTTGCCTATCTCTGCCTCAGATAGCCCCAGCTCTTCAATGAAACAAAATTCCTCCCGTTGCTCAATCAGCAGGACCTACTGGGAGGTACCCAGAGTCTTGATGAGCTTCAGAGAGACTTGCCTTGACTTTTCCTGACCTGACATGACCTGCTTGGAAGAGGCTCCAAGGAGCAGAGGGAGATTTCTTTCTGCCCTTTGCTTTTCTCTCTCATTCTGATCCTGATGAGATATTTTGGAGTCAGGAGAGGTTTCCTGGGGTATTAAAGCGGCGATCTCTCAAGAATTGGGAAATTTCAAACAGATTAAAATTATTTGACTTTTAGAAGACATCTGAAGGCACCCCTGTTTGGGAAAGTTTTTAATGGTGTGTTTTTAATATTTTATTGGGAGCTGCCCAGAGTAGCTGGGGCAACCCATTCAGATGGGCGGCATATAAATTTATTATTAAATTATTATTGTGGAGCATGACCGGCCTCTTTTAATTCCTTCTCATTTCTGAGGACTGCGTCTTTAACTCTCTTTGCCCAACCAGGCCCACCGGACATCAAAGGCAGAGCGTCCATCTTCAAAGTCCACCTCCGGCCTCTCAAGCTGGATGCAGATATCAGCAGAGATACTCTGGCTCGGAAGATGGCAGCCCGGACCCCAGGATTCACAGGTGAGATGTGGACAGAATGCCAGCATGTGGAAGGGGGAGAGCAGGAGCGTTATTGGTCAGAGGGGGCACCTGAGCAGGAACCTGTAGGGGCAGTCTTCACCAACCTGGTGCCCTCCAGGTGTTTTGGACTATAACTCCCATAAGCCCAGCACATGGCAAAGACTGTTGTGGGGCTTGGCATGACTTCCTTGTTTGAGTCATTTGGCTGTGTTGTTTCTTTGGAAGCAGAGATTGCAACAGAAAGGCAGGAGCAGGAGCCCCAGTTCTGACACAGTCAGGTGCTATTTGTTATTTTGTGGGCCTCTGTCATCTTGTCGGAGGAGCCCTCCTGCCCCACTCTGCTGCCTGGCCTAGGGTCTAAGTGGAACTGGGTAGCCTGAGGGGAATGGTCCTTCCCCACAGGAGAGTCTCTGGCAGCTGTGGAGAAGCACATCTGCTTTGGAAAAGAGCTTACAAAGTCTGCGGCAACAAGCTTCAGTGAGAAAGAAAAAGGCACAGGGATATGGACACCCTCACCCCACCTTGAGTTAAAACAGAAAAGGGCATTGCCCTGCCACGCTGGCTTAGGAATGCCAAGGAAGGAGATGTTCCTTCCCCTGCCTTTCATGATTTGTTCTCATGAGAGCCAGTGTGGTATAATTGTTATCGAGTGTCAGACTAGAACCTGGGAGACCAGGGTTCGTATCCCGCACTCAGCCAGGAATCTCACTGGATGACATTGGGCCAGCCCCCGCCTCACCCCTCACAGGGCTGTTGTGAGAACATAATAGGAAGCGGAAAGCCATACACACCACCTTGAGCTTCTTGAAGGAAAAGGTGGCATGTAAATATAGGAAATAGAATAATAATAAATAAATAAATAAATGTCTTGCCAGCTCTGAAGGTGCTTAAAGGAGCTTTCAGGCCGATCTGGACTATCTCTTCCTTGGAATAAATTTCAAAGACCTTCTTAAAGCTCTGCCAAACAGAAGGTTGCTGAAGACGCCAAGTTCCCTTTTCCTTCAGTTGCACTACCATCTCTCTCTCTCTCTATCTCTGTCTCTTTTTCCAGGTGCTGATATCTCCAACGTTTGCAATGAGGCTGCCCTCATTGCCGCACGACACGCCAGTCCCACTGTGAATGAGAAGCACTTTGAACAGGCCATTGAGAGAGTCATTGGGGGTGAGGGTCCCTGCCTGCTCACCATGCCAGCTCTGAATACCAGTTGCTGGGGAACTGGAGCGCAGGGAAATCTGTTCCTGTAGACTTCTGCTGCCGTGGGAAGCAGGATGCTGGTTTAGTTGGGCTTGTGGCCTGATAAGGAGATGTCTTGGCAGGCTGTCAGATCCTGAGCATTTATTTCCAAGCAAATCTTGCCAGTTTCAATGGGGCAAGTCAGGGTGCGATTGCACTGGCAGCTTCCTGCTGATTTACTGGTGGATATGCCACTGAACGTGGCCTCTTCTGTTCTTCCCAGGCCTTTCATGCATTGCTTTTTAGGCTTCCCAGACCTGTTTAGTCACTGTGGGGAATGGGGTGCTGAATTAGATGCCCCTTTGGCCTGACCCAGCTTCCCAGTGACCTATGGCCATTGCTAGACCTCCAAGTACTTGCCTATCGCCCTCTTGATGTCATCTCAGCTGGCGGCTGTCATCACATCTTGCAGAAGTGATTTCCAAACATTCATCTTGGGCAGGGTTCGGCAATTTTTTTTAGACGTGGGCCGGTACACTGTCCCTCAGACCTTGTGGGAGGCTGGAGAAGCAGCCCCGGGGTGGGGGGGAGCTGGAAGAAGAGGCGAGGGGGGCAAGTAGTCCTCCCCAAGCCCCAGCCCCAGCTGCTGCACTTACCTTCCAAGGGGCTGCTGTCACTGCCGCCGCCACCGCTGCTGCTGCTTCTTGTGGGTAGGCAGAGCGAGCTTGTCTGCTCCGCTCTTTGGCCCACAGGAGCACCAGGGCGGTGGCAGTGGCGGCAGAAGGAAGATGAGCAGTGCGAAAGGGCTGGCTCCGGAGAGGGGCTGCTTAAAATGGCGCTCAGCCAGCTCAGCCCAACCCCCTTCCTCCTCTAGGCAGGGCAGGGAGAAGCCAGGAGGAGGGAGGAAGGAGGCGCTGCCATGGCATGGGGGGGGTGTAATGGCACAGGGGGGAATGGCACAGCCCAAATGAACAGAATCCCCACACCGATCCATGGACAGTCCGTGGGCTGGATCCTGAAGGCAATTGGGCCTGATCCGGCCTGCAGACCTTAGTTTGTCGACTCCTGTTCTTGGGTTTGTGTGCCTCTGCAACAAGAGCCTCAGCTACTGCCTTTTGCTCCTGAGAAGAGCAGAGCTGAGCAGAGCCCTGCCGAGTTTTGTGTGGGTGGAGAAGAAGCATTTGCAGTTCCCCTGTAATTTAACAACCCAAAGAGAAGTGGTCCCCAGAGGGACCCGGCCTTGAGCAGTCCTCTGCAGTTGCAGATACTTTGCTGTGGAAACTGTTAGTGAAAGGAAATTGAGAAGCATGACAGGGAGAAAGCTTCCCTAAGGGAAGCGGAGGCTTAGTGGCTTCTGTGCCGCAGTTGGAGCATTGCTCTGCCTCCTGTGGGTGAACCAGCTGAACATATTGCCTTACAGCTTCTGGTTGCAGAATGTTCCTATATCAGAGTTAAAGAAGTGAGTCTTTGATCTTCTCTGTGGAGGCAAGAATTTGGCATTAACAGCTTGCAATTAGAGCTCTCGTATTTCCCATCATGAACTGCAGGTTTTGTGTGGATTCTCCAGTGGGTTGGTATCTGCTGGGCGTGTGTGTGTGGTGAGTGGAGAGCTTTCTAATTGCTTTCGACAAACGCTGCACTTTCCTTCTTCTCCCCCACCCTCCTGCTTCCCTCTTTCTCCAGGGCTTGAGAAGAAGACCCAGGTCCTGCAGCCAAATGAGAAGACCGTAGTGGCTTACCATGAAGCTGGGCACGCTGTGGTGGGCTGGTTCTTAAAGCACGCCGACCCTTTGCTCAAGGTGCGTCTCCCCACAGCCAGCGGAAGCTCTCCTAACATAAACACAAAGCAGGTTGTGGAGCGGGTAAAGCCAGCTGAGCTCCATTTCTTTTCCCAAAGGGCCAGGTAGCTCAGTGAAGGTCCCCATTTGGTTCAGAAGACTCAACAGGGTTGTTCTGTCCCAGGTGGTGGTCTCAGTCAGATGAGGTTCCAGCCCCAGAATGAGGTTCCAGGCAAGAGTTCAGGTTCCAGCAAACCAAGCAAATTTAGGCGAAGTCTGCTTTTTTGTTAAGCAAAGCAAGGCAAAGTCCAGCACCTGGAAAGGTAAAATCCCAAGTAGCACTGGGAGATTCATACAAGCTGGAGATTCATACAAGCAAGCTACATTATTGCTTCAGCAGCAGACCGTCCTGGTTGGAGGCCTGAGCAGGGCTTCAGCACAGTCCAGGCGGCTAGCTATGCCTCTGCTGGGAGCAGCCTCTGTTCCCTAAAGGGGCCTTGCCTGTAGGCTCCAATGGAATAGGAGAGATGGGGGCTTCTGGCGGGAGTCCTCTGACCAAGAGAGTGATAGTGTGACTTCCTCAGGTGATAGTGATATGGGCTGCTTGGCACAGAGGTGCTTCCAGGAGACCAGGGTCAGTTGTGGCTGATGTTGAGGTCACTTCTTCATGGCCTCATCCCGCTAACCTGGAGGGTCTGCCATCCCCTTGAGCCTCCCTGGTTCCGGCTCCAGGTGCTAAGTGCCTCCTGGCAGATCTGAACTACTGTGAATGAGGAAACAGGATCTGGGTGTTCCTTGCAGGATAGCACCCCAGGATGGTCCTGTTAAGCTAGGAGCGACATAATGCAGGATAGGTCCTTGACTTCACTTGCATTGTCGCTGGAGCAGGGACCGAGGCCAGAGGCAAAGGAAGGAAGGCTGGTGTAGAAAAATCCTCCTATATGGTACTGCTGATTCGGAGCAGGATAGCAGCAAGGGAGCATACAGGGAAAGGGCTGCCTGTTAGTGTAGGCAATACTGAGCTAGATGGACCCATGGTCTGACTCGGTATAAAGCAACTTATTACAGCTGGGTTGGACCCAAAACGCAGATCTCCCCGCCCCCCCTGCCCAAAGCGCCCAGCTGAGTCAGACCCTCCCTTTGCCATTCCCAGCAGGGGCGAATTGCTCTCTCCTTCCAGAAATAGTTGTGTGTGTAACAGACTGCTGTACTTGCAGATGAGAGCTGATGAGAGCAAGTGGCATTCCTTGTTTTGGAAATCACTGTATGTAATTTAGGTCCCTTCAATAGAATTTTTTTTCCCTGCATGTAAATCTTTGCCCTTCAAGGGAACTGCAGCAACCTTTGGGTGATGCCGTAAATGTCTAACTGACTCTGCATGGGTTGTGGGGAGGTGAGTGAGTGTCTTCCGCTCCCTGCTGCTCCACTTTCCTGTTGACTCGAAGCTGGGCTGGGCTCTGCCTTGCTGACCTTGGCTCTGCATGTTCCTGGCAGGTCTCCATCATCCCCCGGGGCAAGGGCCTGGGCTATGCGCAGTACCTGCCCCAGGAGCAGTTTCTCTACACCCGGGAGCAGCTCTTCGACCGCATGTGCATGATGCTGGGGGGGCGCGTTGCTGAGCAGCTCTTCTTTGGCCGCATCACAACCGGTGCCCAGGATGACCTCCGGAAGGTGACGCAGAGCGCCTATGCCCAGGTAATGCCCCATCAAGACATGCCCTGTGCTGCTGGGTACCTTTATCTGATGCAGCAGCTTGGTTAGAGATGCCCTGTTTAGAAGCCAAGGATAGTTGGTAAGTGGAAAGCTCATTCAAAGTGTTGACTTCTTACTTCAGAAACAGAGGTTTGGTTTTTTTGCAAAGGCACTGCTTACCTGCTCCCCACCTCAGTCACACAGGTGTGCAAGGAAGAGCTCTATGCACATGCGCGCGCGCACAGATACACACATGCAACTCAAAAAGAGTCCTGCTGAAGGGGCCAGCGGAGACCCGCCTGGTCTAGCATTTTGTTCTTGCAGTGGCCAACCAGATGCCTCTGTGAACTTTGCAAGGAGGACCTGAGTGCAATAGCACTTACCTCACTTATGATTCCTAGCAACTGGTATTCAGAGGAATACTGCCTCCAATAGTCAGAGTGGAACATAGCCATCTTGGCTGGTAGCCTTATTTTTATCCTCCAGGAATCTCTCTAATCCTCTCAAGGGCAGACGTGGACAGGAAAGAATGAGAGGGAAAGAAATGTCAGAGAGTCAGTCTTCTGGTCAGAGCAGGGGGGAGGTTTATCACCTGTTAAATTTGTGCCCTGCCTTTCCCCACCAAACTGTAGGATCCAGGGATAATTGTCTGACTCTGCGTTCACAGCTTTGCATGCACCCAGGCTGGTGCCAGCTGCCTTGTCTGTGCTCTGCTTCACTCTGGACCTTTCTAACGTCTAATTTTGCAGAAAGCAAGTTTCTGTCTCCCGAGACCTGGGAATGTGGGTGCAGTGTCCAGTGAAACTCTTGGGAAATTGGGGCAGCGCAAGATGGATGCCCTGGGGCAAGAGAAATAACCCGGCACCCATTGTCTCTGCCCCTCCCCGCCCCCGCTGCCCCCGGTCCTGCTGCTGGCTCAGGAGTGTTGCTCTTTTTCCAGGTGGTGCAGTTTGGCATGAGTGACAAGCTGGGTCAGGTCTCCTTTGACCTTCCGCGTCAGGGTGATCTGATGCCCGAGAAGCCTTACAGCGAAGCCACCGCTGAGCTGATTGACGAAGAGGTGCGTGCCTTGATCAACACGGCCTATGAGAAGACCCTGGAGCTGCTGACTCAGTGCCGTGGCCACGTGGAGAAGGTACGGAGCCAGGGCAGAAGCTCCCTGCTGACTTGTCCTGCACTTCAAATTGGGTCTGCTTGCAGCACACAACCCACGTGCCACCCCTCTTTCAAAGACGTTGAAATGGGACACATTTGCAGGTTAAATGGGGGCAGCACAGCAGGGACCATTAGAAGCAATGAAGGACATGGAAACTACTCTTGAGGGGAACAGTTTCATTTTGCTGCAGGAAGGAATGCACAATGAGAGTTGTAGCTTCTCTCCTTAATTAGCATTTTGTTTCTTAATGGGCTTCTGTAGTGTTGCTTGCTCTCCATAGCCATATATTCACTGGGTGATATTCAGCTAAGTTCTACGCAGAATAGACCCATTGGAATTAATGAACATGACTATGTTAGGGCCATTAGTTTTGGTGGGTCTACTCATGACTAAAACTTAGTTGATGACGACCCGTTGTCCTAAGACAAATAGCAGAAGTTGCTGATCCGGATCAGGGCTGGCAATAGCACCCAGCCTCCTTGGGCACCTGCAGGGCTCCCAGTGCCCAGCAGGGCTTAACACTGACACGTTCCTCATAAAATATTCTGCCATGGCACTCCAGGTAGCTGTACCATCTTAATTTCCCACAGTGCCTACATCAGGGGCGGTGTTGTTGGTCACATGGCTGGTAGCTCCAGAGGAGTCCAGTGACCTGTTTACTTTTTATTTTGACCCTTGCAGGTAGGAAAGCGTCTCCTAGAAAAGGAAGTCCTGGAGAAGGCAGACATGGTGGAGCTGTTGGGGCCCAGGCCCTTTGCAGAGAAATCCACCTACGAGGAGTTTGTTGAGGGGACCGGGAGCTTGGAAGAAGACACCTCCCTCCCCAAGGGCTTGAAGAACTGGAATCTCGAGCAGGAGGAGGAGACAGCCCAGGAGAAGGCCTCTTAGGGAAAGCAGGGCCAGCCTGAAAAGAAACGCATGGCACATTGTCCATTGGTCAAGCACCAAGGCCTGTTTCTTTGGCTGGGGGCAGCACTGCCGAGAGACCAGCTGAGCCTCACTTTGCCATGGAATCATGGAACACTGTCAGGCTCCGCTTCCACCAAAGGACCAGCAACAATGTTCAAGGACCACTGTCTGCAGCAAGCAACCTTCTTCAGTTCTCCCCCTCCAACGAAGGACATGAACTGGGATGGTTGCTTGGAGCAGAGAAAAGCAGGTGCCCTCTCCTGAACTGATCACAAACAGCCTCTGTGCCTCCAGTAAACTCATTGACCATCTGACGCACACAGACCCAGCAGTCTGGGAAGGTAAGAGCAGGCGAGGAGTATCCTTTCCAGGAAACTGCTCTGCTCAAGGGACCAAGGGCTGCCTTACTATGCTCAGTGCCTTCACTCCAGCTTCCCCCCTGCTTTCCCTTCCCTTCCCTTCCCTTCCCTTCCCTTCCCTTCCCCTCCCCTCCCCTCCCCTGCCAGCCTGCCTTACAAACGGGCAAGAGTGAACAGCAGAAGGCCATGCAGAAGAATTTCTGTGAACCTTGAGAACCCCGTGGACTTATCTAAGGGTGGAAGTGAATAGGTCTGAACAGGAACATGGTGCTAGTTTAAATGGTGCTACTTGAATCCTTAGCTTCTAGCTCTGTTGGCATAAGGGGCCCCAGAGGATCCAGGGGACAGGAGCCCCAAGCAAATCCAATAGGGCCACTCCAGACCATGGCTGTCCTGTGTGCAACATCAACTGCTTTCCCATTGCCTGCGGAGCAACCTCCTTCCTTTACACAGTGCCTGTTATTTCTCACCACCAAATGCCTTCCCTGCAGAGGAGGCTTTGCCTTGAGGGCAGCAGTGCAGGAACCCCCTCCTGGTTGTTTAGGCAGTTTATACTTCAGTCTCACTCGAGTCCCTGCAAAGGAGCAGCTCAGGGCCCCTTTGGGCCCTTTACTTCCTGCTGCTTTTGCCTTGGAAATGTCACCTATGGTGGGCAACCAGTGGGCTTCCATGCAAGACATCTTAGTGGCTTCGGGGCTCTGTCTCCTAGATCACTGTTGGAGCAGTCAGGGCAGGAGGCTATGCAGCCCAACTCACCCCACCACCACCACCACTTCCAGCACTCCTTTCTTGGCACCTTGTGCTCAGTCGCCAAAAGGCTTAGAATTCGTACCTGTGAGGGTTTTGATGTGGGTGTGTTGTGCCAACTCTCTTGTAGCCGCTGCCTTTGGAACCACTTCATCCAGCCTTCCGCCAGATGCCAAATCAACCCGGCATTTGCCCATGTAATGCCCACTGGGCAGAAGTCATCCTGAACCCCCTGCCCCACGTTGGCAAAGCCTCCCATGTAAAACCTGTGGGTCAGCCTTGCCCCCCCCCCGCCTCCACTCCACCCCCACTGCTAGCTGCTTCTGCTGTTTACTCACTTGAATGCTGGCCGTTCCAAAGCGTTTGACCGACCGGCTTCTGAAAAAGTGACTCAGCAAAAACAACGCTGATTAGCTCAGCAAAACTGCTGGCTTTACTGAAAGTCATATTTGCAACATTCAAAGACCAAAATAAGTTTGGACACCACCTTCTTCCAGGAGTCCAGCATAGGAGCCGTCTTCTGCATGATGAGTTGCTTTTTTCTTTCCCTGTCCTTGAGAACCTTTGCAGGGAGTCACATTTTCACATGAAAGATGCCCCACATCTACCATATAGGTATAGGTCAGACTTATGTGTCCTTCTTGCCCAGTAATGCTGCTTACCCCAGCCTTTCCCACCAGGGGTCCTCCAGATGTTTCAGAACGGGCTGATGGGAGCTGTAGTAATTGTAATGGTTTTGTCTGTTTTTATAGTCTTTTCTGTTGTTAAAACCTGACCTGGGACCTTAGGGTTGAACAGCGGGCCACAAATCTTATAAATAAAACAGCTCAGAGCATCTGAAGAGGACCAGGTTGGGGAAGGCCGGCCTGGCCTGACTGTTGCAACTCTCCAGGGTCTTGAGCAGAGGTCATATGGATTGTGGGCACCTCTGAGACGCCTCTTGGCTTGCACTCAGTTCAGTAGGTTTCCCCTTCTCTCCTCTTCAGCTTTAAATTTAGCCCTGTATAGAAGGAGAGACAGAGTGCTGCTGAAGTGTGTGCAAGCGTAACCTAATTTAAAAATGAAACGCTAAAGCCAGCCCCCAAAAGACAACCAGGTTTCTAAAGAGGAAAACGTGTATCCTTTGTAAACAAAGGCAGATATGCAAGCCTTGGTAAGCAGATCTGCAGGGAGGGCAACAAGGAGCAATAGATAAAGTACCAAGAACATTACAGATAGCAGTGGTGTGATGTGTCAGTGTGGACACTACTGAATATATATCTCAGGTAAAATGGGAGGTATGGAGGCTGAAGGAGGCGTGCAGGATTAGCAGATTGTGACGAAGCCACTGATGAGGGGGAACAAATCAGGTTGGGCACAAGTCACCCCCAGTTGAGCCTCAGTGTTATCAGTAGGGAGCAAGAAAACAGTTTGCAAAAAGCAGATTTTGTGGGCTCTGCAGCTGCTAGCTGGAAACTTACAGCACCCCCCCCACCTCACTTCCATTGTGCTGTGGATTCTGACTTCAGCAGCCTTTCCTTCCATGCAAGGACTAGGGAAGGAGTCTATTGAACTTGGGAATACAAGTGTATTTATTTGATAAACAGCCTGTTTTATTCTGCATGTGGGTTTGTTTGTTTGTTTCCTTGCTTCATAAGAACAAAGCAAAACAACAGAAAAAGCAATGATTTTGCTTTAATGGTTCAGACTACATTGCCAGGACAGGATACACGCTGTGATCTATTGTTAGGTCTGTTCCACAGTTTTAGAGGCCACTGCTGTCTGACCCCAGGGGTTGGAGGGGGGGGACAGCAATAAATCATAACTGGGCACATTCAAACTTCAAACCCCAAGTGCAGAAACCTGGATTACACATGTCTGTTGGGTGAATGACAAGACAGTGGTGTGCAGGGCATCATCAAGGTCAGACCTGGGTCTGCAAGGCCAATTGGCAGTTTTCCTGCTCATGGCACCGGCAAGTGGATTGTGTGACAGTCAAAGCTGCAGCCCAGCCCCAAGAACAGCAAAGGACACGTTGGGTCATTGCTAGGTGATATCCAGCACACTTCTGATTGGCTCCTGTAAAAGCTGTAGTTCTGCCTCAGTCAGAGCAACTGAGACTTTGTTTTGCCAGCTCTTACACCTTGCCCAATGAGAGGCCAAGAGCTGGGCAAGAAGTATCTGGAAGTGCCACCTCCTGCCTTCCTGACCCCTGTTCATTGTGTGCCTGCAGAAAAGCTCTGGTTGGTCCTCTGTGCCCAGGTAAATACTGTTGCATGTGCTGAGCATTGCAGAGGGAGCAAAGGAGCCCCCAAACAAGCAACTGGCTGGACCTGTTGGCATGAGGAAGGAGGGCGCGAGAGAATGGTATGGGTCATTCTAGCTGCTGCTCCTAGAAAATTTGGTTCTGTGGCTTTAAGAAACCCTGATTGCTGTGAAGGACAGCCTCCAGCTCCAGGGGTGATCTGTCAGGCTTATTGAGGCTGACTTCTCCCACCTGCGCACAATGCAAGGCCACAGGAATTGTGCTTTGCCAAGAGTGAGCAACCCAGAGGTGAGTCTCCAAGCATGAAGGGGCTGGACTTGATGGAAACTTGAACTCGCCACCTGGAAGAGCTTTGTGGCCTTTGCCTTCAAGTGGCCTTGATGCTGTCGCTGTGCCAAGTGAGAAAAATGCAGCGCGCCAGGGAAGTCTGTCCTGGCCAAGCAGAGCTGTGTGGCCTTGGCTCCCCTGCTCCCCTTGCCTCTGGGCCTCTGTAATTGTGCTGATCTGGTGGTATCTCTGCTGCAGCTTCCTGCCTCCACTTTGGCCAACAAAGCTGACTGTTCCTCAGATCATAGCAAGGATGAAACCAGCCTCACGTCCTCCAGAAGAGGCTGCTTTTCGGTGATGTCCCTCTTCTGCCACAAGCCCCAGTTAGATCCAGCTTAAATTGGCACAGGGACTCAGGGTTCCAGGATTGGCTTCTGGTTCCTGTGTTATAAACAACAAACTGGGTTTCGTGAACTGGAAGGGTGTGGATGCACTTGAGAGCATCCCTGCAAACAGCTGAATTTGGCTGTGGAAGCAAAGGATCAATTTGGGAAGCAGGCAGCTGCTGTTCTCCCTGAGCCCCCTCTCAGCACATGCACACACACATTCCCTGGTGGCTCGTATGTCATCTGGGCATCATGATACACCAGCATTTCCATTTCAGCTGGCTGTGAGATCAGCTTGTGCTGCAATCAGCAGATGCTTATCTGTTAAGCCGTGAAACTCTGGACAAGCCTCAGAGTCCTCGTCATCTGCGCTCCACAATGGGGCTTGAAGGTTTATCTCCTCTGGCGTGGCAGGCAAAGTGGAGAGGGCTGAGGGCTGTGCATTTTTGAATTCCCAAAGAGGAGGAAGGAGGGCATCTGCAGCTCCATTTGTCTTGACATAAATCCCTCTTGCCTTAAGATGCCAGCATTTTGCTGCAGAGGATGGAGGCTGCTGCTTGCTACAGACTCATCCCAGGAATGCATGAGAAGATTTTGTCGCCCTCTGATCTGTTTGGCAAGGAAACCGGCTTTAAACTAAGGCCCAGACCACCTCTCTTGGTGGCTGTAAAGAAATGCAGCATTCCCTTCGCCCATGGCTACTGCGGTGTCTCAGGCTGTGGAGCCTCTAACCCCCCCACTCCCTCCCCCAGAAAGATGCAGTCACCCAGAACAGGGCTGTGCAGTTACTCTGTAGGCTTTGTGCGGTACCCCCGTCTCTGTTGGAGGTCTGGAGAGTCAGTGTAGTTGATGGATTAGAGGGCTGGGCTGAGCTCTGGCCTGTGGTCCCACCTAACTGAATGGCCTCAGCTGCAAGTCGCCACCTCTCAGCCTCCGGTTCAGTGTCACTGACAGGCATGTTTCGAGAGCAAACACAGTAAGGACTGCGGCACATTTGCAAAGTGAATGGAACAACATGATTTGAATGGTGTCGGGCTGGGAGAGAGAAGCTGCTGTTCCTGCCCCATCCTAGCTTTCCCATCCTGAGAAGGAGAGGAGAGGGAGACTGGGGGGGGGGGGGAGAGAGGGGGTGCAACCCTCTGGGTCTAGCTAACTGGGTGCCAACAGCAGGTGCCCAGTCTGCCAAGCAGCAACACCAAGTGGCTGACCAGCCATGGTGAGGAAGGTACGGTAAACTGGACACTGGGCCCCCAAAGTTTCTGAGGTCCAAAAACCTCAGTAGGGTACAAGAGGGTGTGTAAGCCTTGGGAGGAGCCTGTGCAGAAGGGGACCCCAGAGACTGAACTAACTCCCTGTCACTGCTACAAGGGCATTCAGGCACCAGAGTGCCACCACTAGGGAAAACACAAGCTGGGTCCAGCACTTGGCTGAGAGCTTCTGGTTTAATGCCCAACAGGGCAAGAAGCAGTCTCAGCAGCGTGCCCCTTTCCACCAGCACAAAGAGGCCTCCCCAGTTCACAAGGGGACGTACCATAGGATGGGCTTAGCTGCTCAGTTAGGTCCTGCTACTTTCTGGCTTCAAAGCAGTTGTTGTGGAGGGAGCTCGTCCTCCTCCTGAGAATGCACAAAGTTGCAGGAGGAGAAGCGTGCAGCTGCCCTGATGCCGAGCCAGGCCAAGCCTGTGGATGCTGTGTGCTAAGAAGACCAAAACCCCAAAGCAGCAGCTGGGAGTTAAGGCCACTGGGAAGAAAATGTGCTTTCGGAAGTGAGGACTGGTTCCACCCTTTCCCAGCAGGTCCTCCTGGCAGCTGGACTTTTGGCTTCACCGCATATCCTGGAAGTGTTGTAGAAATGGTTCTGAGTTTCCCCCGGGTTCCTTTGGTATAACAAGGTTCCTTTCCCTGGCTGAGACGCTGCCTCCCATCACCCCAGCATTGCTCAAGGCACGTGGCTGAAGAAGGGGAGCTTTTTCTCTATTGCTGTGTGCTTCAAGCCGCTCTCCCTCTCCCGTTTCTACTCGTCCCCAGCAAGGTAGCCTCTTGTTGGTGTGTCCATCGCCACTGGCTTTGTTGAGAAGGTAGCAGCAGAAGGTTCAAAAGTGCCTAAAGGAAACAGGGCCGCAGCCGTCTCCCCTAGACGTGGCATCTGCTGCCTGGTGTTGATGGCAATGCAAAGAAGGTCCTGATGGGCAAATGTGACTCATGGCCGGGGGCTAAGCGAAATGATTTTTACACAACCAGCAAGACTGGCAAATGTCTTGACCTGGGAGGGAGGAAGGGAGGCAGAGGAGGAGGCAGAATGAATGTCTCTTAAGGTCACAAATTGCTTGGAATTTGTGGTTAGTGCAAGAGTAAGTGTTGGCACCTTGGTCTGGCTTCTGGCTCTCGTTATTCTTCTTTCGGCTTCTCCACAGTAAGGAAAGTGTCTGCTTTGCTGGCCTGGAGTTCCGAGTCGCTGAATTGCTTCTTCTCCCGGCCCTGATCACCTTTTGACCTCGTCCAGGATGGGGAGCGCAGGTAGCCAGCCCGGGGGTTAGGGTGGGGGTGGGGGTGCAGACCTATGCCGAGAGAAAGAAAGGCAGGTCGGGACTGACCAGCACACCTGGTTGCTTCCTCACACCGACAGACCTTTCGTTAGGACTGCCATATGTCCGGAATTTCCCAGACATATCCGGGGATTTGTCCACAAAAAATAGCGTCCAGGCAGAATTTTCAGAAATCGTTTAGAATGCCTGGGAAAATCCAGGTATATGACAGCCTACATTGGAAGTGTTGGGTTGTTGTTGTTTTTTTGCAAATTCCCTATTTTAAAAAGCTCAAAACTTACTTTCTTTCTTTCTTTCTTTCTTTCTTTCTTTCTTTCTTTTCTTGGAAATTTTGCAAAAATCAGGGCTCAGCCACCCTTTCGTCTGCCCGTATTCTGATTGCATTGTGTACCAACAAATTCCCCCAGGTCTAAGAGCTTCCCCATTGTTCTGTGGCTGTGCCTTGAGAAAAATCCATTGTACCCATTGACTCAATAGCTCAGTAAGCAACATCTCTCTTCAGATTTTCTATGCATCTACGAAGATCCAGTTCACTGGGTAAGAACTGATTTTCGCAAGGCACAGCTGCAGAACAATGAGAAAACCTCTTGGACCCTGGGGAATTACCATATTTTTCCATGTATAACACGCCCCCATGTATAAGACGCCCCCTATTTTTGGGGACTCCAAATTAAGAAAATGGCAAATAGCAGCTAATCGCCAGCAGTCCTTCTCACAGCCACCAATCATCAGCACTACCAGCACTATCGCCACTGAGAATCTCCTGCTCGAAGCTGCAACCAATCGCCCAACCCCACTCTGCACTACCCAAGTATAAGACAAGGGATAATTTTAAAGCTAATTTTTAAATTAAAGACCCTCGTCTTATAGACGGAAAAGTACGGTAATCAGGGCACAATGCAATAAAAATACAAGTCAAGTTTGGACGAGCCCTTAATTTATGACCCATCTTTCCACATACTGTGTGTCAAAGGCAGCTATCTGAAGCAATGTACAATAAAAACAAAACAAATATCCAAAGCAGATAAAACAACAACAGAGCAGAAGAGAGGCAGATTAAAACAGTAGCCAACTTAAAATTCTCAGTGAGAAACACAAAGTCCTCCCACTCTAGCGACGGGCACTAGTCATGCGCAACGCCAGCTCCCAGCTATGCCCACATCAAAGGACACATCCAGCTAGTTCCGTGGGGCCTTGATGAGCAGCTCACGTGGGTCTCTCTTGCTGAACTTGCGGCCTGTGCAGCCAATACATTTTGAAAGGCCTGCTCAAAATCAAATAAGCTCCCTTTCCAGACGCAGCCTCCCAGTGAAAGAGGGAGGACTTTGAGCCCCGCATTTTCTGTGAAGAAGTAGAACAGAGGTGTGGGATCCACTGGGTGTTTTTGGCAGATCCCTTGAGAGTCTGCTCGCCTCATTCTGAGTGATCCATGCACATGATGGCCGATAATAACAAATCCAAAAGCCGACCTGCAGCCTGGATTTCCCTCCCTGCCTCTTCTTGTCTGCTGAGAGTGCAGGGAACTCTCCTCATTAATTCCACTCACACTTTCCCACCAAGGAGGCTGATCTGCATTTCCACTCCATCTGTGTCAGTGGGATGCAGCTGCTGCCTCCGCAGACACCATCGCAGACACCCTCTTCATACCCCTCTCAGCACAGCTGCTCATCGTGCCATTGCTCTGGGAGGGGCAGGAGAAGAGGGCCTGGAATCATGGGATGGGGGAGCCCTCCCTCCTCCCTACACACACAGTGCACAAGCCCCCCCTAGAGCAATAGCTTGTGCATCATCCTCAAGCAGATAATGAGGACATCATCACTAAGAGGAGAACCAGCTTGCCCCAGGGAGAAGCTTGATATTTTCCACAATCAAAGAGAACATCCTCTAAGCCAAAGTGTCTCCCTTTCTGAGACACCTGTCAAATGCTATCTGTTTTCTGAGACTCTTGGCACAGCTGGGCTGCTTAATGAGGCGCACACACACCCCTACCGGCATGCTTGATTAAGCAGATTTCACACTGTCACTCCATGCTTAGGTTCCTTATCATCACAGGTGGGGTTGATTGGCTCAGGTGACCTTTCTGCTGCAGCAGCTCTGCCTGGGGTGATGTGCAAGCCCCACAAGGCAGTTGCCAGGCACTCTTCCCCCCGCCACTGCCCTAGTCTTTGTGCCCTAGATCTTGCCTAGCTGATTAAAAGCATCTTACTCTGTTTGCAATCCTGTTCCCACTTAACTGGGAGTAAGCACCATAGAACTCAGTGAGACTTACCTCTGGCTAGAGATGGATAAGATTGCGCTGCAAGAATTGGGCCTCATAGACTCACTCTTGTGCACTGAACATCAACAGTTTTTAAAAAAGTAATTTTGAGAATTAGATGCATGACGAAAAAGAAAAAAGAAATTAGGGCACCTGAGTACAGAAACATACTTTGCGGAGCCGTAAGCCACCATACAGAGTTGCCATTTTGCAAATGAATATGCTTTAGGTTGGAAGGCAACAGATCTCAGGGCATACATCTGATGCTTAGGCCCTTTGTGGCATCATGTCTGAACTGCTTCTTGTTAAACTTAAAGCCTGGGGAGGGGAACAACAGACCAGAATTATACTGAAATCAATAAAATCCTACTGAATGGGGTAACAACATTAATCCTGGCCAGCAGGAACTATGGTATAAAAAGGAAAGCATTCTAAGAAGCTGCAGAAACGGCAACTTTGTTTGTGGTTAGAAAAATTTCTAGGATCAAAACTGGAGAGCAGAGTCGCCTCTCCAGATATGCTTCTCCTAAGTAATCTCACACTTGCAAGTGAGATTACTAGAGGGTGGGATGGGTGGAAAGGTGTCAGCTGACACCCCCCCCCCCGGATAAGGCACTTGCTCAGCTGCTTTGCAAAGCCAATTTGTATGACGTTGCCTCTGCCCACATGCCTAGCAGGATGAGTGCCACATTGATCATTAGATCTGCAGCCATTGGCTCGACCCAGCAGTCTCGTCTTGCACTCTTTTGTCAAGGATGATAGGAGTTGTAGTCCAGCAACATTTCAAGGGCCACAGCTTGCTGATCCCTCTTTTGAATCCCAACATGTTTCTCCCCCAGCCTTTGGAGCTATCTTAGGTCTATGCAGATGTATGCAGTTGGAATTGACTAATTAGTTCCTCCATTTTAAAGCTTGCATAATTAATTGGTTTAAGATTCAATCAAGAGAGCACGCTTACCAGCAGGGGATTCATTGCCTGTGTTCTCATCATCGGAGTCAGCAAAGACCTCCGCCAGCTCCTGGTCAGACATGTCTGTAAGCTCAGTTAGGTCCAGAAGGTCAAAGTGCACCTCGAGGGAGGAGACGCTGCTCAAAGGTTCTGTGGAGACAAGATGTCAGTGAGAACCATGACCAGTTAGGCAGTGTGGGAACATATGAGAAGGCCCTCTGATAGGGTCAGTTGTCCTGGACTCGGACATGCCCTCCCCACACTGCAGATGGTCTGCAGACTGAGGCCGGAGAGGGAACACTGGCGAGTTAATGGCAGAGGCAAGATTTGAGCCGGGGACTTTCCTGATTCCGTAGCTCAGCCTTTTAGCCTCTGCACTTTAAATGAATGCAAAGTATGCTTCTTATTTGTGGTAAGCTCCCAGGTGGGCCTTTCTGTAGCTCCCAGGAGATGCAGCTGTAAGGGAGTCCAGGGTCTCAGTGGGAGTTGCTGAGCTGGGCTAGGGGCCCAGAAAGCTCTTTGCCTTCTCCTACAGCCAGCAGAGAGCCAACTCCTTCCTTCCAGGTTTTACTTACGCCTGCGCTCCGCAACCTGCAGCAGCCCGGAAGTGGGGATTGGGATCCCTCCTTCTTCCTCCGCAGGGGGGCTGTGGGGCTCTTCCACCAGTCCATGTATGGGTACAATAATGGGGGCCAGCCGCTCTGGCGTTTGGGCCCCTTTAATCAGCTCTGAAACGACAAAGGATTGCATCTGCTTACAGGAGACATGGTAGGAGAGCAGAGGGAGAATCACTACGCAGGCCTGATCAGACCCACCCGGCATCAGCATCCCTTTTCAGTTCAGGTGGATACAGTTAGGCTTGGTGGCCAACAGGTAGGAGAGGCCTGTTTCCCATACAAGCCCCCCCCCCACCAATTGGCAGGAAGGAAACTGAGCGGGACTGCCCTTTGTTTCTGCAGCGAATTCTGGGAACAGACCCCTAAACTGACCACCAGCCTGGATGGCTACTAGCCACGATGGTTCTGCCTCCACAGTCGGAGGCTGTAATGCTTCTGAAGACCACTTGCTGGGTGCTATTGCACTCAGGTTCTGCTTGAGGGTTTCCCACAGGCACCTCATTGGCCACTGTGAGAACAGGAGGATGGACAGGCTTTTCTAATGCTTCTCTGTCCTTAAACTCCAGCTCCTTATCCAGGCCACTCCTGCAACTTATTCATGGCAGATGAGAAACCAAGGAACAACTTCCACCTCCCGCTTCTACCAAAGCTCAGATGTTGGGTCACCATTCGGCTGAACTACAGCATTCCTCTTTTCTTTGGCTCTCCATTTTTGCATTTCTTCACCCTCCTGTGCTGAATTCGGCTGCAAGGATTAATCCAGCCTGCCGCGTCAACCATGTCTAGCTGCAACTTGGCTGTCTCCCCCGTGTGTGTGTGTGTGTGTGTGTGTGTGTGTGTGTGTGTGTGTTTTATCCCCTCCTTGCATCTAGCAGAGACTGGCACTATGTCAAAAGCGTCTCCCACGGTTCTGCCACTTAAACTTCAGCTTAAGATATTTGCTGTTGCTCTTCCTGCAGGTTCCTCCTGCAGCCTCACTCCTTAATAGCTTTCTGTTCGGCTCCAAGCCCTTAACCAAGCCTCTGCCAACCAAAGGCCTTCCAGATTCATGGATGGTAAGTCTGTCAGTGGCTCCTAGCCACGATGGCCATGCTCTGCCTCCACAGTCAGAGGCAACCTGCTTCTGAACAGCAGTTGCTGGGAATCAAAGTGAGGAGAGGGCTCTTGGGCTCAGCTTCTGCTTGAGGGTTCCCCACTGACATCTGAGTAGCTACTATGAGAAAAGGATGCCTGGCTGTACATCCATACATATAAAATTTCATATGGAAATCTGTGCCCTCTTTTTTACGTAATTGGAATGCCAACCTGCAATACCCCTGTGGTCTTTGTCCTCTCATCTTCCCTTCCCATTTCCCTCTTTATGTGGCTCCCATTCAGGCCAAGCCAAGCCACACAGATGCACCTCTGCGGGCTCATGGTCTTAGAATCATATAATTGTAAAGTTGGAAGGGACCCGGAGGATCATCTAAGTCCCACCCCCTGCAATGCAGGAATAGGCAGCTGTCCTATACTAAGGTTACCAGATTTTTAAAATGAATCCGGGGACACTTATTGTTTGCTATGTACATGTGAATGCTGAGAAAGCTGTAAATCCGGGGACTGTCCCCGGGAAACGGGGACATCTCGTAACCTTATCCTATACAGGGATCGAACCTGCAGCCTTGGCATTATCAGCACCACGCTCTAACCAACTGAGATATCCAGGCTTCAAAGCATCATTGTGCAGCTTTCTTCTAGGATGGGCACCCCAAACTGAAAAAGGGGGTAAATGAGCAAAGCTGCACAATCTGCCGCAAGAGGCTCTTTGCAGCTGTGAGGCTATTAACAAAGGGGCTGTGTTTGCATAGGCAGACACCTGATACACCCCTCCCTAGCCCTTGTTTCCTTCCTTCTCCTTGCCCTTTCTTCTGTTTGCTCAGCCTTGGATGAAGAGCTCATCCAGGAAAGGGGGAAGGGCCTTATCTCCCCCTTCCCCAGTATTAAGCACCCCCTGCCTCATAACTCTAAAAGGACTCCTAGAGCTACCCAGAGAGGTGTGCGACAAAACAGGAAGCGCAGCAGCTGGCTTTGCCTGAAGAGTGGCAAAGGAAGAAAGGTTGGCACTTTCTCCCAGGGCAATTTACAGATGGGTACCAAGAACCTGGGGCTCCTGCTAAGGAACCAGCTGCTGCTGGGAGTTGCAATGACAAAAGACTGGTCTGTTTGAGAGCAGGCCGGCAGGCAGACCCAGAACAAAGGCTGGTCTGTCAGGAGGAAGGAAGATGCCACCAGAGCCACTGTCCTGACTGTGAGCCATGGGCTGTGTGTGCTCAGATGTCTCCCCACTGATCCCCTACTCCATAGCCATCAGTTTTGTACCCAAGGGGTGGAAGACATGCCAGCAGCCTTGGCTTCGGTATGTGCAGGTAATCCCAGCAATGCAATTGCACAAGAGTCTAGAACAGTCACACAATGAGAGACTCTGAGCCAGCAGCTTTCCCCAACCTGATTCCCTCCAGCTGTTTTGGTGTATGATTCCCATCAGCAGCACTGGCTGGGGATGATGAGAATTGTGGTCCAAAACAGCTGGAGGGCACCAGGTTGGGGAAGGCTCCTGTAGTAAATCCTATTCTTTGGTGTTCCCTGCAGGTCATAGCTCAGGTCTCCCCAGATGCTCTGATGAGACGTTCACTTTGCCCAGTGTTGGCAGCTAAGTCAGGGGCTTGTTGTGGTACACATGACCCTCCCCAGGTGCCAGGACTTTGCATGTGTGCCCCCTCTCCCTCTTTACATCATGGCTGGTGCCAGAAAGGCTGTGTCTGCACAGTCCACTCATATAAAGGGCTCAGCTAGAGAGACACAGAAAAGCAGAACCTCTGAGCTTGGGAAATCACTCTCCGCCTCATCCATTGTGCCAAGGCCACACACAGGCACTGCCCCAGCACCGTGCCAGCTATCAGGCAACTGGCACCCTACAACAGGGGCACATGAGGTTTGTGCCACAAATGATTGGCAGGCTGGGTCCTACCCGCTCATTAACAGGCAGGATGTTGGTGCTGTTACCCAGAACATAAATGCAAATCCCAGCTAGCTAAGCATGCATGTTGATGTGCTGGGAAGATCCATGGTCAACGCTGCTCTCGTTTTTTACTTCACTCTCCCCCACAAAACTACCCTCCTCCAGCACTTGTGTCCTGAATTTGAGTCCTCCAACGTACCCTTACATGATTGCAAGTGTGCGTGTATATGTGCACTTACAGAATTTTGCTGTAGCATCCCTGCACATCACGCTGGAAAAACAAAGTGCTCTTTAATTTCCATGCCTCCTCCTCTCATCCACAGATGTGCAGCAGCAGCGCAATGTGCCCAGCAGGAGGAGGGTGGGGGAGTTGGGCATTGATTCCCAATAGAGATGTACTAGCAGCACTGAATGAAGCGAGGGGCAATATTCCCTAATGGACTGGAGCTAAGGGGAAAGGGAGCCCACAGCCCTTGCTTGCTCCAGGGGCAATGAAACTATTAGCGTTGAGCAGAGAGAACAAGAAGTCTCCATTTAGCCAGCTCAAAGCAAGGGCAGTGAAAGGGGGAATTTCAGTGAGAGCAACATCTTCTTTTCCTGAGCTGCTGACAACATTTGGGGTTTGAGAATGCCTCCCAAACTACTTGTGAGCAATCAAGCCATGGATCCAAAGCTGCTGCTGCTGCTGCTGCTGCTGCTGCTGCTGCTGCTGCTGCTGCTGCTTTGCCAGTTCTGCAGTCAGCATGCTCTGATCTATTTGATTGGGATGATGTGGCCCTGGGGAATACATGGACTAGTGTGGGTAACAATCTGGTTGTTTTTTAACCTAAGAGTCATGAAGGGGCTTTGGGGGTGCAGCACTGCCAGCAGAGGTGATGCTCATTTCAAAGGAGGCCCCCAACATCCAAGAGCATCCACTGTCCTTTTCCAACAGTAGAGACAGAACAAACACGGTTTTCTCCTAGCCCAAACAGAGCTGTTTATTTAACTGTGTCTGGATTCTGTCCAAACTCTTTGCATTTCATCCAACCCATTCTACAGGTTGCAGAACTCCTTGCTGAGTCAGAATTGCCTGTTTAACCTGCAGAAGCTCGTGGTGATCAGCAGATTCCACCTTACAAACAGCTCCAGTAGGGAGTGCTTTTTTCCTCCAGAAAAGAGAAGTACCATGGCTACGGTTTGTCTTGAAACTCACCCCCATTGGTTTGTTGATTTTGCTGGTTAATTTTCTGCGTACATATGTAGTCTGCTTTCCTGGTAAAGTGGCCACCAATGCAACCATTTAAAATCATCTTAATAACCAATAAAAACCAATCTAAACAAAATTAAGACAGCTGTTTTACCAGCTAAGTATTTGGGGATTTGCTGCATCCCAGTGGTAAACAAAATATTCTCTGCACATGTTCAGAGGTGCTGAACATGTTCCTCATTCTGCAGCTGAAACCTGGCATGGGAACCATTTTCTGGGCACATCTGGAATTTTGAGGGCGTGCCAATGCCTCTTATCCCGTCTCTCCCTAGAACAGCCCCCATCCCAAGAGACAGAAAGAGTGAAAATGCTCACACGCACACATATGCGTTCTGCTTTTCCAAAGGATCTAAATAAAATACGTAATCTGAGCCTTGAAAAACACATAGAAGTGAAAGAGGATGTGGGAAAGAGCAACATTCTTCCAACTTCCTCCTTTAGTGCTATAGCTATACACTTTTCAAGGGGGAGAAAGTAGGACCACCCCCCTCACAACTTCACAGGCAATAAGACAGTGAATGTGGGTGGGTAGGCCAAAAGCCTTTGTGGACACCCAAGCAAGACCTCAAGGGTGCCATTGTGCTCATGGGTGCCAAGTTGCCAACTCTTGGCTTGTGTATGTGTATTATTATATAGATTCACATGTTATTCCAGTCTAGGGGAAAGGACAACAATTCCCCGCAACTCTTCTTGCTGAGCAGAAGTTGCCAGTCTGAGCCAGGATCCTCTTTTCTTCTTTACAGTATTGACTCATCCTTAAGCCTTGGTTCCTTTTTGAAATATCACTGACATGCTTTTGAGTGGCTCAAAACAAACACAGTAGCCCAGATTCAGGAGGTAACTAGTAACAGCCACATCTAAATGTCAGATTTATTTCTCTAAAGGAGGATATGCACTGTTAATAAGGAAATTTTTGGGTCATTCCTGCTGCTGGGGGTGGGGGGGCAGGAAAGAAGGGAGATGCTGTGTTAAAGGATCTTATTTCTGCTTGCTCCCCAATGGAGCACCATAATGCAAAAATCATTCCTTCATAGCGCGTTTCTATCTCTAACAAAAGAGTTTTAGATAAGGTTTTGTATTCTCATGTGCCTGCTGCTTTTATGATCTCTTCTGCTTCCTCTGAAATGAATGCATATCCTTCTCCATCTACCCCACCAGTCTCCATCTCCCTTCCCTCCCTCTGTTGCCTCTTCTGTGTCAGAAATGTAGGCTGCAAAGCAGGGGCAGGGAAAATCTGCGGCTCTCAGGCTCATTGCAAAAACACTCTGCAAGCCATCAGTTCAGGCCTCTGACAAGAGGGATCTGTTCCTCCCCTGGCAGTCTGCTGGGTGGAGAGGGAGAGGAAGCAAGAAGAGGGGTGTCAGAAAGAGAGAGGAGGGGTGTCAGAAAAAGACGGGGGGGGGAGGATGTCAAAAAGACAGAGAGAACAAAGGGTGCCAGAAAGAGACAGTGGTAGGCAGGGGAGAGGGGAGAAGGGGCTGCTGCAGATAGAGAGAGGTGGAGAAGAAGGGGTGCCTAAAAGTGAGAGAGAAAATAGGCAGCAGTGGGGGAAATGGATAGCAAGGAGAGAAAGAAAAGGAGATGTCACTGCCCATTTTTGACCCTGGCCCCACCCACTGCTGTTATCTGTTTTGCCAACCAACAGTATATAGACCCCACAGATCACCCTAGGGAAGGAGGTCCCTGCCTTGAGAGAGAGAGAAAAGTTCCTTGCTGCTCCTGCCAATGAATGCCTGGACTCCTCCTGCTCAATATATTCCTCACCTATCTGTGCCAATAGGAGGCTGGTCTGCGCCAGCCTTGTATATGTAAAGTGGCACCCCAGGGCTGGACTCCAGCAGGAGAGGTTCTGCTAACTCCAACTATACTAGAGCCATCCCTGGGTGTCTGATGAAATGCCTCTGGCCAGATCTTGGAATCAGGTTTGAAAATGTGTGCGCCTTTAAATGTTAAAATCATGCCGATGCATTATAAGGCATTAATGTTAAGCATCTGCTTGCCAGATTCAGAAATTGCATCTTTCTTCTGAGGCTCCTAAATCTGACAACATCCCTAACGGAGAATGTTGAGAGGGAATCCAATTAGGAGAATTTGCTGGTGACTGTTGAGTTGGAAGGAATGGAGCTGTCTGGGGAAATCACCCCAGCTGCTCTGCGCTGGCTGCCCCTTCCCCCTGCAGCCCCCTCCCCAATCTACATCCTCCCCCCCAAAAGGAGGGAGCCTACCTGCTTCTCTCAACTCCCATCATCTCAGCTCCTCTCCCAGCCTGCCCCCTCCAGCTGAAGGAAGGGGGCTTGGAGGAGTGGGGGCGTGTGGAGATTCTCACAACTGCTGCTGACTCATATTACGTGAAAGGCGCTCCAGGTCACCGGGCCTGGACTGATGGTAGCTGCGCGTTTGGTACAAGGATGGCTGGCTGCGGATACTCAAAGCAAGAGCTGCCAGGAATCAGGCCAGTCAGAGATGGAAGCCTTTCCATAAATGTGTATGGAGTGGAGTGAGGGGAGGAGGAAGGTAGCAGGGGCCTGAATGAAATTCATGCTTTGTCTCTCCAATATTATTCAGCACCCCTTCCCGCCCCCTGCTAGTGGCCAAGAGAGTTGGGGTAAAAGGGCAAGACACGCATCAATCAGCAGCTCAAGCCCTGGGGAGGGTGCTGATTGAGTTTATTCAGCGAAAAGTGGCAGGAACTCTGCACATGCTCAAGGGCGCTCTTGCGCGAGGCCTATAATTAAAAACAAGCAAAGCCCGGCGGGGTCCTGGGCCAACTCGCCCCGTCCTGAGCCCTTGTGAAGCACAAGGGGGCCCTCGTTGCGGGTTCCGATGCTGGGCCTGTCTCAGCATCTTCCCAGCGGCAGGGCAGCAGCGGCAGGGCAGCAGCGAGGAGGCGCTTCCCTCCAGCAGCGGAGAACCAGTCAGGGGAAGCTGGCCAGGGCATCGGGCTGCTGGGCTGCCTTTCCTCGCCTGCTGGGCTCCAGATGTGGCACAGGACGATACCCTCGAGAGCTGTCACAGCTGGGGCAGCTGAGAGACCTTCTGCCTGCTTCTAGGAGGGATAGGGAAGAGATCTTTCTCCAGCCTAGAGCAAAGTGGAGAGCGCGCAGCCTACTTGCCATGGGCAAGACCCCTGGTACTGCTGCCTCCCTCCCGCTCCACTTAAAGCAGCCAGCCAGGCTACTTGCAGCCCCAAGTGCCAAGCAGGCGCCCCGCAAGGCAGCCAGCTCCGCCGAGCCCTCCAAGCAAGCATCACCTCGGAGCCTCTTGCAAAGCGGCAATGGACAAACGTGCCCAAACGCGACCTCCGCACCGCGCCCAAGGCAGCCACACCCTCCCCGGCCCAGAGGTCCAGACTCCACTCCGGGAGCATTCCGGTCACACCCCACTGCGCGCCCCATCCATCCTCCGCGGACACACTCCGCGGCTCCTCGCCTAAGTTGGGTGCGCGCGCTGGGGATCCCCAAGGCGCCCTTCGCCCGAGTCACCACCAACTAGCCACCGGCCGGGTGATCCCTATGATTCGCGGCCAGGGACTGGTCAATCCACTTGGGGACCCTTCCTGGCCAGCGCGGGGAGGGAGAGGCTAGCGGCCCCGTCCAACTGCCCCCTCGGAGCGTCCGAGGCGCCCTCCTGCCCGTTGGGGCAGCTCCTGCGCAGCAGCGCCCGCTGCAGGCGAGACGGAGCCCCTCACCGCGGCAGCGGGGCGGCGGCCCCACTTGCTCCGGCGATCCACCAAGGGAGGGAGCGAGGGCGCCCGCGGGGGCTGCGTCCTCCGTCGCGAGCGGCGCACTTACCCGGGGTGGCGGCCCCTCCCGGCCCCTCCATGCGTCCGGGCTGCTGCAGCCGCTGCGCTCGTGCGCTCCTCCGCCTGACGAGCCGTCGCCGCCTCCGTGCGCGCCGCTCTGGTCACTGCACCAGCCGCGCCAGCAGCCCGAGCGCTCATCGCCGGGGAGGAGCAGCAGCGGGCCCGGCCGGCCGGTTCGGGCGGGGGGCGAGGCAGGAAGGCAGGCGCAGCAGAGCAGCGGCGGCCGCGGCGGCAGCCCCCCACCTCGGCCGTCGAGGAGCGCCGCTAGGCACTGGGCGAGGGGAGGGGACGGGGGCGGGGTGCGCGGGAGGCGGCAGCGCCAGCGAGCGAATGGCCCACCCGCCGGTCCGCACCACCGGCTCACCCAGCGGGCTGCTGGGCTGACTTGGGCGTTCGGCTCCCTCCGGAACCTTCCCCGACCGCCTCGCGAAACCCTGGAACGTCGAAAAGGCGAGCGCCTCTGAGCACGTGCAGAGTTCCCGGCGCAATCCGCATCCCGCTGAAGTCAAGGGAAGAGACCTTCTGGGTGGCAGGCTTGCAGCGGGGCAGTTGGACCCATGGCCAGGGAGGAGCAGAGACAGAGGCCTCCTTCAGAGAGGCGGGGCGAGGGCGCTGCGCGGCCTTCACACTTTTCTTGTGAGGACCCCGGAGACAGCACTGGGTGAAGACAGCCCTTGGTCTGACCCAGAAGCTTAGCCTTGTTTTGACATTCTTATGGGGAAGTCTGTTGCTAAGAACGAAAAACCTCCAGTTTCAGGGACAGTCTACCAGAGCATTTCAGTTGCTGGGTGGGGCAACAGAAGGGAGGGCTGGGAGTTGTGGGTTTGAGGGTGGAACGAAGATGATGCCTGTGGGCATCAGACTGAGCACTGCAAGAAATTCATAGAGAATAAGGCTGCCCAGGACTGCTGATCATGATGGCTGTGTACAGGATCAGATGCAGCTGATAGGAGTCACAGGTGGGGAAACAGCTCCTGTTGTACTTATGTTCCACTTCTGGGCTTCCCATTGGGGCAGGTGGCTGGCCACTGTGAGAACAGAATGTGGAAGTAGATGGGCATTTGATCTCATCCAGCAAGGCTCCTATTACGAATTTACTGCACCCCCAATAAATTTTTGGGCTCCCTAGGACAGCACCACTTCTCTGTGTAGACATTAAGAACAGTCTGTCTCCCACCAGGCTCAGTATCCCTGGGGAACCAGCAAGCCCAGATGGAGATTTGCTTTTCTTTTTTTTCTGGAAGAGCCACAGAGAAGCTTCTTTCTCAGCAGTCGTGCTTTGCACCTCCCATGTCCCCAGCGGGGAGTGGAGGGAAGCTGGCATCTCTGCCAGCTGAGCTGCACTAGGCTTTTATTCCAGTCTCTGGCTACAAAACCTCCATTTTCTTTATCCCACCCCACTCTACTCCACCCGACCCCCAAGCAAGAGCTTCTAAAAACAGATCCAGGCGCAAATCCAAGCGGAAAGCCCCAATTAAGCAATGCCAACAGGAGAAACCCCCTGGCTGTTGTCTTCCTGGAACAAGGTATCTGTGCAGGACTGAAGCAGAAGGCAGAAGTCTAAACACTGCTCTAGCAGGCTCAGGGTGAAAGCGAATAGTGGGAATCAATGTGCCATAGGCAATGCATAGCATCCTAAGCTAGGCAACTGGGTCCCAATGTTTCCTGGAATCCAGCCACTGTCAGAAATCCTTTAGTTCCACCATAGAATAAATACAAATCAAATAACTCAATAAAATACTGGTTGATTAGTTGACCCTGCAGGTGCACTCTGCACACTGTCAGAAGTGCTCTCCACATAGCTGTGTGAAGCAGTAGGTCACCCTTTTTCACTGGTGGGGTCACTTTGCTTGCTTACCCGTTTCCTTCCTTCTCACCACATGAATCTCAACAAATGTTACTCACTTAGGGTCAAGACCAGCCTTCCCCAGCTTGGATCCTCTAGATATTTTGACTTGCAACTCCTGTCAACTCCAGCCAGCACAGCTGTGCTCCCATCAGCCCCCAGCATCCTGCAGCTCTGCTGGCTGGAGGTGATGGGAGCTTTAATCCAGGTTTGGAAAGGTTGGCTAATGCAGGAGCTGCATGTCCCTGGCCTCTCTGGGGAGGTCCAAGTGGTCCATCCTGTGTACAGTACACAAATAGCTTCTACCATCAGTACCAGAGGGAACAATGCCATGACAGACGACCCCCCCAGTGGGCTAAGGGTGCACAGGTGGACAGAGCTGATGAAGGGAAGCCTCTTAGCCTGGGCAACCAAGCAATTTAGCTAGAGGATGGGGCTTCTGGGTAATTAACACAAGGCGATTGGGGTCAAGGCTAAATGTGAGGCCATTGTTTCAGCCTTGGAGATTAAAACAAACTTCAAGAGCTCAGCAGGCAAAGCTGAGGAGGCCTGTAATTGGACTCCACCCGCCTCTCCTCTCATTGCCTCTGCCTAAATCACTCCTCATCCTGTTTCCTGGCTCAGACACTTTCTGCTCCTCCTCCTGATTCCCCCTACCACCACCTTGGTGATAGCCCCTCCTAATCTCAGATTGCAATTGAGAAACAGGTTAACTAGTGGTTAAAGAAATGTGCTCTGCACATACCCAGAGGCATTTTCCTTGTTCTCAGTGGACATTTTTCTGGGCTGAGCTCTAGCATCCCAGACTCAAACTGGTGGTTACTCAAGAGGGTGTGAGGGCATAAGGCAGGGATGAGGAATATGTGGCCCTCCAAATGTTTCAGGATTCTAGCTCCCATCAGCCCCAGTCACACATAGTCAGTGGATAAAGGCAACGCAAGAAGGAGACAACAATACCAGGAGGTCCCCTAGTTCTAAAGTACAGTTGCAGCAAAATCAGCAATGGGCAAATATTTTCAATAAGCATCTGCAAATGGTTCAGGTAATTCCTTGATCTAAACCTCTAGTGTTTTGATACTTGTCCTATTCCTGTCACTTTATTTCGTTGCAATGGACTGTGATTAAAAGCAATAAAAACGACTTGCTTGCTTGCTTGTTTATACATTTATGCATACTGTGCCATCTTCCATGGTGCCTTGTAGGGTTGCACAGGCGGCGAGGCAGCTTCCCTGCTCCCACAGAGCTCACCACCTGAAACTGCAAGGAAACCTGCAGAGGTGGCGGCGGCGGTGGGCAGCTGCGCTTACTAGACCTCAATGAATTCTTATTGCTATTGTCGTCATCGTAGCCAATTGAGTCATAAACCTTCCTTGTTTTGCTGCATCACTGGGAAGGTCTGCCTCCACCATTTCCCAGCCCTAGAAGTCCCATAGAGTCCCATAGGGCTTACTCCCAAGTCAGAAGAAGGAGCAGTTCATCTTCCAAGGGCTCCGTTGCTAGGGCTGGGGCCCGTTGCCAGGGGCGGGCCCGGCGGAGCCGGAACTCTCGCGAGGCCGGGGCGGCGGTTGCTCGGAGACGCGGCGACTCCGAGCCTGGGCAGCAGCCGGAGAGGGGACTCAGTCGCCACCATGGTGAGGCCGGAAGTGGGGCGCGCTTGCGATGAGGGGGCCCCGGGGGGCTCCCCCAAAACCGGGGCGGTGCTGGGGCTCCTGCCCGCCAAGAGGCCCCGACCCTCCACCCCGGAAGCGCGGGGGCTGGACATGCTCAGCGACAGACCGAACTCTGCACATGTTCAGGGGCACACATTCCTTCGTCACTCTTCCTTACGCGTGCCAAGAGTAAGCCCTGATATAAGCCTTGAGCCCTGGTAAGCACTGCTCTCACCACCACCACCAACCCCTATTTTACAAGTGTGCCTCTTCAACGCCATGGAGCAATTGCACAGGCAAGTAGGTACAGGCAGCCAGAACCCATTTGTTCTTTGGAGAGAGGGAGGGATGCGTGGATCCCCTTCCTAGAGAAAACGGCACTTCATCATTGCCCAAAGGGGTTATGAGCATGAATTCACAGCCTCTTTCCTTCCTTTGGCTCCCCACTTCATCCATCACACTGAAGATGCTCTCTTCTCCTCTCTTGTCCTCTCCCCCACTACCACATTTGTTCAGGCTCCCAAAAAGAAAGGAGAAAAGAAAGGTGGCAAGAAGAAAGGTGCAAAAAGCCCTGTGGTGGATGCTGTCTCCCCGGAGGGCATGACCAAAGAGCAGGTGAGAAGGGGGTCACTTTGCAGTGGCAACAGAGAGGGTACATTCTTAAAAATGTGTGGATGGGAAATAGAAACTACAATGCAAAGTGGTTTCTTGCCAACAAGAGGGAAACCAATCTACCTAGAGTTATTTAGGGGACTCCATTTCCTAGCAACCCCAGGATGATGGGAGTTGTAGTCCAGCAACACCCTTCAGGCCACCCATGTTTCCCACCCCTGGCCTGTATCACATTAGAGAATGGTCAAGGTGTCTCTCATTTTGGGGTGGAGTGATGTATGGGGTGCTTGGCCTACCCTCATTATCTCCAACCTTCCTGGCTAGGAGTAAGACCAAGTGTGAGTCATGCAGTCCCTCAGCTGGCTTGTTGCAGAGTCCACTCTTTCCATCCCTCTGACACTTCACTACAGAACTGAGGACCAGCATTGGGAGAAGCCACTATTTTGCCAGGGGTCCATGTTGTTCCTTACTATACCCTTCTGCATTCCATAGGGTAGCAAAACTAGGCACCTCTTCAGTATAGCTAAGCTCACAGTTCCATTTTACAGTTTGGGTACAGGTATTGTGAGAATATTGCACAGGAACAGCCTTCACCATCCTGATGCCTTCCAGGTGTTTTGGGCTGCATCTCCCATTAACCCCAGCTAGCAAACCCATCAGTGTAGCTGATGGTTAATGACAACCAGCACATCTGGAAGGTACCAGGTTGGCAAAGACTGCCCTAAACATTCTAAGCTGATTTATCCACTTCCAGAGAGCAACAGACTCATGGAGCCAAGCTTCTCTCTAACCAAATAATTCATTCACCTATTTATCGTGCATTCTGAAATGAAACAGTTGCACCCTTTATGGAATTAGCCATGCTTCCCATGCCAGTTCACAGGAAAGCCTTGGCTTGAAAAGAAAAAGAAAAAGCTTTGGAATTCACTGAGTCAGAAAAGGCACAATGCCAGTAGTGGCGATGGTGGGCTCCCAGTCCTTCCTCTCGGCTCCAGCCCGACTGTTGGCTGACCCTCTTCTTGGCTTTGCAGCTGGAGGAACACATGGGCCGCATTCGGGAGGAGCTGGACCGTGAGCGGGAAGAACGCAACTACTTCCAGCTGGAGCGAGACAAGATCCACACCTTCTGGGAGATCACTCGGCGGCAGCTGGATGAGAAGAAGGCTGAATTGCGCAACAAGGACCGTGAGATGGAGGAAGCCGAAGAGCGTCACCAGGTGGAGATCAAGGTAAGAGCCTGTGGACTTCACAGATCACAGAATTGTAGAGCTGGAAGGAATCCCAAGGGTTATATAGTACAACCCCCTGCAGTGCAGGAATCACAGCTAAAGCATCCCTGACAGGTGAGTGATAAAAACATGAGCTGCTTTGTATGGAGTATGTATTTAAGTAAAATAAAACATTTCCCATTGGTACTAACCCAACAACCTTTTACTAGGGACCTTTTGCCTGTGAAACATGCTCTCTGCAACCATTTACCCATGGTGCCTCCACTTGTGGTTGAGCAGCTAGATATTGGCTTGGCCAGCCCCACAATGTTGTGGATGGAAAGTGGGGAAATGGCTACGGCATTGGAAGGGTCTATTCTTTTGGCATAAAGACATAGAGGCTCACATGTTCCTGAATCTTCTTCAGTTCCTGGTACTTGATGAACTTGGAGCCACGGTGCTGCAGACAGAGTTGGTCACCAGCTTGGTTGGTCTGGCACCCCTGGCTGGGGCACCTCAACCGACTTCCATCCCCTTCCCCTGAGTAGCCACAAGTGCCTCTCATTTACTCAGGCCTCTGCAAAAGAGAGTACCTTGGCCGATGAGGGCCAACGCCTGCCTCGTCTTCCTTTTGTCTCAGGTTTACAAGCAGAAGGTGAAGCACCTGCTGTACGAGCACCAGAACAACATCACAGAGCTGAAGGCAGAGAGCACAGTGTCTATGAAGCTGGCCCAGAAGGATCACCGGTCCCAGGAGATGGAGCTGCGTAAGGACATGCGCACCTTGAAGGTGGAGCTGAAGGAGCAGGAGCTGTCCAACGAGATGGTGGTGAAGAACCTTCGGCTGGTATGTCTGAAGTGATGCCGGACTTGGCTCTTGGGCTGGGCTCAGGCCAACTTTCGTTGAGCGCATGGTGTGCGGGTGGGAAGGAGAGGGGTGGTGGTTCTTAAACCTCAGTTGTTCCTCCAGAGCAAACCAGCCTTAGCTTTGCTTTTGAGCTAGGAGGAGTAGGCCTTTGTATATGCAACATCTGTCACTAACCAGTATCATCATCTTGGCAGAAACAACAAGAAGACATAACACGATTGCGCAATGACTTTGAGAGGCAGGTGAAAGGTCAGTTCTGGGGCTCGCCACCAAAAACTGTGGGGTTTGGGTTTGGAAGGGAAGGCTATCTTTGTGCCCAGGCAAGGATCAGTGGGCCACAGTGTCACTTCATCCCTTGGGCGCCCTTTCTCGCACACATGCAGTGACAAGGGAGCTGCTTCCTTATGGCACAGTCTCACTCTTCTGGAAGGTGTATGTGTGTGACTTTGTAGCCATGGTGTGTAAGGCCCATCTCATGAGTCTGCCCTATGTTGTGTGTAATTGAGGCTAAGTAGCAGCTTGATAGAGAGCACAGATTTGTGTAGGGCCTGTCTTGCAGACCAGCTCCTGTCTGTTTTGCAGTCATTCCGAGGGAGGGGCCTGAGGCTTCCTTGAAATGCCACATGCATTATAAGGTGGAACTTGACAGCAGTTCTAAGCTCCTCATCAAATTAAATGTGTCAAAATAGCTAGGCACAGGAGTGCCATTTGCTAGGCCTTCTATGAATTCCATCTCTGCTGGGAGCTTTCTAGAAAGCCAGGCTCCATGGGCCCATCCTTTGCTCAGAGTTGTTTATATATAGTCTGAGCACTTCCAGTACCTTTGGGTGACAACATTTTCCAGTCAGCCTAGAGTCTTGCTTCGCCCTCTTGTTGGAGCTGGAGAACACTTTGCCCCATCTCCTCTTCCACACAGCATAGAGAAACAGCCCACAGATAGAGGCATGCATAGCCTTGTCACTTTTTTGCCTAGTAGAGCACTCAGTCTGCCCTGCATGCCGCTTCCCCAGAGATCGAGGCCAAGTATGAGAAGAAGATGCGGGTTCTACGTGACGAGCTAGACTTGCGCAGGAAGACTGAAATCCATGAGATTGAGGAGAGAAAGAATGGACAGATCAACACACTGATGAAGAATCACGAGAAGGCTTTCAGCGACATCAAGAACTACTACAACGATGTCACTCTTAATAACCTGGCACTTATCAACACCCTCAAGGTAAAAGACATGCACCACACGACACCATCCCCAAATCAGCCTGTTGCCAGATTCAGGTAGTGGAAGGTCAAAGTGGATGGTATTCATTGGGCTTTCTGTGTTTTGTTTTTTGTTCTGTTTTGGCTGATTTCTGTACTGCCATTGCTTTAGAGCCACTACATGTTGCATTTGTTTGCTCTGCCATTGTGGATACCTTGAGCCCTGGAGCTCCTCTCTTGTGCATCTCACTATGGACCAACCCCTGTTGTAGTTGAAGGTCATGTGTTTCCCATTTGGGGAAACGAACCATTCTGGTTTGGGGAGAAAGTCTGTTTCTATATTTTATATGTCAACCGCGACCTTGTTTGTTTGGAAATTTGTTCCGTTCACTTCAGTGGGCCGGTCAAATGAGTCAGGGTGCAGCCTTGGTTATCCTCTGGTGATTCAGAGCTGTTGTTTCTCTTTGCCTTGGTGGTGGTGGGTCCCATGGGAGGTTTGAGGAAGCATGTTCCAGACAGGTGGTCAGGACTGGTGGGACGGGGCTTGCTGCCTGTTTTTGAGGACCTGAGGCACACACAGCCTCCTTTCTCTCTGTGTGTCTTGGAGTACAGGAGCAGATGGAGGAGATGAAGAAGAAGGAGGACCATCTGGAGAAGGAGATGGCTGAAGTGCTGCTGCAGAACAAAAAGCTGGTGGAGCCACTGCAACGAGCCCGTGAAGAGGTGGCAGAGCTGCAGAAGAAACTGGCGCACTATGAAAAGGACAAGGCCATGTTGCATGTGAGTCCCAGGGCTCTGCATTCACCTTTGCTTCCTGAGTGTCCTGGCCAATGAACTCTGGGTTACTTAGTAGGACTGACTCTCTGCTAGTTTGGTGTGAACAGCACTGGGCTATTTCTGCACCAGCCCACTTTCATGCCACAGATTTTTATTTCCACTTTTGGTAGCAGTTTGCATTGTCTCTATTCTCATGTGCCCTTTATTTCCAGAGTTTGGAAATTTGTACTGTGTGAAACAGGCACCACCCTTTCTGTGATGTCCTTCAGTGCTAACAGTGGGGGCCATAAGGATCATGAAACATGCTGGAAGTTGGGGGCAAGAGACCCCCGAGCTGAAGTTTCCAGGATGAGGGACTTGAATGATGCCCAGTCCCTGTGGAGCAGATAGAGGAACATAGTACTTTCCCACTCTTACAGTTTCTCCTTTGCACTGTCTGGTTTGGAGGTCAAAACCCATCAGTCCCTTCTGTGCCCTAGAAACTGTGTGTGGCTGCTTTAACCTCCTTCTCTTCCTTTTCCAGCACACACATGCCCGTTTGAAAGTCACCGAGAAGGAATTAAAGGATCTCCAGTGGGAACATGAAGTGCTGCAGCAAAGGTTCATCAGGGTAGGGATCAAGAATCACTGTTGTGCTGTGGCTGAACTTAGAGTTGGGAGAGGGTTGGATTTGATGGGTGGGCTGTGGGACAGGATGAAAAGTATGGACCCATTTTCTGCAGATATCCAGTAGAGAGGTCTATATACCCACCCACCATCCATTGGGCCTTGAGAATTCTGTGGTCCTGGTTGTTTCTTGATGAGACCTTTAGAGCAGATGGACAAGTCTGAGCCAAAACTGCCTGCAATGGGCATTCCCTGTCATCTCCAAATTAGCTGTGTAATTTTTTGTGGTTCTTTTGGATTGCTTGAGCAGCTGGACTTTGTGTTTGTCTGAACAGCGGCATGTCTACTGCTGGGCTGGTCTAGTCATCAGTATGACTTAAAGAAGTGGGGACTGCGATACTGGATAGGGGCAGCTCCCATCAGAGGGGGGGATGGAAGGGAGGGGCTCTCTTCAGTATAACTCATTAAGACATGGGGACAGGTTTGCGTGCCATTCAGCATTGATCTGAGACCTCATTAGCTGCCTTTGAAAACTGGCTGCAGTGGTCCTATCTTAATGAGGGGGTCTCTTACTAACAAGAATTGGGTCAGGCTGCCTCCCATCCCTCCTCCCCCACAGATCCTTGCAAAGTGCATTGGGAGAGAAAGGAGGCCTTTCTGTCCCCAAAGGCATCATTCTCTTGCTCTCCTGAGGCTGCTTAAAGCCCATGGCCTACTCTGCCATGCCTTGCTGGGTGGTCGGTTTCTGTTCCTGAAATGGGGGAAAGAGGTTGCTGCAGATTCCTCAGTTCTCTGGCTCCTGAGGAGGAGGCAAGCAAGCGTGCTGGGGGCTTCTGTGGAGCTGCCCTCTATGACTGCTGCAAGGCTGGGGGTTGAAAACAGGGGCTTGACTCTTCCTGATAAAGGTCAGCATATGGGAGCACAGCAAGGCAGTGGGTGGGCATTTGCATGGCACACACACACATGCACACACACAAATGCACATATAGCACAATGCAAGAGGATGATTTTAACTGATAAAAACCTAATCACCACCAGCCCTGTCTTCCAGCTCCCACTGCCTTCCCTAATAGCCCGAGGGGCTGCCCCAGAGCTCTGCATTGCTCCTCCCTCTGTGACTCACTAAAGTCCCAACTTTTGGAATCATTGCAACATATTTTCATCTGTGTTGGTTTGTGACAGAGGGGGTGGGCAGCTGTTGTCATTGGGTAGCTGGCTTTTTATTTTTGGAAGAAGACTTTTACGCATGAATGTTAGGACTGTAGGCAGTTGCCTAAATACACAGCCAGACCCTTGGTCCATGCAGCTCCGTCTTGTCTATGCACTGACTGGCAGTGGCTCTCAAGGCTTCACCTTTCCCAGCCCTCCCTGGAGATGTGCGGGATGCAACTTTGGACATTCTGTATGCCAAGCATGTGCTTCACCACTGATCTCCAGCCCTTTCCAATGTGCTCACAGTGGACAAGCAAAACACACCAAAACCCAAAGCGCCTTATTAACAGACAGAATACCTGGTTTAGGGGCTTCATGGAGCGCCAGTCTGTGCCAAGGCTCAGAGCAGTGCTCTCTTTGACTCTGGGGTTGATGGTTGTCTGCACAGGTGCAGGACGAGCGAGATGACCTGTACCAGAAATTTACCAAAGCCATTAACGAGGTGCAGCAGAAAACTGGCTTTAAGAACTTGTTGCTGGAGCGGAAGCTTCTCGGCCTCTCCAACATCCTGGAGAAGAAGGAGGTGCAGCTCAACGAGGTCCTGGCTGCCACCAACCTTGATCCCGGTGCTCTCAGTGTGGTCACCCGCAAGCTGGAGGTACTGTGCTTCTAATCACCCTGGGGATTATAGAGAAAGTTTATAGATATTTTTCTAATACCCTTCAGTTAAACAAACAGCTCCCAAGCCAGATGAGAACAATTGGTCAGATTCCTTCTTGCTGGTGTTTCAGATGGTGTTTGTCCCTGGGTTTCATATTACCAAGATGGATTAGGCAAGATCTAGGTAAAACCTTGCAATGCACAGGAAAAAGGTGCACTGGCTAAAAGGGAACTGCCAGGGACTCAAAGTGTGGGCAAGTGCAGGGAGCCATCCTATAATAAGAGACTCTGCCCAACCTGACAAGGGGAAGTTAGCTTTTCTCTGAGCACTCCCCCTCATTCAGGGGCAATTAATAAATGTAGCCTGCGCAGTATTTCAGAGGAGCTGCCCTTAGTTGTGCACAAGAGGCCCACAAGCATGAAAAGCCTTTGCCTCAGCCCTCCAAGCAATCAGAGCATGTACAGTAGTACCTCGGGTTACAAATGCTTTGGGTTACAAACTCTGCTAACCTGGAAGTAGTACCTCAGGTTGAGAACTTTGCCCCAGGATGAGAATGGAAATCACACGCCGGCGGCACAGCAGCAGCGGGAGGCCCCATTAGCGAAAGCGCGCCTCAGGTTAAGAACGGTTTTGGGTTAAGAACGGACCTCTGGAACGAATTTTCATAACCCAAGGTACCACTGTACCAACATTTCCATTTGCCAAGCAGGCTCTGAATGCACACACACACACAACTGGCCTCTAGTTGCCTCGGGTTGACTAGAAGCTGCTGGGAGGTGTTTGTTTCCAGCAGCAGCTATATAAGTCAGTCACATGGGCAGTACCGTGGGCAGAAGGGACCCTCTCAGCAGTGACTGAACCAGTGGTGGGGTGAATTGCTCCACTGGGGAATGCTTTTCCTTCCTATCTGACCTGAGCCTCTTTGGTGCTTTCTTGGGACATAGAATGCACAAGCAGTCAGCAAGTGTCTGTTGTGCTTCTGGCTGTGAGAATACACTTGGCATGAGGGTGCTGTGCCTGGGGAAATCTGCAGGAGCCTGATTGAAAGGGGACGTTCCAGTGGTCAGAGACTTCAGTTTCTTTTCCCTCTGGCTGGTGGAGTTGGAAGAGATTCTACATGCAAATCTGCCGAACCTATGTGCCATTTATTCTGGTCTCAGAATCCGTTCAGTACACAGAGCACACGTGCCCCTTTGCAGCATGAGAACTGTGCGAACTGAAGCGGCAATGTGCCCTCGGTGCCAGGGCGGTGTTTCCTGCTCTGCTGCTCAGTCTCCAGTGGAGATGGAAAGGGAGAGAGAAAATGAGCTCCTGGCTGCCTTCTCGGTTCCTTGCCTTCCTCCTCCTCTCCCTGCGGCCACTTGGAACTGTCAGTATCTTCTAGCAACACAAGCGTGGCTTGGGGACTGCTTGCCACACAGCTTTCTCTCAACTCGTTCCACTCCACGGGGTTTCCCTGGTTGCGGATTTCCTAGCTGCCCGCTTTCTTTGCTAAGGTTGGGTTCTCTCTAACAGCGCCCTGGTACACAGCAAGGCGATCTGCGCTTTCAAAGCATTCCCCTGGCACATCAAGTTGTTTCTGGGGAGCAGGGGCTGCCCATCACACTGTCAGGGCCCCTCCTCTCTCTGTTTCCAGCCCAAGAGCCAAGGGAGGTTCTCCATCATAGGGACCTCTGTGGCCTTCTCACTCTTCAGGCTTCCTGTCCTGTCCAGTCTCTGAAATGCCTGATGGTATGGAAACAGAGTTATCTCCCGTGACTTGGCCTGCCTGGGAAGGGGGCTTAGTTAGCGGCTTCCACATTCCAAGCACGGCTGGCGCCAGTAACTGGAGATTCTTCCCAGGGGCAGCTGCTCCTTCCACCAGGCCTCCCACATTCCTACCTTCAGCTGCTGCTTGCGCAGGAGGCACATCCACAGGGGATTCCCTGGGTATTGTAGCACCAGATCCTGTGCCAAATAGGGCAAAAAATGGCTTGGTGGCAGAAATGCCAGCCCACAGCTCTCATCTCCCATTACTGGCGGGCAGCGCGGATGAGCCTTAATTTGAGTCACAAAGAGGAAATTGTGCAGGGAGGCAAGAGGCGCATTAGCTCCTGTTTGTAGATGGAGTGCTCCACTGTGATTGCTATGCCAAGTATGGTATGCAGTACTGTATACAAAATTCAGCACCCATGAGAATCTCGGGTTTTACCTGATTTTGTAAAAGCAGGTTTCTAAACCTCATGGCCGTAGAGAGGCTTGGAAATACGTTGGCACTGCCTAATGAAATCACGGCAGATTAGGACTTTCAGCATGCAGAATTTGGAGAAAGGAAAGAGCCAAGCACAAGACTGTGCTGCAGAAGGGCACCTAACTTTTCATAGGCCTGCCGTGGCCCATTAAGAAATGGCCAGAAGCTCTGGCTGGGCCTTGACTAGTCCCCTTGTGGGCCAGTTCACTTGCCTGATGTGTTAACACCCGAACAACCTTCCTTCACAGGATGTGCTGGATTCGAAAAACAATGCCATCAAGGATCTGCAGTATGAGCTAGCCAGAGTGTGCAAGGTAAGAGCTCCAGCTGAGGAGAACCCTGTAATTGTACTTGAATGTCTGTTGGAGCAAAATGTAGAGAGCAGGTCTCTTTAGACACAACCCAGGAAAGAAATATATTTTCCCTAGCAGTTGGCTTTTACTTATGCCTTGTTTGAAAGCCATTTGTGCTAGCAGGAATTCACTGTCCTGTGGCAGTGAGTTCCATAGGTTAATGCCAAGAAGTGTGGATAAGTACTTCCTCTGTCTTTTCTAATGCCCACTGCCTACCCATTTCAGTGAACAGCTGATGGGTTTGACAAGTGTTGTACTAGCCACTGCTCCATCTGACCTACCAAGTTGCATCATGTTCACCTTCAGCCCCATTTTTCTAAGTTAACAAGTTTGTTCTAAGCATTTGTTCCTTGAAATGGTCTAGCCTGCAACCATTTTAGTTGGCCTTTTCCTGCTCTCTTGCATCCTTTTAGAGAAATATGGATGCAGCCGCCACTGCCATGGGTGCATTGGGTTGGCTATTACCCATAGACAAGAGAAGTTGCCTTAGCTGGCTGTGTTATGGTATGTGATGTTTGATCCCTCTCCTCAACCTGCAATTGCCTCCCACTGCAGGCCCACAATGACTTGTTGCGGACGTATGAGGCCAAGCTCACAGCCTTTGGGATCCCTTTGGACAATTTGGGCTTCAAGCCCCTGGAGACCTCCGTGATCGGCCACACGCTGGGCCAGGGCCCTGCTGGGTTTGTCTCAACCCCCACGTAGCACAGCCTGACATCATACTTTGGAATGCCTTCAGCCTAAGCCTTGTGTGCAAGCAAGCCTCTGTCCCGCTCCTGCTGTGGCCGTAGAGGGGACGGAGGGAGGGAGAGAGCAGCCCCCTGGAATGAGATTGTGTCTGCTCCATCCCTCATTTGTATTAAAGAGGCCCTGTGGTGGGCTATTCAGTCTTCAGTCTCTGCAAAGCCTCCCTTTTTCTTTCCCACCCACGTCAAGGCAGAGCTTGCGGACTTGAAAAGCATCCTCCTCTTGATTAATGAGCCCCTGAACTACTTAATCCCACCTTATCTAGAGCCTCCAAAGTCCTCCACACCCATGTTGTGTCCACTCAAGCACCATCCAATGTGAGAACCTCTGAAGAGCCTGACTTCTGGATCCAAGCTAAAGGACTACCTAGTCCAGCATCCTGTTCCCCACTGTGGCCAAGCAGATACCTCTGGGAAGCCCACAATCAGGATGTGAGTGCAGCAGCCCTCTCCCCACTCATGTTCCCCAGCAACTGAGGGAGCCCTACCTAATCAGTAGAGCACACGTGTGTCAAGGACCCAGACACAATTCATGGCATCTCCAGTTTAAAAGAAGAGGCTTACAAGTATCAGTCTTTAGATTACTCTCACATTTACTACGAGGCAGCTGCTCATGGCCAAGCCCCCAGCCTGAGGCTTGGGCCAGAGGTGGCTGTGGATGTAACCACAGCTCTCCATCCGCTGGACTATGCCAGCTCTCTCAGAACAGGCACCCCGGTTTGCTGAAGCAGCCCCTCCTGCTGGCCGGTCTCCCACTAGCTTCCCCTGTAGGTGGTGTAGGAATAAGGGCTGAGCAGCAAGGGAATGTGCACTTTTTCTTCCTCTGTGATGGTGAAGACAATCTAAAGAGAGAGACAAGCAAGAGGATGTGTAAAGACAAGGGAGGGGGGAATAGCAGGAGGTTGGTAGTGCTCTTTGGTCTGAGATCCTTTCTTCGCTGCACTGGGCCTAGCCCATGAGAAGACATTTGTCAGGGGCACAAATGCCTGGTCCGGAGCACCCCTAATGCCCAGTCCTGGCACACTTCTGGCTTTGTGCTCTTTCAGGGATGTCCCATAGCACAACATCTAGCTCTCCTACCAACCACCTAGGCCTCTTCCTGCAGGTTTCTGAGGGACTTCACGGCGTGCAGCCTTCATAATGTGACGTTTATGCTGATTTCTCCCGTTTTCCAACGTTGTGATTCTCCTGCCAGGAATTACATCCCTCAAAGGGCAGTGAGTGGTGGTCCCTGCCATCATCAGTCCTGTAGGAAGGAGCCTCCCCCCCTCCCAGGTGTGAGTTTCATCTGGGAACCAAACTTACTTCCACATAAGGGTAGAAGCTGCTGTATCCTTGTTGCTCCCAGTACTCCCTCGTCTCAAAGCGCAGCTTATAGGTGCCAGGTTTCAGCTCCCTGGGCATTGGGCTGTTTCTGTCCAAGCGCCCATCAGGGTTTGTCTTGCTGGAACGGAATAAATGAGGCTGAAACTGCAATGGCCCCAGCCCTACCGAGGGAGGGAGATTGTCCCCCTTCATCCCCTCCTACCTCCTCATGAGCTCTGCCCACGGACGTTGGGGATCCTCCAGCTTAGAGAAGTGCATGGCCAGGCCTTGGGCAGGGAGGCCGGTGAGCACGTTCAGTGCGTGGACAGTCAGGAAAGCGTGGTGGACCTCATCTGAACTAGCCACCTGGGATTCAGAATGGAGAGCCGGGTGGAGCAAAAGCCTCTGTATGAGTTCCTCCCCCTCCCAGTTTCCTAGGTCCATCGATTCCCAAAGGAAGATGTCCTTGCCACCCTCAGCAGCAGGTCCTTATTTTCCAAGCTCTTTCTTGCTGCCCTCAGCAGTTTTTCCTGTTTTTAAATGTTTGCTTTTTCTCCCAGGTGCTGTGTGCACAGGGGCTTTCTGTGAGGTGTTGTGGTTGTGGGGAGAGAGGGCGGACCCCACCCCACCCACTTCTCACCCATCCACCAGCTGTGTGTTCAAATACAAACTCTGCTGGCTCCTGGGTGAGATGCTTTGTTGGGGGGAGGGTTAAAGACAAGATGCCCTCGGCAGACCCTGCTTGCTTGCTTGCTGCTGTCCACACTGCCCATTCATTTGCCCAAATTGTAGCCCTGCAGCTTGACATAGTGCCTGCCACTGTTTGTACAGAGAGGGCAGGTGAGCAAGTAATGAAGGTGCAGAGGAAGTTCAAGGGCAGTGAAGGTCAGCAGTGGTCCCCACTGGCTGTGTCAGGATGGGCCTGGGCAGGTGCCTTACAACACCAGCCTCTTGACAGAAGCCCTGCCTGACAAGTGCATTCCTCTGCTCTTCAGCATGGCAGAGCAGTACTCCTGGGTTTCAAACAGAGGTCCTTCCTAGCCCTATCTGGAGATGTTGGGGATGAACCTAAGAACACTGAGTTATGACCCCTCTCCACCCAGAAGGTGGGACTGAACAGTGGCAGCTCTCCTTCCTGCCCCATGTATTATTTCACTGCCTTCTTAAACATTTGATCCCTGGCCACAGAGTTCCTTTACTTTCTGGCACATGCCAGGAAACTCCCCAAGACAATCAAGAGTGTGGCATTCAAGCTTCTTGTTTTTCTTGAGCTGCCAGAAATATACATTCCCACCCCCTTGCTAAGTTTCCCAATGAAACATCAAAGCAGGAAGGCTTTCCCTTCTCTTGGGCTGAGCCCACCCACCATCCTAGGATCTCTCACCACCTGGGGTCTCCCTCCTCCATCCCTCTGTGGTAGTTGGTTTCTCTCATCCATTCTGGGGCATTTCTGATGCAGCCCCTTCTAACTCCGCTTCCTTCTTGCCTTCCACTGGCAGGCTGCCTGCCTGTCATGACTCAGCAGAAAGTCTTAACCCTTTTGGTGCCACGAGGGCAGGCTCAGCCAGGTGCCCCCTGAAAACATGAGAAAGGGGCCCAATTCATTTCATGGCAAGGGGGGAGGGTTCCATCTCCATCTCTACTCAGCCTCATCTGTAAAATATGCATTTGAAGTTCTTGGGACTTCTCACTGGAGTAAAATGCAGCAAGCATTTTGGGGGAGAATAGGCAATACTGTCATGCCTCAGCAAGAGCAAAAATGAAGATATAGGAGCAGTCACATGGTTACCCGGGAGTATTTGTGAGTTCCCAGTCCTTACTTGGATCACTGCTGTTGCTGTAGCGCTAAGACCTTCTCCTAAGCAGTCTGTAGCCTGCAGGATCAGAGTGTATTGGGGGGTTACCTGTAAACAAATAATTCCATTAGCATTTGGGCAAAGGGGATCAAAGCACCACATGGCAAAGCAGTGTTGTATAAGATCCTGAGAGCCCCACTGGCCAAGTAACTTGAGGAAACTTTAAACTCACTAGGGTACTTCCAGATACAGCAAACTGAAATGGGACACAGCTGTTATGCTAGACCAGGCACAGGCAAACTCGGCCCTCCAGATGTTTTGGGACTACAGTTCCCATCATCCCTGACCACTGGTCCTGCTAGCTAGGGATCATGGGAGTTGTAGACCAAAAACATCTGGAGGGCCAAGTTTGCCTATGCCTGTGGTAGACCACCCTTATTATTAGGAAAATGTGAAAAGAAAATGCTTAATTCTTGCAAACCATACCATTAAAGCACATGACTTCCCCCAAAGGATTTGGGCAAATGTAGTTTGCCCCTCACAGAGCTACAATTCCCAGCACCCTTGACAAACTTGCAGTTCCTAGGATTCTTTGGAGGAAGCCATGTGCTTTAAATGTGTACAGCTTATGTCCACTTCATCTTCTGTAGGGCAGCCCTCCAGATATTGGAAGGCGGCAGTCATGCTGTTCATCTGCTCCAGACTCAAAGCCTTCCCTCTTCTCTTTCAGAAATCCCTTGCAAGCCCCTCCCCATCCTGCTTGGTCCGTTGTCCCCCCCAGCTAGCCTCTAATCCACCAGTGCCTTATGGCCCAGTGTTTCCACTAGGAGTAGAGCGCAGCAGCAGAGCCAAGGGTTGCCTCAAAGGGGAAATTTAGCATCATTAATCATGCCCTCTCCCTACACAGCCAGGATCCAGCCACTTACCGTTCTGTCAAGTCCTGGTTTGTTCAAGCTGATGACCCCTGTTTTATTATCAATGGCAAACATTTGGCTCTGTGGCTTTGTGGGGGTCTGGATAGCGAGGGAGTAGGTGATTACCCCATTGTAGGAATTCACAGCGTCATCCATGTCAGTGGCTGATACTTGTGTCACAAAGGTACCTGGGTGTGTGTGCCACAAAAGTCCAAAGTTCAGCTTCTGAAGTGCATCACACACATACCCGCAACATAGCCAGATCATCCCAGCTTGGAGGTCAAATTGACTCTGCCCCAGACAGCTCCAAAATTACCTCTTAGCCTCTGCAAACTGTGCAGCAGCTGGGTGCGATCTGCACTGCCCTTATGCCAGTCTGCAAGTTATGGTGGGCTCAGTAGTGACTGCCCAGGCCATACAGGTAGAAAGAAGCACAGTTAGGGGCCTGGGTTTTGCACACAATATTATACCCCCTCCCCCTGTGGGTTCTCCTTCCATAAAGAATGGGCAAAGGATATGGGCATTCAGAGGCAAATATTAGGGGTTTCCATACAGTCAGTTCGTTCATGCATGTGCAACCAGACAGACACGTACCTGGCGGGGCTCCTTCTGCTACGGAGCCATGGAAGATGCTCTGGGTAAAACGAGGCTTGTTGTCATTCTGATCAAGCACCTTGATGACGATCTCTGTGCGGTTCCCCACAGGCTGCCCAGTTGCACTTACAGCGTGAAGAAAGAGCTGCAGAGCAAGCAGGGTAGCAATTGAGACACTCCCCAAAGCTGCCTCTCACCCTCCCAGACACCTTCCCACAAGAGTGTAGAGCTGCCCTTCTCTTCACACCGAGAGCACCCAGGAATTTACATTAGGGGCTAAAAAGTATTTAGATACTGTATGCTGAGAATTCAAAAATGAAACTAAGCTGAACTTTCTCCTCCTTCCCATAAATAATGGTTGCTAATACTATTGCTTCCCAGGGATTCCCCAAAAACTGACATAAAGCAGCAGCAAACATGTGATTTCCACTCTTTCCCTGCCCCATAACACGTAGCAGCCTTCCTCAGCCTGGTGCTCTCCAGCAGTTTTGAACTACGAGTCCCATCAGCTCCAGCCAGCACAGCTATATGATGCTTGGGCTGATGGCAGCAGTAGTCCAAAGGATCTGGAAGGCACCAGGTTGGCAAAGGCAGTTTTAAGAGGTGCTGGGAGGTTCCAGGGTGGCAGAAGCTAGCACAAAGGGACTTACAATGTATTTGTCTTTGGTCTCTCTGTCCAATGGCATGGTCACCATCAGCCAGCCTGTCTCTCTTTCAAGGATGAAGATGCCTTGAGGAGGTCTGTCTGCACCAGTCCCAGTGACACTGTAGAAAGTCATGCCATCTTTACCTACCTGGTAGCAAATGAACATGTCAAAACTGAGAAGGTCTGTTTTCTTGTTGTCTCCCTCTATGCCTCCCTCAGAGGTAGAACACAGGGATTCTGAGCAGGTTCATAGGAGGAAAAGAAGTCCTCCAAGCATAGTGGTTCTGAGCTGTTCAAGGCACATGAAGAGAAAGAGGCAGTTGCCCTCTCTGTCTATACCTGCAGCAGACGCTTGGGGTAGGGACCGATACCATTCTCCATGACCAATATTGGAGGCAGAAGTTGCAAATCCCTTTTCTGCCTCTTCAGATCAAGTCTGGATTCTGGAAAGGTCAGCACGTCTGCCCAAGCAAATAGGAAGGAGACCTGCAAGGGGGAAAGAGAGTTGCATTATTTTTTTTAAAACCCTCATTCAGAGCCCAATCCCATGGCATCTTCTATGTGAAGACAAGTTTGGCACTCCTTAAGATTTGTAGGGATCTCGGGACAGGACAGTGCTGGACCTCAGGATTCCATCCTGGAACATGTGAAGGAAGACACGTCCTGGAATCTGGACACACCTCTATGTCAAGAGTATCTTCCTTCTATCTTAAATGTCAGTATTGGGTTTGCATAATTGTTATTTACCTGAAGTCCTTTCACTTCATCTATGGACCTGCCACAGGTAGCAACCAGTCTGTTTTGCAGCCTCTATTGAGCAGTAGTCAAGGGTTGAGCTGATGAGAGTGGAGATGGGCCAAGAGGCCTTGCCACAGCTCCCACACCCATGGCCACCATCTTGTTGACCTCTTGGGCTAGCCTTATTTGTGTTATCTGATCCCTCTGCAAGGCTAGATGCTTTGCAGCCCATGGAAGATTCAAGATCCCTGTTTACAGTTTAAAGGTTGGTGCTCCCTGGTGGTTGTTTTTAAAGGAAATGCATGTTTGCTGATTCAACATTAGTTTGGAACATTGGCAACTGCTCTTATCTTCTCGAAACCTATTTGCTTTGAACAACTATGCTGCCAGTAGAGTACAGTGTAGAGAGACACAAGCCCAATATTATGAAACCTTCCTCAGCCCAGTAACATTCCCATGCTCACTCGGTGGTCACATCTCCCCCACACTCTGTTCATGCTCCTCTTCATCTTTATCCCCACACCCCAGCTCTTCCACAAGGCCATGGCAACACAGCTGGGGGACAGCACCTGTACTTTGCATGCAGGAATTCCCAGATTCAAACCCAGCCGCTGCCATCCTTAAGGATTTCTGGTTTCAGCAGCACAGCAAAATCACTGCCTGGAGCCTTGGGGAATTGCTACTAATAAACACTAGTTGGACGAAGAGCCTGGCCTGGTGTGATAAAGTTGGTTCATGTGTTGGTACCTCTTCTGCACCTACAAAACCCTTAACCCAGCCCCTCCACCATTAATGCCAAGAAGATCCTTCTACAACACCAAAGATACTTGCCCCGCTTTGCTTGCTCTTTGGAGGACAATCCTACCTGAGAGTGAAGAACCAGGAAGAGCAGGAGGCTGACCCTAAAGAAGCACATTGTCCTGCTTCAGCTCTTGCTCCTTGCCTTCTGCAACACTCTGGCAAAAGGATGGCAACCCAGGTGACTAAGCTAGAGCAAAGTCTGCCTGGCAAGTCCCTTTGGGGGAAGGGTTAAGGGCAAATGGGCAGGCCTGGGGTATTTTGACACACCACATGGAAGCAGGCCACGGTTGATTCAGCCGTGAAGGGCGTGTGCTTGTGCCCTAGGAAGATATCTTGCAGGTGGCACTGCCCTCCATTGTGCAAGTCTCATTTATTCTGGCAGGGTAAGGGTTCATTCGGGAGCAGGCATTCTCAGGACTCGACCCTCTGAAGCTCTTTCGAATATCAGAGCTCAGTTTTATGGCTTTCCCCCCTTTGTTTTGAATCAGAGCAGAAATTTGCAATAAAACATGGAGCGGAGGAGGAAGCCACTTTCCTTGTGCAGAAATGGAGGAGGGTCTGTCCACTCCGCCTTTCACAGTAGCAGGAGAGTGCCATGCCTAGTCCTGACCTTGTGGCGTACATAGATTCCTCAGAAGGCAAACCAGGTGCTTCACAGGTTGAGGGCCTTGAGGAGCAGGCAGAGGCTTCTGGTAAGATACCTGCTTAAGAACCCTTGGAGCCGTCAGAGGAGGTGAAAGTGCCCCCTGCCCCACCCCAATCCTCAAGAGCACCGGTGCCAAAAGCTTTTGGTCCAGATTGAAGAGCAACGATACAGCTTGCCTTTATAGAACCAGAGCCCCCAGTCTACTTGTGAATGTGAAAGCCTTGATGCTCCTTCACTGCCAGCATTTGTGGTTAGAGAGTGGTTTAGTAGGCTAGAGTATATAAGACCCTTATATACACCCTTTGAGCCTTTCAGTTGCCAGAAATAACACAAATCTCTGGCTCCTTGTTCCTGCCTTTGGCGCCCCCACTCCCCTGAACTCCCTGTGTGATCGACTGTGGACCATTTCCTGACTTTGCTTCTGCATCGCATGTTGGACCTAGACAGATTCTGTCTGCTGGACCTATGGAACTCTGCTCTCTTGGCTAAGTGTCTTGGTAAAGGCTTTTTACCCTCCTGTGACCGAGACCCCAGCCCTGGAGGAAGGTGCTCTCCTGGAGCATGAGAAAGTGCTGCAAGAGTAAGCAGACCCTCACACATGGGCACCACTGTATTATATCAAAAGACTAACCAGGATCTGGTCCTCATTTGTCTTGACAAATCTCTTTAAATCCCCATAGCAGAGATTTCTCCATGAAGTTGTTAACAGCAAGCTGGTGTGCAGATAGCAGCAGCGGAGGTTTTCCACATCGGTACAAAAAAAAACGGCTGCCCACCATTCAACTCGTGAACGAGGTTTGTTGCTTTAAACTGGTTTCAAGCTAACATGGTTGGCAAAAGCGCTGCCCTTGGCTACCACAAGAGGGCACTGTGAGTATACAGGAAGGTTTCAGCCTCCACTTATTCACCCCCCTCGACCACCAGAGTGGTATTTAAGTAAAAGACCCCAGACTGAGTGATCTGGTGGAAGCCCTTCTCCAGGCCAATGCAAAACAGGTAAGGTATTATTATTATTCCTGTCATCATAATTTTAAATAGTAATGGAATAAAGAAGAAGAATTGAAAGAAAGGCAGGGTGTAAGTGTAATAAAGATTAAATTGTTGTTATTATTTATTGGACCTTCAATTTTCTCCGCATTTTTATGAAGATTTTAGAAGGAGCAGTCACTTCTCTCAGGCTTATAAGTTAAGAGGCATGAAAGGAAAGAGGAAGTAGAAGAACAAGCAAAATTCCAAATCGTTTACTTCGGTTTTGCTGGCCAAGTGGCCATAGGATTTGTCAGAAGCCCCCCAAGGCCAGTGGAACTTGAGATACGCCACTGACGAAATATGCCAAGCAATGTCTGCCAATGAAGACGTGCCATTAGCAAAAATAAGCTGGTACGTACACTCAGACCCAACATCGCTCAGGAATTCGAATGGGGCATAAGGCGGCACCAGGACCAGACGTCTTTGGTAGCGCTTTTGATAAAGCTTTTCAGGAGACTTTAATGCCTTCTTTAATTTTGCTGTTAAATGATGTTTTGAGTAGATGACGTTTTGAGTAGAGACATCACCTTGCCAACAAAGGTCCGTATAGTAAAAGCTATGGTTTTCCCAGTAGTGATGTATGGAAGTGAAAGCTGGACCATAAAGAAGGCTGATTGCCGAAAATTGATGCTTTTGAATTATGGTGCTGGAGGAGACTCTTGAGAGTCCCATGGACTGCAAGAAGATCAAACCTCTCCATTCTTAAGGAAATCAGCCCTGAGTGCTCACTGGAAGGACAGATCGTGAAGCTGAGGCTCCTATACTTTGGCCAAATCATGAGAAACGACGACTCCCTGGAAAAGACCCTGATGTTGGGAAAGATGGAGGGCACAAGGAGAAGGGGACGACAGAGGATGAGATGGTTGGATAGTGTTCGCGAAGCTACCAGCATGAGTTTGGCCAAACTGCGGGAGGCAGTGGAAGACAGAAGTGCCTGGCGTGCTCTAGTCCATGGGGTCATGAAGAGTCGGACACGACTAAATGACTAAACAACAACAACAACAACAAATCCTCCCAAAGTGCTTGGTCCACATCAGAAATAATTGTTATTCCCAAACCAGGAAGAGATGCTGTGCCTGTCATCGCCTTTCATCAGGCCTCTGTCCGCACAAACGACATGAATTAAAACCCTATTCACATTCATAGGGGAGCAAATTGAGGTTGCCTCTTGTTCCCCCCATTCTCCGCCCTTTCCCTGTAACCATTAGCAATTGCACTACATCTAAGCCCACGTATGAAGGGTTACTGGGGATGGGGAGAATAACATTTATTAAGCATCTGTGCTGGTTATATGGTATGCATGTAATCTAATTCATGGAAAGCTTTATCAATGCTTAAATTAGCATTAGATAAATTTGGGAGGGAAATAGAGAGTCTTGGAGCTAATCCTAAGAAGTTACTAATAATGTGTTACAATATGCGGGAACAAATTAAGCTTAAGCAACGGAAACCCATTCCACACTGTAGGACAAATTTCAGATATATGAGGTAAAAAAAAAATCCCATATACTGTAAATTGAATAAATTATATTCTATAAATTATACCATACAAAAAATGTGGGTACATCCTTTTATTAGACTTCTTTGTTCCTGGAAGTTTCTTCACCCTGACCAGAGAGGAAATCCAGGTCGGGCATCATATCTGGAAGAAGATAGAGGAGGAAGGAGGAGAGGCAGAGAGGAAGGAAGGGAAGGAGAGGGAAGGACAACTCTATTCAGTTCAACAGCTTCTCCTGTGACTCCTTTGTTGAGTCACAGATGAGGCAGGTTGAACAGGGGACGATTCCACACTATTCCCAGGAACATTAAAAAAAAAAATTGTAATTTTCAGTTATATACATTTCAATAGTTTTACAGGCATTTTAACATTTCAAAACTCGACTTCCTCCTCTTTCTACAGTTCCTTAAATTTCTATTTATTATTTCCTGCATATTCTGAATTAACTTATTCTTTTATTCATCTCCTTTAATTATTTACTCTTATGAAACTGCAGGTCATTACAATAATCCTTCCAATGTCCTTATTTGTTTGCAATTTATTTGTACATATTCAGTAAACCATTTCCATTCTTTTATAAAAAGTTTGTTGTCTTGGTTTCTTATTTTTCCAGTAAGTTTTGCCATTTCTGCATAGCCCATGAGTTTTTGTATCCAGTCGTCTTTCGTTGGGACTTCTTTCCATTTTTGGGCTAATAACATTCTTGCCGCTATAGTCGCATACATAAATAAATTTCTATACTGTTTAGGTAGTCCAACCCCTTTAATTCCCAGAAGAAAAGCTTCTGTTTTTATTTTATTTTTACAAATGTTATTTTAAACATCTTTTTCAATTCATTATATATCATTTCCCAGTATGCTTTAACCAGGACCACCATATATGATAGAAAGTACCTTCTTTCTCTTTGCATTTCCAACACTTATTTGATTTTGATTTATACATTTTTGCCAGTTTACTCAGTGTTAAATATCATCTATGTAACATTTTCCTATTGTTTTCTCTTAAACCATAGCATGCTGTAAATTTTATATCCATGTTCCACAATTGTTCCCATGCTTCCATATCTATATTATAACCAATATCTATTGCCCAATGTATCACTGAAGATTTTACTTGCTCATCCTTTGTTTCCCAGTCCAATAATAACTTATACCTTTTAGACAGCACTTTAACATTACATTCCAACAGATCTCTCTCCATTTGTGATATCTGTTCCCCAAACCCTCATTTCTTATCTTTCTACTATTCCTAGGAACATTAAACAAGAAAAGACAGAGTATGTCAAAGAGTTTTTCTATCAGTCTGCTCTTCCTCAGAAGGCCTGCTGGGCCTTGGAGTCTCCTGCGACAACCTAGTATCTCTATGTAAGGGTGGGGGGTGTTGGTTTTTGTTTTATGGATCAAAGTCCAATGGCAAAGCATATTTAATTAATTAATTCGATTTCTGGACTGTCCTTTACCACAAGGCTCCAGGTCGCCTCGCAACAATAAAACATACAATTACAAAACAAACAGAACAGTTCCCTACATAAAACAATGCACATTTAAAAAACAACAACACGATTCCGTGTTTAAAAATAGTTCCAGTAGAGATGCAGACTGGGATAAAGATCCCACTTAAAAGGTTTATGCTACCTTAAGCTCCCTAGAGAAATAGGTGAGATATAAATACAATAAGTTTTTGGTGTTTTTTAAAATTAAAAAAACCCCCACTTACTGTCCTTTGGAGCCCAGTTGCTCTCCAGGATGGGAAGCAGATGGCTTGGCTGCGCAAAGACTTGCCACAGACCTCACTCTGTCAGAACATATCACAGAGGCTGAAAATGCGCTTGTGAAAAAAGAGGGAGATGGGGGCAGTGAGTGACCCCACTCTCTATTCACCATGCATGATACCAGGAGGGGCGAGGAGGGTTTGGCTTTGCACAAATGAAATTGCAGTTCCAGGTCTGCCTGATCCATTTACCTGCTAATGCCATTATGTGGAAGCAGTTCCCTTATTTAACCCTCAGCAACTTAGGCTCCAGTATCTGAAGCACAGCCACCTTATATTTGCACCTTCTTGGACATTAAGATTGGCAGGGGGGGCCCTCTTGGTAGTTCCACCACCCGCCCAGTTCTCTATGGCAGCCCAAAGCTGTGGAATTCCCTCTCCACCTGGCACTACCTTTATGCAGCTTTCTTCCTGTACTGAAGATGCAACTCACTGGCCAAGCTACTGGTTGAGGATATAAGTTTTAGGACCAACCTTAGTCTCTTGACCTCAGTTGCCTTAACTTATTTTAAGTTGTTGTAACCCTCCTGGAAAGGGACGTGGGTGGCGCTGTGGGTTAAACCACAGAGCCTAGGACTTGCCGATCAGAAGGTTGGCGGTTTGAATCCCCGCGACGGGGTGAGCTCCAGTTGCTTGGTTCCTGCTCCTGCCAACCTAGCAGTTCGAAAGCACGTCAAGTGCAAGTAGATAAATAGGTACCGCTCCGGTGGGAAGGTAAACAGCGTTTCCATGCACTGCTCTGGTTTGCCAGAAGCGGCTTAGTCATGCTGGCCACATGACCAGCTGTACGCCGGCTCCCTCGACCAGTAAAGCAAGATGAGCGCTGCAATCCCAGAGTCGGCCACGACTGGACCTAATGGTCAGGGGTCCCTTTACCTTTACCTTTAACCCTCCTGGAATATCATGGTGAAGACTGGGTAAGAATATCATCATCATCATCATCATCAAAGATAGCTCAGTCAGTAAAGCATGAGACTCTTAATCTCAGGGTTGTGGGTTCAAGCCCCACATTGGGCAAAAGGTTCCTGCATTGCAGGGAGTTGGACTAGATGATCCTCAGGAACCCTTCCAACTTAACAATTCTATGATTTTTATAATAATTAGCTTTAAGTGCAAGCTGCCTTAGTCACTATACAGAGCAAGGCTGGGGGAGAGAGCAGGGAGAATGGGAAGTTTCAGAGTGTCTTCTCCAAGCTGTTGGACATAACTAAAACATCTGACAGTGCTGGTGAAGGGTGGGTAATAAGAAAATAAATAATTTTAATACTACTACTGCAAATGATAATAACCAGGCACGTCCAAGGGTAAGGACCTCATTGCTATTTCCAGGGTGAATTGACAGTCAAAAACAATTGCATATTAAAACAATTTTTAAAAGCAAAAATAACTATGCAGTTTAAAATAACAGCATCAGTTCAGATCGAGGACAGATAACCACTGGGATAAGGATTTTTGAAAGGTTGGTTGAAAGAAGGATGTCTGTAGCAAGGACTGGCCCAAGGTCACATGGTAAGCTTCATGGCCAAGTGGAGATTTGAACCCCGGTCTCCCAAGTCCTAATCCAATGCTCTAACCACTACACCACACTGGCTCCCACCTTCATGTTGAGACTGCAGTTCAACCCTGTCATCAAAGCAGCCTTTACCTCCAGATGTTTTGGACTACAACTCCCACCAGCCCCTGCCAATGCAGCTGTTTCCATTAGCATCATGTCAGTGGCATAGGGTGGGGGGTGCAGGAGGGGCCGGCCGCACCGGGCGCAACATCTGGGGGGGGCGCTCGCACTCGCAGCTCTCTGCCCCTACCTGGCTCACTCACTTTCTCTCACTGCAGTGCTGGCTGTGCGAATCCGATCCGAGCCGCTGGGTCGCCACCCACTGTGGAGGGGGGTGGGTGCCAGGCGTGCGGTGCGGAGAGAGAGCGAGGGACTATCTGGGGGAGGGACAGTGCAGCGGCCGCCCAGCGCAGCGCTGAGCGCGGGAGAGAACCACACCAGACCAGACCAGGCAGCAGCAAGAAGAAGCTGGCAGCGGCGGCAGGTTAGGGGTTAGCGGGCGCAAATTACTTGCCTTGCCCCGGGTTAGGGGGCGCAAATTACTTGCCTTGCCCCGGGTGCTGACAACCCACGCTACGCCGCTGCATCATGTGGCCATACTGGCTGGGGCTGATGGGAGTTGTAGTCCGAAGCACCTGAAGGACACCTAGTTGGCAATGGCTGCATGGAGGCCTTGCAGTGGCCCGGTGGGGGTTGGGAGGAAAGGGACCTGGAAACCTCCCAGCTTATCCTGCCAGCCATGCATGGATGAGCTGGAACGAACAGCCGACTCGTGGGCTGTGAGCAAAAGGAGATCAAGGCTGCGTTTGCAAATGCCAAAGGGATGGAATCACTCATGAACCAACGGACAGGCCCTGGGTGGGGGAAGGGAGGGATTGCATACAAAACAACCGAAACCGCTCCCTCTGGCCTGCTGAGGGGAGAAAGAAGCACCTTCTGTTTGCATTCCGGCCCATCTACCCTGCTTTCATGGATGAGGAAATGCAGATCAGAAGGTGTGGGAGAGGAAGTCGGATGCTTTCTCTGGAAATATAGTTGGGAGGTGGCAACTTGATGAAAGCTGAGCTCCATCAGGATATTGTGCCACAGAGAAGCCTCAGGTGTCACGTCTGTGCCCAAATAAGGAAAGCTCAGCCTGCCATGAAAAGGCACCCTCCTGGTTCTCCTGTCAGGATCTCCTTAGAGACCTTTAAAGCAGGCATTGGGAACCTCTCTTAGCCTGAGGGCCACATGCCCTTGTGGGGAATTTTCCAAGGGCCACATGCTAGGGGTGGGTGGGGTCTGAGGCAAAAGTGGGCGGTGCAATGAGTTTCATGCAGAAAGCTAGTTTCTACACACTCTCTCTTCAGCCCATTCCTGCCCACTTGGAGGGTGTAATCTCCCCAGGCTAAACATAAGGCAACTGAGGCAATGTGAACATTATAGGAGCAACAGCCTTGCTCTTTGCACAGCCCTGAGAGTCACTTACCTTCCTATCCATCTTGATTAACTGTTCTGTGTAACTTTAAAGCTTGCACAGTCCTACAGGAACAAAAAAATAAATCCATCTGCCATATTAACTGGCATTCAGAAGCACTCAGGAACTAATGGGAAATAGAATCCTTTTAACTGTGCTAGCTGCCCCCCTTTATTGAAGCAAGAACAAATAATTCAATAACATATAAGAAAAAAGAAAGGTAACAGAACTGAATAAAAATTAAACACACAGAGAAAGAGACACCACCAAATTTGGGTTGTTTTGTTCACATTTTCTGGGAAAAATAATTATCTTTACTTGTGTTGGGGTGGTGGTGGTAGTAGTAACATTTTTTTTTTTAAAGATCACGATATTCACCTCAAGGCCTTATGATATTCTCACTTAAAAGTGAAACATTACTACTCATTCCAAATAGTAGCATATTTCACAGGGGGCATTTGAACACTGTTATCATTATTAATATAAGCAGTATATTTTTGCCGCATGCTTTGAAAATGAATCTTTTTTTGCTTGTCCTCTAGTATCACTTAATGTTTGAATGTTTGAATTACGGTAATTTTTCAGCAATAGATATGTAGCAGATTTGATTTGCTGACCTTTAAAGCCCAAAACGGCCTTGGTCTAGTATACCCGAAGGAGTGTCTCCACCCCCATCGTTCTGCCCAAACACTGAGATCCAGCACCGAGGGCCTTCTGGCAGTTCCCTCACTGTGAGGCGCCAAGTTACAGGGAACCAGGCAGAGGACCTTCTCGGTAGTGGCACCTGCCCTGTGGAATGCCCTCCCACCAGATGTCAAAGAGAAAAACAACTACCAGACTTTTAGAAGACATCTGAAGGCAGCCCTGTTTAGGGAAGCTTTTAATGTTTGATGGACTATTGTATTTTAATATTTTGTTGGAAGCCACCCAGTGTGGCTGGGGAAACCCAGCCAGATGGGTGGGGTATAAATAATAAATTATTTATTATTCTTATTCTTATTATTGACTATACCCCATGGTGCCATTGCCAGCTGTTGGTGCTGTGGCTTGGTGGTTAGAGAGATGCCCTGTTTAGCTTGCAGTGGCTCCCAGGAACATCCTCTCTTTTGCCTCCTCTAATACAATCTGATGTTGGCCAGACATGGAAAATGTTAGAGTAGGAGGATAATCCATAGTCCCAAGTGGGCTTGAACTTGCCAGACCCAAGTGCTAGATGCAGGTTGTTACTGGAAGCTGGTTCTGTCAAACAGGTGTCTCTGGCTTCCCTCATAGCCTGCCCTGAATGAACCTCTCTTTCCCTGCTGGATTCTCCTTCCCCAGTGGGTCTTGAACCCTTCCTCCAGGAATGCCTGTATCTCTTCTTCTCCTAATGGGGCTGTGTGTCCTGGTGGCTTCATCTGCTTTCCCTCCAAGTGTTGAGATTTTTTTTTTAAAGTGTGTAAGAACAAGGGAAAGGCCATGGCTTAGTGGCACAGCAGCCGCTTTCCATTCAGATGGTCCCCACCATCTCTAGGAAGGGCTTGGGAGAGATTTCTCTCTGAAATCCTGGAGAGGAGTAGACAGTGCTAAACTAGCCGGGCTCACAGTTAAATATTTGTTTATTTTTATTGATATCCAGCCTCTTCCACTCATGCTGGGTGTTCCAAGCAGTATACAAATACAGTAAAACACTAAAATCTTAACCACTCCTGCTGTTGCCTGGGTCATTGCTGACTGTGCCACAGGATGGTTTGGCTATCATTCATGCTTTGTTGTGTGTGTGGTTTGCCTCACACCTGGCTGAGTATATTATATGCAGGCCATTCTCTTGGCATAGTGGTGGCGTCACCTGCTCTCTCCCTGGTGTGATTTGTTTAAATGGTTCTGTCATTCTAGAACAGTTTCCTGTTTCCTGATTCCCAAGACGATCCCCTGGATGCTTCTAGGAAGCAGACAAGTGAGGCAGAAAGCAATGGGCCATTCCCTGCACTCACCCCAGTTGCTTGCCCCCCTAGCAACCAATATTCAGAGGCAGACTACCTTTGCACATGGAGGTTTTCATGTAGTGATTGTGGCCAACAACAGTCACAGGCAGGTAGCTCTTCCTCCATGAATTTGTCTAATCCAGGGCTTGGGGAGACTGTGGGCTTTCTCCAGATGTAGATGGACTACAACTTCCAACAGCCCAGGTCATTGATTGCACTGGGAGGCTGATGGGAGCTGGAAGTCCAAGAGCACCCAAAGGGCCACAATGTTCCTCATCCCTCATATGATTCTTGTAAAGGCCTTGAGCCTGCTAAGAGCCCATTTTCATGGCCCAAACTGGACACAAAGTCCTTCAGCCTTTTGCCAACTATTGATTCCATAACACACTTACCTGCATATATTATAGCTGTGGTTTCATATTACCCAAGTACCTGTTTTTAGCCTATTCATTGGAAAACTGATTAAAGAGCATTAATATTTTAAGAAGAAATACAAGTGACCTTTAAATAATGTTTTTGGCATTTTGGTTTTTTAAATTAAAAAAATGTCTGTGGATCTTCTGATTTGATTAGGGTTTTGTGTCTTTATTATTAATACCATCATCACTGATTTATTAATCATGTTATAAATCCCCACCTCAAGGTAATTTACACATAAGATAATTAAAAGTGAGTTAAAACCACACAAAAACCACAAATAAATTTAAAACTAGTCTAAAACCTTAGCATGTGGGGACTCATCTCTAGCTGGGAAAGCCTGACAGGTGAAGGAAGCTATGCCTCTGAGCATGGCAAAAGGGCCTTTTCTGACTGTTGTGAAGCTGTCCACAGGTACCTTCAAACAGGAATGAGAACACGGGGTCCCAGCTTCAAGGAGGGCACAGTTTATGGAAGCTCAAACCCCAGCGCCTCTCTGCTGGAGACGCTTTCCCGCATCTTCTGGAATATTTCGCTGTCTCCCAAATTGCCACAAAGTCCTACCAGGATCTTCTACCACTCGGGCAATGATGGTCCCTGGACTGGGGGCTCCCCCACTGGTGCTCTACATCCAGGTCCTTGCAAATCTTAGCTCCCACAACCTTGGAGAGCTCGTGCCTTGGGGTCCGGGGCTCCTAGCGGGAGAAGCCACGTGGCCTTGAGGAAGGGATGGCCAGGATCGAGCCCCATGGAGAGTTGCAACAACGTGGGGGGGACGGGACGGGACTCAAAGGCGTGGGACTCAAAAGTGGGAGCGAGAAACCAAAGAGAGATTTGGACAATCCCTTTTTGAGCATATCACTGTAAAAGTTTTATTTCCTTCTTTGGGTACTTTTTATTTTGAAAAATGCAGCCTCCAGCTGAACCCTCGTTAAACATGCAGAAAGCTAAAATCGCGTTAAGCGATGTAGGGAGGTGAAAGCAATTTGGGAGCGGGTGCTGAATAAAGAAAGAGGCTCCCCCGGCCAGAAAAGCGCCCCCCGCGTAACCGAAACACAGCCGTCGACGCCAAGTTTCAGGTGTGTGTGAGAGAGAGGGAAGAGCCCCCTCCCCTTGCAGCGTTCGGGATGGAGCCGGTCTCGCCCCCTGGCCGCCTTTGCAAGACCCGGGCGAGCGGGGAGGGGCCGGGGCGGTGGCAGCGGGAGCCCCGCCCGCGGAGCCTCACCTGGCGCGGCGGCTTTAAAGGCGCCGGGCAGGCCGGGCGGAGCCCCGCAGTGGTAGTAGCAGGCGAAGCAGGCGGGCGACGCGAGGGGGCCTCCTTCAGCCCAGGCAGCTCCAGGCGACGCAACGCGGGACGCGCCCGGAGCTCCGACGAGGTTTCTCTTTGCCGACGGCGGCGCTTTAGCTTCTGGTCGCGGCGATGGGGCTCCCGCGGAGCTGCCTGCGGCCCCTCTTGTTTCTCCTCCTCGAGGTGAGTACCTAACTAAGCGGGTCCCCGAAGGGCGGTGTCGGTAAACAGCAGATCCCGGGGAAGGAGAGCGGAGGGGCGCATCGGTGCCTTGGGCGAGATGTTGTTCCTCGAGGGGAGGGGGGCACAGGGTCACGTTTCCCTTTCCCGCTTCCCTGAGGCTTCAGGTGCCTGACTGTCCCTCCGTTTGCCCCTCTCAGGTGGGGACTCTGCTAGCGGACCCGACGCAACCTTGCTCCGCTGGCTTCACCTCCAAAGTCTTCACCTTCGAGGTGCCGGACGGAGACCTGCCCCGGGGACACGTTTTGGGCCAAGGTGAGAAGGCGGCGGCGCGCGCGGGGAGAGGGGGAGACCGTCTGATGACTTTGCCGGACCTGGAAGAGGACTGGGGGCTTTGCGTGCTGGGCCAGGGGAGGCGATTGCACGATTTCGAGTATTTGTCTGAAGTGAGCCCCTCTCGCTCGCGTCTTTTTTTGGCTGTCCCTTCTTCTGCTCTTCCTCCGGCTTTGTTGCCCCCCGAGGTCTCCTGGCAGATCTTTTCCCTGTGCTGGTGTTATTTCGATTTCCCGTAGTATCGTTTATGGGGTGGGGCGGGGGTGAGATCCATCTCGGCAGAGCGCCTCGAGGGCTCCGGTTCGAAGATTGCGACAGGGCAGGCGAGGCGCCTTCGACGGCTGCGACGGGCTCCTCCTGCAGCTCCGGGCGCTGCTTTTCTAATCCACGGGATTAGTCTTTTTTCCGACTCTTGCAAACTGGACTGCGGGCTGACCACTGCCTCTCCGACCCCGCCGTTTCTGAGAGCTACGAGTGGGGTTGGCAAGCGTCACTCGCCCGTGGCCTCTGGCCCTTGAGGTGGCCGCGTTCCGCCTGGCGCGGCAGTACTGTTTGAAGTGTCCTGGAATGGGGGAGGGGGGTCTGCTTCCTTCCGGCTTACTCCTGGTGAGATGCTTTGTCCCCAGTCATTGTGCATGATAATCCTGGGCTGATGGCCCTTGATGGGTACCTGGTTGGGCCTGGGGGGGCGGGGTAGGGCTTATTCCTGCGCAGCCATGTGCTCTCCCCTCCCCCGCCAGGTGCTTGTGAAGCTGTGCTGTCGGAGGGGGTCGGTGATGAGTTGCTTTTCCACAAGGTGTGGCTTGGAAATGACCAACTCAAAGGAATGGAATTCCTGGCAAGGCAATAAAGGAACTTCAGTTGTTGTGGGTTGATTCCCATAACTCTTGCGACCCTCATTACCTAGCCCATCTTCTCATAACCCCCCCCCCCTTGTCTTGCCTTTTTGCAATTCAAATCCCAGCATAACCACGAATTGGTTGCTTTGGCATTAGCATAGTCTCTCTCATTTGCCCAACTTTCTCTCTCTAGTCCCATCTTTTTCTTCCTTCTGTGCTTAAGGCCCCCAAAGGTTGCTCATGAAATGCACACACACACACACCCCCGCTGCCAGTTAACCTCAAAAAAGTTGGAGGTGCTTTGGTGGAAGTTGGCCCAAAGGGTTTGCAATTCTGACATCTGAGGGAGAAATCCCCAATGTTGTTTGTACGCAGCAAAAACAATAATTACATTATTTTTTTAAAAAAATCAATGGTTTATTTCCCCAAGGATTCCGCCCCCAATACATTATGAAAACTTGTATTGTCATACCCACAACTTATACATCTATAGAACACATTATTATAGATCTTTGGAACTGTTATTTGGTTTTCTGAAGAACTGTAAATGAAACGAAGCTCCATCATTCTACAGTTAAATTGTTTTACTGTTTCCATAGGCACCACCAAATCCATTGCCTGAATAAGCTTCAGCCAAGTTTTGCCTCTTGGTATAAGCTTACAGTGGGACAAGATGGAATTTGCTTCTATAGGGACTGAGGCTTATCATTACTCTTCATACTTATTGCTATCGTTAATAATAGTTACTGACATTGTAATTATCCTGTCTTCCTCCAAATAAGTTGTCCTGGCCACTTGCCCCCCATTTTATCCTCTCAACACCTCTGTGAGGTTGATTGGCTAGGTTGATTGAGAGAGTGAAAAGTCCAAGCTCACCTAATGAGCTTGGCAGTTGAATGGGGATTTGAACCCAGGATTCCCCAGTCATCACTGCACCATTCCTGCTTCTCTGGCAGCTTTTCCAGAGGAGGTTGTTGTGCCCTCAAGGCTGATCTCCCTGAGCCCCACTTGAATTCCTGTAACAAGGAGCAGATGGGCCTTTGCAGCCTTTGGACCAACAGAACTGGGCTTGGCTGATGTCCCACATTACGGCTTCCTCTGTTCCACTCACTGATGGATGAGAATGTTGTGTTCTTTCCTGAAGGTGGGTGCTACCTAAATTTCATGATAGACCCCCCCAGGCACCTGCTGCGTGATGCCATTGAAGTTCTCTCCATCCTCCTCCATCTTTCTTGAGGTCTGCTGCTCCAGATGATGTTGATGGGGGGGCGGGGGGGCAGGCAGGCTGGCCTAGCTGTTCGGCATGGCATCCTAATTGCCAGCAAATGTGTGTCTAGTTGTTTTGTGAAACAGGGACATTGTGCATGGAACAGAGGCTGGTCTGTCTCCTTTTCTCGGTCACCCCTGCCAGGAGCAGGAATCCGTTTAACTCTCTCTGTGCCAGTGACTTAACTCTCCCAGAGACCGAAACTGCCCCTTCTGCTGCAAGCAACCAGCTCTCCCTGCCTCCGCCTCCCCAAACAGAATTCCTTCCACCTGCCTTGGGGTTGGGAATGAAAGGCAGTGGCATGAGCAGTGAAAGAGTACTGGCACACTGGAGCTGGCCGTCCTCGCTCAGCAAGACCTTCCAGTGTTCGAAAGTGACCTGTTCACCCAGCCGTGGCCTAATCCAACCTGCACACAGTTTGCTGGCTGGCACCCAAAGCCAATTAAAAGGCCTTGCAATGCAAATGTTTGTGTCCTTTAGGTCAGAACCTGGGCTCCCTGCATAGTTTGGTGGGAGGCTCTGTAGCCCCAGTTTCGAGTTCACAAAACTTTCATCTGATTTCCCCTCTGTATGGTGGGGAATTCTCGATTTGCCAGATTACCGGTATGTGCCAGCTCAGTGCTAGAGCACAACGAGGAAATCCTGGCTGACTTAATCTCTATAGATTGGCCTCTGTTTCTCTGCTACCCCAGGGAGATGGTCCAAGTTGTATAGCATTATGATTTCATTGTTTGTTGCTCAGGGTAGCCTCTGGATCTTGGAGGAGGAGGAAGTTTGCAGCTCCTAAAAGTGTCTGGTACTCTCCAGAGTGCAACTTCCTGTCATATAGGGCAGGAATACCTCCTTATCCATGCCCAAGGTGTAACTTAAAGCCAGGGCTTGGCTATGATGCATACAAAGTAATTAGAGCTTTTGTTCATGTGCAGAGTACATTTTAATTTCAACTAAATAATTGCAGCATGTATATTTGAGACTCAGTAGCAAGACTTCCTGGCCGGTCAGTGTAGCTGCTGTGCAATCTGTATGTTTCTGCTACAAACAGATTCCTCTTTATGCTTTTGCACTCTTAAAGTCTTCTTTTGTATACTGGTATACAGCAATTCAGTATTCAGTAAAGACTTTTAAACGAACTACCAAGTTGGTCCTGGAATGTGTGTGTATGATGTCAAGGGCCAGGGTAAACTGATACCTGACGGAAACTCATCGGAACACTTTGGCAGTTGCGAGTGGATTAGCTGAAATTACTGTAGCATCTCTCCGCCCCCCCCCCCCCCAGTTTTATCAAAGCTGTTATGCCGATTTGCTTTCTGCAACAGAAAGCAAACCTTCCTTCGAAGGTGGCTCTGTTCAGCCTTGTCCTCCATAGGACAAGGAACCTTGGTGGGTTCCTGGCTGTATTCCCTGCCCCTTCCAGAATTTGCCTGGTGTTTACTGAGTTGCTGAAGGAGGGTTTAATCTGCTGTAGCTGCAGCTCTCCTCACCTCTTTGCACAGCTTGACCTCCATAATGGAGGGGCCTTGAGATAAGAGCGCAGAGGGAGAGAGGGGGGAGCGAATTCCATGCATGCTGGAGAAAGGGGGAGGTCATGGTGGGGGGCAGGGCTGCACTGTAAGCTTGTTCCCCTGTTACCTGCTGTGAAGTGGGCCGAAAACTGCTTCCCCATGGTGGGCACAGGAGCAGCCCCTGTGCCATCTCTTCTTTCTCCTGTTGGGCTCAGCAGCAGCACCAAGGGCTTCCTGTGCCTCTGTCCCTCAGAGGCAGAACAAGCTTCTGCCCCTGCTGCCCACTCAATGGAGGGCTGGAGTTGGAGCCCCAGTCCAGAGCCGAGTAAAATATAAGAGGTTAATTGCTAACTCCTTCGTTCTTGTTGAGGTGTGGCTGGCCGGGGATTAACTGCTCCAGTGACTGCACTGACTCAAAGGCTGAGTTAAGGCTTCAGGGGTAGGTTGCAGGATGTGATGGGGCCCTGCCTGCCTCTTCAGCCCCTGCTGTGCGCTCTTAAGAGGCCCCAGCAGACCTTTTGATTCCAGCCCTCATGCGCGCGTGACCATTAGGAGCTGCCTTGCTTGTGGAAGGAGGCATGGCAACCCACTTGCTCTCCTCTGCTGCTGCCAAAGCCTCTTGGGGAAGGGAAGAAGGAAGCTATTTCCAGTAATGGCATACGGAGGGGTCTCTGCTAATGGCTTTGGGGCGCGTCAGATTCCACTAAGTGATGAGAGCTCAGAGATGGACTGAGATGGCTTTGACCTCCAAACCTTTCCATGCCTGATGTGCACAGAGTCGGAAGAGTCTGTTCTTTCCCAGCATAAATGCCGGTGCTTGTTCCAGAGAGGTCGCGGCTAAGCAGGCGCATCTCTGCAGCCACAAATCTCCGAGCTGGGAGGAGGAACTGCAGTGGGAATTACCCACTGGTATTCCACACTAGTCCTACTCTGAGTGGACCCTTTGAAGTTAGTGGATGCAAGCAACTTAGGCAGGCTCATTGATTTCAGTTGGTCTCCTCTGAGTAGGACTTAGCTGAATGCAACTCATAGTCCTGAATGTCACTGTTGGCAATGGGTCTTTGCTCTGCATTTTAGGACCAGTACAGGGTGATTTTGATGTCTTGAGGTACTTTTAAAAGATAAGCAAATTTGCTATGGCATACATTTTTTTTGGTGTGTGCAAATTTATTAATGAAGATAAAAGAAAAAGTGGAAGGGGGGTTAAGGGGGGAACAACAGCAAACAAAAAAGGCGGCTCATGTTGACAATACAAGAACCATCATACATTCATCTATCTTTACACATATAGCTCAGTACATCTCATTCAAATGTCCAGTTTGCTGACTCAAGTTCAGTTGCTGTTTATAAAACATGCAAGGACCTGGAGGCCTTCAGACTGTTGAGTAGTAGATGGTATTTGTGTTTCCAGGCTTGTTATGGCATAGGTTTGTATGGAGGAAAGTCTGCTTGGTCAGATGCATGGATGTGCTGTCATGCACATTTTGCATCTGATTTATTGAATTCTGATCCTCAAGCACTTCTGCCATAAGTCACTAAGGTGCCACAACACTACTTGTTTTTGCTGCAGCAGGCTTGACACACAGCTGCTACCTTTCTGGAACTTGGTATTTCTATTCATGGGTTTCACACGCAGTTGCTGATGGCATCATTGCACGGCTCTGTGGGTTCTCTTGTGTTTTGTGCAGTGTTGCCTCCGGGGCTGGCCCCAAAACAGTTTGCTGCCTGAGTCAAAGGACAAGATGGTGCCTCTTCTCATTCCAGGTGCCGGAACCAACCAGATGGACACTTGAATCTTACTTCAGCAAGAGCAATGGGGCCACGTTCTCTATTGACCTGCTCAGATTGGCTGGGGCAACCATGTCAGATGGGTGGCATATAAATAATAAATTATTATTATATTACTGCAGTTGAAGGCAGGAGGCTAGCCGAGGCAATGTAGTGGCAACCTCATAGAGCACACAGCTCTGCCCGCTCTGCACCCCTCAGCATTTACCGCCTGAGATGACTGTTTCCCTCTGCCTAACAGTAGGGCCAGTCCTAGCTGTTGCCATCAGTGGTTTGAAAGCTCTCTTGGAATATTAATGGCTTTCTCTAGTTCAATAAAGAAAGGAATTGTTTCATTTAGGGTCTCATTTCAGTTGTGGCTTTAGATACTCTCACTGATGGGGCATGACTCATGAGCCCTTCTGCTCTTCAGAGCCTCACAGTTGTTAATGGTGTCTGCTAATTACTGCAGGCTTTTCACTGTCTCTCAACAGGGCTTGTCAACAACAGTCAGATAAGCGTAGTTGCAAAAAGTCACTTGTATAATACTATCACTAATTGTCATCAGGGATTCTCTTGATCTCAGAGTCATTCTAGAGCTGTTCAAGCCCCTCTTGTACCCTCCAGATGTTTTGGGGGCTGCAGTTTCCCTCAGCCCCAGCCAACATGCCTGTGTCATAGTTCTAAGGAGCTGGAAAGGACCAGGTTGGAGAAGGCTGTTGTAGTTTCTCTAGTAGTTTCCCTGCAACACAACAAAATGTGTGGCACCTTGAAGACTTAGCAGGCTTATTGTGGCATCAGTTTCTATGGGTCAGACCCCACTTCTTTAGATTGTCTCAGCCTTTATACAACCAACCAATCACTGCATGCTGCAGATACCTTTTGCGGATACCATCTTCTTAGGAAGTCCATTCTGTAGAATGTAGGAATTGGGCCTTTAGTGTTGTGGCACCTGCCCTCTGGAATCCTTTCCCCTTGAATAATAGACTGGCAAAGTCCCTGTTGTCTCTTCTGCACCTACTGAAGATTTTCCTCTTCTGACAAGAATTGTAAGTTGAGATCTTTTCTGAGCACCTTTGGGAAGAAGCTTGAGATATAAATTTAATTAATAAAAGAAGAATAAATAAGGTCAAATCTGGTGCAGTTGGTGCTTTCTTTGTTGGCTCTCCCTGTATACAGAGGGTAAGAGGTTCGTAAGCTTCCACGGGCCAACTTCATCAGAAGTGTGAATCAAGTGGAGCTGACATTTCCTCCTTCAACTAGGCATTTTATTCTGTACATACGCAATCTGTGCTATTCCTTTCCTGGGGTGTGGTGAAGCATGGGCTGGGCATTCTAGCCTGTAGCCGCAAAGTCCCTTGGGACTCCTTTAAAGGAATCACTTTGTTCCACAGCCCATCTCCTGCTTGGCATTTTGTTTTGTTTCCTTATACAGTCATACAGTACCTTGGTTTTTGAATGGAATCCATTCCGGAAGTGCATTCGACTTTCAAAAAACGTTTGGAAACCAAGGTGCGGCTTCTGATTGGCTGCAGGAGCTTCCTGCACTCAATTGGAAGCCGTGTCGGGTGTTCAGCTTCCAAAAAACATACGCAAACCGGAACACTTCTGGGTTTGCAGCGTTCAGGAGTCACAAGGCGTTCGAGATCCAAGGTACGACTGTGTTTATATCCTGCTTGCCTTTCCTCGTGAAACTAAAAGCTGTATCCACAGGCTTCGCATCCAGGCTCTGCTTAGCTTCAGCAAGGTGGTGGCCTCTGTGGTCAAGAACCTGCCTTGCATGCAGAAGGTCTCTGGCTCAACCCCCAGCAGCAAGTCCAGGTAGAATTGTGATAAACTCCTGCCTGAAATGGTGGAGAGCTGCTGCCAGTTGGTGTAGACCAGGCATCCCCAACCTTTGGCCCTCCAGATGTTTTGGACTACAATTCCCATCATCCCTGACCACTGGTCCTTTTAGCTAGGGATCATGGGAGTTGTAGGCCAAAACATCCGGAGGGCCACAGGTTGGGGGTGCCTGGTGTAGACAATCCTGAGCTAGATGGACTGTTGATTTGACATGTAAGGAAGCTGCTACCTATGTTCCTCTACAGCTTCAGCCCATACCCTGGGACAGCATGAGAGGGAAACCAGCCTGCCCATCTCCTTTGATAGTCTTCATCCAGGTTCCATAATACAGGAGTAGGCAGACGCTGGATCTATTAGTAGATCTCTGGGGTCACTTGCCGTACATTGGCAAAGTGCTCTTGCTTCCAGATGGTACAACAGCAGCAACTAAAAGCCTCTTTCTAAATTAGGCTGTCTTGAGGGAGCAGGTGGAAATGAGGAGGGAAGACAGGAGTTGGTTTTTGTGTGGAAAAAGCTTGAGACTCAGTTAAGGGACTGAAAACACATTCCTGGGCTGAGCATATGCACTCAGAAAAAGTGCCATTTACAGTGGTGCCTCGCAAGAAGAAATTAATCCGTTCCAGGAGTCTCTTCGTCTTGCGGTTTTTTCGTCTTGCGAAGCGCGGCTTAGCGGCTATTAACGGCTTAGCGGCTATTAACGGCTTAGCGGCTTTAAGAAAAAGGAAACAAACTCGCAAGACGTTTCGCCTTGCAAAGCAAGCCCATAGGGAAATGCGTCTTGTGGAACGACTCAAAAAACGGAAAACTCTTTCGTCTTGCGAGGCATTCGTCTTGCGAGGCATTCGTCTTGTGAGGCACCACTGTACGCTTAAACCTGTTTGCCTACCCCACTGGTCCCCCCAGAAGGGGGAACCTGCTGTGGTTCTGGAGATGTTGTCGAGCTTCCGTCAGCTCCAGCCAGCATGACCAACGGTCAGGGCTGATGAGAGATGGGGTCCAACAATATCTGGAGAAAGGGCACCATCTCCCCATCTCTGGACTATTTGACTTCAGTTGGTGGATCTTGGGAGTCTAATTTAAACAATGAGAAAGGAACAAGAGAAGGGTCTAATGTAGCCTTCGTCAACCTGGTGCCCTCCAGATGGTTAGGACTACAGCTCCCATCAGCCCCAACCAGCACGGATGGGAGTCATGGTCCACAGCATCTGGGGGGCACCAGGCTGCCAAAGGCTGGTCTAGAGTGGGCAGTGAAGCTCATCCTTGAAAGGACATAGAGGAACTTCTTTGCAACAAGCTCAAATACTTATCCCTTCCTATGACTGACTCATAAGCCACATGATTGAAAGCAGAGGCTATAAAGAGGCAGTGAAACTAGTTTGGGCTTTTATGGAAAGTCTCAGGAAGTGCATCGTGCATCTAATACTGCCACACAATTTCCTGGTGGGAAGGGCATATTTTCCCAGAATCCAGAGCCAAGGCCCTGGCTGCTGCTTCTGCTGCTGCAGTCGATTTAGGGTGTGTTGCGGATGCCTGCACTGGTGACACAAGAATTAACGTGTTCGGAGGCTTTGCGAGTTGGCTGGAAACAAGAATATGGGGAGAGGCAAACTAATGTTTGAGGTGGGTACACTGCCTCACCATGTCCCCCTCAATATTTGAAGCAAAGTGGGAGACATAATAGTGGCATCCTGGTGGGGTGGGGATTTTGACTTGTTGTTTATGGGGTTCTACTATTTCACAAAACCTATGTTGTGTTTGTTTGGATCTGACCTCCCCGGAATTCAAAATGCTTCAATATTCTTGTCTTAAGTACAGGATGTAAAGCCCTTTTTAGCCAGGGAGCCAAATTCTCTTCTGGGCAACCTTCAGAGGGCCACATGCCAGAGGTGGGCAGGGCCAGTGGTAAATGCCGGCAGAGTAATTAATGAAAATTTTACAGTGGGCTGGTTTTTGCACACCTCTATCCTACATCCCATACCCAAGGCATTCACGGTCAGAGTTTTGTCAGTCAGGCAAAAATATTCAAGGAGGTTACAAAGCAGGGGCAGTGACCTGAGGACAGTTCTGAGGGCCAGACAGAGGCCTGGTGGGCCACATTGGCCCTGGCCTGAGGTTCTCCACCCCTGCACCAAGACGTTGGAATACAGTTTGTCCAGGCATGTGCATGTACATGCAGTTGTACACACTAGAGCCTCCCTAATAGCTACCCAATTTATATTTCTTACATCTGGTGCAAAATATATTTTGTTCTCCTGTTGTTGGCTGGACAATCAGGCTTCTCAACTTGTCTATACTGATGCAAATACTACTGCTATCACTGACCATTATTATTTGGGGGACATGGTGGGGTCTCCGTCTGATGAGCTGCAGCTGAAATATGAGGCCAGGACTGTGAGCAAAGTGGACACTTTGTTGTTTGCATTGGGAAAATCCAGATAATTTGATGATGACAAGCAGCCCACTTTGTGACTGGGTGTGGGTTCAGTCCTATGCAAGAGGGGAGCCCCGGCATATTTTGTTTAAGCCGCGGTGGGCTTCTGCTTCCAAGGCCAGTCAGTGGGATCTGTTCTGGCACGCACAGAGGGCTTGGCTGCTTGCTACATCAGCAGAGCAGAGAGCTCTAATCAGTCTGGACTAAGCCTGGATTTCTGCTGCTGCTGCTGCTGTTGCTCTGGCCGGTGCTGCTCAAACACCCCCTTGCTCTGCAGGGGCTGTGCAATCAATTCAAGGTTCTCCGAGTGCCAATCCATTAAAGGGCAAACAAGACCCCTCCCATCCATTTGCAAGACGCTCTCTTGAATGCAGTTGAGATCTTTCAGTGCTTCCCTTCCTGGGCGATGGCTTATCAGCAGCACATTCCTACTCTCCTCCTCCAAACTCTTGCCCCCTCAATTAGGAAACTTGTTTGCACATGTGCCGAGACAGGTCAAAGTTTGGCTGGCCCTGATAAGGGTTGCTGATGCTCAGAGGGGATCTAAATAACTTGGACTGTGAGCTGCAGATGGCATGGAGGATCAGGCAGGGCCAAAATACCTCTCCTCTAGGGGTAAGATTTAATTCTTAATGTTATTGAGTGGAGCTTTTTCCTGCTAGGCTAGGATCCAGGCTGACGCAGCCTCTTTTCCTTCTCCCTCCCTCTCCCTCCCTCCCCAACCCCCCAGTCCAGTTTGCAGACTGCCAGGGATGGAAGCTGGCCTCGTACACAACAGAGGATGCCAACTTCCGGGTGCTGCCCAATGGGACGGTCCTGGTGCAGCGCCAAACGCGGCTCCATGGGCAGGAGACGACCTTCGCTGTGCATGCCTGGGATTCCACGGGCACCAGATCCTCCTCTGCCTTGGTGACTGTGCTGGTGCGGAACAAAGGCCCTCCTTCTCCAAAGGTAGTGTGCAAAGCAGCTGGCAGGGGCCTCGGGGGAGTGCAGGTGGCAGACACCATGGCAACCTTTGTCCTTTGAGATTGGCTGCTGTGGTGGAAACTATGCTAATAGGGCAAGGCTGTACCTCTGCAGGTGGAATGCACCTCTCTGAGGAGGGGCTCCGTTTGCCACAAGGAGGGAAACTCTTCCTGCTACAGAAATAACTGGATTTCCCCACAGTCTTCATTTGCTCTAGCTTCTAATTCTGTTGCTCTTGGGAGATTCTTTTTTGGTGTTTTCAAAACTGGCTCCTTTTCTGGGTTTTTGCAGAGAATTTCGATGGGTACTTGCTCTCCAGAGGAGGACATTTTGCTTTCCATGGAGGGTTAGAATTGTACAGTGGTACCTCAGGTTACATACGCTTCAGGTTACAGACTCCGCTAACCCAGAAATAGTGCTTCAGGTTAAGAACTTTGCTTCAGGATGAGAACAGAAATTGTGTTCCGGCGGCGCGGCAGCAGCAGGAGGCCCCATTAGCTAAAGTGGTGCTTCAGGTTAAGAACAGTTTCAGGTTAAGTACGGACCTCCGGAACGAATTAAGTACTTAACCTGAGGTATCACTGTATATAGAATTCCCTATTCTGAAGCTGCTGGTAGGCTTAACTGGGCCAGCTGCTACTGGCGGGGGCTGCTGTCAGCTGTTCTCAAAGCAATTGACAGCGACCTCCCCACACTGCTGGCCTTGCAGCCTGCAGTGCTAACAGACCTGCCACCTGCCTTCTTTCCTTGTTGATAGTTGGATAGGATATGGGTGCAGTCAAGGCACCAGAATAGCTCCTCTTACTCTGCTCTGTTGCTTTTGATCTGCCTTCCCCAACCTGTGGGCTCCCAGCTGCTGGAGCTGATGGCAGTCCACCCACACCTGGAGAGCAGCACCTGGTTTGGGAAGGCAGCTGCTGTTGCAGAGGTCTCTAAAACTCTTGGTCCCTTCTTACAGGAGGAGTTTGAGCCTGCCAGCCAAGCAGAAGTTCTGTATTTCTCCCCGGCAAAGCCTGGCCTGAAGAGGCAGAAGAGGGACTGGGTTATCCCTCCCATATCCGTTCCTGAAAATGAAAGGGGCCCGTTCCCTAAGAACCTTGTTCAGGTATGGCAGATTCCTGTGGTGATGGGGGTGTCTGTGGGCCTTGCCCCAGAGGTAACAAGGGCATATGGATTCATTCCCAGGGTATTTGTGCTTAATGCCCCCTTTTATAATATGTTGCTTGAGGCTGCAGGTGGCTGAGCTTTTCGGATAGTGAAGGGTGCTCAGTCTTCCCGAACCAGCAGCCCTTTACAGAAAGTGAGCATCCAGTGCTTTCTGCAGCATCTCCTATCTTTCTCTCCCTGCCTCAGATCAAATCCAACCGGGACAAAGAAACCAAGATCTTCTACAGCATCACCGGTCAGGGTGCGGATAGCCCTCCTGAAGGAGTCTTCATCATTGAGAAAGAGACAGGCTGGATGAAAGTGACTCAGCCACTGGACAGGGAGAAGATTGACAAGTACCATGTAAGGGAACTCTTTGAACTAGCAGCCAGGAGACCAGGGTTCAAATCCCCATTCGGATTTGAAGCACACTGAGTGACCTTGGGGCAGTCACTGCCTCTCACCCTAACCTACCTCACAGGGTTGTTGTGGGGACTAAGTGATGGCGGGGGGCGGGGAGGGAAGAACCATATATGCCACCTTGAGCTCCTTGGAGGAAGAAGTGGGATATAAATGTAATAAATAAATAAACCAGGCCCCCTGTTGGGTTTAAGTCTGTCTGCAGGCCTTTAGGCTGGAAGGATGTTCCTCCCATCAAATTAGAAGCAGAGGAAAGAAACTTCCAGGCCACAGAAGTGCTTTAAATGTGGCTCTCCGTCTCCCTGCAGCTTTTATCCCATGCTGTGTCTGAGAACGGCAAACCTGTGGAAGAGCCCATGGATATCGTTGTCAAAGTCACAGACCAAAATGACAACAGGCCTGAGTTTACCCAGGAGGTCTTCAGAGGGTCTGTCTTGGAAGGGGTGACACCTGGTAAGGAGGGGGAGGGGGTTGGAAGAGGGAGCAAATGGCATCATGTGGGTGGGGGGAGAGGGGGCACCTCTGGGCTGGTTATGCACACTCTGTCTTCTCCTATTTGCTATCTGGCTGCAACAGTGGGTGGATTTCCCCATGGTTTTAAAGTTAAAAATAAAGCAAAATCTGGCACCACCACACATATAAATGTCTCTTCTAACTGGGAACTATAACAATGCTTATTTCAATAAAGAAGAAAAAGTCTCCCTCTTGATAGATAAATCAAACATCCACTTTGCAAATTTACTAATTCTGTTGGCTTATTCATTTTGGCAGCAGATTATATTTCCAAAACTAAGCCTTGATTATACAGTGGACGGGTTTGACCATTTTCATTGGATGCTTATGGTTGAAGTGGAGATTTACGTATACTTCAGTGGTTGATTATGCAAGTATGTGGTGGTGTCAGATTTGAAAAGAGGCATCCTCATTCTACTTACCCAACTTGTTTCCATCCAGAAATTGTTGGACCACAGCTCGCATCACTCCTAACCATTGATCAAGCCTGCTGCGGTTAGTGGGAGTTGTAGTCCACCCACATCTGGAGGCAATAAAATAAGAGCAAACTGCCCTAAGGTGTTCAAAACACCACCTGCTCTTTTGTTTTCTAAAATATAAGCAAGCCTTGCCATGTGCTTCTGAATCTCTCAATCTAGCACAGTAGCAGATTAGATGAGAGCCAGTGTGGTGTAGTGGTTAAGAGCGGTAGTCTCGTAATCTGCGGAACCGGATTCGCGTCTCCACTCCTCCACATGCAGCTGCTGGGTGACCTTGGGCCAGTCACACTTCTCTGAAGTCTCTCAGCCCCACTCACCTCACAGAGTGTTTGTTGTGGGGGAGGAAGGGAAAGGAGAATGTTAGCTGCTTTGAGACTCCTGAAGGGGAGTGAAAGGCGGGATATCAAATCCAAACTCTTCTTCTTCTTCTTAAATTGGTTATTGAAAACTAATTTCTTACTCCAGCCAATGACACTGTCCAGACCAAGAAGCCCTTGAAACAAAATATCCTGTCCAGGAGAAAAGGGACACTACGATTGGCTCAAACCCTTTTAAGCTTTTGGCATTTTGGGAGTTGTAATCCAAAATGCCCAGAGGGCACCAGGTTGGTGAACGATGGTGCAAGCTATGGGAGGGCTATAGCAGCTAGAGCAGAGCACCTGTGTTGCAGTTGCAAGGAACCCCAGCTTCAAGCGGAAATAGTCATAGGCTCGATAGACAGATTTTGTTGTCTTTAAGGCTGCTGCTTCATATGCTGGGCATTACATTCACTCTCTCCTTCCCTGCCCCACCTCCTCCTTCTCCCTCTTCTCCCTCCTCCTCTGCCATCCCCTTTGCCACCAAACTAGGCACCTCCGTGATGCAGGTCACCGCTACTGATGCAGACGATGGCATAACACAACTCAACGGCGTCATTGCCTACTCCATTTTGAGCCAGGTTCCCGAGGTGCCCCACAAGCAGATGTTCGCCATCAACAAGGCAACAGGGGCCATCAGTGTGATTGCCAGTGGCCTGGACCGAGAGGTAAAAGGCCAGCACGGGGGGCGGGGAGCCATGTAACTGGTGGAGTGGGTAATGGGCCTTGGCTGCCTGGGGGAAAAGGCAGCATCGCAGTAAGTACAGTGAATAGCTAAACTCTGGGATCTGTTGCCATAAGAGGTAGTGGCGGCCAACAATTTGGAATGGACAAATTCCTGGAGGGCTGTGTTCTTGTGATATGGCAGTATTTCTTGTGATTCCCAGCAACTGGTTTTTGAAGTGGGGACAGAGTGCTGTTTTGCTCATGTCCTCCCGGTGGGCTTCCCAGAAGAGGCATCTGATTGGCCACTGTAAGGACAGGATGCTGGAGTAGATGAGCCTTTACATTTTAGGGCTGTCTTTCTGTTCTGAAGTAAGTACCGCTAGAGCAGAGAAGAGTTTTAGCTCTAACCCTCTTCTCAAACCTCAGAAGTCCTTCCTTTTTGGAGAGCTGCAGGATCCTGGACATGAATTCATCTTCAGATGACTTGTAGGCCTAGTGGGGCCCAGGGAGGTCTGCTTTGCTATTCCCAGATTAGACACAAATCCGGGCAGGAGGTGTGGTTTCAAGGCTCTAGACCTGGTTTGCGTGTGTGAGAATGTCTGCAGTGGGTGGCGTACTTTTTCCACAGGCTACAGAATGAAGGAAGAGATGCTTTTACTCAAATGGAGCCTTTGTCAATCCGTCACTAATACCAACCACAATACTTGCCTCTTCCAGAGAGTGAGCGAATACACACTGACCCTGCAAGCAGCAGATTTGGATGGCGATGGGTTAACTGGCACCGCAGTGGCTGTGATAGAAGTTGCAGATGTAAATGACAACGCACCGGAGTTCAAGGAGCCAACGGTAGCAATCCTGCATTCTTTGGAGGGGAGATGCACATGACATTGGGGGGTCTCAAGGGATCAGACAATGCAGCAGCTCCTCTAAATGCTTAGGGTTTTGTAACTGTTTTGTAGACAACTGCTGCTTATAGCAACCCCCATTGTTTTAGATCTTCCTGGTTGCAAAACGGCCTTTGGCTTATGTGGGTCAGAAATTTCATCCCAAAGCCCCAACAGGATAGGCGCACCCCTGGCTGCACAAATAATTCCAGCAGACTGAGGACTGCTGCTGACAAGGCCACTAGGAGTTTGCATACTAAGCTGAAGGGCTTGGGGACTGGTGGGTGGCTGGGTTGTGTAGTGCATGCATGATGGGGCTGTGCCTTGCAAGCAGAGAGGAGCATTTCCCTATCTGTGCAGCTAACTGGGTGGTTCCACTTCTCCTAGTACTCTGCAGAAGTACCAGAGAACGAAGCAGGGCTGGAGGTCGTGAGGCTGGCTGTGACTGACAAGGATGCGGTCGGCTCCCCAGCATGGCTTGCAGAGTACAACATTGTGCAAGGCAATGAGGGGAATTCCTTCACCATCTCCACTGATCCAGAGACCAATGAAGGCATCTTGAAAACTGCTAAAGTAGGTGCTGGAATGTGTGTGCTTGTACACCTGTTTTATTTAGCAATTTTTTTGTGCTGCTTAATCAGCAAAGTATCATTTAAGCGGTTGGCAAAGAGTTGTACAAAATATTTATGGGTAGGGTGGGGAATAAAAGCAGGCTTTAAAAACAGTACACATTATAAAATCAGAATATAGATAATATCAACATTAAAAAAAATACCTAATAAAACAGCATGCCTAGATAAGCTTCCCTATGTGGAAAAGGTTTTAACAGGTGTCAGAAACAGTCCAATATGAGGTGCCTGTTGGATATCAATGGGCAGGGAGTTCCAGAGAACACTCTAAAAGATGAATGCCTTGTAAATGTGGAATAAATTTTTGTGACACTTGTAAAGCTGCCATTTCCCATGCTAGCACAAAAGAGAAAGCAGTCAGTAGAGTAGGGCTAGCATTAACAAAAACATCAACCCGCTTTCTAGTTGGAAAACAGCAGTTTCATGATGGAGAGCTAGTATTTATACATTTGCATTTTCTTAATTTCGGGGGAGTGGCTCTTGGGGCTATGGGACTAATAATAAAATGTCAGGTGGACATAAAGATGGATCTGGGAGTTGAGTTGAAGAATCACCTCCTGATTCATTGCAAGTCTTCAGTAGATCTGTGCATTTAATCAAACATGAGGACTTAGGAACCTGTTAGGATGCTGAAGGAGCAATAGCAGCAATGCTGTAGCCCAGCTGTGCAAAACATCTGGTGGTTGGCAAAGACTGCTGTTGCAGTAAGGTAGTTTACCTAGTCCAAGAGACACACAGGGAGAGGGAGGCAAATGCCCTTGGCTCTAGTTCACAACAGTGGTTGCTGCAGTTGCCCTCCCTGGCTTTGCCACTCCTCTCCTGCTTCAGCCCCAGCAAATGCCAGTTCCACATGTCTGGTCTTTTCCTTGTTTTTAGGGCTTGGACTTTGAAGCAAAGAAACAGTACCTGCTACAGGTAGCTGTCACCAACCAGGCCCCTTTTGTGGTGAAGCTCCCAACCTCCACAGCTACTGTGATAATCAACGTGAAGGATGTGAATGAGGCCCCAGTCTTTGCGCCTCCCATCCACAAGGCAGAGGTTTCAGAGGACATCCCAATAGGGCAGAAAGTCACCGCATACACGGCACAGGACCCAGATAAGATGCAGTCCCAGAAAATCAAGTAAGCATTTCTGTTGCTGGTTGGCCAGGAGTTGAACCTAGTGGGGTGAATAGTGTTAATAGGCAGGCAGCATTGGCTTAATGGCTCAATGAGAGGTGGGTGGAGATCAATGGGGCTGATCGCCGATAGCAAAAGCCACATCAGGCTAGGCTTTGTTGCTTCTAAACATTTCCATCTTCCAAGAACGGGATGTCCATCAATGCTCTGTGGCTCCGTCTTAATAAATGGAGCCCTGGGTGCTTGAAAGGGAGGGCAGGAAATGCAGGGAAGGTAAAGTGATACCTCTTAATGGTCCAGCTCAGGTTGGTGTTGAGAAATGTGCAAGTGCCGCAGAATGTAAGGAGAAGTCAGTCTTGAGTTTCAGAGCAGGCCTGCAGGCTCCCTGGATCAATAGCAGCTGGTCAAATGAGGCTGCATTTTATCTGCTTTTGAGTTCAATGCAGCAAGCTTATTGTGCTGAAGTCAAAGGCATGATGTTGGCCTGATCCAGGAAAAAGATTGAAAGTAAGATAAATTGCATCTTGAAAGATGTGTGTCTCGAGGGGTAGGGATTGTTTACCTTTCCCGCTGGGGATGGGGTAAAAAGCAGCGCTTCCAAAATGCAAGTACGCTGCCCCACAACCCTTTTCTATGTGGCTCACTTGTGATGCATTGTTCTCAAAAAACAAGGGAGGTATATATTTTAGATGGTTAAGATCCTTGTGCGCACAGAAAAACTGGGAGATCAGGGAGGAGGAGAAACTTGAGCCAGCTTTTCTGGCATGCTAAGTCTTCCACCTGCATCCCGAAACAGGACCCATCCTAACATTGCTGTAGCAAACAGTGTGTGCGAATTAGCCCCAAAGCTGAAATTCTCAGGGGCTTTCTTGCTGGCATGCCTTATAAGACACATTCCTCCTTTTGTGGTCCCTTGGGATTTAAACGTGTTCTCTCCTGCCAGGTACTCTATGGGGAATGACCCGGCTGACTGGCTGGCCATCCACCCGGAAAACGGCATCATCACAGCCAAGAGCAGCCTGGACCGGGAGTCCCACTTTGTCAAGAACGACACCTACATGGCCATTGTGCTGGCGGAGGATGATGGTAAGCTCTGTGTGGTAGGAGGGACGAGTCCCCTGCCCTGGGTCACCATCTCTTGTGGGGGGAGGGAATCAAAGGACTCTTTGTTGGCCTGTGCATCAGCCGCCTGGGAGCTTCCCATGTGAGGGGCACGTGGCTATGGAGCTGCAGCCGCCTCACAGCCTGTCACGAGAAACCACATCCCAGACCTTGGCAGTTTATCTGTTTAGGAAGTGGAGACAAGGGCAGAGGCGGGTGCAACCCAGGCCTTCTGAAGACACAAATCAGGGGTCCCAGACAGCCTCCTGCTGGCTGACGAGGATGGGAGTGAGATGCAGCCACAGGCCACAGTGGATGGCAATGGGGAAGAGGAGGAAAATGTTCATTCACATATTACCCGGGGCACCTCTTGCCCCTACCCTACCCCACCCCACTTTCTGCTTCTCTTGAGAAGAACAGTCTTGCAAGGACTCATTTGGGGATGATACACACAGCACCACAGCCACAACTCTTACTATGCAAAAGTCTCACATTCTGTGCTTAAAAAAAAGAAGTAGGCTAATAAGCCACATTGTGCAGATTAATGCTGAATTAAGCATGCTCTTCTCAACATTGCATGCATTTTTAAGAGGGTTTAATGCTCTTCAAAAGCCAAAGCAAATGGAATATATAAGCTGTGGCAGTTTGAGCATCAATCTTAAATAAAAAGCCTATTTGACTTGACATACTTAAGCATGTTTTACTTCAAGAAATCATACACAACACAGATCCTCAGAATAAATTACATTAATGCAGATAGTTGGCACAAACCTGAATGTTTTGCACATGTCCTCATTCTGTGCGTTCTGAACTTGCTGTTTGTAATTGGTAAGATTCTGGATTCCTTTATGCTTGGTTCTGTTTTGTTTTTGCAAAGAGCAACTCTTGGAAGCCATGAGAGAGGGTCTGTAGCTATACAGGACCCAGAAGCTCCATCATTTGCATGCTGGACTGTAAGGGGACACTGCCAGCCTTTATTAAGGCCTATCTCTGACCATATCCATTAGAAAAGCTCTGAAACCTGTGGACATAATTTGAATGCCGGGCTCCTGGCATTCTCTGCAGAATTGTGTCTGGGAAGGTGTGGCAAGTGAGTCTGGGCAGACTATAGCCCTGCCTCTTCCTCATTCATCTGTTTCTAAAGCCACCTTCTTTCCATCCTGCTCCAAACAGGAACCCCTCCAGCAACCGGGACGGGCACCCTCCTGTTGACCCTGCTAGATGTGAACGACAATGGCCCCGAACCCGACCGGCGGGAGATCATCGTCTGCAACAGCAAGCCAGTGCCCCAAATGTTGCGCATCCTGGACAAGGACCTTCCCCCCAACACCTCCCCGTTCCGTGCAGAGCTTCTCCACAACTCGGAAGAAAATTGGGCTGTCGAGATGGACAACAAAGGTGGGGTGAGCAGTGGGGAGGAAATGGGGTGCCCTTCCAGAATAGCTGTCCATGGTCTGTGCTGGAACAGGAATCTTCTCTCCTTTGGCAGCAATGCCCAAGTGACTCCCTCTTCTTAGTTCTCCCTTCTCTCCTCCCCACTTTCCCCACAAGGTCTTAGCCAGCCAGAGATGGTTATTCCCTGTTCCCTTTGGGACTTAGGAATATCCCAGGGAAGCCAGTTGCTCTGGCTGGGGTGAGCTCCCCTGTCTGCACATGCTTGGAAATCCTTTTTCTAAGACAGTCTACTTTGGTAAGGTCCTACACTGTGTATGGCCGTCATTCCTTTTCAGCAGGTGCAGCTGAAGAGAATTCATTAGCTGAGTGTTAACGGAATGCTTCTTTCGGTGGCCATAATCCATTCCCAGTGAGCCGACTCTGTTCCTGTTTCATTGCGCTTATGCTCTGGTTGTTCCTTTTGCAGGAGAAATTGCAACCCTGACACTGTTGCAGCCCTTGAAGCAAGAGACGTACAAAGTTTACCTCCAGCTCTTTGACAACCAGAACATGGAGCGGCTGACGGTCCTCACGGCAACTGTCTGTGATTGTGAGGGGCATACAGAAGGGTGCCCGGGTCCGCAGGGGACTGGCATTGAGGCTCCCATCATCTTAGCCATCCTGGGAGCCATTTTGGCTGTGCTGAGTAAGTGTGCAGGTCACTGTCCTTCTGTCTCTGTGGGCAGAGTGGGGGAGTGAAACCATGGAGGGCAACTCCTTATACCAGAAGTTTTCAAGCTTTCTGAGTCCACAGCTCCCTTGACCATTTTTTCTGAGGCACCCCTGTGGGGATTAGGAGCCCAGTTATGTCACCCCTTGCCTGCCAAGCTGGCAGCATCTCATCCTTTTTCGAACATGCTCCCTTGTGGAGTGTTCCCTCAGTCTCCTTCCTTAGGAGTCCTCTGGGCAGTTGCTGATCTCTGAGCTGATCCCCTGCCCCATAAAGAGGTGCCTTCTTACACTGCCCCACAGGGACCTGGGAAGCACCGCCTGGCTAGCCCCAGAGGCACAATTCGCCTGTGGAGCTTGTAGCCAGGGCTGCTACAACAAACAGCTGTGCAAGCCTTTGGGAGGCAGAGACGCCTGCTTCCAGTAGAATCTCAGTTCACCCTTCCAAAACCTGGTGCCCTCTCTTTTGAACTCAACTCCCATCAGTTCCAGCTTCATATAGCCATGGTGACTGGGGACTGATGGGAGTTCTGGTCCAAAACACCAGGAGGGGGCACCAGACAGGGAAAGGCTTGCTCCTCTGACATGAGTGCAGAAGCACCTGCTAAGATGCTGTGCTGAGTCTCTGTTTCTCTCCCAGTTATCCTGCTGCTGCTGCTCCTCTTTGTGCGAAGGAGGAAAGTGGTGAAGGAGCCTTTGCTGCTCCCAGAGGAAGATACCCGGGACAACATTTTCTACTATGGTGAAGAGGGAGGTGGCGAGGAAGACCAGGTGGGTGCCCCTTTGGCTCTATCCAATTAAAAGGGACATGAGCAATTGAGGAGGGGTCTTCTGTAAAGGATGTGCTGTGTTGCAAATGTCTGATGGGACTATAGTATTCTCAATACGTGCAATGCCCCCAGAAGACTCTCCTCCCAGAGATAAGCACGGTCTTTTGCTGAAAAACATGTTCCATTGTGTACAGCTGTCCATCCTCTACAGCCCACAATGGGTCAGGTGGTGTTGTGACCTGGTCTTCATCCTCTCCAAGTGTCTTCCCCATTTTGTTCCAGTACCTCCAGTTGCCTACCATCAACATCTAAATGGCAAGGAAGGGGATGCAGCTTCCTTGCCCTGTTGTATTCTGCAGTTTTCAAGCTGCAGAGCCTCTGCATCATCTTTTCTCTCTCCTCTCCTCCCCCTTCCTCTGAAAGGACTATGACCTCAGCCAGCTACACAGGGGCCTGGATGCTCGTCCAGAAGTCGTCCTCAGGAACGATGTCCTGCCCACCCTTCTGCCAGCTCCACAGTACCGCCCGCGCCCTGCAAACCCAGATGAAATTGGCAACTTCATCCATGAGGTAAAGTTGGAGGAGGAGGGTGCTGAAAGGGAACGCCGGTCGGCAATCTGCTTCACATCCCGATGTTGTTGGGCCCAGCTCCCAGCACCCCCAGCCAGTATGGCCAGTGGTCAAGGATGGCGAGTTGTAGGGAGAGCCACAGGTTTGCCACTCCTGTTGCACAAGGCAAGCAAGTGGCTAAAGCTTGAGTGTGCATGTCTGGGGAAACCCAGCCAGATGGGTGGGGTATAAATAATAAAATTATTATTATTAATAATAATAATAATAATAATTATTTAGTTTGTCTTTTCATACTGTTCTTCAACCCCTAAATAGTTTCTAGAAGTCTGTCCTTTCAGTTTGGTACCATTGAAATTGACGGGCAGCAGCTTTTTTCGGTTTCCCAGCTGTGCTGCTGGAGACTCTGCAATCCACAGATGACTAAGACTGATTTTACATACTGATTTTACACCCCACATCTCTCACATGAATGTTTGTTCATTCAGAAATAACTATCCATTCTACCAGATTGCAATGTTTATTTCTTAAGAGAACTGCAGTTTGAGAAAAAGTTTTCCTGCACAGTTGGTTCTTAGCTCTGGTGTAAAATGTGAAATTCCTCTTGACCCTTAGAGATATAACTGGCTGTTTTATGCAGCTGAGACTATTATTATTAAGAATCACATTCCACGAGGCATCCCAAAGTTATTTAGAATATACTGAAAACATATATAAAACTATTACATCTATAAAGGCAGCATCTCCCCTTGCTCCTGCAGAACCTGAAGGCGGCAGACACGGACCCCACGGCGCCCCCCTATGACTCCCTGCTGGTGTTTGATTACGAGGGCAGTGGCTCCGAGGCCGGCTCCCTCAGTTCCCTCAACTCCTCAAGCTCTGACCGGGACCAGGATTACGATTACTTGAACGACTGGGGCAGCCGCTTCAAGAAGCTGGCAGACATGTACGGCGGGGGCATCGACGACTAAGAGCCATGGGTGGACTTTTGCAGCCCAGAGACTGGGTGGTTGTGGCTGGCTCTCACCCCTGCCGTTGGGGATCTCTGCAAGAACCACATGTTCCTCTTTCCAGCAAAGCCTCCCTTGCGTTGCACCGGCTCCTGTCCGAATGCCAAACACACTGCATCTCCTTCTTGGGTCCCTGGTGGCAACACCTGAAGCCCTGAGAAGGACCCAGCAGCTTCCTGGCAGAGTGTCTGGCTTCCTCTGAACTCACAGGCTGCCTTCATGAATGTGCCTGCGAAGGCTTTCTAGCCAGATGAGCGATGCTGTGTTACCTGCCTCTGAGTGCCTCTTGATGAAAGCGTCATCCCTTGCCAAGGAACCTGTCAGCATTCAGGGAGGTCTGCATTCTGTACCCTGGTTCCAAGAGAGGGCGTGTGTCAGAAGATGTCCAGTTCTCGCAGCTGGAGCTGATGTGTGTTCCACCCATATTCATTTGGTGCCTCCGTACGAGATGCATGGAAGGACTGTGGGATGGGGCAGGTGTGGTGCATGGGGATGTAGTAGCTGTGTGTGTGTTGTAATAGAGCAGCCCTGCCCAGACTCCTGTGATCAGCTGGGGCACCTGCTCCCCATTGGCTCAGCCCCCAAAGTGCCAGCAGTCCTCTTAGAAACTCTTGGCTGCTTTTTTTTTTTTTTAAATAAGCATCTCCTAAGTGCTCCTAGGTCAGTTCTTTCCTACTTTTAGGTACGAAATAGACTTGGTGTTAAGCTAAAGGGTTGGACAATCAGGGTGTAAAGTTTTAATAAAGGATTTTCTTTTTTAAACATGGGTGTTTTCTCTGAGCCTGCCTGGGGTGTGTGATGGGAAAGCATCAAGAGTTGCTCAGGGATGTCACGGGGCACCAGAGCCTACCCTGAACTGAAAAGTAAAATGTATCCAGGAGAAAAACAAACCCACCAGCCTATGTCTGTCCAGATGTTTTGGTCTACAACTCCCATCAGCCCCAGCTATGAGGGGCTGACCCTCTAATCAGTTTTTCCCACCTACCTCTCTCATCCTCACTCTCTCTGCACCCAACTGCATTCTACTCATGTAAAAACACACTGATTTCCGGACCGTCCGCAGGCCGGATTTAAAAGGTGATTGGTCCGGATCCGGCCCCCGGGCCTAGGTTTGCCTACCCATGTTCTATAGCCTTCTCGTGATCTCTTCCCAGACCATCCCTGACTGCATCTTCACAAACTCAGTTTTGCTTCCCCTGCCTTCTCGCTCGACCTCCCTAGGAGGCCTGCCTTTTTTAACAGTTGCAACTGTGTTTTTGTCCTTGATAAACCTCTCCTGAGGGAGCTGGCAGGAAAGGGCTGCCAGGGTTGCACAGCTGCTCTGGGGAGGAGGCGCTGCACAGGGCTGGGGGGTTGCAGGTGTCTTCCTTGGCACTGGTGCAGCTGCATACACCACCCTGCCTCATAGAAACCCTGTGGGAGACCCAGGCTGACCACTATCCCCCCTCCCCAGCGGCAACCATCTGCCTCCAGCACATTCCTGGACAACAGTCTCCTGGAAGCTCAGCTCTCTGTTGAAACCTGAGTCCCTCTTTGAAGGGTGGGGGAGTAGCTAGGCTGAAAAGACCTTGCCTACCCACTCCTTTTACTTTGCCCCTTCTCAAGTATTACTTGCTTCAGGGCCCCTTGGCTTGCTGTCAGTCCCCATACTCACCCAACAGGTTTTTCTTGCTCCAAACACCTCCCCTCCCCACATCCTTTCCCTTTTAAGTTACTTATATGGGTGACTGCAAGCCTGAGGGCAGAGCCAAATGCCAGGAGATGCTGCTGTTGCTGCTAGATTGACAAGCAGAGAAGGGGGTGCCTAGAGAGGGAAGGTGGATAAATGGGTGCAGTTAGCTGATTGTGGCCCTGGGCAAACACAACCTCTCTTCTAATACAGTGGTACCTCGGGTTACAGACGCTTCAGGTTACAGACTCTGCTAACCCAGAAATAGTACCTCTGGTTAAGAACTTTGCTTCAGGATGAGAACAGAAATCATGTGGCAGCAGCAGCGGGAGGCCCCATTAGCTAAAGTGATACCTCAGGTTAAGAACAGTTTCAGGTTAAGAACGGACCTTGAGAATGAATTAAGTTCTTAACCTGAGGTACCACTGTAGTGAATGTTCTCGCGTTTGCAGAGGTTTTTTACTTTTTTTATTTTAAAAAGCCTTAGGGAGCAGCTAAAAGGAACCCCTCCATGAGCACTGAGTGAGTGAGGCTGTGAGCGTCAGCCACAAAGCTCACTGGGTGTCCTTGGGCCCAGTCACTCTCACTTAGCCTAACCTACCTCACATTGTTGTTATGAGGATGAAATGTTTAGGGGGGTTGGGGAAAACCCAATATGCTACTTTGGTGGGATATAAATGACATAATTTAAAATATATTTTAGATAAAGAATTGTTGGCCCTAACAAACAGATTAGAACCTAGGTGGTGCTTTGTAAGTGTCATTTGTTTTAATAAGACTTTTAAGGGTAACACTTCTTTTGATTTTTAGCAGGGTTATAATCTTTAATCAGCCAGCTAATTAACTTCAGTTTTTACACCCCAGTCCTCACTATCTTGTAGTGGAGTGGTTTCAAGACAAATGTGTCTCACAAATGTGTGAGATGGATAACTTTTATTAGAATCACATCAAGCAGCGGTATATCCAGTGCTTTTTTTTCTGGGGGGATGCAGGAGTACACATACCCCTAAACATTTTGTGAATCTTTGTATTTTTGTCCATTTACTGTATTTATTTCCCCCGATTTAAACTATAAAATGGTGGTTTTCTTGAGTCAAAATAAGAGTACCCCTAAACTTTTTTTTTAAGCACTGGGTATATCTATCTATTTACACAAACCTGATAGGCAAACAATGATGGGAACATGTCCTAAGATAAAGTACCATTTTCTCTGGAAGATGGCAGGATCCTCAAGGACGTGTTTTGAGGACAGCTGGCTTCAGGCACTAGGCCTTTTGGAAGGCCAGCTCTGTGTTACAAAGATGTCTGCAAACAGGGCCATCTTTAGCATATGCTTTGCTGGGGTGCAAAGATCCACCCAGCGCCCCCAAATTTAGTTAATTTTGTGTGAGTGCCATCGTTGAGTCTGACAAGTGCCACTATTGTGAATGACAAGTGTCGCCGCTGGCACAGCGCATCTTTGGTAAATGAGCGCAAAAAGTCGAAAGTCCTTTAGTGAAACAGTAGGTATGCATTTCGGTAATACCTAGGTATATATGTATTTTGTTTTTCTAGCTTGAGCAAAATTATTATTTCATGACAGGTAGATAGTTAAGAGCTTCAGCGGCGGGCACCTGGCCCCCCCTCCAGAATTCGGCGCCTGGGTGCCCCGCTCCCCTTGCACCCCTGGGTAAAGATGGCCCTGTCTACAAATGTGACATGAAGGCTGGCAACATTCACCCAGCTGTATGGGAATCCCTTGCAGATGACAGCAGTGTCTAGAGACAGTCAGGTTGTGTATCCACAGCAGTGACCAGAGGAGAAATGACCACTGGGAGGAGTGTAGCGAGAAGGAATGCCATGATGCAGCTGTAGCAGTGAAACCTGACACCTTCATCTGCAGGTGGGGAACAACTAACAACTGTGACCTTCTAGACACTGTAGGACTGCTATCTCCCAGCAGCCTGCCTGGCCAGTGGCCAGGGATGATGGGAGCTGGAGTCCAGCAGCATCTGGAGGGCACCAGATGTTCCTTGTCCTTGACTTACACTATCAACACACACCAAAGTTTAGTGACCATACTGAGGTAACAAAAAGAGGTGTTGCCTGAGCAAAGAGGTGAAGAAAGGAGGTTCCTGGGCAGAGCAGCCTACAGACCAGGGGTCCTTGGTTGAACAAGTTTGCTAAATAAATTAAGGATCTTATGGCAATGGGCAAAGTAATCCTATGATCTCATTAAACTGGCACCAGAGTTATGCCACTACACAATCCAGGAGGCAAGAACAACAGAATACAGTGGTACCTTGGTTTGCAACCGCTTTGGATTACAACTGTTTTGGGTTACAACCACGTCAAACCCAGAAGTGTGTGTCCCTTTTTTTGGATTACAACCCATTATTATTTATTACAACCAATTTGGGGGGGAGGCCCCATTGGCGAAAGTGCACCTTGGGTTACAACCTGTTTTGGTTTACAACCGGACCTCCGGAACGGATTATGGTTGTAAACCAAGGTACCACGGTATACAAAAATGTCAGAACAACAAATTTTTCCACATTGTGAAGCCTCAAGTTTTCCAATGCTTCCAATGAGACTCTGGATTTTTCTTTTCTTTTCTTTTTAATCAGAAGTGCATAAAAATCAGCATGTTTTACTATTTTATATCTACATATTTCTCAGTTCCTTCTCAGTGAGTGACAACAGACAGATGGCTCTTTAGACACACAACATGCTGTCAGTTTCTTGGGTGTATAAGTCCCAGATATCTCTGTTTCCTCTTACTTTCCTTCCAAGTCTACATTCCTGGTTCTGCCTGCACTGGTTCAAAAGGAACTGTTTCCTGAAGAAAGTGTTCTGCTTTTCTAATTTGTACAGTATGTCAAGGCAATGTTTGTGGAGCGACTCTACCTTCTTTGAAAGCCTTTCTCCTTACTATAATTTAAATTTCTTAATACATGCTATATAAAAAACATGACCTAAATTACTTATTTCAGGAAAAAATATGTTTAGGATGGCAGTTTTATTGTGGGCATATCTCACCCATTTGGACATGTACTTTGTGCTTTCTGTCCCTCGCCCTGCAATTTTTTTCCTGGTGCTGTCACTGCTACTGCTGAGCCCAACAGGGGAGAAGAAAAACACAATAAAATACAAACATAATGAAAACAACAAACACATTGTAAATCTCCAAATCCTAAAGCCACTCAGCTGGCTTGACTCCCAGTATCGCAAGTGGGCTCTGATCCAGAAGAGATTCTGTCACCATCAATCTGTATCTATAGGATGGAGGAAAATAAAGCTCTTGGGTGCTTTCAAAACCATTCAGTTTTGTGGGTGGGGGAACAGCGGCCAATCTGAGTCAGCAGAGGAGTTCCTGACCATGCTTAAGTTTCTTTCTTCTTTCTTTCTTTGGTGATCACTCGTAGCTGAGTAAGATTGTCTTCCATAAACATGGTTTTAACAATGAGTCTGTAAGTGACTGTGGAGGCCAATTCTAGATCCACATGTCCTTCCACATGGGGACATTGGTTTCCTGCGGGAGTTGATCATGGTGTGGATTTGCCAAGCATGCCTTCCTCTTAGCACGTTTCTCCCTTGCATCCTGAGTTTGAGTGTCTTCAAAGCCCATGACACCTTTGGTAAAGGCTGTTCTCCAACTGGAGCGCTCACAGGCCAGTGTTTCCCAGCTGTCAGTGTTTATACTACATTTTTTTAGATTTGCCTTGAGACAGTCTTTAAACCTCTTTTGTTGACCACCAGCATTACGCTTTCCATTTTTAAGTTCGGAATAGAGTAGTTACTTTGGAAGATGATCATCAGGCATCCGCACATGACCAGTCCAATGAAGCTGATGTTGAAGAATCACTGCTTCAACACTGGAGATCTTTCCTTCTTCCAGTACACTGATATTAGTTCGCCTGTCTTCCCAAGTAATGTGTAAAATTTTTCGGAGACACGGTTGATGGAATCTTTCGAGGAGTTGGAGATGGCGTTTATAAGTGGTCCATATTTCACAAGCATATAGTAAGGTTGGTAGTACAATAGCTTTGTAAACAAACATTTTGGTTTCCCTGCAAATGTCCTGGTCCTCAAACACTCTGCACTTCAGTCGGGAGAAAGCTGCACTCGCAGAGCTCAGGCGACGCTGGATTTCGGCATCAGTGTTGGCCCTTGTGGAAAGATAGAAGAAGTATGCTTAAGTATGCAATCCTAAACACTTCCTGGAAAGAAAACCCCCTGAAGATAAAAACTTCCTGGAGAGAAGACTCAGCACAGCTTGCTTCTGAATGGATGTGCTTAGGATTTCTTGAAGCAGAAATGGCTGGGAGTTCCAGCACCACCTGATCAGAAACTCTGCCTCCTAAGCCCCCTCCTCCCCTTACAAAAGTCCTGGCTACGCCCCTGGGAAGCTGGCACCTGTGTGGAGATACCTGGTTGTGCCTCCTCAGAATTTTGTGCCTGGGGCCACTACCCCATCCCCCCTCCCCCAGCCACACCACTGGATTATCACACAATATCCCACAAAAGTCTTCTCTTCTGGTGAATGGTTCTGTTCTTCTCTTTCTAAAGTGTGACTTCCCCTCCCTCCAACTTGAAATACTGACGTTGTATCAGATTCTGGCTGATGAGTGATATTGTGACAGACTGATTGTAGTGTGGGCTAGACTAGCAGTTCCCAAACATTTTTTCTCATGAACCACTTGTAAAATTGCTGATGGTCTTGATGAAATGCTTAATGACTTTTCTGGGGGGTCAGACCATATCACTCCCTGATTACAGTTCTCAAAAATAAGCAAGCAAGATGCTAAAGCAGTCCTGTGAGGTAGATTAGCCTGAGACACAATGACTGAGGGAAGGCTGAAAGGATTTCAGATGTGCATGTCCACTGTGAAACAATCCCATTAAGTTCAATGGATTTTACTCCTAGGTAGGTGGATATAGAATTGAAGGTTAAATACTTGAACTAAATTTTCCCACTTTGTTTCCTTTTTCCTGCATTTTATACTGTAACCCTTTCAGGGCAAGGACCTGTCTTGTGAAATGCTATATGACTCTACTCAGAAGTAATACCCACTGAGTTCAGTGAGACTTACTCCCCTGTAAGTGGGTATAGGATTTGAATTTTCTTCCAAACGCTATACAAAAATTAAAATAAATGACACAGCATGATGCAGTCATAACTTAAGCACTTTAAAAAGCCACAGCTTTTCAGCATTATGTGCTGAAACCAATGAAACTTCAAAACAGAAGGGGCTAACCTGTGACCCTCCAGATGTTCTTGAACTGTTGTTGTTGTTTAGTCGTGTCCGACTCTTCGTGACCCCATGGACCAGAGCACGCCAGGCACTCCTGTCTTCCACTGTCAAACTCATGCTGGTAGCTTCAAGAACACTGTCCAACCATCTTGTCCTCTGTCGTCCCCTTCTCCTTGTGCCCTCAATCTTTCCCAACATCAGGGTCTTTTCCAGGGAGTCTTCTCTTCTCATGAGGTGGCCAAAGTATTGGAGCTTCAGCTTCACGATCTGTCCTTCCAGTGAGCACTCAGGGCTGATTTCCTTAAGAATGGATAGGATTGATCTTCTTGCAGTCCATGGGACTCTCAAGAGTCTCCTCCAGCACCATAATTCAAAAGCATCAATTCTTTGGCGATCAGCCTTCTTTATGGTCCAGCTCTCACCATGCATCACCACCAGGAAAACCATAGCTTTAACTATACGGACCTTTGTTGGCAAGGTGATGTCTCTGCTTTTTAAGATGCTGTCTAGGTTTGTCATTGCTTTACTCCCATCTTTGCTTTTATCCCAGTTGTTGAAATACAGCTCCCATAATTCCTGATCATTGGCCATATTGGCTGCAACTCAAGGGGGTAAATTCCAAGAAACAGCCGCCTCTGGAAGCTCAGCAGAAGAGGGAATTGGCTGAATCTAGCAGTCCCTTTGGGGGAGTGGGCGGGGCAGCAGATTAGCTAGGATGAAAAGACCTTGCCCACCCCCTCCCATTTTGCTTTGCCTCTTCTCCAGCCTTGCTTGCTTCAGGGCACATAGGCCTACTGCCAATCCCCAGTCCCTATTCTCACCTGGCAGGTTCTTCCTTCTTCAATGAATTCCCCCCCCTCCTTTCTCTTTTAATCTGTTTATGGGTGACTGCCAGGCTGAGGGCAGATCCAAATGACAGGGGATGCTGCTGGGCTGACTAGCAAAAATGGATGGGCAGGCAGTTAGCTATTGGTGGCCCTGGACAAATACAACCTCCAAGGAGGCAACTCTTTTCTAATAGTGAACTCCAAAACAGGAAGGTAATATCAACATGCATGGGGGGTTGGCCAGGAGTCTCAGGTTTGAAGAAGTATCAGTAAAAATAAAAAATAGTAGAACTGAATGAGGCTCCTTAGCAGCCATAGAATGCTAAGAATCAGCTGGGATAAGAGGAATGGTGGGCTCAAACCCTGAACTCAGAGCACTCCTTCTGGGAAGGAGGTTGCACTGCAGAGACTGCCTTTCTCCCTTAGGCTCTGGATTTCAACCTGCCAGGTCAATTTGGTTAGGGAAGAACCTTGTGGGGCCCTTTGGGCTTACCCTCCATGGTTCTCCTCGCTGTATTTATTTATTGCATTTATATCCCACCTTTCCTCCAAGGACGTCAAGGTGGCACAGATGTGCCTAATACCACTTAGTTTACTTGTGCAGCTGGGCTGTTCATGAGACAGACTTTGACTGTGGCAGCAAAAGGGTTTATCTAATCAGCCTGGCATAGTCTGGAGCCCCCACAGAGATGAGGAAGTCCCATCCCTTACAACACAGCCTTGGAGACTTGTACCCAAGGCTATTGTAGCTTTTGTGGATCCCTCTCCTCAGCAGGTGGCAGCATAGGGCAAGTGCTGTGTGCAGGTGTGTTTGAAGCCTCACCTGTCCCAGGCATGCTAATATTCAGAAAACGTGTAACCCAAAAGCAATTTTAGGAATGTTAAAATCTGCTCAGCTAAAGCCCAACTCCATTGGGCTTTTCCTTCAACTGTCAACAGCAGTGGCCATTCTGTCAGGAGTAGGACAAAGATGGGATGAGACAGTAGTGCCTCTCCCTCATTACAAGAACTTTTTAACAAAGAAAGAATGCTTGTGTTTTCTTTCTTCCTCCTCCAGTCCTTTTTTCCTTTTGTATCATGTCTCTTAGATCATAATGCTTAGCACAGGAACTGTCTTCACACTGAAATTAGTTAAACCACCTTTGTTTTTGCAGGAGGAGAATGAAGAGTAGGATAAAAATGTTTTTTTAAGTAAATAACGAAGCCTGATCTTGAAAGGATCCATTATCCCTAGCTATAATTTATTTCCTAGATAAAAAGGTGTCATGATTCTTTCCAAAGACACTCAGATTTCCTCTGGGGCAAAGAGAGCTCTATAGGCTGAAAGCATCCACCAGAAATGCTTTCCCCAAGGACATATTTATTGGGACAATTACAAACAGTGTGGCCTGTACCCGTCATAGCGATGTATTGAAGAGAGGGGCAGAGCTTAGTGGTAGAGCTGCTGCTTTGCATGCAGAAACCCCCAAGTTCAATCTCCAGGTAGAGCTCAGAAAGTCCCCTGCTTGATTTCTTGGAGGGTTGTTGCCAGTCACTGCAGACAATACTGAGCTAGACTATGTTTAAATATGCAATGCTAAACACACTTCCTAGAGAGTAAACCATTGGGACTGGTGAAGCAGAAGGCAGGGAACCCAAAACAGGGGCAGCCTGTGGTAATATGGCACCCTGAGGGAGCCCAAAATTTGGTGCCCCCAAATGGATCTTCTCAACTATGGATCTTTTCAATGTTGTGCTCCCTTGGCTCAGCGCCCTGTGCAGGGAAGCCACCCACACGGCCCTAAATCTGATGCTGCCCAACATCAAGTGCATCTGGAGCCCGTGACAGGCAGGGCTAATAGCTCACTTAATTTTGCCCGCCTCTGCCGCCTCCTCCTCTCTTCCTGAATTCTAAAAGGGCAGGACTGAGGTGGAGGCGGCAACTGGCGTGGGTGCCACCCCCTGGACCAGTTTGCAAGTGGGAAAGGCAGGCAGACAGGCGGGGGTGGCTGAGGATAGAATGAGGTCGGTGGGGCAGTGCCCCGTTTGCCCTGTCCTTGGCAACAGGGGCCCAGGCTGAGCCCTGTTACAAACGTAGCCCTGCTGTCTAGTCTCAGACGTGGCGAGCGCCCCACAGAGCCTCCTCGAGAGAAAATCTCTCTCACCACCCTTTTCTCCCCAGCGTAGCAGAAAGAGGGGGAAGCAATCGGTATGAGGGGCTTCCGGATGGGAAACATGGGAGCAGGAAGGTGAACTTCGATGCGGCATAGCCCATCCGGCGAGGTTTGGGGGTGCTACACAGATACTAGAAGCACGGGTGCTTAATTCGGATTAGTGCCGCTACCCCGGGAGGCCCATTCCGAGCGGCTCCACGAGGAGTACAGCTTCAGGACGTGCTGGTGCCGAAGGGAGGCGCCAGTGAGCCCGCCCGCGCTTTTCAAGGGGTTCGTGCAGAAAGGCACCACAGCCCCCCCGCCTCCCCACCCCTTCACGTGAAGCACGCCAGAGGGGATTCCCCCATTCAGGAGGAAAAGGCAAGACTGCCTGTAAGCAGAAAGCTAGTCTCGCAGTTGCAGAGGAAGGGTTCTCGCTACGCCGCTACTTTTCTCCTTGCAAGAAGCAGAGAAACACTTTGGCACGTCGCTCTCCTCCTCTCCCGCTTCGGGTTCAATGGGGGCTCTCTGGCTTCGCCTAAGGAAAAGAGTGAGGCTGGCATGGAGCCCCGCCCCTCTTGAAACATGGGGCGGAGCCTCGTTTTAGGGCGGGGCATCGCACCTGCCTGAGCCGAGTGCGCGCCGAGGGCCAGAAACTGCCTAGCGCTCGACGCTTGCGCTTGCACGATGGCAATGCTGCTGCCAGTGCCGGGACGCCCGTCGGGGCTTTGCTTATTCCTGCTGCTCTTACAGGTAAGAGGGGCCTCACGGGGCGCTGCTCGGCGAGAGGGTCCAGCCTCCCCGCTGCCGCTGAAGCCCACCCTGCTCTCCGAGAGGGAGCCTTTCTCCTTTCTTCAAACTATTTCTGTTCAAACTTTTGGGTTAAATGTAGTGTACAGATATATGTATAGATAGCAAATAATAATAATTAATAATAAATAATGTAGTAAACGGGCGACGGGCGGGGAAGTTTTGTGCAGAGAACATAAGCTTGCAGTGTTGCATCCCACAGTTTGAAATAAAGGTCACAGTTTCAAACATAGTCCTTCTCTGAAGCTGTGGTACAATAAAGATATTATTATGTTATCCCAAAATAACTTTCCAGAAGGAAGTAGGAGTCAGTGGTGGGCTGCAGTCATGTTCCTTTTGGACCACATGAATTATAAAACAATTCACCTTCTGAAAACTATATTTTTGGTTGTGGAAGGTTTATTTGACTTAGTTGTCAGTCAAGACAATGGTCCGGATTTGTCTCCTTTCAGGTTACAATTTGCTTGTTTCCATTTTCTTGCTACCACTGTACGTGCCAGAAAGGTTCATATGATTTGAAGAGAAACCAGAAAGTGAAATTGACATTATTTGAAACCTATTGCGATTTCTTCCTTAGTGAAAATGTATAAAAGAGCCATTAAGGGGGCTGGTGCTAAAGTTTGTCCTGTATTTAATGTAATTTCACAAAAACCTTTTGCCCAGAACCGCTTTATTAAAGGGTTATGTCCACCACATATGTTAGAATGTACCTGGATCCCCCCCCCCTTGCAGCACGATAGATGAGTTATCAAGGTGTGAGGAATCGGTACCACCTTTGTGCAAATTTTATCTTTTACTTTGATTGGAGAGAAATGAAAGGATCTTTCCCCATGTAATTGTTCATGAACTTACCTGTCATTGTTCTTGTATCATAAGAGACCCTTTGACCATCATTGGTGCCCCTAAAACATTCCCCCTGCCCCAACCAAGATAGATACTAAAGAGTTATGTGAGTAGCCTTGGTTAGAAAGTTTGAAAGAGATGTGGGCAAAATGCTTAACTGTCTCAGGTGGAAGGATTTGGGGGCTCTCTCCGACTCACCACGAAAAAAGTTCTATCAGGCAGGCTTAAAAGTGGCTGCTTTCCTTGAAGCTCGAGGGAGGTGGTTTTTGCTGCCTCTTGATTCATCCTTATTTTTCCTGCATGCTAGGCTGGAAGGTGGCTTTGTGAGGAGATGGCAGCCCCGTGTCAACCAGGCTTCAGTCAACAGACTTACACTTTCAATGTGCCCAGGTCTAACTTGGAAAGATATCGTGTGTTGGGCAAGGGTAAGAGATATTTCTTAATACTCCTTCTCTCCTTAAGATTTCCATTTGTGGGTGGGGCATTCTGCCTTTACTTGTCCATAATCACAGAATAACCTTGTCAAATTTGCTGTGTAGCCCAGTCTCTTTCTTTAAAACACAGTAATGTATTTAGGGGGCTGGATTCATCATTCTGCTAAGTATGCTAAAGATCAGAGCCCAAGCCCCCTGCTGTGATGTCACTGTCTGGGAGTTTCCAGGGACAAGAAAGTGCCCTGTTTCCTTAATGTTATTGCAGCTCATTCTTCTGGCGAAGGATGACTCACAACCGATAAGTGTGAACAATCCTGTGAGAAAAAACAGGCTGTAGCAGCCATAAGGTAAATACAAATAATAACAGAAATTACATGCCCTGGGCTTTGGCTCACTTGTAGATTCACTGGATGATTACTTCCTCCTTCTGTAAGGGGAAACTGATTGACTGCTGGGCAAGCTATTCTTTCTTCTGTAAAATGGGTATAACAACTTGCCTTTCAAGGTGATAGGGATAATGAAAAGGCTATTCTGCAAAGCACAAAAAGTGCAAGTTTATGAATGATAAATGGAAGAAAGTTGGTGAATCTAGACTCTCAGCTCAGCTGCATATGAATATGTGTCCAGCTGGGAGCGCAGATTGCCACCTAAGAAGCTCTGCTCTCATATTTTGGGCAAGTTAGTGGTACCAGGTTTTTGCCCCTTAATCTGAAGCACTGCTGTTGTCTGCTTGTGACTGGACTGGAGGAGACTGCTCTTCAGTCCTTTGGTATAAACCTAAGTAGTTTATAGAGACAGGAGGAGACATTTTGAGCCACCAAAGTGTTAACAAGAAGTTCAGGTAGCTTCAAACCTGCCCTTTCCCCTCCAGCGATTCAAGGTGGAGCCTGATGGTAGAGAGACGCTGACTTGTTCCAACCCGCAGCTGCTGGGTGTGTTGCTTGTGTTTGTTCATCTGAACTTTGACTATCGCTCTTGACTGGTTACCTGGCAGCCCAATCAGGGGCTTCCTGCTTTTCTGCTTATCGTAGTTTCGTTAGCATGACAAGGCGGGCTGCGGGCCATGTCAATAATCCTTTGTGAATCATTTACCTTGTTTCACATGGAATCGGCTTGGAGTCTTATTTTCCGTTCTGCTATGAAAAAGATTGGCTCTTGACTGTTGACCTTGGCTGGTGATCATGAAATAATCCTGAATTTGAGCTGGCTTTGCAGGTCGCTATCCTATGTCCTGACCTCTTCTTCTCCATGTCCTCTTACCCTGGTTGAATGCAAAGCCAGGCCCCTGAAATAATAATCACCATCATGCTTATGCAGCTTTTATTATTGGCATTTCATCAAATAAAGCTTAAGACAGCCAAACTTTTAAGTAACAGATCTTACTAGTAATGTCAAGACTTTTAAAAAAGAGGCTTTTGAAAGTCTTGCCCTTCCCCATGTTCTTTCTTGCCAGTTACTAAAATCCATTCTTATCAACACTATTAGTGAATGTGGGGACAGTGGATCAAAGTGTTCACAGACATTGTGCAACGCAGGTTTTTGGCTGCCCTGTGCTGTCTGGGGTTGATGGGAGTTGTAGTCCAAAACATCTAGACTTGGGAAGGCCATTCTTTGCTCCTGTGAAAGGGAAGGGGCTCCCTTTTTCAGTGGTGATTAACTGATTTTAAAGGGACAGATTTAAGCCTCAGGTAAGCAAGCTAAACTTGACTCAGTTTCTTGGCAAGAATGTGGTACACACCCAATGCAGTTGATCTTAACTGCAAAGTGGAGTTAGCACACTTGTCTCAAAATGCAGACAAAGTGGGAGGGAGAGACATACTAATTTTCGTTCTTAGTGCTAAGTTGGATAAGGCAGAGGGGGAAGCAGAGAAAGTTGTATAAATGCACATATTGCTCATCATCACAATGAAGCTAATGACATGAGCTTAGAAAATATTTTATTGGCTTCCAACAAACCAGAGACTCGGGCATTCTGAAACATTTTTCCAGAATCGGAAACCTTTTCGTGGTTAACTGTGAAAGTGTAAAGGCTGTTAAAAGGCACAAGAGTCCTGAAGGAAACCAACAATTGGCATAGCTGATGGCAGAACACTGGACGTTTAGCAGCCAGGCATGTAAATAACAACTGCCCACTTCCTGCTAGAATGGTGTATCTTTTTTGTTTATAGGCATTTTTGTTCATTAACATGGTCTTTAGCGCATCTTAGTGCAGGGTGCAAGAGTTGCTGTATTGATCCTGGAACAAGAGCAGTCAGCGCTCAGTAGAAAAGCACCTGCTTGCAAGTGGAAAGTACCAGCTTCAATCGCAGGCACTGCCAACTTGTAGTGCTAGGAAGAACCTTGGGAAACCACTGCCAGTCAGAGTTGGCAGGACCAGGCACTCCTTAAAAGTGAGTGAGTGCCATACTATGGTGCTACTTAGTGGAGGATTCTACAAGCTTTTGAATTGCACAGAACTCTTCATCAGGACATAGAAGGATATCACTACTTATTTGGATGTACTTGATTGCCCTTTACCTTCTCCCCCCACACCCCACCCAGTTAAGGAGGACAGTGGGTGTCCTACCGATGATGACACAATGCCTCTGCGTGTGAATATGCATGCAATACTTCCTGCTTGTTTTTGTATTGCAAAATTAGAGGGAAGCTGAGTCAGGTTGTCGTGTGCGTGTGTGTGTGTAAATTGCACTTGTGCCTCCCACAATTGAACTGCTTATCACAGGCTTTTGGGGGTTGTTGCCAGTGAGTCAGTGCTGGTGATTTCCTGCTATGGTAACAAATGTGAGAGTTGCTTGGCGTTGTGGTGAAAGGACTGGGCTGCAACCAAGGAAGTAATCTGGTTGAACCTCAGCTTTGCTACAAACTCACTAGGCTGCCTTGGGCAGTATGCATCTGTATACCAGTGGCTAGAAACTGTCGGATGGGAGAGTGCGCTTGTGCTCAGTCTCTGTCACCCTATCTGCAATATTGGGGGAGTTAATAATACTGATCTACCTTATAGGGTTGCTGTATAGTGCCTGCAAAGCACTTTGTGCACTTGAAAGAACTATACAAAGTGTTTACAGGTAACTCACAGCTCAGGAACATTTAACTGGTGCGCATTCAGCACATTTGTGTTTGGCAAATTAAAATGAATAAATAAACAGGGGTTTCAAAAGCGGGCAGGCATCTGGGGGGGGGGAGACTTTGACAATCCCATCTACCATTGAACTCAATGTGTTTTGACTATACATGAGTTTTGGTTTTAGGTGCTTTCCCCAAAATGTAACCCCATCATAAGTTGAGAGTCAACTGCATATAAAAAGTTGAGAGTCACCTGCATGAGATACTGTGATGCTGACCTGAGCCAAATGGTACCACTTTAGAGGTTTTTAAGGCTCCCACTCTGATGAAAGGGCACATGACAATGAAACAGTTACATTTAGGAAAACACTCCAAACTCTCCCTGGAATCTAGGAAGCTCCATGGAAGTGAAGTTGCATTTTTTGCCAGATGGCGCCTGAAAGATCTGTCTAGGTATTTGTGGGTGAGTTAGAGCCTTATTGCTCACCGCCTTGGCCTTGGCCAACTCCTGATAAGGCTGCCCAAGATAAAGGTCCACTGCTGAACCCATTTGAAAGGCTGTCCAGTTGAAGTTAGGGATGTAGGAAGCTGGAAGCTTCAGATCATTCGCCTATCTAGTTCAGTATTGTCTATGCTGACTGGCAGCAATGGCTGTCCAGGTTTCCAGGCAGGGAACCTCCCCAGTCCTCACTGAAGGTGATTCTTCCAGGCATTGAACTCAAGACCTTTTTATATGCAGAGCAGATGCTCAGCCACAGCCCTTCCTCAACAGTGAGCATCCAGACAACAGGCACGCAGGGCACCCAGGGAACAGCCTTTTCTTTTCTTATTTTAAAAAAAGTTTTTTATTTATACAACAAGAAAAACAAACAAACAAAAAACACAAATACCAAATTATACACAAATTACAAAAATAACCATAGACACATAATATTCTTAGCAAACAATAAAACATCTATTGGTCTTAACACTAAAGACCCAACCTCCCATCTATTCCATACTTCAAATTCATATTACTTATTGCCAATACACATTTTTTTTTCATAATTAAACTTATTCTCATTAAATCTAATTTCTTATATCTACCTTACAACTATTACTGAAGTTCCTTGAATGCTGCAACAGAATTTAAACTACTATATTTATTTTTCAGATATTCTTTAAAAACCTCCCATTTAGAAACAAATTCCTGTTTTGATTTATTCTTTATTTTTTCTGATAAACCATCTAATTCAGCATATTCTGTCAGCTTTTGGATCCAATCTTGAATAGAGGGGATTTCATTACTCTTCCATTTTGCTGCAATCAAAACTCTTGCTGCCGCCGTCACATATAAAAAGATATCCTTCCTCTTTTGTGGAATATCCAAATCTGTTATTCCCAGGAGGTAGGCCTCTGGTTTTTTATTGAAAGAGATCTTTAGCATTTTTTGCAGTTCTGCATGTATACTCTCCCAGAATACCTGTATTTTCCTACATATCCACCACATATTGAAGAAAGGGGGAACAGCCTTTTCAATCGTGTATTGCTATCTAAATTATAGTTAGGAATTTTAAAAATGTGCATCTCTGCATATAAATCAGTGTATGCAAATGATATTTAAATGTATGTTTTGTTTTCCAATTGTAATTGGCAACCTGGTGCCTTTCACATGTTTTGGATTACAGCTTCCACCAGTCCCAGCCAGCACATCGGCCGCGGCTATTGGAAGCTGTATTTCAAAGCATGTGAAAAAGTATGAGGCTGGGTTCTAAGTTTGTCCTCCAACAAAAGTTGTAAGACAACAGTAGCTAAAGGTGTATTGCTCCTTGTAGGAGACCTTTTGGTAAGAGGTGACTGGATTTTTCTCCTCCAGACATCTTTGTATTTGCTGGTTGGTGGAAATAAATATGGACAGTGTCCCTTTGTTCTTGTCTGGGGCAAAACACTCAGTGCCTCCCCTGCAGCAGCTGCTGCTCTGTGCAGTGGGCTGCACTGTTTCCACCAGGGTGGAGATACAAAACAGGTAAGCCAGTATTTGAGCAGGCATGTGGAAACTTTGAGATGTACATGGGCAATTGCCTGATGAAGTCTGTGTGACTTAAAAGCTTGCATAATTCTGTATCACCTTGAGCTTTTCCCGAAGAGCTATGATCTTTTTTGGGGTGGTGGATGTGGTATCCACAATATTCTCTCTTTTTTTTTTAAATGATATTTATTAAAGTTTCAAAAAAGGTTACAAAAATAAGAAGAAGAAAAAAGAAAAGAAAAAATACAAAATACAGAAAAATAAAAACACTTAAAAACAAATCAATCTTTCCATGTCATGTCTTTCATTTACTTGTTTCCCTGACCTCCTCACACCTCCCTTTTTTGTATTCCAGTTCAGTTAGTTAATTCAGCAAATCCTTTCCCTCTTTGTTTTTATCCTAATCCTTTAACTTAATATATTGTAACTTTGGATTCTTACCTGTTAACAAACCATTTTTACATACTCCTTTATAACATTGCTGCTAAAACCACTTGACTTCATTCTGACATCATTCTAACATTCATTAATTTTGCAGTATTTCTGTAAATAGTCTTTAAATTTCTTCCAATCTTCTTCCACCGACTCTTCTCCCTGGTCTCGGATTCTGCCAGTCATTTCCGCCAGTTCCATATAGTCCATCACCTTCATCTGCCATTCTTCCAGGGTGGGTAGATCTTGTGTCTTCCAATACTTTGCAATGAGAATTCTTGCTGCTGTTGTGGCATACATAAAGAAAATTCTATCCTTCTTTGGCACCAATTGGCTGACAATGCCCAGGAGAAAGGCGTATCCACAATATTCTCTCTCCTTTCACTGAGTAGGTGAAAGCAAGCAAACTCTAATCTATTTGGGATCTGGTGCACACACTGGCTGGGCACAGGGTTTCAAATTAAGTAGCACTTAAGCCCCAGAGGGGTGCACCTGGGCAGCCCTTTAGCTGAACTCTTTCAGATGTGGCAGCCAAGACAGGGGTTGATGATAGGGTGAGATCCCCCAGCCCTGCTAATCCTCAGAGGTGCTGCACTTCAAAGGCCCTTGATTGGAGCAAAGGGCTTTCCGCAGGCCTAACAAACTGGCCTGTAATTAGGCAATAATCTCTCTATCTCTCTTGTGTGCATTTTTTCAGCAGGTGTGTGTCTCTGTGTAGCCATTCCTTGTTTCTGTCACCCAGCTGGAGCTAAACTCAGCTAGCTTCAGGGCTGTAACACTGGCTGATTTAAAGAGCCCTGTTCGCACAGAGAGAGAGAGAGAGAGAGAGAGAGAGAGAGAGAGAGAGAGTTTGTATTTTGAGGAACTTATCTGACTGGGTTGGAAACTTATCCCCTTTTTTTTAATCAAGGGACTGATCGACTACAGCTGACCCTCTTTGTTTTGCACTAAAGTGTGCTCCCCCAGGAAGTAGTAGAAGGTGGCAGTAACTCCCCAAAACTCGAGTAGGATTCTGGGGCTGAAAAATTCACCTGGCCAGCCAGATTGCCTGCCCTGGTGCAAGTTTCAACCCTGCTCAAATGACAAACTCCCCCCACCAGCAACTTCAGATTAAAACTGTGTCTTAGATTCAGAGGAGAGGAAAATGCATTCCTGGTCCTTTCTGCAGGAACAAAATAGTCCTGGAGTGTAAAAGTGAAACCTGTCCAGTGAGCTTCCTCGAATCCCCTGAGAGGTTCTGGTCCTCCCTTTTGCTTTGTTCCCTTGTTGATTTTGATCTGGAATGACATGTGCCAAAACAAAGGGATTCATGTGACTTTGGAGAGAGTCACTGATTTCCCAGGCTAGAGAGCGTCAGATTCCAAGCCCCCGATGGCTCACTTCCACCTACTGAATTTCTGTCTGTGTGCAAACATATGACAGCCGCCTGAATCAGTTTTCAGGTGAAACACTTGTTCTGTGAGTTTCAGAGTCATGGCGAAAGTCCAGGGTGACGTCACTGCTCAAACACAGAGCCTGTGTCTCGATGCAAGAGGAGAGTGGGGCAACCATGTCTGGTCGCACAGTCTGTCTGTCCTTCTTCCTTCACCGACCATTTCAGATGACGGAGTGCATTTTTGCCATTGAGTATAGAATTTAACCACAAAGATATGCATGGTTCAAATGCAGCAGCTGATGCTACAAGTTGGCGTCCCAACAGATGCCAGGTGAGATCTTATTGGATCCACTTTGGTTGTATTAAGTGCTTGAGCTCCAGAGATGGGCAGAACTCCAACTTATAAGGAAGCTGTCTTTGTTCTAAACCAGTATCTGGTGGCAGTAACGGACTGGATAAGGGTGAATAAGTTGATATTTAAGACAGAGGTACTCCTGGTCAGTTGGAAGATCGATCAGGGAGTAGGGCTTCAGCTCCCCTTGTGGACTCAGCATTGCAATTTGGGTGCACTCCTGTATTCTGCCCTGAACCTGTTATCCAGCTTTCAGCAGTTGCCAGGAGTGCATTTGCACAATTATGGCTCATGCACCAACTATGTCTGTTTCTTGAGATGTCAGATCTGGCCACAGTGATGCTTCAACTGGTCCAGAAGCTTCAACTGGTCCAGAATGCTGCAGTCAGTCTGCTAACTGGGGCTGGATACAGGAAGCATGTTTTCCCCTGGGCACAATTCAAGATGCTGGTTATGACATATAAAGCCCTCTATAGCTTGGGCCTGGGTTACTTGAAAGATCACTTCTCCTTTTCTGCACCTGCCTGGGTGCCAAGTTCCTCAGATGAGCACCTTCTCTGGGTCCCATCAACATCGGAAACATGGTTAGTGGTGACATGAGAGAGTCTTTTCTGTAGCTGCTCCGATATAGTGGAATTCCCTCCCAAGAGAGGATAGAGTTGCTCCCTTGTTATCTTTCTACCAGCAGCTTAAAGGTAAAGGGACCCCTGACCATTAAGTCCAGTTGCGGACGATTCTGGGGTTGCGGCTCTCATCTCGCTTTACTGGCCGAGGGAGCCGGCGTTTGTCCGCAGACAGCTTCCGGGTCATGTGGCCAGCGTGACTAAGCCGCTTCTGGTGAACCAGAGCAGCGCACGGAAACACCATTTACCTTCCCGCTGGAGCGGTACCTATATATCTAATTGCACTTGACATGCTTTCGAACTGCTAGGTTGGCAGGAGCTGGGACCTAGCAACAAGAGCTCACCCTGTCGCAGGGATTCGAACCGCCAACCTTCTGATCGGCAAGCCCTAGGCTCAGTGGTTTAGACCACAGCGCTTAGGACCTTCCTATTCAGACAGGCCTATAGAAACTAGGTGCAGGTGATGTTGACCACTGCGCTGCTATCGGAATGACTGGTATTTTAGTGCTGGTTCTAAATATGCTTTATTGTATTTTAATGATTGTTTTTAGCTAGATTTTATTACTTTGACTCGTTTTTATTACTTTGTACAAGGACATTTTTAATATGTTGTAAACCACCTTGAATCCCAGTTTGGGAGAAAGGTGAGATAGAAATGCATTGGATAAATGAATAAATAATATTGGAAGCTGTTGATTCTGTGCATAGGGAAGTGGAGCCTTGTTTTGGTCCTGTCGTCTTCTGGGCTGGGGGACATGGGGAGATGACTCTCCTCAGGGATTCTCCAGGGTGGTGCTACCCATATTTGGTGCTGTGTGAAAGAATTCTTGGTTTCTCAGACATTTACAGTCAGGAGCCACAGCTAATGCTTTCGGGTGTGGGTGTTCTTTGAAGCTGATAACAAGCCACAACCAGGGGCATGGATCTGCTTTCTTGCTGCCTATTATTTGCCGGGGCTTTCTCTTTCCATACCAGAGGAATTAAAACTCGGTGAATGCCTCATTCTCTTTTCCTGAGCAGAGCAGCAGAAGGCCCAAGAAGCAAGTTTGTTTTTTCAAAGAAGAGTGAGTCATTTTAGCCCTCAATGAACCGAAGATAAGGTCTTTATTTCATGCGTGGGGTAGAGGTATGGGAACTTTGGCCCTGATAATGTATGCCATGGCTGCTCCCTTTTCTCTCCCCCCCCCCCACCCCGCCAAAATATCCACACCGAGTCTCCAGACTTTGTTTTGAGAAAATGGACTGAGATTCAAGGTCAAGCCAGCTGTTCTTGCAAATCCATCATTCACAGCAGAGAAATTCAGTCTGGAAGATGCTGAGAGAAGGGGGAGCAGTGGGGCACACACACCCCATCTTGCCAAGGGTCATAATGGAGTAGCCTCCCTTGGATGTTGTGGGGCAGCTGCTTGAGGCATAAACATCCTGAGGTGCCCAGTCCTAATTAGACCTGTCTGTGTGTTGTGCTGCTATTGTGGTGTCCACTTCAGTGTCTATAGGGAAACGGGCGCTCTCCTTCCATTAAGCACTTAAGGGGTTCCGTCCTAAATGGATGCTGGTGTCATGAAGATACCATAGGCTTCTTTTTCTTTCTTCAGTGTAATTATTTCCAAATTGCTCCCTTTTGAGGAGGAAATAATGCTGTCGTGTTTTGATGCCCAGATGCTTTTCTTTCACAACTTTTGCCTTTCTGGATTTCAGAATTATGAAATTCAGAGTAGACCTATTTAAATTAAGGAACCTAAGTTAGTCATGTCCATTAATTTGAACGGGTCAACTCAGAATAGAACTAACATTGGAAACAGCCTGACATATTTTGCAAGAGAGATGTATATATCCGTAAAAATATTTTAATTTAATTTTTTTAAAAAAACCTTTTAGGTAGTGATTTCATAATTGGTTTTATTTTTTGTAGTTACTAGAATCCTATAAGTCTGGTTTTGAATTTGTTCACTGCTACATCATTCAAATCCGCACTTGTCCATGAAGCTCCCTGGGTGACCTTGGGCCCAGTCGCTGCCTTTCAGCCAAACCTACCTCACAGGGTTGTTGTGGGGATTAAATGAGGGGTGAACCATGTACACCACCTCGGGCTTCTTAGAGAAAAAGCTGGGATATAAATACAAAAAAAACCCCTATTCATTTTAAAGAAGACAAATGTCCATACTTTTATACTGTATTTTTATGCTGTGAACCACCCTAAGATCTACAAGTACAGGATGGCATACAAATTTAGTAAATAATAATAATAATATTTTTCTTCAGCAAACCCTGAAAGGCACATATGAGTAGAACATTATTTCATTTATTCATTTAATAATTTATTTAATAATAAATTTAATAACTTAATGCCAAAATTGGCTTGTAAACCACTTACAAGTATAAAAACCATTATGCAAGCAGTAAAATATAAGCACCCAGAATCAAACTACACAATCAAGCAATCCCTATTAAAACATAGCCATATTTGCAGGTGCCCTTGGTCGACAGATTACCAATTGACAATGTGTGATACCTGTTAAAAATATTCATGAGAATATGAGAATCATGATTAAGATCCACCATATTCTCCACACACATAGATAAATTCAGTTAAGACCATACATTTTGTTAATTAAAAACATACTTCTGGATTCTTTGCAGATGATCCAGACAATGCTTTCATGTTGTTTCATGCAGGCTTTGCTGTGCAGCCAGTGAAGGCCAGTGTATGGTCTGATCTTGGGGCACAGAGTTCGAGGGAAAGCTTTGAAACTGGCTGTTTTGCAGAGGGGTTTGCATGCATTTTGGAACCTCTCATGTGTTGGCTCATGTACTTCTGAATGGAGATAACATGGGAGCTTCTGCATGAGGTGCTCTGCCAGTGAACAGCAGCCCTTCTCCCCCCCCCCCCCTTTTTAGAGGAAGCTGCCTTATTTCAGGTCCAATTGTTGGTCCATCCCAGCACTGTCTCCTCTGACTGGGGTTTCTAGCAGAGGAGGCTCTTTCCCATCACCTTCCCGCCCTATTGTGCCTTGAACCTGGCAATGCTGCCAGGCAGGGATTGAACTTGGAATTTCCCACCTGCAACGCTCCCACTGAGCTATGACAACTCCCCTACTTTCTTCTTTTCTCTGCCTGGATGTTCCAAGAAACATGGGGACAGATTCTGTGTTGGGATTCTGGTGTTGCTTTTAACGCCCTCTAGCAAATGCAGACTATACGTAGTGCGTCCTTGGAGCCACTGGGTGGGGAGGGTGACAGCTGCTGATTCAGGGCCTGCCGCATCCTGCCTAGGCATGGCTCAGTAGGAATGTGCTCTGCTTCAGAAGTAGGGCAGCTGGAGGAACCGGCTTAGCGCTGCTCTCTTCCTCTGAGCAAAGTGGAGTCCATTCAAAGCTGATGCTGAATATGCCATCCATCACATATGTCGTCTATCATCATTGCCTAGCACCCAGGCTTAGCTCTGGAGCCATGTCTGCGTGCAAAGGGAGGGTTCTTGGTCCTGAGTGCCTCCAGGGGCAGCAATCTTTTTCCAACCGGGAAGCTGCTGGGGTGCTGCCAGCGCTGGGAAAGGAGTGTTCAGGTGTCCCTCAAAACAGCCACACCTTTGTAATAGAAATGCATTTTGTAGAAAAAAGAAAGGAAAGGTGCCAGCAAGGAGAAGCTTCCCAGAGGCAGAGGGAAAGAACACAAACACACATGCATGCACACACACAAGCCACATGACTGAGATTCCCCCTGGAAAAATCTACAACTGGCACAGTCCACTTTGTCCTTCCCACAAGCCTCCATTCCTTTAATAGGAACTGGGGCAGAACAGCTCTCTCCAGGGTGCCCAAAGTATCTTTCTAATACATGTGATCTAGAAAAGGGTTAACATGGTGAAGGAAGATGTTCTTTCGGAAGCTGACTCCAAGAAGAAAGGAAATAACCATCATCATCCCCAGCAGCAGCACCCCCAAATAGGCCTGGCTGTGGGCCCAGGGAAGTTTTCAATGGTTATTGAGTTTCTTATATTTTGTTGGGAGCTGCCCAGAGTGGCTAGGGAAACCCAGAGAGATGGGTGGTATATAAATAATAATAAGATGATGATGATGCACCTGCTTTGCATAGCAAAGGATGTTCCCAAGTCCAGTTTGCAACTTCACAGGTAGCAGAACTTTCTCTGTCTGGGGTGGTGGATAACAGCTGTGCTGGCTGGGGCTGATGGAAGATGTAGTCCAAAACATCTGGAGGGTACCAAAGTTTTTGGGAAAGTTGCCCTTGAGTGTCCTGGTGCCGGAGGCAAAAAAAATCCCAGATGCTACCCATCACCTCCCTCCACCAGTAAAACCAGGGCACCAACCAATTCTGCTGGTTACAATCAAGATTTGGGATGTCATGGCTGTAGCAAAGTGAAGGGAGCTTGAGCTGCAAGTGGAGCCTTGCTGGCAGCCCATTGCAGCTCTTGCTTGCATACCTTTGTAGGGTACTATGCCTGCATCTGCGGGGCCCTCTGCAGCCTCTTTGCTTAGCCCACAGTCAAACGTGGCACGAGCTTCCTGCTTGCCAGTTGTGACTGCGGTAGACTTTGTCCACAGGTCAGCTCCTGGTAGTACTCTGCATGCTAAACTCTGATCGCTTCCTCCTTTCATGGATGTGGGCAGAGGCGGTTTTAATCCACAGCTTCTGGATCTGTGGAACTTGAGTGGTTCTTTGGGAGATGGGAGAGCAGGTGAGCCCTGCCAGCCTCACCTGCAAGGGCTGCCCAGCTAATAAAGAGAGTGATGGTGCTGAACTGGCAACAGCTCCTTGTAATGGCTCTTGCAGCTTTGCAGGGTGGTCATTGCTACTTTCTAGTTAATGAGTGGATATTTGTTTTTCATCCTTAATCGTGCATATTTAATGCCGGGAACAACTTCAGATTCTTGCATTGGGAAATTTTATTTTACGTCAAGCTGTTAATGCTGTGGTTTCTCAACCTTCTTCCTCCATTTGCTTTCATTTCCTTAAAGCAGCTTTGGTCAACCTGGTGCCCTCCGGATGTTTTGGACTGCAGCTGTCCTCAGCCCCTGCTAGCGTGTAGTAAAAAAGCATCTATGGAATCCTATGTTGGCTAAAGTTGCCAGGTACCCTTCATAGGTTGTTGGACTACAACTCCTATCAGGTCCAGCATCCTACAGCTGTTCTAGCTGGGCTGCTTTAAGGAGGCACTGGTGTTTAGGGCATATTGCCTCTGCAGCTGAAAAACCCCAACTCCTTTTTGGGGCATGCAGAGGGTGCAGCTGTTCCAGGTTATTGCACAACATCCCGCAATAGTTTTCACTTCTGGTGGGTGGTTCTGTTTTTCTGTTCCAAAAGTCTAGCTTCCCTGCCTCCCTCTTGAAAGACTGCAGATTGAGTCAGTTTGTGTCTTGTGTACATGTGTAAATCAGAACAGCCAGCTGTGTGAGCTTCCTCCCTGTTGTCCCATGTTTGTTTCTTCATCTTCATCTAAAAATTGATATACCAACTTTCATGTGAAGATCTCAGCGCAGTTCACAAGAAGCAGTGCCCCTTCCATTAAGTGCATGATATTGCTGCTTTTAGTACTGTCTCTAGGCCAACAGCGGGAGATGTTTTTCAGCTCAAGGGCCACTTTCCCCTCTGAAAAACTTTCCAGGGACCACATGCCCATTGGTGGGTGGGGCCAAGGGCAAAAGTAGGTGGAGAAACAAATACACAGATGGCTGCTTTCTACATCACTCCCCCACCCCCAGACAAGCAAGAGGCATTGCCAAGAGTTCAAGGTCATATTCCAGCCAGGGAAAGACACTTAAGGGGAGCTCTGTGAAGTGTAAAAACATGCAATTGTAGAGTTGAAAAAGACCTGATTCAAAAATACATACTCACACCCCTCACACACAAAAACAATTCTCACTACAGCCAACCAAAGACAACCAACCACACCCTAAGCCACCCCCAGCCTCTCTCACCACCAAGGAAATACAACAAGTGAATAGTAAGAGAGCCCATACAAGTAAGACTGACACAACTCCCTCTACACTAAGTAGAATAATAGAAGCATAACCACCCTACTCCACTCACCATTCCCCGCTCCCCCGCTCCCCATTTTTCTTTCTTCTTCCTAATTGTTTGAACCAATTCATGAACCAAGAACTTATACATTGACCACTAATAATGAAATGTATGTTGTAGATATTTTTCCACATTATGCTATTTTTGTGATATGCAAATGACAGGAGAAAACTTGGTATACTCTACTTGTTTGTATAACATTCTTGTTTATAAAACCCAATTAAAAAAAAAAAGAGTTGGAAAAGACCCAAAGGGTCATCTAGGCCAACTCCCTGCAATGCAGAGAACCAAGGCCAGTGGGGTGTGTGGCTTGGGGAAAGCGGTCTGGAAGAGAAGGATTTGACCCTGAAAGGTCACCATGAAAGACCTACCCAGCAGTGAGCTTTTGCAGGACTGCCCAGCCTCTGGTTTGGAGGAGGACCCAGAGCCTGTAGCAGCTCCTGGGGTTTGGCCAGGCCTTTTTCTGGATTCTGACTATGGCCAGTATTCTTTTGCCTGGCCCTTCCCACCACCTTCTGCATTAGTGCATCCCTCTGCAGTTTTGGCCTCTGCTATTACCGTTGTCCATGTTCATATTAGTGAGAGATGCCACTGCAGCTGCCCAACTCCAGCAATCGAACACCAGTGACTTTCTGGGCATTTACCGAATGGGGTTCAGCATCCATCTCAATGACTCCTTTACATCTTCATGGCAGATAACCTTATGTTGTAGTAGCATACCTAGTAGCCCAGCCTCCATATCTCGCAGCAGTATACCTTTGAATGCCAGATATGGTGAGCAAGCCCTCTGCTTCATTCCTTGCATTATCTTCTGGCAGCATCTGCTTGGATTATGGGTTGCTGGGACGGCTGTAAAGGAATCCTTACCTGCTTCTCCTGTTCTGACCAGGCGGAGGAGAGCAAGCAGCTGTGGGGTGGGAGGTTATTTCTGGAGCTTGTGCACCTTCAAGGGCTGAAAATGATACAGTACTGGAGAAACACTGAAGGCCCTACAGTTGCCCTGCTCTGCTTACAGGAAAGTCTCTGAAAACAACTTGTGTGGAAATCAGTTCAAGGCCCTGCCTGTAGAAGAAAAGCTGCTTCCAAGCCCATTAGTGACCTGGGACCCATGAGGATGCTCTGGCATTTGTGCTGGATAACTGACTCACCGTCTTGGGTCATGTTCTGCTCCCTTGGTCTGCAGAGCTTTGCCTACCTCTCAGGAGTCTGAGTATGCTTAATTAATCCTGTGCCTTCCACTTTACCCTTCTTTTTCTCCTCTTCTCTGTGCTACGATGCTAGCAAACTAAATATTTGTGGGGCTTACTATTGAGCAAACATCCATAGGTTTGTACTGTTGTTCCCCTGTCTTGTCCATGCATGTAAGGCCGGAGTACCAAAAAAATCCACTTTCTGTTCTGATGCTACCCTGTATATGCAGGTGGGGTGGGGGACTGCTGTGTAGCAACAAAGAGCAAGGGCTGAAATGCCTTCCAAAGGAATTGCTTGATTTACTTTAAGGTATTTACATAGTGCCCCTCCCAAAGCTGTTTACATAGAAATAGTGAAACAATCAGTATCGGTTAATGTTATAAAATAAAATGCCCAAGACAAGCTCCAAGGATGTTGCTCTCTTGCAGGCTGGATGTGTATTTTTTCCAGGCTGGGTGTTGTTGTTGGGGGATTTGTTTGTGGTCACTAACGGAAGGGAAAAGAAATCAAAGCCTGAAGGCTTGATAATCCTCATCTTGAGGGCATTGCACTCTTGCAGAATCTTAGTACAGTGGTACCTCTGGTTACATACTTAATTTGTTCCAGAGGTCCGTTCTTAACCTGAAACTGTTCTTAACCTGAAGCAGCACTTTAGCTAATGGGGCCTCCCGCTGCTGCTGCTGCGCCGCCGCCATGCGATTTCTGTTCTCATCCTGAAGCAAAGTTCTTAATCTGAGGTACTATTTCTGGGTTAGCGGACTCTGTAACCTGAAGCATCTGTAACCTGAAGCATATGTAACCCGATGTACCACTGTAGTCAAGTTAAGACCAGGAGAGCTGAGGGAGAGAAACAAAACTCCTACAAGCCTTGCATGGGCTTCAATAACTTTTGCTTCTATCGTCTGCAACATTTGCGTTAACACTAAGTAAGCAGAAAGGGGTAGCCCCAAACTGTGTCTCTCCCTACGTGCCACACAACCAAGCCCTTCAGCCGCTAGCCTGTTTCTCACCATTCTCCCAAAGTGAACCATTTCCAAACTGGAGCGGCTGAAACACTTACTAGCTGCGTGCACAGTTGATGAGTCCGCACCTTGGGAGTGGCGAAAGATTGTGGAAACTTACCTTGTTTGTGTTGGAAAAGGTGCTTCCTCTGCCCATATGTTTGGAGTGTGAGCGCCCCCTGGCTGCAGCATCTTTGGGAAAGCTTATTTTGGTAAAAGCCCACCTGCCAGTCCATCCTCTTACTCCCTAATTGCTGAATCTCTGACGCCCCTCCCCAATCTTTCTCTCTCCTCCCTTTCATGCAGTAAACTTTGAGGGATGCTCAGAAAGGACACACCGACCCTTCGCTTCGGACGACACTCGCTTCAGGGTGCGCTCGGATGGCGTGGTGGTGGTGAAAAGGCCTGTGCAACTCCACGTTCACGAGTGGCACTTCTTCATCCATGCCTGGGACGGGGCTGGCAAGAAACACTCTGCCAAGGTGACGCTGCGAAGTCATGGCCATGGATCCCACAAGCAGCATCCTCATGCGGTACGGAGCCTTCTGTTCAGAGCCTCCTTCCTCTGCCAGCCTCCCTTGCCTTCTTTGTTTGTCAGGGAGCCTTCCAGAGGTACCAACCAAGGCTTCCATGATGAAATGCCCTGCTTTGTTCATTCCTTGCTGAGCTAGAGGTGCATTTATTTTTATTTTGCAGGAGCCCTATTCCCTTGGTCATGGAGAGGTGCTGACCTTCCCAGTATCCAGCCCAGGCCTGAGGAGGCAGAAGAGAGACTGGGTCATCCCACCCATTGTTTGCTCTGAGAACGAGAGAGGTCCTTTCCCCAAGCAACTGGTGCAGGTAAGTTGAGGTGGCAGCATCTCCTGGGGTCCCTGCAGGGGCCTGCTTCCCTTTAAGTTACTTTCCTTGATGCCCAAGTTGGTAATGTCGTAGGGTCACTGGGGGTTGAACTAGATGGGCCCAGATGCAGAACATGAGTGCTCCAAAATTACCCCCACTTGTGATTCCATGCAGAGGCATACTACCTCTTGACTGTGGAAGGGGAACATAATCATAGTGGCTAGTAGCTCTTGGTACCCTTATCCTCCATCAATAGTTGACTCTTCTAAAGCCATCCATGTTAGTGGCCATCACTACATCTTGTTGGCTGTGCATCATTGGAGGCTGTCTACTGGGCTCATGAGCTGCAGGTGCATCTCCTCTGTTGGTGGGCAGCAATATGACATGCGTCAGGGAAAGGGATATGGCATGTTTCAACCAGCCTTGACCACCTAATGCTCAGTACCTGTCATCATCTTGATTATTTTCTCCACCAGATCCAATCTAATAAGAATAAAGAGACGACAGTCTTCTACAGCATCACTGGGCAGGGGGCTGACACTCCTCCTGTTGGAGTCTTCACCATTGAGAGGGAATCTGGCTGGCTGAAGGTGACCCGCCCACTGGACAGAGAAGATATGGACAGATACGTTGTGAGTCCCTGTGCACTGTTCACGATCAAGTTTCAGGTTCTTCTTTCAGGGGTTGGAGCTGGCTGTTGGCAGCATCCAGTGCTTGAGTGCTGCTCCTCTTGCGGGTGGGAGGAATGGGAGAAGACATAGGTGAGACAAAAGTCTCCCTTGGGTGCCGTCTAGGGGTTTGTCGGTAGCTGCCAAGCTGTTTGGTGTTTCATTAGAGCTGGCTTCTCCCAGCCTGACCCCTTCCAGATAGTTTGTATTACAACTTCCATCAGCTCCAATGAGCACATGGAGGCTGCCAAATTAGTGAAAGCTGCGTTGTAGATTAGAGACATATGAAGTTGCCCTAAACGGACCAAACTATTAGCACATCTATTTATTTCAACCTTATACCACTTATAATTTACCACTTATACCACTTATAATTTATACCACTTAATTGTGGTCATATCTAAGCAGTATACAGGAGACCCAGTATAAGAAGATTAAAAATTAGTTTGAAGCATAAAATCTGAGTTCAATTAAAAAGCCTGCTGGAATAAAAAGTTTCCATCTAGTTCAATGGGGGTGGGGTGGGGCCTTTCTGACCTCAACTGGAAGGCCCCATAGTTCTTAACATGAGGCTTCTGGTGGAGACAGCCCATGCAACTAGCAGTGGCTCCCCTGAGTGAGCAGGGATATAAAGGATCAGACTGATCTAGCTCAGTCTTACCTGCCCTAACTGGTAGCAGGGTCTTGTGGGGATTGAACCTGGGTCCTTTGGCATGCAAAGCAATGGCCCTTCCACAAGGCCCCCCTGCCTGCCTGTTTTCACTCCCCTACCAGAGAAGATAGTTGCAGTTCTCCTTCAGGAACTTTCAGTCTGAGAATATGATGTCCATTTGGCAAATGGGAGAGCATGTCCTGCCTCCCATGAGGTGTCTTGGCTGTCTCAGGTTTCTTTGTAGTGAAATTTCCTCTTGAAATATTGGGTGGATAACTCATGAAACCCGTAAAGCTTTAGGGGTTAAAAGCTGGGCATCCTGTTTCTTGAGTCTTGCTATTTTTTGGAGTGAAGCTGTTAAGGTGCAAAGGAGGAGGCGGCTGTGACAGGGGGACTGACAGAAGCCCTTTGCTGCTGTCCCCATCGTATGACTTTTGCTGAGAACAGCAATGAACTTTCTATGTCTGTGGTTCCTTCCTTTAAAAATAGAAAAAAGAGCACTTTTTCTATTTTTGTGTCCATACTAGTGAATTAATGGCCCTTTGTTGGTTCTCCTCTGCAGCTTTTCTCTCATGCTGTGTCTGTGAATGGGCAGCCTGTGGAGGATCCCATGGAGATCATCATCAAGGTCAGCGACCAGAATGACAACAAGCCCATTTTCACCCAGAGCATCTTTGAAGGATCTGTAGCGGAAGGAGCCACGCCAGGTAGGTGTGCGTGTATAATTGCATACATGTTAGTAAAGGCCATCGGTGGCTGGTGCCCTTTGGGACTAGTTGGGTGGAAGGCAGTGAGCCCAATTGTAGGTAGGGTTGCAGTCAATGAGAGGCAGAGCCAATGAATTCTAGCTTTGTCCCCCTGCCCTGCTGAGTTCTACAAGGGCAACACTGAGGCTAAAGGAGAAGGAAGATGGCAGCCAGTTGCACCTCACCCTCCAGAATGGATGCATTTAACAAGGAGGGCAGAGTGGTTGGGCTAGCTGAGGACAGACAGACATTTGTGGGCCAGTGCCCCATTTGTCCTCATGGACCAGCCTCTATGGGAAGTTGCTGCAAATCCTCTCATTCCTGACCATTGACCATGCTAGCCATTTTCCCATGATGGGAAATGGAGCCCAACTATGCCTGGGGTCCATGGCTTCCCCAACCCTGATTTATGTGCATGGCACTACTTCACTGCCCCCCTCTAGTTTATTGTCCACAAAGCCTGCTCAGGCCAAGCTGTGCTTCCACCTCCTTACGTAGATTATGCAGCAGGTAATGGAGCCCACAGATCCCTTCAGCTGTCATGCAGACTGGCATGAGACTGGTATGTATTGTGCTCAGGTGCTCTGTGGCTTAGGAACCTAGCTCAGGGTTGCTGACAGCACAGAAAGTATGCTGAAACCTTGGAAAGGCACTGTCAGCCCTGCCTGGAGATGCTGGGGATGAGATGCTCACTCTGGAGTGAGTTGCATTCACTTGGAGATTGGCACGTCTTTAACAGCTGTCTGGGACAGAATCTGTTCTGCCTTCCTAACTAGCATCAAGGCAGGTCCGCCCCCGCCCCCCCGTTTCTGCTTCTCAAATGCTTTTTTATGCATTCCCAGGTACCCCAGTGATGCAAGTGTCTGCGACGGACAAAGATGATGCCGTGAATACCTACAATGGGGTCATCACCTACTTCATAATCAGCCAGGAGCCCAAGCAGCCCTACAGTCAGATGTTCACCATCAACAATGAAACAGGGTGGATCAGTGTGATCACAACAGGCCTTGACCGAGAGGTGAATGTCCTGGCTGTGAGCAGGCGGGGGCGGGCAATGTTTGAGGGTGTCAATCACTATCAAGCACACCTGTAGCACTTTCCAAGTCTGCACACTTGCAATGAATCACTTGCACTTAAACCCTTTTGGAAGCAGTGATAAGTATGCACCTGATCAAATGCTGATTTGAAGCCACCTCTTCACTTATTATGTTGTATGAGTTTAACTGTTGTAATGATAATGATAAGAAGTGGCTAATCTAGGCTAATCTTTTCACACGCAAGCCCCCCTTCCCCATCGAGAATTCTCTCTCTGTAATGTTAACATAACTTGGTTATTTGGTTTGCTTTCAGGAATTCCCCCAGTACACGCTGGTCATCGAAGCTAGAGACATGTTAGGAGAAGGCTTAAGTACTACAGGGAAAGCAGTGATTACTGTCACGGACACGAACGACAACCAGCCAATATTTGACCCACTCACGGTAATGTTGAGGCTTCTCCTACATCTTCCTTGACCAGTCTGACATCGCGTCCTACCCTGCCAAAATCCTCTGTCCCTTCATCCTGCCTTCTCCAGAAAAGGAGGGGGAGGCCCTGGGGAAGTTCCAGAATAGCATCATCATAGCATCTCACTGAGCTGGGCCTCTGCACTCCAGCAAGGCAAAGCCACACTCGGCCTAAGTCAACATCCTCCTTCTGTCTTCTAGTACGTTTCAACTGTGCCAGAGAACAAGGTGGGATTCCAAGTTGCCAGGCTTTTGGTGAAAGACGCAGATCAGCCAGGGACCGTAGCATGGAAAGCCAAGTACACCATTGTGAAAGGGAACGAGGAAGGCAACTTTGAAGTGGCTACCGATCCCCAAACCAATGATGGTCTCCTGACAACCATTAAGGTAAGCCGAAGTCCCTCCTTGAGCTGCAGTCCTCTTAAGCTTCCTGCCTCATAAGCTGCTGGGACTTCATGCTTTGCCCTGGTGTTTAGGTGGATGTTACTGGCACCCCCTGATTGCATCATCTCTCTCTCTCTTTCTCTTGCCTCCTTTCCAGGGTCTGGACTTTGAGGCGAAGGATCTCTTCACCCTTCTGGTTACTGTGGTGAATGAAGTTCCCTTCTCGGTGACTCTCCCAACATCCACGGCCACAATCACTGTCAACGTAAGGGATGAGAATGAAGCCCCCATCTTTAACCCCCCCGAAAAGTCTGTGACGAAGTCTGAAGACCTCCCTGCTGGGCAGCTGGTGACTACCTATACCGCTCAGGACCCCGACACAAATCAAAAGCAGACGGTCAGGTACAGGAAAGGTTCAAATGCTTTGCAAGGGGGCTAGGTGAGCAGGTTAGCAAGGGAGCGAGTCTCAGGGCAGAGCTGAAGGGTCAGGAGCAGAGCTCATTCCGCTGTCAGATAGCTAAAGGGGACAGGAAAGAGCAAGGAAGCATGTACAAGAGGGAGAAGCCAAGGGAAAAGCTCATAAGTAGTTCAGAATACAGCTGCAAGGTTGCTCACAGCAGGTCTTGGAAACATCATCTTGTCAGTCCTTAAACAGTCTGCTCAAATACAGCCGCAACTTGTGGCTAATAAGTATGGTAAATGTATTATTATTAACAGTTAGAATATAATCCAAAATTTACAAATCATAAACATCATTATATAATGTATGTATAAGTCCATAAACAAGAAAGAGTCAATGTAATGAATTGCTGTCAGGGAACACCACGACGCAGGTAGAATGCCTTTCAGTAGATAATGTCCAACAGTATTGTAGTGGTGGGTGCTCCAACGTGTAGAATTCAGTAATGAACAGCAAACAAGCAGAACAGTGTTTCCAGATTAAGTCAACTGTTTCAAAGACGTATCTTCGTCAGCAAATAATTTCTAATAAATTATCCATTCAGGTAAATGTGATACTTATAGACCAGTGCTCACTAACCAGTGTAGCCCAACTGTTGGCTACACTGGTTAGTGAGCACTGGTCTATAAGTATCATTACGTTGACTCTTTCTTGTTTATGGACTTATACATACATTATATAATGATGTTTATGATTTGTAAATTTTGGATTATACTCTGACTACTAGTAATAATACATTTACCATACTTATTAGCCACGTGTTATGGCTGTATTAGAGCAGATTATTCTGTATTGCAACACAGGGGTTTTGTTTTAGTCCTTAAACAGTTGCAGGGGCATTTCATTTGTTTTTCTGGGTGCAATTCAAAGCACTGGTGTTTGACTTTTAAGGCCATTTATGGCTTAGGGCCCAGGATACTGGAAGGAACTGTGACCTTCACACCATCCTGCCCATACAATAAGGCAACAATGAAGGCTTTTTAAAAAAAAGTTCTAGACCTGAATGTTTTTACTGCAGGTTTTTTGTGGTGTTTTAATAATAACTTTTAATTTGATTTAAAAAATGACAACAACAACCCAGAAATTTGTTTAATTCCGGGCAAGGTATAACTTTGTTAATAAAAAGCAATAATAGCTAAATGACACTCCACACCACTTAGCAGCACAAATTAAGTGTCCCATTGGACGGCACGTACCTAGGAGAGATGGCAAGCTCTTATTGAGGTTTCTGGGAGTGTATTCTTATAGGCTTGGCTTCCTTCCCCCTCCGTATTTGGCCCATTAGGTACACTCAGCTGAATGAGCACTTATTATCTATATCTGTTGTAATAGCCAAGGTGTGTTAGAGAAAGGTGGGCAACATTTTTCAGGGGGCAGGGGGAACATGCTGAAAGTGGGCAGGGCCAGAGCCCAATGGGTGGGGTCTCTCTTTTCCATTTTCCTCTCTTTTTCTGCCATCTCCTTCTCTCTCCCTGCCCAGAGCTCTCAGATTATCTCTGCAAAGCTTTTCACCCCCTCACTCGACCCTTCCATTGCTCAATTTGTTTTCCTTTTCTGGCCATTTTTTCCTCCATCCACCCTTCCCCCCCCCCCCGACTTGGGCTTCACTACCAGCAAGTAATGAGGCCACAGGTGACTCTTGGGCTGCAGGCTGCCCATCCCTGACTTACAGGGATGAACCTTCAATTGTTTTGACCGGCAAAATGTCAGAGCTGCTGTCACTCACCCTCATTTCTCTTGCAGTTATTCTATTGGGAGCGACCCAGCAGGGTGGCTGAAGATTAACCCTGAAAATGGCATCATAGAGACGAAAGCCCCTCTGGACAGGGAGTCTAAATTTGTGGTAGACAACACCTACACGGCTCTCATCTTGGCGAGTGACAATGGTAACTGGGACACATTTTTAGCCCTTTTCCTTGGGGTCAGGTGCTCCTCCAAGTCCCAGGAAGGAGCAGGCCCTTGCTACAGTGACTGTGATGGATAGTTGTGCTAAATGTTGGAATCTGAGGAGTTTAACTGTCATATCCCAGACCCAAGGAGTGCCCCTCTTGTCCTTTTGATGCCAGTTCCTCCTGAGATTTCTGCATCTCACAATTTCGCATTTATCTTTGAAAAACGTGTACATTGCTGTGTATAAGCATTCAAAGATTGAGGGGAAACCATACTGTGCCACAACAATGAAAACTTCTAAAACATAGAGCAGGTTAATAACCTATCCATTTCAGTTTCTTATTTCTTCACGGTTGCACCATTTTGTGTTTGTTTAAAAATCTACACACACACACAAACAATTTCTTCTGGTATATTTTTGTTGCAATTTCCCCTTAACTGAAATTTTGTAATCAGCTTTCCCTAATATTTGTAGCTTCTTTGCAAACAAAAAGTCCTATTATACTGCATTTTTGCACATTATTTTTACTAACTTAAATACGTTTGCTTCTCTTTAGGGATGCCTTTGCTCACAGGCACAGGAACTCTTCTCCTGTACCTGGAGGATGTGAATGACAATGGGCCAGTGCCAGACCCACGATCCTTTGACATCTGCAACCGGAGCCCTGAACGCAAGGAATTGAGCATTGTGGACAAGGATCTTCCTCCAAACACTCAACCCTTCAAAGCAATGCTGCTCTTGGGCTCAAGCGCCAACTGGACGGTCGAAGTAAACGGAGGTAAGCTAGTGGGAGGGATGGTGTCTGCACTCTGCAGACCAGTATGCATGTGTGGTGGGAAATTGCTTGACTGCCTAGCCTTGAGCTGTCCAGGGACATCTTGTTCTGCTCTACCTAAGAGGCCTCATTCACGAACAGCAGCTGAGGTGGCAAAGCTGTGCCACCGCTTGTGCTACTTTAGACTGCAGAACAGGATTTGTGTGACTTTCCCATGCATAAAAAACTAGTAAGGCAAGTAGAAGGCTTTAGTAGAATCCTCCTTCTTGGTATCTAGTTTTCTATATGTATCTAGTATTCTTTGTTTTTATCTTTAAGCCACCTTGAGTGCCATCAGGAGAAAAGGCAGTGCATAAATAAATAAATAAATAAATCTTTATTATAATAATACATGCAGGGAAACTATAATATCAGGAAGGAGGTTTCTAATCAAGCCTTCTACCTGACTTACTAATTATCCTGTCCCCTCTACTTCCTGCATGGAAAAGTATGCCATGGGGTGAGTGGGGTTTTGAAAGCGGTACTGTCCAAATTTCAAGTTTCCCACCTCAGCTGCAGCTCTGTGAGAATGAGACAAAAATTAGACAATGTGCATTTGTCAAATCTGCACGTGTGTTAACCAGATAATCTACTGCTGTCCCTTTCCAGAATCATTTTAATATTCAAGTTGGTTCATGATTAGGATAGAAAAAGGCTGAACAGAGTCTGTTTTTCTTGCTTTGCAAAGCCCTAACCCTGAGCCTGCTTTTTCTCTCTCCTTATGTTACCTCATAGATAAACTGGTCCTCGAATTGACCAAGCAGCTGGAGCCAGGTGAATACAGCATTGCCCTTGAGCTACAGGACGCCGGGGAAGTTTCCCAGACAACAACAGTCAAAGCCCAAGTGTGTGACTGTGAGGGGGCAGCCAAGAATTGCGAGAAGAGGGCATATATCGCAGGCGGGATGGGGATTCCAGCCATTCTGGGCATCCTTGGTGGGATCCTTGGCTTCCTGAGTGAGTATTTCCTGCAAGGTCTCATTGTGCCCTTGAAGGTGCAGGGGGGTGGGAAAGTGATCCAGCCCCCTTCTCATATATTCTGTCCATTTTATGTCTGACACCAACACACCTCTCTTTATATATTTGTTAAGTTGAGACTTCTTCAGTTCTGTAAAGCAACTGACAAATGTAGTAAATAATAATAGGTGGATTCTGCAACTTCAGTAGACCATGCACACAGATGCAGTTGCAGAGATAAATGTGTTTTGTCTCTGACACTTGTGCGGAATGGCACTGGCAGTGGCAGGGAGGAGAAATGCAAGGCATTGAAGCTGACCGGTGGAAGTTATCTGGGTCCTCTTCTTCCCAGCAACTCAGATTTCGCCAGACATTCCTGCCTGTCCATTTTCCAAAGCCATACAAAAAACCAGTCCGAAATCTGGTTCCAAAATGTGATGGGAAGATAGATGTTTTAATATCAAGAGCTTCCAGTGGAAAACGGTAGAGCTGGCCAGTGTGAAGTGCTGAGGAGTGGGAGAGAAGAGGACCTAAAGGACACGCTCCTTTGCCAGCTATTGAAACTTTGGGGTGTGTTTGAGGTATCTGCAGATAACACTTCCTCCTGTGCATCCATTAATTTAAACAAGTCTACCTTGAGTAAAACCATACTGCTGTGCTGCAGAGCTGATCTGCTTGCAAGCTGCTGAAAGGGGCAGATAAATGGCTTGCAGCTCTGGGTGGGCACTGCTGTAGGAAAAGGTATGCCTGAAGCTGAGACAAATACACCTGTCTGCCTGTTCTGTAGTTGTGGAAGTGCAGAATAGATCCCGCTCTGTTTTAGAGCTCCCTGAATCAGCCGAGCAGACAGTCCAGGCTGCCATTCACAGTTGCTTCTCCAACTTTATTTTCTTCCAGTCCTCCTGCTCCTGCTGCTGCTGTTTGTGAGGAGGAGGAAGGCAGTGAAGGAGCCTTTGCTTCCACCAGAGGATGACACACGAGACAACGTCTACTATTATGACGAAGAGGGTGGTGGAGAGGAGGATCAGGTGAGCTGCTGAGTCTTAGCCCAAGAGGGATGGGACTACTTCTGTGGGTTGCCCACAAAAGCCATCACTGCCCTGCTTTGCAAGTCGTCATGCCACCTCTTTCCTCCCCTGCACATTTTTGTTCTTTTGTGAACGTCACATCTTGCCACCTGACTTGTAGAGTAAGATAGTCCTGAGGTCACATTGCAAGCTGGCCACATCTCTTGAGCCTTTGCTTAGATCAGGGATAGGAAACTTTTTTCAGTCTGGGACCACATTCCCTTCTGGAAGCCACATGCCAGTGAAGGATGGAGCAAGAAATAAAAGTGGGTGGAGCAATGGGTGGGGCTCTTCTATACATAGGCTATAAGCCCAAGTGGCTTCACACAAACACACACATGTGCACGCACACGCTCTCCCCCTCTGTTCATCCAGGCATATGATACATTATCATAGAACAAAGAAGGACACATTCCCGCCAGGCTAAAACACTCTAGAAGGTTGCAAAGCACAAAGCAGGGCTAGCAAGAGGTATGTCCTGGGGTGGGGGGAAGCACAGGAGGGACCACATTCAGCCCCAGGCCTGAGGTTCCCCATGCCTGGCTTAGATCAAGCAGTTCCCAGAAATTTACTTTATAATTTACTTTGGCCTGACCACCCATATATTTTAAAAAATAAAAATGTAAGAATGGATTAAGAAATGTATTGATGTCCCAAGGGAGTAAACAGCATGTGCTTATATACATTCATTTCTACACTGGAAGATGCATTCTGCCCATCTCTCACCATCCTCCTGATCCTTGTTAACTAAAAATGTTATGTCCTGCAAAAGGTCTTAAGCGATGAGTGGAAATGGTAGCATCTTATACCCTGGACCATCTTACTTACCTCTGGCATCTATTTTCTGAATGTGTCTCTCTACCCTTCCTAGGACTATGACATGAGCCAGCTGCACCGTGGCCTGGATTCCCGCCCTGAAATTACCCGCAATGATGTTGTTCCGACTCTCATGCCAGCTCCGCAATACCGCCCACGGCCTGCCAACCCTGATGAGATTGGCAATTTCATTGACGAGGTGAGTGAAACTGGCAGCTGAGCCACACAAAAGAGTCCCATAACATTTGCTGTCACTGTTAGCAATATGTTTGGATATTCCTCATAAATTGATGATGATGATGATGATGATACACTTCTGCAGTGGTACTGAAGTGTAAACGGTTTAGCTTTGATTGACCAATTAACTGAAGTTTGGGCATCTGATAGACAAACAAAATTGGATTTTGTTATTGATGAGTTTAAGTCTGTTTAGGAAAGAAAAAGAATTCTTTTATAGAACATTTCTCAAGTCACTACAATTCTTTTTGGAACAAATTGATTACTGTATCCATTTGCATGACTGATAATTCAATGAAGATCTGTCCCAATTAATGACAAATCTTCAGTTTTGGTTATATGTATGTTATATTTTCCAGTCATATTTTGATTTATGTTTTCGTTTTTATATTACTATGAAAAAATGCAATACAAATGTGGTGGTGGTGGGAGGAAGAGCATGCTTAATAACAGGGAAGAAAATTACCCTGTATCTGCCCAGTGGCTGGTCATAGAGTGTTCTCCAAAGTCATGTCTCTAGATGTGGCCTTGGGGTCAGAGGTCATGATTTTCTCCAGAGAGCTGGTACCTCATTGCTCTAAAGCAGAGGGCCACTATTGCCACAATCAACTTGCTCTAATGTGGAACAAACTGAACACATCTTCCTTTCCCTTCCTACAGAACTTGAAGGCAGCAGATACAGACCCCACGGCACCCCCATACGACTCTCTGCTTGTGTTTGACTATGAGGGCAGTGGCTCTGAAGCAGCCTCCCTCAGTTCTCTGAATTCCTCCAATGGTGACAGAGACCAAGATTATGACTATCTGAATGACTGGGGCAACCGTTTCAAGAAGCTGGCTGACATGTATGGAGGGGGCGAGGAAGAAGACTAGATGTCACTGGGATTAAGTAGGGTTTAGCTCTGTGTGGAAAGACAGAAATGAAATCGACTTATCGTCAACTTTTCCCAGCAGCTGATCATTGGTCCAATTTCCTTCTCTTTCTTGCAAGTTGCCAAAATGCTGCATAAAACTTGCCTTACTCCCAATTAGCCCCTCTTGGGGTGCATTCAGATGACCACATTTTCTTCATGATTCCACCCTTGTTCACCAAAGATTATGATTTCCATATAGGCAAGAGCATACATTATATGGAAAATTCAAGGGTGTCTTTTTTTATCACTATCAGAGCCTCTGAGGCAATTTGCCAAACATACTTGATTTATTAATACAGAATAATAGAATACTGTTTTCAAATGCATAGGCTAAAGTTTAAGGAATATTTTAGGTATGACTTCAAGCCTAGCAGTTTTGTGAAATGCAGCTCAAGTTATGTGGTCTGAAATTGTTAACTCTTTGGGAACCCTTAGTACTAATGCACTTTAGGTGTTTCTAGCACTGTCATTCCAAAGCACTAACCAAAGATTTATTCCCAGGGCTGCTGAGTGTATCCAGCAGTTCTGTACAAGTGTAACACAAATGTGAAATTTGGAACTCGGGGAAGAACCTTCAGCCTCTGGAGAATCTTGGCTTTTTTTCAGAGGGCAATTGGCTGCAAAGATGGTGTCTGATTAACATAGTGGAAGCTGAGGCAGGTTTTCTAGCATATGGAGAATGAAGCAGGCTTTTGGTGCAAATCTTTTTGCCCTTCCCTAAAAACAGCAGGAACAGAATATGATGTAGAGCAGAGGGGTGAGGAATCTCTGGTCTGTGGTCCAAACTTGGCCTGCCAGGGATTTCAATTTTTCCTGCAAGGTTGGAATCTGGCCCATGGATCAGAAAGTTTCCCTCCCCCCAATATACAGGGTTTATCTGTAGATATATGTGGCGCACACTGCATAATTCATTTTTCCTTGGTACAGGATTTTGGTAGTTTATAGGAGTGCTGTTTTTAGTGCACAGTTAAAACAGCTGTGATTATTCCAAATGCTTACAGTGTAATCCTATATGTGTCAATTCTTAGATAATCCCCTTTGAGTTCATTGACTTACTCCCAGGCAAATGTGTGTAGGATTGCAGTCCTAGACAGTAGCAAGATTTAAGAGAGAGCAGATGACAAGAAATCCCAGAGGAGGAAGACCAATATTTAGGGGTCCCTGATTCAGCTGATACCAAGTGCCTTTGCCCTGCAGCCTTAGCACTGACCTCTTGACCATTCTCTTGGTGACCTTTTGGACCTCCCATAATATTGCAGACATATGCTCATGCTATCTCTAACCATGTTTAAAACCTAGTTTCAGTCCTTTATGCCATGGATTGTATCTTTTTGTGTACTGTTGTTCATATATGTCCCTTTCTGTGTGTGTAAAATGCAGTTGAATAATGTGTACATTTTCTTTTTATGCATTTCTCAGCCAAGAAATCCATTTTTAATTTTAGGTGGACATTCTGGTGAAGGTGCCAGTTTTTTTTCCTACCAAGTGTTTTTCAGAGTTAACTGCTTTATATGATTACTGTACAATTGATAGGGTGGTTGTTGTTTTTTAAAGTGGCTTTCTCTGGTTTTTGGTCTGTATATTTAGCTTACCTTTTCAAATATGTAATGTTTAGAAGACAGGTGGAGGGGAACATGCCTTAAAAGCCATTATTTATACCTTTATTTTATGTGATTCCTTTTTAATAAGATTTTAATAAAAACATATTTTTTAAAAATGGTCTTTTTGTTTGTTGCTGGATTTCTCTACATCATTTTCTCAAATTGGTCAAACTCTTAAACTTGCAATATTTTCCTGACTCAGAATAAATGTATTAGAATGTATCAGCCATATTCCTTATTTATTTAAAGGATTTATGAGCTGCCCTTCAGTAGAGTTTCCAGGACTTCCTTACAAAAACAAGATCAGAAAACTTTAAAATAATAATAATAACGCTGTTGGATCAGACCAGAGATCCTCTATTGTGGTAGGTGAACTGTGTACTGGGATTTGTAGTCAAAGGCATAACAAGGATTCCTGAGGAACATAAAAAGAGTGAAGTTAGCTTTAATTTCAGTTCTGAGTGAGTTCCTGAAATAAAAAAAGCTGCAGCATTTGTCTGCAGTGTTTTGGATCTTTTACAATATAACACTAGTCCAGCATCCTATTCTCACATTGGATGACTAGATGCAGCAGCACTTTCCCCACTTCCTATGCCCAACAGTGGAAGAAGAACATAGCCAGTGGTGTCAGTAGACATTGAGAGCCTTATCCTCTGTGAATTTGTTTAATACTCTTCCAGTTTGGTGGCCATCGCTACATCTTGTAGGAACAAGTCCCATAGTTTAACTACGTACATGTTGTGTTCAGTACTTCTGGTCCATCCTCAATATTCCATTGTTCAGTTTCACTGGCTAGCCCCAGTGTCTAGTATTCTGACTGGGATAAAACCTTTTTTATCCACTTTCTCCATACCATGCATAATTCTACACACCTTTATAATAAGAATGTGTCCTTTTCTTCTAAACTAGAAAGCCCCGATATAGTATAACAATAAGACGATTGGTGCTGAAAGGATAATAGTAGTGGCACCAGGCAAGTGTCCTTGGGAATGGAATATAACAGGTGGCCTCCCCCTTGGGAGAAGGTTGCTCTGTCAGATCCAGCAAAGTACTAAACTATAACTTATTTGAGTATCCCTTGCTCAGTCTTCCTATTGTGCCCAAAATAATAAATGCAAGAGAGGACCTACCTGTTCCAAGCCAAGGCTGAGTTTAAAGTGCATGTAATTTGCAAGAGGCTTGTGCTGGAAACATAATCATTCCAAGCTGAGGATTGGTTTGCTAGCTAAAATAAATAAATGAACCTGTTACATGTTATATGCTGAGCCCATGCCAAGGGGATGTAGGACTATTTGTGGCTTTAAAATATTGTGAAATTAAGGAGTAAAGATGCAGGAGAGCCAGAAAGTCCCTAGTTCAAATCTTTCCCCTTTGCCATGAACTCAGCAGAGGTGGAACAGCAAATGTTTTTTTTTATAAGTTATTTATTAAGATTTTCAAAATATTACAAAATAAAAATAGAAAAAAGAAAAATACAAAATAAAATTGATTAAAAACAAGTCAATCTTTCAATTACTTATTTTTCATTAGCTTGTTTCCCGGACCTCCTCAGGCCTCCCTTTTTTGTATTCCAGTTCAGTTTGTTGGTTCAGCAAATCCTTCCCCTCTTTGTTTATCCTAATCTCTAATCTTAAAGTATTGTAACATTAAATTTTTACCTGTTAGTAATCCATTTTTCATATTCCCTTATAATATTTCTGCTAAAAACCATTTAATTTCTATCCAACATCATTCTAACATTCATTAATTTTACAATATTTCTGTAAATAGTCTTTAAATTTCTTCCAATCTTCTTCCACCGACTCTTCTCCCTGGTCTCGGATTCTGCCAATCATTTCCGCCAGTTCCATGTATTCAATCACCTTCGTCTGCCATTCTTCCAGAGTAGGTAGATCTTGTGTCTTCCAGTACTTTGCAATGAGTATTCTTGCTGCTGTTGTGGCATACATAAAAAAAGTTCTATCCTTCTTTGGCACCAATTGGCCGACTATGCCCAGGAGAAAGGCCTCTGGTTTCTTCAAGAAGGTATATTTAAATACTTTTTCAATTCATTATAGATCATCTCCCAGAAAGCCTTAATCCTTGGGCACGTCCACCAAAGGTGAAAGAATGTACCTTCAGTTTCTTTACATTTCCAACATTTATTATCGGGCAAATGATAGATTTTTGCAAGCTTGACTGGTGTCATGTACCACCTGTAAATCATTTTCATAATATTCTCTCTTAAGGCATTACACGCCGTAAACTTCATACCTGTGGTCCATAACTGTTCCCAGTCAGCCATCATTATGTTATGTCCAACATCTTGTGCCCATTTAATCATAGCGGATTTCACCGTTTCATCCTGAGTATTCCATTTCAACAGCAAGTTATACATCCTTGATAAAGTCTTAGTTTTGGGTTCTAACAGTTCTGTTTCTAATTTTGATTTTTCCACCTGGAAGCCAATTTTCTTATCCGAATTATATGCCTCCATTATCTGATAATAATGAAGCCAATCTCGCACTTTGTTTTTTAGTTTCTCAAAACTCTGCAGTTTCAATCTGTCTCCCTCTTGTTCCAGAATTTCCCAATATTTTGGCCATTTGGCCTCCATATTGAGCTTTTTCAATGCTTTCGCTTCCATCGGTGACAGCCACCTTGGGGTTTTATTTTCCAATAAATCCTTATATCTTATCCAAACATTAAACAATGCTTTCCTGACAATATGGTTCTTAAATGCTTTATGTGCTTTGATCTTATCATACGACAGATATGCATGCCATATGAAGGCACAGAAGAACGTGGAAGACGCTGAACAAATACATCTGCACCATACATTTAAACCACACGACGTCTTCCAAAGAATCTGGTGAACTGTAGTTCACCGCCTTACAGAGCTACAATTCACAGCATCCTTACAACTCCCATAATTCTTTGGGGGAAGCCACAATACGGTGCGGATTTTACCTGAGCCTGTTCAGCGCCTGCCAGAGATATCCGGGACTCCCTTACTTTGAAATAAAAAACCGCACTGATGCTGATCCCAACCCAGAAGCTACTAAGGAAGCCCTTGAAGTCCAGAGCAGACGCACCCTCATCTGTCGTACCTTCCCATAATGGCAGCCTACTTCAGGGCGAGGACCTTCCCAAGAAGGCCGCTCCTTATACTCGCTCGCGTACCTCCTGACCTTCCCAAGATGGCGAAATGTGGCGTCCGACCTTCCTAAAATGACAGCACTGTCTCGGCTTATCCGACCTTCCTAAGATGGCGGCCAGAAGCACAGCGTGAAGCAGCCACGATGGCCGGGAGCGAGGCTGTGCTGAGGCGGGTGATTGAGGCGCTGGAGCTGCTACTGAGGACAGCCAAAGCTGCCGGTGAGAAGAGGGTGGGGGCTTTGGAGGCAAGGGCTCCTCCACCTTTGCGGTTCAAGGGAGGCTGCAGGCGGCCTGGTCGCTCCCGCAGCTGAACGGCCTCATTGGAGACGGTATACTGGGGTGGGGTGGCGCGGCGGTGTCTCCCTCCAAGAAAGCCCGTCTCTCCAGGGAATGCCCTCTGGCCAATTTTAGGGGGTGGTGTGCCGCGTATTGCTATTTTAGTTTATTTATTTATATACCTTTGTATCCCAAGAGCTCAAAGCGATATACATGTACTGTACAAAGTTATCACCCGCCCTCCCCCGCCCCTTGCTGGAAACCCGCTGTCAAACGGTACTGGTCGCGATGGGCTCAGTGCAAGGTATCTTCTTCCTATGTTCTTGTTTAAATCTGCCCTTCATCCAGAACCATGAGGACTGGAAGCTTGCTTCGTTTTTAGGGGAACGGCCACAGTAGTAGCTGCTCAGTAGCAGAGCACATGTGTCATGTGCAGAAGGTGTCCCAGGTTTGATCCCTGACAACATCTGCAGGTAGGGTGGAGAAAGACAGCCCACTTGAATCCCTGGAGAGTTATTCTGGCAGTCAGAACAACTGAGAAGGGCTTGTCACAACTTAAAAGAATAATAAAATGTCAGAGGCAATACTGGGCTAGCTGAACTAATGGTCTTACTCTGGCACCTTTCTACAGGAACCCATGAAATGGTAAAAAGTGGGGCGGTCCAAAAAGCGGTGTGGGTGGGGGTGTGGACATTTCTGAATGGCCTGGCTGCTTCAGAAGCCAGAGCAAGACAACTCAGGGTTCTCAGAAAAACAAAGGCTGCAGTCCTAGCCTCACTTAGAATATGTCCCATGTCCTCTGACTTACTTCTGAGTAGACATGGTTAAGATTATGCTGTAACCCAGAAGCGAGAGGAGAAACTTTGGGATGGGAAAAATATAAGAGTTCTGTTAGATCTGATCAGAAATGCAGGAACAAACAGGGCTTTCAGGCTAAAGCTCATTCCTGCTCCCCAGCAGCTGTTGTGATGGGTGACCCTAATTTCATCTGCGAAGCATTGGAGGCTGCAGAGCAGCTTCCTATTTTATTGACTGTGTTGTACGTCTTCCATTCTGCTTCCAGAAGCAAATGGTGGCCTGCATGCTTTGTCTTTTCACTACTTCCTGTCTTGTCCTGGCAACAACCCTGCAACGTAGGCCAGACATTATTCAGCTGATTTAAGAAAGGAACGAACACTTTGATAGGCTCTTTAATCTGGCAAAGAGTCCGAATATACCTATATAATAAGATGCAGCTCCAAACCAAATGTGTTCAGCAACATTATTGTCTGACATTAAAAAAACCATTCCAACAAAATCAGAAATAAAATTGGACTATTTCTGGCACAAAGAGCAGCATGCTCCTTTAAAACTTCTCATCAAATTCTCATCAAATAAAGCAAAATATCCCATTGTTATGGACTTATTAGAGATCCCTAGTCTTGGGGGAGAGTGGTTGTATTTCAAACCCGTTTTATTTAGTGTGTGGTGTAGATATATTTGCTGCATGTGATCAACTGTCTGTCGGTCTTTCTTTCCAGGGACAGATTCAGGCCCTCTGCAGTCAACGAAGCATGTCGATTTGCTGGAATCGTTGCGCTTTAATGTATCCATTTTGGAAGAGAAGTTTGCCCAGGACCCGCAATGGGATGAACTGCAGAGGTTGAGAACTGAGGTCTCTAAGCAGGCTCAGTGCCTGGCGTCCTGCCCGGATGTGCCTTGGAATTTTACTTGCCATGTCTTGCTCCTTTTGCTGTGTCTCAAGCAGTGCATGGTTCTCTTAGCAACAACTTACTGTCCACCTCAGCCAAACCCCAAGACAGCTGAAGCTGCACCTCCTCTGAGTCCTGACACCCTCAGCATTGCCCAGGAGAAAACTGTGCAGGTGGCCTTACAGTTTGTTGTGACCTTGGGCATTTGCCCGTATCTCTTGCCTGGTGTTGGGCTTCCCCTGAGAAGCAGGACAGAATTCAGTGCCCTGGTTCAAGAAGTGGCTTCACCCAGATGCATTTCCAGTGCCACACGCCGGCTTTTTGTAACCTGCACTCTCCTAATGGAGGTTGCTGATCACACGTCCCTGAGCAGACTCATTCTCACACGTCACTTGGGGGATCTCCTGGCAGGGCTGTGCCAGCTCGGATTCTGTCCAGCAAGAAGGAAGGATGAAGAAGAAGCCAAGCCCTCAGAGGAGCAGATGGTGAGTTGTCAGCTTCGATTCAGGGCTGGGAACCTTCTGTGGCCTTCTGCTGCTGTTGGACTCCAACTTTCATCAGCCCCTGGTGTGATGGGAAATGCGTGTAGTTCAGTCTTCCCCGTCCTGGTGTCCTCTAGATGTTGTGGGACTCCATCAGCCCTCCCTGGCATGACCAGTAGTCAGAGATGATGAGAGTTGGAATCCAGCAATGTTTGGAGGGCCACAGGTTGCACATCTGTGGCATAAAGAGTATATTTTGTTTAGCACCAGTTACCAACTCTGAATAGTCAGGATGGGCATCTCAACATTTTTATAGAGCATCACTTATATACAGTATGATGAAAAGTGTTTTTGATAACTTTCCAAATTTTGATAACTTTCCTAATCTGTCGTCTCCTTAGAAAATTTAAGAGAGAGTGTCTTACATTGTTGGAGAAATTTAAAAGGGGTTCCTGGATTGGAGGTGTTCCTCCCAGAAACCCAAAACCCAAAAGAAAAGGATGCAGGCCTTTATTGAAATACAAATAGGAACAGCCTTTAAAAATAAGGAGGCTGTGAAGAACCACATCCAAAGCAATGTTTTTATACACTTCCAGATTATACTCATAATTTCAATTCACCAATCAAAGGATCGCAGCAGTCTTAATAGTTGCAAAACAATGTCACCATTCTGAACCAACCAAAATAATTTGGCTCTTCAGATCAGCCCTCATTATAATATCATGTGATTATATATAACCATTTTTCAGTGTCTTTCTTTACTGAGACTTTGACTGATTGTCCTATTCATTCAGTGTCTCCCAATATGCTGTTTGATCCGTCTATAAAACCATTCAAGATTAATCACAATTTCCATGCCTAGCTGATTCTCTTTTCATGCATACAGTGGCCACCATAGATTCTAACAGTTTATTCTTTTCAGTGTTCTGTAATAGACATTCGCTACATGCAGTATGTAAAGGCAGCTAGTTCTGTACTGTAAAAGCAGGCAAGCACAGGCCTTTTCAGTTTAGCTAGGCCATAGGCTCAAAAGAAAACGGAATCATCAAAATGATACAGTATGAAATTATTATTTTCTTCATCCTCATGATCCCACTGGAACCTTCTGTGCAACTCAAACATTGGACTGGTACAAGTGATGGTGTCTGGGTTTGAGGGATGCAACCTATGAAGCAGTAGCGGTTCAGCAAACACTCAGTCATTTGCAGCAGCATGGAACATTGAAATGACATCATGTAACACTTTGCTCAGGTTGGACATGGGCCTGGTAAGACTATGTGCAAACTTGTCCACATCAACAAGGTCTCTCTCTGCACTGAGATAATGTTGACACAACAGAACATTGCGAATGACAACATCAAGTTTGTGTCAAACAGACCACAAGGTGCAAACAAGATTGCATCAGTGCAATAACCCTCTTCATGTACCCAAGGCACCCGCCTGCTAGCCTGAGAGCCAAACTAGATGCTACTCACGGAGTACGAACAGTCTGTTGATTGGTTTTAAGTTACCTGAAGGGCTGTTTTTGAGAGAAAAGTAGCTAAATATGGTGATTTGGTGTAAAACTGGAGAAAGGAAGAGGGCTAAGCAGGCCTCCCACATCTCTTAACTCAGACTGCTGTCCTTTTGCAGCTGCCTTTCAGAAAAGAAGAACAAAGAATAGCAAGCTGTGGGGAGGTTGATCTTATGTCTTCTGTGCAGTGTCTGCTTAGGAATGCAGACCTTTGTGGAAGATTTCAGCACATTGCCGACCACCCAGTAGAGGGAGTCAAAGCCATACTGTACAATTAATTTTACTGCTGCTGCTGTTTTATGCAAACTTTTTTTTAGGGCCTTACAGAAGAAGAGCGAAGCAGCTGCAGGGAGGCATTGCAAGGCCTTTTGAACAGAGTTTACCAGCCGCTGGTGGTTCGAGAACTGCTGCTGCTGCAAGGTGGACCCAAACAGGTACTGCAGGTGGACCCTGCTTCCTGGGGAGTCTAAGTGTGCTCACTGGTGTGGCTCTGCAACCCATTACTTGTCCTCTTCTTCCCTCTTGACCATTCTAGGGCTCTGGTTCCAGTGGACGCAGCAGTGAGCATGGTCTGGCACCAGCCCCAGCCTGGCTCCGGCGTCTCTGTGGGCAGCTGCTCTCTGAGAGGCTGATAAGACCGGGTGGTGTTCAGGCTGTGGTCCGTGGCATCCTGGAGGGAGCAGGAGGTGAGTGAGATGATAACATAAGAAAAGCTATGAGTAAGCATGGAGAATGGGGCACAGTAGAACTGTATAAGATTAGGCCTGGCATGGGAGAAGATGGATGGAAAATAGGTTTTACTTCCCCTCCCATAGTACTAGAACCCAGTGAAGCTGAATGCTGGGAAAATTCCTGTGGCATGGTGATGGCCACCAACTTGGATGGTTTTAAAAGAGGATTAGACAAATTAATGGAGATTAAGGCTATCTGTGGTCACTAGCCATGATGGCTTTGTTCCAGCTCCGCAGTTGGAGGCAGTGGGCCTCTGAATGCCGGTTGCTGGGAATTGCAAGTGAGGAGAGTTACCATGGCACTCGGGTCCTGCTTGTGGGCTTCCCACCGAGGCATGTGGTTGGACACTGTGAGAACAGGATGCGGAAGAGATGGGTGCCCTTTGTTTGTGGACTGAAGGTGCATGTAGTCCAGCCTTCTTCCCAGGGGGGCCTGTTAGAGGCCCTCAGGAAGCTCACCAGCAGGGGTAAGAAAGCAACAGATGTCCCCGTTTTTTAACAGTGAGCAATCGGAGGTAGACTGTCTCTGAGCCTGGAGGTTTCCTATTGGCATCCTGTCCTCCATGAACTTATCTGATCTCCTTTGAATGCCATTTTAGCCAGTGGCCCCTATATCCTGCAACAGTAAATTGCCACAAATCCTGCTAATTCTGTTAACCAGTGTGAGAAAGCATATTGAGACCTGGGAGTTCTGTGACTCTTTTCTTCAAAGGTTATTTAAGTGTGTTTGAGGAATTTTGCCTCTCACTGCTTCAGTTCAGTTGGTTTTGGATGACAAGAGGCATAAAATACACTCTTTCAAATGGATCATCCTTGGTTATTGCAGGTGTATGCTGATTTTTAATGATTTGCAGAATTCTCCATCAGCTTTTCTGCTTGACAGAGGTCTGTGAAACTTGAAAGCTTGCAGACTCATAGATCTACCAAAGTTAGTCCAATAAAAGCTGTCATTTTAATGGCTTTGTGCCAGCTGCTTATTGAGGAACATTTGGGATCACCTCATTTCCTCTTTACAAACTTAGCGTGTCAAAATGGACTGGAGCACTCCCCCACCCCAGATTTTAGTTGTTGTTATTTTAGCTTTGTTTACTAGATAAGAAATAAAATATGATATGGTAAATGAGTTCACTCTCTAGGGCATTAGAAAATTTGCTAATGCAAAATGAAAATTACCTTTTCAAATTATCCTTATTTGCATGGGAAAACTTACCAGATTTTTTTTCTGAAAACCCTTACTTTGCACGCAAAAGGTCCCAGGTTCAACCCCCAGTTAGGGCTGGGAAAAGGCCCTGTCTGAAACCTCAGAGAGCTCCTGCTGGTCAATTGCAACAGTAGTGGCTAGATGGACCAATGGTGTGACTTTGTATAAGGTACCTTCCTATATACAGGCACCCTAGGGATTAGAGCAGGTCATCAGAATGTATTGCAATTCAGAATGAGCATCAACTGGAGTGTTCATAGTATCCTAGAACCTAACAAAGAGTCTATCTTGCCTTTGTGCCTTCCAGCTGGGGCTACAGGTGACAGCAGTGCCGAAGCAGCAGCAGCAGCAGCAGCTGACTGGCGGAAGTGTGACGCTGTGGCCAGGATCCTCTCCACTTGTCCTCAGCAGTCTCTGTCCCTGGAGGATTATTGCCAACAGGTGTGCCCACAGGTATGTCCTTCCTCCACCTTCCTCTCCATTATTCTATCTATATTCTGTGGTGGTCTGTAGTGCAGGGCCTTCCAATTGGGGCATCATTCCTGCCGGGACTGGTGGTGGCATCCATCTGTCTTGAGAGACAATAAAATGCACCTCTGGGGTGAACTCAAACAGCTGGAGAATCACATCGCCTGCTGTGGCTGCAGAGACTGGTAACTCCTGCGTTGTTTTTGCTGCATTTGCAGCACTGTCGTGACCTCTCCAGAGTGTAAGCCTGGGCAGTATGTATGGAGGTCCTGGGCTGCCCAGATGACAAGGACACCCCCACACTTGGCCTTGCCAACGTGATCCAAAGGAAACCAGAGCGATCTATTTGTCACCTACTTGACTGCAGGAGTTGCTGGAAGGAGGTGTATAAGATGCCATCCAACTGTCATAGGGACTCCAGTGGATTTGTGTAGGGTTTACTCCTTAGCCTTTTCTTTTCCCAGAGATGTACCACAAGGCAGTGGGTGTGGATTTTTCCTCGGGGTTTACTCCTGAAACCTTTCTCATGAATGAGTATATCCACAATGCAGTGGAAGTTTAGGATCAGAGTTTTACTTCTCCTAGATGGGCTACCTTCCCAGGTTGATGAGCTCCACCTGCCCTTCATTTCCCTCTACAGCATGTGCAGTAACTGTGGTGGTAACAATGGTAATAGCAATAGTAGTAGTAACATACTACATTTATTACCAAGCCTACACCAGTAGGTCCCAGGGCAGGTTACAACAGTGTAAAATTCAGAATTAAAAACAGTTAAAACAGAGGACAGTCACAGGAATAGGGCAAGTCCTGAAAACACACATCTCAGCTGTCAAAGGCCAGGCTGAAGAGACCTAATATGAAACTCTCATTGTTTATAGGCCTATTACTAAAAAAAGGGCATACTTGCATTTCCTTTTTATTGGCCTATTAACAATGAGAAGCACACGCACGGTTTTAGAAACACTGTTTAATGAAGGATCAGCGGCCGAGGAATAAACAGCACTGGAGAGCAATGCAAATGCAGCCCCCAGCAGTGGCTAAAGAGCAGTCTGTGTGCCATTTCTCTCCCAGGTTCTGCAGCTGTTCCTCATTCAGGATAAGCTGACAGCCCATCAGTTCCAGCGAGTTGCCACCACGACTGTCCTCTCCATGGCAAGACAACACCCCCAGCAAGCCGAGAAGCACCTGCTGCGTCCCATACTGGAGCCCCTCCTGTGCTGCTCAGATGATGTGACAGGTAACCGCTTCCTTCTTCTCGACCACCTGGACCAGACTAAGGAATCTGGCGGCCCCTGTGAGAGGGGCAGGTCGCCTTCTTTGTACCTGTCCTGCATCATCGGTTCAGGCTGTGAAAATTGTTTCTTATTTTGTTCAATGACTTCATTACTTGGAATCATTTGCTCTGTGATTCTTGGATATCTCATTTCCTCAGTGACAGAAGCCTGGCGGGCTCTCTCCTAGCAGCCCGTTACAAACTGGGCAGAGCTCCAAGTAACTCATTCTGTACTTTATGGACCATTCTGTTTAATTCAATTGCCATTATTGTGTTGCATTAAATGGAGCAGTCCATAAAAGCGTGATGCATTGAGCACCCTACCATGATTACAGGGGGTGGGTTGCCTTTTTAGGGCTGCAATGACCCATGGTCAGTCCTCCAGGGGGAGAATTGTGAAAGTGGTCATGGGGAGATTTGCCTTTCAAAAGACTTTTATTTATTTTTATTTATTGACTTTATATACCACCCTATACCCTGGGGTCCCATCAGCTATTCTGTACTATGTTTTTTGTTTTTTTAAATCCTCCATCATTAATGAATCTTTTGGCATTATTATAGTGAGCGATCCATGGGAGCAGTCAGTCTAAAAAAAAAAAAACTTAATAAAACAAACAAACAACTGATATATTTGAAGGCTCCCACCCCAACAAAAATGCTTTTGAGGAGTTGGACACAGCCTGCAATGTCAACCTCCCCTGTTTTGATGGGTTTTGATGATCTTATTATTCTTTGTTTTGTTCAGAAGTACCGCTGAAAGAGCTGCTGGCAGGGACTGTGTTGGTGAAAGAGGAGGAGCTCAGTGAGTGTGTGGAAAATGTGCTTAAGGTACATCATTTAACCTTGCTTCCTGTATACCTTGCTAAAACTGAATACTGCAAGCAGGGAAAGCGACCCTTTCAAGAAGTTCTCTTTTCAATTGGACCACCAGAACAGATGGTTCTTCAGCTTCCCACCCCTTCCCTGGGGAAACAAAATTTGTGTCTAAGCAGTTTAAAGAACTTAGCTGGGTGCCCCCAGTGAGAGCCAACTGATGGGTCATATGCCACAATGCCCCTGTGACCTCCTTCCAAAAGCAATGCATGGACTCCTTGCACAGAGGTGGTCCAGCTGCCTGTTGCCTCCCTTCCCTCAGGAAGCAAAGCCTCCCTTGGATGCTGCTGCAAGTTCAGTGCTTGCACAAGAAGCTGAGCTGAATAGAAGACTTGCATCCTTGTCATGTCCTTCCTTGCTCTGCCTGTGATGTGGGACCAAAAAGAAAGGCAGCTGATTCACTGGCATCCCCGTCAGGTGTTTCAAACACCTTATAGCAGCCTTTGCCAACTTGGAGCCCACCAGATGGTTTGGACTGCAGCTGTGTTGGCTGGGGCTGATAGGAGTTGTAGTCCAAGCCATCTGGAGGACATCAGGGCAGGGAAGGCTGAATGCCACTAATGGTGCTCAAGGAGTAACATGAGGTGCTTGCACCCAGTGGCTGAAGTCCTGGAGACAAAGAAAAAGAAGCATCAGCTGCAGCTGGAGACCTTGAAGGAGCAGATTATCTTCCTTGAGCTGCCCTTTTGAATTTTTCCAAAACCAAAACCGATGTGATTATGTTAGCTTCCTAGCTGTTGAGAGCACCCATACCTCCAAGTCCTGAACACTGATGGTGACCTGCTGCCCCATAGCAATCTTGCTTCCCTTCTTCCCCATATCGCATCTACCATCTCCTAGAACTTGCTCCATGCTGTGCCCTGTACAGACTGGTCTGCCAGATGCAGGCCTCTTGTTTCACCTATGCTTTTTACCTGGTCAGTTTATAAGTGCATTTACTTTAGAACTGGTGGCAATTAACTTCAGTTATGCTTCTGCATCACAGTTTCCATGCTTAGGATCACAGTGTATGTGCGTGCGTGTGCATTCAGCTTTGCTCTTCATGCTCTGCTCGGCTAGGAGTAATTCCCCTTCTCATATGGTGGTGCTAGCCCAGCACTTTGGAAGCATAATCTTTTGCTCATTTTTCCAATTCATTGCCAAGCAATATAATAACTGGCAAGCCTGCATCAGAATCTGCAATTTCTGCATGGGACAATCAGCAGTCTAAAGTAGATGGATAGGGATCTGACCGAGTGGCTTGCCAAGCAAGCAGAAATCACTGAAACGAATAGCGGCTGTACTGCCTCGTGGCTCTGCACACTCCGGCCTGGGCAGGGGAAATCAGCAAAGATCACTGGGGGAAGGTAACTGGAGCCCCTTTGCCTTCTGTCCAGTGGGGCCAGTGCCTGTCTTTTAAAGCCCATGTTGCAGCCGATGCTGCAGGGTGAGAGTCTTCCCACCAAGCTCCTGATTTCCAGCTCTTGAAGAGGGGCTTAGAAATCCCTCAGTCTTGATGAAACTGATAGATGCAGTCAGTGGTGGACCTTGGTGGCCTCTCGCCTTCAGTTGGACATCATTGCTGAGGCTCCCCAAAAGCTCAGTGCCCAGTGTGACCGAACCAGTTGCATTCCCCTAGATCCGCCTTGGATGAAGTTTGTCCTTTTTGAGAGGAACAGCACGGCCTTTCAGCTGTATCCAGGTTAGCCGGTTGTGGACACAACAGGTAAAGCAATTTTTCTCTTTCTCTGGAGGTCAGCTTGCTTTGCCTTGGTCAGATTCCAACATTTTGGGCAGCACAATCCCATGAGTCAGGCAGCCAAGCCACAAGCCAGCAGTGCTGAAATCTTTGGCAGACACCTTGGCAGTCTGAGCTCTTAAATACTGTGATTGCTCGACAGCGTCTTGGGCAGTAATGATCTGTTATAATGAGCCGGCAGGCAGGAACGGATCCCAGAGGCCGCACGGTGGCCGCTGTTCCTTCTGCAAATGCCTGGGAGCACAGGGTGGGTCCATTGCTAATGGCAGAGTGCTAGAGCCCTGACAGAGAGGAGATTAAGATGGCAGATTGGAGTTTTGCCTCCCAAGTGTCATCTGATGCCAGAGTGGGAAACTCATCTCAGGCCTTTAGCAGGAAAGCAGCGAGCACAAATAATGCTCGTTGAGGATGAGTGGCTCCATGGGGGATTAGCTCAGGCGGAAATAATAGGCCATATTTTATAAAGGAAATCTCTTTCTCACAGAGGTGCTTTTGTGTGTGCACATGCGTGTGCGTGCTGGGACCAGGGATACCATGAAGGTCTAAGACAATGTGACTAACCAGTAGCCCTCTAGATGTTGTAGGACTCCCAGTTCCCAGCAGCCAGCATGGCTAGTGGTTGGGGTGATGGCAGCCACAGATGTTCCTTCAGGCCATGGTAGTTCTAAAAAGAGTCTCAGAGCAGTCTGACACCTTTACCCAAGACTGTGGCAAATACAGTCGTACCTTGGATCCCGAACGCCCTGGAACTCAAATGTTTTGGCTCCCGAACGCCGCAAACCTGGAAGTGATTGTTCCAGTTTACGAACATTTTTTGGGAACCTGAATATCCAACGGGGCTTCCGCAGCTTCTGATTAGCTGCAGGCGCTTCCTGCAGCCAATCAGAAGCCTTGATTTGGTTTTTGAACATTTTGGACGTTGAACGGACTTCCGGAATGGTTTCCATTCAACTTCCAAGGTACGGCTCTAGATAAATAAATCAAATGGGTGTGTCCTGGAAAAGAAATGAGCTTTCAGTTATGGAAATCTGCATAGGTCCTAGGTTGTCCAGGTTTATCACACCTCTGCTAGCTCTCATTGCCCATGCACTTCCAAGCCCATTTCTGTATCTATAACCTTTATGTTCATTTCTCAAGGGTTATTGCAGAGAGCAGTGCCTCTCAAGGTGATGGCAATTCTTGTGCCCAGCCCTGTTCTGTGTTTCTGTGAGTCATAGTCCACAGGCAAGGCAGGCATGTGCTTCCTGTCTCTCTCCATCCACTCATTCCATGGTGCTTCCTCTCTCGTCTCAGGTGTACGTGGTTGGCAATGAACCCACAGCTTTCCTATTGGACTCTTTGCAGCCTGTGCTAGGAACCATCTTCTCCCTCTGGTGTTTTACCAAGCAGAACGTATCTTTCCTACGGTAAGGTGTGTGGCCCAGAGGAAGGGCTCTGCAGTCAAAGACCATCTGATTTCAAAAAAATTCCTCCCACTGCATCTTGGGAGAAACATCCCTCGTATGGGGGCAGTTTCAAGGACATGAAGGCAGGCAGATGACTCTCTCTTAGTGCTGCTGTGACTTCGTAACTTATAAAGTAGCACTATATGCACTGGCAGCTAAGAAGATCAGGAGAAAAGAACTAGATAAAATAGTGGTCAATTGCAAAGTTGATTCGGATCCTTAAGCTGGCACATTCTACCTGAGAACCCCTTGCTATTCTATCGTATGCAACAAATAATTCTTAGGAGACGTGATCGTGGTTTATTGTGTCTACAGTGCCTGATGTTTTTAAGGTTTTTATGGTTATTGTTGCTTTTCTTTTTGTTTCCTTTGTGAATGATGCCATGGCCTTTGGCTAGTGCAATAAAGTTGATGATGATACTGCTGCTGCTTTGTGTGTGTATGTGTGGCTTGCTTTCTGTTCACAGACAACAAGGCAGTATTTTGTGCTGCACAGCAGTACCTGGAGACCAGACTTCCTGCTCTAAGGAGTTGATGCTGGCACAAGCTGGGGATACAGTTAGGCAGATCATATCTGAGGGAGTTGGATGCTGCTTCTCATGAGAGAGAGGCATCTTCAGGACTTGTCGAGGAAATGGGATTTAAATGTTGGCAGCTGCAGCTCGGAACAATCATGATGAGCCCAGCACTTCTTAATGGTGCAAGGGCAAATGCTTAGGGAGCTCTTGCAAGGGATACAGCAGTGGTGGAGAACCTCCTCCTGCCCAAGAGTTGTGTTCCCTTTGGGGAATCTTCCACAGGCCAGCGGTGGGCATGACCAAAGGCAAAGGTGTGTGGAGCAATGAATGTAAATGTTACTTTTGTACAGTAGGTTAGTTTCTGCACATACTTGCACAATCTTCTCTATCCTTTATCTTGGCATGCAGGAGGCATCATCAGAATTTAAAGACACATTCCAGCAAGGCAAAAACATGCCTGGGCTATGTGAAATGAAAAGTGAGAGGTGGCCTAGGGAGAGTATTGAGGGTCAGGTACATAGGCCTGGAGAGCTGCATTCAACCCCCAGGCCTGAGGATCCCTTCTCCTGGGATACATGGGTCTCATGTTAAGGAAAGGGTTAGGGTTAGCAATGGAGAAGTCCACTGCCTGATTTGCAGCCTCTAGGACACTTCCAGGTTCACCTGCCCTTTCTCTTCAACCCTGCCAGGTTCAGATTCGGCACATACTCGTTCTCCCTTGGACTGCCTAGCAGTCACTCATTTCCACATTTCCTTCCTTGTAGCACTCCATGCCAAGAGATCCTGTTATGGTTCTTGGAGAAATGCAAGAGGCAAACTGCACTATCCGTCCTGGAAGGACTTGCAAGGCTTGGAGGAGCCACCCACCTGCTCCATCCGCTCTGTCAGTTTCAGGCAGGCAGTGAAGGGGGCGCTGTAGTCACCATCAAAGAGACTATCAGGTGAGAAACTGCATGTGGTTTTCCAGTCCTGTGTGGCTGCAGGCTGATGTGGTGGCTGAACTTGTTCTGGGGGTGGTCTTCTCAAAGCAGAGAAGATGGAGCCTTGTGGCTGTCTGATTTCCAGGGTTGCCTGTCCTGTGTCTTCTCTGGAAGTGGACACAGCAAGCTCCACCACCTCAAAATACCTTTCTGGAAATGTGAATCTTTCAGATAAAGTGTTTGTGAAGCTTCAGGCTCGTTGGCACAGGTGGCATGCTGGGGGAAGAGGGCCACAGCTTTTCTTGAGGCTGGGCAGACTCGTGTCACCTGCATTCATGTATAAGTAGTTGCAGACTGTGAAGTGGAGTGAGTGCTTCTGTCTGGCTCTTTGAGCAAGTAACAGGACGTATGGAGGTGTTGCTTCACTTATGTGTCCTTAAGAGCAGTTGTGTGTACAGTATGCACATTGTCAAGTTTGACACTTGCCTGAGGAGGTGTTCTTCTGCAAATTGGCATGCGTGTCAAGTTTGAGCCAAAGAGTGAGCCATCCTCAACTTCAGTGTCTTCCCCCTCTGACCTGCTGCGCCTCTTGGGCCTTACAGCTGGTCCAGCAGGTGAGGAAGGCTCACTCTTTGGCTCAAACTTGACACGCATGCCAATTTGCAGAAGGGTTGCAAAGGGATAGGGCTAACAGTGGCTACATTCTCCCTCTGCTTTTAGAGACAGTCTGCTTCTGAATTACCAGTTGCTGGGAATCACAAGTTGCACAAGTGCTGCTGGGCTCAGTTCCTGCTTTTGGGCTTCCCACTGAGGCATTTGGTTGGCCCTGTAAGAACCAGGTACTGGACCAGATGGCCCCCTTTGGCCTGATTCAGTAGCTAAGCTCTTCTGATGTTCTCATTTCTGTGTGAATGAGTGCTGATGTAATGACGAAATGATGAAACAGTGTGAAGCCCCAAGCACTGGGGAGTGATGTGCTGGAAGGAAATGGAAGACTCATCAAAGTGGAAAGAGAAGGGAATCTGGAGCTCTTGTGGGCCTTATCTTGGACTTCCAAAGTTCTCCTTGCCAGAGGCTCATGTAACTGAAACTGAAAACCACAAAGCGGTCAGCTACAGGGGCTGCGGGGAGGGCTGGCTCTGAGGAGTAAGCAAATGAACAGAAGCGAAAGCTCAAATTCTAAGCCCAAGAACCCCCAATGACTGCTGCATGCACTGATGGTAAACACTCCCAGTATGCTAATGGAAGGCTACAGGTAGGGTTGCCATATTTTGAAAAGCAAAAAAGAGGACACATTTGCCAACTTCTACTTTTAACTATGGATCGCTATGACGACACTACCCATGAAAAAGAGGGTGTGTCCTGGAAAAAGAGGACATATGGCAACCCTAACAGGAGAGAAGGGGAACCCTGTTTTTGGAGTCTAGTTTATCACCTAGGCCATGCTGCTACTCAGTGCAGCAGTGCTACTCAGGTGGGTGGGGGGAGACATTTACAGATCTCTATTGCTGCTCTGTGCTGAGAACCTCACCCCAGCATATGTGACTGAGCTGAAGGGGCCCACTCCAGCTCCCACAGCACCTGAATCAAACCCTTGAGAATCAGAGGGTGAAGGTGCACTCTGGCCTCCCAAGTGTGCAGTGCAAGCTCCCTGCTTTCCCCTTCTTGTTCAACCAATTTCAGTGTCAGATTTTCCCACTCACAAGCCCATGTATGGGCGCTGTGTTTTATAACCTGGGATTATTTTTGTTTTGTCTTTTTGCAACCATTCCTCTGTTACCTGGTGGTTTCCTGTCTCGCTGAAGGTGCTAATTAACTTCATAATGTTATGGTGGTGGTGTTTTCACCAATTACTGGTGTAATGAATGGTAACTTCGCTTTGCACATAATTGTCACAGACTGGACTTTTTATATTTCTTAGCCATTTGGTGTCCAGTTCACATTTGTCCTCCCCACTCCTGACACCCCTACCTGCCAACTGAAGATAGCTATTCATACACCTCCAGTCCATGAACACTTGCGTCTTATTTGCTAGCCTTTTAAAGTGCCACAAGCCTCTGCTGATTTAGTGTGTTGCCAAAGAGTTGCCTCTGCCTTCTCTTGAATGCTGGGCTTGCAGTGTGAGTTGACTTGCAGAGTTGAGCCTCCACTCTTGCTTTCCATGAGTTTGCCATTCATGTGTGTAAAATACTTCACCTAAATCACCTCATTGTGATCCTAACAGCAGCCGGGTAAAGCAGGTTAGTGTGATTATCCCCTGTTGCAGATGTGGGACTGACACAGAGAGAGAAAGAGAGTGGTGTATGGCAGAGGCAAGATTCAGATGAGGAATTTCCTTATCTCTTAGCCTAGCCTTCCCTAACCTGGTGCCCTCCAGATGTTTTGGACTGTAACTCTCATCAGCCCCAACATCATATGGCCATATTGGCTGAGCTGAGGCTGATCGGAGCTATAGTCTAATACATCTGGAAGGCCAAGGCTGGTGAAGTTTTTCTTAGCCATTCTGCCATGCTTTGTTCTTTTATTTTTCAAAACATGAGTGGTATCCTTCCATTTTAAAAACTCCCAAGGTGGCCAATACCACCAAAAACAAAAAACACCTGGCAGCAAAACCCAATGTTCGTATATTTAGCCCCACAAACTTCTCTGAGAAAACTTGGGCCTCTTGTGCTAGTCAAAGCACAAAACCTAATCCTATTAACCAAGGTAGTGGGGAGTGTGGGGAGTGGAAAACCTGTCCCAGTAAGTAGCTCACATTGCATGCTGTTAGAGCATTACTGCAGAACATTGCTGTCAACAGGCCTGTGATCTTCCTGCACACAGTGAGGGAGAGCAGGCATGCTTTTGGGTGGCTACCCTCTCAAATCAACTTTCTAGGCAGACTGCTGGACTCTTGGCTTTGCAGTGTGAAACACTACCCCAGGATATGGTGTCCTCCACATGTTGTAGGACTGCAACTCCTGCCTTGGCCGTCCTGGCTGGGGCTGATGGAAGTTGTAGTCCAAAACATCAGGAGGACACCAGGTTGGGGAAGGCTGCTGTAGAGCTGTTCAAGTGCTTCTTAAGATTGTTGATTAGCAACACAGCTGCCTGCTCTTGGTGGCTCAAAAGATCCTCCCTCTGTTAAGGAGCTGGCCTGAGGTCACTTGCAGAAGGATGGAAGAGGAATGTAAGATGCTCAGAGTTGCTGCCAGGAAAGCTGTGACTCCCCTTTGTGAAACTTTTGCCTCTTGTTTCACAGCGATGAAGACGAAGACGAGGCTCTCTACCAGAAGGTGTCCTCTGAGCAATGGCAGCTGGAGCAGCTTGTGGAGCTGCTCTCTCGCTGCCAGAGCAGTGGCTTAGCCGGAGACTTCTTCCTCTGTTGCCTAAAGGTAGGGGGTCGTCTGGCATCTGGGCTGCTTCATCTTGGCAGTTGCTTCTGGCTGTTTAATAATTTATTTGCAGGAGGTGCAGTAGTCTTTCTTCCAGGTTAAAAAAAATATCAGGTAACCACAGGTGGTAAGAAAGATCCTTCTCTGCTTGAACATAGGGACATAGGAAGCTTCCTTATACTCAGTCAGACTACTGGCCCATCTAGCTCAGTAGTGGCTACACCCTGGGATGCCTTGAATGATGGTCAAGGGTGCTGCAGGCAACAGTGGCCTCTGTGCCTCTTTCCTTCCCTCCCTCCTCTGATGTCCTCTCACATCTCTGGCTCCCAAAGGCTTGCTGTTTGTTGCAGCAGCCCTGGCTATAAGCTCCCCAGGTGAATAATGCCTCTGGGGCTGGCCAGGGGGTGCTTCCCAGGCCCCTGTGGGGTAATGTGAGGAGGCACCTCTCTGGGGCACGGGGGACTGCTCAGAGACCAGGGGTGGCAGCCCAGAGGACTCCCAAGGAGAAGGGAGAAAAGAGGAGGTTGAGGGAACACTCCACAAGGCAGGGTGTTCGAAAAGTGGTGAGGGCTGCCAGTTCTACAGGCAAGAGGTGACATAACTGGGCTCCTGAGCCCCACAGGGGTGCCACAGAAAGAATGTAGTTGGTCAAGGGAGCTGTGGACCCAAAAAGGTTGAAAACATCTGGGCTACACTAATGGACAGCAGTTCTCCAGGGTTTCAAGCAGGAATTTTCTCCCAGTCCTACCTGGAGATGCCAGGGACTGAGCCTGGAACCTTCTGCATGCAAAGCAGATGTTCCACCACTGAGCTACCATCAGCCCATCTGTGGTTTTAAGGGACACCCCCCACCCTTAGGCAGGCAACATTGGAGAAGAAACTAAGAAGTTTGCAAAAAAGAAAACAACCCTTTTAACAAAGTGGGTTCCTCAACTCCTCCTCAAGTCTCTATTTAACTAATGCAGAGTGATTGTTCTCCCTCTGCAACATCAACCCTTCAAAGATACTTTCAGGGATGCAGGAGGCAAAATGATGCAACTAGACAGTCAGGCATCGGCTCTGCAAGAGGCAGTCTTTGGTGAGTGATGAGTCAGTGATGGAGATGCAAAGCATGTGAGGTTTGGCCTGTTTGTTGAAAGTTGTGAACTTCCTTTATTGTGCAGTTCTTTTGAAATGCAAAAAAGCAAGGAATGGCTTTAGTTGTTTTGTGTGGGGCATATAGCTGGGAAGAAAGATGCTCTGGAAATTCACTGGAGCCCCTTTTGAATGAAAGCAGCTAATTAAAGTATGTGCATACTCCTGACAGTGAAGTTTTGCTGGTACAAATATTGCAGTGTTACAGATGGATGCTAATGGCAGGGTTTTTTGTGTCTGCCTCCTGCACAGAGGACCATGTCTGCAAAAGACACCAGCAGTGTCAATGTGGGAAAGGGTTAACTGCTGTTCCTTCTGGGGCTGTTTTGACAACAGGAGAATCTTTGAAGTGTAATTGTGGGTTTCACAGCTGCGAATAATCCCTCTCCAGGGGGAGGGGGCTTCCTGTTTGTGGGTGGGTATCCATCCAGCCCTCCTCTGCTTGTTCTCTGTGTTTACTATTCAACAATATTTACTTAATAATAAACAATGTGCTGGTCAAAGTGCACTGACATGCCAAAGCAATATATATGTGCCTTTTCCTATGTGCATTCCTCTGATTAAATGCTTGGGGGTTTTTTCTTCTTCCATTCTGCCCCCCTCCCTCTGACAGGAGCTGACACGCATGGCTGGGCAGGGTGCTTCCAAAATGGAGTCTGCCCCGCTCTCCTCCTGCAACAGCCCTCTGGACCTGGAGCAGTGCTGCAACCCTGGCCTTGAGCAGCAAGAGAGGCAGCTGCAGGTGCTGCAGTTGGTTGGCATGATGTGTGAGAGGATCTCGGATGCGCTGTTCACAGACATCTCACAGGTTTGTTGAGGCCGTGGTCTCCCGAGCTGCAGTCGGACAAGAAGTCTGCGATTGGGAGGGGAGTTTGCCACATCACCCATTGGTGGTGACTTCAGGGCCAGCAGAGGGTTTTTTAGAGGCCCCAGGCTGAGTGATTCTTGGGAGCAGCCTGGGTGGTCACAGCGGAAGCAGACTCCCCTCCTCCTTCCTTAGGTGCCGCACCAGTTTCACTAGGCTAGGTGGCCAGCAGAAAGGGGTGGGGGAAGGGCTGTGTTAATTTCAAGCCTCAGAAAGCTGAGGAGGTTGCTCAAAATGCCTGGCTGTCAGATTTGGCGGTGGCAGGTGGGGTGGGGGAGAACAAAACTGTCAAGTGAGAGAATTTGCTTTGGGTGCAAAGTTTTCTTCTGAGACCTAGAAAGAACAAAAGTATCCAATAGTCTCCCACAAAAACAGACTTCTTGAGTGCACAAAACCTAATCTTCCTCCCTCCCTTTGTCTTTTACTTGGATAATTAGGCAGTTTGTTGAAAAGACAAGCATATCAAGGAAACCCAAAGGAGTTTTTCCCCCCAGGAGGCGGCTGGTTAATGGATTTAGTTACTAAACTCCCCACCGCCACCTCCCTCTTTGCCCTCCAGATACACCTGGTACCAGACACACCTGGCAGGGAGAATTTGCTTGGCCCCGGGCTTAAAATTGCCTGTTCTGAGATCAGAAAAAGAGATGGGTACAATGCCCAAAGGGAACCAATACTAACAGTAATTTGCCATGCTGCCGCCCTAAGAAAGAAAGGGGAGATCTCTTGGCTCCCTGAGGGTTTTGTTTTATTTAGGGTAGAGAAATTCAAGGGGACCTTGACTTCCCTGCCAGAGAGCTGCCTAGGTTCATGTTCAGAGGTGCATACAATGATGGACAACCATGGCCCTCGCACCCTGCTTGAAGGCTTCCCAGAAGGGACATAGTTCAATGGAAGAAGAACCTGGTTTTGATCCCCAATGTTTCCAGATAGGGATGAGAATATACCCAGTTTGGAATCCTGGAGAACCCCTGGCAGTCAGTGTAGACAGTCCTGGGCTAAATGGACCATTGGTCTGACTTGGCATAAAGCAGCTTCCTAGATTATTGATGCAGCAGCACCAACCAGCATGGCCAATGGTCACAGATGATGGGGGAGGGGGGTTGTAGTCCAGCAACATTTGGAGGGTCACAAGTTCCCCATCCCTGACAATAAGCCCTTGTGAGTTGCATTCTGCTACATGGCTGCTTGCATGTCTAGAGAGTCCTACATTGCTGCACTTTAAACCCACTCTCTGGGGTTACTACACATGGTTTCAAAACCCACAGATGGGCAATACCTTTATTAAGATAGACCCAAACTGCTGGTACTGTTTCCATAGTCAAGGGGCAAATCCAGGCTGATATCAGCAGAAGGAGAATTTCTGGTCCTTGGCAAGGATCGGAGCTGTTGACACTGCAGTTCCTTGCAGAAACCCAGTGGCCTGTGAAGTGGCCTGAGGTTGTCAGTGATGGAGTGTAGCTGAAATGCCCCAGAATCCTCTGAGTAATAACTTCAGGATAAGAGTCCTTAATTTTGATTGTATAAACAAGCTTCTGGTTACACTCTGGAGAGTTTGTTGAGATAGATGTACAGTGTGTCTTTGAGGTCTTGGCAATCTTTCAGCCAAATGACATGATAATCTCCCTTTGCTTCTCTCTCTCTAGGTTGTGGAATTCGTGGCAACAACTCTGCAGCGGGCCTGTGCAAGTCTCACTTGCAGCTCGGGGGGTAGTACTGTGGAAGCCCAGACACTGAGTATGGCTATGGGACTGGTGGCTGCCATACTAGGAGGGGCAGTGCAGGTGAGACCGTGGGACACGGTCAGGGGGGATCAGGTCTGGTTTGCTCTTGTGCCCCTGCTCTCATCCCTGTGACAGAGAGAGACCATCGTATGTGTAGCCACAGCGAGGAGTCAGTCACGCTTAGGGCACATGATGTGGCCATCCTGCAGCTTTCTTCATTGAGAGAGGCAACAGTGCTGGCTAGAGCCTAATGTGGGAATAGATTACAGCTCACATAGCAGATTCCCACCCAGTACCCAGCCTTTCAAGGCAGTTTGAGAAACAACTGGCTCCACCTGAGAACAGTGAGCCTGATGCAGTACTTTTCCCGTGTCAGGTGCTTTGTACCTTTGGGGCAAGCACTCTCTTTCCATGAGGAAGGGGCAGAATGCAGGAAGTTCTGCTCCTGGATGTGACCTTGGCAGGGTGGGAGGAGAAGAGCACTTCTGGTTAGGGTGAGATGGCTAGAGCTGTCACTGAGCAACGCTATCAAATTCTCCTGCGAGCATCTGAACTGCCAACAAGTCAGCTGTCTTGAGGGAAGGGAGAACCATGTTCCAGGAGCTGCCCTGTCCTCTTGGCCTGGGCATTGTCACAAACTTTATTCCTGCGTGTGATCACAGAGGAGAGAGAGAGTGTTTCAGGGAAGGATTTGCTCTTTATCAAGGGTAAGGTACCTAAGAACTGCCAGTGCCATCAGCTGTCACTTCAAGGATTGTAATAACTTGTGCTTGAGCTTATTTTTCCCTCCTCCCTCCTCTTCATTTTTCCTCATGTGCCATGTCTTTTTCGATTGTGAACCAGAAGGCAAGGACCATCTCAGAACTTATATTTTTAGGTTGCTCTGAGAACCATTTTGGCTAAAAGGCTGGGAATAAAGGCTGTAAGTGCCAGTTGGCTTCTGTCGGCCTACAAAGAGGCTGTAGGCAGGAGCCCCACCAAAAAAACAGGCTGCTTTGAGCTGACGTTATTCAACTCCACTTGGTTCTTTGATTGGCTAGGGGTAGATGGACGGTACTTTGGTTTCTGACCAGAGTTGAAAACAAGTTGAGCAAGGGGTAGAACCTCAATTTTGTTCATTTATTTTGAAGCATTTTTATCCCACGCTTTAGAAAAAAACACTCTTCCATAACAGCATACAAATGTCAGTGAATGTAAAAGGCACTACAGAAAAGGAAAAAGGATTGGGAGGGAGGAGGAGGGAAAACAAAACTCAGGCACTAGTTCTTAGTTACAGAGTTCTTACAACCAGCTGCAATGGAAAGAGCCTAAAGATGGTTTGTCTTCTTAGCTGAGCCAGTGGAGCCAGGCCCTGGGTCCCTCTGTCATAGCCTGATGGAATGGTTGTTGCTAGATGACAGTGGAAGTTTTAAAAGTCGCTGCCTGGTGGGTCTGGTCCTAGACATAAATTTATTCTTTCCTCTCCCATAGCCTGTGTTTTTACACTGGCCCTAGCAAAACTTGCACCACCTCTTGCTGAAGTCGGATGTGGTTTCCAGTAAACCCTTGAGTGATGAAGATGATCTTATTTACATAATTTTCCTCCACTCTGGTTAACACGCAAGGCAAATTGCAGAAATCTACATACTATTATAATAATGCCACATTAAAAAGCTGCTTAAAAATAAGTTGTGGGGGAGGGGCAGATGGTTCTTGGTGTGGTAACAATGCTGGGTGCAGCAGTGGGTTGTCCAGATTTCAAGTGGACAGTTTCCAGCATATGTACTGTGAATTCTGCCCATCCTGGCTCGCTCTTCAGCTACTTTGCAGTCCACCACCTGAGATGTACCCCAAGGCCCTTAGCACGAGTCCCAGAAAGTGGCTCCTTTCCCACCCCATCCGCTCTTTGCACCTGTAGGCTTGGGGCATGATCTTATCTCCCCCGCCAGATCCTTCATATACGCCCATAACGGTAACCACAGCAAAGGCTTCGTTCCTACAGTTCCTTCCCCTGACACAGCCTCCCTTCAGCCCTGGGGAAAGTTCTCAGGAGAAGCCCTGATTCTGTCTGTCTTTGTGGCCGGACTAACATGCTTGATGATCTCTCTGCAGCTGAAACCAGCCGACTTTGCTTCCCTGAAGGGGCTGGTGCCCCTGCTGGAGGATCTCTCCCACGTTCATCCAGAGCCTGTCATCCAGGAGCTTGCTGCCGACTTGCGTATCACCATCTACACCCATGGAGCTTTTTCCACGGAGACAGTCAGCTCTGCTGCACAAAGTACCCTGGGCAAGAGTGATGCAGGAGTGGCACTCAAACCAAGAGCTCTCGTAAGACAAGGCCTCACCAAAAGGCCCCCTAGAGAGACCTCCAAGCCCGAGGCGGCTCTGCCACAGGACCACATGGAGAGCAGCTCAGGCACAGACCCCATTTCCAACCCGCCAAAAGGGCCTCTGGCTGGGGAATCTGTTGCAGAGCCAGGCTGTGGATCTCAGGACCTGCAAGAACTTCTCTTATCAGTTTATGACCCAGACATTCCAGCACGAGCAGCTGCCTTGCGTAGTCTTTCCCGCTTGATAGAGCAGAGGGACTCAGAAGCCCTGAAGATTCAAGAGAAGCTGCTGAAGGTACACACTCAGAGTACACTGTGTCAACCCTCTGAGAATACCCACGAGGCTGCAGTGTGCGCGCGCCTTCATTGCTTTCATACTCCCTTTAGTGATGGCCTGTCTAACTAAGGGTGTTTCTGCGTGGAAGAACTCACTTTGAAACCCTGGCATAGGCAAGGCTATTGCTGGTGGTTTAAGTAAACCTGACCTTTGCCAATCTACTGCGTGCCAGATGTTTTGGACTACAGTTCCCATCAGCCCTAGCAAGCTCAGCTGTTCTGGCTGGGTCTGATGGGAGTTGTGGTCCAAATCTAGAGGGCACTGGGTTGGCAAAAGCTATTGTAACCACTTGTAGATACCTGCATGCCTTTTTTCGCAGAGGGGGGGTAATGTGGAAGTTTAATTTTTAAGTCACTAGCATTTGCCCTACAACAGATAGTAATCTTCAATGCCCTGAAAAGTAAGGGAGACCCTTCTCCTTTTTGGTGGGGTGTGACCCTCTCTTTTCTTCCTTTGGTACATCATGCCAGGGGTACTTCTAGTTTGAGTTAACACAGGCTGGTATGGCTGGGCATCATCCACATGCTGGCTGAGACACCACTCTGGTTGAGGAAGCCAGTTCTAACCATGGGCATCTGACCCTTCCTTCTGTCAAAACAGTCAAATCCATGATGGGTTCCAAAAACCTCCAGGATTCCTTCTTCCCTGCCTAGATGTCAATTGCCAGTTAAGCTGACATAGGAAGCCACCTTATACAAGGCAGACCCTTGGTCCATCTCACAGTTTTAGGCTGGGAGTCTCTCCCAGCAATACTTGGAGATGCCACTGGGGATTCAACCTGGGGACACCTTCTGCAAAGCAGATGTTATACCACTGACTGTTTTCAGTTAGCAAAAACTCTGGATTTTTTGGTTTGTGTGTGACATGAGGGATGTAGGAGATACTGTCTTCTGTTGGGAAGGCATCAGCACTGAGGCTGTGAAAACTATCTTACTTGAATGCAAGTTGGGTGATTCTTGGACTTTATCCTTCCAGGTTTTTTTGGAAAATTTGGAGCATGAGGATTCCTTTGTTTATCTTTCTGCTATCCAAGGTAAGCAGGCAGAATCTGGCTGTTTGTGTTCTGCTGAGAATGAAAATAGAAGCTTTTTGCTGTCTAGCCAGACTAATTATGTAGCGGCCAACACCAAGCTCCTTGTCTGTGGAAAGTTGTGCTGCTTGGACATGAATTAAAAAAAATGGCAGATCGCCTGGCTGGATCAAGCCAAAAGCCCCTCTAGTTTAGGGGCACTAAGATTTCCCACCCTCACTCCTAGGAATGGGAGGTGTTTGAGAGGTTGCTTCTGACCAGCTTCCACTTTTGATTTTTGTGTGTTGAGATGTGGAGTTTCACAACACTACTCAATTTACTGGAAGAAGAGGAGTGAGGGGCAGCCATTAATAAAATCAAGAAGCCCCACAACCTGATTCCCTCCAGTTTTAGCCCCATCCACTGGGTTACGTTTTTAAAAATCAGCTAAAGTTGCTGACATAAAAGAAAAGTGTGTATCCCCACACCCCAGACTCTCTAGTAATTCAAATGCTGCTTCACGGCCCAGTGGCTCTGCTGAGCAAATGCTGTTTTCCTTATCCCAGGTGAAGGAGGCATTTGTTCTCCAGAAGTGGCTGGGAGACAGTTAAGTGTTTCTCTGGAAAGGTACTAAGCATGAAGATGCTGGGCATGTGAGCACAGTAGAGCATCAGCTGACAGCAGGTACATAGTCTTATGCTGAGTCAGTCCATTGGGTCACCTAGCCAAGGATTGCCTCTACAGTGACTGGCAGCAGCCCTCCAGGGGTTCAGGCAGGGAGTTCCTTTCCAACCCCACCTGGGAATGTGGGGATTGAACCTGGAACCTTGCAGATGCAAAGCAAGTGCCCTACCACAGAGCCACAGCTCTTCCCTGAATTCTTCTTGGTCATCTGAAAACTGGAATTGGCCTGGTCTCATTGCCAGTTATACTGGTCTGTGCAATTTGCTTGGACATCGTCCTTCCAAGCAACTCTCACTTCCTCTCCTGCCCATTGGCAGCATCTCTGTTCTCCTCCTTTTGGGAGAAGCCACCACTAATTCCTTGAACAAAGCAATCTCTCACTGGCTTCCTTCTGAAGAATAGCAAGGTGATCTGGTATAAGCCAGGCAGATATGCTATGCAAATATTGAGCTGGCAGCCAGTGTCCCTGGCTGTCTTCTTAGGAAACGAGCACTGTGGCATCCTGTGTTCAACAGAATTGTGTTCCCTGTTACTTCATCCCTTTGTACAGTGTGTCCTGGAGGAGTCGTTCCAAGGTAGCCCCCATACTTGTGTGTTGGCAGTGGTAGCAGGGCGCTGGATGAATGCTATGTATGTCTCCGGGTCCATAATTAATCAGCTCCTGTGTACAGATAGTGCAGAAGGAAAGAGGAACATTCTAGGCTGAACTCAAGATTGCCACACAGGGAGGTCTGAGATGCTGTGGTTTCTTGGAGCAAAAGGAGTCCACCTTTTTGCCTTGGTACAGTCAAACTTCAGTGGCTCTTCACCAGTTGCCCTGTTAAGGCAGATGGCAGAGAGAGAACTTTCTCAGAACATCACCCCAATTTGGCCATTCTGCTGGTCTGAGCCAGGGGCAGTGCAGGGAAGGAGCACACTTGCACCATACCTCCAGTCCTGGTGTAGCCGTGTAATCCTGATGGCTGTGTTTTAACCTCCAGTGTTGAAGGCAGTCTGCCTCTGAATACCAGTTGCAGGGAATCACAAGCAGGGAGAGTTGTTGCAGTCAGACTTGCTTGCTTGCGGATTTCATCAAAAGCATCTAGTTGGCTGCTATGAGAACAGGATACCTGATTATATAGGCCTTTAACCTGATCCAAGAGCCAACTCCTCTTGCAGTCTAGCATAACAGCGGTATGGGATTCTTCTTCCCATGTATTTATGTGTTGTGGGTTTTTTATCTTGTTTTTGAAAACTGTCCTGGAAGCTTCACTGCAGAGTAGCATATATTTTGAGCTAAATGGAGGCTGAAAGAGGCCTCCCACCTCTTTTTCATAGAGACAGAGGCGAGGAAAGTGGGACAGTAATAGTATCCACCACCAGCTTTCTGGGCCGATGGATTTTTTCACTGTTTCTTTTCGGGATTCCTTGGCACCCTCAAAGTGTAAGGAGGCATTTGGGTGCGAGCCAGCTCCCTTTCCTCATTGTGCAGTGCAATTCATAATAATTCAGATTTTTATCCCAGTAACATCCTAAGGGCTCAGGATGAGTAACAAACACTTATTTAAAGTACTGTGGGGTTGGGCAGGAAGACCCATAAATAAGGTGATGGATGGATAAAAAAATCTCCCAGTTGCTTCAGGAGGAGGAAGTCTTCAACCCTTGCAAAGTTCATGCTGCACCTTTTCTGTGCAGTTTGTATAGGGCACCTGGGAAGTCCCAGCAGGAAGCCCCTGGCTCAGGCTCCTGTCAGGTAGAAGAAGGTGGGAGAGAGGGAATAAAGAGGACTTGCTCTTCTGGCTGCAACAGCCAAAGAGCTGAAGGGGGAACCTCCTCAGCCTGCCTTTTCCTTCCTGTACTTGTGTTGGCTTGAGCGTGTGAAGGGCTCATGTGTGCCCTGCAGGCGAAAGACATCTTGCCACTCCCACCAGTGACATGGAAAGCATTGATCCTTGCACGCTTAGCAACTTTGCGATGGCTTTGATGAACCCTCCCACTTTGCCAGGGGGGCTGAGTCAGAAGCAAAGTGCTAAGCTCAGCTTTGAGAGTCATGTCGGCATTGCCCCAAAAGGGCTGGGATGATGTAGGGGAGAGGCTAAGATGTGGGGCAGCTTTCACATCTTACCCGCTGCCCTTTCCCCCAGAGAGCCATCTGGCTGCCAGCACACATACACCCCATTCCAGAACACACATCTCCCTACCATTTCCAGCTAGACGAGCAGCTGAAAATAAGCAGGGCAGGAGAGACTTCAGTCTTGGCCAGGTAGCCTCTGCCACTGACTCACTGCTTGGCATCCCCAAAGATGCTCCAGGCCCCACAGTCTTCCCTCCCGCACCCCCCACATAAAAGTATTGCTGTCTCATTGCAAATTTACTAGCCCATTGCTTTACAAGCCGGAAATGAGTAACATGATTGTTCTCAAAAGAAAAGGCGGAGGGAAGCACAGAACCAGGATATTGGCAGGTTTCAGCCAGTCTGAGCCACAGGAAGAAATTGTAATTGTACCTTCGATGTGGTCCTTGAACCTGCTGTTGAAAATGTGTGGTTCGCATGTATTGGATATTTTGCGATGGACCCACAGTTTAAAAATAAACTTGGAAGCGGAATTTTGCTTTACGCTGCTTTGAGCCCCCAGAGCTTTAAAGTGTCCAGAGCACTGTTTACTGCACCCAGAGTGGGGGACAGAGTCCTCTGTGATTCTCAAGACTCTCTGGCGGATGGTATCACAGAGAAAGCACACACCCCCTCCCCGCCACCGCCCCTTACCTGCTGCAGAAGAAAGCAAGCCTAAACAACTGAGAAAGGGGGCAGGATCATTTCACTTCCAGCATAACATTTTTTGGCACAAGGGCCACATTCACCCTTGGCCACACTCTCTGAGGGCCAGAGGTGGGTGTAGCCACGCTGCACACTCTCATGTACACACAGCCTTCCCTGCCCCATCTGTAGTGATTGGAGTGTTGCACTAAGCTGGGAGACCAGGGTTCAGATCCCCATGCAGCCATGAGATGCTTGCTGGGTAACCTTGCATCAGTCGGTGTCTCAGCCTAACCTACCTTACAGGGTTGTTGTGAGGATAACATGGGGAGGGGGAGAACCATGTATACCACACCAAGATCCTTTGGTGCACTGTAAATGTTAAACAAATACATAAATTAGGGTTGCCATATTTCAAAAAGTAAAAACCAGGACACCCTGAAAGTTGTTGAGCTCTAAAAAGGCCAAAAAATGCAGTTGTTCAATTGACTTGCCTAGGATCCAGGACAAACCACCACCTTACAGCCCTACATAAATGAAAATCTTTCTGGATCAGCAGAAGGGGGCTTATTGCCCCCTCTGTTAATGTTGTGGTGACCAAGGAGGGGGCAATTTGCATCTGTTCCTGAGCACAGAGTATTGCCTGTTCCAGCACTGTGTCTGCTTCACTGCCCCACACTTTTGACCCCACTGCCAAAGTTGGTGGGGTTTTGGCTGGGGACTGAAAAAATTGCTTGAAGCTTTGGGGGGGGGGGCAGATCAGGCCTCAGAGCTGGAAGTTGGCCACCTGTGCGCTAGAGCCATAAGCAGCTCCAGCTGAGCCAGTTTAGGGGCTACCTCAAATGGCCTCATTGGAGCCTTTTTCCTCTCCATGGTTCTGTTCCTGGAGGAGGAGGAGGAGGTTTCTCATCTTCTTCAAGCCAACTCTTTAAAGAGGAATTCTGCTCCCCTCTGCCCTGGAGCTCCCTGTTCCGTTTTTTTTCATGTGGGTTTTCCCACACAGCTTTTTGTTGTCAGTTTGGGCCTTGGGCTTGGGCAACTTGGCGGTTGGAGCCCAGTTCCCGGGGAGGCCTTGGGCAAGCTCTGGCGTGTGCCAGCCTCAGCTCTTAAGGTGGAAATATCCCCATGTGTGTTATGAAGATGAAGTGCTGCCTCCTATGCCAACCTTTTCTGCAACAAGCTCCCGTCCATGGCCTTTCCTTTTGCCCTTTCAGACAGAAGCTTTAAGGGCTAAACTTTGGCTTGGTCCAGGAGGCCTGGACTAAGGGGATACATTATTTTTCCTTTCCAAATTAGTCCAGGTAATTATATCATATACGATTCTTCAGGCTGTGAACTCTCATTTATTTATTTATTGCATTTATAACCCACATTTTCGCCAAGGAGCTCTATGTGGTGTACATGGTTCTCCTCCTCCTCAATTAATCCACACAACCACCCTATGAGGTAGGTTAGGCTGAGAGGCAGGCCACCTAGCATGGGGATAGGAAGCCTTGGATCTCTGTCAAGCACAGCAACAGGTGCTTGAGTTCCCAAATGGAGCCTAGTCATCCCACTCCACCACCAGCTGACAATGCCCTTAGCAGATGTAACAATCCCATAATACCTATTTTCCCAACAACCTACTGCTTCTAATCCCCAGGGCATTTTCCTCCCTCCTCCTCCATTTTTTCTTCCTGTGCCCAGAGGCATGTCTGATCTGGAACTGGAGATCAAAGGGATGTGAAAGACAGCTGCATCCGCATCATCTCAAAGGGTTGAGGTCGTAACCTGGGCCTTCAAGGCCAAATCAAACAGCTATTGAACTAAAGGTGTTGGGCATGGCCCAGTAGGACCTGGGCGGTTTTCACAGCTCTGATGGTTCTGTGGTGGAACTTGCAATTAAGTGAAGCATGCTTCCTCCCCACTGTTTACTCTGGCTTGACTGTAGAATGCTGCCATGACTTCTTGGAGCAAGGCTGTAGGACACACAACACTTCTAGGAGCACAATTCAGAAGGGAGACCTTGATTCTAGTTCTCTTCAATGGGCCAGAGTTAGGCTTGATTCCCTGGTGCTGCCCTTGCCACTTCCAGGGGCCGTGACTCACATGACATGAACCTTTGTAAGTAGCACCTTTAGCCTATTGTGATTTGTGGATGGCATCTGATGAAGCCGGTCTTTGCCGGCTCATCTCTGAGGACATCCAGAACTTTGCCACCTTGTTGCTGCACATGAATGCAGCTACCTCTCTGGGAATGTGGTCTTTGTGGCACAGCCACCATCAGGACAAAGTTGAAGCTGGTTAAGTTGGCATCTTTTGTTGCTGCCTATGACAACCTGGTGCCCTACATATATTTTGGATTACAACTCTCATCAGCTTCAGCCAGGGAAGGCACCAGGTTAGCAAAGGCGTGTGGTGCTTTGCCAAGCCAGGGGTTTCTAGTTTCCTGTAGGTCAATTCTGCTTCAGAGGCAATTCTTTCCCACGTGTTGGGAATTCCCTTTTTGAGGCTTGTTCTGGTTTGTTTTGCCTTGCAAGAGAGCTGTATTAAGCTGGCAAAGCTCCCACACTGCCAACAGGGCTGAAGAATTGAGGGTTTTTCAGTTGTTTCTGGACTATAGCTTCCATCCCTGCTAATCATGCTGGCTGGGACTGATGGGAGATCAACAACATCTAGAGAATCCCCACTCCCAGGATAAGGCAATGTGGCAATAAGGCTATTATAAAACCCTTTGGACAAGGGCAAAAAATAAAATCTGAATAATTAGCCAGGTGGGCAATAAAAGATCACTTTAAACTATTCTACCTTTCTTAGGCACATTGCTCAATCCTTCCAAGTCCTCTGTGTGAATCTGCTTTTCAATCTCTCCTCCTTTCTTTTGAGGCAGTTCTTCCTCTGCTATCCCCTCTGGATTTAGAATTGGAGAGCTGGGAAAGGGCTCAAAAAGCCATCAGTTCAAAGTATCCCCACTAGCATCTTGGACATCGGTCCACACAGTTGCCAATGCCTGCCTTCTATGTCACTCCCTGGTGCTTCTCTTTCTCCTGATCTTCAGGTGTTGTGCTGCTATCGGATGCATTCCCAGAGCAAATCCTGCCCTACCTGCTGGCCCAATATGGGAGCGCTCATCCAGGCACACAGGAAGCACAGACGGTCGAGACCAGGATGAAAGTGGGGGAGGCCCTGATGCGCATCACACGGGCACTAGGTGAGTTTGCAGCTCCCACTGGGAATTTTGTGCCAGAGCTGCTCCAGCAGCGTGTGGAGCACCAGAACATGTGGCTCTCTGTTTGTATTTGTTTATATGTATATATAATGATAAACCAATAAAAACTCATTTGGAAAAAAAAAGAACATGTGGCTCTCTGAGGAGGCCTATGCTGGCTTTATAATCACACTTCTCCAGGAAGTTGAGTAATGCTCATTTACTGGTATAAAACCCACAACTGGTTGTACTAAGTGCAGAGTGCCAAACAGCACTGATGTTCCTTGGCAGTTTGGTACCCAGCCTTCACAATCTACAGATGCCTCTAGCTTTGCTGTTCAGTGTGTGGGCAGAACACCCCACCTGGACAGAGCCGTGCTAGAAGAGATCCCTGATCCTTCTTCCACAGCAGCATCTTTGCCTTCAGGTGCCTAAGCACCAAACTGGTTAGTGACATCAGAGGAACTTACTGTTTGGACCCACCCAGGTCAACCTCCCCTGGCTTTGGAGTCACGTCCTCTGGCACAGATTGGAGTAACACAGCATGCCCTGCCCTTACAAAGGAAAATTAGGCATGTCTAAGGGAATGAGTCACCTCCTTTTTCTAGGCCTCAAGTTGTATTAGAATCTGTGCATGCTATTTAACGGCACTATTAATTTTCTCCTTGCTTCATTTCCCCATAAATGGAAGTTCAGGAATTGCCCACCGGTTTCCTGCATGTTACAAGGCACCATTATAAAACTTGGCTGCATTGCCTGCTGTTTCCATAAGACTGGAGCCCTGTGACTTGTCTGGGCATGACAGTGGCTGAGTTCTCTGGAACTTAGGCTTTTCTTTAAAGGTTTTTGTTTGTTAAAGTGATTGCTTCTTGGTGGCATCCAAGCTCCTCTGCACAACTGGGGTGTAGGGGGACAGGTGCCAGCTTAGCAGGGTGCACGAGCCAGTCTTGATGGTGCCACCACAGCCATCTCGAGCCTTTTGTCCACTGCTGTTGCCAGCGAACAGATTGTTCCCTGCACTCAGTGCTGCAAATCCTGCTTGGCCAATTTAGCCTTACTGTGCTTTATATATGTTGAGCCTAACTCATTAAATTACCATCTGACCCAGATGTTTCTCCATCTGTGCATCCCACCTGTTTGTCTGAAGCAGAAAATGACTAAAAGACTGGCTTTTAAATCTTTTAGTTGGATAAAAGAGAGGGGGGATTACAGGGTTTCCTCCTTGGTTTGGCTTCTGTGGCAGCTAAATAAATATTTTCTCAAACAGGTGTTCAGTGTGTGAGGACCTCTTCTGGTTTTCACGCTTTTTGCCTTGAGGGAACTGGCCTATTTGACATCAGCTTGTCTGCTTGAGAAGCCCTGCATGATGTAAAGGATCCTGGGACATGTGCACACTCAGGCACCAGGGCTATGCTGTTGACCATTATGTACTGAACAGGTGACCTAGAACACTCCTGACACTTCCATCTGATCATGCATTGCAAGAAAGGGGTGGTTGTGGTGGTGAGGAAGCATGTCTGCCATTATTAGTGATCTTCTGATAAGCTTCCAAAGTACAGCATGCACCCCCAGTTTGAAAACTCCTGTTTGTGGGCTAAGCTGCATCTACCTTGACTGCCCTTCCACTCAGAGCAAATCGGAATATTGTGTGCTTCTTCTGAGCGACTGGTTGCCCACTCCAAGCATAAAGCATATTCTAAGAGACTTTAGCATTTCTGGGCAAAGAATGGGGCCTCTGAAGAGACAAGGCTCCAGCCTGTGAAATTTGGCAATTAACCACCTGGTTATAGGCCTTGTTCCAACATAACTGTTGGCATTCAGCACAATGAATTGTGCCCAGCATTCCTTGGAGCAGACCCCTTGAAAGGAATGAGCATGGCTAAGTTAGGCCCATTAATCTTATCTAGTCCAAGGATAACTTAGTTGGCTACAGCCCAATGGCTCTTTGAAGTAACTCCTTGAAGTTCACACATGTGCAAAAGCAATGCCAGAGTTTTGTTTTCCTCAGCAGGTCTGTGATTTTATGAGCAGGTTCATTGATGCCTGGCAAACAAGCAACCCTGTCGCACAGGCATACGTAGCATTGGATTCTTGCAAAACTGCCTTCAAACAGAGCACAGCTGGTACCAGCTCAAATCCCCTGAATGAATCTACCCACCTGTTTGCCCCCTTCCTCTCTCTGGTTTTGCTGCCCTTCAGGGATGAGGAGGGGAGCTCCTCCATGGCAACACAACCACCTTCACTACTGGGCTTCTGGTTAGGTCCTCCAGAAACAGAGACTACCTCCAATTGTGAAGGTAGAGCATGTGGCCCTTTTGGTGCTATGTTGCCCTTTTGGCAGTGATTGGCGCACCCTCTACTCCCCCCTACCCACTGCTGTGCCTGGTCTGTGCAGCTGCTTTTTCTTCTTGCAGGTAGAAAGAAGGTGCACTCAGACACCTCATCTGCTGGAAAATTCTCTTGGCTGACTGATGAGTTGCTGCTGGCAAAGGGCCCTTTCTTTAAAGATAATAGCATAATTGCTCCCCTGTGTGTCAGGGCTTTACCCTCCTGTTTGTATCTCTTTTCTTTCTTTTTCTTTTCAAGGTACTGCTCGCTCCTGCTTTCCCTGCCCCCAGCAAGAGTGCTTTTTGGGGGAAGGGGGGTGGCCCCTGCCCTTCCTAGTCAGCTAAACATCAGGAAGGCTTTTCCAGTCACAATTTCCTTATCTTTCTGCCCTATTCCCATTGCTTTTTATTGTTAATCTTCTAGAAGTTTTTTGGGGGTTTTTTTTAATGAATGGAAGCACTTTGGCCACTTAGGTGCTCAGTGATTGACTTAAAAGGATTTTGAGGCCCCAGGCCCATGATACAAATCTGCATGTGCTAATGCAAACTGAGGCTAAGTTTCAGAGGGGGAGTAATTTAAAAAAATAAAAAATAAAGGGGAGAAGGTACAGGAGATATCCACCCCAGGGCAAAAGACTTGGAACTCAAGCCCCCTGATCCCCTGGCAACAGCCCTGGACTTTGACACACAAACACACACACCCCAACACCCCTGGGGATTGCAGCTATGAGGCTGTGTGTGTTGTGGCTTCTCCCACTGCTTGGTCATACATTATGGGTGTGGGGCTGCTGATCTGAATGAGGGTCTCTTGAGGCTGCTGAGGTGCCATACTTCACTCCCGGCCTGTGCCACTCCTACCCACCCTGGTTCTTGCACGGCTGTCAGCACAGCCCCCTATTTGGCATGCATCAACTAGTCTGTCTATTTATAGACCAAATTAAACCAAAGTGTTTTGTACGTCTTCACATTTTTCAGCACTACAGCACTATTTAAGACTGTGCTCCCTATTCTTAAAAATCACTGGATTTCCTTCCCCACCCCCTGCTGCTAATCTTTTCGGGATTTGCTTTGCTTTGGGGTTGTCTCTGCTCCAAACGGCTGCAGGGAGTGCTGGCTGTGGCAAAAACCCTTCTGCACCTCAGGATATTGGTATCTCTGGTGTGGAGGAAAACCTTTCCAAAGTAATGTTGGTTATTCTGCCTTTGTGGCAGTGTAATAGCAAGAGTTGCACCACTACAAAACTATGACTTACTGCTGGAAGCAAAAGGGGCCTAATTTTGACCCATCTGCTCCATCATGGCGCAGATGCATCTGTTGCTGAGGAGAAGGACTCTAGTGATGCTCTGGGAAGGAGGAGGACCAGAGGATGGGAGGTGGGGTGCCTAGGCGAACCCTGCCCTGCAGGTCTTGACTGCAGCAAATGCCCTAAGCTCTGGGATGCCTTTTGCAAAGGGACAACTCCTGCGCAAGCAGACCGCCTGCATCCCAGGAGGGAGCGGCTGGTTTGCAACAGTTCTGCTGCTTTCATGTCAGCCCTCATTAGAAAGCAGATTTTCTTCTTCAGGCAGCAGAAAGCTGAAGACAAGTTGAGATCTGTCAGCTGGCTGGAACGGTTAAGGAAGGAAAGGGAATCTGTGCAACCTGACCCCTGTTGTGTGTAACTTCAGGAGTTGGGGGGGGGAGCAGTTAGAACTGTGGCTTATATGTGCCTGTGTAGTCTCATTTTTCTTCTCTTGGGGTGGGGAGGAAAGAGGTGCTTCTCCTCTCCCCCTTCCAGGCATTGCTGAAGGATTTGCATTATCAATTGAGTTTAAACACATTAAACCTTCCCCCAGGATGTCAGCTGAGACACTTCCTCTTCTTATTCAGGGATCATTCACTGCGTGGGGGAGGGGGCTGGGAGGGAACCTGCTTTGTTCATTCAGCTCCTGATCCAGGCAAAGTGCTGTTTCGTAGGCAAGAGTCATAATAATTAGACCTCCTCCTCCTCAGCTGTCTAGGGGCGCCTGGGAGGGAGATGCTTCTGACACCCTGGGTGGGTTGGTGCACTGCAGGCCTTGCATCCCACCAAGGGGGGGTTAACAGTTACGAGGGATGCAAGCTAATTTCCTTCAGCAGAGTAGACAGCTCCCCATCTCACCCCAAGTACCCCCACTATAGACTTTACAGCTTGAAAATGTGTGTGCAAAGGCAGCTGGTACCTGAGACCAAAGCTGGGCTTGTTATGGTCACAGAGCCAAAATGGATTTTTGTGGAATAAAGAAATCTACAAGATTCTGCTTACTGTGCACAAGTTGTTCAAGATACAGAATTTGAGGTTGGTTCTTAGCTTAAGAGTTCACCTGACAAAACAGAGCTAAGGTTGTAACTGTGTAGCAGCAGAGGTACCCTCAGCTGGCATCCCTCCCCCACTCATCCTCCATGGCTGAAGCCCCTTCAGGGCAGATGCATATGTGTGTGCCTCCTTTTGTCCCATTGACATGCAGGTGAGACAAAGACCAAGGGGTGGGGGGATTTGTATGCTTTGGAATTCAGGGGGAACCAGAGAGGCGGCTAATGAAAATTAAGGGATTACCCTTTCATCCTGTGCCTGCCTGACACTGTGGCAGGAAGCGCCAGGGTGTATCCAGTGCAGAAGTGCTTATGGCCTGTCATGTAACTCTTGTTCTCGTCTGAGTGCTGGAATAAACCCACATTCAGTCCTGCCTCTGTGCTCCCCCCACCCACCCAATATTTCTGCAGCAGCAAGTTTGCACACCCCACTGGTTCTACTTAGTCACAGCGGCAGTGGGTGGGGGAGCAGTTGCCACAGAGCAAAAGTCTTCTGGCTCTTCCTTTTAGACTTGTTGCCCTTTGCTGTTCTGTGTCATGGGTTAAGGAGCACAATCGAATGGCTCACTCTAGTTTTCACACACTTTGCTGTTTCTAATGCACTTGGTCTGCTATTGCCTCTGAATGGGCAAACAGAAATCCCAGTTGTGTATATTTGCTTCCTCTCCATTCCCTGATGAATAATTTTGTGAAACTTGAAAGAAAGCTGGCGTACTCTTAGACTAGCATTAAATTGGTGTCGTTAGTAAAAGGCATGATGTTACCTTCTGCCTGACCCCCTTGGGACTGACATGACAGCCACATTCTATTCTGTTGCATGCGTCTAGAATCATAGAATTGTAGAATTGGAAGGGATCCACCCCAAGGGTCCTCTAGTTCAACCACCTGCAATGCAGGAATCACAGCTGCCTGACAGATGACCACCCAACGTGTTTTAAAACCTCCAGTGAAGGAAAGTCCACCTCCTTCTGAGGTAATTCATTCTACTGTTGAATTGCTCTTGCTGTCCTTTCTTGTACTTTGAATCCATTGGTTCAGGTCCCATCCTCTGGAGCAGCAGAAAACAAGTTTGCTCCATCCTCCATGTGACACCGCTTCAGATATTTAAAAACGGCTTCTCTTTTCTAGGCTAAACATACCCAGTTCCTTCAAGTGTTCCTCATAAGGCTTGGTTTCCAGTCCTTTTATCATCTTGGTTGTTCTCCTTTGCACACATTCAAGCTTGCCAATATCCTTCTTAAACTGTGATACCTTTTTCACATTGTTGACTTACATTAAGCTTGTGGTCTACCGAGACCCCTAGATCCCTTTTACATGGGTTGGTTCTTCATGGTTCTGAGTTTGGGCAACTTAACAGCAACCATTTTGAGGCACAGGAATATGGCTACTTCCACACCCACAGCCCTACTCACTACTCACTACAAAATCCCTGGGATTTTTGCAGCATTGTGGTCCAGAACTGACTGCAAAGATTAAGAGGGCGAACTGGAGCCTTTCAGCCCCTTTGACCAGAGTCACTTTGGAAGTGTCCTTCCTCCCATTTTATAGATGGGGAAGTAAGGGCAAGCAGTAATGAGAGCAGAATTGAAAACATCCTTCCGGGTCGAAGTTCACATCACTTCTTCCCTGAAAAGAATGAGCTTTTTGCACCAGCAGCTATTCATGTATCTGCTAGGAGTTCTGCTTGTTGGGTCAGGGTGAGCAGCACTGCAAAGTCCCAGACACTCTTACTCTTTCTCTCTCTCTCTCAGTAAGAGAAAAATCTGCTCCCAAGTCAGCAAGAATTGACTTCAGGATTCCTCTTCTGGGCAGAGAAGAGGAATTTGGGGCAATAAGAAGCATCCCCTTTCCTAACAGGTGGCTGCCTGACCAGCCATCCTGGGAACCTGCTCAAAAGGTGGAACAAAAATCACTAGGTCATTAGCTAGGACTGGCTGGGGATCCTCCCGCACAGAAGCCACAAGAGGCTGGGCTGCCCACAGATCAGTGGTCAGAGGTGAGTCCAGGAAATTGGCGTCACATTGTAGATGCCCATGGGCACACATGCTGACAGCTGCCGCTCTGAGCCACAGGCCAGTGGATGGTTGCATAAGAAGGGGGGGTTGTGCAGATGGGCCAGGCGCCTGGTCAGCTGTGAACACTCGCCAAAGCGTGTGATCTTGACTGGTCGATAGCAGAGCACCGCTGGCCAAGGTGACTTCTAGATTGGAGCTGCAGCTCGTTGCCATGTGATAGATAAGTTTTCAATTTAAACCACCACAGCTTTATTGTCCAGGCCGTGTGACGCTGCCACCTCCAGCAGAGCTATCCTCTGCCAACCACCTGCACTGTCTGGTGGTTTACACGTGAGTCGGAAAAGCATTGCTGATGGAAGGGAGGTGGCAACGCACCAAAAGCCTGGGATCCCCATTTGTCCTTGGCTCCTTATCTCTGCCCATCTTGTTGTGTCCTTCATGGAGCAGGCCGCTTTTCCCCAAGAGATGTCAACAGTGCTGGCCCCCACCCAGCCAAAGCTCTTGCTTAACAAGAGTTTTATGTATTTTTCATGGGTGATAAGTTTAATACATTCTCTATCTCTTTGTCTACTTCTTCTCCATAGCACAGAGCTCTGTTCTGCAAAAGGTGAGTGACTTAAATAATCGGAACCTTTCTCTCCCCCGCCCCCACTCTTGCAGGAGACATGGCCTTCTCACACCGAGACAACCTGATCCACGCCTTTCTGCGAGGAGCAAGAGATCTGGATGGCACTCTTAGGGCAAGCAGCCTGTCCAATCTGGGAGAGCTGTGCCAGATACTTCATTTTCAGCTGGGCTCTGTGGTCCATGAGGTATTGGCCACATCACCTCCTCGCTAAAGCTTTTGTTGCTGCTGGAACATGGCAGGCTACTGGGGTGGCATGCTTGGAAAGGGAGGCTTATATAACTTCCTCCCAAATGGAAACCTGTGGCCTGATTAGTGCTGGTATATACCCCCATGCTATGAATTCCTTTTGCCTCTTTGGCTTCTGAGAGCCCCTTCGACATACTCCCTCTGCCTAGTGCACTCCAGGTAGATGTTTTAGACTCCCATTAGCCCCCGGCAGCACAGTCATGTGATACTGGGACAGATGAGTGTTGCAGTTCAAAGCATCTGGAGGGCACTGTGTTGGGGAAGGCTGCTGTAGGGCATTCTCACAGACTTCTTTTTTTCAGACAGCGTAACGCCTTCCAGTGCCTTTCACCTTCTGCCCACTAATACACTCTCCACTGTCCTGTGCTGTTTGATAATTGGGTATCTTCCATTCAACATGGTCAGTTTGACTGGTGTCTTTCAAGGTTAAGTCCATCAGAGCCACAACTGGGTGCTCCAGGGACAGAACACGCACAACCATGCATTTCTGTGTCAAGCTGCGGAACACCTGCCTCATACCGAGTCAGGCTATTGGCCCATCTAGCTCAACATTGTCTGTTCTGACTGGCATCACCTCTGCAGGGTTTTAGACAGGAGACGTCCCCAGCCCTACTAAGAGATGCCAGGAACTGAACCAGGGACCTTCTGCCTGCAAAGCCAATGCTCTATCAATGAGTCACAATCCTACCTCAGTCTCTGCAACCTCTCCTGGGTTTTTGTATCTGTATTTTCTCTTCCTCCGTAGCTCAGTGGTAGAGCATCTGCTTTGCATGCAGAAGGGCTCCAAATTCAACCCCTGGGGTCTCTAGCCAGGGCTGGGAATATCCCTGTCTGAAACCTAGAGAGCCTCTGCTGTTCACTGCAGATTGGACTGAGCCAGATGGACCCAATGATCTGACTTGGTAAAAGGCAGCTTCCTTTGCAGAGATGAGAGCCACAGGCCAAGTACAATGCTAAGTATCTAGTACAGGGGTCAGCAACCTTTTTCAGCTGTGGGCTGGTCCACTGTCCCTCAGACCATGTGGTGGGCTGGACTATATTTGGGGGGGGGTGAACGAATTCTTATGCCCCACAAATAATCCAGAGATGCATTTTAAATAAAAAGACACATTCTTCTCATGTAAAAACACACTGATTCCTGGACTGTCCACAGGCCGGATTGAGAAGGTGATTGGGCTGCATCTGGCATACGGACCGTAGGTTGCCTACCCCTGACCTAGTAAGTAAGGCTTACTGGAAGCTAGGATGTGCCTTTTGCTTTCTGGAAGGTTGCTGAATGGACCCTTAACAGCCAAGAAGTCTGTGTTTTCCATTTGCCCTCTGCCACTTCTCCAACAACTAGCTGGAGCAGGGCTGTGAATGCTCTTGCGTCCAATGATGCACTTCGGTGCTATGGAGATGGGTGCCATGGAAATACGTGCCCACCAGGCAGGTACATCTTGGTATTCACAGGCAGGAGGGATCAGTTCTCTGGATTCTGCACAGTAATGCTTTTGGGGGCTACCTCCAAGGATAATAAGTTCAGAGGCATGTTGTGTGCCATTTCAGGGTCACCTGACCCTGGCCCTCCTGCTGGGTTGAGAAACCTGATGGAAGCTCTGTCCAGGGTTAACTAATCTGCAGAGACACACACTACATATTGCAGCCTTCTTCTCTGGTTTAGTTAAACCAGAATGACATCCTAATTGCTACCACAGGTGAGAAAGTGCAAGCCACCCATACGTATATGTGAAAAGGGCTATGGGGTGGAAAAGAAGTCCATAATTGGACCACTGTGTTCACAATATACCTTTGAAGCACATTCAAATCACCTTCTTTCCCTCAAAGAATTCTGGGCACTATTATTGACCCCTCACAGTATTACAAATCCCAGCAACCCTTAACAAACCAGTCCCCAAGTTTATTTGAGGTGTGTGGGTCTGTGTGCTTTTAATGTGCCTTAAAGACACAACCTTTGTCCTCAATAGCTGTGAGTAAAATAGGCTGTGTTTTTTTATTCATTAAAAAAACACATTATGGGGTATCTAGGTAAAATGATCATAAGCTTCATTCCCACAAAGGTTTGAAAGAATCCTGCTGGGCGCATTGGAAGCAGCCTTATGTAGCAGGTCAGACCCTTTGTCTGTCTAGCTCAGCAGTGTCTGCTCTGAACAGCAGCAGGCTCTCCAGGGTATTGAGCAAAAAGAGAAAGCTTGCACATCACCTGCTACATATGTGAGATTATTTTAATTGGAGAGGTGTCACCTGGCAGGATTGAACAAGGCGCCTTTTGCATGCAAAGCAGCTGCTTCCCCTCCTCCTTCCTGCAGTGCTGAAGCTGGAATAGCAGGAGGTGTGAATGCCCTCTTGGTGTCAGGAGCTGTGCATGACAGCTCTGCTGCTGCCTATTGCTATAGCTCCCGTGCATCTACAGCAGCACACAGGGAGGAGGTGGGTGGCTTGGTGCAGATTTCAAGCCGCACTTTTCTATGTGTGAGGAGGGAGAGAGAGAAGGATGCTTCTGGCTCTGCAGCGGGCCAGGTGCCAGCTGATTCAGCAGGAGCTGCTGCAGAGGGGGAGGGGGAAGTGCTGCCCTTGAGCTGAAGGAAGGAGGCTACAGTGGGGAACTCTGTGCAGGGCAGAGGCTTCTCTGCCAGTTTCAGAACCAGCAGCAGGGACCTCCTTGGAGGCCAGGAAACAGGAGTTCTGCCCACTCACCACAAGCTGGGTGGCAGTTTCCATACCACGAATGTGAATAAGCTCCAAGGACGGAGCAGCTGCCTTTGCTCAGGAGTTTGCAATACTGACCCTTCCCACCAAGATGGGGAAGAAAACTTCATCCTCTCTCACTTAAGTTTCCTTAGTGCAGCATTCCATAAGGGGTTTTAGAGCAAAGGCTGTCGCTCAATGGCAGAGCATCTGCTTTGCATGCAGAAGGTCCCAGGTTCAGGTTCAGTCTTTAGGTGGGGCTGGAAAGATCATTTTCTCAACCTCCTATTCTCTTGACTGTTCTGGTGTGGTGGGCTTTGATTTTGCGCTCAGGTTTGCTGTGCAGGCACTTCTGAGTCCCCAGCCCATCACAGGTGAGCAAAGTAGTCTGCCTGTCCTAATAGGGCCTATGACTTTATCTGTTTGACAGGTGACCTCATGTCTGACAGCAATAGCGAAGACCGATGGTCAGGTTGAAGTGCGGAGAGCAGCCGTCCATGTGGTGGTGCTTCTGCTACGTGGCCTCAGCACAAGAGCGGTGGAGGTGAGCTGCTTCCCTTCTTGATTCTGCCCAAAAGAGAGATGCCCTGTAGCCCAGGCTCCTCTGCTTTTATGGTTGAGACTGGAGGTAAAAGTTTTTCCCCACTCCCCCTAGGGCCGGAGCTGTGCTTTGCCCTGCAAGTGCCCTGTGTGAAGAGAAGTGGAACGGGGGCAACACCAAAGAAAATGGACAAAAAGTAAAAGGGGAGGCACGCCTTGAGCTGGTGCCCAGAAGCCGCCATTTATGTTGTGAAAATTGCCTATCATGTCTCAATTGTAGGTCTTCTCCCCTCTATAGCCTAGCAACAGAACCTCTTTCACTACTGAAAGTGAAAGCCTATACTCAAGAGCAAACAGTCTTTTACTCAGAATAAGACCCATTAAGGTCTGAACACATTAAGCCACCTTCACAAAATAAACGACTTGCCGGCAGCAGACTGAAGGCTGCCTCTTCCCTTTTCCTGTGTGGGCAGCATCCTTGCAGCAAGGCTCAGACTGCCACAGCTGGTTCTATCCCAGAAGTTGGCTCTGAGCAGTGGGAATTTCATTTGCAACTACCATTGACTCACTGGAAAAAAGATTACAAGAATCATGTTCATCTGATTGTTGCTGCAGGCAGTCAATGAAAGGTGTGGCCTTCTAGAATTGCCCTGGTGCCCTTCCAAGGTGAATTGCCTCCCAAGTTGAGGCAAAGGGCAGTAGAAGGAAATTCTGTTCCTGCTAGGATTTCTCTTCAGCCATATTCTCAGCTTGTTGCTGCTGTTGCACTCTTGTCCTTGGTTATTACAGAGGGTGGAAGTGACCTCGAATGAACGGCACAATGGGAGGTGGAAACACTTCCTAAAGTTTTGAAAGTATAGGAAGCATTATCCCCCTTGCAGTTTTTAAAGGGAAAAGACATTTGGAAATATTTGGATTTATTTTTTTTAGTATTTACTAGACTGCCAGTACCAAACCCAATTTATATCTCTGGAGCTCAAAGATACAATATACATACAGTTTCCGTGACATTGTCAAACAGGTATAAAACATTTGCAGAGTAGCAGCAGAGAAATGAAAATCTTCAGGTTTTCATTGAGCAGGAGTATTTTGGTTTCTGCCCCCAACCCAAGAATGGTGTCACAGGCCACTTCCTTTTAAGAATAGGAGATGAATGTTACTCCATTAGAGCCTCTGCATGGTTAATAATAAAATTCAAAAACAATCAGCAAACTTCCCAAAGCTGATAAGCAAGTTGCCAAACTGCTGAGGGTTTTGGGATGTATTCCTTGTATTGAGGCTGTGTATAGTGAATGAGGCCTGCTGGGACTTGCGGCTTCTACAGGCTGCCCACCTGAGTTTCAAAGTGCAGCAGCATCAGGTGGAGCTGCCTTGGCGTGGTTGGCCAGGGGCAGGCCAGGAGCCCTGGGCAAGCTGCCACCAGCGGATCTCTTTTGGCAGGACACTGGGGAGTGCCCCATCCAGGAAGCCCAGGGACTGCGTCTTCTTCCTCCTGCTCCTTTCTACTTTCGCTCCTAGCCAAGCCCTGTGGGGATGGGCTAGCCATGCTGGGCTCTGAGAGAAGCTGCTTGACTCTCTGCCTCTCCTGCACAGCAGTGCTGTTTCTTTGGCAAGGCTGCTTCTCTTTCTACCTTTGGACAGGCAGAAGCCTCAGTGTCAGGCACCTGAAATGAAAAGGGCATTTATCCACAAGTCACTCTTCAACTGCCTTTCAAGGGGGGGAAAGTCCAGCCCTCTGCGAATGCACACACCTTTGCAGGCCAGGCCCACAATTTGGTTGCTCTTGTGGCTCTCTCATCAAATGCCCCTCATGCTGAAATTGGGAACTTTTCAGGCTGAGCAAAACTCTTTGCCTTGTGACCCCATTGCATCCTCATGCCAGTGGACTCTTTTCCTTCCTGTTGGGCTCTGGAGAGCTCTGCACCTCAGGAGAAAATGAGGACGGGAGCCCTCATTCCAAATTTGAACCGAACCAGCACAAGAGTTGCTTTCTCACCTCCAGCACAATCATGGCTGCAATTTTGCAAGTTTTGACCCGGGCAGATTCCCATCTGCAGCTTTCTGGCTTTTACTGACTTTCGTTTTCTTTTTTGCTGTTTCGCTTTCCCAACATTGAAAGTTCTGGGAAATCACCATTATCTTTTCTCAATGTCTCATGCAGCAAGGCAACTCTGTTTAGATCATTGCAAGCTCCATTACCTGCCACCAGGTAGCTCTGTACAGTAGTTCAAGGGTCAGCAGTCTGTTTTCACTACACAAATTAATCTCAGGTGCTCAGGGTCTGTAATGAAGCCTGGGCAAAGCAGAAGGGTGTGTAGAGCACCTTAGATTCAGAATCCAAAAGATGATAGATGGGTGTATACTAATTCCTCGCTCTTACCTGTTACAAACATTTGATCACACCTTGACTAGAATGTGACAGGTCTACAAGGGGCCAGCTAACATTGCTCTGGGGGCCAGATCAGGCTTACGGAATTTTCTAGCACAGATCTAGACAAAAGTATTTTCTGACAGGCAGCTGCAAAGGGAGCCCATTAACCTCAGTTGGTTGGACAGCTGAATGGCTTCTGGGGCATGAAAGGTTCTTTTGGACATTACACATAACTCTGCCTCTCCAATGGGTGTTTCTTTTCCTGGTGTGGAATAAGCATTCTAACAGCTCACTATCATGACCTCAGTTGTTCCTAGGAATAAGAGGGAATCTCCCAGACTTGTGCAATGCTTTCTTGCTGGAGGTGTTTTCCTATGGTGTTGCAGAAAAGGAAGTGGTGTCACGCCTTCAACAGGGGCAAAGGCTATCGATCCTATATTGGGGAAGTGCCTTAGCTCAGTGGTAGATCATCAGCTTTGCATGCAGAAGGTCCTAGGTTCAATCCTGGGCATTTCTGCATAGGGCTGGAAGGAAACCCGGTCCGAAACTTGGGAGAGCTGCTACCAGTCAGCGTTGACAATACTGAGCTAGATGGACCAATGGTCTGACTCCACATAAGGTCGCTTCCTATGTTCCCATAGCCAGGCTTTGATCTGCTGTGGTGGATATGTGGGCACAAGAAGCCACAGGGCTTTGCCTTATTTCTGAAGTGAGCATTCATCAGGCAGTCTCCAGCAAGCCCTATCTATAAAAGTTTCTGTTTTCAGAATCTGCTGCTGCCTGTTTGTTGCAAGATGCAAAACAGGCCTCTGTTGCTTTGCAAAGCTCACCTGCTGCAGGAGCTCAGTGGCCAGAACTCCCTTGGTGCAGTGGGAGGTGGAGGAGGCAGAAAATGTGTTGGGCATTAATGAGCAGCTTGTCTGGGTGGGATTACCTGGCTGTCCCACATGCAGACTGTGATTAGAGAAATTTGGAAAGGTACTTTCCCCCTCCCCCTGAACCTCATCCTGACAATCTTCTGGCTCTCAGATCCTTCAGAAAAAGGCGGGAAACTATTGAGAAAGCATTGCAAGACAAAGCAGAGGCCAGTCTGGCCTTTGTTTGGTGCTCAGAAAGAACACTCTCCCATACTCTGCCTGTGCATTATAGGCACTAGGGATCCAAATAGTTCACTCCCACACACTCAACCCTAATTCAACTTTCTCTTTCCTCTTCCCCTTCCCCCCCCCCCCCCAGGTTCTCCAGGATGCCCTGCTGGAACTCTACCACCTGCTGAAGTTTGTGGTGCGCTGCGAACAAGATGAGGTCACTGTACTTCACGCACAGCTGGCCTTGGAGGAGCTGGATGGCATCATGAGGGAGCTCCTGTTTCCCCGTCAAACTCTTGAGAAAAAGATTGAGGTCCTTCCTTAGGGAAGCACAAGTGCCAGTGGATCAGAGGACTCCTGCTACTGTGCGGCACAACCTCAGAACTGCACCAGGGTCTCTCACGGAAGTGGGGTTTGGGAGCTGAGCAGCTGGGCTCTTGAACCCCTGTGGTCTCAGAAGTGCTAGTCTGCAATGAGGGAGTGGCTGGTCCTTGAGCTGTGGCTCCTGAGAGCAGACTGGGCCATTGCCTGCCTAGAAGATTGCTCCCATGGGCAGATTTTGCAGAAATTTGACACTTATTCAAGGGTGTCCCTTATGAGGGAAGGACTGTCTTGGGGCTGCTGCTGGGATCAGTCAATGCAATAAATTTAATAGGGGGAAACTTTCTTGTGTGGAAAGTGTGCATGCCTTCATAGACCAGGATTCAGATACTCCACCTGGCTGGTAGCAGATGGTGTCCAGTGGAGAGGGAGTCAAATTTAGAGCAGGTATAAGAGGAGTGGCTATGATCATGAATTGCAGAGTCCCTGGCTGTAATCCCTGGTTGGCTGTGAAGTCACCAGCTGGCCCTATGTGAACTCCTGCCTTGTATCCTCTTCCTTGGTTTTTATGGGATGTTTCTTGTTTGCATGAAATGAAGCTGAAGTGTGGTCCCGTCCTTCACAGGCCCTTGACTGGGGCATTCCATTCTGCCTTTTGCTTTTTGTTTTGGACTGTAAATGCAGCAGAGGAAAGTTTGTCTAGATTTCTTTTTTTTTAAATCCTGCATGACTCAGTTATAGGAAGTCAGCTCAACAAGTTTACAGCTAATTGTACTTTGGAAATTCTGTAAAAATTGTATTTTAAAGAAATAACAGGAGGGGAACAAGTCACACCTCAGAATGGCATGATGGAGCTTGAACAGTCCTCAGCCATCCCTTCTGTGGTGGCTAGAAAGGGACACTCAAGGCCACTGCCACATTGGCTGTCTGATTAGTCCTCCCCAAAATCTTCACCTAGTGCAGCCTCATAGCTTAGCTCTAACAACAAAAAGAGTCAGTCAAGGCAAAATCCAATATGTCCACCTTTTCTGTACACAATACAATAAAAGGAAGGTATGGAATGGCAGCTGCTGGGCCAGGCCTTCCACCACTCCAACCCTTTTCTTGAGAATTAGAGTAAAGAAGGTGCCACAGAGCATTAAAGGGAAACACTTCTTCTAGTCATCTTATGCAACAACATTGACTGCTGCAATTGCATTCTTGACAACCTGGAAACGCTCACACCTACTTCATACAAATTACTTTCATTGAAATACCCTGCTGTGTGTTGGAAACTTTGCTGATGCATTGAAATGCTTCTTCACTCTTGACTAATCCTTACACTCATCGGGAGTAGTAGCAGCTGCATGAATAGTGTATAATCTGTGGGCATGGAGCCTTCCACCAGGGATTGCTAACCTGTCTCCCCCCCCCCCCCCCGATGTTCCTGAAGTCACATTGTCCCCAGCCAGCATGGCCAGCGATGATGGATGTTGTAGTCCCAACAACATCTGGAATGCCAAATACTTCACATCTTCAGCTCACACAGACACAGAGGCAAAAAGCTTGCAGTCTGGGGCATGCAATGGAGAAAAGAGGAAGGAAGGAAACAATACAGGCAAAGTTGAATGTACTTAAGTTCCACTCTTGTTAGGAATGAGGATTAAAGGGCCAAGCTAAAGGGCATGAGGAATACCTGGCATGGGCCACTTGAAATGGAGAGAGTATGGCCTGGGAAAGAGGGATAAAATAACACTTTGAGGCCAGTATCGGGATGTTCATAATCCCCTCCCCCAAACTATTACTGCATAGATAACCTTTGGCATCATTTCCAACTACAATTCTATGATTCTGTGTTGGATTCACCAACTGAAGCTGATTCTGCAGTGGTTCTGTTGTGCTTTCCTTGGCCCTGAACAGTGTGTGAGAGTTTAGGACAGGACTGAGTGAGGAGCATCAGTCCACACCATCCCTGGCCCCTCAACATCGCTTGCCATTGACCATGCTGGCTCGGGCTGTTGGGCATTGCAGTCCAGCAATATTTGTGGCAAGGAGGTGCACAGGTTTCCTGCTCCAGGTTTATAGAGAAGAAACCAGGTGAAGGGTTGCTGCTTTGGGGCATAATGGTACCAATGCCCACTATAGTGCTGCCCTGCCTTCATCTCCCCACTCCTGGCTTCCGAAGAACCAGCATCAATTTCCCTGTAAGGAGCGGCCCAATCCCTGAGCCCCTGCTCTCAGCCTTTCCTTTTTCTCCTCTGCAAGTCCTGCTGGAGGGTGTCTGCTTGTCCCCAGGTGACCTCTCAAGCAGTCTGTGAACAGAGTGTGTGCTAACATCCAGCAGGTGTCCATCAGGAAGGAAGGGGTGCTCCAAAGACCCACAGACATCAGAGCTGGGTTGGGGGAGCAGGCGCAGAGGGGTGAAATCTGTCTGCTTTGCTGCCAAGAGCCTACCGTAGCTTCAGGTAAAAAGATTGCTTTCTATGGGGCGTCATGCATATGCTGGGAGCTCAGGTTGTGCCACCAGCACTTCTGCTGGCAGTTGTTATGTGACTCTTCCGCAGCCTGCGAGGAACCAGCACACTGCAGAATAATGAGTTCCAGAGAGAAGGACCAGCAGCTGATGGCTAACAAAAAAAAATAAGGAGAGAAAGGGGGGTGGGGGAGAGCGAACTGAAGACAATTGTTCTTCCCAAGTTCCTGGATCACGCAAGGAAAGCCGTCCCTGAGAATAGCAACCCTGGTGAAGCTATTTCTACAGCCAGGGGGTGTTTAGAGAGATGGTTTTTATAGACTCCAGGAATAGCTATACAGTCTGTGCGTTGGAGGAAAGGGGGGTTGGGGGGGGAGCAGCAGCTCAGAAACTGTCATTGTCCTTGCAGGGGGAGTGCCGGGTTGCTGCAGGTTCCACTCCCTGGGGTAGGCGGTTTCTGTGCCCTTCTCTGTCCCAGGGCAGGGGGCTGCAGTCCCCGGAGTCCCTTAAAGGGTTCAGCCTTGCCTAGGTAGAAGGTTGACTGTTTGGGTTTTTTCCCCTTTCTTTTTTGGTACCTTCCTGCCCTGGGATGATTTTGCCTGGGCTCTGGCTTCTCCGCCCCTCCACGCTTGCTCCAGCCAAAGGTTATTGAATGAAAAGTCTCTTTTCTTCTTGGCTGCAATTCTGCCTCTGCAAACAAGGCGATTCCTGTGCAGGAGGGGGTGGGAAGCTGCTTCTCTACCTTGGAAAAGCAGGGTTTTCCCCCCGCTTCTCCCGAAGAGGCACAGAACCCTGAGCGAGAAGCCGTGCCTGGGAGCTGCCTTTGCATCGAAAGGTAAGATGTTGCAATGCTGGCGGTTCCACAATGGAGTGGGTTTGAAAGGCAGCACCTGCTGATACGGTCCTGGGCGGAGGGTGTGCATCTTGCCTGTGGTCCCCAACGGGCACTCTTGTCCCTGCTCCAGCCTCAGCCAGGCACCTGTGGTTTGCCATGGGGCAATTCCTGCTGCAGCTGGTCTAGCAAAGAGGAGAGGAAACCTTAAGCTCACAGCAGTCCTTTCTCTGCTCCCTCATTGTCCTTTAGATACTGGACCCCGGCAACTCGTGGGAGGGGGCCAAGGGGGTGTGTCTTGCGGCTGCGGCATGCCGAAAGGGACCCTCTTATAAGTGTCGTTTCTGCTGAGGGTGTCCCCCAAAGGGACCCCTTTCACAGTATCGCTCCTGGCCATTGTGCGCTTGACCCTTTGGGTGCTCTCTGAGTGCCTCTGCTGGATCCAGGGTGGCACACACTGAAACTCAGCCCCAGGCACTGCCTTCAGTTCCTGAAAAGGTGCAAGTGAGCTTGTATTAATCCTTTTGCATAAAGTGTGGTCCTGTAAATGGAGGATCCCCTTACAGCGTCTTTTCGAGACTGTCTCTGAATGACAAGTGGGAGGCAGTGAGAGCAGGCAGGGAAGAAATGGATCTGGATGCCTGGTTCTTCGATGGGCTCATTGCGTGGCTTTGGCAAACTGTCGTCTGGTGGGACTTGCTTGTTCATCTGTGAAATGGGCACCACAGTGATCGTATGGGGTGGCTGTAAGGGAAAGCAGTATAACAACTGTAAGCTTTTTGCGCTATTTTTAACAACAGGTAAATCATTTCACTAGCTTACTGGCTAGTGGGTTGCAGGGTGCCTCTGGAACAGTTGTGTCTGTTCAGGTGGGATATCATCAACTGGGTGCTTCTGAGCAACCAAGTTGCGTGTTGTGGCTCCACAGTAAACCAGGCCTAAAGAAGGCTTATGGGCATTATTTGTAACTTTCGTGATCAGAAGGCCTTTTCAAACTTTTGTTGCTTTTGAACCTAAATGGCTCGCTGTTTAGACAAGTTCACTGAGACTGTGTGGAGGGCGAAGGAAAGGCCTAGATGAGCAATGGGGAGACGGGGGATTAGGAAGGCCCAGGAGGAAAAGTAGCTCCTCAAACTGTCAGCCCCTCGAAGGCCCCCTATTTAAAAAATAACACTTGCTTTGGACGGTGGAAGGTATTGAAAGGGATGCTTTGAGGCTTGGCAAGGGAAAGGAAATGGAGGACAGGCCTACTTTTCCAACCAGCCTCGCCCAAGGAAGCTGAAGGTCCAAGAGGGTTTTGTGCTTCAAAGAGATTTGGAGGCCTCTTGAGAAGCACCCTTGCAAAACTTAAAAATCACTCCCAGGATTCTTTGGGGGAAAGTCATGGGACTTGCCCTGTGTTTGCTTTTGCTTGTGGGCACAGCTGTGGGGTCTAAAGAGATCGCTGCGAGGCAAGGCTCAGCTCTGGCTTCTCTCCTGAAAGCCCTGCAGTTTGCCCCCTCCCATCTGATGTTCCTCAGCCCCTGGCAGTGCCCACCCGTTGCCTCATGTTCTCCTCCCAGAGACAGGCTTTCTGGGGCAGGACCAGACCAGGGAGCTTCCACCTCTCTGGCATTTTACACCAAGAGCTTTAGAAGCCAGGCCAGCCATTTCCTAACTGTGAGTTTTTAAAACCTATTTTACTTTCTTTTTGTGTGTGTGTGCCTGGACTTGGGGGGGGGGGGGCGGGGAGGTGATTTTAGGAAGGGGTTAGGAGACCATAAACCACCAGAGTTGAAAAACCTTCCTGGGCCTGTTGAGAGACCAAAAGCCAGATGGAGGTCAAAGCAGAGGTGGAGAAAATTGCTCAAGGTATCCTAAATTTTCTGTTCTGGTGCTTCAGTTGGGCCTATCATAGAGTGAACCAGGGAACTGGGGATAGTTGTGGTGGAATCTTTTCCCTTGTGTAAGATTCAGAGGTCCCCTCATAGACCCACCTTTCTGAAGCATTAGAGACAGTCAAGGCAGGCACAGCATGTTGGGTGGTGTGGAGTTGTGACCCATTCATGCTTTTTTAATGACATGGTGGCTAGGATTTTGCTCCTGCCTTCAGGGATCTCTGTATTCAGGGCTAGGAACCTGTGAGCCCAAGCTCAGGTTGCCTAGTGACTTTGGAAGTGGGGGATCAGGTCTGTACTTTCCCATGAAGTGTGTGCCTTGATTTGAGCCACCTGGAATTTGCCAGCATCTCCCTGACTTGTGTGTGTCCCTCTAGTGATCAGAGTTGCACAGTCCACATTCTGCAGTGTGTGCATATATGTGAATATGAAGATGAATGGAGGGGGGTTATCCGATGCAGTTAGGGGGTCTTTTGTTATTTTTCCAGCTCCATGATTTTAGGAAGGGATTAATGGACTCATAAGTCATGGTAGTTCCTTGAATATGCACCAAGTAAGGCTTGTTAGTTGTTTTACAGTAGTTTTGGTAAGAATAACAGGGTCATTAATCTTGAGCTAATCTCTGGCATGTGTATGTGTGTGTGGATGCGGGGAAGCTGTGAGGGTACTAAGCAGGCAGGTCAACTCTTAAGTTCTGCAATTGATAGGCTTGTGGTATAGTATATGAAGAAATCCTAAAGCAGAGCTTTCCAAACTGTGTGTTGCAACATGTTAGTGTGTCAGCTGCAATGTGTAGGTGTGTCGTGCAAACACTCCCCGCGCTCCTCCTGGGGCTGGGAAAGGGGTTAGTTTAACCTCCAGTTTGTTATTAAAAGTGAATTACTGTGTCACGAAATAAAGCATGTCTAAAAAGTGAACAATATGAAAAGCTCTGTCCTAATGTCTTACATGCCAGTTTATCTTGACAACTGGATTTTTGAGTTCAAGGAATTCACAAAGGTACCTGGGCCACCGGCCATTTGCTGACTACAGAATTCTCTGGGCAAATTTCTTCTAGGAACAAACACACACACTTTCATCTCTCTCAGTTCTTACATGTTTTTGAAGAGGCCTGGCAAAATAGTGCATCTCTATGACTTTCCTTCCCTCTTCAGTTCAGGACCCAAATAAACCTTTTTGTTTGTTGTTAGAAAGTAATTGATGCAGGACTCAGGTGCACCTGTCAGGGATCAAAGTGAATGCTACCCACACAGTGTTTCAGTTATTTGGGGAAAGATGAGAGGAGAGCTGAATGAAATCCATAATCTCGCTCTCCTGCTTCCCCATAATTTTTACCAAATCTTCCTGCACCCTTGCCTCCCAGAAGAGCCTTCTAAAGAGACTAGCTGGGTGAGACATCACTCAAGGTAAGGGAGTCATGGTCACTACAAACACCCTCTAATTTGAGCACTGTGCCCACCTGAGGTGGGTTGGATCCCATGATGCTAACCTGATTATTTTACCTCCACTTTCTACCACAGTTGCCAGTCAGTTTCTAAATGCAGGTGATTTTGTAGCCAGTTGTACTCATTTCGCTTACATTATCTGTTAAAGCAGCCCTCGCCAACCTGGGCCCTTTATATGTTTTGGACTACAACTCCCATCAGCCTCAGCATCATTCAGGTGTGCTGGCTGAGGCCAATGGGAAGTTGTAGTTCAAAGCATCAGAAGGACTCCAGGCTAGCAAAGGCTGTGCTGGTCCATAAGTATGTTCAGCAGATCGACTTCCCTAATATACATGTGATAGCCTGACCTGAAAGAGGGAGAGAAAATCCAGTTTGCAAAAGATTCCTTGCCTGGAGGTAATTCACTTGCCACCAGCGGCCAGCATAGTGGCTGTTTACAAGGCTAAATTAAGTTGCTAAAATTAGCAGCAGAGGAATGATCTGAACAGTAACAATTGGCTATGAAGTGAATGTTTGGGTATCATGAACAATAACTCAAGGGAAACAAGATTGTAAGATCACTCAACGGTATTGCTAATGAAGGGTGCACTTAAGCCAGCTCTTTAACTTGGACACACCTTGGGGAGCCCATTCTGCATTAGTTAATGCAGCAGCTAAACTAGGCAAAGTGGCTATTCTGTGACTTCCAGGTGTTACTGGACTCCCATCATCCCTGATTATTAGCCATGTTTTCTGGGGCTGTTTGGAATTAGAATCTAACAATATTGGGAGCGGGGGAACAGATTAGCCTTTCCTGGGGTAAAAGGGCTATTTGCCGTTAGGAAAAATCCAGAATTCTAATAAAGGACTTCATTGCTTGATTGGATTTTGGAATTCTCTTTTCTACAAAATCCTTCCACTGTAGTGTTACTGATGTTCTAATTATTGTAATTTCCTTGGAAATCTCTGCAAACACCCAACCCTTTTTGCTAAGTTTAACTTAACAAAAAAGAAGGGTATTATATTTCACATGCATCTGAAGGCAAGGAGGTGTGAGATTCGTGTGTGTGTGTGTGTGTTGAGGTGACAGGCAAGTGACGACAAGATTCTCTTAAGAAACAGACTTGTGTGTGATTCCTTAGTTCTCATCTGTGCTCTTGCCTACAAAGACTCTTGATAAAGTTATTATCCCCATTCAGGATTGTGTGCACAATCAAGTTTGGCAGGCCAAACCCAGTGTGTGTGTGTGCGTGTGTGTGCGTGTGTGTGCGCGCATGCGCGCGCGCACACACACACACACACACACACACACTAAGTGGCTTCACTGCAACTCTCTCACACAAGAACAAAATGATCATAGATATCACCCAAAACTAAAAATGCTTAAGAACACCCATCTATCTGAGCATCTCATTTTCCACAGTGGCCAACCAGATGCTTCAATGGGAAGCTCACAAGTAGGAAATGGGGACCTCTTAGCACATGTTCCTCAACTACTGCCTCTGATACTGCAGGTAGCATACCGGCATCCTGGCTAGCAGCCACTGACAGCATCACCCTCTTTATCCTTCCCTTTAGCTACTCCCAGTACCCTTAATCTCCCCACTTTTAAAGCCATCTAAGGCTGTGTATACATCACCAACTTGAAATGCAGCCAGGTTGTTATTTTTCTCAATGTGGATCGAAGGTGGTTTGGGGGGAAATGCATCAGAATGCAGTATTTCCTAAGAAACAACAGGATAGATATGGATTGTGGCTAACTTGGTGTATATACCACTTCCCACATCAGCAGGGTGGAGGTGCATTGGATGCACAGTAAATGGAAGTGTGTACACAGCCTAAGCTAAGTTGGTGTTTTTCATGACATCTTTGCTAACTCTATCCTTTGTCAGGAGGCTGTAGAAAAATATATTTGTGATAAAGGTGGGGGAGTTCTTAAGTCGTCTTCTTAATATTTTTAGATGTTCTGACTCTGCTCAGCCAGAGACACTGAAAAAAGAGCAGATAAAAAGGTGATTCTCATTTGTATAATGAGTAGGAATGTTTGTTGATTTCTTGTTTGGATTTAGTTGGTTAAATTTGTGTAAGTAAAAACAATAATTTTGAAGCAAATGGCTTGCTTTGTTTTTAGACAATCGACATACATGTTTCACAGCAGATCTTCTCTAGGAAAAGGCATTTCCTCTCTTAGGAAGAAGGGAGAATATACCTTCTAATATTGTGCTTAGCCACTTGCACTTGTTACAAATCTTTGCATTGGAAATGATATATATTGAAATAAATCTGCTTCCTGATTTATTGAAGGCAGCTTCGTAGTGAATTAAAAGCTTTTTTAATTGATTAATCAATTAAACGTTGCAGCCCCTAATACTGACTGGCAGAAAAAAGACTGGGTACGCTGTGATGGGAGTTGTTTGTTGCAGCTCCTTCTGGAGAGGACTCTCTGCAAGTCTTTAGCAACAAAACTGACAAGAGACTTTTATGGTACCTTAAAGGCTAACAGATTTAGGATGGCAGGAGCTCTTGTGGACTGTTTCATCCAATGTACAAAGGATGCTCCTAATTATTGGGACCTAATCCGATGCAGTGGATTTCAGGCCAGGAAGGCTATTGCCAGAATAAATCTTTAGGGTACCCCACGATTCTGGTTTTGAGGCTTTCCCCCCTCTCCCTGTGCTGCATCTCTGATGCCAGGGGCCACCAGCAAGGGCAGCTGAGTTGCCTCAGTGGAAATCTCATCTTTTATTCAGGTCCCTGCATGGAAAATAAGTGTGTGTGCAAGAACCTGAGCCTCCATCAGTCTGCATGTGGAGGAACCTTTCAATCCTCCTCACTGTTGCCTTTGCCAGGCTGCTGCCCTCCAGATGTCTTGGACTGTAACTCCCATCAGACTCAGCCAGGTACTGGCTGGGACTGATGGGAGTTGTAGTTCAAAGCTCCCGGAGGGCACAAGGCTGTTGAAGGCTGAGAAAGAGGGTGGCTTGGCAGTGACCTAGGAGGAAAGGGGCAGGATCCCACCCCGCTTTGGTCTTTAGGCTGCAATGAACCCCCACATGCTGGGCACAAGCACCATGCGAGCCAGGGGTGGGAAGTAACTTCTGCGTTAGTGTGCCCTTCAAGGAGGTATCTCTCCAGATGTATGGGTAGCAACTTCCAGCCTGCACGGATGGAGGTGACTTTTTGGGGATGTATTCACGAGTGTTTCAATTCACTCACTCACATTCACACCCCCCGCCTTGAGCCGGTCCCCCCACCCCGCTTCCCCCAGCCGGCTCCCAACCGACCCTTGGCACTGGACGTGACAGGACCAGAGTTGGGGGCTTCGCATGGAAGGCTACCCAGCCCCCAGCCCCACTCTGCCTTTCCTTTAGCGACCTTTCTTTCAGTCCCGACCTGACTCCGCTTGTGCAGCCTCTGAGTGGGGCAGGCGTGGAATCCGTCGGGGCTCGAGCGGGGCGGCGGCGCGTGGGTGGCACCTCGGGAGGGGGGCAGGCCTGGTTCTGCCCCTTGCGCGCTCCTCCCCCGCCCCGTCGAGGCTGGGGTTGGGCTGGGCGCCTCCCTCCTCATCAAAAGCGCCGCGCCAAGCTGAGCAGGCGGGAGCGGCCGGGGGGAAGCCGCGGCACGGTGAGTCCGAGGTCCCTGGCCGGGGTGCGGGAGGGCGATGGCCGTCCATCACTTGGCAAAGACACGTGCCACACCCGATTCCCCGAGGCGCAGGAGCCGCATGTGCTGGTTCTGGCTGGTGGAGGGGGAAAGCGCTCTGCACATGTTCTGCGGTGGGCTCGCCTTCGCTCCAAAGCCAAACCTGGGGAGGGAAGGAGGGCACTGTTCTCTGGACCAAGGTCTCAGCCTTTCAGGCTGGCCCTGGACGGGGACAAGGCATTCTCATCTGCTTTCCCGCTTCGGGCTGAGCTGGGCTCCGGGGAGCCTCAGCCTCTCCTACAGGGCTTTCCGCCGCCCCGTCGGGCTTGCCTCCTGCGAGGCTCGGTTCGGGGCCACCATCACCGCCCTCTCTGCCTTTGTCCGTAGAGGCGCCCCCCAAAATCCCGCCCGCCTGTTGCGAAGAGCCCATCTCTCGGCCGGGTCTGCCCGCTCCTGCCAGCCTGGTTCCGCTCCTACGGAGACTGGGCGATGCAAATGAACCGATTCGCTCTCTTTCCCCAAGACCGGGCATGGTGAGGAAGAATAAGGGGCTTCCGCGGAGTCCAGGCTTGGCGGCATGGGGGAAAGAGGGTGCTATGGGGTTGCGCCCTGTACTCCCCCAGCCCAAACTTATGGGGCTGCGAGTTCACCGGGACACCAGAGGCGCCCCGGGTGCATTTGCCCTCCTTGCTCTCATGCGCGCACAGCAGGTCAGGCTGTGGAAGTGCAGGGCCGCTGCCTAGCCGGGCAGGATCAGGCGCGCTTTGCAGTTGCGGACACGAGGTTCTCGGAGTCGATCCCTGGAATTCTCCAATCGGGAGACCCCTGGCGAGGTTCCGTGGCAAGAAGGCGCAGCGACAGCCTGGCCCAGCGGCGCTCTCCTGCAGCCTCTTCCGCGCTCCTGGCGCCCTCCAAATGTTGCTGGACTACAACTCCCAACAGCCCGCGGACCCAGCGTGGCCCGGCCTTAGGGATGATGAGAGTTGGAGTCAAAGAAGACCTAGCGGGCCACAGACTTCCCAGGCTCCCTGCTGCATCCAGAGTATCAGAGGGGTGCGCGTGTAGTACTTGCCAGGCAGATGTGGCTCTCCTGCCACTGCCATCAACTGCAAAAGCTTTTCATGCAGTCCTGGGGTGGGGGCAACTGAAAATGCCTGAGCCAGAGCAGCTGAAAGCAGAACTGTCTGTTTCCTACAGTGCTATAGTTTTGTTTGATTGCTTATTTGCATCCTTTGTTTGAAGTATTGTTCCACAGTTATTTTTATTGCTGTTTTTAGTGCACTAATTGTAAACCGCCCTGGGATCCTGCCAGATTAAAGGCTGGGTAAAAACACAACCCGTCAGGTGACCTCTGACTGTCGGCCATGGTGCTAATGCAGAAATGCTGCAGCATTGTGGTAGAGCACCTGCTTTGCATGCAGAAGGTCCCCGGTTCACCTCCTGGCAGCATCTCCATGTGGACCTGGGAGTGCCCCTAGCCTCAAACCCTGGAGAGCCACTGCCAGTCAGAGTTGACAGTGCTGAACTAGATGGGTCAATAATTGCCCCATTCTGTACAGGACATCTTGCCTTTCTCTGTTCTTCCTCTGAGTTGTAATGCAATAAGATCTGAAAAGCAGGGGCACCCCTCCAGAAGTTGTTAGGCTTCAACTCCGGTCACCACTGACCGTTGCTGCCACCAAGGAGTCAGGGGGGCTCTTGCTTCTGTTTCTGTGGCCACAGTCTAACCAGGCCTCTCTGCCTCCTCTCCAGATGCCAGTGAGGCTCTCCACAGCCCTGCGTGTTTTTGGGACCAGCCTCTTTGCCGTGGTGGTGCTGGGGGGCATCCTTGCTGCCTACGTCACAGGCTACCAGTTCATCCACACCGAGAAGCACTACCTCTCCTTTGGGCTCTATGGTGCCATCCTGGGCCTCCACCTCTTCATCCAGAGCCTCTTTGCCTTCCTGGAGCACCGGCAGATGCGCCTGGAGGGCCGGCCCCTGAAGCTGCGCTCCTCGGTGGCCCTCTGCATCGCCGCCTACCAGGAGGACCCTGACTACCTGCGCAAATGCCTGCGCTCCATCCAGCGCATCTCCTTCCCCAACCTCAAGGTCGTCATGGTGGTGGATGGCAACGGGGAGGACGATGTTTACATGCTGGACATCTTCAACGAGGTGATGGGCTCCGACCGGACAGGCTGCTACGTGTGGAAGAGCAACTTCCACACCCGGGGGAAGGGCGAGTCGGAGGCTGGCCGCCGCAGGGCCATGCGCCACATCCAGAGCCTCGTCCGGCACAATACCTATACCTGCATCATGCAGAAGTGGGGCGGGAAGCGCGAGGTGATGTACACGGCCTTTTGTGCCCTTGGAGACTCTGTCGACTACGTGCAGGTGAGTGTTGGGGGGGGGGGCGGAGCCCTGCTCCTTGCCCTTGCTAGCCTGTTGTTGCTCTTCCTTCTCTGTGTTTTCCCATTCATGCTCATCCCACAACCCAGGCACTTGTCAGAAAGCAGAAAAAGGGAGGGGGGAGTATTAGATACATGCAAAATGATTTGGAGAGATACTTGGGTCTGGGCTACTTGGCCCCCATAGTAAACACAGCCCTAAATGGCAACTCTCTGTCTCCCTGCACCCTGATACATTGGTGCTGTGAGCTTAAGAGGGAAGCAGGGCTACAATGAGCTGCTTCTTCACACTCTGGGGCCTGAACATGTGATCAGCCCCTCTTTGGAGCAGCTGGTTGCTTCTCCTTAGCTCAGTGGTAGAGCATCCGCCTTGAATGCACAAGGTTCCAAGTTCAATCCCTGGCATCTCCAGGGAGGGTGGGAGAGAGACCCCTGCCTGAAATCCTGGAGAGCTGCTGCCAGTCAGTGTAGAGACAATATTGAGCAAGATGGACCAATAGTTTGACTCGGTATAAGACAGCTTTCTATGATCCTGAGTGGTAGAGCACCTGTTTTGCATGCTGAAGGTCCTGGGTTCACTCCCCAGTGACATTTCCAGCTTGGGAAGGATGGAAAGCTACTGTGGACAATACTGAGCTGGGTGGACAAATGGTCTGATTTGGTATAAGGCAGCTTCCCCAGTTCCTTAAGCCCTTTCTATAGAATCTTGAGGACTGGAATCTTGATTTATTTTTTAAGGAAAGGCCACAATCGAGTTGCAAAGCAGTGGATTCAATCCCCAGGTTCAATCCCTAGTATCTCCAGGTAGGGCTGGAAGAGACCCGTCTGAAACCATGGAAAGCTGCTGCTGATCAGTGCAGGCAACACTGAGCTAGATGGATCCAGGCAGCTTCCAATGTTCCTCCTGAGCTCATAACTCAGCCTCCAATCTGACAGCAGGAAAACAGTTCTTCTTTCACCCTGGTGTAAGCTCAGAGGCTTCTCCTCTGCTCCCTTCCACTAATGCACTGTAGTTCTGAGCAGCAGGTGTAACAGAAAGGGATGGCAGAATGTAATTGAGGGTAGATATATATTGATATATTCCATATATACACACCCCTTTCTTTCATAATGGAACCCAAGCATGGTTCCCAAGCAATCTCTCATCCAAGTGCTGACCAGCCCCAGACCTGCATCACTTCAGCAATATGATGGCCTAATGTGCCTTCAGCACCTTCTGGGGGACCTCCTTGCAAGCAGAAAACTGGCAGGCAAAGGAGAGAGGTGGTACCTCAGCCCTTTGCTAGGTGCTCTGCTTTTCAATTTACAGGAGGTTTTAACTCATGGAGGCATTCAAAACAGGACCTGGAGGTGAAAAGTGTTGCAGTCCATTCTTCCATTTCATTCTGCTGTCTGAATAGACCAGCTCTGGGCTCCTTGCATAAGAGAGGAGGCAGATGCAGGGTATGCCCATACTGTATCTCTCATTTTGGGATTTGCTTCTGTTTTCTGCTTCCCTGCCCTCCAAAAATGCGGGATTCTTCAGCTGGGCCTGATCCCCTTTCTCTGGCCTGCATGGCTGCTGAACAGGTATCAGCTGCCCCCTCAATATAGGACGCTACCTTATACAGTCAAGACCCCTGGTCCATCTGGTTCACTATTATCATACATGTCCAGGGTTTCAGGTAGGGGACCAGGAGATGCCCTTGGGGATTGAACCTTCTGCATGCAAAGCAGGTGCTCTGTTACTAAGCTAAAGCCCTTCACCGTACATTCTCTTGGGTGCAGATGCCCTGTGATTCTTCTGCCTTCACCTGCTTGGGGACCTTACAATGCCTGTTTGGCAATGGAGACCGGCTCCCTCTCTCGTCTGTACCTGGTGTGACATCCACCTCCCTGCCACGTTCGGTCTGTGTTCACATGAAGAAGTGTCCAGGAGAGTTTGTGTCACTTCTCTATCATTCACTTACACTTACACTTATTATTATCATTAGTTAAACTTGTTAATTGTCTTCTCAGGTACTATTGTGTATGTATGTACAAGTGTGTGTGTGTGTGTGTGTGTGTATATACACATACACACACTCAATATGCACAGGCACAGAGATCTGAGTGCATTCCTCATTCTCCTTCCCTGGCCCTCCTCTCACTGGAGCTTCAGGAAAGTTGCAGTTCTCCTCCACCCTGCATGCAAAAGAGCCCTTTACTCCCTGGGAAGGTGTGGAGAAGGATCCCCCAGGGCAACATGCAAAATTGTTCTGAAGGAGGTGGGGGCGTGCATTCCACTTGAAGGAAATGTCCATATGTACGCTTTCTCTTCCCATACAAACAGTGTAATATTTGTCAAAAAGAAGCTGCCATTTGTGTGAACATTCCTTAAGGGAAGGGACAGACAAGGGTGTCCTGACAGGGTGTCTTTCTTTCCCTGGCAGGTGTGTGACTCTGACACAGTCCTCGATCCAGCCTGCACAGTGGAGATGCTGCGCATCATGGAGGAGGATCCTCGCGTCGGTGGAGTTGGCGGGGATGTCCAGGTGTGGACCTGAGAGCACATGGCCGTGCAGAGTGTCTGGCTCAGATAATGCTCACGGGGATGGCTCCTTCGGGCAGCCTTCCCAGAGTTGGTCCTCTTCCAGCTGTTTTGAACTACAACTCCCATCAGGCTCAGTGTCCTGCAGCTTGCTGGATGGGGTGCATGGAAGTAGTAGTCCAAAACAGCTGGAAGAGGAGGCCTTCTGTCCCTCAATAATTGGGGTCAGCCACAGGTCAGCTTGATACGCATCTGTGGGTAAAGAAAACTGGTACAGGAGCCAACCTGTCCATTGGAGGGAGGGTTGTGGAGGGCCCATGATGCAGTGTTGCCTCTTTCCCCCAGATCCTGAACAAGTACGACTCGTGGATCTCCTTCCTGAGCAGTGTGCGCTACTGGATGGCCTTCAACGTGGAGCGGGCCTGCCAGTCCTACTTTGGCTGTGTCCAGTGCATCAGCGGCCCCTTGGGCATGTACCGCAACGCCCTGCTGCAGCAGTTCCTGGAGGACTGGTACAACCAGACATTCCTGGGCAGCAAGTGCAGCTTCGGGGATGACCGCCACCTCACCAACCGGGTCCTGAGCCTGGGCTACCGGACTAAGTACACGGCCCGCTCCAAGTGCCTGACCGAGACGCCCACCAGGTACCTCCGTTGGCTCAACCAGCAGACGCGCTGGAGCAAGTCCTACTTCCGGGAGTGGCTCTACAACGCCCTCTGGTTCCACAAGCATCACCTGTGGATGACCTACGAGTCAGTGGTGACGGGCTTCTTCCCCTTCTTCCTCATCGCCACCGTCATCCAGCTCTTCTACCGCGGGCGCGTCTGGAACATCCTCCTCTTCCTTCTGACGGTGCAGCTGGTGGGCGTCATCAAGGCCACCTACGCCTGCTTCCTGCGCGGCAACATCGAGATGATCTTCATGTCCCTCTACTCCCTGCTGTACATGTCCAGCCTCCTGCCGGCCAAGATGTTCGCCATCGCCACCATCACCAAGTCCGGCTGGGGCACCTCCGGCCGCAAGACCATCGTGGTCAACTTCATCGGCCTCATCCCAGTCTCCGTCTGGGTGGCAGTGCTGCTGGGTGGGCTGGCCTACACTGCCTACTACCAGGACCTCTTCACAGACACGGAACTGGTCTTCCTCATCTCGGGAGCCATCCTCTATGCCTGCTACTGGGTGGCGCTGCTCACCCTTTACCTGGCAATCGTGGCCCGGCGCTGCAGCAAGCCCCAGGAGGAGTACAGCTTGGCATTTGCGGAGGTGTGATGAGGATGAGGGTGGGGGGCGGGGAGTGCAATAATGGCAAAGGACTGGCAGCGTTTCCCCACATAGTTGTGGGGCTTCAGGAGGGCTGGCCCCCCACCCTGCTCAGGACCTGATCCAGTTTTGAAATGGAAGCAAATTGGCAGATTCAGGAGTGCATCACTGGGGAAGGAAGCCGGAGCCTCACAGAAGGGATTCTGCTCGGTGGGCTTCCGGATCCTGCCCCTGCAGAAAGCTCAACAGCTCCTGGGAAAAGTTTCCACCACCAGGTGTCCCTGTCGTTCTATGCAAATGACACTGCCTCTCCCCAGAATAGCACCAATGTGGCAGGGACGATGGGGGGTGCAGTTTTTACAGGGAGCAATAATAATCTCCTTGTAGAGATCTATTAAAGAAGGGGCCCTTCTGTGCCCAGCGAAGAGAACATCAACAGGTTTTTGATCTTCCCTAGGAAGAGCTTTAAGGAGTTTGTGAGGGTTATTCTCTGTTCATGGGAGAAGCAAGTGGGACTTGAGCGACTGACGTCAAGGGGTTGCTTTCTAGGCAGAGGCCCCACAGGAGGTGGGGTGACAGGGCAGAACATGTGCTCCTTCCAAGAGGGGCTCCCTTCTGCCTGTAATCACTGCAGCTGCAGGACTGGAGGGAAATTTACTGAGAAGGAAAGGCTGGCAGTAGAAAAAACCATGTTTGGGCCATAGCGGGAACATGCTGTTGCCCAAAGAATACATCACATGACTAGGCTGCCCATTTCTAAACAAACACAAAATACTTGAAAGCTCCCTGATTGGCCCAATACAGCATGAGCCACAGCTACTGTGAATTCGATAAAACAGGTTGCAAACTGGATTGGTCAAATGTCTTCAGCTCCTTCTGGAGTTTTAGAGGGTGGACCACCTATTGCTACCCCCCTCTTTAGTCCAGGACTACGGATCATGCAAGTGGCCCTACAGATGCTGTAGGGACTCCCAGTTCCCTAACCAGTTATTGAACTCCAACTCCTGTCATCCCTGACATTGCTGGCTGGAGCTGGTATGAGCTGGGAGTCCAACAACATCTGCTTGGGGAAGGCTGCTGTAGACCAGGTATCTTCAACCTTTTTGGACCTTTTCAGTCCCAGGTCCCACTTTTAACCAAAGCATGCATGTAGAGATCTGTTGCTTAACCTTCCACAATATTTGCATGGGGGTAGTGCCCGACCAATCTTAGAGCAGGCCATGACCCACCAGTTGAAGACCAGTGTTCTAGACCATATTTGTTATGCTTGGGTAGGGGTGTTAAAATACTTTAATGCTGTGAACAGAGCTGCCTGTCTGGAGATCTTCCTTTGGACCAGCCTCTCTCTCTTGGCCTCTGCTTAGCCTGGGCCTCCTAACTTTCTGGTGCTTCTCCTACAGACTTCCTCTCCCCCTGGTGCTCTGCCAACATGGCCACTTTACACTTCCAACTCAGAGAAGGGGGAAAAACTGAGGACAGTGGTGCTGCTTTTGGGAGGCCACTGCCACCCAGTCTAAAAGCCATTTCTTGATTCACAATCTGCATCTCTGACCAGCCCTTAAAACTCATTCCAGTCTCTGGCAAGAAGGTGCCTGTGTTGAAAGGGAAGGGGGGGTGTCCCAGCTTCAGCTGGCAACAAGCTCTAGGCAGCTTTTATGCCAAACTCACATTGCTGAGATGGAAGTGCTCACCAGTGGTTCCTTGCCTGTTCCTAAGCTAGCAGGTCAGCATGGGAACAAAGTGCTTAGGCACTTGCTGTAGTAAATCCACTGTCATCTACATGCTTCCAGCATAGGCAAAGGCACAGATTTTCTGCAATTCCATTCGTGCAGAATGTGGAGGTCTGAAAAATCTCAGATTCCCTCCTTTTTATGGCTAAAAGAAAACAAACCAAGTTTCCACAATTCGTATTTTTACAAAAAGTTCTGAAAATGTATAAGCAATATTTGCAAAACATCTCAGAGGTGTTTTGAGTAGGAATGCTTCTTTAGTAGCTTACTTGTATTATTCCTTTGGCCTCCACTCTGCTTATTGAAAAAGGGGGTTCTAAATTCAACAGAGTTATAAAAGAGATGCCAAATAAGGCAGGCACATTTATGTTTAGACATATTTGTGTGGACCTTGATTTACAAAAAATTGTTTGCTTGGAAAAAATTAAGACAGGTTGCTGCTGAATTTGCTTAGAGCAGCTGTATTCCAAAGTTGGCTCTTTCTTGCTTCTCAAGAGAAGCACTAGAAGGCCCTGTATGCTGGAGACTGGCTGACATTGGCCACACAATGTCCCGGTCCCCACAGGCACTGTGAATCCAATTGGTCAACAAGGAGCAAAGTGAAGAAACTTTCTGATTAGAGATGATGTATATTTATTATTACCTTTCACCTCCAAACTAAAGAGGGTGTTGTGTATATGCGTGTGTGTGCACCACACATACACACACTGGACAGGCTCCGACAACTTTTGTTTTCCTTGCTATGTAAGGGAGCTGAATAATCCCTGGGATGCAAAAGTAACTTGGGTGCTTTTGCTCCAGATATGCTTTTGGGGGGTATGAGGGAGGTGGGCACACAGTCTTTTAGTGTATTGGATTTTTGTTTTTTCCAAATACAAAACTTGCCCATCAGCAATGAGGCTAGACACCTGATTTTTACAAAACCAAGCAACTTCTCAGGATTCCACAAGAGACTTCTGTACCAAAATAATATTCTGTGCTATGACCATGCCACCTCCTAGGAACAGAGGGCACCTGATCTATCTTTTGGCCTTGGTGCTGTTCAGGAGCCTTACCAGTGCCCATCTTCCTATACTCCTTTCTGCCTCAGGCCAGTAAGCTGAGTCTGACTTTGTCCTCCTCCTGCTGCTGCTGCTGCTGCTGCTGCTGCTGCTAGGGGTTCCACTGCCCCAATTCCAAGTTCTCTCTCTGCTGCTTTCTTTCTGCCCATCCCACACAAGGTCCTGAATGCTATCCGAGGTTGTACCTGGAAATTCCTGCCTCTCCTGCCATGTTGCTTCATGTGAATTGACAGGAACAAGAAAAACAAGCCCCTAATATGAGGCAGGGAAGCAGTGGGCAAAGGGCAGCTTGCTACTCCCATGGGCCCAGGTGGCTGGGAGGAAGACTAAAGTGGCATCAGTGCCGATTCTGTCCTGCCATCTCTGGAAGGCAGATGGAGTCTGCACCGCCATCTAAGAAAGCAATAATGGCTCTTGGGCTGCAAGCTCCCTTTATATAGGCACAGACTAGTGAAGAACTTTCCTATGCTGGGGACTGACTGCATAAACGAAGCTGGGATAGATGTCTCCTTCCACTACTGCCACCAGAAAGGGCTGGTTCCCACCCCGCTTGCTCTGGATTCAGCATAACCTCACACCCTAAGGGCTGCTTGCCTAGCTGTTTCCCAGGGGCCCCAACCAGCTTGAAAAAGAATGGTTCTAAGCAATTCTTTGGGTGGCTGGGGGTATGGTACTCCCTGGCAAGAAAGAATGGCTGCTTTGCAGGCTAGGAGAGCTTTCAGCCCACACTAGAGCCTGCCTTTCAAAAGGCTGCCCTGTTGGGGGGAGCCATGTGAAACAGTAACTGCTTGCTCTGTAACCTCCCTAAGGCAGATGCCTCCCTGCAGAGAGCTGCCAAATCAAACTGTTGTATGGACAGGGCTGATCAGCGTTGAGAGTGCATGAGTATCTGACAGCCTTTAAAGCCTGCTTCCAAGAAACACTGTGGCAAAAGATGGAGAGCTTCCTGAAGTCCCTCTTTCCAGCTGTGCATCCTTCCTAATTGCGAATGTCTGGAAATGCTGCTTTCTGCCCGTGCTGTTCTCTGCGGCCTGCGCTGGTCCCAGGCATGAGAGTGGAGGGATGGGTGGGTAGGGTGCCAGGCTTTGCTCCCCCTCAATTCCCTGCTCTGGGCTGCATCCCTTTTTCTATGTTACTCCGTTTGGGTTTCTCTTATTTAAAATGAAATTTGTAGAATTTTTTGTACTCTTTGGTAACAAACACTAGTTGATTGCTTAAAGTTATTTGTAAACTTATTTATTTTTTACCTGCATTTTCATATTTTTTATAAAGGTTGTTTGGTTTTTTTTACTATGATGCATTTGTTACAATAAAAAATACCTTGCAAACAAGATGGTCTAGAGTATATTTGGGACTTTTTCCTGCCCATCCCCTCCCTTCACCAATGTGCACACAATTTGAGTGGGGTGGGAGGAAGACACTGGCAGGGGCAAAGAACCAGGTCTAAGCTAGCTGAAATCTGCAGAAAATTTCAGCCTGATTTCCTATTTGCCAACAAGACCTCCCCAAAGAACTGGATTTCAATAGTCACCCCCTCCCCCAAAATGTCCTAGAGACAGAAAATAAAGGCAGATCAGAACCTAATCATCTCCTAGTGTCTGAAAAAGAGAACCCCATTTCTCAAAAGGCACTTTAGCAACAGCTGAGCTCCCCACCCCGGGAACCCAAGAGGCAAAAAGCACATTGCTATGGTCTCCAAGAGTGCTGAGCTCCTTGAAGAATGGAATGAAGAACCCAGGGAGAACTAAGTGACCAGCAGGGACCATAACAAGGCTTGAGCTTCTGCAGGAGATAACTGTAGAGAGTCATCAGTGCTGACTGGAACTGGTGGGAGTGTTAGCCCAGAAGACATCAGATTGGTAGAGGTCACCAGCCCTTGGGAGAGGATCTAAGCAGAAACCCAGAGCAGAGTCCTCCATCCCTGGGATGAAGATTGGCTAATATTACTCGGGTGCCCCAGTAACTTTTATTTGTTCAGTGGTCTCTGGATTTTGGGGCAAGGGGCTGAGCACCTTAGCAAAGACACTGGGTTGAATCCCACAGCTGAGCTGTTCTTGGGGAAAGCACTGGCCATTTGAACACACTGGGCATGGATGCTGGATTCTCCCAGACACTGGCTTTAGTCCCACAGAGGCTGGCCTCTTGAGATAAGGCAGTTCTCCCAAGGGCTGGGTTCACACAACAGATTGCATAACCTGGAACAAAAGGCACTGAATTCCAACAAGCTGGCTAAGTAGACAGGATTTGTCCCTTTTGGCACAGTTCCTGGCACTCTGCAAGGAAGTAGGCAGACCTTCCTCCATGCGAAGGAGGCACCAGTGTGCTTGGAGGTGGGCTGCAGCATCCTCACGCTTTCTTGGCCACATTGGTGATGATGGGCTTGGGGCGGGTTTTGAAGAGCAGCTTCTTCTTTATGAGGGCGGTGACTGAGTAGTGGCCTGGTCCCAAGCTCGACTCACCCCCAGCCACCGCTTGCTTGGTCAGGACAGCAAAGGGCTTCTCTAGACGCACAACTTTACCATACAGGATGTGGTGCCCCACAATGAGCACAGGGACTCCCTAGAGAGAGAGAGAGATAAGACAGTGGGGGCACTCAAGCCTTGCAGAGAGAGTGGTATGGAAGGAAGCCAGCCTCAACCAAGAACTCCTCCCCCCCCACATCCGCAAGCACCTGGCTAGTCTCTCACCTCTTTGGTGTAATGCAGGTCCCCCAAGAGCCTCCCTGCTAGGCCAGCCCCAGATCGCGATTCCAGCTCGCCTTGGAGCTCCATCAGCACCCACTCCGCTAGACCTCCAACCCCATCCCTGCAAGGAAAAGACGAGGAAGGGAAGAGCTATTATAGGTCACGAAGTGTAGCAAAGAGATCATTCCTGACCAACACCGCTAGAAGCCAGTGCAGACTCACCGGGACACGACCAGCTGCACCATCGTCCCACGGTTCCTCTGCAACAAGGAGAACAGGGGTTTGAAAGCAGGGTGAGAACAGGCAAGACCCAGATTCCCCTTCGTTCACTCCAGCGGGGCTCCCGGCCCAGAGGCAGCTAAGGGGCAGTCCCCCACCCCCAGCAGTGCCAATCTCGGGCGGAGATCGCCCTTTCCTACGAAGACCCGCCCGCGGGCTCCCCTCTTCCTGGCCCTGCGATGCTGAGGGCGGTGGCCAGTCCGGTAGCCTCAGGCGAGCAAACTGACGCAGCCGCAGCATCCAGCAAATACGGCGAGCCGCTTCCCTGTGCTTGTTCCAAGGACAGGAACTCTGCACGCGCTCAGAGTCACCCTCATTCCTGGACGCCGGAGGAGCGGCACTCTGCACGTGCTCAAGAGCGCGCTCGCCGCTTTTCTTTCTCTCTTCCCCCCCGCTAGCTCCGCCACGCACCTCACTCAGAATCTCCCGAACCTCCCGCCTCGCCGAAGCCCCGGAAGTCCCTCCCCTCGCCCCTAGATGACTTCCGCTTCCGGGCTTAGAGGGGCGGCGCGCACGTGGAAACCGGGCTCGCTTCGCTCTGTCTCCGCGCTCTCCGGACGCTCGACCGGTGCTGATCACTGCCTGCCATGGTCGAGTTCGAGGTACACCGCGCACGGCTCTTCGCCTTTGTGCCGTCCGGGATCCGGTGCGTGGCTGCGTCCCGCCCATCTCACCACCGCCTGGCCGTGGGCCGCCTCGACGGCTCCCTCGAGATCTACGACCTGCAGGCCAACATGTTCCAGGAGAAGGTGACTCTGGCTCCCCAGTGGTTGGCATTCAGGGGTAGACTGCCCGTGCACTTGAGGGCTCCACCTGGCACCCTTTGACAGGTCTCCACCTCTGTGAGGTTTTAATGGCATCTTAGCCATTGTCTGACCCCAGATCTTGTGGCCTTGAGTTCCACAAGCTAGTTCTTTCCTCCGTGAAGTAATACTAGCTTATCCAGACACAGCTGAGCTCACAGTGACAGAGAGCCCTATGGCTCCACTGAGGCTGGGAATTGGAGCCCCAAAGAATTGTTTCCCTGGGGGATGCCCTGGCTAAACAGCTATTTGCTGGGCATTCTTTGGGGCAAGAGGGTGGGTGGCACAGGTGACTCACCAAGCCTCTCTCTACTTTACTTCTGTAATCAGGAGGTATATCAGTGTTTGGGGTTTCTGGCCGCAAAGTTCTCCAGTCTGAGCCCAGCACAGGTTCATCCTTTGTGTGATTCCTCCCAGCTAAAGTTTGTGTATGTGTGTTAAAAGGAGGCCATTGACACCCAAAGCCTACAAGAAACACCTTTCCTTAGACCAGAAAACTGTTCAGGATTGCCTCTTGGTTTAGGGGTCCTGCACCTTCCCCTTACCTATGACTTATCTCTCCAGGTCATTGCTGGCCACGATACAAGGATCCCAGAGGCGCTCTGCTGGGCAGCAGGAGACCGGCTCTTTGGTGCAGGTCTCAGTGGGGAAATTGTTGAATACAACTTGGAGAAGCTGAATGTCAAATATTCGTTGGATGCTTTTGGAGGTCCTATCTGGAGCATGGTGGCTGATCCAACTGGGACTCAATTGGCGGTAGGTGCCCCTAGTATCCCAGAGAGGGGCAGCTTGAAAATGTGGTAATGAAGTCTTGTGCTAGCAAGAGAACATCCCTTAGAGGAGGGAATAGCACCTGATGATTTAGAACAATAAGGGGTGTAGATCCAGGTAAGTAGCAGTGTTGGTCTGACGCAGTCAAAATATATTAAAAAATTAAAAAAATTGTCCAGTAGCACTTTAGAGACCAACTAAGTTTGTTCTTGGTATAAGCTTTCGTGTGCATCTGAAGTATCTGAAGAAGTGTATCTGAAGAAGTATGCATGCACAGGAAAGCTTATACCAAGAACAAACTTAGCTGGTCTCTAAGGTGCTACTGGACAATTTTTTTTTTGTATATTTCAATAAGGAATATTTTACCACATCTATAGATGATGCAAAACCAGAAAGCTAGCCGGCTTCTCAGAAGGCAGTGATAAAACCCCAAATGATGTTAATAGAATGATTACTGGGGGTGGGGGGAATTCTGGGGAAATGTATTTAAATAAATATATTTTATTGCAAGGCAGACAGTCCACATCACCCCAGGACTGGGTGTATTTAGCTTGTATAGTCACAATATTTTGCAAATTAGAAACAAAGAACTCATAACACATCCATTAACTGCTGCAAGAACAACTATTGCCAGGACATGAAAATCATTGCAATTATTAACTATGGACCAATGGTATAATGCAATTTAACAAACAGCATTATTGGAAAAATTGACACAAAAAATTGAAGTAGCAAGAGGCCAAAAGAAGCACAATTTTTTATCAGTATGGTATGACTTTATTGATTACACAAATAATGAGGCATATGGTACAACTAATTAACAGCACAGTCTGGTGTGCATTAAGTACATATTTTAATTTTTCACCTCCCCTGCCTCCATTTCCTATAAATTCCTATAAATTCTAATTGTTATTAATACAAAATACCTTTTACTTTTGGTCACCAATCTAAGCAATGCACTTTACTATACATCATTTGATATCTGTAATAACTAGTAATTTTGGTATATACACTTTGACAGGAGGGTTTATTTCACATGCACATTAGGAGAAGTTTATTGACAGTTAGTGGAGTTTGACAATTGGATCGATTACCTGCAGGGGTGGGCACTCCCTTGTCTCGGGTGTCTTCCAACAGGGGCTAGACAGCCATCTCTCTCTAGGGGATGCTCCTGCTCTCTGGATTTCCAACATCAATCAGAGGTTTGGATTAAACAGCTTATAAAGCTCCTTTCAGCTCTTCGATTTTCTGCATTTCATTCTCTTCTCCACTCAGTGTCCTGCTTCCTGAGGCTTAAATTCTTTCCTTGTGAGTAGTAAGGTGCTTCTCCAGCACCAGCTTGGCATCTGTTTCTGTGTTTGTGTTATTGATAATCTTGTGTAGTTTGGTCAGTCAGAGCTCAAATTATTGGGCAAAGCCCTGGACTCTTGGCTGTCTAACAGACAGGATTCTGAACAGGCTACTGACCCTCTCTCTTGTTCTTGCAGCTTGGCTGTGATGATGGAACCATTAAGCTCTTCAACATCTTACCAGATAGAATCGAGTTTGAGAGGCAGCTGGACCGACAGAAAGGTTGGTTGTGGGTGAGGGTGCATGTGGGGGTCATGATCACCAACAGGATGAGCTCTGAGTCCATGTGCAGGAGGGGTAAAGGTAAAGGGACTCCTGACCATTCGGTCCAGCCGTGACTGACTCTGGGGTTGAGGCGCTCATCTCACTTTACTGGCCGAGGGAGCTGGCGTACAGCTTCTGGGTCATGTGGCCAGCAGGACTAAGCCACTTCTGGAGAACCAGAGCAGCACATGGAAACGCCGTTTACCTTCCCACCAGAGCGGTACCTATTTATCTACTTGCACTTTGACGTGCTTTCGAACTGCTAGGTTGGCAGGAGCAGGGACCGAGCAACGGGAGCTCACCCCGCCGCGGGGATTCGAACCACCAACCTTTTGATTGGCAAGTCCTAGTCTCTGTGGTTTAACCCACAGCGCCACCAGCATCCCTTGCAGGAGGGGTAGGGAGCCTGATTTCTTGTTGCTTGCAGAGGAAAGCCCCTTCAGGATGCAAGGAGAGCACTTGGCTCAGTGGTAGAGCGCATGCTTTGAATGCACAGGGTCCCAGGTTCAGCCCCTGGCATCCACAGGAAGGGTTGGGAACGTCTGAAATCTTGGAGAGCCTCTGCCTGTCATTTTGGATAGCAAGGACCTATAAAGACCAGTGGTCTGGTTTGGTATAAGGCAGCTTCTTGTATTTGCATGTTCCTCTGAGCCTCACCTACCTGCCCCCACCCCCAAAATGAGTTTGAGTCTTGGTACGTCTTATAACTGAGACTCTCCTCTTCTGCCCCACCTTACCTTACAGGACGCACCCTGTCCCTTTCCTGGCATCCATCAGGGACCAAGATCGTAGCTGGCTCCACTAACATCATCCGTGTCTTTGATGTCAAATCAGGTGAGTTCTGGAGTTAGGCATGTTTTATGCTGGGGCCAGGAATATGGTGTGTGTGCGTGTCATCAGCTCATCCAAACAAGCTTCACCTTCATGATTCTGGTCTGTGGTAGCCATTAAGAATCAAGGACTGCACCATCTTGACTGTGTCCCTTCCATACACCCAGGTTCAATGGCAAGGAGAGGGCAATACTGGCTGCCTTGCCCAAAGCTGGTGAACTCCCATTAGAGAGGGACCCATAATTCAGTGACAGAGCACATGTTTTGCAATCCAAAGATGTTAGGTTCAATTCCTGGCACCTCCACTTTGATGGTGCATTATGGGAAAGAGCCTCTGCTCTGCCTGGAGAGCAGGGTTTGCCAGCCTTTGGGGGCTTGTGGGCATATTTGCATACTGCAGAAACTCTTGCAGGCATCGTATACATGCTGTAGCATATTCTGTTGCAGGTGTGGGGAACCTTTAACCTTCCAGATGTGGCTGAGCTACAACTCCCATCAGCCCCAGCTAGCATGGCCAGTTGCCGGGGGTGATGGGAGTTATACTTCAGCAACATCTGGAGGGCCAGAGTTTCCTCACACCTCTTCTGTTGGCTACAACAGGGTGCTTCTTTCAGTCCTCATTTCAGCAGGAGGAGGAACCCTGGGTAGGCAGAGGTGCACCCACTGGTGCCATGTTGGTGACCCTCCCCATAGCGCCCTGTTAGCATTTTCTTAAGGCCTTGTAAAGGCCTGTTTGGTTTGGGGTGACTGTTGGCAGCTGAGGCTAAGCAGACCCTGAGCGAGCCTGGTGCCTCCTTTGCAGGCCATGCTGTCCAGCGGATCCTCGTGGACCGGTGCTTCAAAGGGTCCCGCAAGCGGTTGCCTGTGGTGGTGTGGGACATACTCTTCCTTTCGGATGGCACAATTGTCAGCGCGGACTCTGCTGGGAAGGTGCAGTTCTGGGACTCGGAGATGGGGACTCTGCTGTGGAGCCACCCTGTCAGCAAGTCAGCCGTGCTTTGCCTGGCTGGGTCTGAGGTAAGTTGCATGTTAAAGGCAGAGCAGCAACACTGGGGGTGGGGGAGGGTGGCAGCGTTTGCTTGAGTTTGACAAGCAGAAAGGAAAGCAGGAGTCACTTATGTGGCAGGACAGGGGGAGTGTGAAATTGAGCTGCAGAATAACAACAGTCCAAGATTTGGAAAGTTGCAACCCAAGGCAAACTTTCTTACTCCTAAGAGGGAAGATAGACAGCTATCCTAGGGGATTGTGTGAGCAGAGTCCTCATTGGAGGGCAGCTTATTCCCAAGCAGCCTTTGCCAACTGTGGCGCTGATGGGAGCTGTAGTCCACCAGATCTGGAGGGTCCCAGGTTGGCGAAGGTTGCTCTTGAACTCTTGGCCCTGTGATGATATGATGCTAGCTATCAGAAATTCATTTAAATCAAGACTTTGTGGCAGATAAAAGCACTTTGTGTGTTATCCAGAGCCTCTAAAAACCAGAGTGTGTACATGTGGCCATTCAGGGAAATGACATTGTTCTGTGCTGAATCTGAGCTTGACTGGGACATCCACCTGACCAGTGTTGGTGGCCAGGAGGCTGAGCTTGATGGATCTATGGTCTGACCCAACATGGCAGCCCTTGGTCTGTGTAATGTGACTTCAGTGTGCGGTCAGTTCACTTATTTTCATTGCATGAGGTTCTGCATCGACCTGTTCTCTGCCATTAATACTTCCTCCCTGCAAACCTTTAGCTTGCCCAACTTTCTCCACAGGCAGAAGACAGTATTGTGGTTGGCACTTCGGAGGGGATAGTATATCAGTTCCAGCTGCTACCGGTTAAGCTAGACAGTGCTGAGCTCCAGTGGGTGCGAACAAGGCCCTTTAAGCACCACACCCATGATGTGCGGACAGTAGCACATCTTGCAACAACATTCATCTCTGGAGGTAGAGTTCACTGCAATCTTTTGTGTGTGTGTGTGTGTGTTTGATTGCTTTGTGGTAAAGTACCTGCTTTCCATACAGAAGTTCATGGGTTCCATCCCCAGATGCCCATTTAAAAAGGACCACGTAGGTAGGAGGTGATGGGAAAGGCCTCCCTCTGCCTCCTGAGACCAAATCAAAGTAGACAACATTGGTCCAAGTCACTGGTCTTCAACTAATGGGTCACTGTCTGATCCAAGGTGGGTCACAACACGAGCACTTCCACTATGCAAATACAGTGGTACCTCTGGATGCGAACGGGATCCATTCCGGAGCCCCGTTCGCATCCTGAAGCGAACGTACGATGCGAGTGCGCGGGTCGCGTTTCACTGTGCATGCACGTGACGTCATTTTGAGCGTCTGTGCATGCACAAGCAGTGAAACCCGGAAGTAACAGGCTCTGTTACTTTCGGGTCGCCGCGGAGCGCAACCTGAAAATATTTAAGCTGAATTGTAATCATCCCGAGGTATGACTGTATATGGCAAAAGATTAAGGAATTGGTCCCCAAAACATATTTGGGTTAAAAGCAGGTCCTTGGTGTGAGAAGGTTGAAAACGACTGGTCTAGGAGAACCAGTAGTCTGATCTGATGTGTGCACATACCGCCTATAGAGGGTGCTGTGATCTGTTGCATCTTGGCCAGGTTTGCATCCCCATTTATTTAATTTATATCCCAGTTTTTGCTCCCAAGTTGCTCAAGGTTCTGGTGCATCTGGTTCTCCTCATTTAATCCTCACAACAACCCTGTGAGGTAGGTTAGGCTAAGAGATAGTGACTGACTGAAGGCCACCCAGCGATCTTTATGGCCGAGTGGGGATTTGTAACCACTATACCACCCTGGCTTTTTCCCTTCTCATTTAGGTCTGGACGGGGAACTTGTGATCCGACAATTCATGGAGAATTTGGATCCCAAGTCTAATGAATCTACCCTCCAGAGAGTCACCTTCCCTCACGTGAGTAGCGGGATTGACGCCTGCTATCTAGCAATGCCTTCTCTTCTCACAGATGGCTTCGCATAGCTTCTTCCTTCCTGCAGTGGTCCTGTGCACTAGAAGGACGCAGGGGCAAGCCATGCAAACTCTGCTCCCCCACCCCACTTCTCACCTGCCACTTCCTTTCCCTCTCGCAGAGGTGCCTTGTCTCCTGTGCCCGGATAGCCCGCCTCCTCCTCTTCCAATACGCAAAACACCTGGAGCTTTGGCGACTTGGAGCCACCAACACAGCAGGTGAGAGCAAACGTTGCTTTCAGAGCCTTGATGGTCTTGTGTGTTTGAGGTGCCCCTAGAGGAGACATGTCCCTTGGTCACCTGGGCCTGTGTTGAGCTCCAGGCTGCCCTTTCCAGCAGGTGCAGCAAGAGCTTTGGGCTGCTGGGAAGCTTGGCAGTCCCCTCACATATTAGGACATCCTAGAGAGACTTGATGTGTAAAGATGCTCTTGGTTCTTGTTCCAGGAAAGGCTGGTGAAGTCCTGCCTGTCTCCTGTCCCCCAGAACACCTTCTCCAGCTCAAGGCCAAGGTGAGGGAGCCATGATTTCTTGTCCCCTCTTGATTGTGGATGCTTCAGATTCTCAACATGCCCCGTGGGCATGAATTGTGCAGGAAATATCTCCACTTCAGATACAAACAGTTTTGTGCAAAAGCAGGCTATGGGGGTTTTTTTAGCATTAGAACAAAGAGGAGACAGTCTCTTGTGCTCCCTGAAATAAGATGTTTATTTAGCTCAATGCATTTCAGAGTTGAGCCTGCAAATGCTTGCAAATTCCTTGAACCTTAAAGAGACTTCTTCTGGACACCTGAACTGAAAAGAGCTTCAAAAAATCTACAAGACTTTCTGGATACAGAAATAAAGAAAACATCTTACAGCCTCATAGTTTGAAACTGCTTTTAGTTCAGGCATACAGAGTAAGTATTTGTTTCTTTAAGGATCAAGGAATTTACAAGCATTCACAGCTCCTGGTGAAGGAGTTTCAACTCTGAAACATGTTGAACTAAATAAACGTCTTATTTCAGGGAGCACAAGAGCCTGTCTCTTCCCTGTTCAGCTGGCCCTGGTGCTTCCCCCTCTGCTTTTCTGCTTGCTATGGTTCCCCTACATCTGCTTAACTCTAGTTGTTCCCAAGCCAACTCAAATCAAGGCAATCTTGCAACATGTTGATTTTGCTGAGTCTCCGGATGTGGCAAGACCCACCGTTTCCTGAGGGTGTGGCCCCACATGTTCATCTCTCTTAGTCCCCTGTATCTTTTTGGAGGAACCTAACTTGGCTTCTCCCTTCATCTGGATTCCTTCCTAGGACCCTGAGCACATTGCCAGCAGCTGCGTCTCACCCTGTGGCTCCTGGATTGCCTACTCCACAACTTCCAGGTTCTATCTGCACCAGGTCCAGCTCAGCAGCGACCATATTGCTATCAAGAGGGTGAGTGAGAATTCTGCAGGGTGGAGACTCTGGCCTGGGTGTTCTGGTCTGGGGCATGCTAGAGCATCATCCGGGAAAGCTGAATGTTGGGAGATTCTGGACAGACAAAAGGAAGAACTTCTTCACACAGGGCATAGGTAGATGATGGAGTCGGCTGCCGCAGGTTGTAGTAATGGCCAATAACTTGCATGGTTTCAAAGGGGGATCAGTCAGATCTGTGTAGGATAAGGCTATGAATGGCTACTAGCTATGATGACTGTGCACATGACCCCCCCCCCCCCAAGTATTGGAGGCAGTCTACCTTTGAAGGCATATTGCTGGGGATTATGAGCAAGGAATGTTGCACTTGGTCCTGCTTGTGGTCTTCTTCCCTTTGGGGCATCTGATTGGCCCCTGAGAGAACAGGAGGCTGGACTAGGTGGGCTGATCCAGCTCTAGGACTCTTAGTTATTTATTTCATTTCAGCAATTTAGATACAGCTTAAGTACAGTAGTCTCTAAGCAGTTTACACGGATGCAATCCAAAAAAAGTAAAAATCAGATTAAATGATAAAATTATTATGTTCTTTTAAGATTTTGTAGCTTATTCTTATAAGTTGATGGAAGGAACAGGAAATGCTTTTCTAGACTTCTCCAAGTGAGCCTCCTTGGGGGAAAGGGGGTTGGGGGAGGGGGAGGTGGGGCCTCAGGGTAGAGCTGGCCACACTGACCCTTAACCCTTGCCTTCCCAAAGGTTGCTAAGATTCCAAAGGGGATTCGCTCAGCCCACCACCTCCTTTTCTCTGAGGACTCCACCAGGCTCTTTGTGGCATCGGACCAAGGCTCTGTGCACATCCTCAAGCTCTTGCAGTCAGGAGTCTGCAAACACCTGCACATCCTCCGCCCTAGCTCAGGTAAGATTGGCTTTTTGGAGAGCAGGACATACTTACCAGCACTGGGATTAGGGCAGATGAGTGGCTTTTGAAGTGACATTTTAAAGTGAAGCCAGGGTAAAAAAAAATGTCTGTAGATACACACATTCATACACATGCATTTAAAACTTTTGAAACCCACTTTCCTCATGCAGAGACGTCAGAAGCTGCATACCTGCTGGCAGCTAGTGCCAACGGCCAGTGGTTAGCTACAGCTAGTGGTGATCGGGCAGTCAACATCTACAACTTGGAAGATGCCAAGGTGAGCCAAGCAGAACCTGCCTGCAGTGGTGAGAGGTTGAACCTGCTTGGTCTGAAAAAGTGAAGCAGGTTCATCAGGTCTCTTTGCTGCATCCTCACCATGAGGGTGGTTGAGAGTTCTGAGAGCCTTCTGGGCTCCTGCTGTGCAATGATACGGCCCCAGATGAAGGGAAGAGGGCAGCCTGGGCCACCTGGGTGGGAGGAAGCCTTGGTGAACCCCACTGTCTCTCTCTTGTCCAGCCTCATTGCACGGTGCCTGCATATGACTGCCCGGTGACTGCTTTGGCCATTCACCCAGGGACCAATAATGTTGTGATCGTCCACTCAGATCAGCAGGTAAGACCTTCACAGCCAACCTCACCTCCCAAGCCTCACTAGGCACACAGAGAATCCTGGGGTGCGGGGGGGGGGGAGAAGTTTGCTCCATCTGTGTGCACAAGAGTTTTGCCCCCACTATTGCAGTCAGTCCCAATTGCTCACAAGGAGGATAGTGGTGGGAAGAACCTGGGAATCGTTTCCCTGGTACAAGTGTAGGGACCGCCAGCGGTGTAAGTTCTGGATCCAAGGCAGCTGAAATGTCTTGTTTCCACTGGAGAGGTTACTTTGCTCTTTGCTTATTATTGTGTATGTAGCCCACCCTTCACCAAAGGGTCCCAGAGCGGCTTAGAGAAATATTACAGGCAGGTGCTGCTTGGGGGCTTCCCTTTGGGGCAGCTGTTTGGTTGCTGTGAGAACAGGATGCTGGACTAGGTGGGCCCCCTTTGGCCTGATCCAGCAGTCAGGCTCTGTTAAGTTCACTATTAAAAACAAATGCAGCTTGCCATTCAAACAATAAAACAGAACCACAAAACAGTGATGTCAAAATAACAGAAGTCAGCATAGAACTGCAGCACATAGCGATGCAGGAGGAGGGAAGATGTCTACTCAGCCAAAGGCCTCCTGGGTCAGGTGATGTGTCCTGACTAATCAATTAAAAGCATGCAGTGCACAGAGACAAGCCCCAGAGGGGAGGGCATTCCACAACCTGGGAGCCACTACAGGGAAAGCCCTCTCACTGACTGCCCCCTCGAAAGCCTCTCTTCTGATCATCCACCAGAGTGACCAAGGTAGTTTTGGTGCTGTATCCGGGTGTGAAGCCTGATTAAGTGTGTCTAGATCAATATTATTTGCAGTTCTGCAACAAAAACCAGTTCTTTGCTATTATGATTGAAGGCGAGCTACAGGCCAGGGTGTTTCTATTCCAGGGAAGTCCAAAATTTGGCATCCCGGAGGTGGCGGGGGAGATTCACTTTTGTTTTTTTTCTATGATCCATCTCTAGGGTAACCTTTGCCAACCAGAAGTTTTAAACTACAGTTCCCATCAGCCCAAGGCAACACAGCTGGGCAGCTCCAGCATCTTGTGGCCATGCTGCCTGGGGCAGATGGGGGTTGTACCCCAAAATCTCTGCAAGGCACCAACTGGTGAAGCTTGATGTCGTGCTTTATGGGGCTGAGCCCCTGCTTAACAGAGCTGCTGCTCCAGCCCTCTGTTGTTTGTCTTCCTCTTTCCCAGATGTTTGAGTTCAGCATCACCAACAAAGAATACACCCCCTGGAGCCGGAAGATACAGAAGCTCGGGCTGCCCAAGCATTGGCAGAAACGGGAGACACCCATCACCCACATTGCCTTCAGCCCCCGGCAGGCCTCCCACATTCTGCTGCATGACACATTCATGTTCTGCATCCTGGATAGGTCCACGGTGAGGAAGGTTCCAGCACCAGCCCATTGGCAGTTTGCCACACAAGGGTGCACAGCACCTGCCGTTGTCTGAGCCACTGGTCACATCCAGCCCATTCCTAGACTTGTCTGCAAGGGTACCAGGGCGAGGAATGCCCAAAAGCTCAGTGGCAGAGCGCGTGCTTTGCATTACAAGAGGATCAGGTGGCAGGTACTGAGAGGTCTTGCTTTGGTGGGGCCTCACCTGGAGTCGCTGTGTCCCATTCTTGGACACCACAATTTGCTACAGAAAGATGGAATGTGGCAGAGGAGAGTGGTAAAAGTGGCGAGGGGCCTGGAGAAAGTCCTTTGAGGAAAGCGCTGGAAAGGGCTGGTGTAGAGTGGGGAAGATTTTCCATTCAGAGTAGGTGATCCATCGAACCAATGGGTTCAAATGTCAAGGAAGAGGATTTTGGTCACATCCACACCATACATGGCTTCCCCCAAATATTTTTAATTTTCTGCTCGCAGACCAACAATTCCCAGCAATCTTCGCAAACTACAGTTCCCAGGATTCTTGGGGAGGGGGGAAGCCACATGGTTTAAATGTGCTTGAAGGGTATGGTGTTGAAGTTCTTTCAGCTAAATGTTAGGAAGGAAATCCTAGCAGTGGGTGGTATTAAACACTAGTCCTACTCATAGGTACACTAAGTTAATGGACATGACTAATCTAGGTATGTCTACTCATGAGTTGAATACCACCCAGTTAGAGCTGTTTGGAACCAGCAGGGAGGTAGCAGGCTCTCCTTCATTACAGGTTTTTATGCAGAGGCTGGATGGAAACCTGTCAAGGATGCCAAGGGCATGGCTTTCCTGCATCCTCAGAGGGTTGGACGATGACCTTTTGAGCCCCCTTCCAACTTTTATGATTCTGTATGGCCAGGACCCTGGAGAGCTGCTGCCAATCATAATAGACAGGTGGACCACCAGTTAGAATAAGGGACCATCACAGGTTCAAACATCACCTCTGGGTCAGTGATGGCACATCCATTTTGTCCTGGTAGGGAGACTTCTGTAGGTTACAATCATGGAAGTTTGGGGGGAGGTGGGGGCGCAAAGCTGGCTGACATGTCTAAGAAAGGCTCCGGGAGTCTGGAGAGGATTACAGATTGCTCCAGCTCATAGGCTACAATAGGTAGACCTGGAGGCTGCTTCCAGCAGGGGGACTTAGCTGGGTCATTTTTGTCCTGGCAAAGAGTGCAACACAGCTCTGAGGCAAATTAGCTGCACTGCTTGTTCTCCACAGCTTTGTGAAACGGGATATGACCGGAAACATCTGTGAAGCTGACAACCACAGCTTCCTTGTGCCCTCAGTAACACTGCCTTTTCTCTCTCCAGTCGCAGCCTGATGACTCTGCCTTCTTGAATGACCAGCAGTCCCATGCACAGTTCTCCAAGGTTGCTCCCTGTGGCTCCAGGCCCTTCAAGTTCTGCAGAAAGTACCAGGTTCGTCTTTGTGCATCTGCACCCCACCCCACTGGACCCAGGAGAGGCAAAAGGAAACACCCCCCCCCAACACAGTGCATGGTTCAGGGATGCAGGGAGCTGCCATCAGGTCTGGAGCTGGCTGAGAGGACTCTGAAAGTGGGTTTTACAAATCCATGGAGAAACGTTTGGGGAGTACCAGCAATGCCCTGACCAGGGTGCTGGCATGGTTGAAGGCTGACCCTGGCCTGACCAGAAGCAGAGTGCTTCCAGCCTCAAAACAGCCCTGCTGGACCAGACCAAAGGAGACCATTTAGCCCATTGTCCTGTTCTCACACCGGCCAACTAGTTGCTCCAAAGGGAAGCCCACAAGCAGGACCTGAGTGCAACAGCAGCCCTCTCCCCTTGTGGTTCCCAGCAGCAGGCATTATTCAGAAGGATATTGCCTCTGACAGTGGACTGAGAACATAGCCTTCTTCTCTTCCATGAATTTGCCTACTTCTCTTTTAAAGCCAGGCACGATGGGGCCATCACTACTCCAAGCCATGCTCCGGTTGGCTTGGCAATGAAGCTGGTGCCTCTGGGTCGGAGAGAGGTGCATCTGTGGCAGGGAAGTACAGCTTCATTGCCAAGGCCGCAGAGCTGTTTCCTCTGTTGCTAGAAAATCCAGGTGTCCCATAAGGAGCAGGACTGCTGTTAAGCCTGCCGGCCTATTTTTCAAATCCCAAGTAGCCACATGGCACAAGGAGGGGTGTGTCAGTCCCACATTACACTGAGCACAATGAGAGAGCAATAAATGACGGAAGACAACAGGCATCATAAGCCCATGGCCTTTGATTTCTTGAACAAGGGTGGCAGAGGCAAAAAGGGTGAGTGTGGCGAGACTCTATCTCCAACACAAGGGGGAGAAGTCTCCCAGTGGCTACTAAAAGCACCATCCTTCCTGTTCAGAGGCAGCTTGTTGCTTAACACCAGGGAGTATCAACAGAGCAGATGAGAGACATTTGATTGACCACTGTAGGCTATGGGATGCCAGAGTAGATGGCTTCCCTTGGTCTGATTCAACAGGGCTCTCTTTAGGTATTGATGTGAGTGTCCTGGAATGGCTTTGAGAAGGGCTTTTGCTGCTGGCCTATCTGGGCAGCTGATATTTTGTGGCCTGAAAATAATTGCATGTCTGCAGGCAACCTGTGTTGGGCGCAAGATGACACCCCATCTTGATCCCATTCTGTCCAAAGATTGCCAGCTGCCAACCTCTGCTTATTCTAACTCTCCTCCTTTTTCCTTCCCCCTGGCAGCCTTTGCTGTTTGTGGACCTGTTGGATAATAATTGCCTGGTGGTGGTGGAGCGGTCTCTGGCAGACATCAAGGCGCAGCTGCCCCCGCCTGTCTATCTAAAGAAGTTTGGCACGTAAAGGCACCTGTCCCAGCCCTGCCATGGCTGTGGCTGTTCCATGCAAGGACTGTCAAGCAGGAAAAGAGCAAAAACCTGCAAGGCGGCAGTGTTGCCCTCCCAACTGCGATAGTCCAGAGAAGCAACAGCTCAGGTGGGCTGAAAGCATCCCCTCTCCTCCTCCTCCTCCTCCCCCCTTCTGATCCAAAGCAAGTGAATGACTGGAGAGACAACCAGCAGGTCTTGGGAACCCGGCCAACTCCCATGCCTCCTTCCTCCTCCCCTCCTCTGGGCCCTTGAGCTCGCTCCTTTCCTCCGCAGCGTTATCAGGCTGACGAAGTTGGCTTTGACCTTGGGATCTAGGCTGGAATGAATGTTCTTCTCAGTCAATGATTAACCTCCAAGATACCAGCAAAGACTCCACAATTAGCTTTGAACCTGAATGGGTGGAAGTCAGCAGAAGGGGCCAGGCTGCTATGGAAGAGACTCGTCTGCCGGTGCCTTTGTTTGTCCCTTTTTAATAATAAAAAAGAGCACTTGGCATTTGTACAGGGCTTTTGAGTGTTCAAAGTGCTTCACCCACGTTACACAATGCCCCTTGGAAGGTGGGTCAGTATCGCTGAAGGCGAGACAGAGGGAGGAGGCCAGCCTAGCACTGCCGCGGCAAGATTTGAAATGGGGGACTTGCTAATTTTTTCCACTCAATTTCTTGGCTGCTGCACAGGCTGAGCATGTATTAGAGCGAGTGTCCTTGCAGGGGTCCTCCCCAGTCTCAGTCTACCATGTGCCTGTCTCTGCTCCTCCAAATGGCTATGGTGGCAGCAAATTCTAGTACTCTCCCAGACTAGGCAAACTGGTTTCAGCCCCATCAAGCAGAAACCATGAGTCCAGCCAGTGAAGAAGAACAATGCTTTGCCTGACCTTGACGTCTGTGTTTCTCCTGAAGTGGGGGCGGTGATGGTCCTAAGTTTCCAGAATTCCTGAGGGGGTGAGAAGGAAGTGGCTACAGGGCTGAAATGATATGTTTTGAGTTTCAGGGTGGGGGTGAGGAGAGAGTAGCGTTATGCTGCTGGGTGAAGCTGTTGGACTGATAGCCTGCTGTGTCCTTCGCTGTAATTGAAATGATCAAAATAAATCTGACTGAAGATGGGCTTGACTCGAGTGCCGTCTCTCTTCCAGCTGTGAGCTTTCCTTCCTTGCCTGTTTTCCTTCATGTTCTTTTCTAGGTGTCAGATGACAGTCTTGTAGTCATGGCACTGTAGTTATTGTTGTATAGATTTATTGCATAGATTGAGCCTGTTTGTTTGTTTTTAAATCCAGTGGCCATTTTGAAGAAAACAAACCACGCTTATTAGATACTGAATTGTTTGTTCTCTCAACACAAGAACATTACAATTCAGAAATAATTATTTTAAATAAAGACAATTCCATACGTTCACAAATATGTGGGTGTTTTTTTCTTCCAAATAATGGAAGGCCTAGTTAATAAATAAAAACAAAGCCAATATAAAGGTCTATTACAGCAGCTCCTGTAACAAATTTGCAAAATCATTTATGGTCTGTTGTGCTTGACTCTCCCAATGAACAAGTTGGTATTGTTCCCATTTTATAGATGGGAGACTTGGAGCTTTGAGAGTACAACTTACCCAATGCTGTGGCAGAGGGTGGGCCTTAAGCCCAGATTAGACCATGTAAAGTCTAAATCTTCACTGAGATAGCCATTTTGCTTAACAAGAGACATTGCGTGGCTTTTACACTGTTTGGAAGCCATGCCTTGTTATCTCAGCAGGTCCAGGGTTATTTGCTTCCTTCAAATATTCCAGGTGCAGGTGCCAATATTGAATGCATATTCGACAGTTGAACACTGGGCCCCCTACAGAGCTCTGCCTCATGCCGAAGTTGCATTCTGACTTAAGACCTGACACTGTTTGTTCCACCCAGACTCGAAGGAGCAGGTGGAGGCAGGCCGCTTAGCTTAACTCAGGCAAGGCAGAAGATTTGGCTATTCCTGCAACCGACATCCCTTCCTGTCCCCAAGGTGCTGGAGCCGCAAAGAGTTTATTCCGTAACAGAGATGTCCTCAGGAGTCCGGGATCACTGCTGATTACGTCTGCTCATGTCAAAAATAGCCTTCCACAGCCCAAGGATCAGCGGCAAAGCCTCGACATCAAGAAGGACTCTGGGCCACACGAGGGCTTCGCTCCCTTCATGGGAACCTACAGCCAAATTAACGCCAAGCACTCGGGGCCGCAGTTGAACCAAATCCGTCTGTCTCAACCTGCTAGAAATCTTAGCTGCAGGCCTGCCTTATTGGGCCTGTGTAATAAGCTTGCAAAATCCTCTTTTAATCCAGGCTGCCTTTTCCTCAAGCGAAACGGGGGTGATGCAAGTTGAAATTGCTCTGAAGGAAATACAACCTGACAAAAGACCTGTGCCCATGTGGAGCAGCTCCCACTGGGGCTTTAACAAGTCCCTGGAGGGAGCAGAGCAGGCCAGGGTTCCCCAACCTGGTGCCCTCCAGATGTTTGGGTCTACCACTGGCTAGGGCTGATGGGAGTTGTAGTCCCATAAATCTGAAGGCACCAGGATGTGGGTAGCTGGCCTAAACTTCAGCCCTGCTTAGTGTTCCAGTAGAGCTTTTAATGTAGTGGTCTCTAACCTGGAATAGCTCCCCACCACAGCAGGCTCGAGCCAGTTGTTGTTTAATTCAGACAGCCTCTTTGTGATTCCAGGCCATTCTTTTCATAGTTAGTGGCCAGTCCTGTTGCTTGGACCCTTGATCAATGGGTGGGCATTGGGCACTGGATTTCCCCTCTTGATGGACCACCTTCCCAAGCTGATGAGCCCCATCTGCCCCTCCCCTCTGCAGCTCATGCAGAAACTGCCTTCTTGACCATTGTGTCTACAATTGGTCTCATCTGCTCAGTCCACCAGAGCCTGCTTTTGCACGCAGGGGAAGTCCCTAACTCACTGAGGGTTTGAGACCCATTGGCTACCCTCACCTGGTTTAGCTGGCCAGTTGAAGCTGTTTCCTGTGGTGTGGCCACTGTTACATGTTGACAGCTTCTAGGAGCCACAGGTGAGAGCTGAGTGCAAGGATGGGGACCAAAAGTGAGCAAACTACCCCAGAAGGAGCATGATGTGTCCCCCACCAGAGGTACTACCCCTCTCCTAACACCCCATTCACCCCTGGGGATAAGTAGTAAAGAGAGAACAGAAAAGTAGGAGAGGAGCATGCAGTGGCTCCCTCTTCATTATAATGTTGCCAGAGGCCTTTCTTTAAGGGTTTTTTTTCCTTTTTCTTTTTTTTCTTTCTTTCTTTTTATTAAGTTTTTATTGTTAAAATAGTTCATCATTAATACACATATGCAAGCATACAAACATACATTTCATACAATCCTTAAAAGTGTTCAAACATACTTACACTCAATCCCACAAATAATTCCTTTCCCCATCACCATCCACCACCCCTCACCCCACCTTTGTGTTTGACTTCCAATCTACTCAATTACAATTTCTTTCCACTTCTATTACTTTCTTTCACACACCTTTAGCCTAATTTCATACTTCTTTTTCTATTACACATTGTTATCCATTTTATTTGATCTTTCAGTATTTGAAACGGAACTTGTTTATTCTAATAGGAGTTCTGATTTTTTGATATGATTTTGCAAGTATCTTTTAAACACCTTCCAGTCCCTATCTATCTTTTCTTTTGAAATCCTTCCAATTTCTTCCATTGTTTTGGATATATTGTAATACTCCAATAATTTGGCAAGCCACTCTGTTTTTGTCGGTATTATACCACTTTTCCAGTTTTTCGCAATCAGTAGCCTTGCTGCTACTGTTGCATATAAATATAAGGTCTTATCTTCTTCCTTTAGGCTTCCTGGTACTATTCCCAATAGAAAACCTTCTGGTGTTTTCCTAAATGAGTATCTAAACATTTTTTTCATTTCATTATATATTATTTCCCAAAATTGTTTGATGTTTAAACAATTCCACCATATATGTATCATAGTACCTTTTCCCGTGTTGCATCGCCAGCAGACATCGCTACAATTTTTATTCATTTTTGCTATTCTTTCAGGTGTTAAATACCATCTATGTTGCATTTTAAGGTAATTTTCTTTCAGTATATAACAAAAGGGAAAAAAGGTAATTTTCTTTTTTTCCTTTTTCAATTTAACTTCTCTGATGAAATTGCTCTCAAGTCCTCCTGTTAGTCTCATTATTTTTTAAAACGAAAGAACTTCAACTTTTTAGTACTGTATCTTTATTCCTTTTTTTACTCGCTGCTCCCCTAAAATGATGAGCTGTAGTGTGCAGCATTTATTTTATTTCATTTAATTTATATACCACTTGAGTGTAGAAAACCTCAATGAGGTTTACAGAAAGAATAAAACAGTAAGATTATTAGCAAAAGCAATTAAAACATTTAAAAAAAAATTAAAACCAGCAATAAACTAAAAACACACCAGCTTCTCATCATCTGGGTAGGCTTGTCTAAACAAACATGTTTTTAGCAGGGGCCCAAAAAAGTACAGTGAAGGTGCCTGCCTGGTGTCAATAGGCAGGGAGTTCCAAAATGTAGGTGCAGCCACGATAAAGACTGATTTATTACAAATGCAGAACAGATATTATGGGGCACTGGTAACAGAGCCCGTTTTGCAGGTAAAGCAATTTAGAGGGCATATATGGGGTAAGACGATCTCACAGCATTATCTACAGTCCAGGAGTAACCAAAGTGGTGCCCACTACATGTAATTGGACTGCAGCTCCCATCATTCCTGACTTTAGTTTGGGACTGATGGGATTTGTAGTCCAAACACATCTCGAATGCCCAACTATGTTGGCTGTTGCTGGCCCATGCAGGAGTCAGCTGCGCTCTTTTCTGCACAGAAGGCTTTTGCAGCCCGGACAGGAGTTTCCAGGGGCTGAACCTGGAGCCTTCTGCATGCAAAGCAGATGCACTGACGCTGAGGAGCAACTTCTCGCGCGGGACAACAACGGAGTAGAAAAACTCACTGCACCTGAAAGTGAGCATTGGAAAGTGAATGGAGGGTGAGAGAAATATTTTCCTCGCCTGCGCAGGATGGCCAGGATTAGCTTCGTATTAATCCGGAGTAACTAAATCCAGAGCAGTCGTCGACGAACTACTCACTCCTCCGCATCCTCCCTACTCCCCCCCCCCCCAGCGCCACGCGGGCGCAGCCACCCGACGTCACTCTCCTTGGAGTTTGGGTCTGGGCCACGCCCTCTATTTCTCCGTGACTGAAAAACCGGCTTAGACTTCGAGGTAGAAGGAAACACAGGTCTTCGCTTCCGGAACTTTTGGGAAGTTTCTCTCCCCCACCAGGGTCTGAAGTGAGAGCCGTGCAGAAAACCAGGACTTTAGCCCAGGAGCAGCAAATCAAGGAGCCCCCCAGCAATGGAAAGTTATGGCCAAAAATCCGAACCAACCTCAACTCACCTTCACCTCTAGTCTGCAATATTTTCTCTAGACTACACTGCGGGGCTGTCGTATCCGATACATGCCTCCGCCAACCTACAATGCGGTGTTTTTAATACACGGTGCCACTATTAATAAAGAGCTGTACTTACTTTAGGACTATGTCACTGGTAGGACCTTTTATGTTTTAAAACTAAAAGATTATGGTTTTGCTGCTGCTGTTGTTTTGTCGAGCTGCTGGATTTCGTCCTTAATTTTTAACTGAACTTTTAAAAAGTCTCTTCTCTAAATGCGAACCCCGATATTCCCCTATCGCGATCAGGGATGTGGTCCCTCTAACTTTTTATTTATCTCTATGGTGTGTGGAGGGGGGGCGGAGCTCCGCCTCCCGCTCCCACCAAATCCGCTTTGCCGCAGTCGCGCTCTCACCGTCCGGCCTCGCCCCTTTGGGCGGGGAGAGGCGGGGTCTCCCGGGGTTCCCAATCCGCCTCCTTATAGGGGGCGGGCGGCGGGCGCGCGCGGCCCATTCTCCTCCTCCTCCTCACTGCTGGAGTTTGCGGCTCTTCCAGCCGCTGCTGCTCCGGCGTGAGTCCGGCGCGACTCCGGTCCTGCCATGGCAGTGTGGACGCGCGCCTGCAAGGCGGGGCTGGTGGAGGTGCTGGTGCGCGAGCGCTGGGTGCGGGCGCTTGCCGAGCTGAGCGGGGAGGCGCTGGTGCTCAGCTCCGACCCGGAGCCCGTCAACGGGCTGCCCAACGGCGCCGAGTGGGGGAGCCCCGTCGCGGCTGCAGCAGCGGCAGCATCCCGAGCGCGGAGCCCCGCGGGCAGCCCGGGCGGGCGGAGCGCAGCGGGCAGCGGCAGCCCGGAGATGCCCCCCTCGGCGTCCGGCCACCCGCCTTCCTCGCCTCCCGGCCGGCCCTTCTCCCCTCCGCCGGGGCTGCCCGGTGGCGCGTCCTGCTCCTCCTCGTCGCCTCCGGGCTCCCCTCCGAGCGGGGTGCGCCGGGTGCGGGTAGTGAAGGCAGAGGCAGGCGGGCTGGGCATTAGCATCAAGGGCGGCCGCGAGAACCGCATGCCCGTCCTCATCTCGCGCATCTTCCCGGGGCTGGCCGCCGAGCGCTGCGGCGCCCTCCGCCTGGGAGACGCCATTCTCTCCGTCAACGGCACCGACCTCCGCGACGCCACCCACGATCAGGCCGTGCAGGCGCTCAAGCGGGCCGGCAGGGAGGTCCTCCTGGAAGGTAAGCGAGGGATTCTGGTGGGATGCGCTCTGCACGCGCTCAGGGGGCGGCGCCGCTGCCGCTGCTTTTGGTGCCACCCGCTGCTTCCTGTTCCTCGAGGCCGGGGATGGGACCCAAAATAAACAAGGCGGGGGGCGGGTGGTTAGTGAGCCCTCGAAGCTCGCTTGGGGAAGTACCTGTGCTTTCGCTTAAATTTGGCGCCTACCTCGCAGGGTTGTGGGGAGCACAAAATGGGCACAATTCTGAACTCTTTGGTTGAATGCAAGCATTTTAAAAGGGGGGGGGGGTCCTGAGACTTGGTGTGGATGGGAACAGCTGATTTCCTGGGAGTAAAGTTTTTCTATTCTTCCTTGGGAGCTTGTCCAGAATCGTTTCCTGCACTGCTCACTCTTCCCGCACCCAAGCTCCACGGTGTGCTCTACTCTCCAAGTCTGGCCTTCGCGGGTAACTTTGCCCAGGCAATGTTGCTTTCCATGCCTCAACTCCATGCCCTGAACGTTGTCCCTGGGTGCATCTGTCTTGGTCCCGACATCAAAATGATCCAACTCTCTCGGTTGGCAAGCCCCTTGGTGTAAGCAGGTGTTTTCTCAGTGTGGGATGGGCTTGTTTGGACTGATCCGTTGACTCTCGCTTTTATATTCATGAGCCCAGACTTGGTCCCTAGGCGTGGAAACAGTTTGCAGGTCTGGTTCTGCAGGAGTCATAACCAGTAAGGGTGGAGCTGCTTTGCAAAGGCTGGAGCACTGTGTGTGGTCCTGGGGGTTGTCTGACACTCTGGTTAGGAGGTAAAATAAAATAGCAAAACCCTGGTCTACTTGTCCCCACTTTCCTTTTTTTGCCCTTGACACTAGCACATGACGCACTATTGGAAAACTTTTGGATTAGTGTGGCCCAAGAGGTCAGTCACTGGAAACTGAAGCATGGAAGGCAGCAGCGTCATGGAAGTTAACAGTTCATAATGATTAAGGTTGGGCAGTTAACTAGTCGAATATGCATCAAGTATTTCTAAAGCATAACTTTAATAGAACAAAAGCAATAGAACCAGTCTGATACTTAATTACAAAAGCAAATTAGCAAATGGTGATGGTGAATTAATTTAACTTTTAAAAGAAATTGTAGTGGATTATTTTAACTTTAACGGTGTAAGTTTTCTATAAACATGAATTATTTGTCAAAAGGATTTTTATGCTAGTTTACCAGAGTCAGCCTATAGTTACATGAAAGTTTTCAATGCAGAGCAGCAATTAAAAACAACATTTTAAAAGTCACTTTTACTGAATTGGCAACTGGTCATTTCTTCAAGTGTTGTGGCTTTTTTGTGATACTTGGCAATATCTGCTCCATTAATTTGCCTGTGTGCTAACTCTAGGAAGACAGTGTGAAGGAAATGTGAGTGCGCAGTAATGGTTGGATTTCATAGGAATGCAGGGCAACTAGGCTTTTAAAACCTGAAGGGAAGAGATGGTGGACTTCCAGCTGGCAAGCAGTATAGTCAAACTCTGCAAGAGGCTTGTTTGGAAAGCAGCATCAGTTGAGAATGCCCGTCCATAATCATCTTAGCTGCCTGGTTTGTCAGACCTGTAGACAGGCTGTCATTTACGTGCTTATTTGATGCGAAAGTACAGTTAATTTAACCTCGGGATAAGTTCTTTCTGGGGGGTGGGAGCTCTTGGGGAAGTCGATGGAGTTCGTACAGTTACGAAAACTTGGGGATATTTTTAAAGTGTCTTTAATCATTATGCTGCCTTAGTGGTTAAGAAGAAATGACAGCACAGGCTCCCTGCTTATGCCGGGGTGTGATTCTGTCACTTGGAATGTGTATTTTGGAAATGTGAAGTGGAGGGGGAGAAGGTTTGCAGATGACTGACTGTGCCAGTCAGTGGGAAGTGCTGCTGCCACCTTCTGTGCCAGTGTAAACAGTCGTGTTTTTAAGTGCCCTTCGTTAAGGAAAAGCTGGTGGGAGGAGAGTGTTGCTCCCAAGCTTTGGTTCTCAGCGGTGGGGGAGGGTGTGTGTTTTACTTCTTGTACATCTGCGTCTTTTGTTTGCCCTGTGGCTGGGACCTCAGACCACACAATGGAGGTCAGAATATACAGTATGTATACTAGTGTAGGTTGGTTAGTAAATGTCACTGGGATTGGGTGTCCATCCTGGGCTGAGCAAAGCCAGTTTTAAATTCCCTCTCATGCCTGAAGCTCCATGGGTGACCTCAGCATAACCTACGTTGCAGGTTTGTGAAGGAGGTGAGCAGGCCACATGTGTCCCTTTAGAGGAGCAGGGCCTTGTGCGTTGTGGCACAGCAGATGTGAAATTCCTTCCCCATATACATCCAGCTGCCCCTACGCTATCTATTGTTAAGCACCAGATTAAAACACACCAGTTTTTCTCTCAGGCTTATGGTTTTAACTGATTGCTGCTGGGTTGCCTAAATTTCTGATTTCTTGATATTTTGCTTTGCTACTTGTTCTATGTTGTTGTTTTTGTGGTTCTCAGGGTGGCTTAACAATCCCTCCTCTCAGGCAACTTTTGACAACCCTAGTTCTGTGAGGAGAATAGGGGTCTCCTACAAACTATCAACGCTCTTGACAAGCTACAGTTTCCAGGATTCTCTGGAGGAAGCTATGACTGCTTAAAATGGTATAATATTGCTTTAAATGTATAGAAGGGACCTCATTGATCCTGTTTGTACATAACACTGTGTCAAAGCATGGCTTAGTGCAAATGAACAAAGCGTGGGCTTTCAGAGAGGAACCTACGATCATTTTGCTTCTGTCTGGTCGTTTTGCGGCTGTGCTAAGATGAGCCACAGTTTGACTTCAGTGTCATCTGAACCTGGGCTTGTGGTTTAGCTCTCTCCAGAGAAACCACTAACTGAAACCAAGGTTTGTATTCGGGTTTACAGCTCCAATGCTCCGTAGTAAACATGGCTTCTGATGAGGCTGAAAGGAGATTAGAGCTCTGGTCCCAGTTCAAAGCTCTTCTGGGTCTCATCACCATCCGTTGATGGTGCTGGTCCTGGGCTCAGCTGCTTCTGTGTTCCTACTTCTGTGTTTCTGCCATTTCCATTTTCACAGCTGAAAGGTGTGTAGGCTTGGAACAAGCTGTGTTTCTTCCAGATATACCCCATGCTGTGTGTTTCCTTTCCCCGAGAATATGCAAAAGCAGAATTTTGCGGGAAATGTTCAGAAGGCTTCTCCAAGCAGAGACTTTTCCTTGTTGCTTAGCTTTAGTCTCATTAGAATTGACAACATCTAGGCTAAAATTAAATTGGAGGAAGAAAGGAAAATCTTAGACCTTACCCAAAATCATGACGTGCAAAATCTGTCTATGTTGATGCTGCCAAATGGCTGAAAGAGACTGAGATAGAGATCCTATAGGATGAGGGGAGTGGACCAGCTATAGCAGGCATAGGCAAACTCGGCCCTCCAGATGTTTTGAGACTACAATTCCCATCATCCCTGACCACTGGTCCTGTTAGCTAGGGATGATGGGAGTTGTAGTTCCAAAACATCTGGAGGGCCAAGTTTGCCTATGCCTGAGCTATAGCCAAGGCCACAAACATATAATTACTGTACTTTCTGGTTGTAACCCACAAGCTCTACCAGCATCCAGCCAGATGAAAAGGATCTGCATTGCTTTCCAGCACTGATGGTGCTTAGTTTTTGGAGCCAGAGGTCCAGATTCCAGCCAGGCAAAGGCTCTTAAGGGCTCAGAGCAGTACTAGTGACCTGGGAAGAATCCGGAGGGCCACCTAGAGACATGGAGGGCCACATTCAGCCTGTGGGGCAGAGATTCTCAGCGGGTTTTGCCTCCCAAAAAGGAAGCATATAGATACTGCTTTGGCCAGGAAGTTTGTGCTCCCCTTAAGTGACACTTGAAGCTCCTGAGAGCTATTTAAAAATACCTCCGGATGTAGGAGGGACCGGACAGCTAAAAACCTGGCAAGAGTTCTAACCTTGTGGCAATCCCAAATTTAAGAATCCATTTCGGAAAAGAAGGGTGTGACTGCAACAAGGAAGTTGGTAGGCCTACCAGTGTTTACATGGTTGGATAAAGCCTGGTTGAAGTGGGAGGGATGCTCTAGCTGCGACTGCAGGAGATTGTGAGATGGGGTTTGCCTTCTTGTGCCAAAAAGTGCTGTGAGGTTGGAGCCTGACCCACCAGTGTCCCAGCTCTCCTCTCCTAGCCCTACTGGTGCCAGATTGAACAGCTGCTTTGGCTTTTGCTGAGTCAAATGCAGCTTTCCCTTCTCTCTTGATGAGTGGATATGAGTCAAGCTTAGTGTTCTCCTGGGAGCAAAGGGTTAGTTATGGGCTGTTATCTTTTTGGGGTGGGGGACCTTGGAACAAACAGTCCCTCAGCTTCTGCCCTTGTCCCAGAACTGACTTGGAAAGAAAAGTGGCTTCCTCAGCTAAAGCTGATCTAGCCATCTCCAACCTGGTGCCGTCCAGTTTTTTGGGACTACAATACCCTTTAGCCTCAGCCAGCAAAACTGTATGATGCTGGGGCTGCTGGGAGTTGTAGTCTATTTGGAAGGCACCAGGTTTGGGGAGGCTTGGCTATTGTCCCTACTTAGAAATTACCTCCAGGGCTCCCAGACCAGTATCTGGCATCCAGCATCAGCAATGGAGGCTTTTTCTAAGCCGGGGTAGGCAACCTAAGGCCCGTGGGCCGGATGCGGCCCAATCGCCTTCTCAATCTGGCCCGCGGACGGTCCAGGAATCAGCGTGTTTTTACATGAGTAGAATGTGTCCTTTTATTTAAAATGCATCTCTGGGTTATTTGTGGGGCATAGGAATTCGTTCATCCCCCCCCAAAAAATATAGTCCAGCCCACCACAAGGTCTGAGCGACGGTGGACCGGCCCACTGCTGAAAAAGGTTGCTGACCCCTGTTCTAAGCTATCGCCAGAACCCCTCCAGCTCCTTTCTCCCTTTTATGCTCCATAGAAGCATCTGGTCTTCATCCTATGCAAATAGAACCAAAGGGCTGGGTTGGGCAGAGCACTAGCTGGGACTAAGGCTTCATTGGTTAGACCAAATAACAGCACCCTGGATCTACCTTTATCCTGTTTAGAATTTCCTCCAGGGCCTTTTCCATCTTCCTCAGCACTGCCTTGCTCTCCACTAACTTTCTGAAATACATCCTGGGTTAATTAGATTTCAGAAGTCCAACTCTGTGTCCTCTGGCCATCCCTCCAGCATGCTTGAGTATTTGTCTTGTTATTTTTCCAAACCCTCCTTGCCTCTTGACCCTAAATACTGTACAGCCACTCTCTGGAGGCTACTTTAAACTCCCAGCTCTTAATCTCTTGTGATATTTACATATTTTGCCTTCTGGCACGGAATAATCAGGTTGCACTTTTCATTCCCAAGGTTCCTTCCCCCCCCCCCCGGCCTGTGGGTGGGTGGAATAACACACTTCACAATGGGATGTCCTTCTCAGGCTATTTTTTGCTGCTGCTTGAAAAGTTGGTCAGCTGTTCCTGCAATCATTTCCTGAAACTACCAGTCGCCTGCTTCTGGAGTCTTTGCTCTGGCATGGAGCATTTCAGCTTTGGTGAAGAAGGGAACATTTAACTTTGTGACCTTGTTAGAAAGCAACTTCTGGACCAGTGTGCTAGTTGGTCCACATCTGGTAGCCAGCTGTGTAGCTCATTTTAACTGCTGAGGCAGCAGTGCTTTCTACTCAGTTTGAATTGTGCACAGAGGAAATGGACTTCCCTCCTCCCTCTCCCCCATCCAGGTTCCCTAGTTTGCATTCAGCCACCCATCCTCAGAAAAGGAGAGGAGCAGATTAAAGGTGGAGGGGGATGAGTGTAATCCTGGGATAAGCCCTCTGCCTCCAGGAGGCTAATATTAAACACTCGGTCTCCCTGCTGTGGCTCTCTCCAGCCTTGCCCTGGCTGCTAAGCTGTTTGACCAAAGAGAACTGTGTGCTGGGGATTGGTGAAGCTCAGGTTAACCAGATCAGGCTTCCTCCCCCCCCCCCCCATTGACTCTTCCTTTTTGACATACTGACTTCTGTCATCGGCTTGCCTCTGTCTAATGTATATCTCGCTGCCTGCCCCGTGGGACATTAAATGCCAAGATAGATAGGAAGGGCAAGCCAGCAGCTGCATGAGGATTACCCTTTAATACACCCTTGGGCACGAGCTGCATGATTTAGCAGAGCAGCCAAATGCCAGGCGCTGAGTGGGCACAGTGTTCTTCCTGTCAAGCTTCCTTCTAACATCTTTGCCCACCTTGAGCTCTCCTAGTATCACACTGGGGAGAGATATGGGGATGTGGCTACAGCTTGGCTGCAGAGCATGTTTCCAAAACTTGATTAAGGTGGGTGTGGGTGTAGAAATGGTGGTCCATAACTATATGATGCTTGGGCATCCTCTTCTCACACATAGTCTTCTAGCTGGGAGGCTGCTGAGAGCAATGGCTAGGACTTGAGACTTTGCAGAAAGTTGTCATGTAGAGCCCGGGGGCCCAAACAGATGTAAGGTAGAAGGGGAGAATCTCCTGGTGGTTTGGGTCTTAGTTTTTAAAATTATTAGTTTAAATACACTAGGTGCGGACCTTTCTTTCCCCCCCACAAGCTGTTTTGAGGTCTGCTGGGATGAAATTCAGACATGAAAACCATACCAGACAGACCCTGCTTAACTTTGCAAATGTGCTAGCAGTTTTATTGCTGCGGTGCTCTGATATAGGTACATCCCACCGCCACACTCCCAGTGGTGCATAGCTTTTTATGGAGATGGGAGAGGGGTGCTATATTGATCTCAGAAAACAACATGGCACAGGCAGAAGGTTCAAGATGCACATTCTCAATTGTCATTGCAGCTCCATTAAAGCATTAACACTCCATGGTTAAAAGTCTGGAGGATTTGCTGCTGGCTTCCGTGCAGCACTCCTGTTTGGGCTCCTAGAAGAGGAAGCCTTTGTGCTTCTGCAAGAGCAGAAGGGGCTTGGTTCCAAGTGTGTCCCGTGCCCTCCTTAAAGCAACTGACATTCTCCTTGCATTATGAAGGCGCTGAATGGGCCCCTCAGTGGGGGCTGCGTGGTCCTCATAAGCAAGCTGGCATCACCCAAAAGGTTGTGAGTAAGAGCCAGGGAGAAGGGGAGGCAGCTGGGCAAACACTCCACCTCCCTCTTGCAAAGACGGTGGGAAAGTCTGTGCTGGAGCCAAAACCCTCCACCTCGAAACAAAGCCAATGATTCTGCTTCACGGTCTCCGAATGTGGCCGTGGCCTGTTTTCCGTTAGTTGCGCACATTGTCTATTGTGCCCAGGCGGGCCTGGAAAGAGCGTGGCATACTTAGCTGCTGTTTAATGGGGCTTTCATGAGCTTTGCTGGAAGAGAGTTTGGAGTGAATGAGACATTTATGGCTCCTTTGAATTGCCACTAACCGGACATAAACAGTTGTGTTGTCTTTTGCTGCCTGCTGTTTGCTTCCCCCCCCCCCCCCGTCTTAATTTATTGTGGGCTGGTGGGTGTTCCCAGGCTGAAATTAGTTTCATAACTTTGCGTAAAGAGTATATTGGATGCTGCAGTTGGACTGTGGGCTTGTCTGCTATTTGACTCAAGAGCAAGCACTCCAGAGCAGGCAGCTGGCTGTTGTGGATTCAGCTGTATTTCTGGCATAAAATCTGCTTGTTCTGAATTTGCTGGTGAAGAGTGTTGCAGGAGGAGAGTTCCTCCACACCCTGCCGAAACCAGGACTACTCAGGAGACTGTGTCTTTAATGTTTCCTCTGCTTTCTTGCCTTTTAGGGCTAAAAATGTCTTTGGACTTGGCACTGTGGCTGTTTAGAATTGAGAGACCTGAAACATCTGGGCTTTTTAGAGGCTCACTGGAGGCAGGAAGAGAGGGAAGGCACCTCCTCTCTGCTGTAACACAGGTTGTCTTCCTTTGAGATCTTGCAAGCTGCATTTCCAAAATAGAGACAGATGTGTATGTACATTAAATGGTCACCTCTTTGACGTCTTGTTTGACAGGACTGTCATTTGGACCAGCTGGTTTGGCCCTTTATAGCACTTGTGTATGAACTTTTTTATAAAACGCCTAGCTTGGCCTAGCAGCACAAACCAAAGGCATTGGGATGACTAACATCCCTGGAAAGGGCTGGACCTGGCACTTGTTGTGTGGATTGTGGAGGTTACTAAATCCTCCTGCACTTCAATATGCAGTCTGTTTAATTGACTTTCTGTACTACCCTTTGCCGCCCTGGCTGCAGCTAATGGAAGTTGTAGTCCAAACATTTAAAGGGCACCAGGTTGGGGAACATTACTTTGGAAGATTGCCTCCTGACCTGAGAAGGAATTCTGCAAGGGTTGTGAAGCATCTCACTACTGGATAGTTCAGATTCTGCTTGCAACTAGAGAAGAAGGGGTGGTGGTGCTGTGACGGCAGCACCATGCAGTAAACATTTCTGCAAAACAAATCAAAAAGCCACGGTGGAATCAATTGGCCCTTTATTTGGAACGACTAAAATGCAGCAAAGGAGTGAGCAAGAAAAACAGGAAGGCAGCTGATGGGCTGGGTGGGTGAGGGTGGTGGCAAAGGCTGCATCTGGCATGGAAACCCAAAGCCTCTAGTTGGACACTGTATTAAGATGAAGGTGTTAGGCAGGCACAGTTAGATCAGAGTCTGCCAGAAGTACTACAGATCTCATCTCAGTACTTCCTGGCATTTTCCATGGCCTTAAGGTATTTCCGTACAGAGGTTTAAAGGGAGGATGAATGGTATCATCAGCACCCACAAATCCACTACATATATATGCTGCATAAGAACATAAGAAGAGTCTTTTCACAAGGAGCATTGACAGTGAGCGGCATTGGATATTATTTCCCTTCCAACTTTATATATGTTTATATGTATATAAAACCACATATAGTGTACAGTTCAAAGCTCTGCTTTTTTCCTTTTTTTGGAAATCATTTTTATTTGATTTTACAAATAGAAAGTTATATATAAAAAACCCCAAATATATATCCATAAACAGAGATTGCTCCAATCTCAAGACCTCCCCCCACCCCTTCCATGAGGTCCCATATTAAACATTTGAAACTGCATATTCTTCCAAATTCTATTATCAATCCATATTATCCATGGTAATTATTACACTACAAGTGAAATCAAAATCCTGCCAATTTTTCCATCTGCTTACAGTGTTCTCCTATATAACTTGTAGATTTTCCTCATTCTTTTATAAAGTTTTTGTCCTCTTGGTTTCTGAGTTTTCCGGTTAGTTTTGTCATTTCAGCATAGTCCATCAGCTTGGTTTGCCATCCCTCTCTGGCAGGACCTTGTCTTCTTTCCATCTCTGGGCTAGTAACATCCGGGCGGCTGTTCCATACCTAAAAAGTCTTTTCTGCTCCTTTGGGATGTCAGTACCTGTAATTCCTAATAAGAAAGCTTCTCATTTTTTTAAACAAATGTTATTTTAAACATTTTTTTCCATTTCGTTATATGTCATCTCCCAGAAAGCCTTTAGCACCCTACAAATCCACCACATGTGATAAAACGTACCTTCTTTTTCTTTACATTTCCAGCAGATATTTGAACTTGTCCTATACATTTTTGCTAGTTTTGTAGGAGTTAAGTACCACCTTCCCTCTCCAACCTTTAGCAGTACTGTAGCTAAAAACATAACAATAGCCCTGCTGAATCGGGCCAAAGGAGCCCATCTAGTCTGGCATCCTCACTGACCAGTCAGATGCCCCCATGGGAAGCTCACAAGCAGGCCCTGAACACAACAGCAGCACTTTCCCCATTTGTGATTACCAGCAACTAACATTCAGGGATATAATGCTTCTGACAGTGGAAGTAAACTATAGCCATCCTGGCAAGTAGTAAACTTGTCTGATCCTCTTTTAAAATTGGAGGCCATCGCTGCCTCTAGTGGGAGCAAATTCCATAGTTTTAACTATCTGCTGCATGAGGAGGCTGTAGTCGAGTGATAAAGCATTTGTAGAAGTGCTGGGATCAGTCTCCAACACCTCCGGTTTAAAAGCAGCAGGTGAAGGGAAAGAAACCCTGGCGGGGCACCTGCCGGTCAGTGTAGGCAGTGTTGGGCTAGATGGACAAATGACCTGCCCTGCCCTTGTGTGTTCTGCCTCTGTGGAGTTGGCTTATGTTTCAAGCTTTTGCCCTTCTTGGGTATTCTGAAGGGGGAAGGATTTGGGCCAGCCCACCAGTCTTGTACAGCTGAGAAATGGAGCCACTTCCTTCCACCGCCTAGATAGGTCAGACCTCATTCAAACTGCAAGCTGATCCCTGTTATGCCAAACTTGTTCTCATACTTTATTAGGGATCACTTTACATTTGCAAGAGCAAAAATGAAGGTGGCATTTCCTTTTGCTGGATTTGTACCGGAGGCCGACCAAAAAAGTTGTTTGATGTGGAGGGAGGGGCAGAATGTGGGGTGCCAAGGTGCTACCCAGCCAGTTTGGGCAGCTTCCTGTGCTGGCAGCAGCATCTCCATGACTGGCCTTAGGTCAACCCAGGCCCGCCTTGGCTCTGCCTCTTCCCCTCCGATGGTCTGTGCATTCCAACTGCTGCCTTCCTCTGCTTGAATGAAACAACCTCTTCCCTCCTTATGTTACCTGTATGTCTGTATGGACTTGGGAGGGGAAAGGTGACTGAGTAAAGCAGGTCTTTTTCTTTACTGAGGAAATTTTTAATAGAACCTTTGCTTGCCCCAAAATAATTTATTTTTTATTGATAATTAAAAGTGTCTTTTCTTTCCATGAGATGCATATTTGTTTGTTCAAAGGATTCCGTTTATGGAGCGGAAGATTCTTCTTGTTAAATTTATCACCATAAAAATTCATGGAATAGTGGGGTTTGGAGATACTATTCCAATACTATTTAATATATTGTGCGTTAAACATGTCCCAAAGGCACTCTTCTTATACATCAAAATGTATTGGCGGAATATGCTTGCATACAGTCTTAAGCTAATACATTTTTGTGCACATCTGAATTATTTTTAGCAGGTTGTTTAGATGCTTCTGATGAAAAGTTGATCCATTCAAAAATGCATTCGGCATAACAATATAGCAATCTGGATTCCTTTTTAAAATAACAGCTACTTTTCACAGGATCCCCTTGTGAGCTTCTCTTTTTATTTTGTATGGAACTGGTCTTTTTCATTGTGCTGTGATCCCCTTTTATCATTTAATGCAATCTCCCCCAATCTGGCAACCTTCTAATGTTATGGACTACAACTCCCATCAGCCCCAGGTAGCACGGTCATGCTGTGCTAAATGGGGTTGATGGGAGTTGTCATCCAAATCTTCTGGAGGGCACCAGTTGGGAGAGGCTGATTTAATGACATTGTTTTTGCAAAGAGGGTGTGGTGTGTGGACCTCTATTCCTGTGCGGGGCCCATTCCAGGGTCCCTCTAGCCATCATGGCGATAGGGGAGAGATTTCCTTCCCAGAAAAGCCACGAAAGACTGCAACAAGCTCTCATATATTAAAGTGAATATTGACTAATCTGTGAGAGCTAAATGCCTGCCTGAGGATTGTTTTTCTGTTGTCCATCCTCTGGCCTTGAAAAGAAGCTTTTGTTTTCTCTGCTGCTCCTTGTTACTTGGAGAAGTTTAGCCAATAAATATTTGATCAAGCATCCTGCAGTGACTGCAAAGAGAGCCCCAGAGTGTTGACCCTGCTTTATTCACTTCCTTTCCTGTCCTTCCAGCAATGTGAGCTGAACCGCCCTGAGACCGGGTATAGGGCGGGATATAAATTTAACTAGCTAACTAGCCCTAACAGGGCAGGAGTAGAGAGTGAATGACATGGGTGGGGTGGGGTGCTCCACTTTCTAGAGCAGTCTTTGCCAACCTGTTGGCTGTGGCAGATGGCAGCAGCAGTCTAAAACATCTGGAGGGCACCAGCTTGGCAAAGGCTGCCCTAGAACATAAGCAGGTTGCTTTCCCTTCCTCCCACCAGAGTCTGCTGTGCTGCTTTCTCTTGACAGGTGTCTTGCCAGCACGGTTGTTGAGGAGGACAGTGTTGGACAACACCTGCTGCCCCAGAGCACACGAGCAGATCCTGCTGGGGTACCCTGTGCTTCTCTCCACATCAGAGTGACTTCCAGTTGTGACACTGAAAAGTCGAGGCACCGTAAAGTGTCCATGAAATAACTTTGCAGGGCACTCTGTTAGGATGATATGCTGTGATCCTCAAGAGAAGTGTGTGTCCCCAGTTTTCTGTACAGTGGTACCTCATGTTACCTACTTAATCCGTTCTGGAGCTCCGTTCGTAACAGGAAACGGCTCGTAATACGAGGCGCGCTTTCTCTAATGGCGCCTCCTGCTGCCGTGCCGCCGGAGCGCAACTTCTGCTCGTATCCCGGGGCAAAGGTCGCAACAAGGGGCATCCACTTCCAAGTTAGCAGAGTGCGTAACCTGCAGCATTCGTAAGGGGGACGGTACATAACACGAGGTACCACTATACTGTGCTGGCTGACCTGGGCTGATGGGAGTTGTAATCAAAAAAGTGGGATTTGGGGGGCTCTTCATGTCAGCCTCACATGCACAATGGTGTGGGTGAGTTGGGGGACCTAGCCTGTGTACTTGGATGGGGCACAGTGGATCCCTTGCAGTTTCAGAAGGGAATGCAGTCGGCTCTTGTAGCAGAAGCCAGGCTGCAGCTCAGTGGTAGGATGTCCTGGGTTCAGCTCCCCCAAATCTCCAGTGGCTGGAGCCCCGAAGAATTTCTGCCAAATGGAGCAAGTGGCATTGCTGGGGATGAGGGTGGCATGCCAATACTCCTCATAGACCCATTGAAGTTGCTGGACATGGCTAATTCAAGCTGCTTAATTTCAGTGCGTCTACTTTGAGCAGGACTTAATTGAATACCACCCTAAATCTTGCCACCTCCTAGTGTATTAGTCAAATTCCTAAGTTGAAAAGAGCACTAATACAAGCAGAACTTGTCCAGAGTGGGTAATCACACTGTACTGTAATAGAGAATTAGTGGTTTCTGGGAAGCAGCTGCTGAAAGCCTTGTGGCTGTGGCGAATGGCCCATGTTTTGACTTTGGGATGAATGGTTGGAATCAACTCCACCAAAATGGCTTCTTCCCTTGCAGTATAGCCTGGTGGCCTGGACAGGTTTTGTTCCAGCACATCAGTGGTAGTGTGAATGGATGGTTCAGTACTGAAGGAAATTGTGGGTGGAAGAGAGGCCAGGCATTGCTCTCTGTTGCTCTTGCCTACAGTTGGTAGAAGATGCTCTCTTCATTGTAACTTCTTTAAATCTTTAACATAAAACAGGATCTCGTGTTTCAAGCTCTTGGGGGGGGGGTTCTGACTCCTGAGATAGATCAGTTAGTAGACTGTGAGACTCTTAATTTCATGATGGTGCGTTTGAGCTCCACATCCTGCCTTGCAGATTCCTGCATTGCAGGGAGTTGGACCTGATGACCCTCGTGGTCCCTTCCAACTCTACAATTCTGTGGTTCTATGCTGAAGCAGGACATAGTACCAGCTGCTCCAGAGACAACGTCCTGCACAGAAGAGGCAGCTGGCAGTGTCTGATCCTAATGGCAGCAATGCTGTAGGGCAGCCTTTTCCAACCTGGTGCCTTCCAGATGTTTTGGACTCTCAGCCCCAGCATCCTATGGCTACGTTGGCTAGGGCTGATGGGAACTGTAGTCCAAAACACCAGGAGGGCACCAAGTTGGGAGAATGAGGATGCCTTACAGAGCTGACCAAGGTGCAGCCTTGAGTAGGATGCCCACTGCTGAGAGGATGGTGGCCTCTCAAGGGCTCTGTTTTTCCTGGTTGATACCCTGTGCTGCTGCTGCTGCCTCCTTCCTTTGGCAAGCAGGCAGATCGTTTGCAAGAGCCCCATCAGTCAGCTGTTTTGCATTTCCTTCTTAGCAGATGACTCATGGCCAATGTTGAACTTCACTTTGAATTTCCGGTGTGGAAGCTGTAACTCCCCCCCCCCCACTCCCCCACTCAGTGGGAAGTGGTTGCCTCAGCGTATCATGCTGCTAAATCTCACTGGACAGAACTATGCACAGCATGAAAGAGAGAGAGACCATTTTGAGCCCATGTTTGTAGTGGGGTGGTCTGGGTCTGCATTTGGTAGAGAAAGCCAGACTTTGCCGCCACCCCTGTCTAAAAACATCAGCTGTCTCTCTGGCACACACCTGCTGAGTCTTGCTGCAGCTTCTAGCTTTGCTTCTTAGGGCTAGGAGATCCTGGATTTTTTACTGAGGAAAGGGCACGTTCTTGCAAGCAGGGATTAGAAACCCAAAGCCTTTTTGCTGTAATCTGCTCCTGAAAGCAAAAGGGCAGAGCTCTCAATCCCTGCAGCGTGCCTCCCCTGGTGAGAGCACTGCATGCGGTCCTTATACCTATCACAAACCCATCTTACCTGTCACCTTCAAGAAGCAGGTATAAGTCTGCATGGGGAGGGGCAATGCTGATGCTCAGAAATGATTAGTACAAGAAGGGAACATCTCAACACTCCAGGTGTTCTGGAAAGCAGCAGACAATTTGGTATTCAGATTTATTTCTAGGGAAATTCAAGTGCTGTGTTAGTCTTTTGCATCTGGCTGGTGCTTCAGTTGGTTTAGGAGGGGTCCTGAAGCAGGCAGGTCTCCCCCAGGAATGTTGCACAGCCCTAATCGACTTTTGCATTAAACATAAAGCACAGAAAACTTCTCAGTAGTGTGAGAATATGTTCCATGTAGATTCTTAGTGCTCAGTTAGTTCAGTTGGTTAGAACATGCTGCTAATAATGCCAAGGTTGCAGGATTGATCCACATACGGGCCAAGTAAATCTCTTGGAGAGCCAATGTTGTGTAGTGATTAGAGCTTTGGACCTTGGAGACCAGGGCTCAGGTTCCCACTCACCTGTGAAACTCTTTGGGTGACACTGGGCCAATTGCTGTTGCTTGACCTAACCTGCCTCATAGGGTTGTTGTAGGGCAGGCATAGGCCCACTTCGGCCCTCCAGATGTTTGGGACTACAATTCCTACCATCCCTAGCTAACAGGACCAGTGGTCAGGGATGATGGGAATTGTAGTCCCAAACATCTGGAGGGCCGGAGTTTGCGTATGTATGCCTGTTGTAGGAGATAAAATGGGAAGGGAAGAACCCCATATGCCACCTTGAGCTTCATGGAGGAAAGGTGGGATAATACATAAATAAATAAAATAAAATATTGACTTGGGTAACAATCCCTTGGCCAGGGCACCTACTTTGTGTGTTGCTTGCAACTTCCTGGCTGTTCAGATATTGCTAGATAAAGTCTTTTGCCTGTAAACTGTAAACTTATATGTGTTTGATGGTATTCTAATGGCTGATCTGAGAACTTAACCAAAAGATTGATTAGCTGATATTGCTAAATCGTTCCTCTGCCTAAGAATCTCGTGCAAGCAAGTGTGCTATAGTGGGCAGAATGCTGAACACAGTGGATGGGAGAAGGGAACTGGGCGACCTTAGGCCAGTCACACACCTCCAGCTTAGCCCATCTCATAAGTTGCTGGGATAAAGGGGGCGTGGGGTAGCCCCATCCATGTACGTGCCACTCTCAGCTTCTTGCAGGATAGCTGGGGTTATAATAAATCTAGGAAATAAATAATTCCAGAGCGGAGGCATCTTCTGCCTGTTTCTCCTTTTTGCTAGTCCTCATCCATGCTTGAGCTGCCCAGCTCTTTGCCTGCCTGAGCCCTTCAGAGTTTGGAGAGCTCTGACCTTTGTTGGGCCAGAGACAAGCTGTTCCCATCTCCTCTGTGTTGGCAGTTGAAGGAGAGCTTTCCTGTGACTCATCCTATTCCATCTGTACACCTTTTCCTGTGGAATAAACGTGTTTGCCACTTTTCCCAAGGAGCCTGTAGACAAAACAGTAAAAGGAAATGAGCTGCTGAAAAGGCCCTGGCCAGCCGGCAAGAGCTGAGCCCCATCAACAGGCCAGGTGGTAGAAGGGCATCCCATTCTAACCCACCACCCCGACTGTGGGGTGCTGGGCTGCTGTTTCTTCCTCCTTGCCCCACTTGTGCATTTTATGGATTATGCTCAGGTTCTTGAGCGACCCTCAACATTGCTGCCGTAGGGACTCCTCCACTCTCCATATAAGTCAGCTAACTTTGCCTTTGGATCTTTTTGTTTGTTTGCTCCTAGTGAAGTATATGCGGGAAGCCAGCCCTTATATCAAGAAGCCGTCGCTGGTGTCGGATTTGCCTTGGGATGGGGTAGCTCCGCAGTCGCCTAGCCTTAGCGGCAGTGAGGATTCTGGCTCCCCAAAGCACCATGGCGCTGCCAAGGACCGTAAGGTGATCCCTTTGAAGATGTGCTACGCTGCGAGGAACCTATGCATGCCGGATCTGGAGAACAGGTGAGCCGAGATGAAAGAGGAGGAGGAGGAGGGGAGGCGTCTCAAATTGCAATGGTGGTGCTGTAGTTTTGTTTTTCCTTTTTGTTTTGGTTTCATGAAGAGCCAGTGGCATGAGTTGGAGGGAGACCCAAACGCTCATGACTTCCCAGGCCTGGTTTTCCTAATATCCCACACTGCTCAGCGCCACAGCCATACCCTGAGAATAATGAGCAAGGCTGAGTGCTCGCTGCTCTTTTTGCCAAGAAAAACAAGTGTGCTGTGCTGCTCGGGATGGATTATGCAGATTTCCAGAAATGTTGAGTATTCTGGTTTCTGTTTTACAAGCAAGGAGGGCTATGCGTAGGAGTCAAGGGACAGGGTGGGGGCCTCTAGGTTGGGCTGCCAGATTTCCATAGAGGAGACGCCCCTATGTGGCCAAGAAGAAGAACTTGGACTGACGCAGCTTCTCCCTAGCGCCACAGTGGCAGAGGAAAAGCTGCACCCCTTCGCTGTCCAGCGATCCTGTCCCCACTGGGGACAGGCAGGAGAGCTAGTGATAATTGGGAAAGCTTCACAGCCCAGGAGGCCCCACCACAGAGGGGGACTGAGGGGAAGGGCAGCCTGCTAATTCCACATCCCAGCTCTGTTCCTCATTTGTAGCAAAGGTCTGCAATGACTTCACTGGGCAGATGGCTCAGTTGGTGGCTATTTGCCTGGAGAGGACCCCTCGCTGTTCAAAGGGGGCATGCCTCTGACTGGCAGGTGCCATCATGCCCTTCTTGTGGGTTTCCTGGATGCCTCTTGCTGGTTGCTTTTGTGGTGGTAGGAGCGGGACACAGAGCTGTGAGGCCTGGAGGGGTCCTGAGCTCAAGAGGCCAGTCGTATTATTTATTGCAAGTTGTCCCGACCTGTCCCTGCTGGAAGTTCAGGATATGTTTGCTTTGGGCGTAGACAGGATGCAAATCTAATCCGCACGTTGGCTTCCTTCCATGGAGGGGAGATGAAAGTTGGACTGGAGTCTCTCTCTCTCTCTCTCTCTCTCTCTCTCTCTCACTCACACACACACACACACACACACACACACACAGGCAGGCCATAGAGGAAGTGTCGGTTCATCCTCACGTTCCTTTGCTGGGTGTTGAGTTTCAGCTGGCTGGGGCAGCTCTTGCAGCAGCGGAGGGGGAAGGGGAGGGCAAGGCAGGCCACAAAGAGGAGACCGCAGGCTCCTGATTCATTCACCCAACTAATTGCAAGTGCCCTTTGCAGGAAACTCCTGGCCTTTGGGCGGCTTGCCAGGGACCTCCACGCTGCGCAGCTTCCCCCTCCCTGCTCCGCTTGCGGTCTGGGGCCTGGCTGCCTTCCAGGTTGCCTTTGCACCCTTTTCTGCAGCGCTAGGCAACGGCCCGCTGACTGACGGAAGGTTCTCTTCCGAGTGGCAAAGAAAGCCCTGCTCAGGGCAGACCCAGGCAGACAGATAATGTCCTCCCCCCACCCCACCACCTCCGCCCTTGCAAGGCTGCTGTTTCTCTTTCCCCTCCTCCCCCAGTATCTCACCGGAAGGTTCTTGTTTTTATTTGGAGGCAGAACAGGCAGCAGGAGGGTCAGGATCTCTGGATGACTTGAAGTAGAGTGGGAAATGTTAAAAAAGGGTGATAAGAAACAGCAGCAAAAAGACTTTTCCTCCTGTAAACTAGGCTGTTAAAACAAAGAGAGGCTGAAAAGTTGGTGGGGGGGGGAGGGAAACCAGGAATGGGTTGTTGTTTTTGTGCCTGAAAGGGCTGTGAGCTGAGCTCTGGTACAGACAGCAAAAACCAAAGTGTGGGTATGGCCCCAGTGGGCCCCCATTTTCCTGACTATGTCTCCCCCCCCATCCCATCCATTGCTGCCACTGTTTTACACCTGGCTGTCACTGGTGAGCCTTGGGATCCTTTCAAAATCCAAAATAGATCCCGCAAGCCTGAAGACTTCTCATACCTAACTGAGCATGTGATTCATCCCACACTCTTCAGTCCTGGAGGACATTCATAGCTGTCCAAAGAATCCAAGAAGAGACTAAAACAATATTTAGCATAAAAGCGATTTGTTCATTTGTTGCATTTATATACTGCCTTACTGCAGTTTAATGCTCGGACTCCGCAGAATTGGTTCTTAATTGGTGTGTGTATCAGCCTTTTTCAGCCTGGTACCCTCCAGGTGTTGTTGAACTAGCAGCCCCAGCCACCAGGGTCATATTATGGTGGGGGCGATGGCGAGTTGTAGCCTAGCCAAGCCACGAGCAAGGAGAGCTTAGAAAGCCAGCTCACTGATTGTCCCAAAAGCAAAGATATGCCATGTTTGAGTGCAGGGGAGATGGAAAGAGGCAGATGTCCAGAGCTAGGTTTCCACAAATGCTTTCTTGTGGAAACAGCCCTCCTTTGCTGCTTCATGGTTGAGGTCAAGTGCTTTGAAAGTAGGCAGGTTGCAGCTTGTAGAGCCTACCTGCATGGCAGATTCTTCCTTCCCTTGACATTTTCTGTTTGGCATCAGCTGCTACCACCTGGGCAAGTCACTTCCTGTCGGCTCTTGAGCCTGGGCTGTACGTGGGCAGCTTTCCACACTCTCCCTGCCTTGAGAAAGCTGCCAAGACACTCCAATTCCAATAAAAGACTTCCTTGCAAAGCAGCCAGACACTCTGCAGACTCCAGGCTGCTCGCGTGTTCCCTGGGGGTACAAAAAGCCATCTTGATTCAGAGCCTCTAAGTGAAGCTTGTCCCTGACACTCTCACGGCATGGGCCTTACTTGCTCCAGATCTTTCCAGTGGATGACAGCCCTGTAACGCTGACTGTAAGGAGGCGCTGATGCCTTCAGGGTCGGAGAGCACTGCAAGAGCAGTGGAGGGCAGTCAGGATGGCTCCTTTAAGCTCAGGGTTAGAGAGAGGCTGTGACCTTCCTCCTAGTGCTGGTGGGCTGGTGCTCCCATCATCCCTGACCACTGGCTGTGCTGGCTGCTGGGGGAGTTTGTTTTCCCACTGCCTCTGTAGCTTCCCTACCCTGATCTTCACTCCTCTAGAGGTGTGCACAGCAAAGCAGTTGAAACTGCAAGGCTGCAGAGGCGAGGTTGCATTTTCTGCACCAAAAAAGGGCTGTATTCTGTGAGCTGAATCAGTGATTCATTTCGGAATGGATATGCAATGCAGAATCCTCTGCTTCGGTCAGCCATGGTGTGTGTGGCAGGTAGGGAGGCAGAGTTGGGGGCTGCAGCCCAAGTCCCTGGTTGTGGCAAGTCCTACTCAGCTCCTCTCTGGTGCCTGACTGGGGCTTTACCTGCCTTTCTAACTGCACACCTTTGGTCTTCACTTGAAAGGTAAAATGTTTGTTGCTTATAAACGAAAGCACTTAATTGCATCCCTGTCGCACAAGCTGCCAACTGTTCCTGTTCTGATGGGTGGCTACTCTTCCTTGGGGGGGAGGGTCAATCATCTTGAACCATCTAGAGTGCCCCTCTCATCTTCCCTGCCCCCCCCCACTTGGTCTGGAGAGATCGCTCAGAGAGCAGAGAGAGTCTTTTGCAACCTTGTTGGCGGATTAGCAAAATAATCCCAGGGGAAGAGTTTACCTTTCTGCTGTGTTTGCCCTTATCCAATCAACCCAAACAGGAGTGAAATTATTGTGGGTGGAGCTGGGGTGCAGCAAGCAAAATCTGTTTCCCCAGGAGGTTAGCTTGACATGACGATGGGGAAAGCAGGGCAGGGCCTCCAACTGGGCTGGAGAAGCAACTGCAGCCTTTGCCAGTGATCTGGAGAGCAGAGTCGATTTTGCAGCATTTCCAGTTTGGCTTATCAGATCTCTTAATAGGCTGAAGAAGGTTGGTGCTAAGCTTTTGGCTCCTAGATAGTACAAATTCCCCCAAACGGTTTTGACCATTTTTGCTCCTTGACTCCTGCTGTTCGCCATGCATTTCAGGTGGCACATCCTAAATTCCACTAATGGAAGTGCAAAAATTTCACTTGCCACATGGATGCAGTGTTTGGCTTTCCTTGGGCAGTCATAATGCTTGATGGATCCATAGTGGCAGTTGGACCACGTGGCTGGGATTAAGTCCCTCAAACTGCCCGCCTTGTAGCATGTTCCTCCTCAAAGTGCTGCAGTGCTGTCTTAACACCTTCCCTTGGCAGATTGAGATGTACGCAGCAGCTGATACATCTCTGGAGGCCATGCAGGGAGAGTGGACTTTGCCATGTCTTGCCGCCTTTTTCTTGTGTGTTCCGCACTTCATTTTTTTTCTAAGCAGTGACTCTGGGAGATGGTTTGGCCCAGTCAAAATCCCTCCTATGTTCAGAGTGGGGCAGGCAGGCAGTCACCCAGAAGCAACTGCTTGTGAGAAGCATGTTCTGCAGCCTGAGCCAAAAGTAGCTTCTCCTTTGGAGCTTACCTGGCCAGAGGGAGGAGTGAACAGAGTTCTCTTTGCAGGTTGCTGCAAGTCCCGTCGGGTCAGACAAGCTATCGCCTCCTCCTATTTGTGTACAAAGTGTAAAATCAATTACATAGCCCAGCAGCAGCCAGTCATTCAGGGAGAAGTAGCCCATGCAGAAGGCTTTTACACAGCTCCAATGCCCCAGATCACCAAATGCTGGGGGAAGAAGGAAGGTGACAGAGTCTTTGGTCTCCCTCTGCTAGGGTATGCTGTTGAGCACAAGGAAGCAGCAGTTAAGTGAATAAACCCGGCTCATGAATTCCTGCCTTCTCCACTTAGCTTTAGCTGCCAAGAGGTGGGTCTGCTGGAGGGTTCAGGCTGCCATTAAAGGCTCTGGCTGCAGCTTCTCCATCTGCCAAGAGATGGGTAGAGCAAGCAGCAAGGTTGCTGTCACTTTCTGGTGGGGGAGGGCAGGCTGGATGCCAGGTACCCATGCACTTTGGTGGTATTTGTGAGTGTAGCCAGGGATGGGCCTGGGCATGTTTATTGCCCTCAAGAAGAGCCAGCAGAGTTCTCAAGGCCACGCTCCACCTAATTCTGCCCCCCCCCCCGCAGGACTGGGCGCTGAGGCCTTGCTGCTGCCGCAGCCTCCTAACCGGGACTGTTGCTTCTCCTTAGACACCCTTTAGCAATCATGAGCAAATGCGTTGCAGCCCCTTTTCCTAATAAAAGTGGGAGAAAGACTAACTCAGGAGTAGGGAACCCTTTTCAGCCCAAGGGCCGCATTCCCTCGTAAGCAACCCTCTGAGATCCAATTGGCAGTAGTGGGCAAAACCAGAGGAATAAGTGGGGAGAGCAGGAAATGCAAGTGTTGCTTTTTTGTAGTAGGCTAATTTTTGCGCACACACACATGCACACCCCTATCTAGCTCTGGGCAAGAAAGAGGCACCCCCACGGTTCAAGGACACATTTCTGGCTAGGCAAGTGCTCTTGAGGACGCAGTGAAGAAGGGGCAGTGAGAGGCCTGGCCAGGGGAGGGTTTTGAGAGCCAGGTGCAGAGGCCTAGAGGGCTGCATTTGGCTCCTCAACTACTTAACCATTGATACTGTGCTGACTCCAATTGCTCAGCTCTCCTGTGAGGATGGGTCCTCTTTGGGGAAGGAGCTGGAGATCAGTGGCAGAGCTTGTGCTGTGCATACAGGAGGTCACAGATTCAATCCCTGGCATCTCCAGGCAGGGCTGAGAAGGAAGGACTCCCTGTCCCGAAACCCTGGAAGACCATTGCTACTATACCAGCATAAGCGGTACTGAGATAGATGGACCAGTGGTGGCATTTGGTAGAAGTCAGATTCCTGCTGGCGCTTGGCAGTCCAGACCATTTCTTCTGGCAGCCTCCCCACTAAGTTCATCCTGCCCTTCCTTCCTTCCCTGCGCAGGTTGATAGAGTTGCACTCGCCTGACAGCCGGAACACCCTGATCCTCCGCTGCAAGGACACGGCCACGGCACACTCCTGGTTCATGGCCATCCACACCAACATCATGGCTCTCCTCCCGCAAGTCCTGGCCGAGCTCAACGCCATGCTGGCTGCCAGTAACACGCCGGGGAGCAGCAAGGAGGTCAAGCACATCGCGTGGTTGGCGGAACAGGTGGGCCAGGAGACTGGAAGCTCTGTGCGGCTCTGTGCAGTGGAGGTTCAAAAGCTCTTTGGGATTGCAGTGGGGCGTTATTGATGGCCTGAACATAAGAAGAGCATGCTGGATCAGGCCAGTGACCCATCTAGTTCAGCATCATGGTCTCATGGTGGCCGATCTATCTTGCTTCCCTCCCACCTTTTAGGAGAGATGTCAGCTGGTGACTGGAGAGGGGGCATGTAATATCTGGTACCTCCTCCTGCCCATGGTGCTTGTGAGTGGAGAACAGTCTTCTCCTCTCTGCCCAGCCCAACACAGAAGTCCTTGGCTGGGCTTCCTCCTGCATTGAACTTGGCAAATGCATCGGGTGGAGGGTGGGATGCTCAGAAGAGGCTCTGCCATTGGTGGGAAAATCCTTGTTCTGTATTCAGGCTGTTGGATGTATCAGTTCAAGGCTGAAAGGAGTCTGGGAGCTGCTGTGCGCTGGGCACTTTGTCTCAGTATTGTTACATTTGCATACCTTGCTCTAGCCTGTTTCTGCTGCCTTGTTTCCCCGCTTAGGCTTGTTAACCCATGGGGAGGAGAGCAGGTGGGGGGGAACCATCTGTCTCTGCCCTTTGCAGAGTAGGTGGATCCAGCGCTGCCCTGGCCCCTCAGACTCTCTGGGACAGCCTTTGCTGACTTGGTGGCTCTCATGAGCCTCAGCCTGCATGTCAATTTTGGGCTCCACCTCCCATCAGACCCTGGGCCATATGGCCCTGCTGGCTGGGGCTGATGGGAGTTGTCACCCCAACTATCTGGAAGTCACCAGGCTGGGGAAAGCTGTTTTAAGGTGTCACTAGACCCTAGGTGTTTTGCTGCAGCAAGTTAGCATTGCTTCCCCTTTGGGTCTTCCTCTTGGTTTTGAGCCACCCCAGCCCTCAGTTTTTGTGCTCGCATCCACCACCTTCAGTCAACAAAGTAAGCAGTTGCTTGGATAATCTGATGCCACAACAACACACTCTTCTTTTACTGCAGATGGAGCTTTAAATGTGTTTTGCACGTGCAGAATCGTGTCCTTCAAGTTATTGTTGTGCATGTCGCAGGGCGGAGGGTGTTTGTGGTAGCTTTCATCCTTCCAATTATTTCCACTGCTGCCTTGAACCCTGCAGAAGGAATCCGCTGTCAGCATCTTGGGATCTAGCCTTTCTATAGGGCTGGATTCCCGCATCTAGGTAGAGGCAGCAACAGCCCCAGCTTCCTGTCCAACCAGGCATGGCTCCCTGCCAAGGGCAACAGGCAGGGCCCAGCCTTGCTTTGCAATGAAGTGAGACCTGTTGCTTGTTTCCTGGGATACGTCTGACCTGTGCCATGGAAGGTGCAGGAGAGCCTGGCAGGCAGTGGGAGAGCCTAGACTGGAGGAGGGGGTAGGCTGGTACTTGGGTGCTGCAGGGTGAAATCCTGGCTCTATGGCTGCCTTGCATTCTGCTAGCAGCAACTGGCAGTTCCTAGCACAGCAGCTCCCGTTCCTGGTCTTCTGTCCCATGGCACAAGAATAGCTTGAGGTGGTGGTGGCACGGAACACATGCAAACACCAAGGGTACCCTCCACTTCCTGTGCCTTCTGTTTGCCAGCTTTGAAGTGCCTTAAAGATTGGGGCAGGGAGGAAATGTGAGTAAAAGGAGCCCCACCCCATCAGCGTTGCATGCCGAATGTCCCAGGTTCAATCCCCGATGGCATTTCCAGATAGGACCGAGAGAGACTCCCTCCCTGAAACTCAGAGGAGCCACTGCTGCCAGTCAGTGCAGGCAGTACTGAGCTAGATGGACCCAAGGGTCTGACTCTGCAGAAGGCAGCTCCCTGTGTTGCAAGATACATACGACACAGGATTGCAATTCATTTCCTTATTATGGAGTAAAAGGAAAAAAATGGGAGCAGAGCTTTGATTAAAAGGCTCCTGTGTGCTCAAAGCCTGAGAGCCGTGTGGGAGAGTGACTTTCAGGATCCAGATCCGGCCTTGGGGTGGGAACAAAATATTACTGTCTCTACAGCTCCTCATAGGCTTGCAAGGCCAGTCACCTCCCTCCTGCACTCTGTGCTTCCTGGCAGGTCCCTTCAGAAGGGTGTGTTCTCCACCCCTTATGTTCTTCCCCCAAATCCTTGCTTGCTTTGCTCATGGAGATGGACTGCCAACAACCCGCCCCCTTTCCCTCTTGTCTTCCCATAGGCCCGGCTGGATGGAGGCCGGCAGCAGTGGCGGCCAGCTCTCTTGGCTGTGACGGAGAAGGACTTGCTGCTCTATGACTGCATGCCATGGACAAGAGATGCCTGGGCCTCCCCGTGCCACAGCTACCCGCTTGTTGCCACCAGGTAAGGGAGCAAACAGGTGACTCTGCAAGAGGAAGAGTGTGGAGACTGCCAATCTGTGAACAGAGATGCCCTTGAGACCGGATGCCAGGGGAAGAGCAGGTTAAGACAGCCTTGCAAACAAATCAACAAACTGACTGACATATAAAGTCCAAGGGTGGTAGCCAACAAAGTGTGACCCATTGAAATTAATGGATCATGTTGATACTACCCTGAGTGTGAGCCCAAGTTGTGTGTGTGTACCAAGGGTGATGGTGGGGGGTGGGAGAGATCTGAGGAGAGAGTTGGCTTGCCCCTACCATGCTTGGCCTTTTGCCATCGGGGGTGGGCTGGCTGAGACAAAAACTTGGCAGCTCTGTGATCTTGCTGGAGAGTTAGGGGTGGGTGGGCTGACAACTTGCAAGAGGCTCTCCCTGTCTGGGCAGGCTCCTGCCACACTGCCTGCTCTGGCAGTTGCTGCCGCCAAGCTAGTTGTGTTCCCGCCACCCGTTGGAAGCCTCCCTTGCAAGCCCCCAAGAGGTGTGGCTGCTGGCAGAGGTTTCTGGCAGCATGCAGCAGCTGGATTCAATTAGGGTCCCTCCCAAACCATCCCTCAAGCCAAAACTGGTTGGAGAGAGATTCTCAGGCCTCAGACCCTGCAGCTTCGGAACCAGCCCTTTCCCACCTCCCACATCCAGGAACTGTAGGGGTTTCTCTCCTGTGCCAGGTTTGCAGCCACTTGTTGAGTCTGTCAGGTGGATTTCTGGATGACTTTCCAGGTTTTTACGGGGGGGTGGGTGGAGTTTCACAGGTGTGGTTGCTGCTTGCTCTTGTTGACCAAAAAACCCTCCTCCTCCTCCTCCTCCTCCTGCAGGCTAGTGCATTCTGGCTCAGGCCGCAGATCACCCTGCATGGGATCGGACCTCAGCTTTGCCACGCGGACAGGCTGCCGCCAGGGCATTGCTATGCACATCTTCCGCGTGGAGACTCATCGGGACCTCTCCTCCTGGACCAGAATCCTGGTGCAAGGCTGCCACGCTGCTGCAGAGCTGGTCAAGGAGGTGTCTTTAGGTAAGTGGCCAGCAGCCCTGCCTCTCTGAAGCCTGGTTTGGGATTCTTGCCTGAGCTGCTGGGCAGGGTGGAAGCTTGGCCCATTCACTGCCTTGAGCAGCTGGGGAACCCAGGCCTTGCAATGTTTGTCTTCCAAGCTCAGCAGGAGAAGAGAATGATTCTTTTGCTCTTGAAGGGTGCATTTTCCTAGGCAAAACTTAAATGCTCAAGCCAGGCTGAAATGTGATCATTTGGGTGCTGGTGCCAGTAAGAGCTACCCAGAGGCACATTTAATCTAGGGTTCTGTTCTCACAGTAGCCAGCCAGGATCCCTAAAAGGAAGCTGGACCTGAGTGCAACAGCAGTGCTCTCCCAACTCATGATTCCAGCAAATGGTACGCAGAGGCGTCCTGCAGCTGGTGGGAGAACAGAGCCCTTGTGGTTAGTGAGAGGAGAGTACAGCTGTTTGTGTTGATGAAGGTTGGACTGGTTGCTTGGTAGAAGTCTGGATGATCTCAGAATATTTGAGGGGGGAGCAAGGTGTGTATGTAATCCTCTGCTGTCAGGTAAGCTAGTCTGAGCCTTTGAAAACACCTTGGCTCAACCCCACTTATGCAAGATGAAGACGCCTGTAACTCTATCTGCTGGGAGGGAGCTGAGCACCTGGGAGAGAGGAGCTTTTGTTCCTGATGCTTTCAGAACAGAGGAAAGAGGAGTCATATAGCTCAGGCCTGCATAAGCATTGTCTCAGAACACTTTGAAAAGCCAGGCTTTGGCGCTGCAAGCTGTTGAAGGAGGAAGATCCCAGGGAACTCTTTGGGCTCTTGGCTTCTCTGTTGTTCTTTTAGAAGGCTCTCAGAGCTGATTCCCAGGTCTCAAGCTCCCTCTAGAGTTTGTAAGAGAACAGCACCCGTTCTGCACAGGAATGCTTCATTGCTAACACTCTCCTGGCTGCGGCATGAGGAGTCTTCTATGAGCCAGGTTGATGTGAATCGCAGTCCAAAACTTCTGGAGGGCACCCGGTTAGCGATAGCTGGCCGACATTATCTGATTTTGTGTCAGTGAGGCAAGTGGAACTTCAGAGGTAACTGCTTTTAGGAGCACATGGCTGACCTAGCTGCAATATTTGCTGCCAGACACAACTTGCACAGGCATTTGTTGGCTTGCAGCAAGTGGTCTGTGACCCTCATCACTTGAAATGCCACTTAGCAGTTTTGACATGCATCATTTCTGGCCTTCATTTTTGCGAAGTATGTAACAGACAGGGGAACATCTGTGGCCTTCCAGATGTTGGCCTTCTGATTCCCAGAAGCCAGCCTGGTGAGGGATGAAGAGAGTTGCTGTAGTCCAGCAACAATTGAAGGGGTTGGGGTGGTTCAGTATGTATGTAATTTATTTGTTTGTTTATTAGCATTTATCAACAGCTTAATATTTAAAACAAACAAACAGCATCATTAAAACAAAAATACACCCTAAAACCAATAGAACAACCTTATAAGAGCAAGAAACAAAAATTCAAGGGATCTATCCTGAATGGGAATTGGTGAGCTTGATGGCAAAAGAATTTTATTATTTATTCAATTTGGTTTATTAGTCTCTTGACATATTAAGAAGTCTCCAAGTGACTTCCCAAACCTAAAAGCATATAGAATGGGATAAAATCAGAACCTGGGTGACCCAGACCAAGACAAGTAAGCTGTCTTCAGCCACCATCTAGCTGAACATCATCCATCTAGCTGTCTTCAGCCACCGTCTAGCTGGCTCTGATGGAAGGACATAAGGGGGAAACTCTGCTCCACTGTGTGTGCGTGTGTGTGTATTGATGAAGCAACTTGACCTGGAAGGATGTGTGCCAGCCTGTGTCCAATGACAATTTGCATTTTCATGTTCTAGGGTGTGTCCTGAATGCCCAGGAGGTCCGCCTCATCATCCACTATGAAAACGGCTTCATTATTTCCAAGGAAGAGGCAGGCTCTGCCAGTGTCCTTTTCCGATACCCTTTCGAGAGGCTAAGAATGTCTGCGGATGATGGCATCAGGAACCTCTACTTGGATTTTGGGGGACCGGAAGGGGAACTGGTGAGTAGAGGGCCTGGGCCACAGCTGGTGTACGGGCAGAGGATTTAAATGGGCTGCATCTATGTACTTCAAGGTTCCTATTAAAACCTGTTTTATCTGCTCTTGTATATGCAGCAATTTTTAAATCATATAATAAATTGCTGGGGGGGTGGCTTCATGGGAAATGATTAATAAATGAAAGAGTAATATTTCAATAATATTAATTAGTAATTACTACTAATTGCTACTTTCTATTAAGTTTTCTATTAATACTAATAGAAAAAAAATACTAGCTTGCAGTTAAAAAACATGTGTTCATCTTAGCTCATGTGCAAAGTAGTGACCTCATTGTGTGCTTCTTCTCCCCCAGACTCTGGAGCTGCACTCCTGCCCCAAACCCATTGTGTTTGTGTTGCACACGTTCTTGTCGGCCAAAGTGACTCGCCTGGGGCTGCTCGTGTAGGAGGAGCCAAGGGGCCTTGGTGACATGGCAGTGTCAGCGAGCCACAGCAGTAGCAGCACTGAGTCCTGCCTCTGCGATGTTCTCCAGCATCAGTGCCTTGACCAAGACTTGTGATTGGCAGCTGCATTATAGATACAAGGCCATTGGATGAGCTTTGGCTGGATGCCGCGGCTCTTGCATGAACTGCCTTCCTAGGAGAGAAGCAGCTGAAGGATGGAAAGGCGGCCAAAGGAGTAAGATTGGGGGGGGGGGGGATAAGGCGGCCAGGGAGGCTGCGTGTCAATCCCCCTTACCTGCCTCGAGTTCAGCATTGCTCTGAAAACCCCACCGTCGTCTTGGCACCTTGCCATTCAGGATCATGCCCCGTACGAAAGGCAGGTGAGATGAGAGGCGGTCCTGCCAGGCCAATAGAGCAGCTCCTGACCTGGGGCATTACAAAGCCATTTCTCCCATATCCCTTATACCACTTGTGCCTTTTGGTGGAGGAAGGAAAGAGGAGAGCAGTCATGGCAGCAGTGGTAAGCTGGACCATGGGCCATTTGCCTGGTTGGGCTGGAAATGCTGTCTTGTCGGGCAACCCCGCCTTGTAGCTTGTGGGGAGCTTGTATCCTCTGCAGGGGTCTCAAGAGACGGGCTGGAAATGGGAGCTCCCCTGGTCCTTTCGTTCTGGCAGTTGGGATGCTGCAGGGCTCGGCTCAGATTGAAGAACTGAAGCATATGCACTTCAGAGCCACAAGACTCTGAAGGCCTGGACCAGTAAAGGAGGCTGGCTTTACTTAGTTCTAGGTTCCCTGCTCAGGCCAAACAGCGACATTTTTGAGCTGGGCTGAGAGCACTGTGTTCCTCTGGGTGGGTGGGGTGGGGTTTGGGTGCTGTGAAACCTGGAATCCCCTTGCCCCACCCCAAGGCTGTGGTGCAGATCAAGACAGTGGTAATGGGAAAGAGCTAACCTCAACAGGAGAAGGAGCAGCAGCAGTTTATAAGCCAAAGCTGAGCAAAGAAGTCTGTGGTGAGAGTGATGCTCCCCCCTTTCCCCCTTACGAAACGAGTGTCCCTTTCTCCTCATTCTTCTCCACCTTACTACTTCTTCTCGGGGAAGAAGGAATTCATGACAGTGTGAAACAGAACATAATAGCCTTATAAAAGGAAGCACTATTCAGCCCCATTTGTGGTTTTTGCAAACCTCTACCATGTGATGGTCACACACACCCTGATCTTTGCTGCCATAAAGGCCAGGAACTTTCTTTTTCAATTGATGGAACCACGGAACATGCAGCTATTCCCAGCAAACCCAGCTGGGCACCCCTCATACTACAAGCCCATTGCAGGGGTGGGGAGAAGCACTGGGGCAAGAATAGAGGTTGGTGGGGTAGAGGGCACAGTAGAGCCGCATGCATCCTTAACAGAGTGGGGCTTAGCCTCAAGCATTGCTGTGATTGCCTAGGAGCAGTGGCATAGCGTGGGGGGTGCAGGGGGGGCCGGCTGCACCGGGCACAACATCTGGGGGTTAGGGGGCGCAAATCCACGGGTTAGGGGGCGCAAATCCACGGGTTAGGGGGATTACTTGCCTTGCCCCGGGTGCTGACAACCCACGCTACGCCACTGCCTAGGAGATCAGAATGGTGGTCCATTTACCCTGTTTGATAACATAGAAGCCTTTTACCAAAGCCCTAGACCAGCGGTTCCCAATTCTCATAACTAAAGCTGCCATAGAGATATCAAAATTTCCAAAAGTAGAGGGTCCATGGCTTGGTTTTTGAAAAGCAAGGAGACTGCAGTACTTAGCTAATTGGGAACCACTCCCCTAGGTGGTGGAGAGGGACAGGGAAGAGAGAGGGGAAAACCATTTTCCCTGTTCATAATACAGGCCCCTGAGAATGCTTGAGCCTGAGGCTTTAGGAGACAAGTAAAAGAGAGATAGGGAGTGTGTGTGTGTGTGTTCTTATGCTCCAAAAAAGCTCATTTAGCCATGGGGCAATGCCTAAAAGACGCAAGTCATACTTGGCTTAGCAGCTGGCCACGGACCAAATTTTGCAAGAAGGGGGCCAGGTGCTTCTGTGAGTTGCAGTTCCTCTGAGGAGGTAGCATCCTCAGGTTTGGGAGGGACTGACTGGGAGGAGCACCTGATAAAAGGTTGTGTGTGTGGTGGCTCTTGTATAAAGAGTGCTTATTCCCAGCAAGATGGCTTCTGCCTGCAAAAGTCCCAACCGAATATGTAGAGTTGCAGACTTGGTGTTTTGGCGGAATTCTGAAGGATGTGCTGTGGAAGAAAGGAAAGGGAAGTGTAGTCTAGTGTTGCGGGAGGTGGGGCTTGGAGACATTGGAAGGGGCTACAGATGAGGACTTCAGTCTCTGCCTAAATCCTCTTAGGCCTGTGCACTTTTATTCTGATGATGTCTCAAGGCTAGTCACAGCTTAACCGAGCTTTATAATTAAGCAGACATCTGTTCTATTGTCCACTTATGGTCCACAGAACAGTAGAAAAGAGCGTATTTGTTTAGAGTCGTGGTTCCCAATTGGTGGTAACCCACCCAGGGAGTCCGTGGCACCATTCACATAACGTAAGCTGCCGTAGAGCTAACAAAAAGTTCACAATTAGAGGGGCCATGGCTTGGCTTTTGAAAACAGGGAGTCCACAGTACTTAGCTAACTGGGAACCACTGGTTTAGAGTGTGCATGTGTGCTGGAATTTAGTTGCAAGCAGGGTTTGGGTCACTTTCAAGGCTCCTCTCTTAAAATCAGTCGGAGTGCAATTATTGCCTGTGCTTGTGAAAAATTAAAAGTATGTATCCCGACAGGTGACGCAGGTGGCACTGTGGGTTAATCCACAGAGCCTAGGGCTTGCCGATCAGAAGGTCGCGGTTCGAATCCCTGCGACGGGGTGAGCTCCCCTTGCTTGGTCCCTGCTCCTGCCAACCTAGCAGTTCGAAAGCACCTCAAAGTGCAAATAGATAAATAGGTACCGCTCTGGCGGGAAGGTAAATGGCATTTCCGTGCACTGCTCTGGTTCGCCAAAGCGGCTTAGTCATGCTGGCCACATGACCCGGAAGCTGTACACTGGCTCCCTCGGCCAATAAAGCGAGATGAGCGCCGCAACCCCAGAGTCGGCCACGACTGGACCTAATGGTCAGGGGTCCCTTTACCTTTATCCCGACATTAGCAAGGGCTGTCTGACAATTGTTCCAGTTGGCTGGAGCGGGGAAGCAGATTTCACGGAGCTCACCTTTGGTGCCAGCCTATGGGCAATGCAACAATGTGGGGAGATGACAACCGTAGTTTTTGCATAGGTGTGAGAATAGCAGTTGGGTTGTGGTAGAACAGACACCGAAGCATTCATTTCTGTATGTTTGAAATTCACTCAAACAAGCATATTAGGCCTCTCTCCTTATTTAATAGTTTAGCTGCTCAATTTTAAGAGGAATCGTTTCCGGCTTACATAGAAACAATTGAATGCAATGAAAACCAGCTTTTTATTTGTCCCAGACAAGTTACCTCCATTGGAGAGTGTGTCTCACCACCTCACAAATACTGACTTCACTTCCATTCATGGCATTATCACAAGACAATTTCCTGCGCATTCACATATGCATTAGGCAAACCAAAGCTGCACTTGGGGTTAGTGGCAAGCTCTGAGCAGAAATGGCTTCTTAATCTCTTGTACCTTTGGAATGCACTTGGGTATCCCAGTTTTCATTCAGTGTGATTCTGGTGGTTGCCAACACTTGTGTTTTGCACCAAAAGCTGCACCATGACTGTTGTGGGATGCAGGACAGCACCAGATGGTGCTATGTGTGTCTGGGGTTTCCATAAACAGAAGATACTCTGGCTGGCCTTAACAGAGCTTTTTAAAATGGTGCTTTGGCATCACAGTGAAAGGTGACCTTACAGAAAAACCACCAAGATGGGCTTTTAAAAACAAAATTATTAAAAGCCCAGGTAGTCCTGCAGTTCCCACTCTAAACACTTCCTTTTTAATAGCACTTTCCCTCAAAGTTGTATAGCACTCTGGTTTTTTTATACCAGGCATAGTTCCCATAGCTGGGGTGGGGGCCATGCTAACCACTTCTGTGATCTGGACACTGAGCAGTGGTGATAAAACGACAGGTGTTTGGTCTGTACAATCTTTGCATTCATTGCCTGGACCTCATTTGCTCCTGACCCTTCAGCATTGGGGCATGGAGCACACGATCAAATTCCCTGTGGAGTTGCACTTTGCCATCCCAGTGACTAGATTGTGTTTGTGTAAAAGGATTTTGGTTCCAGATTCTTGCAAAAGTATTTTTTTTTATGGCAATTTTATTTCCCCATCAGCAACCCCCCCCCCCACATTGTCTGGTTTCCTTTGTTCTGCAGCTGGGGTTTTCCTGTTTTGGGGTTTCCCCTTCTGCTATAGACATCAGTCAGGAGTTTACAGTTTGGGCAAATGCAACTTTAAGGCCCCAAGTGCCAAAGATGAGACTTCTTGAAAGATCTCTTCAAGAAATCTGCACAGAAACCACTACAAATAAATGTTTGTGTTTATCCCGCATAAGGTCTGTTTGTGCTTGTGTTTGTGTGCACACTGTTTGATAGAATCTAACCTTGGGTATTGAGGCACAGCCAGTAACACTGCCACAATCAATCCAAAATGTACAACTGACGTTATTTTTGTATTCTTTGTAAATGGTATTTATACAAGAACAAATTCTTTTTTTCTGAGTTTTTAATTTCAAATGTTGGGAGTCTCCAGGTTACCAAATCCAGATAAAACAAGTGGTGGTGTGGGCAGTTTATGGTCTTCACAAGCAAAGGAATGTGCTCTCTCTAGAGAATACATGGACACCTTCCAGCCCTTGAGTTACATGCTAACTGTATAGTATTGTACATTACAATGGAAATGTGACTTAAGGGCGACTGTAACCTTTATGTTGTGTATAATAAAGGTGTTTATGCTTTTAGTTTTAATTCATTGGCTTGTGTCTTTGTGGGAAACCAGACTTCAAAAATATATGTTAGTGAGTTGGATTCCAGAGTAACTTAAAAGGAAATGACCTAATCGTTAAGGTCACAGACACAGATGAGGTGGAAAGTTTTGAAAAGGGGGGGGGGCATCTTCCTTCCTTCCCGCCTGCTTTAACTCTACAGAATCTCCTCTTTCAATACATCCTTCCAGGGCACCGCAAGTTTTAAGAACATCAGAAAAGCCCTGCTGGCTAAGACCAAAAGCCCTATCTAGCTCAGCATCTGTACTCACAGTGGCCAACCACATGCCTTAGTGGGAAGCCTGCAAGCAAGACCTGAATGCAACAGTGCTCTCCCTGCTTGGGATTCCCAGCAAATGGCATGCTGCCTTCCCGACAGTGGAGGTGGAATGCAGCCATCATAACTTAGCAGCCTTTGATAGCCTTTTCTGTGAATTTGTTTAATCCCTTTTAAAGCCATCCAAGTTGGGGGTCACACTATCTTGTGAAATCAGATTCCATAGCTGAACTGTGTGGTGTGTGAATAAGTTATTTTTGTCAGTCCTGAATCTTATCACATTTGGCTTCATTGAACTGACACCATTGGATTCTACAAGAGAAAACAACACGCACTCCACTTGATTTCCGTTTTCCCCCTAAACTAATAAACCCAAATGCATTACGACCTTTCCTCTTAGGGGAAAGATATTCTGATAATCCTGGACCAGATACCTCTGACACCAGAAACTTCATTGGAGTATTCAGCTAACTGGAACATATTCTTTTATTTTTAAATTAAAATTAAATTTGTGTACCCATACTTCATCCGTAGATCTCAGGGCCGTTCACAATGTAAATGCAAGATAAAAACACAAAATACATAATAAAAACAGGAACAAAAAACCACAAACCAATAAACCTCCCTCCCCCATTTTAGAGACTGATAAGATGTTAATCAGTCAACTGCAGAAAACGCCTGTACATGCCCATCCAGACCTCTCGTCGAGGAGACACACAAAGAAGGGCCTCGGGAGATGTCAGCATCTGGGTAGGTTCATATGGGAAGAGGCGGTCCTTGAGCTATTACGGTCCTGAGACATTTAAGGCTTTATAGGGCAAAACCAGCACTTTGAATTAGGCTAGGAAGCTAATTGGCAGCCAGTGCAGTCGAACTAGGATCAGTGTAATATGCTCAAACCACTTGCCCTAGTGAGCAACCTCGCTGCCAAGTTCTGCACCAGCTGAAGTTTCTGAACTATCTTCAGAGGCAGCCCTACATATAACACATTGCAGTAATCTAACCTAAAGGTTACCAGAGCATAGACAACAGTAGTTAAGCTATCCCTGTCCAGATAGGGAAATAGCTGGGCCACCAGCTGAAACTGATGGAAAGCACTCCATGCCACTGAGGCCACCTGAGCTTCACCTGACAGCAAAAGATCTGTAAGTACCCTCAAGCTACATACCTGCTCCTTCAGAGGAATCCCATTCCAAACCAAGTTCCTGTGTTTTGTCTCAACATTTTAAACTTGCCAGTTTATTTTTAACTTGAGATATGTGAACATGGTTATGCTGATACTTTGTGTTTGGGGCACAAATAGTTTATTTTGGGGGTGGATGCCTCATTGGGTTTACTGTACTTTGAAAAAGCGGAAGAATTAACAGACCTTTATTTCCTTTAGTGCCAAACTGAGGGAAACTGTGGCTTTGTGGTCTGGTTGCATTCAGGGCTTGAGCTACCAGGTGGAAGCACCATGAAACTTCTGAATCACAAGTGCACAGATTTAGTTGGTGTTTGAAAACAAGGAGCCTAATATGACACAAGTCAGCACCTTATTATAAGATGGCAGTGAATGCACTGGACCGTTGCCTTGCCTCAGTAATGGACTGGATGAGAACCAACAAACTAAAGCTCAATTCCACATAAGACTGAGGCACTTTTAGTGGATAGACCCCTAGACTGGATGGCTGGGAGGTTGCCTGCTCTTGATGGGGTTATACTTTATAGTAACTTGACAGTGGTTGTGAAATGACAACTTGCGCTACTGATGTTGTTCAAGTATTTCAGCAGGAGAAAAGTGGCTCTCAAATTAACATCCATCTACTGCTAAGCATTTGCCTGTAGGGAAAAGCAAATGAGATTTGCAAAGCTCAATGACCAACCAGATGCATTTAGGGGAAGCCCACAAACAACACATGGCCACATAAGCACTTTCTGCACATGCAGTTCCCAGCAACTGGTGTTTAGAAACGTACTGCATAAAAATAATCCTCAAAGTAATACAACACATAAAAATAAATATATAAAACCCAAATACAGAAATTTAATATATTCATGATGGAATGGTCTCTAGTCCACAAAAACTTCTGTATACACACACACACACACACACACACACACCCCTTCACAACTTTTATGAAGTCAAGAAATGTTCCAAATTTAAAAGTCTTTACAGTGCTACAAACTTGATTGATTTTGCTATTTAACTGTGTACTTTGTGTGTGTGCAATTGAGAGTAAGCTCCACCTCAGTCACAGATATCCTCTAATGGGGCTCTTCTTCAGGTGGTTCTCCACACAGCCCCTGATACTGGCCTTCACTAGGGCCAAGCCTTTAATATGGCAGGTCTTGCCCTGTGGAACTCCCTGCTAGTTGAGGTTTGGCAGGAACCATCCCTGTCTTCTTTCAGACATCTTCAGAAAATTGCATTGTTTAGGAAGGACTTTAAAGTATGAATTTATTTTTTCAATCCACCTACTGTTGTTTTTAGTTATGTTTCTTTGAATGTTTCTTGCTGGTTTTACTCTTATGATAGGTTTTTATGAAAGTGTGGATTATAAATTATAAGTAAATACAAAAAAAGCCTGCTGGATCAGGCCTATGGCTCACTATTCCAGCATCTTCTCACAGTAGCCACCCAGATCTCCCCTCCTGTGGACCAGTTCTCCCCTCCTGTGGTTTCCAGCAACCGGTATTCAGAAGCATTGCTGTTGCTAGTAGCCATCAATAAACTTCTCCATCCATTTGTCTATTCCTATTTTAAAGCCATCCAAGTTGGCTCCCATCACTGGCTCCTTTGAGAGCGAGTTCTGTAACTATGCTGCATGAAAAAGTACTTGGGAGTCAATAGAATTGGAAAGGGACCACAAGAGTCATCTAGTCCAACTCCCTGCAATGCAGGAACCTTGGGGCTGAAATCCACCACCCTGAGATTAAGAGTCTCATGCTTTATCGACCGAGCTATCCCTTTAGTCTACCTTTTTCCTGCCCTGAATCTGCCACTCTTCAGCTTCATTGGTTGTCCACGGGTTCGTCTATCTAGTGTTATAAAAGAGGGAGAATTTTCTCTCTCTACTTTCTTCATGAATTGCACAAATCTGTAAACTTCGATCACATTTTACTGGCCTTTTCTGTAAGCTATCCCCCCCCCCCAATATGTGTTATTGTTTCCTGCTGCTCTAAGCAAAAGGTCAGAAAAGGAGACTCCCCGCAAATTTGATAATGCAGCCATAACTCAGCCATCATTCAGCCCCTGAGTATGGGGCAGCCAAGACAACCGGGAAGCCGAAGAGAAGAAAGGAGAGCCCGGCCGGCCTCCTGAGAAAGGGGCTCGTGGGAGGCGGACAAGGGCGGACCACCTCCGGGCTCTTCCTCCATCCCGCCCCTGAATGGCGTCGCGGTTCCTCGGGCCTCCCTTTCCCCTCCTCTCCGCCTCCGCCTCGCCTGCTGCTGTTCCCGGTTCGGCCTGCAGGCGGCAGCCCAGAAACCGGCCCAACTCTCCTCAGCGGGGCTCCCGGTGGCCGCCTCGTACTAGCCCGGAGGAGGGAACCAAAGCCCAGCAGCCTCGGCAGCCGCAGCAGCAACAGCCGCCGCCCCAGCCCCAGCGGGAGGAGATGCGATGACAACGTCCGCCCTGCAGGTACCGGCCGCGCCGAGCTGCCTCGCGCTCCGCCCCGGCTTTGCGGCCTACGCCGAACCCCGGCTTTGCGGCCTACTGGGGCGGGCCTTGAGGGGCGAGGAGGGAGCCCTCGCCCCGAGGGGTCCCCGCGGCAAAGCGGTCGAGGAAGCCGGGCTGAGGGGAAGCGGAGGGTCTTTTGGTCAGAAACTCCGGACTCTTCCCCCGCCCCGCTCCCAAAATGGCCCCTGTTTTGGTAATAAGGGGGGGGGGACAACCCCGCTCGCTCCCCAAAAGATCTGGTCCGTGGACGTTGTTGCTCTCATCCACTCGGAGAGGGGAATAGAAGGCGAGGGTCGTTTGAGTTTGCTAATTGAATGTGTTGTTTTGTGAGCGGACGCTGAGGAGGGAGAGAGAAGGGGCCTCCTGGACACCTGAGCAGGTGGGGAGAGAAGCCTGGAGCCTCCACCGGGGGCTGGGGGAGCTGCCTTGGTTTGTAAGGCAGAGTGCGTTATTCAGAGGAGGCAAAGACCAGGAAAGGCACACAACTTTAGCCCTACTCAGAGTAGACCTGTTGGGCTTACTCAGCGCATGTCATTTAGGCCCATCGATTTCAATGGGTTTACTCTGAGTAGGCCTTGGGCGTAACCCATGTCTACATGCATATGCACAAGTCATCAAAATGATGCACACACTTCAGTGCCGATTTCCTAAACTAATTGCCACCCCTCTGATCTATATGCTTTCTGTGTATTTTTGTTATATAACCATTTATAGAAAGATAGTTGCCCTCTATCAAAAGATGCATCACAAGTTGTATTTTCCAGGGCTAGAAAATCTCTGAAACCTTGAGTTTTGAAATGCACTCAGTCCTGAGCAGAGCTAGGGTTTTAGGTAGCAGGCAGGTGTTTCCAGGCTGGCCCTACTTTCTGTCAAGGGGAATCCTGCTGCCTTGTTCTGTAGGGCAGGTGCTGGTGCACATATCTTTCTGGGAAGAACCTAAGGACACAGAGGTATCAAACAGTATTCTTGGGACATTCTGACAAAATTGGGAGAGGTGCTTCATCCAGGGTGTGATTCATAGACCATTTGTGGGAGATGAAACTGAACTGAAAGGAGCTCAGTACCCTGTTTGGTTAGCTTATTCAGGCATCAACTGGAGAAGTATCTGTAGTATACCCGGAGAGTTCTTAGGAACAGCCAGTTAGAAGCAGCACACAAGATTTTATTGTCTTTTATGGCTTGGATGATTTCCTTTCCCAGGTGACATGTTCAGCAGGTGAGGTAACAGTCCACAAGGCCACCACTGTGTGAGATTCATGCCCCACTCGCTCATAATATTGACATTGTGTAGTATGGTGGTTAGGGTGTTGGTCTAGGACCTGGGAGACCAGGGTTCAATTCTGCACTTGGCCATGAAGGTCACTGAGTGACCTTGGGCTAGTCACCAACTCTTAGCCTAGTCTACCTCACAGGGTTGTTAGGATAAAATAGGCAAGGAGGGAATGGGTATAGCATCTTGGGCTCCTTGGGGGGGAAAGTGAGATATAGATGTAATAATAAATAAACCCAGCACATTTCCTCTTTGCAGTGGGAAGGTGACTCTTTCAGCAGCTGCTGTGCAGTACCAATTCCTGCCCAAACTCCTTTGGGGGTCAGCAGCAGTTCTAAGCTATAAAACAGCACAGGAGACTGGTATTCTCCTTGTGACCTTTGCCCTGCTCAGCAGCATCTGGCACGCAGGCAATGCCTTATACCACCTGCTGGCAATCACAACTGTATAAAAATCATCTTCTTTGTGGTGGAATTGCTTTATGGTCCTCAGACTGGTTAAATCCCTGTGCGATTGATGACAAAGTACTGCTCATCAGTTTGCAAGAACAATAAACATGTGTAGAAGAAGGCACATGCCTTAAATTTCTAACTCTCTCCCACCTTAAATATTTAGATAGGTACTTAGTCTTTGCCGCACCATTTTCTCCTGTCTCTTGGTTATGCCTCAGCAAACATTTAAGAGTCTTAGGGGTTAGTACCAAACTTAGAGCCTCCTGGAATTCCCAGTGCTGTGAATTTTTCTAGCTGTGATTCTGATGTGCCACCATGAAACTTGAGCCAGGCATTTGCTTTCCAGAAAGCCATTGATTTGGTCACAAAAGCCACCGAGGAAGATAAAGCAAAGAACTATGAAGAGGCTCTGCGTCTCTACCAGCATGCGGTGGAGTACTTCCTTCACGCCATCAAGTGTGAGTCTGTCTTGGGGGTGGGAGGCTTAGTGGGAGCTTTTACGTGACACTGGGAAGGCTTACAAGGACCTTGCTCAGAGCAGCAGCTTCCTTTGCTTTGCTTGCTGTGCGGCTGTCAGGGGAGACCCAGGCTTGTTCAGTGCTCTGTGATTGTAGCCCATTTGTTGGGTGATGACATCAGGGAATCTGCAGACAAAGTGGTGTGGAGAAAGTGGATAGAAGTAAGGTTTTCTCACTCTCTTAATGCTAGAGCTCAGGGATTGCTCCAGAGAAACTGATTGGCAGGAGAGGCAAAAGGAAGGACTTATTCGTTTAGAGGTATAATCCATATTTAGAATTCCCTGCCATGGTTTGGTGATAGCCGCTGGTTTAGACGGTTTTAAATGAAAGTTATACAAAGCCACTGGGGATGAAAAGTGTCCACCAATGGTTGGCAGTTATTGTGATGATCCTGTGGAATCTCTAGGGACAGAAGCAGTATATGCTACTGAGTGCCAGTTCTTTGTGGGCAACAGTAGGAGAGGACTGCTCCCTTCCAGTCCTGCTTGTGGGCTTCCCAGAGGCAACTGGCTGGCCAGTGTGGGAACCAGGATGTTGGACCATATGGACATTTTCTTGGCATGGCCCAGCAGGGCTGTTCTTATGTACTTAAAGTTCTCTGTGACATGCAGTCAGTAGCTGGTAGCTACTGTGAGCAATTTGCGTCTAGGATAAGTGAGCCTCCAAGCTGGTTTCCCCACCCCTGAATCTGGAAAGTGCTGCTGCAGGGAACCCTAGTCGGGTGGGGGCAGGCTGTCCAGGGAAGCTCTTCCTTACCGCTGCCTGTTGCCCTTGCAGATGATGCTCACAGTGACAAGGCCAAGGAAAGCATCCGGGCAAAGTGTGCACAGTACCTGGACCGGGCTGAGAAGCTGAAGGATTATCTGCGGACCAAGGACAAGCAGAGCAAAAAGCCTGTCAAAGAAGCCCAGAATGACAGCAAGGGGTATGGCTTAAAGGGTTGGCTCCTCAAAGTATGGTGTGGGGGGGGGGGAGAGATTGGGTGAGGAAGTCATAGAGGCACTGTTAGCCCAGCCTTGCTTCCATTGCCCTTTGCTCTGTGTCTTTGTGTGTTTATGCAAGTGCAGATAAGTTAGGTACAGTTAGGTTAGGAGTTAATACAAGAATAAATGAAATCTCAGAGGGTAGGGGAAGGGGAGGTTCAGTGTCCTGCCTTGCCCCAGAAGGTGGAAATGGGATCAGATCATCAGCTAAGAGAAAATCCATCAAACGATTCTTTCCTTAATCTCAGCAACCTCATTTAGGTGATGTGGAACAGCTCTGCTCTTGCTTGATCCCAGGCCCTGCTGGTAGAGCACTGTGGGTTGGGTTGCAGGTGACACTGATGTGTGGCTGGTCCTGTCTTGAAGGTGGAGAGGATATGAGGATATTCTTTGATTTCATGTGTAGTTGAGGCCAGGTGTCTGATGGGAACTGGGAGAGACCTCATTCTCTGAGGAGGTGGTTCTGTGTTGCTCATCCTCCCCTCACGCAAACTTTGCAAATAAGCACCAGTTGGAGTAGGCATGAGTTGGGGAGTCCTCCTGCCCCTCATGGCACAGCCCACCCCATATCATTTGATGCCTTTCTCTCTTCAGAAGTGACAGCGACAGTGAGGGCGACAATCCTGAGAAGAAGAAGTTGCAAGAGCAGCTGATGGGTAAGCCAGTTCTGAGCAGCCCCTTGTCCCTGTGCTTGTTGCTGGCTCTGTAGAGACAAGTGCAGCTTTCTGAAGGTGGGCTTGAAGTGTCAGGAGGGTCTAATGCACCCCTCCTTGGCAGGATAGGAGGGAGTCAAGTGGGCTCTATTAGGCAAATTGCTTTCCCCTTCCAGGTGCCATTGTGATGGAGAAGCCCAACGTGCGGTGGAATGATGTGGCTGGGCTGGAAGGAGCTAAAGAGGCCCTCAAGGAAGCGGTCATCTTGCCCATCAAATTCCCTCACTTATTCACAGGTGAGAATCTGGGCACCTCTGTCCCCCTGGGCATGCTAAATGTTGTGAGGGGTGGATGAGTCCATTTCCTCTCTCTTTGCCCCAGGTAAGCGCACTCCGTGGCGAGGGATCCTCCTCTTTGGCCCTCCTGGTACTGGGAAGTCTTACCTGGCCAAGGCTGTAGCAACTGAAGCAAGCAACTCCACCTTCTTCTCCATCTCCTCTTCAGACTTGATGTCCAAGTGGCTAGGGGAGAGTGAAAAGTGAGTGACAAAATCCATGGGGGAAGTGGGGGAGGGAGAGAACCATCTCTTACTTAGGAGAGTGGGGTTTGATCTATGGAGTGGAATAAGATGTTCCTATTAGGTATGATGGGGGTGGTTAGTGCCCCACCCACCCAAGCTGAACTCCAGCTCACATAATCCCTGACCATTGGCTGTGCCCCAAAGTATCTGGGGTGGGGAGACAGATAGAGACGGGGCTAGAACTGTGCAAAATGGGTGTCTATGGAAGGCTTTAGATTTGCCGCATTTTGCCACAGTTGTTTGGACACAGGCTTGGTTGTAGTCTTTATTTTATGGTTCCTGTCAAATGTGCCAGTGGCCTCCAATGGCCCTTCCCTGAGCTTTCTGCTGTGCCTTTTCTGTTAGGTTGGTGAAGAACCTCTTTGAGCTGGCCAGGCAGCATAAGCCTTCCATCATCTTCATTGACGAAGTGGACTCTTTGTGCGGCTCTCGCAATGAGAATGAGAGTGAGGCAGCCCGCAGGATCAAGACTGAGTTCCTGGTACAAATGCAAGGTGGGTAGACAGAGCGACAGGAGAGAGACTGCCCAAGAGGACCCTTTGCACTGGGGAGCATCTGGTCTGCCTCTCTGCCTTCCCCAGTGTGGAGTGACGATTTGTGGCTTTCTTTCTTGACAGGTGTCGGGAATGACAATGATGGCACATTGGTCCTGGGTGCTACCAACATTCCCTGGGTGCTAGATGCTGCCATTCGGCGAAGGTGGGTGATGCCGCAGGTTTTGCTGGGGCTCCTGCTGCCCACATAGACAGTCTTGTAGCCTCTAAAACAGCAAGAGGTCTCTCTGTGCCCTGGTCTGAAGGGCTGTTTGCGTTTTGTTGAGGAATGCTTCTGTTTCACCAGTTGTAGGGTCTGCAGGGGCTTATAACAGGACTAAAACCAGCAATATATTAAATTTTATTACATTTATATCCTGTCTTTCTTTGAAGGAATAAAGGGGGTGTTCGTGGTTCTTCTCGCCCCCAGTTCCATCCCCACAGTGACCCTGTGAGATTAGACTGAGCAGATAGTGACTGGCCCAGAGAGCTTTATGACTGAGTATGGATCTGATCTCAGGGTCTCCTCAGACCACAACTGCATGCTGTCAGCAAAACATAACACAAATCTAAATAAACAAACCAACCACACATATTTAAAACAGCATTAAAAAAATATATGATCAAAGGGTGCTAATCTTCAAAAGTCTGTGCAAATGGTAATGTTTTAAGCTGGCACAACATAGCCAATCAGTTTGGGGCTGGGGGGAGGCTGCCATACACCTCACCTCACCTCTCCACATGGTTGCATCCAAGCAGAATCTTCGTAGGTGTGGGAAGAAGGCGGGGGAAGCAGCGACTTCTTCCCTCTCCCTTTGGGGACAGTCACATGTGGGCTTGCATTTGCACATAGGTTTGAGAAACGTATTTACATCCCGCTTCCCGAGGAGCCGGCCAGGGCTCAGATGTTTAAGCTGCACCTTGGCAACACGCCACACAGCCTGACAGAAGCCAACATCCACGAATTAGCCCGGAAGACTGACGGCTATTCAGGGGCTGACATCAGCATCATTGTGCGCGATGCCCTTATGCAGCCTGTCCGCAAGGTGCAGTCAGCCACACACTTCAAAAAGGTGAGGACGGCATTTCCTACAAGGGCTGTGCCAGGGCAGGCTGGAAGGTAGATTCCCCTTGCTTGGCCCATCCTGTTGTTGCTTCAAGGCTTCTGCTGGGGAGTGAAGCAGCAGAAGATTCCACCTTCTCAATGGACTCAGCTACTCCACTTCCTTTCCCAGGCAGGGTCATGTGACATTGTTGTCTAGCCCTGGGCAGGCAGAGGCTGTTCCTCCCCGGTTCCTCTCCTACCTCACCCAGTATCCGAGCAGCTGCACTTGCCTCTCTGTATTTGTTCTTCTTCACTTCTGTGTACCTGGTGCTTATTATTTTACATGGACGTCCTGCTCTTGTTTTGGGGGGATACTCAAGCAGTTAATGAGGGGCTCCCAGGCATTCCTCTGCTTTAATAAACGCTTTTGGTCAAATGAGACTTCTGACTCTCCAGTTGCTGTGAATTAATATGTGGTGTTGGGAACTGGCATTGTGCTTCTCTTGATATGTGTCCCTGCAGTATTCAAATGGCTGTTGCTGGATGGATGGCCTACCTGTTCCTTCCAAACAGAGTGACTAGTGTACTTGCAGGGGGACTGACTCTTTTTTCCACCTGCTTCTGTCTTGCATTGCTACTATATCTGTCCTACCAGGACCTAAGAGTTTTGTGTTCAGCCTGCCCCCACCCCCCAGGAATTTGCCATATCAGTGCGCTGTCTGGGTCTTTATTGCAGGTCCGTGGACCATCCCGCACCAATCCTGGCACGGTGGTAGATGATCTGCTAACCCCTTGTTCCCCAGGAGATCCTGGTGCTATTGAAATGACATGGATGGAGGTACCTGGGGACAAGCTTCTGGAGCCTATAGTCTGCATGGTGAGTGAGGTCCCCTGACTTTTTCCTGCCTGGACCCTCTTCTTTCTGAGTCCCAGGCTTGTTCTCCTGTGTATTTGATACAAACTCTGATGTGCGCCAAGCAGCTTTGGGTGGCAGCTGCAGGTTTGGAAATGCCCCTTCCAGATGACTGTGAGGAGTTTCAGCTCCTAAAATCTTTGTGGTTTTTGTGACCAAGATGCATGTATACCCCATCCCTGAATGTCCTATTCTGTTTTTGCAGTCGGACATGCTGCGCTCACTGGCCACCACCCGCCCCACCGTGAATGCGGAGGATCTGCTAAAGGTGAAGAAGTTCACTGAAGACTTTGGCCAGGAGGGCTAATGCTGTGCCTATGAGGAGCAGCGGTGATGGGGGGCATTTTACCACGGACATGTGTGTAGACAAGGCCCTTTGTGCTGACAGTGGACTGTGCCAAGCAGAGGTTAGCATCCAGCTTACTACTGAATCTGTCTCTGCTTGGGGCACCTGTTTGGCTGGGGAAGGAAGAGGATGAGGTGACACAGCCTCCATTGCTACTCTGGGAGATGGACACAAAGGGGAGAAGGCTGAGCCCAGCCCACTCTGTTTTTTTCCCATCCAGACATCCCTGCCTTCATGGTTGCTCTTTCATTCCCCCCCCCCCCAACGCTGCTTGGCTTGTTTATATACAAATAAAAACAATCCGAAACTTCCACTATACCGCAACCCTTTTTTCCTGAGACCCCTTCCAGCTCCTGTGGAAGCAACACCTGGTGCCACCCCAAAGAGAAAACCGAACTGGCTTCACCTAAGGCCATTGCTTACTCCTTGAAATCTGAAATGCTGCACTTCCAAGCTTGAGCTGAACTTTGAAGAGTGTGGCCTTCTTCTGGCTCAGCCAAAGTGGCAGGAAGCTCCCCCAGTGAGAAATACACTCCAAGGCTTAACTAACGCTCAGCTCTCTCCTGGAGTTAAGGTACTCATGTTGGAAGTGCTGTCCAAGAAGCTTACCCTACCAAGGCCTGATCTGTTGCATGGCTTGAGGTAAGGTATCTGAAAATGTGCTCTGCCCCACAGGATGCTGTGTTGCTGCAGAATTTGTTGCCCTTCAGCTCTGTAGCGTTTTGCATGTGTGGCACAGAAAAAGCAGAAGGGGAGCAGAACAGGGATGAGGAGGGCTGCAGCTCCAAGCCCCTCAGCCTCATCCTGGCACTGTGGCTCAACCCAGCAAGCCTGCTGCTTCTCAGAAAGGGATGACGTCTTTGCTCTTCCAGCTGTGGCACAAGAGGTGACGTACTAAGGAATGCAAACTGGGCACCTGTCAGCACACAGGTGCTGGCAAAGTCCTGCAAAGGAGATGGAGCTTTCTCGCCTTTGCAGCTGCAGCAGGTGGGAGATCTGCCTCCCATTCCCCCCCCCCCCCATGGCTCCTTTGGTCACGGTTGGGCCTCTGCTGGTGTGTCTCTGCTGCAATCTGGGGCTCTAGAGTGTCTTTTTAAAAAACCGATGCCATGGGGAGGCAAAGGACTCATTTATTCCACCTCATTGGCTCTAGGCAATGGCTCTTGTGCCACAAGTGGAGGAGGCTGGCAATGCTCAAGCATAGGCTTCTACTTACAGCAGGGTTTTTGCTTCCCTGAAGGTAACTGCTGATTCCTAATTCAACAAATCCACCTTTCTCGGCCACTAAAGCTACTTTCCTGTGCTTTAGTCTTCTTGTCTTAGTACTACTGAGGAAGGCATGTAGAGGAGGGTGGGAGCTCTTGGTCTCTAGAAATTCAAGTGAATAGCTGTGAGAACCTCTTAACTGTCAAGGGGTTTAGTGGCCTGTACAACCCCTGCCCCCTTTCTTGTCATGTGTACATAATTTTGAGTTGATTCCAGTGTGGGGAGGGACAGTTTATGGAAGAATAAAGTGTTGAACTATTTGTCTCTTATATATTCAGCTGATTTTTTACAAGCAACATAAAAGGTAAAGGTACCCCTGCCCATACGGGCCAGTCTTGACAGACTCTAGGGTTGTGCGCTCATCTCACTCTAGAGGCCGGGAGCCAGTGCTGTCCGCAGACACTTCCGGGTCACATGGCCAGCGTGACGAAGCTGCTCTGGCGAGCCAGCACCAGCGCAGCACACGGAAACGCCGTTTACCTTCCCGCTATAAAGCGGTACCTATTTATCTACTTGCACTTAAGGGTGCTTTTGAACTGCTAGGTGGGCAGGAGCTGGGACCGAACGACAGGAGCTCACCCCGCCGCGGGGATTCGAACCGCCGACCATGCGATCGGCAAGTCCTAGGTGCTGAGGTTTTACCCACAGCGCCACCCGCGTGGGTGTACAAGCAACATAAAATGGTACAATTCGTTTCAGAGTTTCTCCACAGGAGATGAAGGAAGAGGCAGTTTCCTTTGTTCTGCTTAGTCTTATCTCCTTCCCACACCACAGATGCAATCCACATCCCTACAAGTTGAAGGCGCTAGGGCGTTGAGGCCAGCAGCTCTTTGTGCACAATTTAGCTAGCTAGGAGGGGGTTGTGGGTGCATTTAATCTGTAAATCTCTTTAAGAGGTTTTATTAAAATCAAGAGGTTTATTGTATGAGTTGATTGTTTAATTTCTATACTGCTTAATCTATTAAAAATATCTGCAAGCGGTGTACAGAAGACTGAAGCAAAAACAGACAACTTAAAACATTAATAAAATACAGTTACGTATTTTGTTGTGAAGTAAAACATGGCGAGGTATCACAGGTGAAGAGGTGGTCAATGCCTTTTTATTGTGAATTACTATGAAGTTGGTGTCTGATGCTTTTAACAAGTGTTTGCCAACCTTCCTGCATGTTAGCATACTTCAATAGTCAAGGTAGGAGTTGGAGAAGGCCATGTCACAGGATCAGCCTTGCTTTTTCTTCTTGAATTTTGCCCCCCACCATGAGCAGCTGGAGAGAGGCCCAATTAGTAGATGATCAAGTTATTTAGGGTTGGTTTGGAGAGGCTCTGTTTGGAGCTTCCACTGGCTGAAATTGGACAAAGCCATTTTCCTTCAAGGTACTGTACAGTGCACTGGCCAAGAGAATGCCATACAGCAGTTGAAAGATACTGATTGCTACCCTTTAACAGCTTCTGCTTTCTTAGTATTCCCCCCCCCCAAACTCCTGCAGTACCATGTGGGGTGGGGGAAGGGCATGCTTATGCCCAGCTTCCTCTCCTCATGCCACAAATAGGGAAAGTAAAGATGTCAAGCAGTAAAAACACCATTGAACCCCCTCACATTGGAAGTGTCCACCTTCTCTTTCTATTGTCCCTTTCACTGGTTTGGACATACTTAGGAACAGCAGGCAGAGAAAAAGTGGCCTCTCTCTCCCCGCCCCCCTGGGCCCAGTCCTGCTTCATTCATTTAGCTGTTCCCACTGCAGATTCACAAAAGTCCTGCTGTCCATCTTGTCAATGTACAACACACCCTGCAGATGGTCCATCTCATGCTGGATGATGCGGGCTGCCCAGCCACTTGCCGGCCAGCTAAACTGCTCCCCAACTTCATTCAGACCTGGGGAAAGGAAAAAGAGGAACTCCAGTGAGAAATGCAGCTCTGGGGTCCTGTCATGCCTTAATGAATCACTCCCCTTGTAGGAACATGTATATCTGACTGAACTTTCCCCAAGCTGTAGGCCCAGTGCAGGCTCCCTGTGCCCAGAGAATATCTACCTGTCCCTGCTTTTTGCTGGTACTTATTGAAACCTGCTGTGCCCCTCAGTCCTGTCAAAAATTAGAAAAGTGAGACTTATGAAAGATTCCACAGCAGGACAGCGTAAGTAAGCATGAGAAAGTGATGCCCACCCACTCTCCCCATTCCATTTTTCATACATAAATTGTCGCTTGCTACACCTCCTGTCCACAGTCACACCAAATAACAGAAAAGCAACATGTGAGTGTGCTACTGATGAAAGGCTTTGGCATAAAAACATGCGCATTTTGACAGGCAGTGTGGGAAGAAGTTGTTTGGTGCCATGAGTTTGTACTTAGCTACGTTCCCACAATTGGAATGCATAATGTAGATTCCCGTTTGCATTAATAACACCTCATAAGATCAACATAGAGCCAAGTTTGAACACCTGAGGCTCGCCACACACTTATACCAGCTCCAAAACTCACACCTCATCCAAGTGTGTTAAAGCTACAAGGAATAACATTGCCAGCTTACCGGAAACTGCCACGGCTTGGTATCTGGCGACGCAAGCAGAGAATCCACCGATGCTTTTACAGCCCTCGGGGAAAGAGACCAGTTGGGAGTCCAGCACCCTCATGGATGGATTCACTACCACATGCAGAGGGAAGGGGGCCATCTGGCAAGCCTGGCGCATGCTGGGGGTGTGCTCATGAAAGAGCCTCTCAGGGAACTCCGCCACAAAGATCTGGAGTGGCACACCCACTTGAGGAGCACTGAGACCCACACATTGTTCTTTCCTCATCACGCGAACCAGAGTACGGATGAGGGTCTGCACCTCACTACTGGCAATTTGTGAGGGCTCCACGGGGGCAGCCAGGGAGCGCAGAATGGGGTCCCCCACCTGGCAGACATGACTGTAGGGTGGGGTGGGAGGTTTCAAGACTTTGCGCCGCAGATATTGCCAATAGGTGCGCTGCTTCTCTGCCGGAGAGGAACAAGTGCGGCTGCAACTTCTGCATGGTAAAGGTGCCAGGAAAGCTCTATTCCAAAGGAGGCTGTCCAGCATCCAGGCCAAGCCAGGCCTGAGCCTACAAACTGCCATAATTGTGCTTCAGCCACAAAGCCATCTGCACAAAGAACAAATAAAATAAAAATAAGATGAGAAAATAAAAATGATGCAAAGACAACAGGTGCAAGCACTCCCAAGGGTCTCGAGTCAAAGGGTAGCCTAGCTAAGATCACTGGGAGGGGAAGGGCTGGAAGCTGGAGCTCAGGCAAAGCATCCGCTTGGCTTTTGCATGGTCCCAGGTTCAATACCCAGCAGTGTCTCCAAGTAAGGGCTGGAAGAGACACACAGAGACCCGACAGGAAACCCTGGAGAGCTACTGCCCATCAGCATAGCCAGTACTGAGCTAGATGGACCAAGGATCTGTCTACTCCATATGGCATTTTCCTGTGACTCTGCAGAGATGGAAAAAGCAGGCTTCTCTGCAAAAGCAATACAGAAAGGTTCTAAGATTCTGCCAAAACTCTCAGCCCACATTTGTAGCAGCAAAATTAGGAGGCGGAGTGTTCTATACCCCTTCCAATTAAGTTTTGGATACCTCTCTTGTATATATTATCATCATCTATTTATTTCCCTCCAAGCAGCTCACATGGTTCCTTCCCACCGATATTTTAATTCTTCCAATAACCCGGTGAGGTAGGGATATGCTGCGGGAGAATGAAGGGTCCAAGGTCATCCGATGAGCATCATGGGAATGAGCGGAGGACTTGAACTCAGCTCTCCCAATGCACTCTTGACCAGCAAAAGGCCGGAACTCTGCTGCTGGGCTTCTGCTTGCAGGGAGGCTCGTTCTAATTTATTTTAACATCGAGGAGGGTTTCAAAATGTGGGTCCCCCACCCGCAACCGGGACCTCAGCCCTACCTGACTCCAAGTCTCAAGTTTCAATGGGGCCGCCCATCTTCCGGTCTTGACAAGCCACGCGAAGCGAGGAAACCGGAAGTTCCCGTGGATGCTGGGAAATGTAGTTCTCAAACAAAGAACGGCGCCACTCCGTGGCAGGCGGCGTCCTTGCAGACGCTTTAGGTCCGCGTCTTCCAAAAGAAGAAGCGGTTGTGTAGCAAAGGGGAGAATAAGATCCTTCTTGAAGTGACAGGTTTTCCCCATCATATCATTGGTGCAGCTGCCTCAGGCTCATCTGCTTCACCTCAGCCCTGCTGCTAAAGTCAACACCAGCAAGTTTTGGCCCTGAATACTTGCTGCATTTCCACACATGCACCCCTCAACTACTTGCTAGGGGGTAAAATCCTTCCAACCTCTCTAGACAAAAATTGTTCTATCCTTTTCTATGCAGTGACTTAATCCAATTAAGACTCCCTCACAGTTACCTGCTACCTTTTTAGGACTCCTAGACACAGTCCACCCTTCTCTCCCTGCCTCCTGTCCACTTTGCTTAATATTCCCCCCCCCCCCCAAAAAAAGAGAATTTTGAAGCATTCAAAATCTCACTCACTTGCTGTCCTGGGCCATTTTAACTTGCCCTGGTGACGGAGCTGTTGTTTTAAATTTATTTCTCATCTACTAAAGCTCAGACAAACCAGGATCTAAACTCTTCGCCTCCCTGTGGAATGCCCTCCCCTCAAATGTCAAGGAGATAAAGAACTACAGAACTTTTAGAAGACACCTGAAAGCAGCCCTGTATTGGGAAGTTTTTAATGTCTGATGCTGATATAACATAGTAAATGTTATATATGCTATAAGCTGCCCAGAGTGGCAGCTTATAGCATATACAGTGGTACCTCGGGTTACATACGCTTCAGGTTACAGACTCTGCTAACCCAGAAATAATACCTCGGGTTAAGAACTTTGCTTCAGGATGAGAACAGAAATCATGCTCCGGCGGCGCGGCAGCAGCGGAAGGCCCCATTAGCTAAAGTGGTGCTTCAGGTTAAGAACAGTTTCAGGTTAAGAACGGACCTCCAGAACGAATTACGTACTTAACCTGAGGTACCACTGTATTATTATTATTATTAAAACCTCATTTCTTGGACTTCAACTGCAGATGATCTTGGCCTTGGCTAGCAGGTTTCCTCTTCCTGTAATTACCCTCTTCTGAAGGGACAGCTATAACTCAAAGCAGTTGGTAAGAACAGTGGGATTCCCACACTCAGCAAGTTGGACTTACCAAAGAAGAAATTCATACCTAGTCTGAGAAATCAAGGGAAAACTGGCAGAGACACATTTTATTCTGCAGCTTACGGCATCAGGCAATTCCAGAGGAGAGGAAGATAAGGATGACACACGAGCATTTTTGGTGAATGGGGAGGCCCAGAAAAAACTGGTACTGACTGATACCTAAAGCAACTAGCTTTGGGAGATAAGATTCAGGGGCCCACTCTCTTCACAGTACAGCATACTGAGGTACAACACAGAGAACCAAACAAGCAATCAAGTTTATTCAAACCCTGATCCACCTTCACCAAAATTCCTTCCTCCCAGTGTCCACACCCAACTTCCTTCCCACCAGAGCAATGAAAGCTCAACTCAGTCTGTCCTTGAAGTGCTGAAGTAGAACCCCAAACCAAGAGCTGTGCCTGCCCATCGCAGGAATGAGTCTCTCCTCAGTCAGGTTCAAGTATCATGGAACCCCGGAAAACAGGCAAAATCCAGTGGAAACTATTCTAGAGGACCACTCAGCAGCAAGGCATCACCAGAAGCTGCACTGCTCTCTTCTGTTTCCAGAACAGGGTCTGGGGCACTGGGATCTGCTTCCTGCCTGGCATCAGGGAGTTCCGAGTCCAATGGAGGAGGTGCTAGGCTTTCTTCAGTCAGCCTTTTCTCCTCAGACAAGGGAGAGACAGTCTCTTTCTCTGGCAGGACTGAGGCCAGGAGCTCCTGAATCAGCTGCTCATCCACACAGCCAAGACCGCCATATTTGTGCAGCTGTGTTGGGGGAACACCTAGCAGTAAAAAAAGAAAATATATTAAAATGAGAAGTTAAAATCTTACATCAACCCTAAGCTAGAGAACATTCCTTGTACTACTGCCAATTCTCTCTCTCTCCCTTCCCCTGGCAGTAACCTGAGCTGTTGAGCACAGATTTCAATGACTTGCAAGCCTACAAGGACCACCACCAAGCAACCCCACCCCACCAATGTGCTGTTCACAAAGTCACAAGCAGAAGCCACTCATCCACCACAGGCCAGGGCTCAGCTGCAAGCTCCTTCCCCACCAAAACTATTCAAGCAGCCATACCCAAAGTCTGTGCAATTTGTGCTGGGGGGAAGAGGAGCTGCAGACAACGGTTGAGGTAGGGCATCAAGTCTTCCAGAAATGCCATGCAGAAGTGAATGAACAGCTCTTGCTCTCGGCTGCTGAAGGCCACAGCCTCTGCCCGGTGGAAAACCAGAATGACCTTTGTCACCTGCAAAGAGAAAAAGAGAAGCTAGAATTTCTTGGTTTGGTGTCCAAGTGGAAGGAAGGGACTGCAATACTACTCAGCATGCTAGCCTGATCAAATGGTCAAAATAAAAGCCCAGCTAATCGGTCTGGGGCACACCCAGAAGCTGAGTGACAAGATGTCACATACTACCTTATAGAACAGGGACTAAGAAACTTTGATCTCTCAAGTGCCACAGTCTCCTGGCAGGCAATCCAGCAGGGGCCATTTGCTGACTATGGGTGAGGTTAGAGCTAGTGGTGAGCAGGTTCAGTAGCCAAAACAGGCGAGGTCAACCACTTTCTCTCTCTCCTCTCTCTCTTCCAGCCCACCCAAAGCAAGCACTGACTGCTGTTGTCAGATGCCTGAACTGGTTGCTTGCAAAGGGCTTCTTGAAATAAGCCAGAGGCCCATCCCTGAACAGACAGACAGCAGCAACATCAGAGGGAACAAGCATAAACTCACAAACATGACCTGCCAAGTTGCTGAAAAGGGCTAGCAAACTCCAAGGAGTATAACTAAAGATAAGGCTGCAAGCAGCTAAAACTCTGCTGCTAGCAAATTTCTGTCCTGTCACCTAGACATCTGGACCATTTTTAATCCAGCCTCTTGGTGCACATGAGCAACAGAGAGCCCCACCTGGCCAAGTGCATCCTCCAGGGTAGCCGCCACGTCTGGGGCAAGAGCCACAGGGCAGCAGAGGCGCAGGTCGTTGAAGGCTACCAGGATGTTGTTGAGGAAGCAGGCGAGTGGTGGGAAATCTAGCAGCACCATGGGGGGCTGGAGGGTGCCTGGCTGGGCAGAAGGAGCCACTGCTACAGGGATGGTGCTGCTGCTGCTGCCCAAGGCAGCCGGCACAGAGATTAGCGTGTAGGAGTTCATCTCCTCCTGGAATTTGTTCACAGCTTCCTGCATGGCTCTCTTGAAGGTGACCAGTGCCACCCGCTGAAATATGGGGATGAGCAGGCCCCGGAAGTCCGCTCCAACACGGCTGAACGAGAGGCCAAAGTACATGCACTGGCCCAGCAGGGAGTCCAGGCGGCTGCCCACACCACGCTGCAAGTCACGCTCAAGCACCAGCAGGAACTGGGAGACCTTCTGCAGGACCCACCCATGGAAGATGGCACTTTCATTGAGGGTGTCCTGCCCAGGGGGAGGCACCAGCGGCTCCTCGTCAGCAAAAATGGCACGGTACTGCGTGACAATGTCAAAGAGGTGCACGCGGCAGGCCTCAATGGTCTTGGTAATATGCACATAGGGGTCGTCACCAGGAACAGCAGCAAGGATAGAACGTAGCCAGATGTCCCGTGCCTGCAGGAAAGTAATTCGTAGCTCAGCCTCAGTGAAGACATCCATGCAGCGAAGGTAGCCAATGATGCGCAAGCAGGCTGGGAGCTGAATGTTGGTGCGAAGCTGCTGGATCAGCTGCGTAAGCATGAGCTGTGTGGACTGGCGCACCTCTGCCACTATGCCCTGGGAGGGAGAAGAGAGACAAAATCAACTTCTGTTACCCATGGTACCCAAACCATGCTGATCTCAATACTGCACAAACTATTTTATTTTCACTACAGTCCTTATGGATCATCCATGTAATCACTTATGGAGAGGGTCTACAGGTCAGTGGTAGATATACCTGCTTGATATAGTAGATACACTCTGGCTGCCAGAGTAGACAATACTGGGCTTAGTGCACAGTCAAACCTGGTATGAGGTAACTGCATTTTATAATGATGTGTACTTTTGGGAGCTTTTAAGGAGGCATAACTTGCTGTCATCCTGAGTTCCTTTAGGAGGAAGAGTGGGATATAAACATGGTAAATAAAGAAAGTGTTGTGACCTTAACAATGCATTCTTCTTTGCAGATGGAAGAAGGGCTTTACTGGATCAGAACAGGGCCTGCCTCATCTCAGCTTTCTGTACAAGAATCCCTGCAACTAGCAAATTAGACATTAGCCAAGAGTCGTTAAGTCAGTGATGGGGTGTGGTCTACCTTCTATCTATCCCTGCTTTACAGATTGCACTTAAAGAGATCAGTGGCTTGTATCCTGCTCTTGTTTAAAGTCAAAGAAATAGATCCCTACAGCACATGCACAAACCCTGGCTGCAATAAGCAACATAAGCACTTAGTCAAGAAAAAAGGCAACAAGAGAAGAAGCCTCAGATCCAGAAATATTCTGGCTTCTACAAACAGAACATGACAGCTCATGATGGTCCAGGATTGTGGGCCTTGGGTATCACCTGGATCAAACTTAGGAAACCAGCACAGAAGCCACACCACCTCTGCCTCTGTGAGCCATGGCAGAGAAAACAAATGCAAAGGGTTGGAGATGCCTTTCTTCGCCAAGCTTTTGCTCAGGTCCTGAAACTCTAGTAGCAAATGGTTGGGACCTACTATCACCGTATGGCTTAAGGCAGCTCTGGCACCTGCCAGGCTCAGAACATGTCTGCACCTGGATGACAGGGATGGTGGCGTGCTTCTTCTCCAGGCGGCGGACATAAGACACCAGCTCCAGGGCCTCCTCGTAGTAACTGTTGCGGACGCAGGTGTCCATCAGCTGGGGGATCTCCAGCACTTCCAGGATCTCTGTGTGGAGGTTCAGGGTCAGGCTGTTCATACGGCGGTTCTGGGCGATCTGTTCAGCCTCCTGCATGAAGTTCCTGGAGGCAGGAGCAAAAGAAGAAGAAAGCAGGTTGGGCCAGGAAAAGCAAAAGGGGAAGTCCCCACCCCCTCTAACCCACCCATTCCAATGGCAGTGAGTTCCATAAGATAACGATGGGGCACTCCAGGATTATTCCTGCCCCCAAAGCGAGTGTGGCGACAGCCTTGGCCTCCAACTCCTCCTACTCACCGGCAGGCTTCGGCGAAGGGTGGGAGGCGGCCCAAGAGGCGGTCGAGGCCCTGCTCGATGCCACCGAAGCCGCGACGCGTCTCAGCGGTGCATTCGGCGGAGCGGATGAAGGTCTTGTAGTGGGCGAAGGCCAAGGCCCGCGTCTGCGCCCCGAGCTGCGCTCGTTCCTCCGCCAACCGGCCGGGTTCCCTCCGCAAGGCCTCCAGGCCCAGCCCCGCCAGCGCCGACAGGTAGGTCGCCAGCTCCGCGTCCCCCGCCGCCAGGGGCGGAGGCAGCGGCGAGGTCGCCCCGCGGAACAGCCATGCCAGCAGGCTCGCCTCCTCTAGGTCCGCCGAAGGCTCCGGGGCCGCCATCGGGCCTCCCTCGACGTGGACCAGGAAGTGATCGCTATGGCAACCGGGAGGCCGCGCTAGCCAGAGGCGGAGGCTAGTCCTCCGTGGCAGATCCGGGTGCCGCTCTGCCCGAAACCTCTGTGTTCGTATGACGTAACCAGGAGGTCACGCAACGACGCTCCGACATGAAAATCACTTGCACTCTATTGTGACCATAGACATATTTCTGTGTGTCAGCCTAGAGTGGGAAGAGCCTATGAGTGTAGGACACCCGAACGTAGCTTGATGTTGCAACTTCCGCTTCACGTCTTTGATCCGAGGCTTCCTTGAATTGGAACCACGCGGGTCTCCGGCGTCTTCTCGGGAGGTGCGATGCGGCCCCTCACGGAGGAAGAAACGCGTGCGCTCTTCGAGAAGCTCTCCAAATAGTAAGCGGGGTGGCTGTGGTGGCATTTGTGTTCTCTGGGTTCATTAGGCTTTATGATTAAACCATGGAACTCACTGACACAAGATACCCGGATCCCCACCCAATGGACAGAGGGAATTAGAGAAATCAGTGAAGGAGGGGAAGTTTGTCTCTTGCTGTTGGCCCAGAAAGTAAAATGGAAGCGTCGTTGAACCATAGCGGTGGAAGATACCGCAAAGGTCCTCTAGCCCACCCCAATGGATGTAGAGAATCACAACATTATAGGCAGGCAGCGACCCATGCTCTGCTGCGAGGAAGCGGGCACCCACCTTCCCATACAGACTGTACCAGTGTGGAATAGCTCTTCTTAATCTTCCACGGAATACCACTAGCTGGGAGACAACAGCAGGAGAACTAGATGGGTCGTGTTTAATGCAGAAAAATAATTACAGGGATTATAGGGAAGTCAGTATAATAGTTTAAAATTGAAGTCTTCATATACAGAGGCAGTATGTCTTAGAAATGGTTGCTGTTCTCCACCCCTGCTTGCTGGCTCCCTGCAGGCATTTGACTTGCTTTTGCCAGGAGGAGGAGGCTGAACTAATTGGGCATTTGGTCAAATCTAGCATAAGAGGGCTATTCTCATGTTTTCTGGGGACTGGCTGACAGTGTGTCTCTTTGTTCCAACCTTTTTAAGTATTGGTGAGAACATCCAGCTCCTGGTTGACCGGCCAGATGGTGCCTACTGCTTTCGCCTGCACAAGGACCGTGTCTATTACCTCAGGTGAGGAGGCCCTACATACACCCTGGGGCATGTTATTAATGTTAACACCTTCATCCATAACACACATTAAGTAAAAATAAAAGGATGGATCTTTGAACATGTGTAAGGCTCTCTTCCTCTTCCAGAATGTACCCACGTCTTTGTGGGTGGGGAGAAGAGTGGAGGCATCTATGGGGGAAAGGAAAGGGCCTGTTTTCTTTTGTAAGATGCTGCTTGTTCTCACTACAGAGCTGCAAGGTGCTGGGAAAGAGATCTTGTTTCCCTTGTGTTTTTAGCAGCAGAAGAGCAAAAGATGTAAAAGGAGCTGAACTGAACTAAGGGAAGCTGTACTCATGGACAGTCTTTCATATGCAAATAAAGGACAGAGAGGAGGGACTTGGTCTCATAATTTAACTCTGAGCTCCCGTCTCGTCTGATCCAGTTTTTGGCACATTTTATCACTTCCAGTGCAAGTGCACCACATTGTATTTGGGGACCAGGAGTGGCTATAAGGTCTTTCTTGTTTTAGGGTTGCTTGGATTAAATCCCCAAACCTGCCTTTCCATCATCTCAGTATCCCCAATTTGGTTTAGGTACCTTAAAGCTTCTCCTCTCCCCTATGGAAGCATATGACCAAAAAGCCACAATATTGGCTGCAGGTACTTGGAGTGTGCCTCAGGCCACAGCATGGTTCAGTGATGCTCTGATGGTGACTTTGGAGCTTCTGAATCTGGAGAGACCGAGTCCTAATGATAAGTCTTTGCTTTCTGTTTCTTAGTGAGAAGATTCTGAAGCTTGCTACAAACATCCCCCGGGAGAATCTGGTGTCTCTCGGCACCTGCTTTGGAAAGTTCACCAAGAGCCAGAAGTTCCGACTCCACATCACTGCCCTTGATTACCTTGCTCCCTACGCCAAGGTAAAGATGGCACAGAGGACCATTTATTTGAGGGGCACTATCCTACCAAAATAGGTACCGCTCTGGTGGGAAGGTAAATGGCGTTTCCATGCGCTGCTCTGGTTTCGCCAGAAGTGGCTTAGTCATGCTGACCACATGACCCGGAAGCTGTACGCCAGCTCCCTCGGCCAATAAAGCGAGATGAGTACTGCAACCCCAGAGTCGTCTGCAATTGGACCTAGCGGTCAGGGGTCCCTTTATCTTTACCTAGCCTACCAAAAATGTCAAAACACCTGTAGTGCTGTGTGGGGTGGGGACCTGCTAGCTGTTTATTGGGAAGGAGAGTATTTTTTTCCCTTGTGCTAATCTAAGGAGGACAAGAAAGGGAACCCGTGTAGTGGTACATTTAATGTAACTCAAAGAGGATATCTCTCATTTTTTTTCTCATGCAGTACAAAGTGTGGGTGAAGCCTGGAGCAGAGCAGTCCTTCCTTTATGGGAACCACATACTGAAGTCTGGCTTGGGGCGCATCACAGAGAGCACTGCCCAGTACCAGGGTGTGGTGGTATATTCCATGGCTGACGTCCCCCTGGTGAGTGACACCTAGTGGGTAGGTGGGTGGGTAGGTTGGATGGTTGGACCCGAGTGAATTTGAAGTTAAGACAATGCCCCTCCAAGGTCTTAATGCCTTCCTTGTTCCAATTGACCTTCTTAGGGCTTTGGAGTGGCAGCCAAGTCCACCCAGGAGTGCCGGAAAGTGGACCCCATGGCGATCGTGGTTTTTCACCAAGCGGATATTGGAGAATACATACGGCATGAAGAGACGCTGACATAAATGGCAGGGCAGAAAGCCCCAAAGACTGACTTTCCCTCAGATAGAAGCTGCAGGCTTTCAACCAGCCTGTGCCCCTTTTCATGCAGACTGTGGAAGGCGCAACTGTGTAGGTTGCTAAACTGCCAGCAAAATACCTGTCTACCTCCTGATGGCCACAGTGAGACTGTAGATGAGTCACAAAACTTTGGGATGTAGCTGCAGGCCTGGCAGTTCTAGGGACACAGCTACAATTCTGACACAGTAAAGCTATTTCATTTTTCTCCTTTCATTGTCTTGATTCATCTGGTGTTCAGGGAACTGATTACATTAAAGCCTCTTTTATTTTGCCCTGGGCTTTGGGGCTGGGGAACCAGAGGTGTTTTACAAAGCCATGGAGAACCAAAAGCTAGAAGTTCTCTTTTCCTCTCACCTTCCCTGCTGCAGCTGCCTTTGCTTCCAAGCTGGCTGCCTCTAAAGGAAGAGGAAGGAATCTTGTGTTTGGTGGTGGTGGAGATTGTGTGTGTCTGCATGTGCACCCCCATTTACTAACTATGCCCTTAATGTACCTCTTGATCAATGTAAAAATCTCACATACCTATGCTGTGGTTGCAGCAGGACTCCCGCATTTTGAGTCATGTTTATTTTAACTTGGGGCAGTTTCATTTCAAGTCAACCAACCCCCTGTGGCTCCTCTGGAAGAATACTTGGATTTTTCAGCCAACACCCCTCCCCCCACCAAAAAAAAGCCGCACCAGCAGGTGGACATGCCCTTGCTCTCCTTTGCTGCTTGCAGGTATTTAGTCAGTTGGGTGTTAAGAGGGTGGCAAGGAGAGAGCAGTTTGGCTTTTCAGCCTGGCATAAATAGCCTTCTGAAGCAGCCTCAGCACCGTGGCTTGTTGGTGGCTGTGGTGGGCTGTGTGGTGAAGAGGCGCTTGAGGAAGTAGAGTTGCAGGACACCAGAGAGAACAATAGCCAGGCTCTGGGCCGCTGACCACCAGTTCACGTAGTTGTAATTGGACTCCAGAAGGAAGTAGTCTGAGGTGCTCTTCATCCGATTAAAAGTGTAGTAGCGCCACATTTGGAAGATGCCATTCAGCAGTTTTTTGGTGCTCTCCTGTTAACAAAAGAGGAGCAGGGAAAGCTATTCAGTCCCAGATGTCTGTCCTTGGCCCTGCTGTGGCTTTGAACAGATACTTCACTTAGGCTGCAGATTGCTGCTCTTGGCAACCGGCTGTCTGGCCAACCATGGGGAGCGTTTTCCTTCACAGCCTGAAAGGAAAGGATGCCTGTCCTTCTCACTAACAGCTGTCAGACTCAGGTGGGTAAAAAATAAATAAAATATCCAGGCTGCATCAAGCATGAAGGAGATCATATCTGTCCCATTTCCCCCCAGCCCTGGAGGTTCCAAATGGCTCCCAGCTTTATCACTGCTACCTTATTTATTTTTAGTTCTTTAATAAGGTACCTCAATTGCATCCAGTGTGTCGTTAAGTCTTTTCCTCTCAGCTTCATGTGGAGTTTGTAGATCAAAGCCCTCATAGAAGACCCCAAAGTTGAGGTAGACCTGCACGGAGCCAAAGTGGTTGTACCGATTGCTCAGACAGAGCTGATAGAAGCCTGCAAGAAAGAGTTAAACTTTGCCAGGTGAACCAGCAGCATTTAAGGCCTTCTGGTGTTGGGTGTGAGCAACGCAATTTGAATTCAGGTCTGTAAGAGAGAGACTGAACGTACCCCTTTCTTGAGAAGATAGCCTACAATTTAAAAGGGGTAGCTGTGTCATTTAAAGATAGCTTGCTTGGCCCCGTATACAATAATCCGATTAGAGTCAAAAATTTTCTGGGATTCCCTGGTTATTGTCCATCCCTCTAAAAAGAAAACATAAATGGAGGAGTAAGAGCTGTGGTGGCAGGCAGCAAGGGAGATTATGCTTGTGCCCATCTAACCCAATACCAATCTGCTTTCAACTTCCTTTTGGGGGAATATGAAGTGGTCCAGAGAGAGAAAGAGCCTGTCATTCCTAGAGTGCTTTCTGAACATCATTCATAGTTACTAGCCTCATATCTTTGGGGAGGGTGGTAGGTGTGGTAGAATATAAGAAGCTGCCTTACACCCACTCAGACCATTGGATCACCTAGCTCAGCATTGTCTGGCAATGGCTCTCCCAAGATTTCAGACATTCCCAGTCTTGCCTAGACATAGTTGGAATTGAATCTGGGGTCTTCAAATCTGATGCTCTCCTGCTGAGCCATGGGCCCAGAGGTTTTTCCTCCTGTGAGGTTATAACTAAACAGAGGTTTTCTATTTCAGAACCCAGCCTTTGAGCACCCAGTTCAAGGTGGCTTTATGGGAGGAGGGTCCGCAATGGGGGACGTGCTCACTGCATGTTCAGGATCACCTATTTTGCTTGGAGGCTGCACCTGAGCCAGTTATGGGAGTCTAGAAAGCACTCTTGATATGGCTGTGGGTACAGAGAGAGAGAGGCACCTGTTTCCTTGGTTTGGAAGTTGATCTGTCCCCGTGTATCCTGGGAGGTGCCAAGGTGGAGCCCATTGGGGTCATTTGCGGTTGCCAGGATGTGTTGGTCATGTCCAAGACCTGAAGACCACTGCACCTGAAACCAAGATAGGATAGGGATAGGACAGGACAGGACAGGACAAGAAATGGGGTGGCATTGGTAATGCTATAACCATGTTACCTGCCACTTTCTTGTTTTTGGTTTCTTAGATGCAAGAGCTGATCTGTGCAAGTATTCAGCTACAGAAGGCAAATGGAGCTGCCATTTCCATATTGGAAGGCACGATGTACCTATCAGTTATGCTGCTGGTACACACACACACAGCAAGGAGAGTTCTCGCAAAAGCAGCAATTTCATGAGAGAGTATGCACAAGAGAGTCAGACAAAACAGTTTAGTCATTGGACTTTCAAAGCAACAGGTTACATGCTGAATATGTGTCTTCTCCACAAACCTCTACAGGCAGATGATGAGACAGGAATTGCAGTTGTCTATAAAGTTTCCAGTGCACTTAGTGTAGGAGTGGCAACTAGCAAGCTGACCTGCCACCACCAGCCAACTCACTTCTTGCTGGTAGCCCTTAATCCCTGACTTGGAGGATGGCAAATATATGCGATTGCCTTACCCTCCCACTTTCAGGGTCGGATGCCTGTGCCTGGAGGAAGCTGAGCTATTTCCTTGAAACTGGCCCATGCAATAACCCCACATTTTTGTTTTAGACCCTTGCTAAGAAACAAAAATATTCTTCCTTCCAATCTCAACTAGAATCAACCAGTCACGGTGCCAGCTGAATCACCCTCCTGCCTCCAGCTCCTGCGTCATGACTGGATTTACAGCTTGGTCATGGTCTTGTTCACCTTCAGAGCAATCCAGTTTACCAAGAGGAAAGTGGAGCTGAAAGTTTCTGGCTTGAGGCCAAGTGCCATGACAGGAGACTGCCAAGGTGCTTGTGCTGACCCACCATTGCGACTGGATTGTCAAGGCAGTTTAGAAGTACAGTGGTACCTCGGGTTAAGAACTTAATTTGTTCCGGACATCCGTTCTCAACCTGAAACTGTTATTAACCTGAAGCACCACTTTAGCTAATGGGGCCTCCCGCTGCCACCACACAAATTCTGTTCTCATCCTGAAGTAAAGTTCTTAACCTGAGGTACTACTTCCAGTTTAGTGGAGTCTGTATCCTGAAGTGTTTGTAACCCGAGGTACCACTGTAAAGAGTTTAAGAAGCAGGAAGGCTCCAGTTTTATAGCTGGCACCTAAAGGGAGGTCTTTGGCAGAGACCTCAGCATTGGCAAACCCAAGAGTGAGAGGTTCCTTTCAGGAAGTCACTAAATCATCTTTATGGATAAATGGCACTTCTGGAAAATCTAGAATCTAAAACATACTCAGCAATGCCACCAGCCTTCCCCGTCCATGTAACCCTTGTGCTTTCCATATGTTTTGGATTACAATGCCCTTCAGCCCTTCCATCATGCAGGCTAGGGCTAGGTATTCTCAACTGGCCAAGACAGTTAAACCTGACCAAGTTCTTTAAGGTGCAATGAAAGAATTTGGCTTGACTATTGATACTTTAGGGGTTCATGACAACCAATAAGATAATGCAAGATTCCCAGTTTGCGTTCTGGGGGATGCTGGTTACAATCATAGGAACTTGCCTTATGCTAAATTGGATCATAGGTCCAAACTAGTTTGTTATTCTCTCAGTTTGACGGACAGTGGCTCTCCAGAAATTCATCCAGGGAAATTTTTTCAGCCCTCCCTCAAAATGTCAGGGGTAGAAGCTGAGACCTATATGCAAAGCAGATGCTCTTCCCCAAGCTAAATCCCTTTCCCTGGTTCTGCTGCTACTAGAGAATCTGGCTGCTCATTACTGTCCCCCCTTGACCACAGCACAACCCTTGGATTTGTGCAGCACCCCCTCCACCGGCACCCACCTGATAGCTAAAGTAGAAAAAGCCGCTCTGATGGGCAAATTGCCAGAAGCACTCTATGCTGCCTGCAGGGATGACAATGCCAAAGTTGTACTGGTCCGCCCCACGGAAAAGAGGCTGGTCACTGGAACCACTCAGAGGTTCAGACTTGCGGGCTTGGGCAAGTTCCAGCCCCCCCACCAGCAAGCCCACCATTGCAGCCACAGGTAACACTGCAAGCATCTTGCCACAGGGAAGGTAGCTGAGCTTGGCTGGAGGCAAGTGCCAGAGCTGGAGTCCAGCATGCTGGCAGCTGGTAATCATTAACTCCACCCTCATGCCCTGTGTTTGTGCAGCTTGCTGCTGAATCAACTCTTCATTCCTCAAGGAAGCAGTCAATGCCTTAAGGACACGCGGAGTGAGCTCAGTGGAAAGCAGTTCCTCCCCCTACCTGCTGCTTGCCAGACTTCTTGGACTGCAATTCCCATCAGCCCTAGTCTCAGATGGTTGTGCTGATGTAACCTGTAGTCCAAGAGATCTGGAGGCTAGGGCAGGCAGGGGTAAAGTGTTCCTTCAAGCACAAGCGTCTTGCAGCAATTGAGCAGAGCACTAGGCCCTGTACGGGTGAGGCAGCCGAGGGGCAGACAGAACATTGATTCCTCACCTTTCCTCCTAAGATCTCCAGGTGGCATACCTGGTTCCTCCAACACCATCTTTTTCATAACCACCACCCTGTGAGGTTGAGAGGGTGCCTGGACCAGGCTGACACAGGGAGTTTTCCTGCTCAATGCTTTGAACCTGGCTGGAACCAGTCCCTCATAGCCTGACATTCTGGCTAATTCAACCACCACACTGGTACTCTTTGCTGCAGGTTTCCTGTTGGGCCATTTGGTTGGCCGCTTTGAAAACCAGATGCTGGACTAGATGGGCCCCTATTTGACCAGATTATTCAGCTGCTGCAGGGCTCTTCTGATGCTTTTATGCTAAAAGGCAACAGGAAATGGTCATATCTATTCTGTCTTAGATGAAGGCAGGTTACCCAACAGCAAAAAGCACAGAGCGATCAAATCTGCTATACTAGAGGGTAAGCAGGTCACACTTTCATTACTGCAACTCACACATACTGCATTTTAAGTCCCAAGACTGCAGTTTGATTTAAATAGTATCTCTTTCCTACTAAAGCCCTTTGTTGGGAAGAACTGCCCTAACTAGTTTGCCCTTTTCTTTGCCCAGAGTATGGCTGCATTCCATTCCACCCACTTCAGCGCAAATCCTTCTTGTCTCCTTTTTACTCAAAAGTTATCCCAAAGCACAAACTCTGCTTGCTTGTACCAGCTGGTGCTTGAAGGACAAACTGTGTATCGCAGGAGGAAGTTTTCCCAACAGCTGAGATAAGAGAGGGGGGCACCTCTGGGATAAAATCTGCTCATGGAAAAAAGAGATAGCAACTTTCAAGATCTGTGTAGTTTTGGTGGTGAGGCAGAGGGAAAGCACAGCCACAACCCATTTTGCATGTGTCTGTCTGGCTCCATCCACGCTACACAATCAACCGCTTCTTGGACTCACAGAAGCCAGCATGTCCTCCAACACATTTGAAGTTCAAGCAGTACCACCAGCTAAAAAAAGGAACAGGAAAAACAGTGGTGACGGGAACAGTCTGCCCCAATGGGAGAACAACTAGCAACACCTTTGTCCTGCCCCAGAACACATGGAATGCTAGTGCCAAACTAAATAGCATGATGGAGATTCCTTTTAATTATCATGGAAAGCAGCGCCTGTTAAAGGAACATGAAATACAGAAGTTGGGGGGGAAATGCACTTTGAAACAGGTTCTAATGAAATCCTTAGAAAATTGGAACACAAAAGATCAGAATTAGAAGTGTTATATATGGAGAGAATAGGCAAATCCATGCTCTTTGTGAGTCAAAAATTATATGAGCATGGTAATAAACATTCCAAATGCTAGCCAGGGCTCTCAAAAGTAAGCAATTTATTTAAACAATTACTTTAAATATGACTAAAATCAGATTAGCAATATGTTTATGGAGTTTTATAAAGAGCTATATAACCCAAATAACCCTTTACCTGACAAAAATTAAGTGAGAAGATGTGGTATCAAACCTTTAATAAAGAAAGCACAACAAAAGATAACATTCTGCAGAAGAAATTGATCAAGCTATTAAAAAAACTGAAATACTGTATAATAAGAGCCCTTGACCCGATGGGCTTGGCAACACATTTTTTAAGAAATACAGAGACTACTCACACTTTATTTTTGTCAACTTGATCCATCTGGCAAGAGCAATCAGGCGCTGATCCAGTAACTGTCCTTCTAAAGCCAGGCAGAGATAAAGCACAGGTGTGCTCATACAGGCCAATTACCTTACTGAATCAGGACCTGGAATTTCTTCCTGGATTTATGTTCCTTAGATATTTACAAAGCCTTTGATGGTCTGGAATGGTGTTATCTCTTAACATTTTGCAGACATGCCAACTAGGCAATCACCTTATTACAGCAATAGCTAAGCTCTATTCAAACAATTCAGCTACTCTAAGGATTAATAACATGGACTCCTCAGCAATTGCAATCTGGAGGGGGACAAAACAAGGTTGTCCCTTGTCGCCACTGCTCCTCGCCTTCTCTTTTGAACCATTCACTAATATCTTACGTCTTAATCCAAATGTAAAAGGATATTCAAGAGAGGGCGAAGAGCATCTGTTGACAATGTACGCGGATGATATTGTTGTGATGATGAAAGGCCCTAAGGGGTCAGCCTGCGCATTAAAGGAAGAATTAACATCTTTTTCTAAAGTGGCAGGCTTAAAAGTAAACATTGGAAAATCAATGATGTTTTTCAGTCTTCCACCACTGATTCAAATACACACTTGTCATATTCTTAATACACTTATGTGCTGCTCTGCATTTGGAGACTTGGGTGTGCCAATTCTAAAAAAAAATGAACCATGAATCTAAACTGAATTATCCCATTATTTAAAAAATGAACATGGCCTTTAAAAAATGAAACGAATTTAACCTTTCCATTTTAGGCTCTATTGCAGCAGTTCATATCATGTTAATTCCCCGTTTTCTGTCTCTCTTTCAGGTCCTCTTTACTTTTCTCCAACGTCCAAATGGCAAACTAAAATTGTTTCATATTTCAAGATAAGTCTTCAAGGTTGCCCAAGAAATCTTATTTTCTTTTCTTTTTTAAATGAAGGTGGTTGGGGTTTACCAAACCTCTCGGTATACCACGATGCATTCCAATTGAGACAGCAGGCTTTGGTAAGAAATGGATCAACTTGGAAGAAAAACAAATAGCCCTAGGTCTGCTATGTGCTTTATCTTTCAAAACCTTAATCCTTAAAATTATCACCCAAATGAATAACCCATAGTTACAAACTAAATTGAGGATATGGAAAAAATGGAAGTTACTCTCCCCAGGTTGTTCACCGCTCACTGCTCTGCAGACATATGCCAGTCTGAAAGATGATACTTTAAAAGCTAAAATAAAGAAAAGGGTAAAATTGGGTTATTTCAGACTGTGATTTTTTTTTTTACAGGAGTAAGACCAGTAACTTTAAATGTACCAAAAATGGGAATTAACTTTAAAGAGGCTTCAAATTCTACAAATTAAACATTTACTAAAGGATCTGACAGTTAAATTACATGCAACTAATTTTGAATGATCCAAGGTGCCACTAGGTAATGGAGGTAAGGAAATAGTATCAAAATTTTATGGTTACTTCATACAGAACTAATTTGGGGACTTGTCTAGCCTAAAATCAGTATGGGAATATGATGTAAAAGTAACAATGGAAGACTCAATTTGGAAAGGCATATGGATGAATAAACCCTTTAAGTCAGTGTCTGCAAATATTAAAGAACTTCCACTCAAAATCTTCCACAGATGGTAAAGGACTCCATCCCAACATTACATCAACTATAAGCCCCTTATGTTGGCGTGGATATGACACTAAGGGGACAAATATACATTTATGGTGGACTTGTTCTTGAATACAAGTTGTTTGGTCCCTGGTTCACATAGAACTAACAGCACTAATAAAGAAAACAACTGAATTCACTTCATAGCTTTTTATTTTAACAATGTTCCAAGGTACAAATGTAGTATCTAAAGAACGCATCACTTTACCAACTGTAGCAAGGCGGTCTATTGTCCAACACTGGAAATATTTTGTGGTATAGAAACATGTACAACACTGCAATTTCAGTAAAAATTACATTTAGTTTTCAATTAATTCAAGTTGAGGCATAACCTATGGATTTTGGTGCAGTGTGGTGGGATTTTATATAGTATGTTATTAATACTAATTGAAGTAACTTCATTCCAGATGTAAATAAGAATGTTTGCCTATCGTGAGACTATAAGATGATGTCGTCCCGTTTGTGGATAGAATATATCTTATTCTACTGTCTTTTTACTTTAACCTTATTTATAGCATTTGTACTCCAGATGATTATGGCATAATACCAGTTTATTAATATCACAGCAGACCTACAGTGAAAAATAACATTTATAAGAAAATAAAAATTTGAAATGACGTATTTTTTATACTGTAAAACGTGCAGTTTCCATACCAATTGTTTAAACAAGTTCTATTAGTTGAATCTGCATTTTCAGTACTGAAAACTAAACAACAACAAAAAACAAAAAAAATGGAGGGAGGGGGGAGAGCCTATGTCAGAAAGCAGAGGAAGAAGCCTCCAGTGATGCTAAGAGATTGTGGTCATCAGCCTGCTGGCCCAACGCAATACACTGCAAAAGTACTTCTGGCCCACCCTGTGTCCACATAGTGTTGGAGCTCAGGCACTTGCCCCCAGGTTCACAAGAGCCCCAGATTCTTCATTGTCCGCCATCGGTCCTTGATCGCCACAGGAGTCCGGTTCTTAAAGGGGAATGCCTGGGAAATGGCTTTCCACCTCCCTTCCCCAAACTTCTTCACGCCTTCCTTAATCCACTGAGACTCCTCTGAAGTCCAGATCTAGAAAGAAGAGGACGACACAGGCTCTCATGAGCAACCATCAAGTGCTGCAAGACTTGCCCCCTGTCCCCATGACAGAACGACAGATACCCCACCCTCTGGAGATGGTTCCATGGCTGTTGCTAACAGAGGATTGCCGCTGCCATGGGATGTAGCCCAGTGACTTACAGCAGGCAAATATCTAGCCCATATTTCAAGACATTAAACCCAACTTGGTGGCACGCTCTCCACACTTAGTCCTCCTTCTGCAATATGTGGGTAATAAAAATAAAATTCAGCCACCTTACAGTGTGGCTGAAGAGGCCATCAAAGATAGCAGATATGATGTGGGGATTGCCCAGGCTTCTTTGAAACATCTGGGTATCCAAGACCCTTGATTGATTGATTAATTAGGAGAAGCCCCTTAAGTCCAGTGGTTGAATATGCAGAAGATCCCAGCTTCAAACCTGTGACATCTCCAGGTACAGCCGCGAAAGAGACACCTGGACTGAAACCCTGTAGCACAGACAATACTGAGCTAGATGGACCAGGATTCAGCATATGGCAGCTTCCTATGTTCCCATTAATGGGGATTTCATCAGTTATTTCATTTGGGAGAGGGGGGTCTCATCAACTGGCCTCCATTTAGAGGGGTCTTGTCAAGGCAGGCCTATTTCTCCCCACTGGAGTGCTCAGCTCCAGACTGGGTGTAGGCTTGGTTACCTTCTTTTTCGAACCAAAGAGGGAAGTGTTGATGCTGCTGCTGCCTTCTTCCTTCGATTCTGAAACACAAATTCATTTACAAAATTTACGGGATGCATGGAACCACTCGGTAAGCTGGTTACTGCTACTGGCTCAGCAGTTGGGAGGTTTTACCACTACTGCACCTCATCAGAAATCCAGGGTAGCGGTCAAATTCCACCCAGCCCTTGGCATGATGTGTACAGTCAACTACTGATGGAACTATGTTCGGGTTGCCATACACCTAGGGCATCCCAGACATGTCCTCTTTTGGGGGACCAACAGGCCCATCCAGGGGGATTTTTACATTTTAAAGGAAATGTCTGGGATTGTAGGGAGGGGTTATTTATTCATTTATTGCTTGGCCAACTCTACACACCACTGTTGCCGCCAGCCCAAGCTGGGAAAAGAAGCATGTGGGTGCACTTCTTTCCCTGGCTCAGGCTGTCCTCTTTTTTGCTCTTCAAGGTATGGCAACCCTAAACTACGTGGCAAACAGCCTTCCATGTTCACTCACAGTTGCCATCTCATTCTAGCACAGTTCACAAAATTGATCACTTTGCAAGATGTTTACCAGGTTTTGAGAGTTTTGCCTTTAGCTAGTCTGGGCATTGCCTAAGCAAGCCTCCTGAAGGACCGCAGTTAACAGTTCTCTTTGCTTGCCATGCTGGCAATGTTTCCCCCCATGTCATTGTGATGTCACTGGGTAATGCAATGTGAGAAGCCATCAAAACTGCACAGGTGCTTTAATTAGAAGAGTGCATGGAGCAACAATTGAGCATCATGCAGAACAAGAAGCCAGTCTGAGGCAAAAGGCAATAATTTTGCCAGTGCTGCTGCTGTGCACTTGCGAGTAGGCAGTCCAAATATTTTATTTTTCTGATCCAAGAGCTGTGCCCCCAAATCCTTACTGTGTACAGGATACTAGCTGCTTCACCAGGCTCCAATTAACTTCTCAATTCTATGGAGCAGACAATGGGAACTCAAAGCTCCTGGCCTGACATTCAGACACTCACAGAGGAGAGCTTCAGCTGCTTGGCAGCTTTGCTATTTTGAGAGTAGCTTCGCTGGTGTATTTCTGCAATAGCAGCTTTGCGGCAAAGAACCCTTGATCATGCCGAGCACCCAAAACCAAGCAGGCAGATTCAAACAGTTGCTGCTTACCAAAAAGTTCATCCTCATCACTCCAGACCTCCTTTTCTTCATCCTGATTTAAACAAATTAGTCTCCTCTTTGCTAATCTGAATGGAACAGAGAAACACAAGTGAGGAAAGACCTACCCCACAAGGAGATGAGACGGGACTGAGCTGCATCAATTAATGCCACACACAACCAGGATTATGGAGATGCTGGGTTAAGTATCAGACAAGGAGCGAGGTTAATTTGTCCCAGCAAACACACCACTGCAGAGACCTATGGCAGCTTAAATATGAGCAAATAGCTTGTGGCAGAAACACAAACCCTTATCCTTGGTACAGACGGAAGGAGGGAGGGGGGAGAGAAATAACATTTTCTACCTTCTGTCTGGCAACTGAAGCTAACATTCCAGGCATCTGACAAAGCACAGGTGTTTCTGCCACAAAAAATTTGTTTAGCAATCTTTAATGGGGCCAGAGAACGTATTGTCAATTCTGCTATCTTTGCAATCTGAGTAATAAAAATTAAGACAAGGTATGTAAACCAGATTCTCTCGCAACCTGCTTCTACTAGTTGGGGGAGAAGCTGCACAGCGATGCAACCCTACCACTGCAAACCACCTTTGCCTTCCTTGGAGCTTCTGGGCTGAGGCCTAAGGCCTTCTAATGGATTCCTTGCAAAGGTGAATGTTGCACCAAATGCCTCATGCTGTGCCGGTTCCCCAGCAGACCCCACAGCAGTCATGGCCTCTTACCTGGGATATCGGGTGGTATTATCAGGCTGGGTGGGTATTTGGGGCTGTGCAGGCCGGACAACCAAAGTTGCCACAGGTCTCTTGGATGGAACTCGGCAGGAAGTTGGGGGGTTCCAGCTCTCTGACCCCATAACCAGTGTGCTTATGGACACTGAGCGTTCACTGGGGTGCGGCCTGGAGGCAGCACGGTTCTTCTCCGTTTGGCACTTGGCTGCGTGGAAATCAGAAGCCAAACATGGCTTGGGAAAAGTCCAGTCCAACTTGTCCAGTTTTGAAAACTCTTCATCTGCATCTGGGGAATTGGACAGGATCTTGAAAGCATCCCTCAGAGTAGAAAACCCATACGAGCCCATCCTCTTAGGCGAGCATCTGCAAAATAAAGAAACATCAGAAGGTTGCTCCACAAGTTTTGCCAATTTATGTTGCTGACCTCACCCCCAAGACCTTGCTCCCCTGGCAGCAGGTGCAATTTGAGTCTGAGTGATGAGAGCCAGAAGTTGTATGGCAAAACAGCTGCCCAGCATGGCAAAGGGAGTCAAAACTGTAAGAGGCCATAGGCCGCTAACCTGTCAGAGTCACTGGAAACTGCTGAGACAGTGGCAACAGCAACCACAGCAGGCTCTGCAGCTCCACTAGTTTCTTCTTCTGGCTTTGAAGCTGCCTGGCACTCATCAACCACTTTAGCAAGCTCCAAAACAGCTCCCTTTGCCTCCATCAAAGGCCTTGCAACTGTCTCACGGCCTCCCTCCAGAGAATTTGGCTGTTCTTCCACTGTATTTCTAGGCCCTGCCTCAGGCCGGGGCTCTTCCAAAGTCTCATTAGATCTTCCCACAGATTCAGGTTTATCTGCTGCCGCCACCTCTGAGGTTTCTTTCACCATTTCCTCCTTGCTGGCCATTTCCAAAGGATTGAGCCTGGTCTCTGTCTGATCATCCAAATCCCTTTTTGCCATCTTAAACAGAGAATGTGAACACAGTTACTAGAGAACACTTCTCAACTTTATTTTCTTTTTTCTAGTTATATACAGCAGCCATGCCCAAGCTGGTGCCCTGAAGATGCTTTACCTACAATTCCCCTAAGCCCCGGTCAGCACAGCCTCATGATGCTGGAGCTGTTGGGAATTGCTAGTCCAAAACATTGTCAGGTTACAAGCTTGATATATGTCAAATGTGACATTGGAGCCCTGTGCTGTTCTGCTGTGGGGTACTTTGCTCTTTACAAAAATATTTCCCAAACACATAATAGTTTGGCCAGGGAGGCTTCTGTCTTAAGCCTCAGGTGCTGAATGTACTTTTTTGATCACAGTGTTTAGACGGCAAGAGTTCTGCTGTGGCAATGTGGGTGATATTCAAGTGCTCCAGCAACACACAGAAATATATGAAGAAAGCAAGCTGCCTTATGCCAAGCCAGACCAATGGTTCATATAGTTTCCTATCACCACACATTGAGTGACAGCGGCTCTCCGGGGTTTCAAGCAGAGGACATTCCCAGTCCTACCTAGAGATGCCAGGGATTGAACTTGGGACCTTCTGCATGCAACGTAGATGTGCGACTACTAAGCTATGCTTCCACTACAACATCCCACATCTCAATCAAGCAGCACTCCATACCCTTGCTTACCTCTAAGAGAAAGGGCTCAGAGTCACTCAAGCAGCTTTCTAAATACAGAAGTATTCTCTGCTGGAAAGCTTTATAGGAAAAGTTCCAGATGGCTGGATGAGCGAAGTTTTTTTCTCGGATGATGCTCTGGAACATCGACCTCATTTTCTAAGCAAGGGGAAATGTTTTTCAGTACTTGCAAGCAAATTGCAGCACAGGGCAGAGATAAAAGCAATGTTTGCAGTCATTAGAAGTTTAAACAAAACAAGCCAAACCACTAGAGCAGTCTAGGTAATGTCACAAATGCATGAAAGTAATGATGACTAGAGATGTGGACCACAATCTGTAGCAACATGTGCTGCTTGTAGATGCAATTTTTCTCATTGCGTAAGGGGGACAATAAACTTTCAAGTATTTAAAGAACTCACTGAATTTGAGAATGTGGGAAGGACAAACCATGACTCTGCTTTGCAGTGAAATGACCCTATAAGAGGCACATCTCAACAACAACAGCGACATGAACTCATACCTGCTGAAAGCTCACCTGGGAACTTGGGTCCTTTGACATGTGTTTCCTCAAGATCTTGCTGGCTTGTTCATATTCTTTGTTTTTTAGACAGGTTATAACAGCCTGGAGAAGAAAGACAAAATAATGGTTTGCAAGGAAGACTTTGGGGGAATGTTCCTAATCTAAGAAGATACTGTTCGAGAGATATCCCTCTGGCAATTTTCTAGATCTGCTTCACATTTTCAACCCAGTGTGTTTTATTGTGTAATATTAGACCACTTATTAAGGAATTAAAAAAAATATTCAAGTAAGGCAAGTTACTTAAAAGTCTGTAGGCTAACAACATTGAAATAATGTATGCCTCAGGAGAGTCAAGAAGCCAGCTTTTCCTGGATTGCCCCAGAAGGAAACAAGTTTTCAAAACATGCTGAGTTCCAATAAACTCAGGCACTTCTGAGGAGACATTTCTCTTTCATTTCATCCCAACATATAGGAATCGTGCCTCCTTGCTTCTATTAACTTTTGTGAACTTATTTAAAAGTCCAATTTAAGCATGGAGAAAAATAGGCAAGAGTTAATCCTGGCATTGAATTAGCACCTTAATTAAACCCTTTCCTAAATATACTGCGTTTTGAAACTCAAGACAGCTGTCCTCATACTAACTAGGCTGAGAAACAGTAATCAGTGCCTACAGAAGAGGAAATGCTAACACTTACTGCTTCCTTTATTTTATTTCTTATTTCTTCTATTATATCAATGCCTATGTCCAATTCATTCTTCATCTTATCCAAAAGAACAAGGGCATATTCAAGAGGTGTTAACTTGGTCTTGGTATCAATGGCCCAATCTTCTTCAATCCTAGACAGAAGCTGGATAATCCGCAGCTGAATGCCAATGCGTTTCTCTAGCACTAGGGGCCTTGCAAGCACAGCTGGAGAAGAACAAGACAGTCAAAACAGCTACTAAGCAAAATCAGATAGTTCAGCAAACCAGGTGTACTGTATTTTATGCTGTTTTTTTGTTGTATCACAATTGTTTTAAATTTGTTAGCCACCCTGAGCCCGGTTTTCTGAACCGGGAAGGGCAGGGTATAAATAAAAATTTATTATTTCCCTTAATTTCTAAAGGCAAATGACAAACTTTCCACGGACACAGATTGTATTATATTTTAAGTTGCTTTAGGTTCATTTTTTCTTAAATGAAAACACCTAATGACTATTAACCTAGACAGCATCTTAAAAAGTAGAGACATCACCTTGCCAACAAAGGTCCGTATAGTAAAAGCTATGGTTTTCCCAGTAGTGATGTATGGAAGTGAGAGCTGGACCATAAAGAAGGCTGATCGCCGAAGAATTGATGCTTTTGAATTATGGTGCTGGAGGAGACTCTTGAGAGTCCCATGGACTGCAAGAAGATCAAACCTCTCCATTCTTAAGGAAATCAGCCCTGAGTGCTCAGTGGAAGGACAGATTGTGAAGCTGAGGCTCCAATACTTTGGCCACCTCATGAGAAGAGAAGACTCCCTGGAAAAGACCCTGATGTTGGGAAAGGTGGAGGGCACAAGGAGAAGGGGACGACTGAGGACGAATGTTTGATGTTTTAGTATGTTCTGATATGTGCTGTGAGCCGCCCAGAGTGGCTGAGGAAACCCAGCCAGATGGGCGGCGTATAACTAATAAAATTATTATTATTAGTTATTTACACTCATGTTCCTTAGCAGGAAATACCTTTACAGTTATTTAACCCAGCGAGAATGTTCCCCAAATGCCCCTTTCGTAAAACAAACTGGTCTCCCCACCGTATATGACGTCGCGCAGCTGGCGAAAGTCCTGGCTGTGGCCGGCCCGGAAAGCCTGAAGAGCCCGGTGGGCGTAGAAGAGGATGGCCCACCGGTTCACCCCCTCCTCCAAGGCTTTTTCGCGAGCCTCCGCGGCTCCTTCGGGCGATGCAGCAAGAGACGCTCCACGGCCACCGCCCGCCATCTTCCCTCTCCCGCGCGCCATCCCGCCGGTAAGGGGGCGTTGGTGTAAGTGACGGGTTCTTCCCCTGACGTAGTCGGTGGGCGGGGCAGGAGGGGGCACCGCGGAGAGCAGCGCTGGCTCAGAGCCCGGGGCACTGTAGTCTCAGCACCGTCCCGGTCCTAGTGGGGCTCTCTCTGCTCGCTCCTCTGCCTGGAGGCCCACAAAGCGCAGAGGGTGGAAAGGAAGGCTATGGGCAGCTCGCCCCCCGCCGTGGCGCTGCTTGCCCAGGGAAATCAAGGGGGCAGCCGGGCAGGTTCCAACAGACAGAGGCAGAGAAAGCGGACTTGGGGAGGATAGAGGACGGAGCACGAGGGCCGAGACCGGGACACTGTCTCTGGCAGGGGGTTTCTAGGGTGATGGTTGCTGCTGCAGCTGCGCTGCACGTGCGAAGTCACCAGAGCGGGGGGATCAAGATGCCCCGGCGGCTGGGGCGTGGGATCATCCGCAGCAGTTGCCAGATGCTCCCGCGTAGTCTCTTGTGCCTATTCAGCCAATCAAAGGGAGCCGCTGTTCCTCTCTCGTTTCATGCTGGCCATCTCCCTTCACGCCTGTGCGGCCTGCCTCGCCCCTTCCAGGAAGGCGCCCTACGCCTCTGCCTCGGGCAGCCTGGGGAACAGGGGTCCCGGAGATCGGTCCTGCTTGGTTGGCTGGAGGAAGGGACTTGGAGATGAAGGCGGTGGGGTAAAGCCCCACCTGCGATTTCTGGGTCGGGAGACGGGTTGTATATGGGGCTGGGCTCCATAAGGACTTCTTCGGGCTGCCCATAATATTTCTTCCGTTGTTGATATCATTTTCTTTTCATATCACTCTGCGAAGTCTTAGCACCCGACACAACATTGCGAAAAAACAATGGGCAACTATTCAAACTAGACCAAAGGGAGTGAAGCTGCATTAAAAGGGTTTTATTTTGCATGGGAAATGCGAGCTCTTTTTAAATACTATAAAACGCAACTTCTCGGTATGCACACGGCTTTCGGCTGCCCCAGAGTGCTAGATCTGCAGCCCTGCTGGGATCATTTCAGGGGGGAAGGCAGAATCTAATCGAGGCTGCCCCTAAACTCGGGAATTGAGAGACTATAAAAGAAGACGGAAGTTTTGCCTCTTGTGTGTTTATAGCGCAGCGCGCTTCTTTGTAGCTCAGTTTCCGGCTCTCTGCCGGAAGTGGAGCCCATGTGCATCCTCCTTTCGCTGCCATGGCGGGAGCTGCGGGCGCGTCGCTCTGGGTGAGGAAGGTCGCACAGTGGGCGGGCGCTGGGTTCAAGGGAGGCCGTAGCTTCGTGCCAGAGCAGGCATTTTGCAGGTCGAGGTACCCTGTGAAGAAAGAGCCTTTGCTCTGCCGGGGAGAGCCTGGAGGGAGGCCCGCCTTTGTCAGACAGCGCAGGCGATACTCGATGAGCAAATTATTTGCCCCCCGCAGTGCTCTGCGCGCGCGCACCCACCCACCCGTGTTGCTGGTTTGAAGCAACTAATGGGGAAATGCGGAGTGGATTCTTCTGTCTTGAGGCGGGGCTAGATGCGCTGTAGGACGATATGCAGTCTTGCAGCGGTGGTTGCCCAGAAACGGGATACCAGCCTCCAATTCAAGGGGAAAGTTGCAGCTCCTTCACTACTGTGACACCTATGAAAGCGCTTAACTCCTCTTACTGCTAGAAAGGGACTAAGCGAAGTTTGCAGGGCAGGTATCATGTCTTCGAGAGAGGAAGGAGCTGATGCCAGTCAGCGCAAGAAGCCCTGACCTAGGTGGTCCAAAAATCTGTCGGGGGGGTGGGGGTGGGAGGGGAAGCAGCTCCTTGCCCTTCCTTAGTGAACCGTGCAGCTTGAACGTAGTTGCTGGGAGGGCTCTAGTGGCCAGCTGTGAGAGCAAATTGTGTGTTGCTCCTTTGAGATAGGCTGGAGCAACAGCCAAGGCAAGCAGAGGTTGAGCGTGTGCAGCTTTTGCTGAGCAGCAGTGGTTCTCCTGCCTGCCATGCAGCTGCTGAAGGGCTTGAGGCAGATTCCCCTACCAAAAGGCCTCTTGTCGGATCCGGCCAGTCATTGCCAGGAGCCAGTAGTAATTGGAAGCTATGCCTTCCTTATGTTGTGGCATCTGAAATCCTCCCCTTTTGCCATCCCAGGTAGTACCAGCAGCTCTTCAACAGGATTCCTGCTGCCTTTAGCCCTTTCAGAGTGCCCCATGCGGACCAGCTGCTTTCTCAGTTTTAGGGTCAGTATTTATCCCAACTGGGGTGATGAGGCAGGGGAGCTTGGGCAGGTCTAGCCAAAGCCAACTTGGAGCTTTAACCCAGATATTCCAGACAGAGTTCTATGGGTGTGTTAGGGTGGAGCAGGGTGGTAGACCTTCCTCCTCCCGTTCTCCAGGGGTTGGGTGGGCTGTAGGCTTGGGGGTGTATCTCACTCTCTTTGCTCTCCCAGCGACGCTTTAAGGAGGCAACAGTGATTCTCGGTGGGGGCAGCCTGATCTTCACCTCATACCTGGTGGTCAAGGGAGATGAGCACTTCTACGCTGCGCAGCTGATGCCACTCCTGCAGAGAGTGGTGGGCCCTGAGACAGCCCACAGGCTGGCTGTGCGCTTTGTGGCTCTGGGGATCCTGCCCTGCTCAAGCCAAGCTGACTCGGATGCATTGGTGCGTAAACTATGCAGGTGACTGGTGGTCAGAGGCTGCTGTGCTCCTGCTTTGGGCCCTGCCTCTCATCCTACTGCTCCCAGTCCCTTCCTGTGGGGTCCTAGGACAGGATGGGGCCTTCCCTGTCTCTTCTGCTGCCTAAGGCTTTCTGCTGGTTAACAGGTGCTTAATTGGCTTCCCAGGCAGTGGAAGTCTTTGGGCGCCGGTTTCGGAACCCTCTTGGCCTGGCTGCTGGTTTTGACAAGCATGGAGAGGCTGTAGATGGACTCTACAAGATGGGATTTGGCTTTGTGGAGGTGGGGAGTGTCACCCCAGAGCCCCAAGAGGGGAACCCCAGGCCCCGTGTCTTCCGGCTGCCAGAGGACCAGGCCATTATTAACAGGTAGGAGCCTGGAACAGAGGTGGGTGGCGAGGGTGAGCCTTTGACAAGCCTCTCCTGTAGTGGTGGAGGAGGTGATGTGTTGGGGAAGAGAGGGGTGGTGGTAATCACCTGAGCTGTGTCCACCACTTTCTAGGTATGGGTTCAACAGCCATGGGCATGCAGTGGTGGAGCACAGACTTCGAGCCCGACAAGAAACTCAGCGTCAGCTCAGCTCAGGTGAGGTGGCTTGTGTCCTCCCTGCCCATGAGTCATGGAAAATCCCGGCCCCCTTCTTCCCCCCCACCCAATTGCTGCTGTACTAGTACATGCTTGTGGCAGTCAGATCTGGAGAGGAGCTTTCAGGGAACGTGAAGAGTAGCAAGGAGCAAATAATGTTGCAGTTGATTAGTGGAGGATTTCTGGATCCTGCCCTGGACCCTTCCCAGAGCATCTCTGGTCAGGAGCAGTGCCTGCCTGAGTGCCAGTGGCTGCTTCCTTTTGCCCAGCCCTAACAGGCCCACTGTGGTCCTGTGCTCTCCCTGGGGAAATATCTTATGTGTCTGCCCCCTCATCAAGGATTCCTCACATAGTAGTCATCTTTGCTCTGGCCCTCCCTGTCTGACTGGCTTCTGTTTGTGCATCCTCTCCCTTCCTAGCGGGGATGCCTCTTGGAATAAATCTTGGCAAGAACAAGGCCTCTGTGGATGCAGCAGCCGACTACGTGGCAGGCGTGCGTGTGCTGGGCCCACTGGCTGATTACCTGGTGGTGAATGTTTCCAGTCCCAACACACCAGGATTGCGGGCTCTTCAAGGCAAAGCAGAGCTGCGCCTCCTGTTGTCCAAGGTGAGTCTCCTGCCCCAAGAGCATTACCTGATCCCCTCTAGTAAGCAGCCAGGGCGCCCTCTGGCACACATTTCAGCACCTGCTCTCTGGGCTGAGGGCAGCAGCTGCTTGGAGCAAAGGAGAAGCAGCCTGCTGCTCCCATTTCACATTTATTGAACAGTGCCTGGCAAAGGAAGGCCAAGGCTTTGCTGGTACATTGTTCACACATCCTACTGCAGGAGTTGAATGCATGCCTGATTGAGAACCTTGTACAAGTGTGGCAGCCTTGCCTCCAGATGTTGGTGGTTGACCTATAGGAGGCTGCTTCTATCTTGCCCTCCTTCCTTCCCTCCTTTTGATCCTGCTGTTGAGCCCCTCCTGCTCCGCAGAGCTCCACTTATGTCCCTAGTTCATAGCAGGGGCAGTTCCCCTCTCCTAGCTGTGTTGTGCTGCGCTCCATGGCTTGTAATCATGTGGCCTTCTGGGCAGTGTGAAACTTGTGCCCTTCTGAGCAGTGTGAACATGATCTTTGACCTACGGCTGTGTGCTTCTTGGCAGGTGCTGGCTGAGAGGGACGCCTTGGCATGCAAGCACAAGCCGGCTGTACTGGTGAAAATTGCTCCAGACCTCACGGCCCAAGACAAGCAGGACATTGCCAGTGTCATCTCCGAGGTGATGCAGGGGTGGGTGGGCAGGAGTGGTTCTGTCTGGCTGCTGCCTCAATTATTCCTTGTTGGTTTGGACTTTTATGCCTTGTTCTAGAGCAGCTCCCTTAAGAGATCACCTTGCCCCATGTGGGCCTCTTTGATCACTTCCATCTGTGGAACTTGCACTTTTACACCTGCCACTCTGCACACCTCGCAAGAGCAATCTCGTGAGCATAGCAGCACTTGAAACTCCCTGCCTCTTGATACTGGGCAGGCACCCGCACTATATTGCATTTAGCAAGCCTACCCAGACATGTAATTTAGTTACCTATTACTGAATTTATCTTTGTTTTGAATTGAGGTGGCTTTACATACCTTTGCTTTTAGTGAACTGTGGATTTCAGCTGTGTTTTAGCTTAAGCTATATTTGTACGCTACTTGGGAGATATATAGATTTTTGATTAAGTGGTCTTATGAATTTCCTTTAAATAAGAGTGAGAATGGGGTAGGGCTAGACTTTCAGGGCCACCACTGTGGGAAGGAGGGCAGCGCATAGGAGGAGAATGTGGCTCTGAGGCTTGACTGGGCTCCCTTTTTCCCAGTTAGGCGTTGATGGACTGGTGGTCACCAACACCACTGTGAGCCGCCCCAGCACCTTGCGTGCAGCTCTTCGTGGGGAGGCTGGGGGTCTAAGCGGAGCTCCCCTGCGAGAGCTCTCCACTCAGCTGGTCAGTGAGATGTACTCTCTCACCCAAGGTAAGGAGACGGGCTGGAGGGAGGGAGGGGATGCAGGTGGGAGGGACTCCAGAATCCCTCCCACTACCAGCCTCTTCTTGCCCCCCAGGACGGGTCCCCATCATTGGTGTAGGTGGAGTCTCCAGCGGGCAAGATGCCTTGGACAAGATCCGTGCAGGGGCCTCCTTGGTGCAGATGTACACTGCCCTCACCTACCGTGGGCCACCTGTGGTGGGTGCTGTGAAACAGGAGCTGGAGGCTCTGTTGAGGTGAGTGCCAGGCTGGGCCCAGCTCCCAGCTTCTTGATGGCCCAAACTCAGTGTGTGTGTGTGTGTGTGTGAGAGAGAGAGAGAGAGAGAGAGAGGAGGGGTGCACCTAACGGACCCTCAATCCAGCTGTGTGTTGCAGATACATTATGATGTAATTTCAGATTAAAGCAAAGTTGTGCTGATTAAGAAAGCACAGCAGAATGAGATTGCTGCTAGCATAAGATTAGGCTGTAGAGGGAGCTGAGCAGACCACAAAACTGTCTGTCTCCCACCTAGGTTGTCATGCTGGGCTCCTTATTGCATGTATGCTCTCCATTTACACTGCAAGAAGCTGATCCCTGTTACTCTTTACATCAGCTTCAAGTACCTGGTCCTTCTTGCTTGATGTTCTGTGTCTCTCTCTCTCTGCCGCTTACACCCATTCCTTCTCTTCCTCCCACATTCTGCTTGCCAGCCAGCCTGCCTTTCCTCCAGATCTGCTTCCTAGCCCCTGGCTCTCCTCTCCTCTTGGAAGCCCCTGCTGCCCCCTGTTCTTCCACCTGTCCCTTATCTTCAGTCTCAAATTACCTTCCACCTCCACCAAGACAAATTACCTTTTCTCCACCACAGCTGCTTTGTGTCATTTTGTGGTCTATGGAGCCCTGGCAGCATTACAGCAGTTGATGTCTGGGACAACAGTAGTCCCAAAACAAATAATAACAGACCTTGCTTTCTATTCTTTATACTCGTGCATCTGTTGCCTTATCCAAACAATCAAATATATACTACGTAGAAGAGAAAGTGGTCTTGATCCTGTGCGTATTTCACATCCTTGGTTTCCTGTGACTCGCCTGCAGGTCACAAGTCCCCTCCCCACAACGTACAAGGATCTGCTCTACAGGCATAAGCTTTTCTGGTCACTTTTTGTAGCTGGGGAGGGAGATGGGGAGCTGGTATCTTAAGCAAATAAGGACTTTGCTTGGGTTGAGGTTTTATCTTTCTAGGCGCCAAGAAGACTGCAGGGCCAGAGACAGCTACCTGGTCTACTCACTCTGTGCTGTTTTCTCCTTTGTGCAGGGAGCAAGGATTCCAGAGTGTGCAGGATGCTGTGGGTGCAGATCATGGCCTCTGAGGACTCCTGGCATGGGCTTAGTGTGACAGCAGGGACTCTGTGGGCACAGAGATGCTTGTTTGCCCTGGTCACCGTGGTAGCATCCAGCATGTTTCTGCTTGTAGTACTGCTGGCCCCCTCGTCTTCCCTTACATGAGGGCAGGGGGGCTTCCATCAAGATCAGCTGGGTCCATTGTTTTTCCAGCAAGGAACAAAAAAGTGCCTCCCTTAAGAGCTTCACAGTGTACTTCTTAATGCAAACTTTTGCAGTCCAGCAGGTACTAAGTGTCCCTGGAACAGGATGAGCAAACATTGACACAAGTCAAGTAGGCCAGGCTGGGGCTGGCTTCTTTCATCAGAAACTATCAAGCAACGCAGAGGATCAGAATATGTGTGTATCCTCAGCCAAGACAAAGTCAAGGAATTCCCCTCATCTGCTGAGACCCAACAGAGTCAGGTCTGCAGTGTAACTCAGTCTCTCTCAGATGGGATTAAGTAAAATGGGAGTATAGCAGAAATATTTTCTCTGTTTCATCCCAGAGCCCCACTCTTGATCTTAGGATGCTAAAGAGGATGGGAGCACGATCAGCATTGCTCTGAGGGGCTGTGGGATTTTGTTCCCTGCCTTGCCTTCAGCGGGAGGTGGATATTTTTCTGGGTGGCCTTTCAATAAAGCTTTTGTTTGTTTGTTTAAACTTGTTATTTTTATTTTATTTTTATTTTTTATTTCATTATGTTTTTAAATTTGGTATGAAGTGCCATATGACAAGTGCATTTCACTTGTTTTATGATGGAGATCAGCATACAAAAGGTTAAAAAACATTGCCAATGGTGGGTGGGACTTCTCTTTAATTATTAAAAGTAACTCTAAAGGAGAGCATATTGTTTCACTTCTATGTGAAGGCCAGGCACAGGCACCTCCCAAGAGCTGCCTTCTCTCATGGAGAAGGCCCCTGCAGCTGCCCTCTGACCCATGGCTTGAGGAAGAGGTGCCAGCTCCGGGGGTAAATCTGCAGAGTCCTGAGAGCTCTGGTGAGGGGAGAGGGGCAACATTTGAAGACCCAGTTTGTTTGTATTTCAGTGGTAAGGGGGTTGTGCCCTGGCACCCAATGCAGGCTTTGCAGCAGTGACTGGGAGGTTATCCTAGGAATTGCACCCATGCAAAATAAAAGAGGGGCAGCTGAGCGCAAAAGGCGTCAGACAAACCTCTCGCCCAAGGAGTGACTCGCAAGGGCGCGAACAGCATAGGTCGCCCCACCAGACTCTCCAGCCGCCGGAAGAGGGGCTGATTTGGCTCTGACGTAGGAAGGGCGGGAGGAGGCGGACCCGGAGAAGCCCCGCCCCCGGTCCCATAGGCTCGTCTGTAGCCGGGGCAACGGGTTATGTCACCCTAGACATAAGAAAGGGTAAGAGCAGCCCTTCTGGTGCGCGGGACTTTCGGGCTCCTGAAAACCCATCCGGCTGCAATCCGAGCCGCTTTGGATAGAGAGCGCGGGACTCGCGTTTGCCCCTCTGTCGGCTGCAAGTCTCCTAGACCTTTTCAGTCTCCGGACCCGCCTTTAACCAAACATGCATTTGGGGACCAATCTTGTAATCGTTTACCACACATTTGCACAGCGGTGGCGCTGCTGTTGCGACCCACCTCGGATCAGGCCGTGACCCACAAGAGGGTCTCTACCCACCACCACTTGGACTAGATGACCCCCGCGGCCCCTTCCGACTCTACTTTGCCATGACCTATGGCTGGGGAACTTCCGGCCCAGCAGAGGATGGATGGACTACAATTCCCATCCTCGTCTCTGGCCACGCTGGCTGCTGGGAGCTGCGGTCTCTAACAGCACCTGGAGGACCGTGAATGTCCCCGCACAGCGCCCCATCCCTGCATTAGCTCCGTTCCCGCCCATGATCTCGAACTGCTTTCGCAGCTGTCTGAGGGAGCGGCACGCCCCTCCTCTTCTGAGGGGAAACTGCTAGTTCTGCAGCCTTCCGTTCCAGCTGTGCGGAAGTCCGGGATCTCCTTGCGCAGTTTCCTGTGGGCGGCTTTTACGTTCCCTCCTCCAGGCGGCTGCAATCCGGAAATCCCGCCTCCGCACAAGGACTCGGTCGGTCGATCTAGGAGCCGCGCTGCTGCACATTCTATAACGACTCTATGGCGCAGGGAGAGGCCGTCGCAGCTGCCGTCGCGGGGCATTGTGGGGCGGGCAATGGCGGCGCCCGGCAAGCGGAGGGTCAGGCCTTGAAGCGGCGGCCGCGCGGCGGCGGAGGGTGAGGCTGAGGCGGGCAGGACTCTGCCCCCGTCTCTGTCCCGAAGGCGAAGCGAGGCCGGGCCAGCGGGTTGGGCGGCGCTGCTGCTGCTGCTTCCGCTGCCGCTTTCAGCGCGGTGTGTCGTCCAGTGGCAGCGCGTCCCGCGGGACTCTCAACGGCCGAGCAGCCCCTCCAGCAGCCCGATTTCCCCCGCCGCCGTTAGGCGCCACCCCCCTTGCCGCCCAGTCCCCCTCCCGCTCACTCGAGTGCCTCCTTGCTCCCCGCAGAGAGCCCTGCAATGGGGGACTCCCCGGCGGAAGAGGCGTCGCTGCACCGGCTGGAGGGCCTAGAGCCGGAGACGCAGGTCGGCGGCCTCCTGATCAAGAAGAAAAGCGCCGCCGAGGAGCAGCACGTCTTCAAGATCCCGGCGCCCCGCACCTCCCTGCTGGGTCTGGACCTCCTGGCCGCCCAGAAGCGCCGCGAGCGGGAGGAGAAGGACAACGGGGCAGAGGACCGAAAGAGGTCCCGGGTCTCCTCCTATAAGGACTGGGCTGAGGGCAAGGACGAGGGCGCTGCTGGCGAGGAAGAGGACGGCGACCCAGCTGGGCGCAGCAGCCGCAAGGACAGGTGAGGGGAGGGCTTGGGAAGCTGCTCTTTCTGCAACGGTAGCTACTTCTTAGGGAAGAAAGCAAGAGCTGAATTTGTTGGGGTGAAAACTTCCCCAGTGGGTGATTACCCCACAGCTCAGCCCTCCTCTTCTTCCACTTTCCAGGCATTATCGCTCAGCTCGTGTGGAGACACCATCTCACACTGGAGGAGTCAGTGAGGAGTTTTGGGAGCGCAGCCGGCAGCGGGAAAGGGAACGTCGTGAGCATGGGGTTTATGCCTCCTCCAAGGAGGAAAAAGAGCGCAAGAGGGACCACGGCCGGGAGCGGGAATATGATCGCAAACGGGACCGAGGTAATTCCTGCTCATTAGTAGCTCCGCCCCCCAGGACTGCCGCTGGTCTTTTCACTGGGTGGGCCATGGTTGATCATAGGTTGCCTCCACAGATGAGCGGGACCGAAGTCGACGCAGCAGCAGCAGCCGCTCAGAGAAAGAGGCCTCCTCAGAGAGGAGCAGCAGTAGTCGGAAGAACGAACCAGAGAGTCCTCGCCACCGACCCAAAGGTGCCCTCTCTCTGTCTGCCCACTCCACCTGGATGATGGGGAGCGTCTGTAGACTGTTGCTTTCTTCTTCCTCTGTGTAGGGGGTTGGGTGAGCAACTGCTGGGCTATGCATGGCTGTGGCACATCTTCATGGCAGTTGTGCTGGGACCCTGGGAGCAAAGGGTGCTGGGGTGGCAGAAGGGGGAGCAGTCCAAACCAACTGGTGGTTTCCTTCTTGTGCCTAGATGCAGCTACACCTTCCCGCTCCAGCTGGGAGGAAGAGGACAGTGGCTACAACAGTTCACGCCGCTCCCAGTGGGAGTCTCCCTCCCCCACGCCCTCCTACCGGGACTCAGAGAGAAGTCACCGGGGATCTGCCTCCCGGGATAGCGAACGGCGTGATCGTGACCGGTATGGAGGTGCAAATCAGACTTGGGGGTGTGGGGATGAGGCTGATTGAAGAAGCCTGGCTGGAGCAAGCAGTCCTTGCCCTCTGGGCTATTGCCTTGACTGTGTTTCTCTCGGCTGCTCTCACAGGTCTGTCAGGAGCAAGTACCCAGAGGACACCCCATTGCCAACGCCTTCATACAAATACAATGACTGGGCTGACCATCAAAGACACTCTGGTGCAACACCTTGGCTCTCCAGAGGCAGAGGTTAGGGACTGGGAAAGTGGGGGAGGAGGACTCAGCAGTCCGGGGCCAGAATCAGGGCTTCATGATACGTTCCATTCTTAGGAAGGCGTGAAGATGGTGAGGATGGCATTGCATTTGAAACTGAGGAGGAGCGACAGCAGTGGGAAGATGACCAGCGGGTGAGTGTGCAGCACTCTTTAACAAATGATCCCAAACAAATGATCCTCACTAGGGTTATTTATCTTCATCTCATACCTTGGAAAGTGAGGGTGCCCAGAGTTGTTTGGCTCTCTCTTTGGGGAGAGCTGGAAGTGAAGGAGATGGGCTTGGTGGTTGTCACATGTGGGTGTTCTTGGGCTCAGGCCCTGTGTGGGTAATGGCTGTGTTTGGTGGCCATTGAAGGCTGCCTTTTCCAAAGTGCCAGCTCAGCTCCAGTGAGGTGTGTCATAATGAACAAGATTGGTGAGAGTGTGTCTCTGGCTTGCATTGCTGAAACTTTCTACTTGTCCCCCCCACCCCAGCAAGCTGACAGGGACTGGTACATGATGGATGAGGGCTACGACGAGTTCCACAATCCCCTGGCTTCTTCATCAGAGGAATACGTGAGGAAGCGGGAACAGCACCTGCAGAAGCAAAAGCAGAAGCGCATCTCAGCTCAGCGTAGGCAGATAAATGAGGTAGGGGAGTGCTGGAGAGGGTGGCGCCCAGTGGTGGCAAACACATGACCATTGTCACTGTAAGGGCTCCCTTAAAACTAAGAGGCTGCTGAGTGCCTGGCCTTGTTTTCTGCTTGGTAGGATAATGAGCGCTGGGAGACCAACCGCATGCTGACAAGCGGCGTGGTGCACCGACTGGAGGTGGACGAGGACTTTGAGGAGGATAACGCTGCGAAGGTTCATCTTCTGGTTCACAACCTGGTGCCTCCCTTCCTGGATGGGCGCATTGTCTTCACGAAGCAGGTAGGCCAGACTCTAAACAAATGGTGGCAGCAAATGGGGAGGGGGGAGTTGAAGTTGGGGCAGGGCTGTTCCTTTGTGGATCACTTTTCTTGCTTCCTTCTAGCCTGAGCCCGTCATCCCCGTCAAGGATGCTACTTCTGACCTGGCGATCATCGCCCGCAAAGGCAGCCAGTTGGTGCGCAAGCATCGCGAACAGAAGGAGCGCAAAAAGGTACAGTCCGAGTTTCTGTTGGGTTTCTCTCTCTCTCTCTCTCTCATTCTCTCTCTCTCCCCCCCGCCCCCTTCTTGTGGGCTTAATCTCCATTGAGTAAGGAAACTTGCCTGCTGGGGGCAAACTGTCTTTCCAAGCAGAAATGTAGCTTCAGCTGCTTGAGACTTTATTTTATGATTGAAAACGTTTCTATTCTACCCTTCCTCACAAAACAACAATAGTCAAGTCCAGAATTGTGCTGGTTTTGCAGGTGTCAGTAAGTTGCAGTTTAGTGGCAAGTTGCAATTTAGTGTTGAGAGGAGGCAGCAGAGAGGCTGCGTTTAACGGACAGGTGTGGCTACCATTCAGAGCAGGGATGAGTGAACTATAGGACAACCCACACTGCTTGTAGCATGCCAAAGTCTGAATAGTTTTCATGGATCTCTCTCTCTCTCTCTCTCTCTCTCTCTCTCTCTCTCTCTCTCTCTCTCTCTGTGTGTGTGTGTGTGTGTGTGGTTACTGTCATTTCAGGCCCAGCACAAGCATTGGGAGTTGGCAGGCACCAAACTGGGGAACATCATGGGCATCAAGAAGGAGGAAGAGGAAGAGGGTCCCAACCAAAAATTGGCAGAGGATGGCACTGTGGATTACAGGTAGGGGCCTTGCCTGCTGCAGGATGACAGCAGCAAGTAGGGCTTCTAAGGGAGGATGGGCCTTGTGAGGTGATGACCACAAAACCACTCTCCTTTCAGGACAGAACAGAAATTTGCTGATCACATGAAGGAGAAGAGTGAAGCGAGCAGTGAGTTTGCCAAGAAGAAGTCAATTGTGGAGCAGAGGCAGTATCTGCCCATCTTTGCTGTGCAGCAGGAACTGCTGACAGTCATTAGGTGAGACCTTTCCCCAGCCCCTTGCCCTCGGCCTCAGCAGCGACTTCTCTCTGCTTTATTGGGTGGGCAGAGACCTCAGGGTCCAGGCGAGGGGCCTAACTTTGGGGAGCTGGTGACAGAACCTGTCTCTTCTTCTTCTTGCAGGGACAACAGCATTGTGATTGTGGTGGGGGAGACAGGCAGCGGGAAAACCACACAATTGACACAGTATCTGCACGAGGACAGCTATACGGACTATGGCTTGATTGGCTGCACGCAGCCCCGCCGGGTGGCAGCGATGTCAGTGGCCAAGCGTGTCAGTGAGGAGATGAGCGTGAGCCTTGGTGAGGAGGTGAGCACAGAAGGGCAGAGGGGGGAGGGGGCCAGTAGGAAGCACCTGTATTGGCAGTGCTGGGGGGTGAGGGTGGGCAGGTTCTGGTTTGGCTCAGCTGCAGGTAAGATGGTCCCTCATCACTGTACCTGTGGCGTGATGTGCTCTGCTTGTTGTCTTTTGGTAAGTTCTTCTCACATATTTCTCTCCCTGCCCCCGATATCTCTCAGGTGGGTTATGCCATCCGCTTTGAGGATTGCACTTCAGAGAACACTGTGATCAAGTACATGACGGATGGGATCCTGCTGCGTGAGTCTTTGCGCGAAGCCGACCTTGACCATTATAGTGCTATTATTATGGATGAAGCGCATGAACGCTCTCTCAACACAGATGTGCTCTTCGGCCTCCTGCGTGAGGTCAGTACTTGCTTGGTGGGACTGTGGGTGGATTCACTTAGACTTCAGTTGCTTATACAGTGCAGTGTCCCAGAAAGGGAGCCCTTGTTTGAGTCTTGTGCAGGAAAAAAGCCAAGAGAGTCTTGGGGCACCTTTAGCACCTTTATTAAGGCACAATAAGCTGTCATGGACTCATTTCACATCAGATGAATGAAGTGTTATCCTTGTGAGATGACCTTACCTCACTTGACTGCTTTGATGTATGGAATGGGCACTGTTACAGCTGCCACACAATACTCATTCCACACGTCTAAAGAATCAAATATTTTAGTGTGGCAGCACCTACAATTTGGAACTCTGTGCCTATTGGCATCCAGCAGGCACCTTTGCTGTACTCTTTTTGGGACCTGCTTAAAACATTTTTGTTTAGGCAAGCTTATCCAGACATGTATATTTTGTCATGTGTTACTCTCTTTTTGCTTTGCTGCTGATGTTAGTTGCCATTTAAATGTTTTAACTGCTTGTTCTTAATTATTTTTATTTCTTGTAAGCCTCTTGGAGGTTCTGTTGCAACCAAGCACTATACAGTGGTACCTCGGAAGTTGAACGGAATCCGTTCCGGAACTCCGTTCGACTTCCAGAATGTTTGGAAACCAAGGCGCAGCTTCCAATTGGTTGCAGCCAATTGGAAGCCACGGAAGTCACGTCGGACGTTCGGGTTCCAAAGAACGTTTGCAAACTGGAACACTCACTTCCAGGTTTGCAGCTTTTGGGAGCCAAAATGTTCGAATTGCAAGGCGTTCGGGATCCAGGGTTCGACTGTATAAGTTTTGTTAAATAAAAATAATAATTTAAAAATTCTGATCTACAGTTATAGTAGAAACACATGGTTTGCAAGGGAGGGGTGTTGTAAGCAGTGTGAAAATGAAGTGAAATACAGAAGAGTAAAGGCAGTTGCAAGTAACTAATTAATTCACATTTATAATCCAATTAATACATAAAATGGGTTAAAAATGCTTTGTCTTGGTTCAGCCCAGGAGTTATAGTACTGGATCTTTTTGTCATTTGTGTTGAGACTGGCCTGTTTGTCCTATGTAGAATTCAGAAGGGTCTCTCTGGCAGGTGATGAACATGGATCACATTTTTTAAAATTGTTTTTTTAAAAAAGAAAATTGAAAGATTTTCATGGATAACAGAGGTACATATAGCACCTCTGTTTTCAGTTCATAGAGGTTTTTTTTACAGTTCAGTTACATTTTGTGAAAGATACTGCTATCGTACGCATTGTGAGTTTGGGGTGAGGTGGGGAAGAGGTGAGGGAGAGAAGGGGGTAGTGTTATTTCCTTCTTTTGCAAAGTGTACATGTCGAGTTTTGTGTCGGCATCACATGGGTAGGTTCTTTATCTATTCATTTATTTATTTTCATTGATGGTGCAGGAGATTGAGGAGCCCAGAGCATGGTTGGTTGCTTTAGGTTGGTTGCAGTGAATTTTGTTCATGTGTGAGGGGCTGGGCGTTGTTGGGTCAAATTAGCCATATCACTTTCTGGGCTGTCAGGGGGTGGGGTTGTTGTCTTATTGGCCTGTGTATGTAATAAAGGGGAGCCACACCAGGATGAAGGCATCCAATTTTGTATGTCCCTGTGCTAATTTCAGTTTGTTGATTAGCTTTTCTAGTACAGCTGTTTCCCATACAGTTTGGTATCAGTGGTTCATGTTCACTCCTGACATGTCCCTCCAGTGTTTAGTTTTGATGCTCCTAGCTGCTGACAGTAGGTGGCTTATGAGACATAGATCACATCTGAAGTGAGCAGGTGAATGAATGCCTGATGTGGGTGATGTTTTCAGGCCTTGCCCTAGTAGTGTCAGAGTAGACGTGGGGACAGAGTTGGCACTCTGAATAAAGGGACACAAATTTTACGTCATAAAAGCAATGTTCAAGAGTTGGTGGGAAATTGTTTTAGCCTCCCAAGACACAATTTATACATGACCTGAGAGTGACCATTGTGGAGCAGAGAGAGGGAGCCTGTGATGTAAAGCTGCTGAATTGCAATGCAGTAAGAGGTTTGCTGCTCTCACTTGCTGATGGAACTGAGACAAAGCCTGTCGTTTGTGCCCATTGCCCCTATGTCACTCAGGCAACTTCTTGCCTTTCGTAACAAGGAAGCAGAGTTTTGAAACAGAGCACCATGCAGCCAAGTACAAGAAGGAATATTTCTCTTTGTTTCTCTCCATCTGAGAGGGGGATGAAATGGGCTACTTCTGCATCCAATGTTTGGAAAGATATGCCGTGTGGTGCTTCTCCCTTGCTCTGAGGGTAGGTGAGTCTTTTCATCTTTCCTTTTGTGACACCTGCCCTCTTTTCCTCCTACAGGTTGTGGCCCGGCGCTCAGACCTGAAGCTGATTGTTACTTCAGCCACCATGGATGCAGAGAAGTTTGCTGCTTTCTTTGGGAATGTGCCCATTTTCCACATTCCAGGTCGCACCTTTCCTGTGGATGTCCTCTTTAGTAAGGTATGTAGAGATCAGGGGAGCAGGGATTTGTCTGCTTTTTACTTTCTGGGAGGGTTGTGGACCATGGCCGGGAGGGTGTGTTAAGTCTCTTACCTCTCTCTTTCAGACCCCACAAGAAGATTATGTGGAAGCAGCCGTGAAACAGGCCTTGCAAGTCCACCTCTCAAGTGCCCCAGGGGATATTCTAATCTTCATGCCAGGCCAGGAGGACATTGAGGTGCATACTGTTGAGTGAAAGAACCCCTGAGTTGCCAGTCCTGCCCTCTCTCCTGCATGCAATTCACTCTCACCTTCCTTATCACAGGTCACATCGGAACAGATTGTGGAGCACCTGGAGGAACTGGAGAATGCACCTGCCCTGGCTGTCTTGCCTATCTACTCCCAGCTGCCATCTGATCTGCAGGCCAAGATTTTCCAGAAGGTATTGAACTGGGGTGTGTGTGGGTGTGTGTGTGGGTGTGTCAGAGAGAGAGAGAGAGAGAGAGAGAGAGAGAGAGAGAGAGAGATTTCCCTTCTGTGCTTGAAGAGCAGGGGCTGGTGTGTGTTTCTGTGGGGAGTAGAATTGCACCTGCCCCTAAGCTTGTTGCTTGATCTTTTGTTTTCTGCATTACATGAGTTAGAAGGCTTGGTTGGGAACTGCTGCTGTTCTTTGTGCGGGGTCTTCTTGCCATGTGTGTTCTAACGCATAACAGAGGAAGGCTATCTTATTTTGGATGTGTGCTGTTGTATCCCATCAAGGAAGTTTCAGGACTTTGTTCTGCTATGTTAGGTGTGAGCCCTGAAAGTTTCTATCGGGTCAGCCCAAGCACAAGGAGAGAGGTAGTGGAGTTGCAATGCAGTTGCCAGTTTTCCCAAAGCAACATCGGTGTCTTGAGGCAACTGGTTCCAAAACATAATGGAAAGTAGAGTGCTATCAGTTAACAGCCAGGAGCAGTTAGAACTGGAATTAGGCCCGGAACCTGGGCAGCTGCAGACTGGAGTCATGGAAGAGCAGGTCAAAGGCTGTAGAACAGAGTATTGAACATGCACCAAGGGAGTGAAAAGAACAGGTGAACTACCTGAATGAAACCAGACTTGGAAGAGTCTTGCAGACAGTGGGGCATCAGCACCCAGTATTATGCACCAGTGGATAAGACCAGGCAGGAGACTTTGACCCTTGGCTGGTGCTGACCTGAGAGGCTTGCTAAAGTGGAGAGCTAGAGAGTTCAAAGCGTTTAGCTCAAAGAGCTTCCCTTGGCCTGGGAGGAGATGGAAGTTACCTTTTGCAATTGACACCTGTGTTTCTGGCAGGCACCAGATGGCGTTCGGAAGTGCATTGTGGCCACCAACATTGCAGAGACCTCGCTGACGGTGGACGGGATCATGTTTGTGATTGACTCTGGCTACTGCAAGCTGAAGGTGAAGCGGGTTGGGTTGTGCAGAGCCCTGGAGCCTGCAGGTTTAGGCTGAAACCGTGGCTCATCTTCCCTCTTTTGCCCCAGGTCTTCAACCCACGAATTGGCATGGATGCATTGCAGATCTACCCAATCAGCCAGGCCAACGCAAACCAGCGCTCGGGCCGAGCTGGAAGGACGGGCCCAGGCCAGTGTTTCAGGTAGGAACTGTGTGTTTGAGCAATCCCTCCTGCCAACGTTGGGTGGGAGCTTCAGGGGTGTGTCTTTGACTACGGAAGTTAACTTTGCTGGGGTGGCAGGTCTCCCAGGGCTGTCCCCATCTGAGCAGCTGTTTTCTCTCCTGAACAGGCTGTACACCCAGAGTGCATACAAGAATGAACTACTGACAACCACAGTCCCAGAGATTCAGCGCACCAACTTGGCCAATGTAGTGTTGCTCCTCAAGTCCTTGGGTGTGCAGGACCTGCTGCAGTTCCACTTCATGGACCCCCCTCCTGAAGACAATATGCTAAACTCCATGTACCAGTTGTGGATCCTTGGGGCACTAGACAACACAGGTAGAGGGTGCAACCTGGTGAGGTGATGTGGTGTGGCATAGCTGGGAGGCCTGTCTCTTTTTTTAAAAAAAATAATTTTTATTGATTTTAACATATAAATTATAAAATGTACCACAAAACTTATCACTTATACAATCTTTTTAGACTTCCATCAGCACCTCTGATGATCCACCGTTTTAACCACTTATGCATTTCTTAACTTTATATTGCCTTTACATCTCTTAACAAATCATCCTTCCCCTTCTCCATTTTTGCAATACTTCCAATACTCCTCCTCACAAAACTTACTGCAAACCTACAAACATCGTCTGATCTTCACAAATACTTTTCAAATAGTGCATAAATTTACTCCAGTCTTCCGTGAATTTCTGGTCCTGCTGGTTTCGAATCCTTCCTGTTAGTTTATCTAGTTCTGCATAGTCCATTAACTTCATCCTCCATTCTTCAATCGTTGGTAATTCTTCTTGCTTCCATTTTTGGGCCAGTAATATTCTTGCTGCTGTTATTGCATATAAAAAGAGCTTACATTCCTTTCTATTTATATCACTCAGCTGGGAGGCCTGTCTCATTAGTGCTGCCTTCCCTTTAGGTGGGTTGACATCCACGGGGCGTCTGATGGTCGAGTTCCCCCTTGATCCAGCTCTCTCCAAGATGCTGATCGTTTCCTGTGACATGGGCTGCAGCTCAGAGATCCTGCTGATTGTCTCTATGCTCTCTGTTCCAGCCATTTTCTATCGGCCCAAGGTGAGCCTGATCTCAAAGCGGGGAAGGGGCTGGGCAGTTCCTGGGACCTTGGCAACCGCCAGGCTACATTGCCACCTCCTTCCCTCCTCCTCTCTTCACCTTCCTGTTGCCTTCCCTGCAGGGCCGGGAGGAAGAGAGTGACCAGGTGCGGGAGAAGTTTGCTGTTCCTGAGAGTGATCACTTGACTTACCTGAACGTTTACCTGCAATGGAAGAACAACAGCTACTCTACACTTTGGTGCAACGAGCACTTTATCCATGCCAAGGCCATGCGCAAGGTGCCTGCTGGGAGAGGGGGAAAGTGGGTTGGGCAAGGACCTGAAGGGGGCTGTGGGCTCCAGGCTTGACGGCTCTTGCTGCTCTTCCAGGTGCGAGAGGTGCGAGCGCAGCTGAAGGACATTATGGTGCAGCAGCGCATGAGCCTGGCATCCTGTGGCACGGACTGGGATATTGTTCGCAAGTGCATCTGTGCTGCCTACTTTCACCAGGCTGCCAAACTGAAGGTGAGCAAGAACTTGCACCAGGGTGTGTTTTGGGTTGGGTTTTGTAAGAGAGTGGGTAGGTAGACAAGTGAGTGGGTATAAGGAACATCATGCTCCCTGTTGCAAATGATGGCGCTACTCAGAGGAGTTTTTTAATCTGTGCTTCAAAGCCAACCCCCCCCCCCCCATTTATCTTCCCTCTTGGTTCTACCTGAGTTCAGCTTCAGTACCTCTTCCTGTAATCAGTCACTCCTGCTATGGATTTGATGTAGGGACTCCTAAGAGCCAATCTTCTGCTCCAGCCCACAAGGCATCCATGGCCATGCTATCCCTTTCCTTATTCCTGTTTAGTTATCTCACTACTTATTGCCCCTTCTAACTCAGCAGTGGTTTTTCCCTTTTCTAGCTGGGTTTCTGTCCGTTGAAAGGCTGCTGCTTGATTGTCTAGAGCAGCGGTGGGAGGAAACCACCAGTCTGATTCAGACCAGCAAAGAAGTCTAGCCTTTCACACTTTTCCATTAGGAGGTTTGGAAGCCTCCTTTTACTATTGTGCCCCTAACCCTTTTAAAGCCCTTTCCCCTTTCCTTCTGCTTCATTCCCCCCACCCCGACCTGGTTCTGTCATTTATAAGATGCTGGGGGGGGGCAGCATCTTCATGGTAGAGTGCCTGCTTTTGATGGAGATGCTCCTTGGCTCACTCCCCAGCAAACACGAATCAGGTAGCAGGTGGTGTGAAATATCTTTTAGGGAGGATAAAGGTATATGTTATGAAGGCTAACACTCCCACCAGCATCGGAGGTGGTTTGCCACAGACTCATTGTTGCTGGAACTGTGAGTGGGTTGGTGTTGTGCTTGGGTCCTATTTCCAATCTAGTCAGCCCCTATGAGAACAGGATGCTGGACTACCTAAGCACCCTTAGGCTGATTCGGCTGCCTCAATTGTGCCAGGACAGAGCCTGTGGGTGGTTGTGCTGGGACTGTGCTGACCATGCTCCTTCTTTGCTTCAGGGGATTGGCGAGTATGTCAATGTCCGCACTGGAATGCCCTGCCACCTGCACCCAACCAGCTCGCTCTTTGGCATGGGCTACACACCTGATTACATTGTCTACCATGAGCTTGTAATGACCACTAAGGTGAGTTTGTGTGTGTGTGAGGGGCTGCCTGTAATGGCGCTAGCTCTGCTGTGGTCTTTCTTTCCTAGTCATTGGAGGGGGGGTGTCTCTCAGCTTCCCCATGGGCTGACCAACCCTCCTGTCTGTCCCCCTACAGGAGTACATGCAGTGTGTCACTGCAGTGGATGGTGAATGGCTGGCTGAATTGGGACCCATGTTCTACAGCATCAAACATGCTGGCAAGTCTCGCCAGGTAAGGGATTTGAGCTGGAGCTGCTGGTGGCTGCAGAACCAGTCCTCCTGTTTTGTAGCTGCTCTCAAGGTCGGTGTTTTTTTCTGCTGCTGTAATGCTGAGGAGCAGACTGAGCTTGGCTCCCTCCTTCCTTAAGTAGTGGATGGGGTGAAGAGCTTTCAAGGGGGCTGTTCCTCTGTGTGTCCATAGCTAAACTTGTCCTGTATAGCAGGGAGGGGCAAAAGGCATATTGTGGCTTCCCTAAGGCTGCCTGGCCAGTTTCCGCCAAGGAGCACTGAGCTTAAGTCTAATCCAAGAAAGCATGTCATGGGCTCTCCTAACTCAGGCTAGCGTAGCTGTTCCTTAAGTGTTGGGGTATCCTGAGTGTGCACTCTTGCTTTGTCAATTTGAAACATATTCCAGTAAAAAAGAGTGCTACGTCGGAAGGGTGAGGTCAGCTCCTGCCTGCTTCAGTTGCATTCAGTCTGCTTGCTCTGCCCCAGGAGAGCCGCCGAAGGGCCAAAGAGGAAGCTTCAGCCATGGAGGAGGAGATGGCTCTGGCCGAAGAGCAGCTGCGTGCCCGCCGAGAGGAGCAAGAGCGCCGCAACCCAGTGGGCAGCGTCAGGTATGCTTCTTTCAGTAGGGGTGGGTAAAGAGGAGGGTGTGTGGTTGGGCCCAGCAGTGTGATTCTGACATCTTCTTCCTCCCCTCCCTGTAGGTCCACCAAGATCTACACGCCGGGACGCAAGGAGCAAGGCCAGCCTGCCACCCCACGCCACACACCAGCTCGCTTTGGTCTGTAACCCCTGCCCTCCCAGCTCTGTACAGAAGACCCTGCTGTGCTTAGTTGGGCAGAGCCCACCTTGGATGGACATGGAAAAAATAATTTTATTGTTTATATAAATGTTGCTGCTTCCTGACCTGATTTTGAGCAGTTGCTTTTGTTTGGCCTCTTCCTTGGTGCAAGGTTCGGGGTGAGGCTGGAGCAAGGTGTGTTTGGGGTGTACCTGTGGGGAGCCCTGTCCTCCCTCGGCCCATGAATGGGCTGTAAGACATCCTGCTTTCTGCCACCTGCTTCCCTTTTGCCTTATACATGCTCACAGCACAACGTGTGGTTTTTTGGGGAAAGTGGCTCAGCACGTCCCCATTTATTAGCTTAGTATCTGCACAAGTTCTTTTTTTCTTTTTCTTCTTCTGCGTAAGAAGTCACATGATTAGTCGATCGGCCAGTCCCTGTCCAAATATTCACTGGAGCCTGGCGCGGCAGGCACCAAGGTGTGTCCTCCGCTGGGCAGGGGGGGGGCCAGCGTGTGTGGAGAAGTATAGGTATCCAGCAGCCGTGGTGGGGCTAGGACAGGTTCCACTTTGTAGCCAGCACTTTGCTTTGTTTCCGGCTCAAGCAGTGAGAGCTGCAAATGGTAATAATAATGATGATGATTTGGGGTGGGTGGGGGAGGTACAGCAGGAATGGCTTTCTACATCCATGCTGCTTGACTTGACTAACAATCAGTTTGCTCAGGGAATCTCTACAGGAGACTGAAAATAAGATGGCATCTATTTGAATGCTATTACTTCATTTTAGACTACTGTACACAGCATTGGTCCTCTTAAGAAAGGGCATGTTTGCACCCACCATAAATGATTGAAAGGGAGTGGAAATGGCTTCTGTACACCCAAGGACTAAAGTCAATTCTAGACATAATGTTGGATAAAGAGTTTATTTAAATACTTTTCCCTCCCAATATTGGTATGTAACTCCATTAGAGGTCAGTTGGGGAACTGTGGCCTGGTCTGCTACCAGCCCCTGGCTTTAAACATGTGGCCCTCTGGATGATGATAGATTCCATCAGCCCCAGCCACTATTGCCAGGAGTGAGGGGAGCCAGAACTTCACAATAGCCAGAGGGCTACAAGCTCCCCACCCTTGCAGGAAAGCTGTGGGGCGGGGGGGGGGGTATTTGCCCAGGGCCCATCTCACTGGCTGCTGGAAAAAGATTGCTGTATAACAGAACTCCATAGCCTGCTATACCAGGCAGTTCCTTACAGAGGCTTCACCACACTGCTTTTGCAGGCTTTTCAGAGGTTTCTGGTGCTTTGTGTAGGGTGCTATGATTCCCCAGCCTGCATGTGTGAGCCGAGAAAATAACTTTTTAAGCCAAGCTTGTGCAAAGTGCCTTCCTGCCATCAGAGGCATCCTACCTTGCCTCAAAAGATTGGTCCAGGCAGTCCCTGGCTTGGAAGTTAACTCAAGTCACTGAAGGAGGTTGTGAGTCAGCAAGTCCCCTGAAGGCAGGGAAGCTCCTTGGTGCTGGCATTGTCCAAGGAGAGGAGTAGGGGAGAACAGAAGCACTTACTCATCCGCTGGGAACGTAGGCCAAGGCTGTGGTAGTACAGCACCTGGGTCCAAATCACTGCTGTGGAAAGCCTGCAATTAGAAAGAGGAGACTTTGTGTGTGTGTGTTATTTCCCCTAAGATTTCATTAAGGCTTTTTTTTGTAATATACAATACAATACAATACAATACAAAATGAACCGAAATGAAAAGAGAAAGAATAATCTCAATAATGTCCCAGAGTAGAAGACAACAAGGAAAACAAAAGGAAAAAAGAGGAAGGAATATAAAAGGAAGAGAGATGTGAAAGGGACTTCCAATTTTCTGTCTCTGCCAGCTCAGGATGTCCATGGCTTCATTCCATTCCTTCAACATCATAACTCGTGCCATTTGGGTGTTTCATTCCTCTAGACACTGGTGCGAAGGACTTCTCCATTTCATTATGTGCTACCTCCAACTCTAGCATTTCACTCTCCTGTTCTGGAAATCTTTTTTTGATATTGTTCTCCAAAGTCTCTGTGCCCTCTTTAATACCATTTTCCATTTCATCCTTCTCTGGTCCATTTTCATTCACCATTTCATCAATCTCAGCTCTGATCTCTCTTAACTGCTCATCCAATAATTGCTGTAAGATGCCAACAGTCAATGGAGTGTCCAACAATGTATTTGCCATACTGAGTGTTCTTAATCTTATTAACAGTTCAATACGCATCTTAAAAACCTAAGACCTTAAGGTCTTCACAGCATTCCTTATCAAACCACATTTCTTTCCCACAGTGACATAGAAAAAATACTTTCAGTTTGAAGTCAACAATTTTGTCCAAAATAAAAATAAAAGATTTCTAACAATTCGAACACCCTTGATCGTTAAATGATAAACTCTTCTTAAGAAGGTAGCTCACACACCAGATGTAAATTTCAACTGGCAGACAGAGAACCTCTCAGTTGTAATTTATAGTAGTCTTGAAGGTAATTGGAGAAAGGGAGGCTTTGCTGACCTTATGCCCTGAGGGCTGTTATGTGGTTTGGGGGCAGAATGAAAATTCTTCTCTAAGTCACTTACCTCCATCTGGGTTCTCAGCTGCTCAGTCTCCAGACATGGAAAGCAGCTTTTCTTATTCACACTATTTTTCCAAAATAAATTCAATAGCTAAGATTTATGACTTTGGCTATCATGAATCACTATGTAATCATTTCTATTGGTGAACCATCCGCTGTTCCTGTTGATCTGTGTTTTCAAGGAGTGGATTTGCCCAACACACAGGCTCTGTGGTCACTACCAGGCACTCATTGTGGGTTGGATGCTGGAAGCCTACTTCTCTGTGCTCTTGCTGCAGAACTGCAAAAGCCTCCACAACAGCACTTGTTCAATGCCTTCTCATTAAATGATGTGGGTGGTCTGGGGAATCCTTGGGGTTGTCCCATCTTCTGCCACGTCTCCTGTTATGGCAATATTGGCCCACTCTGCATTTGTGGGTTTAGGGTTCCAGAAGTACTTTACTTCAAATAATAAATGCCTGCCTTGCAGGCTAACAGAACACCTTGCCACTCACTCATTACCTTCCCTGCTGGGAAACTGAGGCAGCCTACTGAGAGTGCCTCAGGGTGTCACTCTCTGCTATCTGGACCCCTGGGATTATTGGCCCTTCACTACCGAGCCTTCCACTCACCTTGAGGCGCTCACACTCAATACGCCGCTCATCCACTTCACTTTTCAAGCGTTTATTCTCTTGCTGGAGTCTCTCCATTAGCCCATGGAGGTGGCTGTGGAAAGAAGCTGCCTTAACAAAGGCGAACAAACAGCCATGCAGCAGCCTTTGGACTTACACATAAGGAAAGGAGGAGCGCCTGAATTTTAAAAACACCTCTTGTCCTGCACAATATTTGGAGATGTGGGGTGGAGGCAGGGGAAGTTGGGACCAGCAGGTGAGCCTACTGCCCACCCCTTGAGGAAGAGCAGAAGTGTGGGAGGCCTGGAGGAGGGACCCCCCCCCACCCATGTCAGCCTGCTGCACTTACTCCCTCTCGCCCGTCAGCTGAGCAATTTGCTTGATCTGGTCCCGGATCTTGTCGCCCAACTTCTCGTTCACCTGCCTGCAACGAGACACCAGTTGGGAGGAAGTAACAAGGGGCAAGGAAAGGTGGCAAGCAGTACTGCTAGAGCCCATTTCCACCCACCCCAGGAGGAGGAGGCTGCCACAGCCAGGTGGCACAAACTCACTTCTGCTCCTTCACCCACTGGCTGACGTTGGCCACCACCAACTCACTCTCATGATGCAGGCGGTAGCTGTCGGCCCGTGCTGTCTCCAGGGAGGTCTGCAGGGATTCCACCTGCCAGGGAAGAAGAGGGCAGTCTAGGAAGGCCATCCTGGCATGGTTCCAGAAGCGCAAAGCAACCTCCACCGGCCCCTCCCCTCTCTTGCCCCTAAACTATTCTGAAAGGGCCAAAGAATGAAGAGCAGAGACAGATGCAAACAAGACTCCCAAATGGCAACCACAAGGTCTCTGGTGAGCCACAGACCAAGAGCCCTGCTGCAGCAAGCTCAGAGCTCCATCTGGTGCAGTATTTGGGGGTCCAAACCAGGTGCTGCCAGGAAACCCAAAGGCAGAGGATCAGGTCTAGAACATTTCCCAGTGCCTGGTATTCAGAGGTAGATTGCCTCTGGACAAGGAGGTTCCACAAAGCTATCATGGCCAACATCTATTGGCACATCTCTTTGTCTTGAGGTTGTCTACTCCCCCATTTAAACCATTCTAATTGGTAGCCGTCAGCACACCCTGTGGCAGTGAGTGTCATCAACGAGTTCTACGTTGTGTGAAGGAACCTTCTTTGGTCTTCTGCAAATTCATTTGCTTGCCCCTCAATCTCAGTGGGTAGTCTCGCTGTGCCACCAGCAAAACCTCAACCTTGGTCGAGTTCCACTTGAGGACAGCACCAGACCTTAGAGAGGATGTGGACAAGTGGAAGAGGATGCAAAGGAGAGTATCAGAGATGCTCAAGAACTTGGCAGGGCAACCGGCCCTGAGGAAAGGCTGGAGGAGAGCAGCAGCAGGTGAAGGGAGGGACAAGACAAAGCTGGAGGAAGCTGAGCAACAAAGAGAAGGAAAGGAGAGAAAGAACAAGATCAGCTGAGCTCTAACTCTGGAGAGAAGAACAAACCAAGGCTTATAGGGGCCAAAGGGTGGGGAGGGGAGGGAGAGAGTATTTGCTGGGCAACCTCAGTGCATGGGGTGCAACCAGCTCTGGCTTTGAGGCTAGACAGGCTTGTTGCTTTCACAACTCCCTGAGGCAGCCAGGCCAGCCTGTTGTGACCTTTGTTGTCACCTCAGCTTGTGAATGTGCCACCCAGAGGCCATGAGGACTCTCTTTGGATGCTTCGCTTAGGGCCTTCTTCCCCAGTGACTAGGGATCTGCTTTCTTCCTAGGGGCAGCAGAGGTGAATGGTGCCCCTGGGGAGGCTGGGGGATGAGTCTCCTGCCCAAGCTTTACTTACGTCCCGGCTGGAAACCACAAACTTCTGCCGGAGGACGTTGACTTCGTTCTGCAGCTCTTCTCTCTGCCAAAGCAGCCCCAGGAGAGGACCAAAGGAAAAGCATCAGCCACCTGAGGAGGACTTGGCTGTGTATCCCTCCACCCTGCAGGGAGCCCCTCGTCACCTCCTCTGTCGCCTGGTGACACTTCTCCTCCAGCGAGGCCAGCTCCACCTTCATCACCACCAGCTCCTCGTCCTTTTCGGCCAGAGCCCGCTCGGCCGCCCGGTGCTCCTGCTGCCAGTGCTGCACTTGGCTGCCCAGGGCGCTCAGCCGCTCCTCGGAGGCACAGGCCTGTGAAGACAGAGGAGTTGCCCACTGGGTGAGCTTGGGCTGAGCAAGAAGGCCCCTCCAGCCCTCCCTCCCTGGGCCAGGGTGCTCACCTCCTGCTCCCTCTCCCTCTGCATGGCCAGCAGCTGCTGCAGCTGCTCTCGGGAGCCGCTCAGTTCTTCCTCCAGATGGTCTGCCCTGTGCTGGGCAAGCTGCAGCTCCGCCTGCAGACAGGACACCTCCCGGGTTCTCTGCTCCAGCTGCCAAGAAGGGAGGGTAGAGGTCATCTCCCTGGCTGGCTGACCTCCAAAAGGTGCCCAGGTTTGGCTTGGCCTTACCTGCTCCACCGCCTCCCTTTGGCTGGCCTGGCAGGACGTGGCCTGCAGCCGGAGGTCCTGGGCAATATTCTTGGCTGCAGCCAGGGACTGGTTGCTCTGGCGCTCCTTCTCCTGGGCAGTGTGCAGCTCAGTGTGGAGCTGGGAGAGGGTGGCCTCCTGGCGCAACACCTGTGGAGTGGGGTGGGGGAGGCAAGCCTGGTCAACCCGCAGGAAGGCAGGCGAGGGCAGGGGAAGGTGGCAATGGCAGCACTCACCTCTGTTGTCTCCTGCTGCAGCTGCAACTGGGCGTGTTCATACTTTCTGCGGAGCACCTCCAGCTCCGTCTTCTGCTGCTTCAGCTGCTCACGCAGAACACGGCTCTCTGTCTCCCGCTCTGTGGCGCAGGTGTGCAGGCTCTGGGCTTTCCACTCTTCCTCCTGCAACTGCAAGGCCAGGGGGCTGTCAGCTCCTGGGAGACTCGGCACACGCCTCCTCCCTGCAGCCCTGCCCAGTGGCTCACCCTGCACTGGCTGCTCTGGAGCTGATGCTGCAGCTCCTTGCATTGCTGTACCAGCTGGCTCTCCTGCTCCTTGGCCCTTCGCAGCTGCCGCTGCAGCTCCTCCTCCTGGCGCTTCTGCTGGCCCAACTCTGCCTGCAACTCATCCAGCACCGACTGGTTCCCTTGCACCTGTGGGCGGCACATACCAGAAGGCTTCAGGCTGCCACCAGCTGAGCTCTCCCGCAAGCAGAAGCAACTGGCTTGGCTGAGATGGCAGTTGCCCTTCAAGCCCTCCCACTTTCCCCTTCCCCACCTTCAGCTGCAGGCTCTTCAGCCCTTCCCGGCTGCTCTGTAGCTTCTGCTGCAGCCGAGATGCCTCCTTCTGGTGCTGCTGGGACTCTTGCATGGCTGCTTGATGCTGCTGCTTTGACTGGCTCAGCTCTCCCATCAGTTGCTCCAACACCTCTCTGGGGGAGGCAGAATCAGCAGCAAGAACAAAAACTCTGGGTCAAAGTGGTTCCATCTAGACCAGCCTCCTCTTGCTGACAGCAGGCAGCCCATCACGATGCCTCAAGAGAAGCCCCAAGCGGGACCTGAGGACAACAGCTCCCTTCCCACTGCTCTATGATCCTTCACAACTAGTAGCCACGGAAGGCGCCCCTCCTCTTCTGCAATCCTTTCCCTCCATAGAGACTCATGTCAGGGCCTAAGGAGACCCCCACCCCCTGCCATTTGCCACTGCAGCTGCTACCTTTTCTGCTCCAGCTCTGCTTCAGCAACGGAGAGCCTTTCGTTGAGAACCCGGAGCTCTGCCTCCAGCCGGCGGCCAGCCTGTGTCTGATGTGTGAGCTCTGTGAGCCGCTCACTCAGCTGCTCCTGGGCGTTGTGCAGGCTGCTCTGGGCCAGCAGCACCTGCTCTTCCTGCTGCGCCAGCTCCTGGGCTGTGGGGTGGAGGGAGGGTCTGAGATGCTGGCAGGAGCCCCAAAGGGGTCCAGCAGAAGAAAGCAGCAGGTGGGCTGGCTGAAGCATCCCACAAGGCCCTGGGGAGGTGGGAGAGGGGGTCGGTCCTTGGCTTGCTTCTCACTCCCACCTTTGCTGCTTTGCTCCAACTGTATTCTCAATGATACGGACAGGGATTTCTGGCTATGGGGCCTCCAGCCTCATATGTCCTGGCCCCACTCACCAGTTTTCTGGTGCTGCTCCTGGCTCTCGTGCAAGCTCCGCCGCAGGGCCTGCACCTCGGCGCACAACGTGGCACACTCTGCTCTGCTGTGCTCCAGCTCCCGCTGGGCCTTCTGCAGGCTGGCCTCCAGGTGATGGGCACGGGCACGCTGCTGCTCCACTTCCTGCCCCTTCTCCTGCAGGGTGCTGCAGGCGTGCACCATCTCCGCCTGGGACTTCCGCAGGATTGCATCTCGCTTCTGGATGGCCTGTGGGAGGGAGGGAGTGCAGAGAGGGAGTCAGCCACAGACAAGGACCCACACACCCCAGCAAGCCTCCCAGCAAAGGAAGGCAGAGGTGCTCACCTGCTCCCTTTGAGCAACCAGCTTGCGGCTTTGCTTGAGCTCCATCTGCAGCTGCTGGACCTGCTGCTGCTGCTTGTCCCTCTCAGCTGCTGCCTCCTCATACAGGCTTTGCAAGTTCAGCTCCAGGTGAGCCAAGTCTGGGGAAAAAGGTGGCCTCTTGGTCAGCACTAGCTGAGCCCAGCCTGACGTCTGCTCAGGCCAAGAGTGAGACCTGGCCTACGTCCTTGCTACTTCCACTCATTCCTACCGTTCAGAGCGCTGCTCTTCTGCTCAGTGACCCTCACCAGCTCCAGTTTTAAATCCTGCACCAGGCCCTGGTACTCCTCAGCCTGCCGCTGGTGCTTAGAGCTCTCCTCTTCCTCTTTCAGCAGCTTCTGCTCAGAACAAAGAGAACCGCGACTCAGCCTGGAGCCCTACATCTCCAGGGCTCCCCCAGCACCCCCCAACAAGTGTTGTGGCCCGAGAGCAGGGCCTACCTGCCTGAGGGTCTCTGCGGCGACTATCTGGCTTTCATAGCTGCCGTTGGAGCAGCTGTGAGTTGCTTTGTAAGAAGCGAAGTCCCTGTGCAACGTGGCCAGCGCCGCCTCTTGGTCTAGGAGCTGAAGAGCACACAGCAGTCAGTCAGAGGTGGCTCCCTCTTCCGCTGCCTGTGGGGTTGGGGGCCGAGGCCAGGCTCACCTGGACACGGTTGGCTGCCAACTGCTCCTGCAGCGCCTGGATGGTCTCTTCAGAATGGCAGGCGAGCTGCCGGCTCTGGGCCAGCTCCACCTGGGTGTCGCGCAGCTCCCGCATCAGCTGCTCAGCGGTGTCTTCCGCCCGGCTGGCCTGCCAGCATTTGCCCTTCAGCTCCTCCTGCAGGATCTGCTGCTCCGCTTGCAACCTATAGAGGGCCTCGTCCTTTTCCTTGGCCTGCAGCAACAGGGCAAGCACAGCTTAGGGCCAGAAGAGCAGCCAGGCCCCCATTGCCACCGCCTTCCCCTCTGAACCCCCGGGGCCCCTACCTGGCAGGCGGCCTCCTCCTCCAGGCGCTGCAACTGGCACTCCAGCTCCCCGGCTCTGCTCAGCGAGGCCTGGAACTTCTTCTTGTAAAGCTCCAGACTGCCCTCCAGGAGGGTGCTGCTGCTCTCCACCTGGCCCAGCTGCTCGTGCAGGTGCCGCTCTCGCTCGCTCTGGCAAGACAGCTCCCGCTCCTGCTTCTGGGTCACTTCCTCGTAGTAAAGGAGCTGCGGGGGGAAAGGGAGGTAGGCAGCTCTGGGTGGGAGGGTAGGAGTGGGGTGTGGGGTGCAGCCAGCTGGCTGGGCTCACCTGCTCCTTGAGGACCTGGCACTGCTGAAGCAGCATCTCCAGGTCCAGCGTCTGCTTCTCCATCCGGCACTCGCGGGACTGCAGCTTGCTGAGGTTCTCCTGGTTGCGCCCCTTGCAGATATCCAGCTCCTGCTGCAGGCGCTGCAGCTTGTCTTGCAGCTGGTCCATGTTGGCCTGGTGGTCCTGCTGGGCAGAGAGCTGTTCACCCCGCAGCTGCTCCAGGGCGGCGGCCTTGCTCTGGCTCTGCAAACAGCACAGCCGGGGGCGGGGTTGTCACGTGAGTAAGAGGAGGGGTGCCTTGGAGCTTGGTCTCCTCTCTTCCCCACGCAGCAAGGAATGGATCTGGCCCCAAATTGGCTCCTTCCCCCTGCAGTCAGGGGTTCTGGGCGTGCACCTGGAGGAGAGGCAGCCCACAAGGATGCAGGGAGGCTGAAGACCGTTGAAGGGAAGGGACTCAAACTTTAGGGGGTGGCAGGAAACTGAGATCAGCTGGTAGGGAAATGGGGACCAAACTGAGTTTGCAACCACTCCCCACCCCCGCCAGAGGGCACGGACCTTGCTGAGGGAGGACTCCTTCTCGTGCTGGAGCTGGCAGATGAGCCGAGTCTGCTCCACTATTGCCTTCTCCTGCTCAGTGCAAGAGTCTCGCAGGCTCCTCAGCTCATCCTGCAGGTGGTGGAGCTGCCCCCTGAGGTGGTTCACTTCGGCCTCTTTACCTGCAAGCTGGCAGTGCCAGGGGACAGATGAGCATCCTCAGGAGGCTGCCGGGCAATCCACACATTCAGACCATCTCATCCTGCCACTTCTCTCCCTCCCCTGGCCTGGCTCTTTTCCTCTGCGCTATGTGAGGCAAAGCCCCCCGGACCCTCATCCTTGCACTACGGCCCCAACTGCTGCTTGTCAAGATAGATCCTGAGCTGCCGACTTATAGTCAATCCAGCTTCTGGAACAGATGAGAGCCCAGAGAACTTCACTGTGCGTTGCCCTGTGATTTGCCTGCTTGTTTCCAAACAACCTGCTGAGGACACACAAGCACCTCCTGTGACCTGCCCTTTGGTGATTGATCCTCTGCGGGGGGGGGGGCAGTCTGCTGTCCTTGGGACTGTTCCCCTGCTCAGAGAACACTGGGGAGGGGGGGAGGCAGGCCTGGGTGCTGGTCACCTTGGGAGCTCCACCCTTTGTGGGCTACTTTTTCAAGACTGCGACAAGGAGGCTCTCCGTCCCCAAAATGTCACCTCATCCTTCCCTTGCACCCGCTCCTCCTCAGCTGCTTTCAGACACCCCTGAAGTTTCACAATCGTCTGGTCACGGAGATCGATCTGGGGGAAGAAGGGCCTGACTAAGAACTGGCAGCTTGGGGGGGGGGATTCCAGAGACAATGCCTAGAACTTGGAACCTTCCTTGGGTGCTGCTGCAGCAACCTTCTCCCTCTGGCAGAAAGAGCAGCAGGAGGCTGCTGGGCCAGGAAGAGTCTTGCCTGGGAGGCCTGCAGCAGCTAGCCAGCCTACCTCTCGCTTGGAGGCTTCCTGCTGCTCCACCAGCGCTGCCATGCTCTGGGCCAGTTGTTGGTGCTCTGCGTGGGCGTCAGACAGCCGCTCCTGGCATCGGGAGAGCTCGTCCTGTGCTGCTTGGAAGTCAGCCTCCTTCTGCTCCGCCCGCTCTTCGCTCTGCTGCAGCTGCATCCAAGGCCAGGCAAAGCACCACGTGAGAGGATGTGGAGGGAAGGAGGCCGCAGAGAGGCACACCAGGGGGAGGTCCCGCCACACACAGAAGTCCCAGTTTAGAGCTGGAAAAAACTGGGGCAAGCTGGGCTGGGATTTGGAACAGAGTCTCTCTGGGCTTGGAGTGAGAGAGGAGCAGGAGGAGGAAGAGGAAGGCTCACCCGAGTCTGGCAGGTGGAAAGCTGCTCTTGCAAGGAGGCCAGCTGCTCCTTGGTCCTCTGGGCCTGGCAAGAAAGAGAGAGAAGGGCTGAGCAGAGGCCTCAACCCCTGAGCACTTGGCAGGGACTTTGAGCTTCAATTGCCCAGCCGTCTCCCTCCAGTGTGCCTCTTGCTCACACACAACCTTCTGCAGGGCACTTAGCTCCTGGTCTGTCTGTCTGCAGCTCCTCCTGTCTGCAGAGGATGTGGGACGCGTGCTGCTGTGTGCTCAGCAGCTCCTTCTGCTGACCCACCTGGTCCCAGGAAAAACATCCTTAGCTCCTGAGTGGGTGGGTTTCTCTGGCCCCTCCCAATTCACACTGAGCTGTACCTCACTCTGCAGCATCCTCAGCTGGTGACGTGCCAAGGACTCTTTCTGCTGAAGGTCCTGGATCTCCTCCTCCCTGCTGCGGACTCTGGACTCGGAGGCAGCCTGGGAAGCCCGAGAGGCTGCCAAATTTTCCTGCAGCTGGTGGATAATGTCCTTGTACTGCTGCACCTGCCATGGCAACAGCGTTTTAATCAAGGTAAGCACAGAAGAACCCTGCAAAGAGGCTTTGCTGCTCGGTTAACCCCAGAATTCCCCCTCCTCCAAAAAGTAGCAGTGGCAAAGGATTTGAGACCTGCCGTTCCTGCCCCCCACCCCATATCAGTTTTTGGATGAAGGTTTTGGAGGGTATTTGGGAATTACTGAGCCTTTATTTTTTTGTTTAACAGGCATTGCTTTTCTTGATTTCCTGGCTTTAAAATTATTTAATGGGTTATTATTGTTTGCTAATAAGGTCAGAAGGGTCCTGCTGGATCAGCCCCACTAAAAAGCTACTCTATACAGTGGTACCTCAGGTTACAAACTTAATTCGTTCCAGAGGTCCGTTCTTAACCCGAAACCGTTCTTAACCTGAGACGCGCTTTCGCTAATGGGGCCTCCCGCGTTGCGATTTCCGTTCTCATCCAGGGGCAAACTTCGCAACCCGAGATAACTACTTCCAAGTTAGCGAAGTTTGTAACCCGAAGTGTTTGTAACCCGAAGCATTTGTAACCCGAGGTACCACTGTAATGAGTAAGGTCAATGGTCCATCTAGCTCAAGATTGACACAGACTGGCAGCAAGCAGTAGGAAATCTCTCCCGGCTCCACCTAGTGATTCCACCAGGATTTGAACCTGTGTCACCCGAGCATACAAAAGCATATGGCCTTGCCCAGCCCAGCCCCATCTGGTCCTCAGTGGCCAACCAGATGCCCCCAAAGGGAAGCCCACAAGCAGGGCGAGAATACATTAGCTTCGCTCCTCACTTGTGATTCCCAGCAACTGGGATCCAGAAGCATTTACTAATTCTGAGGCCAGAACACAGCCATCTTTGTCCTTCCTAGAGTGTGTATCTGGAAACAACAGTTTCCATCTGGATCTTTCCCTTCCACCAGGTTTCGGTTTTGCCCACAGTATCTATGCTCCCCTCTAAGACAAAGAGCTCCAACTTATCCATCTTGTCTCAGAGGCTTCTAGCATTACATCGTTATCACTGGGAGCCTCTGGGAGGAACCCAGGGATGGAAGCATTTAAAAGAAATCAAAAGAGCCCAAATGCCCAGAGACTGCAGGGAAGAGAAGGGCACGTGGTCCTCTTGGGACAAATCTCCTTCCCTCAAGCACCTTGGACTAGGGCCAGGAGAGGGACACATGGTACCTGCTGCTCTGCTGCTTGGCTATCAGCTGCAGCTCTTGCCAGCTTCGCCATTTGCTGCTTTTGCTGCCAAATCTGGAAGACAAATTGGGCACCTGCGGCTCTTTCGTGGCAGCCATGGCCTGAAAGCAAGCATCTAGCTCAGGGGATCCTCAGGCAGGCCAGCCAGCCATGAGGGTTTTCAGACAGGGAAAGCAAGGTGTGAATGCCAGAAGCCATCAATGGGCTCCCAGGAGGTCTTTCCAAGCCTTCCGTCCTGCTCACTTGGCTCTCTGCTCTCTCTAGCACCAGGCCTGCCTCCTCCACTAGGGCTTGCTACATTTCCAACTCTTGCACAGCCTGCCTGCGTTCAGATGCCTGTGGGCAAGGAGCGTAGGCTTGGGTGAGGCCCCCAGCATGGCTCTGTGGGATGGGATGGCAGCTCACAGGGGGTGGCAATAAAACAAGCTCTGTGGCTCCCACTGCCTGCCACTCTACCAGGTTTCTGCCTGCCCCCAAGTCCTTCATTCTGGGGATGGGGTGGGGGACTCCCATGCACCCCCCTGTCCAGGTGGTCCAGCACTCTATACCTGCTCCCTGGTTCCCTGCAGGTCCTCCTGCTGCTCCTGGACTTGGATCTCCAGCTGGCAGATGAGGCCTTCCTGTTCGGTCATTTGCTGCTGCAGGGCGCTGTGGGTCTCCTGGAGTCTGTGCAGTGCCTTGCTCTGCTCTGCAGCCTGGAAGGGAACACAATGGCATGAGGGCCTCCTCCCACTCCCTCTGGGTCTTTGGCAGGGCTATGAGCTCCCTGCCTCAGCCCTGAACCTGACTACTTCACTGGGCAAACCTGGCACCCTTCCAGGTCAATACAGGACTGCCTCTTCAAACAGAAATTGCACTCAGATGTGGAGGGGCTAGAGGAGAAAGGGGCGCCCACTTGCAGAACGCCCTCTGCAGGGAAGCTTGCCTGGGGCCACATCTGATGTCTTTCTGGTGCCAAGCAGAGACCTTTTAAAAAAAATTAGCCCAGCACACCATCAGGCTGGTCTCAACCTAGCATTTTAAAAAATGATGTTATTGTTTCTCTTCTGAAGAGCCACCTCCTCACTGAGGAAGTGCTGGGAACTCTGACTGCGTATCTCAGTGCAATATTCAAATGAAGGTCAGTGAGAGGCAACCCCACTGGAAAGAAGCACAGACCTCTTGATGGGGATGCTTCCTCGGCTTAATGGGAGCATCAATGAGGAAGCAGGGAAGGTACTCCCAGCCCACGCAGCCCACAGTCACTCTTGCATTCACACACATGCCTCTTGGGGGCAGTTCTCATGACCTACAGGTAGAGGAGGCTTGGGTCAGCCATGAACTCCTGTGCAAAATGAATACAGTCATTCTGGAGGGAAGGGCGAGGAGGCCATAGGGGCCGAGAAGGCAGGGATGATGGCAATCTCCTGGGCAAAGGCCAGAAATGCAGATGGAGGCCACCCACTTTCAGCGGTCGGAGGACCACCTGTCCTGGCAGAAGCCTCTTGGTCTGCCAGGGAGGTGGCCAAAACAGATGCAATCCAAAGAGTCTTTAGAGGAAATGGACCTGTTGTGGCTCTTGGAAGCACTAACCTTCTTTGCCAGATGCAAGACAGGCCGACCGCTTTCCACCGGGGCCCTCCCTGCTCCTCTGCCACTCCAAAAGCAGAGGAGGAAGCTGCCTTGGCTCCCCTTTTGTGGCCCTCCTGCTCTCTCTGCTCAGCCACCAAAGAAGAAGTTGTCGGCAGTGAGGTTTTAATCCCTTCTTCCTTGCCAGCTGCAGGCCCAGCAGAGGATCAATAGTGTTTAGACAGCCAAGGAGATCCCTTTCCCTCCTAAAGCACCCGATCAATAGCAGCCTTTCCCCTCCTTTTCCCCTCCCTCCACGCACGAAAGAACAAGCGTCAAAGAACCGGCGCCTTTGGGCTGATTGGGATGCCCAAAGGCAAGGAGTGGTTGCTGGCCATATGCGCCCACTGGGAATCACAGCGCAAGTTCTGGCTGCTTTCAGACCCAGCAGGTCCAAAGAGACATGAGGTCTCATTTCTGGGCCAGATCCTGAGTCCAGAGTGCTCCCGAGAGCTGCAGGAGTTACTTCATCTTCTGGACTTTTCCGAACTGCAGCATGTGGGATGGGTAGCTAAGCCTCCTCAGGAAGAGGCAGAACAACATCCTCCTCATCACGTCCTGCCACAGGGAGGGCTCCAAGCCCCAGGCATCTTATTCCCTAGTTCTCATGCTTTGTATGGCTGGACCAGTCCAAGGTAAAGGACAGGCAATGTTGTGTGAGGCTGGTGTGTCACCTGGGAGCACTGCCACTGCAACTTGTGGAGAAGGATGCTGAAAGCAGGAGGCACCTGGAGGAGCCTGCAGCGCCAAGCAGGAGGCACGTCCCACCCACCCCCTTGCTGTGGAGCGACTCAGGCAACGGCAAAAAGCCACCGAGGAAATCCCGCCTCCCTTTAATTGCTGCCTTCATGTTATTCTTTTCAAGGCTGTGTTAATTGAAATTAAACAGCTGCCACGTTCTGGCTGGGACAAAAGCTGTCTCTGCTCTGCTCCTTCGTGATTTAATGAAGACTGACACGCGGTGAGAAAACAACAACGGCTCACATCTTCCCAGATGCCAACAAAGCGTAGGGAGGGAGCAGGGGGCCGCCCCTCCCCACCCCAAAGAACCGCATCCCTCAGTTAGAACCGCACCCCCAGGGCACAGACCACATTACCTCTGAGTTCTGGGTAGCTCTTAACACACCACCAGCCTTAAGGAAAGACATGGGTGTATCAGGTGGCAGGTGCCAGGTGCCCTGTGCTTGCCATGCCAGGCACAGACCTGTGAACTTCATCCTCAGGTGTGCTGCTGCTGGCTTGTGCCATCGCTCCCTGGTGTGTCCTCTTGGGAGGATGGAGCCTGTGTGGCTCACTCATTGCCTGACCTTGAGTGCTCTTCACATCCCCAGTCAACCCCAAGCTGGGCCTCTTCTTTTCTACCAGAAGGGGTTCCCCTGTTGGCACTTAGCCAGCATATTGGGCAAGTGGGGTGGTGTCTAACCTAGGCAAGAGGGAGTCTCCTGACTTGGCCTTGGCCTGAGAGGTTGCTGCTGCTCTGTTTGGTCTGGGCAGTCCCACCCTGAGTTGTTGGCTCGGTGGGCCCCACTTGGCCCCACAGGGGCACAGGGAGCACTTTCACGTCTGCCATGGGCATCTGTTGCTTCTGGGCCAAAGCACACAAGGAAGGCCTTCAAGGGCCTGCTCACAGGATCACAACTTGCTGAAGGGTGAGGAAAGTGTACTGCTGTCTGCTTGGGGATTTCACCATTGTGTGGAAAGAGATAGATCAGGGGTCAGCAACCTAAGGCCCATGGGCCACAAGCGGCCCATGGGGATCATTTAACCAGCCCACGGATCCCCACCGCCCGCTCGGTCGGCTCCCATTCACCGCGCTGAACTGGCGTGGAGCAGAGTGGGGACCGCCTTCCGCGATGCTGGCCAGCTTCCCATTGGCTGCAGTAAGCTCCTGCAGCCAATGGGAAGCTGCGCACGCCTCCTCCGCACCAGAAGGAGCGCCAGAAATAGTGTTTGCATGTGCGTGAACACTCTGGCCCACTGAAGCATCTGTGGGACTGTGAACCGGCCCAAGCCACAAAACTTTGCCGACCCCTGAGACAGATGAAAAGAGAAGCCCAGGACAAGGGTGTGGGGCACCTAGCTGGCTGGTTAGATGGTGGGCTGATCCCACCCGGGACCTTGTGTGCTTCCCGTGTCAGAGGCTGTATGAAGCCTCTGAAGACCACTTACAGGGGAACCCAGGCAGGCAGAATGCCGTTGCCCTCAGGTGTACATCCCTCACAGGGCATCCGGCTGGCCACTGTTAAGAACAGGAGGCCTCCATTGGTCTGATCCAGCAACCAAGCTCCTCTTAAACCTGGGTCTCAACGACAGACTTGGATCCTGAGCCTTTGCTACTCCTCGCGTCTTCAAAAATGGGAAGGAGAACCCCCTTCCTCCCCTCCTCCCCAAACGGGCCTGGCAGGCTCAGCACTGTTCCGCACAGCAAAATATGCAAAATGACGCATGAGCACAGACCTCATTAACACCCGCCTCCAACATCATTAAGATGTTTCCAAGAAAATTAATTGAGAGACTCATTAAAAATAAATTAAGAAAAATGTGTTGCAGAGCGCTTGCTCTGAGCTCGTAAATCACAGCTCGAAGCTCCGGGCTGCTGTGCAGACAATTAACGCCGGCCAATTTGTTTTACCCTGACTGCGAAAATTAGAAAGCAGACGTGGAGATTAGATTAGGGGTGTCTGTCGAGCGGAACTCAGAGTGCATATTTTAGGATACAAAATGGAAATTAGGAAAACAACAAAGGCCGGCCAGATTTTAGTCCATCCGAGGGGCTGATGGGCAGAGATGGGGAAGGGCAGCAAGAATCAGGCTTGGCTGGTGGAGGGCAGCCCCCCCCCCCCGCAAGATGGTAGCTATCAGGGGCTGATTTGTACAGAGATACCAGCTGCCCACCACACAGCATGGAGGGAAGGGGGTTCCCAGCCCTTTGGGCTGCAACACATGTTCCAATTCCCCCAGTAACATGAACAGAAAGAGTCTCTGTCCTGCACTCAGGCCCCTCCCAGCTCTCCTGGAAGTTAGTTACTGGAAGATCTGTAAAACAAGTCTCAGAGGTCTCCAACCCCAAAGACTGCTTGATGCAGGAAGCGGGAGACCAGCCCTGCTACAGCAACTCCCACGCAGTCTAGAGAAGCACATGATCCTCTGGGCACCCCATGGGCCTTGGGACAGCACACCATGAATTTGTTGGCTGACTTGGTACGCAAGTCAGAGAAGAAGGAAGGGAGACAACTTGTCCTTAAGCTCAATCCTACACTCTGGCCCTTGGCATAGCCCTTGCACAGGCTGGAGGAGGCATTTTCCTGCCCATCTCGGGACTGCAGCCTGACCTGAGGCTTTCAGAGGCTCTTGCAAAGTTTAAAGAATTCTGGAAGCATCAGCACAAGGAGGAGCAAGCTGCCTGTGCCAGGAAGAGGCTTGATTGAGTGCCAAGGAAGACAGAATGGCCCTCTCACCCACCCCAACCCAGGATTGGCAGCCACCCCCAAGTACCCAAAGAAAGAAGAAGAGAAGAGCTGATGATGAAGTCGTTTCTGTACTTCAAAAGTCAGGCAGCTGCCAGAGAGGCAGGCAGAGTGTTAGAGGAGGACAATGCAAAAGGAAGAAAATGGCAGAAGAGTCTCCACTGAAGGAGTATTTGAAGAGGTGACATTAAACTCAAAAAGGAATTAGAACGAATTATCTAATTAAGCATACATTTCACAACAGATCACTGGGGTCAGGCGGCATCAACCCAAAAGGTGAATGGGACTGGAAGACAGCCAAACACAGCACCCATTTTTCTTTTTTTAACAAAAGAAAACTGAGGAGGAATCCAGAAAGTCCAAGGCAAACATCTAGACAACAGAATTAAGCCGGATGAGATTTCATCCTGTGGTGAAAGTCTTGCTCCATCATAATGCACCAAGAGAAGAGGTGGACGGGAGGAATGAGCAGGTAGCATTTCCTAAGGAAAGGAGTCAGCAGTGTCATTTCAGAGAAGCCCTGAGCACAGATCTCAGCGTCTTCCTGCCTTACTTTGTGGACCACCATGGCTGGCCTAGAGCGCTGGCAGCTTAGCACTGAAGGGCCAAAGAACTCAGGCCACTGGGGGTGGGGTGGAAGGAATGCAGTAAGATTAGAAAGAAGTTTAAGGGGCTGTGAGCACAACCACAACCACACACCTATAATCCCTCATTGCCTCTGGTACTCTTTGCTCGCTTCTGGCTGGTGTCTGGAGAACATTTTCAGGGCCCGCTACAGCGGTGGAGGGTGGCAGGAAGCCCTGTGGAGTAAAAAATCTTCCCAGCAAGGGCCCCCTGTTTGATGCAGCAGATGACGTAAATATCTCACCCACCCCTGGCCAAGAGTCATAAAAGCAATGGGAACCTGTGCGTAGCTGCCTCCATTTTGGCTGCAGTTAGTAATTAATACAACTCTTGCCCGTCCTTTCCTGCACATTGGCAATGTTGGGGGTGGGAGGATTGGAGTTCCTGAAAAGGACAGCAGGGGTCTCCCTCAGCCTTTGCAAGCTCTGCCTCGGCCGTTCCCCCACACCCCACCGCATCTACTGCATAATTTCAAAATGGCAGCTTTTTGAAAATTCACCTTGATTGCCAGACATGAGAAGTGACTCATCCCGCAGTGACTGTCTGGCAGAGGGATGGGATCAGACAGCAGACAATGAGGGACGGGACGCATTAACAGTGTCTATTACAGAGCCCTCAAAAATACCTTTGTTCTGTCAAAGATCCCATCATTTGCTAGTTGTGTTCCTCTGAAAGCAGGGAATTAAACACACACACACAGATTCTGACACACACACCCTCCCAGGGATGCTGTGGGGAGAGGGGGAAAGAGGCAATGCTGCCCCATATCTGTGGATTCTCAAAAGCCAGAAAGAAAAGACGGCAAGTTGCTCCCTGCAAATTCAGCAGCTGACAGGCACAGAATAAAAGGCAGCCATCCGCAGCTCCATTCCCACCTAGAGCAGCGTCTCCTCACCAGAGGCAGAAGACAAAACAGGGCTCGTCCTCTCAGCCACTGGACCTTCTGGTAGAAGCCCAGCACTTGCCTGTCCCATTGCCCTCCCTCCTTCCCAGGGTTGAGGAGCTTCAAGGAAACCTTGACTGGGGAAGCAGTCAAAACTCACACTTGGCACCTCTGTTTTTGCAGGAAATTGCAGGCAATTCTGAATGCAGGCATGTACACACCTCTGCCATGCCACACTGGCTGCAAGTGCATGCCTTGAGCAGTCACAGTGACACACCCCCTGGCTGGTGCTCAGAGACAGGAGGAGGAAGGGAGGGTGGGGAACTGAGCAACTCCAGCAGTCCAGGCATGGCAAGCCAGATGTGCTCAGTGCCGGACATTTCGACTCCCTCCTTCTGTCAGACTGGCTGATGCACCACATAACCCCAGCTCAATGCTTCTGGTGCTGTGAAGACCATGACCATGTGGTGGAAGGCAGGCAGGAAGGAAGGCAGAAGAGTAGCTGCTCAAGCACCCTTCCAACCCTGAAGGGCAACTCCATGGCCTCCTAGTGATCAGGCTAGCCCCTACCTGCCTCTCTGAAGAACTCCTTTCTTCTCATGCTTTACTGAAAGCAAGCATCAAGGAGAGCTGATACTAGTGGACAAGCTGGCAGCTCTTGGAGCGTCCTTCTCTCACCCCAGCCCTTCACAACCCTTTGCCTCCACAGTACCTCTGAGAGGGCCAAGCTGTATTTGCTCCTCCAGGTAACTGCTTCCGCTTCTGGTGCCGCCAGCCGAGCTGCTGCTCTTTCTGTCTGAAAGAGAAGACCAGACACACAGCTGGTAAAGAGGCTCACATTCCCCCTGGGAGCAGCGAGGGCAAGTGAAGCCCCCCGAGAGCCTCCTCTGCCCTTCATGATTCCAGATTTACACACATCACAGTTGCTATTACTTTTTTTTGTATCCTGTCATTCTGCTAAACAAAAATATCTAAGGTGCCCAGTTGCGTCCTGGTTAAAGCCAGGAAGCCATGAAAAGGAGGAGGCTGCAGAGGAGGAGGTAAGAGGAACCAAAGAATGGGAAATGCACCATTGTTGGACTATTAGCAAAATATGTAACTTCTCACTGAAAATCAACCTTGTGGCAAGAGGACTGGAAGGTAGCCAAAGTAATACCAATTTTGGAAAAAAAAAGGGGTGAGGAACTTGCAGAGCTGTAAGCCGAACCTCTGTCCCAGGTAAAGTTGGGGGAGCATGATGAGGCTGGCAATACAAGCGTGTGGAAGAACAAGCCTTGCCAAGAAATGATCAGCATTGCTTGTGCAAAGAGTATACCTGCTTCAAGCACCTTTCAACCACAGCGCACAGTGTATCTGGACTTTCAAAAGGCCTTTGATGAAGTTGCTTACCAAGATGGGTCATGGGGCCGGAGGACAAAATCCTCTTGTTTAGATCATATAGTAATGAGAATGAAAAACAAGAGGATTTTCATGAAGAATGGAATCAAGCCAAAAGTCTCCTCACATATTATATTGGGACTAGAGCTGTGTAACAATTCATAAATGATTTGGAGTCAGTGGTGAAGAACGAAGTCAGCAGGTTTATAACGGGCTGTGAAATCCCAAGAAGCCTGGAAAGTGCTTGAAACAAATCCCTCCAACTGATCAGCAGGTGACATTTAGTATAACACAGTGACTCACATCAGGAGAAAAAAAATACTTAAATTGTCTACCCCAGAAAGAGTTCTGCAGGCTCCAATGGAAAGCACCCCTGAAAAAAAGAAACTCTGGGTGCTGGGCCAGTGAAAATGGTGGCAGGGCTGTCAAAGAGAAAGTTTCGTATTGACTGCATAGCATCCATAGGGGGCCAATAACTAGAATATAGCTGGTGGCTCTGGCCACCAATCCCAAAAAGGAAATGTGCAGAGAGGGAAACGAAAAGGATCAGGAAGCTGAAGCACTTCTCTCGATGAGAAAAGGCAAAAGCATTTAGACAAGAAATTCAGTGGGTGGCATTACAAAATTATGAAAGTAGAGCAATAAATAGAAACTATTCTTTCTCTCAAAACACACTTTTGCACTTGGAATATCTACCAAAACTGATTTGGAGAAGAACATGCAAAGAGAAGAGTCAGTTTCACAAGAGACATCATTAAATGTGCAGAACTCTCTTCCTTATCCACCACATAGAATCACAGAATTGGAAGGGATCCCAAGGGTCATCTAGTCCAACCCCCTGCAATGCAGGAATCTCAGCTAAAGCAACCAGGACAGATGGTCATCCAACCTCTGCCTAAAAACCTGCAATGAAGGAGAGCACACAACCTCCTAAAGGAGAGCGTTCCACCTCTGTGATGGGCAGGCAAGAGCCTGGTTCACAGGCAGCCTCCTCTGACCCTCTCCTGCCTTTGGCCCTGTCCTGCTCCAGGGTCCTGCCTTTGAAAATCTCCCCTCTCTGTAATTAATCAGTGGGTGGGATAGCGGGGCTCAAAGAGTCGTAGGCAGCCTTTGCAACTACTGCTCCCCACCCCAGCACACAAAACCAAAGGGCCTTCGACTGAAGCAGCATTAAAAAACCCAGCCAGGTACTTTATGATACTGAGAAAAATGCCTGAAGGAAGAAAGAAACAGCACTTTTGTTCTGCCCCAAGAGGAGACCTGCAGTTGGCAGCTCTGCCTTCCCCTGGATGCGGAGAGGCTGCCTTCCTGCCATGGCTCTATGACTGGATGCTGGGCTCAAGCAGCAGCAAAGGGAACATGCACTGGAATCCCAGCTCATTTTCCCAAGGGGCTTCTCTGGAGGGCTCTGCTTTGTAAGCAGCAGTGGCTCCACTTTGGGCTGTGTACCTGGAAGCACCCAACCACCTGCCTGCCTGGAGGATGGCATCAGAGATATGGTGCCCAACCTGTCTGAGGGCCTGGCAGAGGCGCAGGCCAAACATGGTGGCCAGTATGGCGGAGGGCAAGGCATGCAACCACATGGCACGTCTGCTTTTGTTGGTTCCCCCCTTAGCGTGAGTGTTGCCTGCATTGCTCTGTTTTGTGGTGTCGGCCTGCAGCACACTTGGAAGCGGCCTTGGCAGTGAACCCAGGAGGGCACAGTGCAGAGCCACCCTTTCTCCTGTCTTGGCATGGTCACCCACTGGCACCCCCTTCTCTCAGGAAAGAGCAGGACAATCCCACCTATCTTCCCTTCAGGTCTTCTGGAGGCAGATGTGACAAATGCAATAAAAGAACAGCCCTTCCTGCAATGGAAGAAGAGATCACAATGAGACAAGGAGCAGAAGTTTACCTGTTGTCCAGTCAAACCTACCAGCGCCTTCTCCTTGCCGCTCCTCTGGGCTGTTTCTGTCTCCAAGCATGGACTCCTTTTGCAATCTTTGAGGCAGGACGCCAGTTTCTCAATCTGGTAGGGAAGCAGGTGGTGGATTAGAGGGACCCTCCGTCACCCCCAGGCCCCTCCTGTGCCTGTCCCCTAATGCACTCCAGAGAACTCACAGGGGTGTGTGGGAGCTTTGAGGGTTTCCTGTGGGAGGGAGGAAGGAAGGAAAAGCCCAGAGGAATCAGCTACAACCTCAACTGAGAAGGAGCTTTCATTCTGTTCCTCCTCCTCTCAAACACAACATTGGCTCTTGCCAGGGGTCAGAGGAGGGGTGAAAGGGAATGTGGGGGTCAGACGGCCAGCTGTGCTGCTGGCTGGCATCCTGCCTGACGTTTGCTCACCTCCAACATCTGCTCCAGCTTGTGGGCTCTCAGCACCTCATTCTCACCTTCTGCTTGGGCCAGCTGCCTTCGACACTCGCTGAACTGTCGAAGATGGAACACACACACAGCGACATACGTTAGTTGCAGGACTATTCCTGTGTAAAGGCTAGTGAAAGGGGAACAGGTGGAAAACTCCACCTACTCTGGCTGGACTCCACTCCATAATATACCAGGCAATGCCACAACTTTTCCCACCTCACCTTGCCTATGACAGTAGGGGACAACTGCAGCTCCCCCACCCCCAGGAGCACGCTTCCAGATATACTTGCGGTGACCATTGTGGTGGTTGAACTTGCCATGTTCTAGCCTTTGAATGTTGATTATACAAACACTGAGGGAAGGAGGCTTTGCTTCAGCCACTGGGCAGTGCCTGGTGTGCACTCTGTGCCCTGTGCTCTCCACATTTCACAGGGGACCACCTCCTGGGAAGCCAACCGGCACCTATGATGCTGTTCTGCAGATTCCGGCCACAACATAATAGACACGTGGGGACTTTGAAAACCAGAAGACCCATCAGGTAGCAGTTGAAGAGCATATCCGTTAAAAGTCCTCAGGGCAGGAACGGTACCATGCAAGCAGTACCGGTCACAAAAAGGCCCCCAGAGCATCAAACAAGCAGCTGTAAATACGGGCTGATGTCCCTAAGCTCAATAATTCTTCCAGTGCAGCCTTCTAAACCCAGAGGTGGAGAGGGAGGAGCGCCACCACCTGAGAACAGCACCCACCTTTCCTTCGCAGAAAGCCAGAGCTGACTTGTCCAGAAAAGGAAAAGGGACAGGAACCATATGAACCTGACTTACTGCAGCCAAAAGCCAGGGGTCAAGTCTCCGACACCTCCCCTGCATGATTGAGCATCCGCCATCTCAGGTCAAACACAAGACAGAGCCTGGGAGCTCCATCAGGCCCTCATCCAGGGGCAGCAGATGTGTTTCCCCCCCTGGCAACAAAGGAAAAATATTTAACTCTGCTGCCAGGGGGGAAAGGCAAGTGAGGAACGTGCAATTCAAGCAGCTCCCCTGTGGACACACACCTGCTATAGGGGGCACACTCCAAGCCCAGATCCACTATCCACACTCCAGAGCAGGAGGCCCCCCAGCTGCCAACACCCTCAAGCTTCTGGAGACAAAACCTAAAGCTGCCAATACGTCCCTGGGCCTGGAGGGCAGAATCCCAGCCCAGCTTTTTAACGGAGTCCACAAGAGTAGCAGCCATGACTGAGGCTCCTCCAGGGGCATTTCTCTTTCTCCTCCTCCTCCACGCAGATCTATACAGCGGCACAGCCAGTGGCAGGAAGGAGATGCTGCCAGGGAGGATGAGGGGGGCACTTGGAAGGCTGGCACCAAGCCTGTCTCCACCAGACAATACCCATTTGGGGACCGCAGATCCAGGCATCTGACAGTCCGCCCTCTTCATTCTGCCATGGTTTCAGTCACCTCTCTTCCAGTCACCTCACTGCAAGCTCAGCAAGGAGGAGGAAGAGGAGATCAATATACCGAACATCTGCTCCATTACAGCAGCCTCAACAAGAGGCTGGCTAGACCCGGCTACCCGGCTAAGCAGCAGCAGCAGCAGCAGCGGCAGCTTTTCCCTCCTCTTCCTGCTGCTGCCCTGGCTGGCTTCCCTCTTCTTCTTCTTCTCCTCCTCCTCCTCCCTGGCACTCCCGTACCTGGTTCTGGGATCCCTCCTGCTGCTGCTTGCTGGCCTCCAGCTCTCGCTCCAACTGGAGGACTCGGATGCAGCTCTGTTCCAGCTCTGCCTGTGCCTCTCTCTGCTTGCTCTGCAACTCATAGATCTTCTGCTCCTGAGCATCCAGCTATTAACCCGCCCAGGGAAGAAAGGGAAGAAATTGGGGGGGAGGGGGGAGGAAGAGAGAAATCAATTAGTATTAAAGGGGCTTTAACAAAACAGCATAAAGCACAGACCTTGGGTGGGCAGGTGGGAAAGGGAAGCGCTGCTTGCTTGCCTGCCTGTGGGGATGGGGGGAACCAATATTAGCAGGCCAGGAGTTCTGCCGGGGCCCAAGGAGGGCACGAAGCCAAGACACCTTCCCGTTGCCTCTGTGCAGCCGCCACGTGAGAGAGGGGAGAGAGGGGTCTCGGGTACCTTGTCTGCCAGGCTGTCTCTCTCATCCTGCCCAAGCAGGAGCTGGCTCCGAAGCCTCAGGGTCTCTGCGGCTTGCTGCTCCAGCTGAAAGGGGTTTATACAGGAAGGGAGGGAGGAAGAGAGGATTGCGAATGTCAACCAATAAGCAGGGAGAAGACGACAAGACTCAGGGTATTGATCTGCTAGAGCGGCTTGTGCTGCTGCAGCCCCAAAAGCCTTGGGAAGGGAGGGGGAGATACCCCAGACAGGACAGAGTGGAGGCACAGGCCAAGCGGTGTGAGGAGGAAGCCTGGAGGACCTGGCAATGTGCCAAGTGGGCATCAGCCAATGCTGTGACAGTCCTGCCACCGGAGCTGGTGAGCACTGTGTCCTGGCTTCTGGGGCAGTTGTCTGGAGGAAGCTAGACAAGCTGCAGCAGTGCCAGGCCTAACCCTCTTCATACCTTAGAGCAGCATAGTGGTGGGGATAATGGTGCTGCTCTGGCCTCTAGAAGAAAAAGCTCTTCCTGGTGACCCCACGCCAGAGGGCTTGCCAGATGGTCCCTGAAAGGTGAAAAACACCCAAGAAGGGGCTGGACAGGGTTGCAGAAGTTCAAAGAACTCCAAGCTTGAGTTGCCACGTCAAATGGGCACCCTGAACCTCCCCAGCCTCTGAGGAGTCAGAATCACCCGGGCCCTGTTGTCTTGGAGTGGGGGCTGTGCTGTGCTGATGGCCAAAGATCTTTAGCTCTAGTTTCAGGTGCTTGGTGGATCTGGATGAAGAGAGGCAGTTCTCAAAGGACCCAGCTGCTGGAGCACAGTAGCTGCCCAGGGAAGAGAAAAAGCCAGAGGGTCAATGCCTACGATGCAAATGGAACAAAGGGAATTAGCTCCCACCCATTTTGTGACTTTACAAGGGGGAGAGGTCTGTCCATGGCCATGAGCCAAGGTGAGATGGGCTGCAAGGGAGGGCTGGAGCATTCATGTCTTGCTTGTGGGCTTTCCAATGGGGCATCTCACTGGCCACAGTGAGTCACCTGAGCCTCTGGCCTGGTCCAGCAGGGCTCTTACGTCTTGCCTGGCAGAGAAACCATCCATTTAATGTCCCTCAGGATTCTCCATCCACAACAGGGGTAGAGTGGTTGGCAGCCTCCAGACCGTCAGGAGCAAGGAAGTTCCCCACCCCCAGGGTGGGGCGAAAGGCTGTCTCAGCCATGGCAGTACAGAAGATGCCTCCTCCTCCTCCTGACAAGTAGGCTGGGTCATCTCTCTCTCTTTCCCCTTGTCCCCAGCTCCCCACACATGCATCCATTCTCCTGCTGTAAAGAAGGTGGCAGCATCTTTGGGGCGAATCCCCACCCTATTTAAGCGGAATCAACTCTGCTATTTCTTTTCTTTTCCTTTCTGTTCTGTTCAGAAGCAATTACTTTCATGTCATTTCTGGAGACATTTGCAGGGAAAGCAAGAGCCAGATTATCCGCCCCACCCCCATCCCCAATGGCTTCTGCAGTGGAGGCGAAATATTAAATTAAATGAGGTGTCTATGAAGCTGCTGCGGTTTCAGGTCAAAGACGCCACAGAAAGCCGTGTGCTCTGCTCTGCGCCTGTATGCAAATGGCTGCATTAAAACCGCGGATGTCAACTTGCAACACGTCTCTTCTGCTCCTGGATGATCAAAGCTGATTGCTGAGGCAATTACTGCAAAAGAAAAGAAAATCACGGCCCTACTGCTCCTCCCTCGGCTCTGAGAGTTTAATTGTTTAGCCAAGCTGAAACCGCATCCCCGGCTCCCTTGCGCACATGGCTGCTCCTTGTCTTGCAAGGTACGCGTGCACACCCTCCTTCCTTCCAAGCTCTGCACACAGGGCCAGTCGGCGGCAGCAGCCACAATGCAGAAACATGGATCCCAGCGGTGGCAAGCAGGCTGAGGGGAGATGCTGCCAGTTTGCTCCACCAGGACCTTGCCTTCTTTGTTAATCAGCCCATGTGCACACACAAACCTGGGGGGCCTTGGAGAACCCCCAGCGAGCAGAGAGCCTGCACCTTCCCCAGCTGGAGGAGGTTGCCAGGCTGGCAAAGAGGAGCACCTTCCATGTGCCAAAGGAGTGGGGAGAACATCAGCCCTGCCTCATCACCCTCTCTCTGCCACGTGGCAAAGATCAGGCAGACCCTGCCTTTGCCTCTCCCTCCCCTCTACTCCTTGGCCACTCCCATTCTAGCTGTCCGCTTCCAACCTTCTCCCTTCTCTGGATCTCTTTTGCCACATATACATGCAGAGAGAAAGCACATTAATGGCTTCCTAACGAGTCAAGAAAAGCTGGGTGCCTCTGCTTTACAGGTTCAGTAGGCAGAGGCCAGCTGGGTTGGGTGTAGCAGGTTGCACTCAGTCTGGGGGGAAAGCAGCAGTGGCAATGCCCACAAACAAGCACATACATTCCCCACCCCTCTGCACAAAGGATGCCTCAGGGGAGACCAGAGCTTCCTTTCCCTCCTTTAAGCCTGAACTATTAGCCGTTTTCTCAGACAGAAAAATCTGTTCCCTTTGTGGGTGGGGAGGGGAGCTGGCTTTGTGGACACCTCCCTGCCTCTCTCCACATTGTCGCTGAAAGGAAAATGGCCGGCGTGTGAGTTGTACAGGGAAACGGTGCTGCATGGCTCCCCCGCCTGCTTTTCCTGGCACTTCCATTCACAACTCTGGCTCAGTCTCCGAGTCCTTTGTTCAGGAAACGGCAAAGCCCTGGCTGTTTCCCTCTGAATGGCAGTTAACTTTGTCCAGTTCAGTGTTTTCTGATTGTTCGTGCTGCCTAGAGAAGCTTTGATTAAACCTCTTAATTTTTCGGCTAAGTTTTCTCTTGTAACAGGGCAAGCCCTTGACCTGGGAGCAGAGAAGAGTGGTCAAAAGAAAAATAACAAGCCAAGGAGAGGGGAGGAGCAGGAGTAGCAGACACAAAGGGACAGAAGGCTGAGCGAGGAGCTGCTGAGTCCCCAGGCCAAACATCCTGCCCCCAGGGGTTGCCAGGGCTGCTTCTCCCTCCTCCTTCTCCACTCACACACCAAAATGTTTCCTGCAAGGAGAGCTTGGCACCAGCAGGAGAGCACCACACACAGCACTCACATCGAGGGTCTGTGTGTGTATGTGTGTGGAGTGTGTGCTTATTCTGCTCTACCTACTCAGAAAGGAGGAGTCATTGCCTTGGAAGGGACATGCCAATAGTGACCTCAAGAACCACTCCTGACTGGAAGCCATCCTCCTGCTTCCTCTGTGGTGGGGGTGGGGGCTGAGATTCCATCCTACCAGGGACCTGGATGCCTGGGGCTTTTCCTGATCCATCCTTGCAGATCAGAGAGTTTTCTGCACCCAAAGAGCCTCCTCTTTGGCCTGAGCTGCCAAGAAGTCTCCTTTGCCTGCATCTGTCTTGAGAAAAAAGTATCACCAGCACTACCTCTCCCAGCAAGCAGCTGACCATGGGGCATTAATCACCCAGGAAGGCCATGGGTGGGGAACCTGTGGCCCACTAGATGTTGTTGGACTTCATCTTCCATTGCCTCAGCTGGCTTGATGATGATGGGAGTTCTCTCACTGATGCTTTGCTACCTGGTAGAATCCTTCTTATCCACCTTTAATGCTTTGTGAGTTATTGTCCAAGTGTATACAAAGGACATTCATTGTATTTTTCTTTTCTGTATTTTGATACATCTCGTTACCCCACAGTTTCACCCACATCCCACTCAGAGAATGTTGGGAGGTTTTTGGCTCTGTCCAAACAATGTTTACACAGAGGAAAGTCCAACTGATATAATGTGAATTGTATATGGTCAGTATATGGATGAATACAGCCTAAACCAGCGGTTCTCAACATGTGGGTCCCTAGATGTTGTTGGACTACAACTCCCACCATCCCTGAGCTCTGGCCTTGCTAGCTTGGGATGATGGGAGTTGTAGTTCAACAACATCTGGGGACCCACAGGTTGAGAAAGGCTGGAAACCATGGGTAGGCAAACTAAGGCCCGGAGGCCGGATCCGGCCCAATTGCCTTCTAAATCCAGCCCACGGACATACTGGGAACCAGCATTTTTACATGAGTTAGAATGTGTGCTTTTATTTAAAATGCATCTCTGGGTTATTTGTGGGGCACAGGTATTCGTTCATGCCCCCCTTCAAAATATAGTCCAGCCCACAAGGTTTGAGGGACAGTGGACCGGCCCCCTGCTGGAAATGTCTGCTGACCCCTGGCCTAAACCAAGTGCAGGCTGCATTGAGGAGCAGCCTTCTAGAACTCCCCAGACATGCCTGCTGAGAGATCAGCCCAAGAGGAGACTTTGCAGCCAATGCTTGGCCAGAAAACTCTGCCTGTGTTTCCTTCCTGCCTCTCTGGCACTGCTTGGATCCCAGGTTAGGTCCCAGGTCAATAACAAGGGACCAATTCCTCATCAAGGTGTTCCAAGGAGCCATGGCCCCCAGACAGGCTTGAAAGCAAATGCACAAGAAAAGCTCCTGCCTCTTACAACCCCTCAGTTACCAGCACCCACCCACCCAGGATCCCTCCAGTTAAAACAAGAGGAAGCTTTTGATTAGCCTTACTGCCTTCAGACTGTACTGGTGGCCCTCAACTGTGCCTCTTCTGTCACTACTCAGGACAGAGAGAAACCTCAGGCAAAAATGGCAAGCGGGCCCACCCCACACGCAGCACAAGCCTTACCAGCTGCAGCAGGGAGCTCAGTTGTGACTCCAGGAGGAGCTCCTCCTGCAGATGGCACGCCACCTCCAAGTCCTTCTGGGAGAGTTCGTTCTGCAGATCTGTGATGGTCTCTTGCAGTTCTTTAATTTTAGCTGCTTTCTCCAGAACCTGCAATGCACAAACCCATCATATACCTGGATTTTGGTAAGCAGTCTGCTCTGGGTGCGGCAGAGGGTCGGGTGCTTCTGCAGGGCCAGTTTTTGACACAAAAAGGGGAGCAGTGCAATAACATACCCTGGAACCAAGATATTTTGGAGGCTGAAGCTGGAGCTTAGCAGATTGCAGCAGGAATAGCCTGCAGGCCACACTTCAGAGCTGAGGAGGCACCAACCAAGGTCTCCAACACAGACTTCTCCTTTCCTTGTTCTTGAACACACCTGCTGAAACTCACATTCTGTTTCCACACTTGGGCAACCTCGCTGGACTCTTTTTATACCCCATTTACTTATTCGTTAAATGTATGCCCTACCCTTCAGTGGTCAACCAACATTCCCAGTGAGGTTTACAAAAGTTTACAAAATAAAAAAGTAGAAAAACATGTATATTGCTTTTAGAAAATACCAAGGAAGGACAAAAAGCTGTGCATCAGAGAATGTCGTCCCTCTCCGCCCCAATAAAAGCACCTCCCACCATCTTCCTTTAAGTTACATTGAGTCAGGGGAGGGGATAAAATGACACAAATTCTCTGCTTTGAGAGCTCCTACCTGGGACAGAGAGCTTCCCGGCCAGCACTGTCTCTCCCAGCAGGGAATAATATTTGTGTGGAATTGCTGAAACCATGCAGAAAAATCACGTGGAGACAGAGCGATTTCCAGCAGGCATATCAAAGCCAAGAAATGTCAGCCTGATGGAAGCGGCTGGGAAGGCTGCAAGTGGGTGTGTCCTCTTCCCCAGCTCTGTGCATTGCAAGCAGAGTGAGGTCCAAGAACATAGCCCATCCCCCTGGCAGCGCCAGGGAAGAGATGATATCAGGCACCACGTCACTGGACCCAGGAAGCACTTTTCATGAAAACAGAGAACAGTTTCACTCACAACTCACTTGGCCCAGGAAGAGCGGCTCACACCTGCTTTGGGAGCGACATTTCCAATTGGTTTAGGGAAGGGGAAAGATGAAGGTAAAATGACAATTCCCTTAAGCACCATCCTGGGAATGGGAAATGTTAACGATGCAAAGCAGCAAGGTCAGACAATGTGTCCAGGCATCCTAGAGGAAGCTGCTTGGAGTTGAAATCCCTTCATTAGGCATCACCTGATGACTTGTCTTCCTGAAGGCCGAGGCCTGTTTGGGCTGTGCTTCAAGGCCTCTTCCAACTCCTACTGCTGCAGCCCATCACAGGAACTATTCCTGCAGTGCTATGGTCCTTGGCTCCCAGCTCTGGTGGCCCTGTGGCTGCAGCTGCTTCTCGCTTTGTGACCTCTAGTGAGAGGAGGGAGCAATCCCCATCTTCTGCCATTCTGATATTTCAAAGCCAGGCCTGCCTCTCCCTCCCATCTCCCCGCTCCACATTATTAATGAATTGGAAAGCAGACATCATTAGGTGTGGGAGACTGTTTCTTTCAAAATCTGTAGAAGCCTTCATCGGACTCCCCAGAGCCAGGCTGCTGTTCTCAACATAGTCTTATTAGCATCGCCGCCTCTGTAGCCTGCCATGCAAACTGCACTGCTCGGCAGTTTCCAGCACTTGACCCTTCTGCAGATGGAATTAATTTCCTCTTTGAAGATCCAGCGGCAGGCCGTTGCAGCTGCCATTGTTGTGCTTGTTAAGGAAAGGAGCGTTCCCGTGAAGGCAGGGGCTGACCGATCATGGGCAAGAGAGCCTGAAATGGAAGCAGCTGCAGAAGCCTGGGAGGAAAGCCCTTCCTGGCGGCTCCTCCACAAGCAGACTTTTTTTTCCATGCAAAGCACACACAAAAGGGCTGGGTGAGCATATTTGCACATGTGACCTGCTCTGTGCTGGAGGATCAGGGTACGTAGGCTGGAACCAGAGCAAATTAAGAAGACCTCCCATGCCCCGCTCAGAAGAGCCTGGCTGTTGGCACCCTGGGCAGAAAGAAAGCTCCTTTCACCCATCACCGTTTGTTTCATTTGGTCCCAAGTCTGATTTTAAGGGGGCTGGGAATAATCACCTATGGCATTTTGTGTGGAATGGTTCATGCTCAAAGGATCCTGCACAGGATGGAAAGGAGTTCAGTTTCCTGGGATTGCCAATAAATGCTTCTCTGTGCTGAGAACCAAGTTCTTGTGACATCTGCAGCACCATTGAAGCAGAAGCTGCTGAGGGTTAAATCCTCACAGAGAGGAAGAAGAATGCAACTCCCCTCCCTCAGTCATAATTTATTAAAAGTCTCACAAATAATTAAAGAAAGGTAGATTTCGCCAACCTTATGTCCCTTAGGACTATTATGAGGTGTTTGGGCAAGATTATGATTTCCTCCGCTCTCAGTCACTCATCCTTGTCTGAGTCCCTCAAAAACTTCTCAGTCCTAAAGCATGGAAAGCAGCCTTTCTGAGTATCAGAGGTTAATCCCTGTTATCTCTGTTTTCCCAGAGATAATGAGATAAACAAGATTTATGGTTTGGCTATCATTAACCACCATGTAATTATCCCCATTGACAGTGTGTCGACAAGAGATGTCTAGTCTGCCATCTTTCCTCCTGGAAGTCAAGGGCGTGACTGCATTTCATTTGCCTGCATTCTTCTCTCAAGCCTTCATGGTTGGACCAGGCCCTTCAGTTCCAGCTGTTCCACTTCCACATATGGAAGTAAGAAGTGCCTTGTTGGAGCTCCAGATTGGAGCAAAAGGGCCCAAGACTTTGTGACCGACTAACAAGCCTCACCCTTGTTGAGAGGCAGAAGTAATGCCTGACCTCTTGGCTTCCCCACTGTGCCTCTCTCCTCCTCTGATTCTTTTCTAATGGCTCCCATGCCAAAGCAGAAGCCCGCCTGTTACGAGGAAGTTGACTGAGGATGTGAGGAATGCATTGAAAGAGATTTAGAGACTTCCTCTCAGCTACAGAAGGCAGATCTTTCTCGGAGAGAGAACAGCATTGCTTTTTGTTGGAGATTCTCCTGGATTCTCAGAAGCAAACAAGCACTGGGATGTTGATAGCTGACAGTTTCAAGATGCAGCAAGAGTAACATCCCAGGAAACCTACAGCAATTGGGCCACAATGAACCCATTTCCAGAGTCCTGAATAATCATTGTTGGTGACTTGTGGAAGTCCGCTGGTAGTTCACCACACCTCAACCAGGGTGAAATATCAGCAGAGTATGCAGAGTCCCAGAAGAACCTTCAGAGATTTCCTGCTCCCAGCAAAACAGCTTCTTCCAGAGTCCCCGGTTAAGGGGAAAACTCCTCTCCCATGCCGTTCAAACTAACAAAGTGTTTATTGTCTCCAGATACAAGCAAAGCTAAACACTACTATCTGCTATATACAATTCCTCTGGTCTTTGAAGTAAAGATACATATGTACAGAGATCCACTAACACTATCACCATGCTAGCTAACACTGCTGTGTATAACCTACAGCCTCTTCCCTTGATTCTCACAGAGTCAGACCCTGACAGCAAATAGGATAGCAGCAGGTTTTGCAACAGGACACAACCATCAAAGACAGGAGCATGATGAAATCAATGCCCTAGAGACTATTATACTCGGCTCTACATTCTTGAACCAATGGGAGGGTGAATGACTCAGCAAGTCATACATTTGACCTTGCTGGTGTTGCTATGGTAACCCAGTTCACAGAAGATCCAGATGTGGGAGATGCACTTCTCAAGAATGAAGCAGATGGTGACTGCACTTTCCTTCAAGCTTCCATTGGGTGGCTGTTCCCAGTTTGCATTATTACAGAAGTTGGATGAAGCAGAAGCAAAGCTAAAACAATGAAGTGACCTGCTCTGGTATGGCATTTTGTGTGTGTGAAGGACGGTGGGATGTACAAACAAAATGATAATAATAATAATAATAATAATAATAATAATTTTTATTTATACCCCGCCCTCCCCAGCCAAGGCCGGGCTCAGAGCAGCTTACAAGCAATAATAAAAACAAGTTGAATGATTACAACTTAAAAACAAAATTAAAATACAACATTAAAATATTGAAACATTAAAATATTAAATTGTAGCCTCATCGCAGGAGGAGAAGGAAAAAAGAAAGAGAGGGAGGGAATCAAATTGGCTCCAAGCCAAAGGCCAGGCGGAACAACTCTGTCTTACAGGCCCTGCAGAAAGAAATCAGATCCTGCAGGGCCCTGGTCTCATGAGGCAGAGCGTTCCACCAGGCCGGAGCCAGAGTTGAAAAGGCCCTGGCTCTGGTTGAAGCCAATCCAACTTCCTTAGGGCCCGGGACCACTAGGGTGTTGCTATTTATGGACCTGGAGGCTCTCCGTGGGGCATACCGGGAGAGGCGGTCCCGTAGGTACGAAGGTCCAAGGCCGTGCAGGGCTTTAAAGGTCAAAAGCAGCACCTTAAATCTGACCCTGTACTCTACCGGGAGCCAGTGCAGTTTGAAAAGCACTGGGTGAATATGCTCCCATGGCAGAGACTCCGTGAGGAGCCTCGCTGCAGCATTCTGCACCCTCTGGAGTTTCTGGGTCAGCTTCAAGGGCAGCCCTGAAGAACAATTTATTATGAAAGAGAGAATGGAAATCTTCACGTGTATATGGGTACATCTAAAGTTCACAGGCCAGAAGAAACTAAGAAGCCAGCACCTGCCTGAGTGAGAGCCAGCACACTGTCCCTTATAAATCAGGAAAAGATGGCCCTGCATACATATATAGATGGAAATGCCTGCTCAACCTCACCAGACCTTTAGGGAAAGGTTTTCAGAACTGCCACACTGGTGGGCAGCTACTGGCAAATGAAGGGCAAAAGCATTCCTGCTCTCCTTCCCTTCCTTGGCCTCAAAGTGGATTCTGATCATCCTTCTTTCCTCCCAGGCAGGCTAGCCCAGCTAGTTCAGTGTCTGCTTGTGCTGCTGGAGCCGCCTCCAGAAAAGAAAGGTAAACCCTACCTCTGCTTTCACCTTCTCCTGGGTGTGACCAGCGTCTCTCAGCTGAAGATCCAGCTCACAAGTAAAGTGCTCTTTCAGTCCCCAAAGAGACTTCAGTTCTGCTTGTTCCATCTCCTGTCCTGGCAGACAGTACCTACACAAAGGGAGGAAGGGAAGGCCAGTCAGAAAAGGTGCAAAGGCTGCACAGAAGAATTTGGGGAAAGGGAACAAACAAGTTGGTTTTAGGGAAGCGTCTGCTGTAGCTTTGCTTGGCATGCAGAATGCTTCTAGCTCAATCCCTTGTATCTCTAGCTAGGAAAGGACCAGGTGATAGGAACTGTCTTCCTTTCTCTGCTGGAGACCCTGGAGAGACCTGTCCTCAAATGGGTGGACAGACAGCCTGTCCTGGTAAAAGGCATCTCTCCCTCTGCTCATCTAGACCGACCACGCACTCACTCACACACTCACTCACTCACTCAGGAAAGCAGTGTTCCCCAACCCCAATGGTTGTTTCTTTCAAGAGGTTGCTGTGTGCATACCATGTATACCCTGAATGGGCACCTCCAGGCATGATGCATGGCTGCAGCTCTAGCACTATTTGCCCCTGTGAGTCACCAATGAGCATGCTGTGGCCTGGAAAGGGCTCAAGGGCTTGGCTGGAAAGGTTTATGGAGTCTCAGTGCAGTGGCAAAGCATCTGCATGGCGTGCAAAAGGTTCCAGGCACAACCTCCGGCATCCGCAGGTTAGGATGAAAAAGACCCCGGAGAGCAACTGCTAGCCCTGAGCTAAGCTGGACTAATGGTCTGACTCAGCAGAAGAAGGCAGCTTTCTATTTTCCTCTGGAGCCCCAACCGGCAGGCTTTGTGACCACCTCATCAAAGCAATGCCTGAGATGCTCCCCCCCCCCCACAGGATCCTTGCTGAAGTTTAATCCAGGCTCTCTGGCTTCTCAAAATCCCCACACTGGGTGGGGGTGGCAGCTCCTATCTATATATGTATAGCTATTTCGGTCTGTGGGAGGAGATGTCAGCCTCTTTCACTTGCTGTGAGTTCCAAGAATACTTTTTTTTCCAGACAAGTCCTTTGTATTCTGTTGGAAGGGAACAGGATGGGGAAGAGACATTCCCATTTTCACAGCATTTGATAGGACTCCACTTGGGACTGGGGGTAATATCTCCCCTTCCTGAACAAGAGCCAGGCCTTTCGATTGGATGAAAATCCTGCCTCTCAAGTTCCAGAGGGAGGGCATTAGCAGCCTCTAGAAAGATGAGAAAGAAAGAGAGCTCACCGACACAGCCCAAGTTTTCCTGCCTCTGAAAAATGAGGGGGGGAAACAGGTTGCAAAGGTATACCTAACACTGCATTTTCTAAAAAGAGGAAATGGTTTGCAAGTTTAGCTACCTCTGCTGAAGGTGGCATAACAAGGGAATGGAACGTGTGTGTTAACCTTGAAAACCTCTCTGTTCACAAGCCCTCTCTCTCTCTTCTCTCTCTCTCTCTCGTATGCACAGGCGGGCATGCACATGCACACTTCCCACGCAGTATGCTGGTTTGCCCACTGGGAACTCTAACCCTCAGGCTAACCCTACAGCAAGTATTAACCTACTTATTGCACCCGGAGGCAACGCAGAGGGGCAGAAAGGGCTGCATTTGGGGGAAGAGGATGAGCAGAGCTTAGCATTAACTGCTCCCTGAAATCATCTGAAGGAGGCAAGCAAGACAACTTAATATAGAAAGGAAGGCAATTCGCAGACAGACATTTGGAACGGGCAGAATGATGAAACAATTATTTGGTGGCAAATTTGGCTGGTGCTTCCTGTAAAGAGAGTGAACATGACCAAATCACATGACTGCACCCAGCCTGTGTCAAGAATATGAGTTTTTTCATCATTAAAGTCAGAAGCCAAGCAGGCGATCAAGCCACTACGTCACAAAGTATGGAAGAAGACCCCAGGGGAAACCAGAGACGACACTGGTAGGCAGAGATCTATGCCAAAGGGCGTGGAGAGCCACAAAGCATCTGCATTAATCTAATGGCCCAAACCACTCTGGAAGCCGTTGGCTGAAGCAGGGAGGCAGATAATGTCTTAACTACGTTTTCCAGGATATTGGAGGCCCAGAAGTTGTCTCAGAGGAATTCTGCCACGAGGCCAGTGCTTTAAAATATGGAGTCCAGGACCCTCTGATGATATCTATTACAGACTGGAGTACAGGGCAAAGAGGCTGATTTGGGTGGGAGGGAGAGGGGTATCTATATATCTATATCTATATCTATATCTATATCTATATCTATATCTATATCTAATCTATATTGTCAGGGAACTGACATCGGAGCTAGAGGCGGAGGGGAGGCTCTCAAATGATGCTGGAGAAGGGCCCAGCAGGGAGAGAGGCAGCTCAGCAGATGGGGAAGCAAATCAGCGCAACACCAGGGATAAAGGGGGGAAGATGGGGGAATCGGCGAGAGGGCTCCAGGACTCTTCACTGGACACCAGCAGGGAGAGCACGAGTCCTCCGCTACCCACGCCCTCCCTGCGCAGAAGGCTTCCGCGCAGGGAGAGTAGGAGGAGACTTGGCGTCAAACAACTTTTATGTTGGAAAGGTTTAAGAAACGCCCACTGACGGATTCTGCTAGCGACTGAGGCAGCCACGAAGTGAAGGGCTGTCCAGACAGAAAGGATTGAACAAGGCAACATAGCCAGGAGAGGCAGCAACTTACGCACGAGCAACCCATACTCATCACATATATCTATATCTATTATCTCCAAGAGGTAACGAACAAACTTGTCATTGGCACATGAGAGAGCCCCAAGAGACATTACTAGAGTTCTCGGGTGGGGTTCTGGAGGTCAGGACCCTGAAGCTTTCAATTAGGAATTGAAGAGAATTGTTGCTGGTGATACAAGACTGGGATGGACTGAATGACCTGAAATGGAGGAGGGCTGATCATTAAAGAAAAGAGGAATACCAAGTGTGCCAATTTGGAAAAGCTCAAAAGAAAACTCAAGAATGCAAGTGAATGATGGGAAGCAGCAAGGCTGGGCTGCAGCCCCAAAGGAGAATAAAAACTTCTTTGGTGGAGGGATTTCTGTGCACACGGAATTGGGTTACCAGTACACAATCCGGTCACTGTGGCTGTTCCTTGAGAACCTCAGCTTCTATTCCGAGGAGAAACCACCAGTGCCACTGCCCAGCCTTTTCACTCTCCTGGCTGGGGAAAGACAGCAGAATTAGGGCTTGCCAATGATTTGTGCTCTGGGTAAAAACTCAACACCTGGCTGCCTCCCTGTGGGCTTGCCTCTCACTTCTCCAGCCACCTCCATGAAGCAAAACTAATGAGCGAAATCCTCCTAGAAGTCAAACACTGAGTTTACAATAAAAACACAGAAATTTAAAATGTGTATGCAAAACAAACACATTTGTGCATATTCTATTTCTCACACAGGGTTTGAATCTTTAATGTGACAACTGGTTTTTCCAGACATGGATTTTTTTCTCCACTTTAATAAAAGAAAAATGTGTGAAGTGCATCTGCAAGGTGGATCATGCCAAGGCTGGGAGTAGTGATCTTTTTAGACATTTGAGTTTCACTCACACAGTTACAACCAGGCATCTCCTCCCTGGCACAATATGGGAAGGAACAGAACTCAGTGGCAGAGCATCTGTTTGTCATGCTGGAGGCCCAGGCTGAGTTCCCAATGGCACCTCCTGGCATCAGGTGACACCAAAAGTCTTTCTCTGGCCAAGACCTTGAACCATACTGATTAAAAAAGTGGAAAAGAAACTGCTGGACAAATAATGTGGATTGGAATACAAAAGAGGGAGGTATGAGGAAGTCCAGAAAATAAGTAATTTAAAATTGGAAATGGAAAAGAGTGTTTGTTTTTAATTGTTATGTTTTGTGTTTTTATTGTTATGTTTTGTATTGTTTTTTGTCTGTGTTGTTTTTCTTTTTTGTTTGTTTAAAACCTTAATAAAAAATTATTAAAAAAAAAAAAAGACCTTGAACCATACTGGGCAAGATGGACCTGATGTAAGGTAGCTTACTGACATTCAGAAACAGCAGCTGCTAGCTGTCTGATGGAGGAATGGGCCATGCAGCCTTTTGTGGCCAGCCTCTGAACTGTGATGTCAGGTCAGGGAAGCGTAGGCTCCTATGCTCTGGCTTCCAAGTTCTCCTGCTTCTGAGCACTGACAAGGCAGAGAGTCCAGCTGGTACCAGGGTAGATAAAATTCCACTTTTTAAAATGTAAATCGTGTTTTTAAAAAACTGATTTTTTAAAATTTAGATTGGATTTTTAAAAGAAAATGCTTTTTTTTGGGGGGGGGGAATCTTTCTAAAGAGTTTTCTATTTAAGTTACATAGTAGTCCAAAGGCTATTCATCAGGAAATAAGGATTTCTTTTAAGTTTTTCATATGTGCTGAAACTCAGTTGGTTTTTTTTTTTTAAAAAAGTTTAACCACATCAGTTAACAAACATGGATACATATGCTACAATGTTATTGTTTTAGTTAAATAAATTGTTTAAATTGTTATTAAGGAAGTGATTATTTTTCTCCTTCCAATAAAGTACAGCAGAAAAGTTGTCAAAATATAAACAGTTAACTTATTAAACCTCACAATAATTTCATAATTATCTGTCTATGTATTTCTAATAGTATAACCAAATCAGTAATTTTTGATATAACTGTAAAAACTACTCTAAAAATTTATTATTCCAAAAATGAAACCTTCATCTGGTTGTAAATATTAAGATTATACCAGCAGGAATGTCTTTCTGTAAAAAAAAAAAAATTAAATCAAATCTCAGTGACTAGTGATTTAAATCAAATCCACTCTAGCTGGTACTCAGACACCATAGATCGTTTCAGTGGCAGGACTGATTCAGAGGCCCCTGCTAAGGGAATCTGTGCGGCTCACCAAAGTATCTTGCTGTATTGGTAGTGCCCTGAAAGACACTGAGCAAATTCCTTCCGCTGAAAGTATACAGGGGGACTTAATCTACTTAGTAGGGATTAATCAAAGATTTGTTAAAAGATTTAAAGATTTTGCGCACTTTGCCCAGCAATGGCTGTGGAAGGCAATAAGCACAGAGTCGCCAAAAGGGTTGAGCTGCCAGGCCAGTTCCTGTGGCAAGAGCAACTCTACCTCAACATAGACATAATAGCCTTCTACTACAAAAGGCTGGAAGCCAACCAGGAAATGGTTCCTACTGCAGCAAGAAGCGGTTTAAATTTACAAGACCCAATACCACCAACTTAGAGTTATCAACATTACCTTCTACCTGCTTATCGCCAGCCACCTAAGGAAAGTCATCACAAAGTCATAATGATGCTCCCATGGAATGCTCAGAGTCAAGCTTTGGTCAACCTCCAGAGCAGAGAGTTTATAAGGAATGTTTGGCTCTTGTTCCAAGGGCTGCATGCAGCTACCATGCAGTCAGAACAGAAAAACTGCCCCATTTCTGGATGTACATCAGTCACTGTGGGCCTAGAAGCCCAGTGCTTGGAGTCCATGAAACACTGCACTGTCCAGACCCTTTAGTCAAAGAAAGAGATGAGCAGGGGGGATCCCATGAACCCCCCAGAAAAGCCTTGGAGGGCCTGGAATGTGCCTGCTCCACTCCCTCTTTTGCCAAGTCCAACTCACCCCACCCCGAGAGGATGTTCCCCTGGACCGCTCTTTGTGTTGTGCGCTGCTGCTGCTGCTGCTGCAGTTAACCTGAGCAACACCCTCCCAGGGTGGGAAGAGCAAACTGGGCCAGGTCTGGCCTGGGAAAGGAAAGAGTTGAGAGGAGGGAGGGAAGGAGGGGCTTTCACTGGTGTTAAGAGGGAGCCTCGGCACAGGACAAATTCACAGACAGACACTGGCACTCATAAATTATACAACTCATTTGCATATTCCAGTCATGAAACATTATGCAAATACTGCCTGATTTGCATAATGGATTCCAGTCACCGCTTCAATTGCTTTGTGTGGTTTTTTTTTTAAAAAAAAACCAAAACGAAATAAAAGGCAAAGGCTGGTTCCAGCTGGCCACCCCGCCTTGTCTGCTTGGCCCTTTGCCTCCAGGGGGTGGGGTGGGGGGAGGCAAAAGCACCCTAAGCCCTGGCATGAGAAATATTGCCCTTAATTGCAACCCACCAACTTGGACCTGGTTGAGATTCTTCACCAGAAGCCACGCATCTGAGCCAATTAGGGAGGAAGGAATGAGGAGGCAAGACCAGGGAAAGAGGGAGACGTTTTCCGTCATTGCCAGCATGGCTGGAGGTGGGAAATCCTTCCCTTCCTAACTGCTTAATTATATACAACAGAGACTATCTCTGTATTTGGTGATAATAAGCCAAGCTGGGGGTGGGGGACACTTGTCTCCTCAGAGCTCAGAAGAGCTTTCGTTTTTTAGAAGAGGGATGGGAGGAGGGGCTCCTCTGATTATTTATAACGAACTGTAATAGCAACACATTGCGAAGGATGAGATGGGAGGGTGTCGCTCGCCTTCCATCAGCAGCCAACGTTGCTCACTTCTCCTGCAGGGGCTGGCTGCGCTGCGCTGTGCTGCTGTGGGCGCCTCCCTCCTGCCCCCCTGTGAAAGGCAGAAATGTGCCAAGCGGCTGGCGTCGGCACCCTGTGGGAAAAGTTGACTGTAATTCTTTTGCTTTTAAAATCAATTAATCCGTGTGTTAATTAACGTCAAGTCGACAGAAGGAGGAGGGGAGAGTGAGAGAGAGAGAGAGAGAGGGTGGGTGGGAGGGAAGAAAGGAAAGAGCTGCCTGCAAGGGCGGATGGCAGACTAGTTGGCACGGTGCCATCCATTCAGTGGCAACGCCACAGTTTCGTGTGATAAGAGCAGCAGCGGGCATATGTTCTGGGGGTCCTGTACGTGGGCCAGACAGTGCGGAGCAGCGAAGGGAGATTAGCCAGAGCCCGGGAGCAGACAACAAGCGGCAGCCGAGGGCACGGGGTGCCAGGAGGAGGAGGAGGGCAAGCTCGCCTCTCCCTTGGACTCCAGAGATCCAGGGGCTCCCCCACAGGCAAGGCGCCAACTGGACCCCTCCGCCATTTCAGCTTCATTCTGCTGCAGTGGAGCCAGCGCAACGGAAGACAAAGGCCGCCATTTCCGCCATGATGCCACTCCCAAGCCCAGGCTGGCATCCTTGAGCCTTTAAAAGAAGAAAGGAAAAGAAGGAGGCGCCAAGAGCAAAAACAGCCCCCCGTCTGCTTGCCCCTCCTGCGTTGCTGTGCCAGGGGCAACTGGGCATCTGTCGGCGTAACAGAAGGCACGCAAATGGGTTGTTCGCTGCAAGCTGTTGGTTTGTTCACCAGGCAGTTTCATTTATAGCTAGAACCAGAAAGAGAGAAGACACTCCAGCCCAGTCAACAACCAGCTAACTGGAGACAGCCACCATTGAAGAAGAGATGCCACAGGAAGCATCATGAACGCAGGCTCTGGCTGATACCAGCTGCCAGTCAGTGGACCAGAGAGTGATGCCAAACCTGCAGCGAAAGAGAGGAGATTGGGGGGCGGGGGTGGACGAGGACGAGCTGGAAGGTCTCCCGTAAGACCTTTGAAGGCAGGCAGAAAAGAGCATTATTTGGGTGTTCAGGGTTGGAGAGAGAACATTTCGCAATGCTTCTCTATGGATGCGTGACTGCTGCGTGTGAATGCGCACCTGAAGGCACAGACACTGGCACACACAGAGATAGGTATGTACAAGACGGGTGTGCCTATATGCCCACTCGTTTGAGCATGCACTCAGATTTTATCCATGTGTGCATGCTTGCACACACATGTTGATGCCTGTGTATGTGCACGTGTGTAAGTTAGAAAGTACAAGTGTGCGAGTGAGAGAGAGAATGCCCGTGTATACACTTGCCACTTTTAACCCAGGTATACACAGATGTTCCCCCCTCCACCCAGAAAAAACAAACAAACCCACCCACCCTTCTTCAGAAGCAGTAGCAGATTTATTTCCATGCGTTGCTATCACCAGGGAGATGAATGGGGCCGATGGGACGCCCTTTGCAAGATCCACTATGGAGTGTGTGTGTGTGTCGGGGGGGGGGGAGAGAAAGAAAAAGAGGGGGAGAGAGAGAGAATATATACCACTAAGATCTGCACCAACTTGAAAGCAGAGCGAGATCTGGAAGGTGCTACTCCTGACGCCCAGGTGGCACACCAGACAGGCCAGGTCCAGAGTCCCACTCTGTGGCGCCGGAGGCTCTCTGGGGCTGCTTTGTAGAAAAACAAAGCTGCTTACTTACACTGTCTGTGCTGTTGTGGATCCTGAAAGGCTTTCAGCTGGCATCGGGCGCTGAGCCAGGGACGGGTGCTGGAGACAAAAGGAAGACACAAAAATAAAGTCATGCCACGGGAATATTAATTGGCTTCTCACTTAACGGGAATTTACAAAATATGCTAAATGGGGGTTTGTTTTCCCTCTTCGTCCGAAAAGAAACCCACTGAAGAGAAAAGCGGAGATTGGCACGCATCTCTTTTGCATGGAAAATACTGGTACAGGATTTACTGCCAAGCGGCAGAGATCAGGATTAACAGCAATGGCATCTTTTGGGCATCTTTTTTTCTTCTAATGAACAAGCTTTTGCAGTTAATGAGGAATAATCGTTTTGCTAATGAGCTCTGAAACGTTAAGAGAAAAGAGGGGTGTTCTGTTAATCGCCCGGTGCAGTCGCATGGCTGGATTACAAACGGAATGCAGGACGAAAAGGGGGGTGGGGGATCCTCCTGGAAAAGAAGCCGCCGAGAGATGGGTGCTGGGTCACCCGCGGTGCCCGCTCAAGCCTCCACACATCCGGCCAGCAGCAGCTTGGGTTTCTCAAACTCCGCAAAGTGGATATTCGGGGAAGATTACCATCACCGTCAAAGCGCGAGGCACGGCTCTTAATGTCTCCAGTGTTTAATCATCATACAGTAGAATGGTTTTATGCATATTTCATTTGCATATCATTAAGGCAAACTACAGGGGGATGGTGAGCTAAGAGAGGTGCAATGTTGCGGGCAGGGGCGGGGGTTGGGGGCAACGAGAAGCCTGCCTATCTGCCTGAGATGCCAGGAGCCAGACCTCAGTCCGCCTTCCATTTGGAAACCTTTGAAAGTGGGATATAACCTGGGATACCTCCAATTCCAGCAGCGGAGCCTTCGGAGAGGGGACTGAGGCCAAGCCAGACTTGCGCTGCCAGGAGGATCGCTGGCTCCAGGGGAATGCCCTGGCAGGTCTGCCCTTCTTCACAGGCATTTGGGATCAGATTAATTCTGGAGACGATGTCAGGGGTGTGTGGGTGTGTGGTGGGGGCAAGGATATCCATGCGGGAATTGCAGCCCACCCTCTTATTAGCAAACAGTTGGGTCTCCTCTGTTTTCCTCCTTTGCTTGCTTTTCTTTTGGTGTCCCCACTCAGTCATTTCATCAATTACTTGCCGGCTGAGATCCTTTTGCCCTGGCACTAGCCAGCCAAGGAAGGCACCAGTGGCGGCAGCTGCAGCTGAATACAGGGAATTCTTTGTGGCTCTTAGACATGGCCAACGTCTTAATTGGGGGCTTTTATCACACGCAGACAACAGCAGGATTGTCACTGCTCCCTCTGGCTTTTCATCGGATGCTGGTTGGTTTTGGGGGTGGAGGGGCTTTCCTGCCAGCAGAACAACCATTGTCAGCTTCACAAGCTGCCATATGGTGACATACTCTTGGCTCAGAAGCGGAACTTGACTGGATAATTTTAGATAGCAGAATTTACCCCCCTCCTTTCCCAGCTTTCCCTCTTGGGCAACTATGAATATTCGGATGAGTTGAAATGGGAGGGCGCCGTTGATGGTGGAGCTGCTGATGGCAGTGGTGGCAGAACAGGGAGTTGAAGGAAGCCAGAACTAGGAAGGCACCGTCTTGGGGGGGGGGGGCTTGCTGCATTTCCTCTGCTTGTGCCCATAGCGCTGCGGCACATGCAGATGTCGCTGTTGTTCTTCATAAAAACATAATGATATGCAAAAGCATAACGACCCCATTGGGGCGCAAAGCATCAATGAAATAACAGTGTTAGGACAGAGGGAGGGGGAGGAATGATGACAGACACCCGACTGAAGGAATGTCCACATAAATTATCTTTATTCAAATGAAACAGAACTGGTGGAGAGGAGGGAAGAGATGGTGAGTCATGAGTCACATGGAGTGCAGGCCAACTTTGAATGTGCCAAGGGGAGGAAGATCCTCTCTGCCACGCCCAGAGAAACAGGCAGGGGAGAGAAGGCAGCTGAGACAGCGCTGCATTTCCAGTCACATGTTTCACTAGGAGGCTCCGGGGGCATTCCTGGGCAAGGGACTTTCAGCACTGCTCCAGCCTAGACTGGCATTTCCACAGCGGATGCAGAGAAGCCTCACAAGGAGAAGGGAGACGAGGCAGCAGCACTGGTTCCACAGGAGCTGCTGAGGGTGAAACTTGGACCAGGCCAAAGACCAGCAGTGGCTGCTGGAAAGGAGGCAAGCTGGGGCCCAAGGCAGCCATACCTTTGAGGACTCTGCCCACTCCCGTGGCATGCAGATTCCCCAGAGGTGGACTGAGGAAGCTAGCAAGTGGGGCTGAACTAGAGACCCCCATCATCCTTCCCCACACCTGGATTTGGGGGTCACTGTGCTGCTGAAGGTGAAAAAAAGGAGGCCCACACAGAGCAGGCAGTGACTGATAAAGTGCCCCTGGAAAGGAAAGGAAACCAAAGGGCGTAAAATGGGGTTAGGGTCAAGTCCCTTCAGAGGGCCCACCTGTTGTTTTTAAGTTACAAAGAAATTGCAAAGCAGAGATGGCACCACCAAGTCCAAAGGGATGGAAGCAGCATCATGGAGTCCAAAGCAGGGTTGCCACACAGCTTATTTTGTGTTTTTTTATAAAATAATATTTATTAATTTTCAACCATTTAAACACAGCAAAACAGAAAAACAGAAAAAGAAAGAAAAAAAAAGAAAAACATAGAACTAACAAAGCAAGACACAAACCATTTCAAACACAAAACATTTTCAATATCTTATTTTTCATTCCCTTATTTCCACGTCCTCCTCCCACCTCCCTTTTTGTTTTCCACTTCTGTTAATTATTTCAGCAATTCCTTTCCATCTTCCTCTGTTTTCTATCCTATAATTATCTTAACATATTCTAGCCTTATTTTCCCTTTAATGCACTATTAATCTATTTATACTTGATTCTTTATAACATTTCTACTAAAGCCATATAACTTCATTCCAACATTTTCCTAACATTCATTATTTTTACAGTGTTTCTATAAACAGTCTTAAACTTTTTCCAATCTTCTTCCACCGACTCTTCTCCCTGGTCTCGGATTTCTGCCAGTCATTTCCGCCAATTCCATATAGTCCATCAACTTCATCTGCCATTCTTCCCGAATGGATAAATCTTGTGTCTTCCAGTACTTCACAATGAGTATTCTTGCTGCTATTGTTGCATACATGAAAAAAATCCTATCCTTCTTTAACACCAATTGGCCGACCATGCCCAGGAGAAAGGCCTCTGGTTTCTTCGAAAGGGTATATTTAAATACCTTTTTCATTTTGTTATGAATCATCTCCCAGAGTGTCTTAATCCTTGGGCATGTCCACCAAAGGTGAACTCTAATCCTCAAATTCGTCTGTTTTTCTTTAAGTTCAGTTGTAGCAAGCGTCAACTTGTGTTCATCAAATTGCCTCTGTAGGGCTGGGGCTCTCTTTCTCTTTCTCTCCAGTTGTGTCACTTTACCTTCAGCAGCAACAGCTTTTTCCCCAATTTCCTCCACAGTTTGCCATATCAAAATAGGTTCTTGTATCAATTTCTGGGTGGTTTCTGTATTGGTATTATTTATACTTTCTGTCTTTAAGTTAGTTTTAGTAATTGAAACATCCACTTTCGCATTTATCATGTCCATTTTCCTGTGAAGCTGATCCAGTGAGTCATTTATCTTGTATAATGCAGCCACTAAAGCCTCTTCTGTCGACATTTCTTGGTTTTAAATATACTAGTACAAAGACAACAACAAAAAGAGCAGGAGGGCCTAATGATAGACCTCTCCTGGATTGTTACCAAGTCCTCCCAGACCTTAATGTTTTGTCAACAGTTGACTGGTCTGTTTTTCCTCTTCCATTTACCATAACACTTAAAAGATTCAAGGTCAGTCCCAGAGTCTCACGGTTTTTAACTTGCAGCTGGAAATTCCCCTAGCCCATCTCTTATAAAGCAACCGGTTTCAAAGGCTTCCACTAGGGGGAAACAGTTTCTATTTGTAATAGTCAATAGTATCCTCTTTTAAACAATCCAAGATTAGTTTCAAATTAGTTACAATTTTCAGTTACTTTTACTCCTTTTAAAGCAGCCGGAGACAGTAGAGACAATGTATTTCTCTTATTTAGCTAGCTGTCAATGAACGTTCTAAACGCTGTCAATGAACATTCCAAAAGACGTCAGTCCTACTAGCAGCCCGTTTCCGGGGTCAGAGCGGCGGTGTTTTAAGTCTCTTCGCTCTCTCCCGCAGGCATATTCAATCCGCAACTTCCCCCTCTTTTCTCCTGCCTCCAAGAGGGGGTTTAATGTTCTTTACCGTTGGAAATTTAATCTTTTACAAAAGACCTTCCAGGACTCCAGCTTGCAACTTCATTGCCTCAGTCTATATACAAAAGGGGAAGGCAGACTTCCTGTTTTGAACCTCCCCGTTACGGTGCCAAATTAAACATTTAGAAATCCAATTCTTCCGTTTCAGCTTTACTCACGGGTAATTACTTTAAAGTCAAATTGTCCACAGGAAAAGGTCAGCGCTCTCCGGCAACAGCTATGCGGCTTCGCTCCAAGGAAGAAGCAGACGATTCGATGCACCGCGCCGCTCACCCCACGTCGCTCCGGAGACCCAAAAACCGGGGTTCCCTGCGAGTGGGGAAGGCGTAAAAGGTGCCCGCCGAATCCCACATTCACAGGCTTCTCCCACCTGTGATTTTAACGGGTCTCCGCCTTCGCCGTGGCGGCCAGACCCAGATTTCCACGGAGCAGATTCCTCCCGGTCAGAGGAATTCTGCCATTACCGGAGGCGCCTCCCCCAGAAGTCCTCCACACAGCTTATTTTGGAACAGACAGAATATTAGAACTACGCCAGGGTGAGGAACCTCCAGGCCCTCCAGATGCTGCTGAACTACAATTTGCAATAGCCACAGCAAGCATGGCCAATGGCTAAGGGTGATGGGACTTGTAGTTCAGCAACAGCTAAAGGGCCAAAGCTTCTCCACCCACCCATTATCTAGCCACACAAACACCAGAAATATATGAGAAGATTACAAGGGATTCCTTTTTTATTTTTAAAATAAGTAAAAAAACACACAAAAAAACCCCACATTAAACAAAAAGAAGCCTACTGTAAAGGAATCCAAAGAGTGAAGGAGCCAGTCCACATGATGCGGTGGTTCTAGGTAACACTGGTCTTGGGTTCAAACCCCTCAACGGGTCTTGGTCCCTGTGCAATTTGTTTGGGCTATTGGGAGGACAAAATAGGACAATCTCCATAGATTCTAAACCTATACTGATTGGAGTGATGGAGGAACAGACAGCTGCCTTCTTTTGTGTCAGCCCAATAATATCACCTGCTCTGACTGGCAGTGACCAAATAAGATATTTAGGGGCAGACACCTGCTCTGCATAGAAATTGCACAGAACCATTCACACCAACAGGCCTGATATTCTCTCCCATGAATTTGCCTAATGCTCTTTCAGGGTGGAGGTGGATGGACCAGTCTACGTCTGTCTCAGGTCAATTTCCCTGGAGCTCAATCATGAGCCTTTTCTGTTTGGATTTTTGCACACTTTCCAAAAGAATATACAAAAGATCCGCATGTGAATTGTACAGATTTTGTACACAATCTTCCCATAAAACACATGTTTTAGATGCATTTCCCTGCACTGTTCCTCCTAAAAGAGACAAGTTGTATACTGTACATCTTAACATAAAATAAGTATTTTCACACACACTTCTCAGGATCAAAACAGAATCACAAAACCCAGAGAAGTGTGAAACATGGCTGACAGCTGAATTCTGAGCTGTAGGCAAGTTCAGGAAACATTGAACTGGGTCAGTCTGCTGCAAAAATCTGACCAGATTTGATCACTCTATCCCCATTTCAAAGCCATATAAAGCAGTGGCTTTCACCACATTTTGAAGCAGTGAATTCCACAAGTTAACCTTTAGTTATTAAAGAAGTTCCTTCCTTTGGCTGTCCTAAATGCTATGCCAGTCAGTCAGTTTCACTGCATGGTCCCCAGTTATAATATTATGAGGGTGTGCTTTCTCTACACAATGAATAAACCTGTTATGTCCTTTCACCATCTAATGCACATGATGCAAAATTTGCAAAACCACACATTCTCCACTATCAGCTGCATATTGCAGGAGTCAGTAATATGTATCCCAAAGTTGGCAAATGACCCAAGAGATCTTCTCTTACGTAGTCTTCTCTACTGAGGCCACTTGCACAGATATTTGAACAATTGCATCTTTATAGGAATATTTTGGAATATTCCCCAAACCTCTCTTTGCTGAGCTAGACAGAGCCCAACCCCACTGGCCTTATGCTCTCAAGTTGGGACAACTCTAATGGGATCACTCACCATCACTACCAACCACCAAGTGGGGAGATGTAGGCATGCCACACCTTTCCTTGGGAAGGTCATTTTTTATATTAGCTTTAAATATGAAGTAGTTGGGGGTTCTCTTTTTTCGTTTTGCTTTTAAATGAGAGAAACCTATGGCCACCTTGTATTTAAAAATAAGATGGTAGTTCACCCATGCTCCTTAAATTTAATGCAGCCTTTAGGGGCATTTCCCCCCTCCCCCAGATTACAAAAACCAGAGGACAATCTGACATTATTATCATATGTATCACATATAGCATCATGGACACCCCCTTGAAATATAAATACAACCGCTCACCAAAAGTTATCCACATGAAGACATAGGATGAATGGAAGACATTGCATTTCAGACCAGTTCTGCAAATGTGGATGTCTCCAAATTGTAACACCGAGGAATGAGAGAGCCATTGTGTGGTGTGTGTACATGTACACTGCACTTTTCTGTTAAGCTGGCAGAGGGGAAGCCGTTTCAAACTGTATTTTGCTCTGCTTTTCCTTTAAGTGGGTGTGCAGCAGTCTCCTTTAAGTGGGTGCCACTCTCCCGCCTGCGTAACAGAAAAGTGCAACCAAGCCCAGCACTAAGCAGGATGATTGCTCTCTTTGCAATGGATGATGTAAAAGGAGAATGATCCTGTTTTCGCACTAGGTTCTCCTTTGTGCAATGCTTCAAAGGTTCCTCTTCCCCACCACCCGTAAGAATTTAATAAGACCTTTCATAATGCAATGCAACAGAAAACAAATCTAAACAAAAACAAAGGAAGAGAAAAAGAAGAATGCAAAGTCCTCTCTCACTGGGAGATCTTAAATTGTCCCAAACAGAAAAAGGTGAACCCTCCCACCTCTCCCCGGGAGCTTCCCTTTCTTCACCCAGCCTCCCACCCTAGGAGATCTTGCCTTCCCTGCCTCTCACACAGGGTCCTTCAACAACCATCCATCACCTTCATCTGTATGCAAAGCCCTCATTAACCCTGAGTAGAGGATAACAAAAAACCCAAAGAAACAAAGCAAAGCAGAAGCCAAAACAAAGCAAGAAACAAAAAATAACAAAGAGGTAAAAATACTAAAGGAGTAAAACATAACAACAAAAAAAGGTAAAGGTAAAGGACCTCTGACAGTTAAGTCCAGTCGTGAACGACTCTGGGGTTGCGGTGCTCATCTCGCTTTAGTGGCCAAGGGAGCTGGCGTTTGTCCGCAGTTTTTCCGGGTCATGTGGCTAGCATGACTAAGCCACTTCTGGCGAAACCAGAGCAGCACACGGAAATGCTGTTTACCTTCCTGCCAGAGTGGCACCTATTTATCTACTTGCACTTTGACGTGCTTTCGAACTGCCGACCTTCCGATCGGCAAGCCCTAGGCTCAGTGGTTTAGACCACAGCGCCACCCGCGTCCCAAAAAAATAACAATAAAAGAATATAAAAAAAATAAATAAGTAAAAAAGGACTTCCAGCTATGCACCTGTCAGCTGTATATACAAGAGTTCTTCAAAATTTTCAAATGTTCACTCCAGGGTAGTATCCAGCTGTTCCCCCAGTCTGCATGCACATGAAAGCTCATACCAATAACAAACTTAGTTGGTCTCTAAGGTGCTACTGGAAGGAATTTTTTTTTTTTGTTTCGACCACGGCAGCCCAACACGGCTACCTACCTGTAACTCCATTTGCTAGGCAATGCTTTTCCAGTCTTCAAGTCTAGGCATTTCAAGTTCATTCATTTTTACTTCCAAAAAGTCCAAAAGAGGTTCTTCAATTATTACTATTGATAAAAGTCAATAATAGTCGTTTTCCAGACTAACATAACAATTTTACCTCCAGTACTGAGAAACAGTAAATCCTTGGTCTTTATTCCTTCAAGAGTCTCTTTGCTGTAGTCATATATTGAAAAAATGATCCATAGTTATTTACTTGTGTATAATCATTATTTCACACCCAGATCCTTATCTTCCTATTTTCTGTTGGCCATCATTTTCCATCCTAACCTTTTTTTTAAAAAAAACAACCACATAGTTTCCATTTCCTCTTCTTCCATTATTTTTCCAAGAATGTTGTGAGAGGCTTAATAATTTTTTTCCTCTAGATTTAGTTCAAATTTTATAGTCATTTCTTTCCTAACTCTATTTCTGCCAGCTCAGAATACTTCTTAGTTGCTCCATCCGTGGTTCCCTTCCTCATCTCCAACATTTAGCTCCATCAGGCATGTGGAGGTCCTCTCAATTTCATCATCCATAGCCTCAAGCTTAACTATTACATTCTACTGCTCAGGCAAACCTCCACCAGTATTCTTTCTCAAAGGATGCATATTTTCTCCAGCCTCAACTTTGTCCAATCCTTTTCCATTTACCATTTTCTGCATCTCCACTCTTAGTTCTTTTCAGTGCTCCTTCAATAATTGTTGCATGACACCACTAATCAGTGGGGTGCTTTTCAGTATTTTTCCTATACTGAGTACTTTCCCTGAAATCCATAGTCCTTGCTTATCAGGAAGTTATATTCTTAATATTCCACTCTCAGAACAAGCTGTCACATAGTTTCACATTACAAGCAGCTCATTCACCAGTCAAGCTGAGGATTAAGAATAGAATAAAATAAGATGAATTTTGTTGAGTTGGGGAATCTCTTAGATGTTTAACAACTTTCTTTGGGACGTATGATTAGACTTGCAGGGGTCAGCAAACTTTTTCACCAGGGGGCCAGTCTACTGTCCCTCAGACCTTGTGGGGGGACGGACTAGATTTTGAAAAAAATAATGAACAAATTCCAATGCCCCACAAATAACCCAGAGATGCATTTTAAATAAAAGCACACATTCTACTCATGTAAAAACATGCTGATTCCCAGACTGTCTGTAGGCTGGATTTTGAAGGCGATTGGGCCGGATCCGGCCCCTGGGCCTTAGTTTGCCTACCCATGGATTAGAGCATGCTTTTTTGTTTTGTTATGAGCCCTTTAATGGCATCTCATCTTAAACCAGCTATCAGATCAGAGAGAATCTCTATAGTAATTTATAGGAGTTTCAGAAATGATTGAAGAAAGGGAGGTTGAGCTGATCTTTGCCCTAAGGACTGACACCTAGGGCTATTAAGTGGTGTTTGGGCAAGATTGCAGTTCTGCTGCTGCCTGGTCATTCACCTTGAAGATTTCTCAGTCTCACGATGGGAGAACAGTCCTTCCAGAACACTGGAAGTTAATCCCTGTTATCTCTGTTCCTCAGAGATAATACAATAGGCAATAACTATCATTAAACACCACCTAATTATCTCTGATAATTAACCAGGTAACCAGGAACCTTGTCAGGAAATGTTTCAACAGCCATGATTTCTCACTGGAAGTCCAGTGCTTCAAAGGCTCCTGATAACCAGGTAGTTGTCAGGTGTCTGGAGAGCTGCAAAAAGCAGGTTTAGGGCAAACTCTTCCCTGTCAGCCAAGCCCCACCTTAGCTTTATGACATCAGGTTTAGAGCTGGTGGGCATGACTTGCCCAAAACAGTCTGGTGGGCCAAATGGGTAAGCCTGGCAGACCATGCCTGTCAAGCAAGATGGAGATTATCCCCCGCCTGAACTAGGTGCTGGAATACTCTAGCATTTGATATAATAGACTGACCCAGCAAGTTGCCATGGAAGGTGAGCTGCATGGAAGTGTGACCCTGGGCAATTTGAAACCTTCCATATGCCCACAACTTAAACATGTGAAAGTTTTAGTCTGTTTTAAAGTCTTACAGGCCTTTTAAAAGTGTATTTCTATATTTGATTTATGTTGCACATCGTCCTGAAATTTGACATCATGAAGGGTGCGATAAAAGAAACCTTAAATAAAAAAATAAATCTCTGCTATATGAAACTGGTGACTGGAAAGGCATGATTTTCACAGCAACGCATTCCAGCCCTACTAACCCTAAACTGTGGGTAGGCAAACTAAGGCCCAGGGGCCGGATCTGGCCCAATCACCTTCAAAATCGGACCCGCAGACGGTCTGGGAATCAGCGTGTTTTACATGAGTAGAATGTGTCCTTTTATTTGAATGCATCTCTGGGTTCTTTGTGGGGCATAGGAATTCATTCATTCCCCCCAAAAAACATAGTCTGGCCCCCCACAAGGTCTAAGGGGCAGTGGACCGGCCCCCTGCTGAAAAAATTTACTGACCCCTGCCCTAAACTAAAAAGATGCAATCTCTTTGGCCTTTCTTCCCAAGACAGGGGCTCTGACCACTCCCACATATTTCCTGGTTGCCTTTTTCAGTTCTACAGCATCTTAATTCAGATGGGATGAGAGGTGGCACCATCTTCAGTTTGGATTACTATAACATGCTCTACATGGAGCTCCCTTTGAAAAGTGCTTGGAAACTTCAACTGGCCCAAAGAGCTGCAGCCGGATGGTTGACCAAGGTTGATTATAGGGAGCATAAAACTCCATTTTTACAACAGCTCCACTGGCTATCCATCTGTTTCTGGGCACAATTCAAATGGCTGGTTATGACCTATAAAGCCCTCCATGGCTTATGCCCAGGCTATTTGAAGGACTGTATTCTTTCCTGTGAACCTGACCAGGCTCTGAGAGTTTTGAGGAAACTTCTTTTCTCAGTCCCACCACCCTCACAGGCATGCTTCATGGGGATGTTGGAGAGGGCCTTCTTGGCGGCTGCTCCCAGACTTTGGAAATCCCTTCCTAGAGAAGCTAGACTGGCTCCCTTTTCTTGTCCTTCTGCTGGCAGGTGAAGACTGTTGCATTCAGACAGGCCTTTGGAAACTGCTTTTTTTTTTAAAAGAAAAGAAAGGGTGGGTTTTAATAGTGCTGTGCTGTTTTTCTTATTTGTATTTTAATAGATTTGTTTTTATATTATGTTAACCCTACTAGAGTTTAACTAATTTTTAACAATTATCTTTTACATGTTTTCAGCTTTTTGTATTTTATTTGTGTTCTTTTAATTTGTGTAACCTGTCTTGAGTCCCAGTTTGGGGGAAATGTGGGTTATAAATAAATGTAATAGTAACAACAACAACAACAACAACAACAACAACAACAACATGTTTATAGCCATGCACCACGACCCTTGCAGAAAACAGCATCTCTTCATGCTTCCAGAAAAGCATTGCCAACGAGGAGGAAAGTTTCCATTTATTCCACATATATACCCCTCTTCTTAAAAATCACAAAGCAGTTTACAAGCAATAGTACAAAATACCTCACCTGCAACAGCTAATCAAAAACAGTACTGTACAACCAGCTCTAAATATCAGCATCAGTATGTTATTATTATATTAATAATAGACTACTCTGTAAAAAACTGCCTTGAAAGCCTCATCAAAAAGATCTGAAGGCTGGGATGAAAAGGTGTGTCTTAAGTAACTGGCAAAACTGGCCCCAGGCCTGGCTTCAGCATCTACTGTGTAGCTTCTTTCATGGGCAGTAGGGCTTTGTCTGCAATCTTGCCTCCCCACCCAGTGGAGGTCTCAGGTTAAAAGCAGGCTTCAGGGATCCTCCAGATTGCCCTACATATCACCAAATACATCAGGTATGAGTACCTCCTCTTCATAGAGAAAACTTATGTAAACACATCAAAAGCTTTTGAGGTGTCCATAGACACAAAAAGGAAACCCTTTAAAATAAGGCAGGGTCAAACAGAAAGTTTAGGTTAGTAAGAGGTTTTATAGATAAAGTGCGTATATAACAAAAAGCTCTAGAACAGATGACAGTGTCAAAAGACAGCAATAAAGGTAATCAGGATTAACTGTGGTGGGGGTGGGGGGCAGCTTTGTTTTTCCCAAACTGGAGGGTCTGCTGCCCATTCTGCTTGTTTCTCAGCCAAAGATTTAGATTGCTGACCCTGGAGCTGCCAGTACTGGCTAAAGATGCTTTAGCATCTCTGTACTCTTCTGCATCTCAATTCACTCTGACCTCACTATTTACAATCCTGCCCCCGCAAACCACATGTACATATCCTTGCAACTGAGGATAGTCCAAAAGAGCTTGCACCTTTAAAAGAATGTTAGTCTTTCAGGTGCCACAAGTGAGGCCAGGGCCCCCAAACTTGGCTGTCTAGCTGTTAGTACACTGAGCAGCGACAGCAGCACCAAGGAAATGGTTGTAACAAAGGCCTTGGATAGGGCCCCCTCCATGCATAGCTTACAGTGTAGAAAGAACAGGGAGATGGGGGATTTACAGAAAGCCCAGCAGCAGCAGCAGCTGCCGACAGAAGCTGTATAGAGGCCAATCTGGGGCAAGAGCAAATCGCCCTCCACACCCCCCTCCCTAAGCAGAAGCATGCTCAGAAGTGGGCCCAGCACCACCTTCTGAAGGCCAACAGACTCCAGACTCCAAGAGCAAAGCTGCAGATGGCTAAGAGGCATTGTGGCTCTTGCCGAGAGAGAGCAGAACACTGTTTTGCAAACAGATGCACCATGGAAGAGAGGAACGACACACACCTGTCATTTGGTGTTACACGTAAGCAGTTTATTAAAGAATTAAATATTTATAGACTATAAAGCAAGCAGGGCGATGGGTTGAAAACAGCGTGCTGAGAGGGGCATTATAAAACAATGAGGCTGTCAGTGATTGATCAAGTATGGAGAACACAAGCGTGTGAGAGAAGCACTGCGCCAGCAGCAGCAGCAGAGGCCCCCGAGTTGCAGGAGCCTATCTGGGTTACTGCAGGAAGCCTCCCTTGACTGCTGCTAATGGAGTCGAAAAGGGCTAGAGAAGAGTCATGGTTGTTGAGCGCTGGGCTTGCTGCACAGCCCAAAAGACTTCCTCTCCAAATGGGAGCTCCCATGTCCCCACCTTGTGATGCTTCTCTCTCTCTCTCTCTCTCTCTCACACACACACACACACACACACACACACACACAATGCCAAACGGGAGCAACAGAATACAAGTATTTTAGTCTAATAATGAATGACCTGAAGAAAGGAAACCACAGTCTGGCTATAACAGTAGGCCTGGGGTATCTAGAAAATAAAACTGCATTGTATAACAGAAGCCAATGTGAGTTTTATAGAGTAATAGCCATGCAAGCCCATCCTTATCTCCATTTCTCATGGAATTACTAGACAGGCAGACCATGTGACCACTGCGGACAAAGCATATCTTAATTTCAGCAAAGCGCTTGACAATGTTCCCCCATGATATCCTTGTGGGCAAGGTGGCAAAATGTGGTCCTTCACCTGCTCCTTATGGGAGGAGGACAGCATCCAGTTGCTTTACGACAAACATGTCAAATAGCAACTGGCCTGGGTCTCAGGGGACCAGGCAAGGAAGCAGGCTTCAAGGAACTGGAAATGTAGCAGTAATGCCCTTTAGAGCCATGTCCTGGCTAGGCCATGACATAAGCAGCTTGAAAGGGCATCTAAGAGCAGCCCTGAAGCTGGATCAGGCCAAAGGGGGACCGTCTAGTCTGGCATTCTTCTCCCTGGGAAACTTACAAGCCCAAGAGTACCTTCCTCACTTGACCTCCCCAGCAACTGGTGTTCAGAGGCAGGCTGCCTCCCTGGAAGTGGCAAGCAGCCACCATGACAAGTAACCATGAGAGCCTTACCCTCAAGGCATGTATCTAATTCCCCTTCAAAGCAATCCAAGTTTGCAGCCATTAAGGCATACTGAGGAACTGAATTCCACAGTTTAACTATGTGCTGAGTAAACCTCCCATTCATCTGTCCTGAAGCGCCCACCATTTAATCAGTTCTTCCTTGCAAGGCTATCTCAAGGCTGCAGGAAAGCACTGGGTCTTGGCTTTCTGTCCGCAAAAGTATCTCAAATCCATTCGCAAATGATGCGGGACATGCTTCAGTTGTAGCTCAACAGCCAGCCCACAGTGGCCCCTTCCTCTCCACAGCTAGACTTGAGGCACCTCCTGGCAGAGGCAGCACCACTATATTCTTGAAGACACAAGTGAAGCTACAGCTGCAAGAATCTTCTTGCTTTTCTAAACCCAGGGTTCAATATTCTCCCCAGCAGACGTAAACATGAGATTTCCCCATGTTGCAATGCCTTGGAAGTGCCCAGCCTTTTTAAAGGAGGGCCCCTTGTCCGTTTTGTGGGCAATTGGCTGGGTTTCTCAGATAATGCCCCTCCCTCTCCACCACGTTTATGAGATCTGCCTACAAGCCCCTGGCGAAGATGCCTCCAGCAGCCACCTCCATTTCACAAGACGAGAAGCATTCTTCAGATTCAAATGCTGTGAGGTCAGCAGAGCTGTCGAGATGTTGCTCTTCCCCCTTTAAAAGCGATGAGCTATTTACTCCCTAACAATTCTGCTTCAGAGCTGGTTTAGCATTTTTATTGGAATGTGAAAGCTCTTAAAAGAACAGGGAAAAAAATCTAATCAGGCAGAAGAGATAGAAAACTTGCTGAATTTTTGCTCTCCCCCCCATGCCCCCCTCAACCCTATCAAAAGCCCATCTTCCATTCATTGCTTCCCGATGTCATTATGACAAGCGGCTACAAATCAATAGCAGGAGGAAAGGCCGGGCCAGCCAGCATCAGCCAGTGATAAAGACTCCCTCTCAGCCCCGCTTTGCTAATAGCACATAATAGCAGCCATTGGTGCCCCGCATTAAATCATACATTTCACTCGGCGTTTATTATGGGATTTTTAAAACTCCTCACTAAATTGGATTTTCTCGATGGTCTCTAATTTCGACATTTATCATTTAAAATTAAACTCCTCTGTGGAGATGAAGAATGAAAAGGGGGGGCAGAGAGAGAAAGGGGGAAGGAAAAAGTTTTGTATTTTTCTTCTCTTTAAAATGAAAACCCATAAATAATATTCAAATTCCACTACCACAAGCCCTAAAATTTTTATGTATCTAAAATGTTAGAAGTTTGGCTGGAATTGCTTTGGGAGATTTGCTCTGAAGCTGTTAAAAAGGAAGGATTATTATTATTATTTTAAAAAACACCATCCAGGCTTTTCAGTATTCTGATTTGGATCCAGCTCTGTGCAGAGGGCTCAGGGGCAGTTTCGCTTCCACCTGGTGACCCTGTTACAGAGTACAGGCTCCCATTAGCACACAGCACAGAATTCAACAGGCATTAAGCAGAGGGGTCTGTGCTGGTGGACTGTGTGGTAGGAGGGGTGGGTGGGGGCGGCCTCCATTTCTGAAGCTCCAGTTCTGTACCCAGCATAGCAGGAAAGAGAAAGGCACAGTGGTGCCCACAAGCAGGGTGCAGGGAGAGAAGAAAACACATACAGTGGAGGCAGCAGATGCAAGTGTTGGAGGCAATGCCTACTACATAAAATAAGTGGTGAGATGGAAGCAGCACTGTGTGACATCCTGCCCACCAGGTGACTATGAAGAAAGAGCAGTTAGAATAAAAGAAGTGGTGTGACACCCCTCCCACCAGAAAGAACAGTTTTAGAGAAAAGACCAACAGAACTTTGTGCTCCAGACTCTTGGTTATCCTTGCTTTTGCCTCCCTTCCAAATCTCAATGGCTTTCTCTCCTCTCTCTTTTTGGACTTTCTGGCCCACAACTGAACATGCTGCTTTACACAAAGTCTGAACAGTTCCAAAGTAAGTGGAGGGGAGAGAGGCCTTGCCAAGCCTCGACATGATGGCCTCAAGGACCCTCTTATGAGCATCACTCTTGGCCCATGCACACAACAGCAAAAGAGAGGTGAGGCTACAGCCACTTTCTTACACTCCATTGCCCCAGAAATGGCAGGGTGATGGTAGGGCACCTCAAAGGGCCACAGATTCCACAGCACCACATCAGGAGCACACCTGGCTCATGACTTTCAGACAATAGGGCACCAAGCTCAGCACTTTCCCTGGCAAAAGCTACATTTCCAGCCTGCCACTCATTTTTCGCCTTTCCCCCCGCAACCTGGCCCACACACTAGTCTATAGGGTGCTGCTGGAGACAAGAGGAACTGCCCCACGCAGTAGGCCTTGCCTCAGTATGGCAGGTCAGGCCTGGAAGAGATGCCCAACAATTCTCGTTGAGCTTGCGCAACCTCATAGTTTCCTGCAGCTCCAGATTCCGAAACATCCTATGGCTTATTGATCCTGGTAATCAAACTCAGCAACAGTTGAGAACCACTCAATTTTTCCCTACTGGAAATGTGTGTAAGACACCATGGTTTGCAATTAGCTGACTGGGATTAAATGCCACTCAGGGTGGGCTTTCCTCTTGCTGGATCCCAGGGCTCTGCCTGCCTGAGGATGTTCCTGGCAGGATTCCCTGACTTGTGAGGGCCTGCTGGAAATAGCATGGGAGGCATGAAGAGTCGCCAAGCCTTTTTGAAGAAGAGCTGAGCTTGAGCTTTATGAATTCATTTATTAAGTTGCTTGGTCCATGTTCCAGAGACAAAGACAGCTCCCAAGTGGAAGAGGAGGAAGGAAATGGAACAGACACCCTCCAAAGCCCAGGCTGCTTCGAGCACAACTGGCTCTTCAAGGGGGTGGGCTGGTGAAAGATGCCCTTCTCCCAACCAAGCCATTCATTCGCTCTGCCATGAACAGCCATGCTCCAACGTACATGGCCTGCGAGGAAGAGAAGGCTCTATGCTCAGTCTGCACGTTCACACCTGATCTTGGCCAGGCCTCTAATCCAAAATGGAAAAAAGAGCAGCCATTGCTACACAGTCAGGAGGAAATATCTCCTCAATACTGGACAGGCTGTTGCAAGCAAGGTGACCTCACAATGGCTAACCAGGAACCTCCCCACAAATGCTCTAGGAGTGGCAGATTTAAACAGCCTTTGGATTTGCATTCCACCACAGAGTGAGCAAACACGGAACACTTGCTGGGTTTGGGGGAGGGAGGGATCAAGTTGAGCACAACTGAGTCACCCTATTCAGGCCAGAGAAGGTGCTACCAATTATTGGATGGGAGATCAGAGACTTCAAGCAAAAAGCTTAATAGTACTCCAATACAGTTCTTGATCTGTGGCAACTGTGAAAAATCATCTTTGTTTTAAACTGTGATTCAGTTTATATTTTGTAGCTTTTCAGGAGCATACAGAATTTTAGAGTGCAGTTCAGCAAGCCATAAAATTCCAAGTCATGGCAAACGTAGTTCGCAACACACACCATGTCCCGCTTTTTGAATGTTACAGTTCATTGTTTTTCACAAGTAATGTGCTTTTCTGCTATCTACCATTTGACTGGAGAGGAACAATGAGAACAGCAGAAGCCAGGAGACAGAATAGGAGGCTTAGAGCAAAGCACAAATCATGCCTCCCACCTTCTCCCTACCTCAGGTTAGTTACGCAGCTATCCTGGGAAAGAGGGGATAGGCCCGGATGCACATCTGGCATGGAAAGTGTGCTAATGCTCTTCCCCACAGCATTTAAGCAAATCAGATGGGCTGCAAGCACTATGTGGGGAGAGTGGTGGAAGATATCCTTTCAGCAGCAGAAGCGGCCGGGGGGCTTAGAAGGCTTCCAAGCAGGGATTCCCAGAAAAGCCCAAAGAGCAAGAGGCCCTGGCCCACAGCCAGGGCACCTTGGGGAGAGCAGTTCTACCCTAGAACGGGTCACAATCAGCCAAACATGAGCTCTCCCACCCCACCCCACTTGTACCGCTGCTCTGTCCTGCCTCTCTTCTGTTAGCTGGCTGAGCAACCATATCCAGCAAGGGCTCATGAATGGCTCTGCCTCAAACTGGAATGAGGTCTTATGTGGTGTGCCAGAGGGCTCTTTGCAAAGCCCCAGGCTGTTCAACCTTTTTACAAATGACTTGGATGGAAACGTAGAGAGGACTCTAACCAAATTTGCAGGTGACACAAAGCTGGGAGGGAGACATCAGCACAAAAGACAGATGCCAGATCCAAAGTGATCTTGACAGGCGAGAACACTGGGCTGAAACCAACAAGAGAAAATTCAATAGAGATAAACGTGAAGTCCAGCACTTAAGAACAAAAGAATCAAAGAAACATGAACACGATGGGGGAGCCTTGGCTTGGCAGCAGGATCTGCGGAAAGGATCTGGGTACAGAGGCTGTTCACAAGCCAAAAATGAGCAAGCAGCCCAACACAGCTGCTTAAAAAAAGCAAACATAGGCCTAGGTTGCATTAATAAAAGCATCACATTTAGGTCAGGAGTTCCCAAACTGTGGTCCACAGCATGTCTGCATTAAGTATTTATATTAATTTTAAACTGAATTTACATTCCTACTTCCATTTCTTATATTGTATTCCATTGAATTACAAATTGAATTTTATTGAATGCAAATTGTAATATAATAAAAGAAAAAACAAGCAATAAAAATACAATTAAAAAACCCACACAGCATCTAGCACAGTGCATTACAATTGTTACAATGGGCAGCAATATTATTACGTGGCCAATGGAGGGGAAAGTATAGGATCTAGATCATGGGAAGTCATAGTTCTGCTGAATTCTGTGCTGCTCAGACCGGCATCTAGAGTAATGTGTACAGTTCTGGGCACTATATTTTAAGGAGAGCAGGAACAAACTGTAGTGTGTCAGGAGAAGGGTGGCAAGGGAACAAAGCTCTACGATAAACAGTTGAAAGAACTGCTGGGCAGGCTTAGCGTGGAAAAGAGAAGGTGAATGAGGCAGGTGACAGCAGGTATTTCAAACATCTTGAAGGTGCAGTCAACTCTTGTTCTCTGTTGCTTCAGAGGACAGGACAGGGACTCATGAGTGAAAATGGCAAGGAAGCTAATTTTGGCTAAAGATCAGAAGAAGCTTCCTAAGAGAAAGAGCTGCTTGATAGTGGAAGAACATTGAGGAGAGGGTTGAAGCACATCATGACCTCCAAGATCCCTTTGGACTCCATGATTCCAGCGCAGGGGAAACAGAGTGACCTCTGCTCCAGCCCACCAACTGCACGCAGGCAGAAGCTTCATCTTCCTCCGCAGGGCCTGACTCTTTCTCACTGGCTCTGAATCCAAAGCCTGGCCCTTGGCACCTGGAGTGGCAGGCAGGAGACTGATGAGCAGCCGCAGCATCGGCTGTCTAGATGGGGGATCTACAGCTCCAGGGACCCAACATTTTAAATGTTTCCAAACCAGCCAATTTCCCAGATCACCTAATCAAGATGCCTACGTCTTTTTTGGCGGGCGGGGGGGGGGGCAGCCCGGGAAGACGTCACCTTTCCAGCAAGCGAGCAGAATCCATTATAGGAAACACTCTGGAAGGAGGGCGCCCTTTGAAGAGCTTGCGGCCTGGGGGCCTCATTATTCTCCTGACTGTGATTCAATTTGCCCTGTTCTAAAGACCCCTCCCAACCCAACACACCAAATATGCACCTAGCCAATAATTTCCAATTAATGCAATCAGTTCCTGACTTCTCCCTGACCCCAACAATCACCTGGTTGGGCTGAGTGGAAGGCAAACAGCACTGGGGAGGAAAGGCATAGCAAGAGGCTGTCTGATTAATTCCCCCCTTCCCCAGCCCAATAGCTTGCTTGATGCCCCCCCTCCCCACACAGCTGGGATGCTTCTAGGCATCTGCCCAGGCCTGTCCTCAGACATAAATAAAGGAAACGGGGAAAGGGACCCTTCTAGGCGATTATGAAATCAGCGCATGAAAAATAAGAGCCATCATTACACTGAAAGAGAGGGGGCTGGGGGGGGGGGAGAGGCAGCAAGAGAATCTCTTTCTGCAGATTTGCCTTTGAGAGCGGCAAGGGGCCGTTCTGCTGCTTACATTCCGTTGCCCTGGCAACATACTCCTGTAAAATAAAGATTATTAAAGCGCATATGATTATTCGGCTGCTGAGTGAATGAGGCAGCGGCGGCAGCTGCTTCTGAATTCCTTATCAGAGGAATTCAATTTCTGCCCAAATTGCATTTCTGCCACCTCATACAGGCACCCCACCCCCCATACCAATCCAGACACCAGTTCCTCAGCTAGAGAAACCACTGGGGTGCCTTTCATGCCTCCCCTTTGCCATTTCAGGCAATTGCTTCAGTCCACACAAGCAAATTGGTGCAGGCCCACTGCCCTCCCCCCACAAGAGAAAAGCCTACTCAGACAAACCACACCCTGGGGTTGCAAGGGGACAGCTATTCTGCTACTTTGATAATCAGGTAGAGAGGAATTTTCTGCTTATTATTCCTCCTTAGCACAGAGGTGGGAAAATAAAAATAAAGTAAAAAACCCAAAAGGGCTGAACTCCCACACTTCTCTTACTGGTTCGAGGAACCACCAGTCATACTGAGAAGCTGAAACCTGCCCCCCCGCCATGAGCCCTTGGTCCTGCAGTTGAAACCCAAAGAGCTACGGAGAGCATATACTAGGAAAGAGGCTTCCTCAGGGCAGGGCTGACAGGGCAGAGCAGGGCTGGGAGAGCTGGCCACAGGACTTGCCAGGCCAGACTGGGTTGAAGGTCCACCCATCCCAGCAGACATCTGTGACAGAACAAAGCAGAGTTTGCTGCCAACACCTTGCAAATCAGCGTTAGGAAGGCTCTCTTGCCATCTGCCATTCAGAAGCCGTTGCCCTCACCGTCATAGGTCCAAGTGGGCATTTGGCAAAAGAAACAAGCCCAGCTGATGGAGGCCCAAGCAAGAGCCAGGCATGCGCATACTCCCAGCCACTCCCAGCACTGCCCAGCAGGTGTCTCTGTAGCTCTGGGAATCCAGGGAGCTCTGTGCAGCCTCTCGCCACATCCTGGATTGCGCCAGCAGGCAAAGCTAAGCACAGAAGGGAAGAGAGAAGAGCTCACCCAGTGCTGCCTACCTGGGAGAGAGTGGGCAAATGGTTGTCTGCAGGCCAGGCCAAGCAGGCTCCTGGGAAGGAGCAGCTCATTACCCCTGCAATGCAAGTCAAGATGCCAACAGAACCACTCATTTGAGGAGAAAATCAGAACTGACTGAAGGGGCCTCGGTAGGCAGAGCAGCAAGAACTGCCCTTTGCCCACTTTCCAGCTTTTGATGGACCCCACAGTTTGGTTAGGAAACAATGAACTATTTAAAGTGGAAAACAAGTACAAGATTGCCCTTGCCTTAGAGAAAACAGCATCTTCCTGAGCACAGGGAGGCTTAAAATGCATGAAAGAAGGGGGAATTCTATGGCTTTAGGCCAAATTAAAATCTGCACAAACCCTAAAGAAAGGATTCAAGATGTGGCCTCCAAACATGCCAATGTGCTGCTGTCCGTTTTCTGCTAGATGACTAATTTGAGGGTGCTTGTTAACACTGAGGTTCTCTGAGCGCATGGCCATGCACCCACTATTGACCATCCTATACCATTCTCTCTCTCTCTCTCTCTCTCACTCACACACACACACACACACACACACACACACACCTACACACACCACCACCACCAACAAACAAGGCACTTTTCAAGTCTGTCTGGAGTTGCCCTTACCCTTGCAGCAGTGTGGGATAGGAAGGAGACAGCAGACACCCAAGGAAGCTAAAAGCCCTTGTCCCACACTCCTTTCCCCAGAGCCATGGAAAGAGAATGGGACAACTCTAGGTGACTGCTGAGGAACAGTTTTGGGACCCCAGACCGATGGTTTTTTTGCAGCTGTATTATGCAACATGTCATTGACACAATAATAGCCTAACAGTGGTGGATTTATACTGGACAACCACACATCATTCTACTTTGCTTGTTCTGCAACACTTCCTCAGGGTTGCTGCATTACTGCCATCTGGATACATCCGTGTTATAGTGCAACAAAAGCAGGATTTCACCAGGAAGCCACGGGACATGCACTGTCTGGAAAAGAAGCTGTATGTCCACCCCAAAACTTTTGCAGGCACAAAGATATTGAAAGCAGGTTCAGGTAGATAAGCACCCCTATACCATCAGCAGCACAAATAACCAGGAATGCATAGAATAAAGGATGTCAGCAGGGGGCTGAAGTGTTCATTCAGAACTCCTATACATAACAAATGGTTGCAGTTGAGGGTTTGGTCCTCCACCAATAAGCAGTTATCAAATTGTCCAGCTATTATGTTTTTAAAGGACACAAGGCTACCGATAAAGAATTTGTCAGTATGTGTTTGGCCATTGTGTGTGTGTGTGCGCGCACACACACACACACACGCGCGCAATTAAACAATATCTCTGTCATATATGCAATCAACAAATTTGAGTTTTCTTTCCCACATTTTCTTCTTAGCTCAGTTTTCTGTTTGCCATCTGTTATGGTCTACCTAGCACTCTAAAGCTTTGGGAAGAGCAGGAACACCCTGCTGGCCCCTCTCACCCTGCAACCTGGATTCGCATTTCTCCCAACCTTATGAATCAGGCAACAGCCACTTGCTGCAGTAAGGGACAAGATTCTTCAAGAGGGGGAGATGGGAAGACTGGCCCATGGGTCCTCTCATTCGCAGTACAATCGGTGGGGCCAGCACACACACAGGCCCAACTACAGGCTGCCCTTTTTTCTGCCTAAGGGCATGTAGCAGAGAAAAGGCCAGTGGTTCTGTTCAACTGGGGAAGCGATTCCTGCACCAGGTTAAGTGCTGGGAAAGGGGAAGCTGCCCTTGTTGCCAAACTCAGGAAAGAGGAAGAGGAGGAGGGGTAAGGTGGGGTGGAGGACAGAGAGGGAAAAAAAGGGGGGGGGGGAGAAAGGGTGGAAATTGAGAGCTCTAAGGAGAGAAAGTCCTGTCTGGTGGGGAAAGAGTAGGGTTTCCAGCTTTTCCATTGGTCATCGGAGCTGTAATTTGATGTACAAGTGACTCATCTTCATGATGTGAAAAGGTTAACCTGCTAATTTCTATGCCTCCCCCCATGAGTTGACAGCTACCGGAAGAAAGAGAAATGAGGGAGGAGGCTTGCCAAAAGACCTGTAGAACAAGAGAAGGGGGTTCAGAAAGACCCATTGAAACAGGGAAAAGATGTAGAGAGATTCAGAAGAACCTGTGTAAAGAGAGGAAAAAGGAAAACCAGGGAGGTTATTGTAGGTTTGAGGGCGATCCCATAATGCTAGTGGGACAGAAAATGATTTCTGCAGTGGGTTGGCTGGGAGGAAAGACAAGGAAACTGAAAGGGGAAAAGCACAGTAACTGATGGGACAAGAGAGGAAAAGGGCATGTGCAATGAGCTGAAGAGACAAAGCAGAGTTGATAGAGAAGCACAGCTTGCTGGATGTGAGAATAAGGCAAGTCTTCCCAAGCCTACCATCCCACATACAGAGGGGGTCCTCCTCCTTCTGCTCTCTAGCAATGAGTACTTGGAGGTATGTTGCCTCTGAACATGGAGCTGCAATGACCATGAGTTGTAGAGGGGGGTGGCAGTATTCATCTAAGCTTTACTCAGAGTAGACCCACTGAAATTAAGGAACATGACTATGGTAAATTTGATCCATTAATTTCAACAGGTCAATACTGAGTAAACTTTAGTTGAACAGCACCCAGAGAATTCAACTCCAAGACTTTGCTGAATCCACTTTTCAAGCTAGGAAAAAACCAGCGTCTACCACAGCATCCCATTTCAGGAATTCCACAAGTGAACTGCATTGTGTAAAGACATACCATCATCTGTTAATCCTTTCATTGGTGGGCCCCAAGTTCTAATAAGAAAGGGAGAAAAACTCCTCTCTGTTCCATGTTCTGCACATGATGCATAATTCAATGAGCTTCTATTAAGCTCTTTCTTTTCTAATCTAAAAACCATTAAAGGCTTTAATTGCACCTCATACAGAAGGTGCTCTAACCTCCTGATCACTCAGGTTGCCCTTTTCCTGCTCTGCTGCATTCTTTTGAGAAGGGACAACCAGAAAGGTGCACAACTGCAGCAGTGCCAGAGATGAACAGAGAGCCATTAAGCTCCTTGGACACCACCTTTCCAGGCCCCAGCTTGGAATTTTCCTTTCCCACCCACCCCAGCTACATACAGAACTGGATTTTGCACTGAACTTTACATCATTCCAGTCCCAATACTTCCTTAGAAAGTCAGTTTAAGACCCCACTTTAAGACCCTATCAGGGTCTTATATGAACATTAAGGATTATTTTTCCCTAATACACAGAAATTCAGGTTGACTTACACTAAATGGCACCTCTGCATAGCTGGCAGGCACTCCCTTTGGAGTTGTTTGCAATTTGTGCAAGTCTTTACCCTCCTGAAGTAGTTTGGAGTCATCTGCCAAACTGGTCATCTCACCATTCACTCCAGCCTCCAGTTCATTTGTGACTCAGTGACATAGCCTGGTTCCAAAACAGGTCCTCAGGTGACCCCACTCCCTCCTTGCCTCTACTGCAGAAACTGTCCATTTATTCCTATGCTGTCTCTCTAAGCAGTTACTGATAGCAAAGCAAGGCCTGTTCTCTTATTCCAGGACTGAAGCCTTTGGGGATGGAGTCTGCCAAAAGCCACTTGGAGGTCCAAACACAAAAAGTTTACTGGGATCTCTCTGTGTACCAACCCTCTCAAAGAACTCCAGAAAGGCTGGCAAGGCAAGATTCCCCTCGGCAAACCCCCCATAACTCTTCCTCTGAAAGGCTTGTATTTTCTGTTCCAGCCTTGGAGCCCTCCGGATGTTTCTAACTACAACTCGCATCAGCCCCATCTAGCATATTTAGTGCTCAGGGATGATGCAAGCAGTTGTCCAAAAAGATCTGGGGGGGGGGCTACCACATTGAGGGAGGGGCTGTTTTAAATGTTTACCATAATGAAGGGGAAATCTGTGTGCGTCCTATGGGGTGAATACAGGCTTTCGCTGAAGCTTGGAGAGCAAGAGCAATCGGTGCGCACCGACCCCTCTCACTCTCCAGGCTTCAGGAAGCTATCAGCAAGCCTGGGGAGCCTGCGGGAGTTGCCACAGGGCTCCCTAGACTGCGGATAGCAGCCTGCCGCCCGGCGCGCAGGATGCCCTTAAGCAGAGCACGCCGGGCAGACATCCGCAGCGTGGGGAGCCCTGAAGCAGAGTGCCCCGCCCGCCGGGCAGACATCGGCCAGCCCCACAAGCTCGGGGGACAGCGGGGAGGCGCAGCGCCGCCATCCCGCTGTTCCCCAACCTGGTTTTGGGGGGGAAATAAAGGAATTTCCCCCCTTTATTCCCCCCCCCCAAATTAGGTGCGTCCTATGGGACGAAAAATACGGTAATCATTCAAGTTTTAATTGTGCTTTCCACCAACTTATACAATGCGCTAAGAAGCCTGTAATTTCTGGCCTCCTCCATAATATATATTTAAAATAAATAAATTAGATTTATTTTGGTTACCCTCTAATAGCCTCTGGTAAATTGGATGATTTAACAAACCCTTATATATTTCTGCTAGAAGATCAACAATTTTAAGGGAGGGCTAATAAAGATGGGAGCTGAAAGGCCTACAGTGATGGAGAGAAGAGAAAAGGCCACCAGGGGTGCTAAAAGAAACAGGAAGCTAACTCAGAAGGCACAAAAACATGACACAAAGGTTTTTCTGTGGTTAACATGGTGCTGCAACTCCAGTTAATGTAGAAGTGCCTCTTTCAGAGTGAATGGAGTTGGGCATCCTGTCGCTGCCTTAAACAGGCAGACCCACAGCTATCAGCAAGGAAATTCGTGCCCTGGAAGCCAGGATTGTGACCCCCATCCAGCCCCTACACATACCTGTATTTTGTCCTCAGCTGCAGCCAGTTTCATGAGGTCAAGCATTTGGTTCTCCAGCTCCTCCACTGTCTGAATCAAGATGGTGTTCTGGTCACTCAGATCTATGATGTAGGCCTGTAGAAGCCTCACCTCCATCTGCACATGGAGAAGAGAGAAAAAGTAGAGCCTCAGACACCCGACTCAGTGTTGAGAATTAGGAAACAAGGACAGCAGACTGGGTCTACCCCAGAGGGCATTTTCTGAGAAAGTGGTTTGGCTCAGAAACCAGCCGACAACAATGACAGACCCCACCATGAGGACCCAGAATGTGGAGTTGAGTATGTTCCTAGTCCACCTGGAGGGGTGGGGGAGAAACCAAACTTCAGAAAAGGGCCTTCCTATCCAGGTCTTGTTTGCCTTTGCAGGAAGCAGCTGGAGCTACTTTTTGCAGGAAACAGTTGGGTCTGACCCTCTGCATACCAGAATCACTTAGTAACCTTAGGAAGCCACTGTCTTCAGGCAGCCTATGCAGAACTTGCAGTTCTCTTTCAACTCAAGTGTGTCTTTCTTTTCTGAGAGAAGGATATGTGGGAATGGCAGCAGGTAGGCGGGAGGAAGAAGCAATAAATGAAGAGAGGGTTCTAGCTGCTCTTTCCAGAACCTCTCATCTTAAACCATCAGGGGTGTCACCTCACAGAGCCATAGTCTTCGACAGTACAGGGACTTAATCACAACATTGAGCTTTTCGGCCACAGAAAGGCCAAAAATGACCTAGCACCAAGCCACAAATGTCCCTAACTCATGTCTCCATTCCCAGGATGTCCCTCTTAGCCCTTCAAAGAGGCAGTTGCCCTGGCCAACTCCCTGCTGGAGAACAGCAGAAGGGACCAAATCCATGTTGCCATGAGACAAAGCCAGGGCCCACCTGGTGGGTTTGCAATTACCATTTGCCAAGATAGGCAGCCACCTCTCCCTTCTAGCTGCTGGGAGAAGGAAAAGGAGGGCAGCAAAACTGTGCTTCCCAGTAGCTACCAAAAATGAAGGAGTTCACCCAGAAGTCTTCACTAGTAAAGTTTTGGCACATGGAAACCTGTTCCTAATCAACCAAGCTACTCCTTTGGGGTCAAATAAAGTGATTAGCTTGTTAAGTAGCAAGCTTTTAATAAGCAAACGTGACTGAAAATTCTCCTCCACATCCTGATAATTTCAGTGTTTCTAATTCATTATTAGAGCCTAGATTCATTAACTATTCAGTTTATAGATATTAATGCTTAAGATGCATGCATCACCTGCCAAAACCTGAAGAGAAATTGTTTCAATTAGCCTTCATGGATCGTGAATCCTACCAGCTGGGTATTTTTAGACAGAAGAGACAAACACATTCCTAAGCCGTGCTAATGTACAGATAGGATATGTGTAGAAGGTCACTTGAACAAAGCTATAGTGCGTGAGCAAGGAAAGTTATACCTTCAAAAAAATGAGGAACACTGAGGCAGTTGATGCTATACGAGTTCAGGTGCATAAGCAAACATGTGATTTGGAAGGCAGGCTAAAGTACAATGGAAAACAGCCTCCACAGAATCATTTCTTGTCTAGCCACAACTCTCCCTCACTGCCTTCACCTTTCATGCCAGCCAAATATTTGTGGTGATAGAAGCCATAGCTACTTGTCTCATCACAGGCAGAAATGGTAGGAAGAAAATGCGACCCTGTTTCTATACTCCATTTTGTAGAGCCCCCTTGACAGTTGCCCACCTCCCCAAGGGTACTCCTTCATGTCTCTTACTGATAAATATAAATAATTGACACCCCACACATTCAGCATCAATGTATGTTCCCATAGAGTAGCCCTGCTGGATCAGGTCAAAGGCCCATCTGGTCTCGCATCCTGTTCTCACAGGGCCCAACCAGATGGCCCAATGGGAACTCCAAAAGCAGGACCTCTGCCCACTTGCGATTCCCAGCATACTGCCTCTGGCACGGAAGGTAATTAATTAATCATGGCTAGTAGGATAAGTACTGGATAAGTCCTCCAGGAGGTTGTCTAATTCAAGTTGGTGGCAATCATCATCACTACATCCTGCATCAAGGAATTCCATCATTTAACTATGTGCTGTGTGAAAAAGTAGTACCTTTTGTCTGTCCTGAATTTCCCAACATTCAGCTTCACTGAATGGCCTTTGCTGAAAGTGAAATCCATCTTTTTCACTTTATCCAATATATAATTCAATATACCTCCTTCATATCTTCCCTTAACTCAAGCTTTTTTCCCAAACTAAAAAGGCTCCAACATTGCCACCTTTTTATCCACACCTTCAATCAGTGCTACTGACGGCCCATGACAGAAACACAATATTACATGTGTGTTTTTTAATCTGCAAGGGAGTGCTGAAGCACCTGAGCACCATGAGCTGGCATTGGGGAGAATCTGGCCTATGGGGAAATCTATGCAAAGCCTCTGCCACAGGTTAGGCATGACTGGAGAATCCTGAACTTTGCCACATCTTTTAACAGTTCCAAACTCTGAGAAAAAGATGCAGCTCCTCACTTGTATCCTATGGAGGCATTGGCAGTTCCTTATTCTTGCCTGCCAGTCCTATTGGAATGAAGCAGGTTCTTTGTTGTTATTTGAACTTTGTGGGAGAAAAATCACTCGGTCATTAGACATCTCCAACTATGGTCAAAACACAGCAGGCCAGAAGTAGCAACAGATTTATTATTACCGCAGTACAGGAAAAACATTTTTTGTCTGTTACATGATCCAGTTAATTACCCATGCAAAGCAAAGCTACTCTTGGCTTCGCAGAAACTCCACATATGCCCCCAGGGATGTTAAAAGGAGGTGTTGTTAGGGGGTGGGGAGGAAAACCTCAGGCTCGGAGGACTAAGACTCACAAGAGTCCCTTGAGTATTGCAAACTTTGGGGCTAACTTCCATGGCTTCAGGTTCCCTATGACAATATTCATGTCAAAATCTCTGGAAAGAGATGCAAAGTGTCCCCAGATACTTTGGATGTGGGAGGGTGGGAAGAGAAAGGCCTCCCCCTCTCCCATACAGAATCCAGAGCTGCAGAGTTAGGGCAGACTGTTAAAGGAAACTGTCTGGGAACAAGAGCGCCAGAATTGCAGTAAGCACACAAGAGGGAATGGAGAGGGCTGTTCTTCCTGGACTTGTGCTGCTTCCCCAAAAGAATTGAGGGAGGGAGAGATCCTTCTGGCATGCAAATGACAGCCATGAACAAGCTGAATATGGAGCCTTGAACTCCAAGAAACTGAAGGGGAATCCCTAGGAATTCCCAGGCATTAGTACTCATATGTAAGTCGTAAACAACAGGGATGCTTCAAACTCTATAATTTATGATGTGACATAGTAGACTTGGACTGGACGGGCCCAAATTCAAATCCTGGCTCTTCCACTGCCTAACCTGCAGCAAAAGTTGTTGTAAGAGGGGGAACCATTTAAGTAACCTGGAGCTCCTTGGAGGAAAGGTGGAATACAAATATTAAAAATAATTAACTACCAGTAATTACAGTGCAAATGTGAAACGCAGCCTAGACTGTCATCAGCACAGACAAGTCCAAGCCAGGCTACTGGGCGGTCAACAAGGGGTGGAGCAAAAGACTTTGCACTCTGCAGATCTGAGCATCCACCTCTGCACTCCACCCCACAAACTAAAATGGTACAGCCAGGATTCTACATAAAGACACTCCAATTGCTCCACTTTCTCCAGAAGAGAAAGAGGGGGCGGGGCAGAAAGGGCTCCATGCAGAGGATGATGAGGACAGGGCAAAGAGGGAGGGACTCCTTGGTAGTGACACCACTGTCTTATAAGGCAGCTCACTCTACACCAACTTCAATGTCATTTTGGCACCAGATGGAGATCTATTTGCTTCCGTAGATCTTTTAACAAATCATTGTGGCTATTTTACATTGCTTTTATCAGATGCCCTTTGATTTTATGGTTTTGGTGTTTATGTATTTTTTTCCTTCTTTTTATTTGAAAGATATCCTCGAAATATTATACTGAAGGGCAGCCCATACCTTCTAAAAATGAAAGAAATAAATGAACCCACAAATGAGAGGGGGCATGCATTAGGGAGGGATCTGTGGCAGCCAATCCAGAAGGAAGCTGAACTGGAAAATCTGCAGGGCCCCCTCTCCCCAGCACCCATCAGTGACCAAAACCAGACTGAAAGGGATGCAGATAGTTCCAGTGTTTTGCATACTGGGGGCTGAGCAAGCGTCCACAGAGCACCAGCTTCTGAAATCTACTTGTGAAGCAAGATATTGGCACCACATGGAAGAGAGATAAAACTAAGTATGCTGGATCCTGTTAGCCCAGCCACTGGACGAGCTGCTGCAAAATTCCAACTACAGAGGCAGATTAATCTAAAAACAGGAGAAGAACAGCACAGTTTTCACTAAGGAAGCCAAAGATGAATTCAGTGAGGAGGAGAAAAGGACATGAGAGGGAGAGTCTGTGTGTTGTGAGCAAGGGAGTGGGGAGGGAGAGGGAACCGAGGCTGACATGCTGCTGAGAAAGAGGGCCAAAAAAAGAAGAGGGTCAGAGGGAGACACCAGAACCATCAGCATTAAAGAGTAGCAACATCCAGAGCCAGAACTTCAAGACCTCCTCTCTCAAGAACCAAAAGCAGCATTGCCCACCAAACATTTACAGCTTGTTAAAACTACAAGGGACTGCGACAGCCACTTGCCAAGAGCGTCAGAAGAGTACGGCTTATTGCAGTTTCTCTAACTAGGGCACAGAGATCTTCCTGACAGCCTTTGGAGCTATGGGCAGCTGTGCAAGCAGAATGTGGGACAACACACTAATACTATTCTAGCCTTCCTTTTCAGAAACCAGAGGTTTCACTCTGCGTGTGTAAAAGAGACAACAACTTCTTGGCAACGCAAGTAATGTGCTGGCAGTACAGAGCTCTATGCCTGGCTAACACACCTCCAGCTTGATCGTCAGTCCAACTGCAGCTGAGTCTCTGAGCCTGACTGATCTCATTAATCCAAGTAATCTTCTACGGAAAGATCAAATCAGCCTGGAATGCCCATCAGTGGCCAAACAATGGAGCTCTTCAGAAATTTCAAAGCCACAGGAGCATAAGAAGAACCCTTCTGGATTTAAGAAAAAGGGCCCTGCACCTTGAACTGAGCTCAGTAATTAACTGAGAGCTAGTGGGACTGTCTTAACGTTTTTTGGTGGGAGGGAGGGAGATAGGGAGGGAGGGAGAGAGAGAGAATGTTGTCACCCAGCCCAGGTCAGCAGTTGTGTTCTGAAGTAGCCACAGTTTCCAAATTGTCTCCAAAGACAGCCTCAACAATAACACATTACAATAATACTCTTTTGAGATTTCCAGAGCCTGGATGACTGGAGGGAATGGTACAAAAGGGGCTGTAGGAGGCCACAAACCAAAGCTGGTGAAAAGTACCCAGAGCTACTGAGAATAGCTGTGCTTCCCGAGTCAAAGCTGGATATACAAGTTCTAACTGCACTCCTGATATTTAGCAGGCACAGAGATCAGGCCAGAACAGGCTGAATATCACATCCTTGGGCAAGCAAACCACCCACAAACAGTATCTCCATCTTGTTGGGATTGTATCACTAGGTTTTTTTATTGTTTGTTTTATTGTGGTTATAGTAAATGTTTGATAGAAAGGCAGGGTATACACCAAGGGTGAGAGACCTCTGCCTCTCTCTGCAGATGTTATTGGACTCAGATCCCCATCAGCCCCAGTCAACGTGACCAATGGTGTACTCTGCCACTGAGCTCCAGCCTTCCCTCATCACCCTTGTTACTTTCCACCAAATAATAGAGGCTGAATTTTGCCCCAATGCAGACACAAAAGAAGGTTCAAAAGAGACCCAACCAGCATTCTTGATCTCTATTTTCCTTGTCTGCTGCCCCCTCTGGTCAGGTTTTAGTAGTGTGTCCAAAGCCTGCAAAACAAGTTTAAAAATAAATTGACAGAACAAAAGGAATATACATGTATGCGCCACAGGAAGCAACACCCCACAGTCAAACAGTTTGTAATATCAGCACACTATTTTTCTGAGTCAGTCCATCCAGCTCAATATTTTCTCTAGTGACCAGCAGCAGCTTCCCAGAGGTTCAGAAAGGAGTCTTTCCCAGTCCTTCCTGGAGATGCTGCTGGGGACGGAACCTGGAACCTTCAGCGTGCACAGCTTTGTGTGCTCTGCCATAGAGTTACAGCCCTCTTGTAGCTACAGCATGCAACATTAGCAAACAATCCACCAAGATCAGACTTGGTTTGGAAGGAGGAGGACAAAAGCAATATTTGCCAATAAACATGTCTCTACAGAAAACAGGTTACACAAGCCAGACCTTGGTGGGCCTTCCACATTCTAGCGATTCCAAGATAAACTGGTTGAGAAATTTCTACATAAAAACTGTAATTCAAGAAATGAAAAGCTTTCACGGCATCCAGCACATTTCGATCCTGCTGCTCACCAAAATAATTTGTGAATATTCATCGCCTTCTGCTCCACAGCAGTTTAACCATATAGACTAACTTTGCAGAGTTAGAAGTATTAGTTGGAAGTAGTATTATATGCTTAGGCTTAGAAATACGGGGGGGGGGGGCAGTACATTGACACCACAGATAAGAATCCTACAATGTGTGGACACTGAAGACAGGGCTATCATTAATGGGCCATTTAACAAAATCCTCTACAAATTTTCAAATTTAAAAAAGAAAAGAAATATATGTTCACACAAAGCTGCCAGAATGCCTTTATGTTCTCCAAAACAGCAACAGTAAAACAGCAATAGCAAACCCTCCCAAGGAATCTCTTTTCCCAACCAAGTATTCAGAGAAACACCTGCCAAGGCAGGAGCAGCCAGTTTAGAGAAAGGTGGGGTGGTGGAAGAGGAAATCTTTCAGCACTTTCCTAACAGAGATCCCAAAACTAGCTAAGAAAAAAAATAGACTTCTGTGGAGCTTTGCAGGAAATAATCAAAGCTGCCTCAGTAGCAGCATCTTTGTGCACACACTTTTTACTTGCAACAATTCCCACAAAGAAAGACCAACTGTGGGGAATCTCTGGCCCTCCTGGTGGTGGGGCACTCATTAAGCACAGCAGCAGTTCTCATTTTGCCTCCTAGGCCTTTTCCGCCCCAAGTCACACTCATCCACTTATGGCATTAGTTGTGGAACTATTGGGAAACTTAAAGTGCACTCCTGATTGTTTCCCTTTTGCTGTTAAAATCAGGATGCATCCCACTAACATAACAAAGGCCGGCCTCTGTTCTGAATGTGATGCGTTTTTCCCCCTGTAAGGCCAAAACACAACAGCTGCAAAGCAGTCTAAAGGATGAGGCCCTCAAACCAACACAGCACTCCTAAGTGCACCTGCACAGAGGACAACATAATGAAAAAAGGAGCTGCTGGCATCTGGCTGGGGGTAGGGGATCAACAGGAAACAAAGGGATGACAAAAGACATTATGTGCGCTAGCTCAATCCAGAACTCAGAAGCTTCAGATGAACCAATGCCAGTTCAGAGCAGAAGCCCAGATTTCCCAGGGCTTGTGTTGTGTTCCCCAAGCTCTAGGCTCCAGTGGCTGTTACTCAGCTGGATCCAGGCTGTCCCTGCCATGACACAAGTCCCCACCGTTCAGTCACTCAACAGGTTGCTTGTTAGGCAGGATCAGTTATACAGTGCAGGTCAATTGCCACAGGCGCTCTCTCTCTCTCTCTGGAGTATGTTCCTTCACATACACTCTGGGCTGGAGTCTCAACAGGCATCTATACAAAGTCCTTGGATTGACACAGCACTGCCAGGATAGTTATTGCAATGACTCAGTTGCGAAGGGGTTTGACAAACACATTTGAAAGGCTAACTGGAATCAAGACCCCTTCAACAGGTAAAGCTTTTACCTGCAAAGACAAACAAGGATCAAACTACATGTGACATCTACAATTAAGCAGCAGGAGGATGTGATGGAGAGGTGCTTGAGTCCACGCACCTTAGCAAATGCACTCTTGATCAGTTTCCAGGCCCAAAGGTGGAAAAGAGGGCTGGTGGAGTAACTGCCCAAAAGTAAAAAAATAAAACTAAGTACGTGCTTTTTCTTTTCTCTTTTCTTAAAGTAGCAAATTTTGATTTTGTAGGGTATGTGCCTAAGGAGTTTCCCCCTCTGCCTCTGCAATAATTGAGCCGAAAAGCCCTTCTTCTTTCCAATCACAAAGAGCAGCTTTGCACCCTGGCTACACCAAGGAGCACTTCAGAGCAACCTCACACCAAAACGGCTGATTTCTCAGGGATGCTGCAAAGGTATTCAATAAAAAGCTTTTAAATGCATATTTTTAAACCTGCAACAGGAAAGCTTTCCTGTGTCAAGACAGTAATTCTTATAACAGCATTGATCAAAATGTCATTCTTTTATGAGTGTACAATACCTTTTAATGGCATACAACCAGCCATTAGGGTTATACCCCTCCATACAGCAGAGGCATCTTCCTGGAAAAAGGGAGCCCCTGGCCAAGGCACAGGCAAGCCAAGCACAGCCCTTTTTCATAATTGTAGCAGCTCCCCAAATGATCTTCCAGAAGCCACAATATTCAAGGCACACGTGTACCAGGAGCTGGCTTTTGCTCCCCATTCTCAGGAACACACCCTGCTCTAAAGTGGCAATGTTTTGGCTCTCACTGGGGGTATTTCCACTTTCATGCTGCCTCCCTCCCTATTTTTCATCTGACAACCACTACCCCCCTCTACATTTTCTCATCCGATCTGGCAGAGGATGAAATGCCTCCTGTTTTGTTCTAGGCTTTTAGTTTCCAAAGATAGAAACTAAGTGTCTAATGAACTGCTTCTATTCCACAGCTCATTTGAAGCCCTCCAGTGCTCTGGCTCTTCAGAGATTTTTTTTAAGAACGGTATTGGAGATTGCATTTACTCTGCTTGAATGAAGGGTGAGTAGGAACCCTGGACAAGAGCGCACCAGCACTCTAATTCTCTCATCCAGCTAAAAATACCAGCGGGGGAGGGAACGGGCAGTCTCCCCATCTCCAAGACCTTTCACGTATGCTATTTGTAGAATTCAATACAGGCTGATGGCTGTCATGTAGGCACAGAGCAAAACCTTTCAATATTTTTGCACCCCAAGACCAACCACCAAAGCCAACACAAATAATATGCCCTTCATACAAGGCCACCTTATTTTTCAGAAATGGGCTAGTTGGTTTCTACACTGGTCATTATTTGCCAGGAATATTCCCTATCTGAACAAAAGAAAGTAGAAGGATAAGGTTTCTTCTTTACACAGAAAGAGTGATGAAGAGGGTTCGAGGTACATGCAGATGTCAATGGTCACCCAGCCAGAGACTCTAGGATCCCTCACCTTCCAGCACCCTGCTCAGGAGCCACTTGGGAGTATGGATGCTCAGCGAGATCATAAGAACTCATGAGCACAAACAATCTACAATGGGACCCAAGCCTTTCCTTAAAACACAGCAACATGAAGTTACAAAACCTCATATGCAAGGGGGATAAATGAGAGAAACAATGACCATGTCCAAGGAACATCCTTCTCTTTACAGGCCAGCATAATCACATGGCCAGCACTACAATATTTGCCAGAGATACCCACACTACCCAGTTTTCAGCACTAACTACAACTGCATCCAATGCCAGAAGAATATTGGGCCCACTGCCACATAAATGTCACCTAAATTTTGCTTTGGTCAACAGGACCACACTGGCATAAACATGACAGAGACATTGACCCTTTCTTGACTCTCCTTTGCTGAGCATAATGTCCATAATGGCAGGCAGCTGTTTACAGCGGTATTGGTGGGGTGAAGGCAGCACTTGAGTCAACTCACCATGTTGACTCCTACTAGTGGCAGAGGAAGCACATGAGCCATGCAGAATACAAAAATCCCATATTTGCAGAATGGAGGCCTCACCAGGAGGTGGAATGAGGCTGAGAGCAGAACTGGCTGTCAGTTCCAGGATCTTTTGCTCTTCTTTTGTAGTTAATAGTTGTTATTAATACCTATATGTGTTGCCTAAAATGATGATGTAGTATTAACAATCCTATCCTTAGTTGTATTTTTTCTCCATTGTTTATGAAAGTGTTGTAACTTTGCCTATTCTCATTCTTAATAACTCCTAGCAATATTAAAAGCTGCACTCGTTTGAGGCTTGCATTATACTATATTCTACTTCCTAGGTTGTGAATATCACTTTATAAGACTTTGACTAAATGTGCTACAACATTCAGAGAATCCTAAACATGAAGGTGAATGAAGTGTTTAAATTGAAATTTGTTATGTTAAGCTTAATAAAAAATATTTTATTTTTTTAAAAAAGTGCTACAACATTAACCCAGCTTTTCTTTGCCTCCACTGTGTTCTGCTTGGCATCCAGCCTGAAGAAGTGTTCTAGAGACCTGGAAATTTGCACGTTATTTTGTGACATTTTGGCTGCTCAAATAAAATTTTACTTATGGACCAAATATAGCTACCTTTATTATCTCTTTCCATTTCCCACTTTCTAATATATAAAAAAGTGCCAAAAATGGCATCTGGGTAATTATGTGTGCCAAACTAGACAACTCAGAAGGAAGTCTGAGCTCTTGTGGAAAGTTCCAGCTGCCCTGTCAGCACTCAGTGGCAGAACTTCTGAAAGAAGTGGATCAAGGGGCCTGGCTATAGGGTTGCTCATGGCTTGGGGGAAAATTATTATCAATTATTATTATGCTTGCTGCACTCAGATACCATTTGTCAGCCAATGTGCTGCTGTGCATCTCCACTACACAGAGTAGCCTGTCAGAAACAGTCCACAAAGGCAGAAGTACCTGAGCAGAACTGCATCCATTATCTGGAACAGTCAGTTCTGGACTTTATCCTCCTTTAAAAACAAGACTCCTTGGAGAGCTTGATTCAGTCATCCAGATACAGCCCCTTTACTTTCCAGCAACACAGCACATGATCAGCATAACAACCCACCTGTGCCCTCAACCCTAACCCTGGGTAAGTTTCCAAGGGGCCATAGACCTGATCCCCAGGGACACCTGGTGAGCCTGTAGGCCTCATTTTTCCTCCATGAAATAGAGCAGCTGTGAAAAACATTGCAAGAAAATGCCAGGCCCACGTGGATTTCCCAGTCTGCTTCCACAGGTGCACAACCACAATCTAATTTTGGATGCAAACAGAAAGAAGATAGCCAAGAGGCTAAGCGGGTTGATCACCCAAGAACTCAATGGTGCCAACATGTCTGGCAGCTGATGGCCCAGATACACCTTGCAAACTTGATAAAGCTGTGGGATAAATAGCAAACAGTTACAACCACTGAAGAAACCAGCCACTAGTTTTGCAGGCATACCAGTACGGGGGTATGTGTGCAGTGCTGTATTTATGCGTAAGCTAAACAAGCTATAGCTTAGGACCCCAGTCTCTTGGGGCCCACCAAAAAATTTAAAGGAAAAAAACCTGGATGTACATTTCCAAAATATATGATAAAAAAAACAAATAAAACCTACATACAGCAACAGTGTTTTGTGTTTTGTAGGCTCCTATGATGTAAGAAATGGGCCACGCTTGCTAGCCTGCTCCCTAAAATATCACTGGTTTGCTCATTTCTAACAGCAACAATTTGTTGTTGATAAAGGACAGCTGGACATATAAAGGGCCCCGTTACCTTCAGTTATTTAGGGCCTCATCAAACCTAAATCCCGCCCTGTATGTGTGTGTGTCGGGCGCCCACTCCCTTTGGGCAGTGGAGGGCGAGCCAGCAGTACCCTGGCAGGAGGGGGCAGGATGTTGCTCGGGGGAACACCTCCTAGTACAAAGGGAGACCTAATTAAGGGAAAGAGGGGAGATACCTTGCGAGCGCCTTCCGGATTCTCCTCCAGCTGGATCCCCACGCAGTGCAGGCGCTCCTGGTAGAGGGTGCGGAGCTCTCCAAGGAGACGCTTCAGGGCACGGGAGGCCGGAGGGCGGCCCAGGCATTCTGCTGGGGAGAAAAGCGGCCATCAGAAGCGGGAGACGGGGCGAGCCGAGGGCTCCAGACCCCGCCCTTGTTCCCCGGGGGACACGAGGCGGGGGATGGGAGGGGTCCGCGAGGGATGCCTTTGGGGGAGGGGCTTTCTCGGAGGGACAAGGGGCGCGTCCCCTGTTACGGCCTCCTCACCGCAGGCCTCTTCCCGCTCCGGTGCCTCCATCTCCATCTCCTTCTTCAAACGGGGCCGCCGCTAGTCCTTCTCCCCGCCCACTAAGCGATGGGCACGCCGCTCGGCCAACGGCGATGGAGTGCCGGATCTGGGCCCGCCTTCTCCCCCGTCAGAACCCAATCACCGCTGCCTGGGGCGGAGATCCGCGCAACGGACCTCTCCGAGCTGGAGTCGCTCTACCTCGCTGGCACCTGGAAGGCCGAAAGCGGCTTAGGCGATTGGCTTTTGGTTCTCCCTTCGGCCAGTAAGGAACGAGGTATTGCAGGCAAGCTCGGCAGACGGGAGAGCGGCCGCCGGTCACCATGGCGACCGCGCGGTAGAGGCACTGCGAGGGGGCGATACGTCCCCTTGTCTTACAGGCCAGAATTTCACCGGTGTGGCAACCCGGCCTTCCTCCCCGCCCCAAGCCAAGGGCCTGCCCTGCCCTTTGCGGTGGGCACACACAGGCACCGGGCCTTTCTGGGGGTCTTCAGGTCCCGCTGCTCGAGCGCCTGCTGGGCTTGTACGGTGAAGCCGCCGCCAGGCAGGCAGGCAGGATGATCCGGCCGCGAATGTTGTGTGGAAGTAGACTGCCATTGGCCCTGGAGGCTCCATTGAGATGCCATGTCTAGCAGCGGGGTTGGAACTCCGCCTCCTCTTTTCATGTGGGTGGGTGTCCCGCCCCAGTGAAGGCAGCGGGGTGTGGGTGTTGCGGGGGCGGCGGCGCCTCCTCTTATTCATCCTAAGTCCACCCGCAGTCAAATTTATTTAATCAGAACCCCCCCCCTCCTGCAACAGTAAAGTCCAAATATGAGAGAAGGAGGAAAACGCGGGCCCACTCAGCAGTCTCAGTGTCCCCAGAGTGGCCAAGCTGTTGCTTCTGGGAAACCGCAAAGCAGCCGGACATCTCCTTGGCAGTCATGGATGCAAATGCTGATGGCATTAAAAGAGGATAAGACTAAGGTGCTACTGGACAATTTTTTTTAAAAAAAATATTATTTATTTATTTCAATTGCATCAGACCATCACAGCTACCTCCCTGAACCATGGAAGAGGATGAGGCTAGCCACTAGCATTGAGGAGAACCAGGTTCTTCCTCTACAAATTGAGGCAGTTTGCTTTTCACAGGGATTACCAAGTGGTGGAGATAATATTGCATTCAGACCTTGCCCTTCAGAGGCACCACACCTCTGATCCTAGAGGTCCTAGACACAGTCATCATGACTAGAAGCCACCAGCAGCAATATGACCAGCTGCTACCAACCCCAGCAAGCATGACCAATGAACAGGTATGATGGGATTTGTAGTCTGACAAGTTTAGTCAGCCCTACTGATAGCACGTTAAATCTCTATAGCTAGCAGGAGAGAGCAGGTTTAGTGCTCTTGGACAATGTAGAGCAGGTATGGGGGAGAACTCTGGCCCTCCAGATGTTGCTGAATTACAACTCACATCATCCCTAGACATTGGCCATGCTTGCTGGGGCTGAAATGAATTGTAGTTTAGCAGCATCCAAAGGTTCCCAAAGCCTAGTGTAGAAGCAGGTTGAGTAGCACTGAACCCATTCACTTCAGCTGAAGGAGCAGCACATGCAGGAACCCATTTTGTATGTGCAGCTCTACATCCCATAATAGGCAAACTCTCTACATTACATTTGCTACCCACTGCTTACTGCCATGCTGATAGTCTAGGTCCTGGGCCCTCCTGACAACAATGCCAAGTCTTCCCTGCTGAGCTGCCTTCTGCTTTACCTTCCTCACCTTCAGCTGTATTGTGCCACAGAACATGTGATGCTGTGCTTGGAGGGCACAACAGTTGGCATGTGGCCTGAAGGAACCGGAGTTGTGTATGCTCTTCAGTGCAGTGCAACGAGCTCGCCTGGAATCTCACCAAGCAAAGGGAGGCCAAATGCTGTTAAGTGAGTGGGGCTGGGTAGAAATCAAATCCTCTGCATGTGGCTGGTTCAGAGGATGAGAAACAGGAAAATCTTTTTTTCAGAGCAGAAGCTCAGACAGTGACTGACTCTTCTGGAACAGAGGAGAGAGAAAGGACACTAAAGAGACTGAGGGGAAGCTTGGACAGCAACTGTTCTCAGTTAATCCAGAGCCCCCCAGTAAATAAAATTGTAGGCAGTTAATAAATTACAGAAATAGGGGAAAGAAGTATTTTAGGAGGCAGTTTAGTTCATCTGGAGGGTACCTGGCGAGCTCCTATTGTATGTTGGGGTGGAGGGAGGGAGGAAAGAGGGCTCTAAATTGCCTTTCAGCTCTTTTAAATTATTTCTGCAGATCTTATTACAGGAGAGAAGCGGCTGCAGAACAACCCGGAATTCCAGCAGCCAACTGCCCACCAGACCTGTTATGAAAAAGTAGAAAGTGCATATATAGCCCACAAGCCTGGTGGAGGCAATAAAAGATGCCTTCGACTTCCATTCATCACTTTGTCATCTTCAGCTACATTCAGATAGTGGTTAGCAGAGCTCACAACATGGGCAAATTAACACATACGAGTCCCTTGCTGGCTTCCTCCTCTCATAGCTTCCCACAGGAGATATATATTCCATTTTCATGGCTCCTGCCTCCTCTCCTCTTTGGGCCCCATCCCAGATGGAAAGAAAAAAGAACTCTTAGGGTATGAAATGGGATGGGGGTGAAGAAAGGAGAGTGTGTCACAGGCAGCAGCAGTAGCAGCACAGCCAAGGGGCTGTACAGTTGCTATGAATTATTGTGGCAATGTGACACAGCTTTCCCCCTCCATCATACTGAAGCATGGTTGCTTCTGGTACTGAGGGGCTGAGAAGTTAAGAGATCTGCCCTAAAAGATTTGGCAGTGCAAAGAAGACAGCTTTGCCCTCAAACCCTGCTGCTCATAAGATGCCTGGAGGCACCTAGGTGGCTGTTGCTGTCAGAACAGGGTAGTGGGCTAGGTGGACCTTTTGTCTCATCCCATACAACTGCTCTTACATTCTTATACCCAGAGTATCTGTTGTGGAAGTTGCAGAGGGTGCAATGGAAACATAACAGCTGTCCTACCCTGCCTGCAGCATCAACTCTGGTGCGCCACTGCTCCCAAGAGCCCCTTTCTGTTCCTTCAGGGAAGAGGACCAACCTGGATCTTCTACTCTGTCCCTGAGCTCCAGCCCTCAGCCTCTTGCCTGGCCTTGAATAGCTGTCTGTCAGTGGCAATGCTGAGAAACTCAAAGCCAGCCTCCAAGAAATCCATGCCCCAGGTCTCTAGGGGCACAGCTGAGTTCCTGGAGATCACACAAATCATCTGGGATCTCATCTCTTAAACTTTAAATCCACAACCATAAGATATAAATAGCTTGGGCACAAGCCAATGTAATCTACCCTTCCACTGTGCAGTGTGTATATACATGGACACTAAAAATAAACTACAACACAGAAACAGATCCTGCTGGATTAAGACAAATTTGGATTTTAATGCCCAGCTTTGCTCAGAGTCCTAGAGTTCAAGGGTCGATATAGTAGATTGCAAGAAGGGTATAGGTTAGTCAAGCCTCAACATTTTATCATAATAAACCAGATGTGGACAAAACACCAAGTTGAAGCCCATAAATCTATTACAGTGAACTGTCAATGTCCCCTACGGCAGGGTCATTTGTTAATTCATAGCTGGGTCTCTTTTTTCAACAGACCTTGTAAACTCTTTCCTGAAACATCAATAAACCATCTGCTTTGACTAGTTAATCAAATGACTTTATTCAGTCCAAAGCCATTTTTTCCTAATAAAAACAGAGTATTTATCTCCACGGCTATAAAAGAGGATTGTTTTCAACTATTCACTTATAGTTAAGAAGCGCATTTAGTCTGGATTGATTTCCAATGCCTTGGTCATATCCTGTCACTTTCCATTTCTTACACACAACATCTCAGTTTAGCTACTTAGCAGCAAAAAAAACACAACCTAACTTGGGGCTGGGCACCAGTTCAGGGAGGCAGAAAAGTTCCCATCAGGATTAAGAGCGGCATTCTCCTCTGGCAAGCAGTAGAATGACAGGTGTCTCCTGCGCCTGTACGTCTTTCACATCTGGCATTCTGTTGCAGGGGACCCAACTCCTCTCCTGGGACTGGCTTTCTAAGGAAGGATATGTGCCCCAGAACTGCTCTGTAACTACAAATTCAATTGCAAAACAACCAAACTGCTCCCAGTTGCACTGAAGCAACCACGCGCTTTTGGGGATCATAACAAGTACATTAACTGCCCTTGTCTGTCTAGCAGAGCCCTGCCTTTGACAGTGCCAGGAAAACAGAGTCTTGGAGCCTTATGCCATTGGAGGCACCTGGTACAATCCTGAGTTCAGCTGCCGTACTCACTGTGGGGCCAATTCCTGGCCTCTCAACCCAACCAACTTGTCAGGGGTAAGTCTTAAAAAAAAAAAAAAAAGGCGGGTGGGCATTCACACAGGAAATACATACAAGAATCCGGTGCCCCAGTTCTGTCCTATCTGCCCCAGTGGGGAGCAGAGGGTGAATATGGCAAAGTCATTTATATAATGTGCCTCTCTGCTGTGTTTCGAATGGCCAGAGCTTTTGTTATGCTGTTGCTGGCTGCCCATGACAGGCAGGAAGCCACAGCCTCCCTTTATGCCATTGCCTTATTCAGCAATTTACATCCAGCATAAAAATCAAATATGCATGTTGCTACCGCCTCACCAACAGCAGTTTCAATTTTTGCCTTGCTGTATTCTAAATGGGGGGGGGGGGGGCACAGACGGGCAGAGTCGCTTTGCTAGGCCTGAAACTACTTGAATTTCTGTCTGCTTTATTGCTAAGTGGCTGGATGGGAATGGCTGAATGCAGCTTCCTAAGAAGCGAGTGCACAGAGAAGGCCTCTTGGGAGGAGGGACAGCAGCATCCACAGGGGGCAGACTCCTTGGCTTCGACTGGACAGAAGAGCGTCCATTGATGGGTCTTCTGGCAGCCTGGCTCTTGGAGCTCTTGAGGAGAAGGGACAAGCTCTCTTGCCTTAAGTGAATTTCTGTCCAGACAGCTCGCACCCCAAGACAATGGGGGTGCAGTCCAACAATGCTCACAGAGCTTCCCTCCTGGATTCCGTGGAGTCACTGGACACACAGGGAGTTTCAGCCATCAGATCACTGCCAATTCTGAACAAAGTGAGAAAGCATTTCCAAGGCAAGATGGGCAGCTACTCAAGCTGACTCCATGAAAAGACCCAGGAGGCCCTTCTGGCATGAGCATCCACTCAGCTCTTATCCCATGCTCCATGTGCACACCAAGACCTTGCCCCGGGCACCTTTGAGTGGCTCTCATCATCATGGTGCTCCCTCCGGAGAGTCTGTCTAGAACATCATCACCATTTTCATTTGGGGCAGCTCTTGAAGGCACAAGTGAAGCATCATTCAAGAATTTAGATTCCAATGGATTTTGGTCGTTTAAAAAGAGCAGCAATGCTGGAGCTACGCAGACGGTCATGCTCCCCTGAGCCCTAAGGTGGTGGGGAGGAGGCGAGAGGCTGCATCCAGACACTGAAGCCCAACAAGCCGCAGGGCAGAAGCCAGAACCAAATCAAGCTTCATTTCTCTTGCTTGTTCAGCTGGCAAAGGCAAACTGCATTGCCCAGGATATCTTTTCTTCTTTTGCTTGAAGGCTAAGAGCCTTTCCCTTGGAAGCTAAGCAAGGAACACAGCTGGCTCCACCGCTGGGCATCCCATGCCCCATCACAGCAGTAGCAGAGCTTTGGTCATCTCTGCTCCTTTGAGACTCAGCAGAAAAGAATGGAGGACTCCAGTCTCCATGACGACAGAATAAACTCCACAGGTTATTACAAATCATGGGCATAGCCAAGGGGGGGGCAGGGAGGGGCAGCTGCCCCCCAAGCAATAAAAAAACAATAAAAATACATAGCAGAGGTTCTGCCCCTCCTAACAAAAATCCTGGTTATGCCCATGTTGCAAATGACAAGAAATACAAGTAAAACAAAAAGCAACCCCAAGCACTGTAGGCAGTGCTTATTTTGAGAATTCTCCACTACAGTGTGCGCATGTGTGTGTGCACTCTTAAGTCAAACAACTCCTTTTGTTCCCCTCCCCTCTTGACCCCTTGCTGAGAAGGAAGTTGCCAGGACTTCCTAATGGTTACTGTAGGGTGCAATATCTTTCTCCAGCCTCTGCACACCCCTTATCTTCTTCCAGCTGCTTTAGTGCCCCATCGCTGGGCTTGCTTTCATAGGCAGGGATGAAGGCTTCCTCATGTTGTCTACAGCTCTGTCACATTCAGCACTCGATCCACTGCACTGCATACAACCAGTTTCAAACCTGCTGGTGTGGACAGCCTGAGGAAGGTGCCTCAGCCTTGGTGCCTGCCCATAAAAGCAAGCCTAGAGTGAGAGACGAGGATGATGTCAGCAGGTCCCAGAAACCTTTGTTGTGAGATATTGGGGGTGATTTGAGAGTTTGTTTGGGGCCTGGGTAGATGGGTGGAGTCCTGGGTAAAAGCCAGTGGGCTGAGAGGTGCTGAGTGTGTCAGAAGAAGGAATTTATATCAGTATTTATTTGTAATTTGCATTAATGATTTTATTATGTATTTTTGTAACTTTTTTGTTTGTTTTAGTCTGCTATATATTACTTAAGAAATATTTATATATATATTGGCCAGCATAGAAATAGTCTAAATAAATAAATTTAGACTATGTGTTGAAAGCTGAACAGCCTCTTGATATCCTTCCTCTTCCATCACTCAAGCAGAGGTTGCTCCATGGTAGGAGGAAAAGGGGAGTTTTCCTCATGCACAGAGGATACTCTCCAGTTGCCAGTAACCATGATAATGGAATAGAGCAACTCTCTGTGCTCCTGCACTATTATACTACTAACAGTCCGTATTTCAGAAGTAGGCAACATACTAGGGCCAGATGTTGGAAAGAAAAGTCAGGTTTTTGATGATGCAAGAATATTAGTGCTACAGAAGTGTCTGGAATTGCCATTGTTCAAAGTATCCACTCCTTGCAAAGCCTCTACCTGAAGCCAAAATCGTATATAGTCAAAACACACTGGCTGCAATGGTGGGTGGGATGCCTTCTCCCTTTATTTTTGCTAAGCACATAAAGCTGTGTACAAGCTAAATATATGTATGTATGTTAAGAGCATATCAGCGAGCAAAAAACAAATTAAGAGTTATCCATATTGCTCGTAATGTCTTTCTTGTGGGGGGTAAGATGGTGTGTGGGCTTCAATTAAACCACTAGAGTCAAACTATGGCCAAGAGAGAAGAGAAACTGAGGGCAGAGATATGCCAGGCTGCAGTTCTTTTGCCTTTTGACCATCACCATCTATGCTTCACCATGTATGGCAAAATAATTTCTCTCTCTCCAATATCAGACCAAGTATTCCAGTAAGAAATGATAGAAGTACCTTTTTTACCCCTCCCCACACAAGTGCCTGGATCAGGGTGAGGGGGCATGCCATCTTCCCCGAAACAGGAATGAGAGACTGGATATACTGGCAGGGTCAGCATCTACTTTGCAGGTCCAGAAAAAAGTATAAACTCATTTAGAGACCTAGTCTCATAATTCCTGTCACATCCATCTGGATCCCATTGATCTTTCCTTGCTCCCCACCTCTCACCCCAATGCTTCAGAGGCTCCTTCCTCTCCTGGCCTGTCACAAGAGGTGCTGTTAAATCAAAAAGGCAGCTTTCATCTTTCTGCTGTCTGACAAGGAGGGAGCAAAAGCTGGTGTTGGAACAAGAGCCCCTTGGAGTCAAACAGAGAGCTCCCTGGTGATGCCGCCAGCAGCCCTTCCCTTTCCCGGCTTCATGTGGAAGTTATTCATAAGCATCCTCATCTCTTCTCCATTGGTCTCACTGATCAAAGACGGGAAATGGGAAACCCTTCTAGAAAAGTTGGCTCTCCACTTCCAGCTCTTAACCTGAGAGGTGGGAGGGAGGGCAGGCACTTTCTTTGCCAGCACCCGTCTATGCATTTAGCAGGGGTTTTAAATTCTTCTGCAGCCCCATTTGAAAACAAAATGAAATCCACAGTTGGAGGCAGCAATGCTTCTGAATACCAGTTGCTGGAAATCACAGGAGAGGAGAGTGCTCTTGTGCTTGAATCCTGCTTGCTGGTCTCCCACAGGCACTTGCTTAGATTACTGCAACCTCTACGTTAGATTATTGCAATTTGCAATTACATAAGGCAACCTCTGAAGACAGTTCGGAAACTTCAGCTGGTACAGAATTCGGTGGCCAGGTTGCTCACCGGGGCAAGACAGTTTGAGCATATCACACTGATCTTGTCCTGACTGCACTGGCTGCCAATCAGTTTCGAGGCCCAATTTAAAGTTCTGTTTTTGACCTATAAAGTCATAAACGGCTCAGGACCACAATACCTCAAGGACCACCTCTCTCCGTATGAACCTACTCAGACCCTGAGATCATCCTGTGAGGCTCATCTTCATGTGCCTCCCCAGGAGAGGTCTGGAGAGTGGTAACACAAGAATAGGCCTTTTCTGCAGGGACTCCCCACTTGTGGAATGTTCTCCCCAGGGAGGTTCGGCTGGTGCCTTTGTTATACAGTACACCTTTAGGCACCAGGCGAAAACGTTCCTCATCAACCAGGCCTTTGACTGATTAACATCCTATATCCTTTTAAATATGTTGGTGGAAGGGGGAAATTATTGGTTTGTTTTCTTCCTGTTCTTGCTTTTTGAAATATACTCAGAGTCGCAAAGTGATTTCATGCTCTTTATTCAGCTCATAGTGGTGAGGAGGAATGAATGAAAGTCCCCTCAAAGTATCTGCTTTATATACATTATTTACACAATGGGCTGCACATGATTGGCTAATTCCGGAATTCTACTGTAAGCCAATCAGGTTGTGGATTCACTTCTATCTGGAGCATGATTAGGTGGTTCCTGCCAACCAATCATACTGCTGCATTGTTCTAGGACCAATCAGACTGCTGCATTCTGAATCCTATTGTTCTAGGACCAATCAGACTGCTGCATTTTGGATCCTATTGTTCTAGGACCAATCAGACTGCTGCAGTTTGGATCCTATTCAACTCAGTACATAACACCCCTCCCCTCTAAGTTCCAGTCCTGCCCGGGAGGTCGCATTCATAGTCCTCAAGGTATGCCGGCGACCTATGTGTGCATTGCGGCCTGGGGTGTTCCCTGGTCCGGGCTCCAGGTTCTGGCTCGTGTTCCAAGGATGCTGGCTGTGATGGGGCTGTTTGGTCTGGTGCAACCGGCTCGCTCAGTCGTGGTTCTGGTTCCGGTGTCCTTTCGGCCTTGCGGGTCCTCTCTGTATTTACTGATTCTGCCTCTCCTGCTGGCCCCTCCTGCTCTATGGGCCTCACTGCCCCACTGTTCCCTTGGGACTCCTCTGACCTGTCCTCCTCCTGGTTTTCTCCCGGGAATCGTTGCCGTATCTGGTCGCAGTGGCGGCGCCAGCATTGCCCCCCATCCGTTAGCACCTTGTACGACATGGGACCAGTGACCCTGGTGGCTGTGGCGGGTACCCATGCTGGGCCTGCCCCAAAATTCTTTGCGTACACTGGGTCCTGGGCCTCGAAGGTCCGGGGGTCCCTGCCTTCTCCCACCACTACCTCATTCTGAGCTCTATCGGGGTGAAGGTGGTCCAATCTGATTGCAAGGCGCCGACCCATTAGTAGTTCAGCGGGGCTCCGGCCAGTCGTTGAGCTGGGGGTGCTGTGCTGTGCTGTGCTAGAAGAAATGTGGCAAGGCGGTACTCCCAATCCCCTTGCGTCATGCGGCGAAGGGTGTCCTTGGTGGTCCGCACCATGCTTTCTGCTTGGCCATTGGTAGCAGGGTAGAACGGCGCCGAACGGATGTGGCGGATGGCGTTCTGTGCTGTGAAGGTTTGGAATTCTCCTGACGTAAATGCAGTCCCGTTGTCTGAGACGAGAGTGTCAGGGAGCCTGTGGGTTGCAAACAGCCTGTGTAGTACCCGGATGGCTGCGGACGTGGAAGTGGATGGTACCAGTGCAACTTCCAGCCATTTGGTGTAGGAGTCCACCATTATGAAGAATGTTTTCCCCTGAAAGGGGCCAGCGAAATCCACATGCAGGCGTGACCATGGTGCTCGGGCGGACTCCGAGGACTGGACTGGGGCCCTTGGGGGATCTGGGTGGGATTCTTGGCAGGCCTGGCAGTGTTTGACCCAGGCCTCTATCTCTCTGCTGATCCCCGGGCAACACACATAACTCCTGGCAAGGGCCTTCATTCTTACTACCCCTGGGTGTGTCTCATGTAGGGCTGTGAGGACCCTTTTGTGGAGGGGCTGGGGAACAACGACCCTGCTTCCCCATAACAGGCACCCTTTGTGGGCCGAAAGTTCATGTTTGCGGGTTGTATAGCCGGCGAATTCTGGCCCAGGGATGCTGCTGGGCCATCCCCTCCATACCCAGTCCAGGACCCGGGAGATGACCCTATCTTTCTTGGAATGGTGTGCAACTTCTTGTGCCTGAATGGGGCGGTTGGGAAGCAGCTCCAGGCTCATAACCTCTTGTGCAGGTGCTGGGTCAGGGCCTGTTTCCGGTAGTGGTAGCCTGCTGAGGGCGTCCGCATGGCCCATCGCCTTCCCAGGTCGGTGAATCAGTGCATACTGGTAGCTGGCAAGGAAAATTGACCACCTGAGGATGCGAGGAGACAGCACTTGGGGGGTCTGCTTTTCGGGGGCAAACAAGCCAAGCAACGGCTTGTGATCAGTCACCATGGTGAAGGTCCGCCCGTACAAGAAATCATGGAATTTTTTAACACCCTTCACAATTGCCAGACCCTCCTTGTCGATTTGCGAGTAGTTCCGCTCAGTTGCGTTGAGTGTCTGGGAAAAGTACACCACCGGTACCTCTCTTCCATCCGGGAGTTGGTGCCCCAGGACAGCGCCAATGCCATAGGGTGAGGCGTCGCATACTAGCACCACCGTCAGCCTCTCGTCGAAGTGTGCCAAGACCGAGTTTGAGACAAGCAAGTCCTTGACTGCCTGGAATGCGGCCTCCTGGCGCTGGCCCCACACCCAAGAGGCCCGCTTGTCCAGGAGTCTGTGTAGGGGCTCCGCTACCGCCGCCTTGTGGGGAAGGAAGGAATGGTAAAAGTTCAATAGTCCCAAGAAGGCCTGAAGTTCAGTCTTGCTCTTGGGCGCTAGGGCATCACAAATGGCCCGTACCTTGTCCCCAGCCGGGTGGACCCCTTCTGCGTCCACCATAAATCCCAGAAAGTCCATCTGAGGCACTCCTAGTAGACATTTTTCCCGCTTCACCTTGAGACCCGCCGTCTGGAAATGGTGCAGAACGGTGCGGAGGCGGTCCTCAAACTCCTCTGGTGTGGGCCCGGCAATCAACACATCATCGAAGAAGGGGGTGACACCAGGAATCCCTTTAAGGAGAGAGTCCATTAGATTCTGGAATATGCCTGGTGCCACGCTGACACCGAATTGCAGCCGCTTTACCCTGAATGCTCCTCTGTGCGTCACAATCGTCTGTGCCTCTGCTGTGGCCTCATCTACTGGCAGCTGTTGATATGCTTGGGCCAAGTCCAGCTTGCCAAAAAATTTCGACCCAGCCAGGGTGGCAAGGACATGGCTGACCACTGGCACTGGGTATGCGTGGGCCGTGAGGGCCTTGTTTATGGTACATTTGTAGTCTGCCCAGATGCGGGCCGAACCATTAGACTTGATGGGTGTGACGATTGGGGTTTCCCAGGGGGCATTAGGCACCGGCTCCAGCACTCCTTGCTCCACAAGCCGGTCCAATTCCTCGTCTATACGGGGTTTCAAGGCGAACGGGACCCGGCGGGCCTTGAGCCTGACCGGTCGTACTGTGGGGTCAAGCTGTAGCGCAATGGGGGGGCCCGTATACTGTCCCAATTTCCCATCGAAAACCTCTGGAAATTCCTTGCATATGGCGTCCACGTCCACTTGTAAGCTAGTGTGGTTCACCCCGGTGACGGCTAGCCCCAGTGGTCCAAACCATGCCAATCCCAGTAAGCTAATGTAGGGGCCCTTGACCACAAGCAAGTCCAGTTGCCGCGTCCGCCCTCAGTATTGCACCCTGAAGGTCCCCACCCCCATTGTGGGGACCTTACGTTTCTGGAAGTCCTGGAGGGTGAATGGGGCCGGCCTGAGTTTGGGACCCCCAGTAGGTCACAGTTTCCTTAAGGTCCTTGCCGAGATTATGGATAGAGTTGAACCCGTGTCAAGCTCCATGCGGCATGGGGCCCCCTCTATCTGTACCTCTACATAAATTTTCTCTACGTTGGGGTGGGGCAACTGGTATACCTGGATGTCCGTGAGCTCCGTCGAGTTGCCTTGGTGCGTTGGGCCCCGGGACCTGGGGCTCTTGGATTGGTCATCTGATGCCTGGTGTCGGGTGGGCCGAGCCCAACACACCTGGGTGATGTGTCCCGATTTTCTGCACTGCCTGCACTCTGCGTTGCGGAAACGGCAGCTCCTCCTCTCGTGACTCTCCCCGCAGCTTGCGCAGTTCCCTCCTTCTCGTCGAGGCAGCTGTGGTCTGTGCGCTGTTTGAGTGCGCTGCTGTACTTGGTGCACCTCCTCCCTGTCGGATCCTGAGTCGTCGGTGAGGTCTTCGTGGTGGACCCTCGGTTGGAATGGCAGGCTCGGCCATGCCTCTTGCGTCGACCTCTCGGCAGCTTCCGTTGCCAGGGCCTCCTCCAGAGTGACCTGGAACGTTAGGTCCTTATTAGCGTAGAGGCATCGTTGCATCTTCTCATCCTTCAGGCCACCGACGAGGCGGTCACGAAACATGTTCTCCAGCTCTGAGAAGTTGCAGAACTGGGCGGCTTGGCGGAGAGAGGTCACAAACCCAGTTATGGTTTCCCCAGGGGCTTGCCGCTTTGCGTAGAAGGCATTTCGACGAGCCACCACTGAGGGCTGCGGCAAAAAGTGCCCCTTCAGCTGTTCCATTATTGTTTTGTATGGAACAGTAGCGACGTCTTCAGGCGCAAGGAGAGCCCGGGCGATTTCAAACGTCTCCTCTCCACAGACGCTGAAGAATATCGCCCTCTTCTTGGCGTCTTCTTCGTCGGTGACCCCTTTGGCTTCTAGGAGGAAGGTGAAACGGGAGGCGTACGCTTCCCAGTCTCCAGATGCTGGGTTGAACGGCGAGAAGCTGCTGTCGGCTGCCATTCTGAGTTCCTTGTGTCCCGGAGCTGAAGCCTGGATACATGGTGCGAGGCAGCGGTGTGGCAGGTGGCGGTGCTGTGTGTGGCCATCAGCTCAGTGGGATCCCACCTTCGTCGCCAGTGAAATATACTCAGAGTCGCAAAGTGATTTCATGCTCTTTATTCAGCTCATAGTGGTGAGGAGGAATGAATGAAAGTCCCCTCACAGTATCTGTTTTATATACATTATTTACACAATGGGCTGCACATGATTGGCTAATTCCGGAATTCTACTGTAAGCCAATCAGGTTGTGGATTCACTTCTATCTGGAGCATGATTGGGTGGTTCCTGCCAACCAATCATACTGCTGCATTGTTCTAGGACCAATCAGACTGCTGCATTTTGGATCCTATTGTTCTAGGACCAATCAGACCGCTGCAGTTTGGATCCTATTCAACTCAGTACATAACACTTTTATTATGTGTTTTTTATATTGTAATTTTATGTTGTGAACTGCCCCGAGATCTACAAATGAAGAGCAGTATACATATTTTAACAACAACAACAACAATCTGGTTAGCCACTGGGAGAACAGATTGCTGGACTAGATGAGCCATTGGCCTGATCCAGCCAGCTCTTCATATGAGATGGGGTGGATCTAGAGAAAGTCTTGGGCGTGCAAAGGAAGGAGCCACCAAGCTTTCCTTTCTCGGCCCCCCAATAATTCAACCCACCATTGTTCTATTCTGCAGTGGACACTGTGAAGATAGCTGGGAATTGGGAAAACAGCTGGGTTCCCCATAAAGGAAGTTTTGGCCCACAGAAGAGATACGTAAGTCAATTGCCTCATTTAAAATATAGAAACTTCAGAAGAGCCTGCCTGCAGCTGGTTCAGAACAAAGGGGCCCATCTAGTTGTCCAGCCACCCCTTCTCATAGGGACCAACCAGATGCAAGCAGGACTTAAGTGCAACATCAGTGCTCTGCTCCCTTGTGCTCCCCAGCAACTGGTGCAGACTGTGTTGGACTGTGGAGGTAGGATGTAGCCTGATCCTCCATGATTTGTTTAATGCCCTTTTTAAAGTGGTCCAAGTTGGTGGCCACCACTATTTTGTGTAGTCATGAATTCCATCATCTAACTATTTGCAGTATGAACTTTCTGTTGCTTGTTCTGAAACTTCTAATACTGGACAACCTCCATCAGGTTCTAGTGTTACGAAAGGGAGATAAACCTCCATGCATAATTTTTCACACCACCTTGCCCATTATTTTTTCTAACCTAAAAAGCAGCTGTGTGTGTTTGTGCACATTCTGATTTTGACTGCAGCTGCAGCACTGGGAAGCGGGATCTTTCACCCTCTCCCCATGGCCATTTGCAAATCTCAATCCCCAGGACTCAAGCTGCTATTAAACCTAATATGGAAGAAAGGGTATGTTCCTGTATTCCTTTCTCTCTCTCCAGCAAGATACTGTAATTGGCTGTGGTCTTTTTACTGGGCAGAGGGTGAGGAGATTCAGACTGATAAACAATGTGAGGGGAGTTAAATGCCAACCCTCACCTGGGTTGCACTGGGTGGTCCACTTGTGGCTCTCTGGAATCGCATCTGATTTGGTCCTAAACTGCAGACAGCAGAAAAATGGTTGTGGTGTGTGTGTACATTTGCCAACATCCTTATAGTGCAGATGGCCAAGAAGTTGGCAGGGCATCATTATGTTGCCATGGGAGACTGAGGGTTGGTAATATTTACCTTTGTGCAGGTTGGAAGACAGCAAAAATGCAAGTTGTAGATCAAACTCAATGGTGTGATCATTGACGAGTCTACTTCTCTGCCTCCATTGCATCCTTGATGTCTTGTGCAACAGAACCACTTTTAGAGTGGCACAGGGCCTTTCATATTTTGGCCTAAAGGTGGTAGAACCTTCAGTAGTTTGCTGCGATTTATCTGCAAGGTGCTTTGAGGGTAAAATTGCTTGTATCTACTGGTACCTGCTATTGTAGCAGGTCAATTCCAGTTTCTGTTCATGGGCGAGTTTGTTGATAGGGCTCAAGGATGTGGATAAAGTAATTCAATTGGTGCATTGGCCATTTGCATTCTTGACCCTTGTGGCTGATATCTGGCAAGGAAGAGACCACCAACTAGACCAAGGAGGTAATCCATCTGAGAGAGGCAGTGGTCCCAGGCTCTCTGAAAGACAGCAGTGAGATCTCTCCTTAGGAAAACCTCTGTGACCCAGAATATTTGAAGAGTTATAGGCAAATGTATCCTTCCTGGGTACTATTTTTGAGTAGGTGGTCAGTGACTAGTTCCAAGGACTCTTGGATGAGACTGATTTACTAGATTCATTTCAGTTGGGTTTCAGGCCCTGTTTTGGCACTAAGACCACTTTGGCCACTTTATATAATGACAGGAAAGGGAGATGATGTATTTGCTGATTCTCCTTGACCTCTTGGCAGCTTTCAATACCATCAACCATCATCTTTGAGGACTATCTGAGTTGAGACAGGGGGCACTGTCTTGCAGTAGTTCTGCTATTCTATGGTGGTGTTTGGGGTATGTTTTCAGCCCCATGAGCCTCTTATGTGGGGTTCTGCAGTGTTTAGTTTTATCCCCCATGCTTTTTTAACACCTGAAACTGCTACTGGGTCATCAATATGCTGATGACACACAAGTCTACTTTTCCTTCAAAGCTCAAGCAAGATATACTGGATCAGTGCTTGGCCTCAGCAATGAACTGAGTAAGAGACAATACATTGAAGCTCCATCCATATAAGTGGCACCAAATGGCATCTATCAGCTTCAGCTGGTAGCCCAGATGTGGTCCTATATGGACAGGGATAGTCTGGCTTCAGCTCTGGTAATCCCCACATTGCACATGTAAGGCTGCTAATGAAGGCAGTTTGGAAACTACATCTAATGCAGAATATATCTGCTTCTCCGTGAACTGAAACAAGAAAGCATGAACATATACCATGGGTTTTGGCCTGACTACACTGGCTACTTATTTGTTTCTGGGCCCAGTTCAAAGTGCTGTTCTTAACTTTTAAAGCCTTATATGACTCGGAACCTCTATGCCTAAAGGATTGCCTTTCCCCCATATATGTTTTATAGATTTAGATCCCACTCTTCTTCCAAAATGGAGGTCAGGATGGCATACCATAACCATTTACAGGGTGCTTTCCTCAGAGAGGCCAACCTTGTCAAAATTTCAGCCCCAGGCAAATACGTTTTTGTGTTCCTGGGCATTTCGGTGCCTGAGAAAACAATGGGTAGTGAACAAGCAGTGTGATTTCTCAGTAAGGATCTAATCACAAAAAATATATATATTAAAAAAACAACAGAAAAGGAATGCATACCTTGTTGGAAAGGTAAATGGCACAAGAACTGCAGTTCTTTGAATGTGAGGACAAATAATTTATGAAGCTGGTAGGGCAGCTGGGCATTTCAAGAAGGGATGGGAAGAAAGCTCCACCGATTTACTTGGAAAATGGAATCTCCACATCCCTTAAGTGTGTCTGGGTATCCTAATTTACAAAGCAACAAGGGGAAAACTTTCAAGGACTGTCAGAAGAAAAAGAAGGTATCAGCTTTGCTACACAAGCCAGAGAACTCAGCCACAGAGGATGCTGCCCTCTCATCCTTCAAAAGAATCCAGAGGAGGCAGAGTGGTGCCATCTGATGCAGGATGCTGCCCTAGACATGTTGTAGGTCTCTGGCTGGCTGCTCACTTCTGCCCACTTTGCCTTCAACTGTGAAAAAGGGAGAGGAAGCTGCCAGGGACACTCATCGTGCCATTTGTTGTATACTCCCAGCAACATCAGGGAGTTGATGTTGAAGTTGATGGCTTGCATGCCACTGTCCTTCCATCTCTCCAACTTTAATCAAAATGGCTCTCTCTTTGCTAACTGTGTTTATTCATTATTGTTCCAAGCAAATTTTCCCATATTTTTATAACACTACAAACAAAAGCTATGAAGGCCAGGATGGGCTGGCAGGGTAGAGAGAACAGAAGAAGTGGCTTCTCATACACTGTAGAGAATCCATTTACTCAGTGATTGGTACATTCAGCACCTCAAGCATCCCTGGCCCTATCAAGCAATGTCTTTTCCACACTGAGACTGCCTTGTTTTTAGTTGGCTGAGGGGCAAGAAGACACCCTTGCTGGAAATGTTCGTACCTCAACATGCAGCAGCAGAGTGATGGCTTCTTGGCAAAAGTAGGACCCCTTCTGTCTCTTCCATGAAATCTCTGCAGCTTTTGCAAATGCTGCTTAAAAAGCAAATTGTTTATATTAGAAATACATATGTACCAGCAGTTATTTTCAGGGGCAACAGAAACTCAGTGCAAGCAGCAATGCAGCTGCATGACTATTCCTTATAAAACAGCCCTAGATGAAGATCCTTTGGGGCCGGAAGCAGAAAATCCAAAGGAAGCACAGCCGCACCCCTATGCCAAAAGCATATTCATATTAAGCAGCTGAAAATGTGCTAGACCTTAAATGCCCCCCATCTGCTACCTTAGGTGGATAGAGCAATTTGAGGTGATGTCTACCAATCCCAAGAGGGTCACTATGTGGATGGAAGACTAGCATCCTGTTACATACATGTGTATGAAAAATAGAGGGGTGGTGGTGGTGGTATTGGGATGAATCCTTCGGGGGGGGGGTTTGGCTTTTTGTTTTGGTTGGATGCTAATTTTTGGAAAACACCCAATGCCCTATTCACAGCTTTTATAGATCAACTCCCTTTTCTAGAAGACTTGGCTAGGCCTTGGTCCTACCGTTTTAAAAAGGCAAGAGACCAAGTGTATACAAGTGTATAAAATTATGCATGGCATGAAAGCAATGGATACCACTAACTAATAAACAACTAATGAAACGGAATGTTGGATTCAGGACAGACAAAATGAGACTCTTCATGCAGTGCAGTTATGGAATTCACTCCCCTAGAAGGCAGTGAAGGCCACCATCTTGGATGGCTTTAAAAGACTAGACAAATTCAAGGGTTATCAGTGGCGATGCTCTGCTTTGATGGTCAGAGACAGTACGTTTCTCAGTATCACTTGATGGAAACTGCAGGAAGGGTGAGTGCTCTTGTGCTTGGGTCCTGCTTGTAGGCTTCTCATAGGCATCTGGTTGGACACTGTGAGAGCAGGATACTGCACTAGAAGGGCCACTGGCTTGATTGAGCAAGCTCTTCTTAGGTTGTTCTTATTCTTAACAATAATAGAATAAAAGAATTGTAGAGTTGGAAGGTACCCATGAGGGTCACCTAGCCCAACCCCCTGCAATGCAGCAATCCTTTTGCCCAACGGGCAAGGGGAGGGGGCTTGAACCCACGACCCTGAGATTAAGGGTCTCATGCTCTACTGACTGAGCTATCCTGCAGGCCATATTAATACAGCAAAACAAAAACTGCTTTTGAGGTTTCCCCCTCCCCTTAAAATCAAGTGGTATATAAATTTTATGAAATATATAGAACAAGAAAAAATGGTGCATAGGTGTCTATCTTCTTACGGTGTTTGAGATAGGAAAGAACTCAGAGGTCTGCCTATGGGGCTTTCCTATACTATAAGACCAGCCAAGGATCAGCTACCACCCTGCACATCTCTTAAGCCCTCCCTGCCAAAAGAGACGGGGCAACAATCAGCCACTTACCTCTTTGCTTTGCACTTGAGGAGATGGAGACACTGTCCCCTCATTCCACTTTCACCCAGCATGCTCCTAAGTCTCTTGAAGTAATCTGTGAAATGGAAGGGCTGGGAATTCTTTCTTAGGCACTTGGGGAAATTCTGATTTTGGAACACTTCATTTCCCAGTGGCAAGAAACTGAGCTAATGCCACCCTTCCCCAAACTGTGTCCTCTGTTAGCGGTAAGAAAGTCCTCCTGCAGAGCCATTTAGGCTTCACAGAACTGTAGCACACACTCTGCCTGGGAGCTATGACACACTTGAACAAGAGGCAGCAGCTCTCATGCACTTACCCAGGGGATTTGCTGTCACAGACATTCTTCCCACATTCTGTCCCCCACGCATAAAAGTGCTCCCTTTCGTAGGACAGACAGGCACTCACATTCACACATACCCGGGGACAGCAGAGACAAGAGCTTTTGCTCATTTTTTTAATGTATCACAATGAGCAGGAAACATACTTGATGAAATATTTTCAAAGGAGTATATTCAATTACCATCTACAATCAACTTAACTATGACAACAAAGTGTTTTGTGACAAAATCTTTTTTTTTAAGAGTTCCGTGTGGTTTCTGTTTTTGTCCGTCTCCATGTATTTTGGTACAGTTCGAGATCAGCATTGTTACAGTAACAAAAAAGCTAACAAGACTACATTATAGAAAAACACCAAGAACATCATTTTTGGTTTCACTTGCTCTAGTTTTTGTACATTGCAAAGGCTGTTCATATACCTCTTCACCTCATTTATGCTTTCTGTTTTATCCAGACTTGTCCCCACCCCCCGCCCCCGAATCAAACAAATGAAAAATAGTCAAAAACTTTGTGTTTCACAGTGGGCAGGATTTCCAGCGCCATCAATCCAACCAAATATCTCATGTTCTACTTCTGTTTAAGAGAGTCCCAGACTGCCACCCTTTGTGCTGGCTTGCACAGGGGCCCTGCTGCACCTCAGTCATCACCTGCCTGCCTACCTGGCACGGTCTTGGTTGGAACCAGAGCCAGCAACATTCCACTTCTTCAGAACACTCTTGGTTACAGACACTGCTCTGCTCAATAATGCCATGCTTGTGTTTTCCGTTCTATCACTTGGCTTAAATTCCAGCATCAAGGGAGAGCTGTTAAAAACAAAATGACATCTCCGCAGTGTGAACGGTGGCTCAGGTAAGAGGCCAGTTCTATGGGAAAGAAGAGGCTGGAGGATTTTGCAGCCCAGGCACCAAATACTGGCTGGCACAGAGGCCTCATTCCCACCCCCACCCCCACTTCCCAGCACTGCTCTGGGTGCTGCTTAGTGCAGCTGCTCCTCCTTCCCTGTTGAGCTTCTGCAGAGCCCAAGTGCCAACCCACACAACCCAAAATGGCAGGGTGGGAGGAGGCAGAGGATGGCTTGGAGGGGCTGCTTGGCTCAGGGAGCTTTATGAGCTCCATGTTGGCTGTGGGAGCAGGAGAGAGGAGAGGGGCAGCAGGGGAGGCTGCTCTGCCCTTCTAGGACAGAGTCGTCTCTCATCAGACTGGGAGAGTCTCCCCCCACACAGAGGAAGAGTTATCAGAAAATGCACTGAAACACTATTTGGAGTGGGAGGAGGAAGATTGCACCCTGTGTGATTAATCTACGGGAGTGGGGCAGGGGAAGGGGGAGGGAGGGAGGGAGAAGGGGAAATAAACAAAATGATTTCAAAGCAGACCACGCAAACCTGACAGGTAAAGCTAGTGTTTAACTGGCAACTTATACCACACAGAGAACCAAAACAAAACAAAAAACTTCTATATGATACAGAGTAACATACAAGTTAAATGGCAAAAAATATATATATATATCTATATATTTTTCATAGAATTACAAACAAGATAAAATAATGGAAACAAAAACTGTACAACTTTAAAATTTAAAAAATGTTCATCTCAAGCAAGGGAAAAATACAAGGATCTTTGTAAAAAGGGAAAACAGCAACATTTTGTCCGCTTTTGACACCTTATGCTACAATTGGATACTGGCAGGAATATTCAATGGTACTCTTTTTAGTACGGTCTACTTAAAAAATTAAAAAAATGAACTTGCATTGTGCATCAGTCTAGTCAGAAATATGTACACCAGTTCAAGGTTGAGTCTTCCATTAAGCTAAAGACAAAAAAGGCATGAAGAGTCCTGGCTTGGGGAGGGAAGGAGAGAGGAGGAGGAGGAGGAGGAGGACGCTGCTGCTGTCCATTGGTCAGTCTGCCTGCCTGCCCACCCGCCCTTCCTCTCTGGGATGGAACACACCAGCCTCACCCAGGGGCTCTGGCAGCTTCCACAGTTTGCGGGCTGGGGAGAAGGGAGGAAGGGAAGAGAAGTCTGAAGAAGAAAGAAGTGCCCCTTCCCTCCCCCTCCCCCCATTCACAGTCTAGTTCCCTTTTGAAACACAAGGAAGATGGTCAGGAAGAGGAGGAGGAGGAGGCGGCCTTTCACTATTGAGGGTGGGTGCAGGGAGGGAGAAGGGAATGTTGACCTTTGGCTAGGAAGTGACCATGCAAGGCCTGCTTGTCTCCAAACTCTACATTGTAGCAGCACAAAGTTTTCCTTTCAATGTCCGGACCAGAGAAGATGCCACCAGGAGCAGAGAGAGATTTGCACCAGGCCCCAAATGCTTTTTGTTGCCTGCCCCTCTGGGGCTCACACGACACTAGCAGCGACACCACCCTAACAACGCAGGAGCATCGTGTTGTTTGTTGCAGTTGCAGGAAGGGTTGCTCCTCTGCTTGCAGAAGAAGCACAGAGAACAACCTACATGCATGTTTTTCTTTATGAGTTCCTTTATTTAAACTGATTCTTGTGGCGGTAATCAGAAACAAATCCTCAAGTCAAAAGAATCCTTTTTGCTCATTCTGCACCAGTGGTGAAAAGGGTTTGTCTTTGGATTTTATTTAAAGCATGAATTTTCTTTTCGAGGAAAGAAAAACAAAACAGAAAAACAAAACAAAACCCACCCACACATGCACGCGCGCACACACACGCACAAGCACACACACACATATATAACAAAAAGTCCTTGGAAAAAGGAAGAAGTGCACCCTAATTACCCAAAGAGAAACAAAGGCCTACAGTTCCAAAATGGAGCCTTTGAAGCATTTACAAAATGAGGAAAGGAAGCCAAAAGAAGAAGAAAAAGAAAAGAAGACAGAGTTAAGTGCACAAGGGTAACAGACATGTATACACCTTAAAAAGTTTTGAACCCCCAACAAAAATATTCTGCAAGGGATCCTACTGACCCCCTTTGAAACCCTTTGAATTTTTTCTTTAGTTTTTATAAAATAATTCTGCAGCTGCCCTCTAAGAAATGAAGGCAGTGACCATAAGTGGAAGATTACAGGATGGAGAAGGGAGTCAAGGTACAAAGGGGGAGGGGAAGCTTCGGCGAGCGAATCGATGGGTTGTAATCTAGCTGGCTAGGAATGAACAAGACAACATCCAATGAGAAGCCGTCAGCTGGACCAATACAAAAGCTAAATGTACACAAAAGGGGTTTTTCTTTTAAATCTACCATACTGCTTCAGTTCATTTCCAATGCAACAATCTACTCAACACCAAAAATGGTCATATCTATCATAAATACAGAAAGTCAGTTGTTTTAAAACTTATTTTTAAGCTCCAAGTCCTTAACACTCTTTGCGTGTTGTTGGGTTTGCTTGTTTTTCTGAAAAGTGGGAGTGCTGAACTTTTCCCCTTGAAATTGGCTTCAGCAGAAAAGCTACCCTTAAAATCCCCAGAAAGCTAACACAGTTCACATTGTTTGTCTCTTGAAGACTTTCTGCCCATTTTTAAATTAACAAAAAAATTCCTTTTCTTGGAAAAAAAATCAAAACCAAAAAAGAAATTATATATATATATATTTATATAAAACAATGATTCTGAAAACCGAACAAAGTGTGAGCGATTGACCTGAGAATAAAAAGACGTTACATTTCTTTTTTTTTTCCTTTTAGCAAGCCATTGGTATCTGAATGCTAAGATAGCAAGAAATTTAAAACGGTAACAAGGTGGTCTGCTTTCCCATACAGTTATGCCGGCCTCTGCTGTGCTCTCAAAGGGGGGGGGGGGCTGGGGCTCCACAGACAGACAGAAAGACCCCGGAGAGGCAACCAGGGTGGGGTAGGGGGCTTGGGCCTTCCAGACCAACACAGCACAGCCGAAATGCAAAAAGAAAGCAATGGAAAATCTGCCGGCATCGGTATATGGGAAAACAACCCACACTTCTCTCTTCTTTTTTTCTTTTTCTTTTTTTTGGTTAGAAGCTTTGGAATTGCAGTTAGTCTATTTTTGAAATTGGTTTGTTAATTTTTTTTTAAATTCATTTTTTTAAATTGTTCATCTTCAAAGCTTACAATCTAAAGGTGTCCATTTCTAGGCTAGTGAGACCACCGTCCTTGGGGCAGCTTGGCTCCTCAGGCCTCTCCGCCGGGCTAGCCGGTCCATTGGACTTTTGGCTAAGATCCGAGTCAGACTCCTCCAAATAGTCATCTGTTGGCATCGAGGGCTGAACCCCTGAGGTGCTGCATGAACTTGAGGTAACCGTTGAAGATGAGGAGAGAGGAGGAGGAGGAGGCTTCCCCAGAGGAGCCTGGGGGACCACTTGAGGCCAAGACTTTCTGGAGGTGTGGGGGGAAGCTGAGGACGGGGGGGAGGGGCTGTCATTTGAGTGAGCGGCAGACTGCGAGGTAGATGCGGTGCTAGGGTCGGGGAGGCAGGCGGAGTGAGGTAATAGACTGGGGTGCTCTTTGGCGTTTCTTGCTGCTCTTGGGATTGTTCGATGTTTGTGCGAGGCAGACTCGAGATGCTGCTGGAGGGCTTCATCCCCGCACACCGTGCTCTCACACGCCACACACTGGTACGAGCTGTTGCCCTTGCTGCTGCCGCCCATGGGCACATGAAGCACCATCTCTTGCAGATTCACCACAGACTGGCCGAAGAAGCAGAGGGACTTCAGGTGGTCGGTGGCTGCCTCCTGGGTGCTGAAGCCTGCCTGGCACTTCTGGCAGACCAGCCTGTACTGCACCTTTGGAACGATGAAGGGGTCACAGAGGGAGTCCACGGCACTGTTGCTTTCCGTTTCAGGCTCTTCTTGGGGTTTGGGCAGGTGGGGGGACACCTCGCGGGGTGCATTCTTCTGCTCTTCTTGCTTGGGGGATTCTTTGGCAGGGTCTTTTTCTGGGGTAGCAGCCCCTGAGGGGACTGGGGTTTGGCTTCCTTTGGGCTGCTGCTGCTGCAGCTGCAGCAATTTCTGCTGCTGCTGTTGCGCTTGCCTCTGTTGTTGTTGTTGCTGCTGCTGCTGCTGCTGCTGTTGCTGCAAAGCTTCTTGCAGGCTCTGTTGATATTGCTGGTACTGCTGCAACAGGGAACCAGGGGACAAGCCGAGCAGGGCTTGTGACAGTGCAGGGCTATAAGGGAACAGCCCCTCCATGCCATACATGGGCTGAAGGTACCCGCTCTGTAAGGCCCCTGGGATCTGAGGGGCATAGTAGGGAGAAAAACCAGGGACAAAGTAGGGGAGGAACTGGCTCGTCAGCAAAGCTGTGGGGTCCGAGTTCAGAGCTGCCTGCAGAGCCTGGAGCTGCGTGGGGTCCACAGAGTACTCCATGGCAGGCAGCGTGGCAGAGAGGGCAGCTGGGGCAGGCACCTCCACTTTGTCCTTCTTGGGTGCCAGCAGGGAATCCCCCTTCCCCCCCTTGGGCGCTTTGTCCTTCTCTTTTGTCTTCTCACTTTCTTTGTCCTTCCGAGGCGGTGGCTGAGGCTGCGGTGGCTGTGGAACCGTGGCCGCTGTGGCTTGTGCTGGGGTGGGGGAGCTCAGGGAGGCCGAAGGTTGTTTATTTGGTAATCCAGAGGTGGGAAGGCCAGGCGAGGGGATGCTTGTGCCGGGTAGACCCATCAGGTTGGGTTTTGGAGAAGTTAAAGCTAGAAAGAAAGGGACAGAAAGAAAATAAGTTTTAGGTGGGAGACAGGTAGCTAGGCCTGTTCCTAAGCTGGACAATGGACCCAGAAAGGCAAAGGCCTGTATTTTGCCTCTGGTTGGAGAAAGAGAGGAGTTGTTGTTGTTGTTGTTGGTGGTGGTGGTACAGAAGAAAAGCTACTTCCCCCTTTGGAGAAGAGGGCTCAGACTATGCAGAAATCCCAAAGGAGGGCAGTTCAGTGAGCGCTGTGCCATAGCACCAAGGGTGTCAACAGAGAGCACTGATACCAGGCCCAGAGGCAGCAAGGGGTCCCAGACTACTAGTATTCCTGGGATAGCTCAGTCGGTAGAGCATGAGACTATTAATCTCGGGGTCATGGGTTCGAGCCCCATGTTGGGTGAAAGATTCCTACACTGCAGGGGGCTGCACTAGATGACCCTCATGGTCCCTTCCAACTCTGTAATTCTATGATTCTATTCATTAAGAAAAATAAAAAATGTAGAGTGAACATTATGAAGCAAAATTATGAGGCATCATCTCAAGCAATAATTTTGTGAAATATGAACCTGCTCCTGTTTTTCAGTGATTTTAGCCAATGAGTGAAATCAGTACAGTATAGAGCTATAGAGATTTTCAGAGTCATACAAGCCCAACAGAAGACCAAAAATAAAATTTAAAAATGACCTAGGAAGTCCCTTCTGGAGGGACTTCCTGAATCATTCTGAAGTCATTTTTCAGCCTTCTTTGGTGCTTGTGTCACACTAGATTTTCTGTAGCTTCAGGAAATGGAGAAGGACTGCCAGGTTCATTTGGAAGGGACTTTTTGGTTCATTTTGAAACTATGTTTTCATCTTCCCTAGTAGAGAAGTGATTCTTGTCCAGAGAAAATAAATGAAAAATCCATCTGTGACTGGGCAATAGCATGGCCATCAAAGAGCAAAAAGGCAGAAATTCATGCTCTTTCTAACTCAGCTTTTTTTTTAAATGCAGAAATGTTGCCTTTTCTGCTTATTTACATTTAAAAAATTACTGGGTTAATGCAAACACAAGTGCAAATAAAATCCATCTTAATATTGTGGTGAAGAAAGCATGGGTTACATTAGTAGTTGAGAGTTGCTATGTTAATTTTGCTAGAGCAGAGGCTGAGAGAGAGAAATAGATCTCAACCTTATGGTGTAGTTCAGGGTTAGAAAGTCTCTTTGTGTGCTGGATTGGGATTGGGGAGAATCCAGTTCTGGGGGTAGGGTTGTAAAGTTCATTGTTCAACATGGGATGGGGGAAGGGGGGTAGAGGGATTATCGTGGGTGGATAGTTGCTGCTAATATAAATTAATGGCAGCTTCATTTCCAAGGCTCATGCCCCCTTTGTTAAAAAATAAAAAGAAGCCATTTGAACATTGCTGCAATTACTAGAAGGTATAAATGAATAATAACAAATGCTCCTAGAATGCACTTGTTGCTTTTAAATAATTTAATATTGACTCTATCTAAACATGCCACTGTAAACCCTCAGCCAATTTTGACCACCTCTCCCCTCCGCCATCTGAAATATCACACTTAGTTTTGCACTGAATGTTGTACTGCCAACCTAACCCACAGAAAGTGGGGAACCTCTAGCCTGTGGGCTAATGTTGGCCAGCTAAGTCTCCCCACTTAGCCTGCAAGGATGCTTTGGGTAATGATAATCAGTGCTCACCTGCCCAACACTTGATGCCATATATGCTATCAGGTATGAAGCAGGTACGGGCAGAGATTCGAAGGTACAACTGGGAGATTAAAGTGAGCTCCCAATTTTCCTTTGCTGGAGACAAGTACACTCTCACGACCCATCAGCTGATCTGCAGTGGGAGCGTGTCATGCTTCAGGAGGGGGAAGTGGCTTCCACCGTGTGTGTGAGGGATCTCCAATTTAGCAGCAAATTCAGTGGCAACAGTTTCTCCCTCCCAGAACTGCTCTTTGAACCTCAGATTTCTGTATATTCAAAGAGCAATGTGTGGCTGTTTGTAAAAGAGTTTTCAAATAGCCAGTGCTGAAATAAAAAACAGTGCCACCTGACGTCAGGGTGATGTCAGGTGATGGACAGGTGGGCAGCCCCATCCACCTGTCAAATTTGATGCATGGAGAAATAAGAATCTGGCTCACCGGCTAGGAGAGGATTCCCTGCCCCAAACTACAAGAATATAACTGGTTTACAGCTCAATAAACTGGAGTTATTTGCATAGTTTAGTACTGGCAACAGGGTCTTGTACTTTTAACAGCTGTGTGGTAGGCAGAAATTCAACAGATCAAGCCTTTTCTAGTAAGGAAGCAAATTATGGAAGAAGCCTCATCTGCTGATTTTCTGTTACTCATACCTATTTACTGTGGGGTGGTGGTGGTTCACCTGCAAAAGAGGACACAAATTTGTATATGACACTTAAGTACAGGCAAATTGTATGCAAAGTTATATCCTGTTTTGTGAGTAGGTCAAAAGGACCAGTCCACACACAATGTATAAATAAATTGTGATGTTTTCCTCTTGCTCACTGTGGGTATAAGGGAGTGGGAAGAAGGAACGGGGAGAGCTTCTGGAGGGCTCTTAGGGAAGGATGGAATATGCCCCATGACAATGTCTGGTTTTGAACTATTGACATTTCCAGCTGTGTTCTGGGAAAGCTGATGATGGGAGGGGTGGGCCCACTAGAACACCTTTTCTGGGCAAGTTCGGGGAAGAAGGAAGAGAGCATCTGCAGCAGCCATGACTAGAAGCAGAAGTACCTATCCTGCTACAAATTGCCAAATGCCAACTGTCCAGAGCTATCCAGACCTCTTCAAAAGGCTCTCTTGGTTTAAGGGGCCCCATGTGTAAAACTAGGGGAAGGGCCATTGCTCACTGGCAAAGAATAATAGTGGTGGAGGTCAAGTGGAAGGGAAAAGTTGGATAATTGTGGAAATATATGCCCCAAACGAACAGAAATGAATCTTCTATATATATTTTTTAAAAACCAGAGGAAAGTCTATTTGAATTATATGATGGAAAAATAATAATAATGGGGGACCTGAATGGGGTCACATCTCTGGAATATGATAGGTCAAATCAGGAAACAAGATCCAAGGAAGGGAAACTGCCAAATTCCGTTTTTGATACAGTGGTGCCTCGCAAGACGAAATTAATCCGTTCCGCGAGTCTCTTCGTCTTGCGGTTTTTTCGTCTTGCGAAGCACGGCTATTAGCGGCTATTAGCGGCTTAGCGGCTTTAAGAAAAAGGAAACAAACTCGCAAGAACTCGCAAGACGTTTCGTCTTGCGAAGCAAGCCCATAGGGAAATTCGTCTTGCGGAACAACTCAAAAAACGGAAAACTCTTTCGTCTTGCTCGTTTTTCGTCTTGCGAGGCAAACATGGACCTAATAGACTTATGGAGATTTAAACATCCAGCAGAACACGAGTACACATTTCATTCAAGTTCTCAAAATTCATTAAGTAGAACAGATATACAGTGGTACCTCGGGTTACAGACGCTTCAGGTTACAGACTCCGCTAACCCAAAAATAGTACCTCAGGTTAAGAACTTTGCTTCAGAATGAGAACAGAAATCGCATCGCAGCGGAGCAGCAGCAGCAGCAGCAGGAGGCCCCATTAGCTAAAGTGGTGCCTCAGGTTAAGAACAGTTTCAGGTTAAGAACGGACCTCCAGAACAAATTAAGATCTTAACCTGAGGTACCACTGTAGTGTGGGTCTCCAAAGATTTGGGTGAAAAAGGTGGAGAGACACCCAAGAATGATCTCAGACCACAATTTGATATCAGTAAAGATTTTAAGGGAGAAACAAAATGGTTACAGGTGGAGAATAAATGAGGAATTATTAAACAATTCAGAAATTGTAACCAAAGGGGAAAAGATTCTAAAAGAATATTTTGAATTCAATCTTAATAAAGGGGTAGATGCGAATGTGATGTGGGATGCAGGTAAGACGGTCATGAGGGGATACATGATCCAACAAAAAGCACATCAAAAAGGAGTAAGAGAGGCAAAGATCCAAGAGGTATTAAAGGAACTAACAAAGAAAGAGAAAGAGCTTAGTAAAAAAACAGGTAAGAAAGAGCTATTACGAAGAATTAAAATATTAGCACAACACTCTATGCTAATTAATTACAGAAATGAAAATTAAAGTGATAAAACAAAAAAAGATTTTAATTGGCAAATAAATCAGGGAAGTTATTAGCTTGGCAACTGAAGAAAGAAAAAGAAAAAAGGATAATCAATGGTCTGCTAAAAAAATGGAACCCCCCCCAACCAATCAAAAAGAGATGACACGAATTTGTTAAATTCTACGTAGATCTTTATAAGAAAGAACAAGAAAGCTCAGAACTGATTGAGAAGTATTTGGAAGAATGTAAACTGGACAAAATATCAGAAGAAAATGCAAAGATTTTAAATACTCCAATATCAGTGATGGAAATGCAAAGGGTACTAAGCCAAATTAAGACAGGAAAATCCCCAGGGCCAGATGGTCTGTCGGCAGGATATAAGAAATTTCAAGAGGAGCTAAAGCTTCCACTCAAAGATATTATGAATAAGGTACCGGAGACAGGAAGGATACCATAGTCCTGGAAAGAAGCATATATAACTCTGATACCAAAATATGGTAAAGACCTAATGGAACCTAAAGATTATAGACCGATATAATTATTAAATAATGATTACAAACATTTTACGTTGATATTGGTAAATAGATTTAAAATGACTCTAAGAAATTTGATACATGAAGACCAGACGGGTTTTCTTCCTGGGAGACAAATGAAAGAAAATGTTAGGAACATTATAAATGTTTTGGAATACTGAGAAATCCATAATGAAAAGCAGGCTTTCAATAACGTCTCCTGGCTATTTATGACAAAGTTACAGAAAAAGATGGGATTTGGCAAAACCTTTCTAAAGGGTATAAAATCAATCTATAAAGACTAAACAGCAAATATTATAGTAAATAATAATATTTCAGAAAAATGTAAGATACACAAAGGCAGGGCTGCCCATTGTCTCCGCTGTTATTCATATTAATATTAGAAGTTTTGGCGTAAAATATAAGGGGAAATGATAGAATTCAAGGAATAAAAGTAGGACAGCAAAACTATAAATTAAAAGTATTTGCAGATGACTTAGTATTAACTTTACAACATCCGAGTGAGAGCATACCAGAAGTGATAGATGAGAGAGACAGATTTGGAAAACTAGCTGGTTTCAAATTAAATAAAGGAAAAACCAAGACGATGGTTAAAAATATGGACAACCAAGCAAAAAACGATCTAGAAATCATGTATGGGTGAAAAGTAGAGAAAAAATAAATAAATATTTGAAGATCTGGTTAACAATGAACAACTATAATATTTACCAAGATAACTATGTAAGGGTTTGGAAATAAATAAA